ACCATCGAATACTGCCTATAAAACTCCAATATCGCCCGAAAAAATTGAAAATAAACCAGTCTTCGCGCCCCAATCTGCTCTTCAAGAAGAAAGATTAAAAGTACAAAATATCTTTATTCCACCGCCTGTGATCAACAGTTTGGATGAAGATGATGATGATGATGGATTTCAAGTTGTACGTCATCGCAGACGTATGAAATCAGCACCAGGATCTGACAAAGCTCGAGTTCATTCACTTACAAAAACATCATCCACCCAAACTTCGGATACCGATGTCAATGTCAAATCAGTTACCATCCATGAACGCCCGAATTCTACCTCACGTTCGATCCCACGCACTCACATCGTCTCCACGTCACCTTCCAAAACAATTCAACACGAAACTAGACAATCATTGTTAATAACCAAAAAGTTTCAACCCTCCACATTGAACACATGTGACACTATTGTTGAAAAGCCCATTGCAAAGGACAACGACAGCAACGCGCCCAAAGCAGCTCGGCAATCCAAAGCTAGACACTTACGAACAACTTTAACAATATTCAACAAATCAAATCTTGTGTCAACTACAGATAAAAGTTCCACTGAAACTCTTGTCAAAGACTATGACACACCACAAAGTACGGCGAAAACGTCATCAACAACGCCGAATGATGCTGACTCAATCCATCTAACGGCAGAAGATCCTTCATCTCAAAGCCATCTACCATCGGCCTCCGACGAAACATCATCAACAGCCAATAGTTACGAAATAATTGCGACTCCGCATCTCGAACCAGTGCAGGACGCAGATGAATCTCAGATTTTATTACAGACGGACAAATCCTCTACATCATTGATAATTGTCCTTAAGGAGTCAACTGGATCATCTGATGAAAATTCTATCAAAGACAACCTTGCTCAAACGCCAAAATCAGTTGAATTCATGGATCCCACTTCACCATTCAATGAAATCCCCACTCCGAAAATGGAGATTCCTATTGAACCCATACCAGAAATTCAACTATTAACGACAACAACTCACGTCGAAGACAGACAAGTAACGACTGTGTCAAATAAGAGAAAGTCTAAGTCACGAAAGAAGAAGACCTTAATAAAAACCAAAGACGATGATGAAGACATATCCACTTCGTCAACAACAACATCTATTTCCAGCCATATTACCCACATAAATCTCGATTCTCCACAATCGTTATCGAAAGCAAATTTTAGTACCAATGATAAACTCGATCTCTTCCTTCCGGACTATATCCGCGAAAAACTCAATGGCAGTGAAACATATTCATCGTCATCCGTGCACTCTCACGACGAGCATGACGTGACATCAGCAGCATCATCATTCGAGTTTATTCCAGCACGAAAATCTCGACCGAAAATGTTAGCAAAAGATCACGAAGCTAAGACTCTTCTCACTAACGAATTCGATTCTCCATCAACACCTCAAACATACGCTGACCATCAGGCAACGTCTACTGACGACGACGCCAATGACAATGAAAATATCCATGATGAAGACGATGAATTTATTATTCAAGTCATCGACTTAGAAGAGCCAGAGAAAACTCCAATGCAGAACATCGACAATATTCTATCACGTGGGTTTTATCTTTGGCTACAAGAAGGTCAAGCATTATCACAGCCATCGGATAAATCAACATCATCTTCGTCGTCAAGTAAGTATCAATCAAATCATCTGCAACACATTGTTATACAACCAACTGAAACAGACGAAGATGAAGATTCATGGAATTCTAATGAAATCGTACGATCGACTTACATAACTGGTAATCAACCTGAAAAGAAAATCCATATGACTAGTGCATATGTCATCAATCACCCTCAATCGAATTCAACCACGTCGTGGTACGAAATTTCCGCTCACAATCGCCGATCTCACGATGATCTTGCTCGATTTGACTCAGATGGTCATGATCACACCGAACGACATCAAAACCGTTCTCAACAATCAAACACACGATCTCAACAATGTAATTCGACCAATGGTTATCATCACCAACAAACGATGGTCATGTTAGATGAATTTCAAGAATCTCTCCTTGAAGATCTCTATCGTCAGTCTACAAAAGATTCGAATCATGCAATTCATTTCGACGACTGGGCACATTTTTTCGAAAACGAATTCGAAATTGAGTTTACTTCACCTTTAGAATGTTTCTATACTCGACCATACGACGAAGACACATTGGTATGTGAAGTCATACCTATGCATCATTCCATTCGAGATCACGAATCACGTTATGGAGACTTTTCCACAATGAACAATGATATTATTCTAACCGAACCAGTCGTACACTATGCTTCTCAAAAATTGAAACCATCCGATTGTTTTCAACGTTCCCGCCATCAGGAATCTACGCCTGCAGCCTACGACAACGATGAAATCCTCATAACACACTCACCGAACGGTCTTAGTCGACGAATGAATTCATAATCCCGAAAAAGAACTCTCTTTCACTCTTTTTTTTTCTCAATCTAGTCGATGAATATGACGTTTTCTCAATTCAACAGACATGTTCAATGTTCTAGATGTAGATCAACACCATCCTTATCACTTTCGTATGTTCATATTTATAAACTTTTAGATCGATTGTGAAGAAGATTTCTTACGCGTCTATGTTGAGACACCTGTATCATTTCATAGTTCGTTCGTTTGCTTGTTTGTTTTTTTGTACATATGAAATGATTTTAGAGACGTTGTTTTCCTTTCTATTTTGTTATGTGCTTGTTTTCTTAAACGCAATGTTATATTTGTTTGTTATGGGTTTATTTTATTGTCATTGATTAGATATTAAAGAAAGATCATCAGACTTTTTGTTTCAAATGAAAAGATACAACATCGATTTTCTTCGCTCGAAATCAATAAAGAACAAAAAAAAAACACCTCTGATCCAGCTTTTCTCATATCGAGGTCATTCGAAACGACTAATTATCAAACAAGTCTGTTTAATCTCGCGAAACCATATGGAAATATCAAGTACCGGCCTGTTTATGCTTGTATTACCAGTAGAAATCAATTAGTTTCTAAACGACATCATATCGAGAAATGCGCGATGCTGATTGTCGCACGACGAAAGTGTTTGACAAATTCATCGATGTATGATACCACCAATAACCTTTGAAAGCACATTCATCAAATTGTAATCGTTATATATCAGTTTGACAATTACGTTCCTTCGGATATTTGCGACAAACCGCTTAAAGTACGAATCGTTGTCTGACATAATCGAGGTGAAAAAAAAATTAATCAAAAAACAACACAAAACTAGCTTTTCTTTTGTTTTCTGCAATACGGTATACATATGTCAACATATGTCATCATCAATAACTTGATTTTCGCTGGAAAAAACGAGCCATCCGTCGATGACAAAACCAATGACAATAAATAACAGACAAGCACTCTTGTTGATCGATGATTGCTATAAATAAGCCCAAGCAGATACATGATTAGGTTTCATTGACGTATATCGTTCCTTTTTTTTCTCCTTTATTGTCTATGACAAGAATTTCGATGATAAATATCAAGGTAAATCGAAATATTTTGCCTTTCTGGAGAAAACGTTTTCAAAATGTAATTAAACTAGTAAAAGTATTTTGTTGGAATGTTCTCGTTTGCATCTGGTGATAACTTCGCTGGAAGAACTCATCTTCTCGTATTGCGTCATTGATTATTGATCGACTCGAGATATTTATTGCTTATTGCACATCATATTGATTCTCTAGACCAAGAAATAAGATCGGAGAAGAGAAAGAAGCAGGAATAGCAAATACTAAGGTTCATTTGTCTTTCTTGTTACATTAACTATCAGCAGTTTTCTTTTCTTTCACTATTTATCCGTTTGTATCTCTGCAACTATAACTCTATTAAACGTTGCTGCTTGCATACTGACGCGCGTTCTTTCTTTCGTTCGACATGGCCATGTAATACACATCAATGGAATCAAATGTGAGTTGTTAGTTGATCCACAAAACAATGAAAATTTCGATATGATCGATTTCATCGTATTGTCACTTTATCATTCTCGTCTTACATTTGTCAAATAATGGTAACGGATGATTTGATGATATTACCATCGATACTTTTAACAAAGACATATTACGTTTTATGTGAAGAAACGACATACACGTATGACAAGACTGACAGTGACGAACTGTCTGAGACAGGCAAGTGAAACGAAGTTAAAAAGTCTTGGCGTTCTCTGTGTTGCAACATGTATTAAATACATTTCTTCTTTAATCCTGTTTGAGAACATAATGATTGGATGTGTATTTAAACAATTATGATTAGATGAAGTAGACAAGTGTGTCAAGAGGTTGTCTTTTTTTTTTCTTTTTGCTCGATGTCTTAGACTAATCCTTATTCTAAATAATCCTCACATACACAGATTCTCCTTCATTCTCTCTCTATTAGCCATCTGCTTATCATCATCTTTGATAGTAAGAGAACGAATTTACTGCTGAACAGATACCATCCGACATATCATCTGATAGGAAAACACACAAGAGATCACCTTGCCATTCTTGATGCTGCATGAGAGTTCATATTCTTCTCCTTCGTCGTCCTTCGTTGTTAGAAAGAGTGATACGATGGTAGTAATCGTTTGTACGTTGCTATTGCTTTATCATCCTCGTTTCTTCTCCGTCGTCTACATCTTCTTCTTTTCCATGCATTTGATCAAGACAATCACGAAGAAAAAGAGAGAACAAAAGAAAGAGAAAAAGAAGAGCATAAGAGTTGTACAGTGAGTGGAATAAACATCTTTCTTTTCTCTTCGTCGTGCGAACAACCGATCATTCATCGTTTACTTCTTGCTATCTCTATAATTCCCGAGCAGTGTAATCATTGATGTTTGATTTATGTGTTAGAACTCATTAAGAAGAAAACAACGAGAAGACGAAATTGATTTTTGTATTCTTATAAGAATAGAAAAATGAAGTGATCGTTTCTCTTCATAAGAAAAAAACACAGAGGAACAACACTTATGGGTAAGAGTAGCAAGCTTGTTTTCTGCAAAGCATTTCTAATAGTTTTTTTTCATTATACAATTGCTTTTAGACTCTCCCGAAACGATCAATAACTCCTCATCTCGTTCAATGAATCCTACGAATGAATTCGAAAGTTGTCCACACGACCATTCAACTGCAAATCAAAAGGGCATGGCTTCGTCTTCGTATAGTCCAGGATCATATCGATACCCAACGAACCCTCATAATATTCCCACATCCGATGATTCAGGAAATGAATCCTCATTAAATTATCGTCAGAAATCGAATCCACATTTTGTTGTAGTAGCCATTGACTTCGGTACAACGTACAGTGGCTACGCATTTGCGTTCACACGAGATATTGATTCGATTTTAATGATGCGTAAAGTTGATGGGAATGATCCCGGTTAGTGTCCTAGTCTCGTTCGTTTCTGTTTTGAAAGAAAATTGTGTTTCAGGTGTAATCAATCAAAAAACGCCAACGACGATTCTACTCACACCGAATCTTGAATTTCACTCGTTTGGCTTTTTCGCACGAGATTTCTTTCATGATCTCGATCCGGACGAAGCTAAACGATGGTTATTTTTCGAAAAATTCAAAATGCATCTTCATTACGTTCAAGTAAGCATTCTTTCGTTCGATTAGTTATCTATGGAAGAAATTTTCCTTCCTGTAACTCGTATTATGCAAGAAAATAGTAGCATTCCTCGCATAGATGATCTATTACATCACAGAACTCGAGTCTGATCGTGATGAACGATTGTTTAATAGAGTGAAAACTCGTAATGAATTGTTCTCTGACGATTATAGTTTGTTCTCGTACGAGTTATTGATTGATTAGTTGTATTTTCTTGTTCGAGAGCGAATTGAAAGTGAGAACAGCAACTGCTGATTAATTCTTTCCGAGACTGGCATACACATGTTCTGTTCCGGTTTCCTCTACGCGTATTTTCTTCCTAAAACATGAGCAAATCGATACGAATCTAATTAAAGTAAACAGTTGTGTCTACATGTCTGTTTTCTTGTTCTATCATCGATGAACTCATTTAGGATCTTAATACCCAAACATTAATTGCCGCAAGTAACGGTCGGAAAGTTCCGGCATTGACGATATTTACCTATGCATTACAATATTTCAAAGAACATGCTCTACGAGAACTTTCCGATCAGTCAGGCACTCGATTTGTCAATGAAGATGTTCGATGGGTTATCACAGTACCGGCAATATGGAAACAATCCGCGAAACAATTTATGCGCGAAGCTGCGTATCAGGTTTGTGTCGAAGTTCTCGTTCTCTATGATTTCAATCAAATGTTTTCTTTAGGCGGGCATTGCTTCGCGAGAATTTCCGGAACAACTATTGATTGCCCTTGAACCCGAAGCAGCATCAATTTATATACGTAAGCTTCGAATGCATCAATTTGTTCCAGATGAAATACCGCCGTTCTCTCGAAATTCAATCAAACGTGAGCATGGCACCTTATCATCATCGTTGTCTAATCAATCATCGCCAATATTTTTCGATTCGGATAAATGTTAGTATAAGACAAAAGAGAAAGACTTTACGAGAATTTATCTTCGTTTCTATCGAAAGAAAAACATTCCATTGATAGATGTTTGAGTATACATGTCTGTACCGACATAATGTCTGCGTACAATCAATTCATCATGGTCATTACTCGAGATCGAACTATTTTCTTTGTTTATTCGATTAGTATCAACTGAGCAAAGTGAATATCATCCAAATACACAATCATTTGAAGTTGTCCTTGATAGTGGTACACGGTATATTGTTGTTGATTGCGGTGGCGGAACAGTGGATATGACTGTTCATGAATTAGATACCAAAATGGGTACATTAAAAGAATTATATAAAGCAACGGGTGGACCATATGGTTCCGTTGGTATGTTGATTGACATTTATGATGAAACAGTATCGATTGCCTTATGAAAACATCTTTCTAGGAGTTGATCAAGAATTTGAGAAATTGATGAGCGCAATTTTTGGAAAAGAGTTAATCGAAGAATTTAAACTGAAGCGACCAGCTGGCTATGTGGATCTAATGATTGCATTTGAAGCACGCAAACGTACAGCTAGTCCATTTAAGAACAATCCATTGAATATTTCATTGCCCTTCTCATTCATTGATTTTTATAAGAAAAAGAAAGTAAGAGTTGTCGATGAATGTCGAATGAAAGAAACTCATCGGAAAATTGATCCATGTAGGGTTCGACAGTCGAATCTGCCATTCGTCGTTTTAATGATCCAGATATCAAATGGTCAACTCAAGGAATGATGAGATTGACGCCAGATGCAATGAAACGTCTTTTTCATCATACAGTTGAACGAATTAAAAGTGCCATTGGAGATGTCTTAAACAGTCCGGATGTCAAGGGTAATTAACTCGATTTCTTTCTGGTAAAAAAAGGAAAAAAACGAGCCAATCTTTTCAGGTATTCAATATCTTTTCCTTGTCGGTGGTTTTGCTGAATCTCCAATTCTTCAGTACGAGATACGTCGTGCGTTTTCCTCGATTCTCAAAGTGATCATTCCTCAAGATGTTTCACTAACTATACTGAAAGGTGCCGTTCTGTTCGGTCTCGATCCAACGATTGTAAATGTTCGTCGTTCACGTTTAACTTATGGTGTTTCGGTTTTGAATCGTTTCGTTGCGGACTATCATCTCATCGAGAAGAAAATCGTCAAAGATGATATCGAATGGTGTGCGGATATATTCGATAAATTCGTTCTTGTTGATCAATCGATTGGTCTTGGTGATATTGTCATTAGAAAATACACACCTGCACGACACAATCAAGCGCAGTGTATCATTTCGTTCTACTGTTCAGAATCAGATAAACCAATCTATGTAACCGATCCTGGCGTGAGGAAAATCGGTAAAGGAATCGTTGGATCATTTCTTGTGAATGTTCAATTTTTTTTAAAGGTACATTGGTTTTGGATATGTTCCAAGATGGATATTCGATGAATACTTCCACAATATCAAAGGATCGTCCACGACGTGAGATTCAAACACGTATGGTTTTTGGTGATACTGAAATCAAAGTGAGCGCACTCGATGTGACCACCGGCAAATGTGTTCGGGCAACGATCGATTTTCTGAACAAATAGACGTGTTGACGAAGATGTTGATCAGTAGGAGAATTGCATCTAACTTATTATTTTTTTTTCTTCATTGCTTTCTTAGATATGACATGAGAACTATGTTATGTTTTTTCGTCAACTGTAATTTCGTTTTCTTCTTTTGTGTATTGGAACATGTAATCTACTTCACTTTTTCTTTCTTCTATATGATAAAGAACAAAGCAGATGATCTGTTAGTATGAACAGCGAAAGTGCATCTATCTTTCTCGTATGGTCGATGGATTTCTTCTCTTTTCCGATATGTAATCACCCTATGAAGGATCAAATTTCACTCATGATAATATCCCTATAACAATCAACAGTAGAAAATAAGAGAGACCGATTAGTATCAAGTTCGTGTTTGCTCATAACAATTAACCTTCATCGATTGTTACATGAGTATCTCACTAGTGTAACTATTCAATAATTGATTATTGCTGAACAGGGCGCCATCTGTTTTTCATTCATCAGGAGAGATTTCGATCGACAAATTCCAACTGAATTCAACATATTTTACAAGGTTAATCATTTGAATTTTTCATGTCTATAAAGCAATGGTTGACTTCAAGCAAGTTGTTGCTAAGTAACAATCCTTCGAAAGATCACAAATGGCAGACGAAGAGAGAATTTTTCTCAGCGAATACTGTCATTTTGTTTTATGTATCTAATAATCACAGATGGCTACACTGACTGAACTTCAACCGTTCATCAAACGCACAACATCAGCAAGTTTATCACAAAAACACTATCCACTTGTACATGTTCTCACGTCTAAGCCAGAGAATAGTGATGAGAAGGTGCGAAGTGATTTCGAAGATGAAATTTAATCTCTTTCTCTTTTGTTTTGTATCTTTAGAAAGAAGAACCATTTGATTTCGAAAAGACAATTAAGTTTTTAACCGATCCACATGCGGTAAATAAATTAACACTGGATTGTGATTCCATTCGTCTTGCCTTTGATTTCAGTCACATCTCATCGATCGAAGAATTCGCCAATTACAAAAACTGTATCGACATCATAAAAATGGATATGTAAAAGATACAAATCTACCTGAAAATGTCTTATCTCACAAGGTTTTATTTTAGATTCTTCGGGATTTACACTACTTGATGAAGATCTTCAATATTCTGGCTGACCTTTGCCAAGATCAACCAAATTATATCGATACATTCGTAGAACTCTTACGAAACTGCTCGAAACCATTTCTACTCGATAAATCAACCGACGCGGAAATCTATTCATCAGCTCTAATCGCGTTCTACTCAGATTTCGGTAAGAAAGATAATCCTTCGAGCCGTTTTCATCGAATTTGCAACATCATCAGGTTATCTCCTTCGTGTACCAATACAACGTATTCAAAAGTGTATACTCGAGACCGTGTTCAAAACCATTCAATCGTCGAATAAATCACCGATACCTTCAGATAATTACGATGGTTTGAAACCAGCAGCAGTGGAATATCTTCTTCGTATTCAATGCAACAGTGATCTTTGTGAAACACTAGTGAAAGTAGGAAGACTAGTCCAAATTTCGTGCTGAAAACGAACACTTATTTACGTTTTAGACACTTTCATTGGTAGAAAACGATCCGTCGTTAAGAATTTTAGTTGTTAAACTATTGCAAATTTTCTCTTCAAAATCGCGTAGGATTAACTTTTACTTGTATCGATGAAAGCATTCTTGTTTATTCTAGCTGAATGTGTCGCGAAAATGTTAACACATGATTGCGTCAATCGATTAGTTTTAAAGATTAATGATACAGATTCGACTGGAGAGTAAGCTAATAGAATTTTGTTCATATGAATGCGATCAATGAGCTTTTCAGATTGTTATTTCGTACGATTGAAACACTTTGGAATATTCTTGAACATGGTGATGAAGAACAAATCAGTGATCAACTCAATTCGCGTGTTACGATAAGGTTTCTTTCTAACAATCTCTCGCAATCTCTTCCCTCATCATATGACTTGAATTTAGCCTTTTACAAGAGGCATTTCTCGGTCAAATTACTCAAAGTCATAGTCAATATCATCGTCAATTACGGTTTGTCTCGATAATTTAATCGAAGAGATCATCTATGGAAGTACTTTTAGAAATGATATTCTTGTTGTTTGTTCGTTAATTATTGGCCTCAAACCAGATGCTCCAGTTGTCGAAACCGGATTTGCTAAACAATTACTTCTCTTTGCTTCATATCCTGAATGTACGTGCCAGTTTTTCGATGAGAAATCCACTATAATTCTATCTTTAGTACGAAGCAATAGCCCATTGGTGAAAAACTTCAAACTAACTGCTTCACAGGAAGATTTCGAATTTAAAAAACTACTTTTCAACACAGTCGTCGTTCTTAGTCGAAATCCTGCAACACATCAAGTAATCCATCGAGAATCTCAAATCAGTCGATTCAACTATTTTGTATTTGTAGTTAATGATCGATAGTCGACTATTACTGGCACTCTTATCGTATGTCGAACCATTACCACGAAAAACTCCTCCTGGAACGGTTTTGGAATGGTCTTTAGCTCAAGTCGAAGAACTCCAGTTACACGCAATCGCCGCCCTTTCCATTCTTTTGCCGTTATCACTGAATGAATACTTCGAATATCATGTTGGAACACGATTGTTACTGTTTTATGAATGGACTATTAGCGAAGGTAATGAAATAGATTGGATAAAATATAGAAAAAGTCGTGTAATTAATTTTCAGACGAATATCAAAGTCAAGGAAACAGTTTCTTTGGAAAAGGTGGTCGAAATAATAAACGTTCACAATTAAGATACATTCTTCGATTATTTCGAAGTATCGTGTCAACAAGAGATGAACGTGTGCAAGTTGATTTATCCGATCAAGGAATTATTCCATCGATAACTGGTAAAAGAAATGAAATTTACGAAGTTTCACAATAGCTCTGTTAATTGTTCTTTTCATTTGTGTTAAGGATACTTAAGACGTATATCGCAGCAGAAATCCATGCATATCGATCAGTTGGATTTAGATGTTATCTGTGATGGATTATTCATTCTCAGTTGCCTTTGTGAATTAGATGTGCATAGAAAAGTAAACTACCTAGATTTATTACTAGTCAAAATGATTTTCTTTTGTGTTCTGTCAGGAAATTTTTGGATCAGAAGGTATTGAAATGCTCATACAGTTACTACTAGTTGAAGCACAATATGTTTGCGGCGGTCTTGGTTACCATCGTTTATTAGTTGCTGCGATCGATTGCGTCTGGTGTTGTGTAGTTGGCAGCGTTATTAACGAAGATGAATTCATTCAAAAACAAGGCATTTTTGCTTTGCTTGATCTAATCGAAGTGCGGCTATATTTGCTCTCATTGATCTCAACGAATCTTTCTTTCTATTCGTAGTCCAATCCGAAGTCTTTACAAAATATCGTTCTCGGTTGTGTATTGGATCTTACCGATAATAGCAAATGTCTACATTTTATAATGGCATGGCAAGGACGGAAACAGCAACAGTTTACACATGTTCTATGCGAATTGTGGCGAGATGAAGAACGTGAAATCTATGTAAATATAGTTTCTTCTTTTCCTTCAACACACATCTCTAATTCGAATTGCTTGCGAAGGTTGCTCGAACGGAAAAAGGTGTCATTGGTGATCATACCAAACCATTGATGGGTCTTCTCCAACAGACAGTTCCAATAATTCCACTCACTCGATTGGAACCATCGCGAGCCGTTTTAGATTTAATCGATAACATGCGATCGAAAATCTATGGATTCTTCTGTAAATTAGGTTTTACAGAATTGCCAGGCTTACACGAAGAAGATTTTGTGACATTATGCATCATTGAAAACTTCTTGGACTTCAAAATGGGCGAAGTTTGGCAAGAAATCGTTACTGAATTGGATATCGAGGGTGTGAAATTGATTGCACCGGACGGTGAAGCTACGGACACGATCATGCGAGCGACAGAAGAACGTGGCTTAGGTAAGACGAATAACAAGATATCGAGTACACCTTTAACACGTTCTCGGGTTTAGCTGTCGTGGCAACACAAAACTACATTCTCGAACAGTATCATAAACAGGATATACAAATCGAGAAAGTATTTTACAATGATGTAAGTTTTGACAGAAGTATTTCGGCAAATGCTGACAATATGGGAATACTTTCAGATCGTACAAAATCATGTATACAAAGAAAAACAAACCGACGCATGGAAATCCTTTGTTGCACGTACATCGAAATATCCACTACTTGTGGTGAGAATGCTGATTGATGATGAGTTCAAAAGGTAGCACAATATCTCTGTTTAGGCGGCGAAGGATTATCAGAATCAAGCCATCCGTCAATCAAGACCGGAAGAAAAAGATTATTCAGGTTATCATACAGTGCATAATCTCGAAATTCCGAATTTATCCATTACCGTATGTTTTGGTATTTATGTATCATATAAATACATAGACATTTGTGCTTTTAGGCATTTCCTGGACGATATTTACATATTCAGAGTACACCTATGGAATTGATGAGCAAACCACCCGAATTAGAATTGTCATCATAGAAAGACTAAGAGATTTGTTCACTGTTTAACATCATTATATTTATAAATAAATTTAACATAAGCGTGAAATGCAAGTTTTTATCTTGTCGGGCATGCATTGCACAATACAAGAAACAGTATTGTGAATATCTAACTGGTGTTTTATTCAGCCCCTTCAAAGACGACGTGCTCTTTCTAACCTTGAAATTCAAGCAGGAAGAAAAATTTATGATGAATAATATGTTGTCGCTTTTGTTGTCATCATGTTGTAAAACGAGTAGAAAAGAACAAACTACCGACGTCAATCGTTGAAAACTCGTCAAATACGCGCTTGGCAATTCTTTTTGCTCCGGGTTTTTTTTCAGTCGTATATATAGAGGCCAATTCTTGTTCTTATTTAACAGAGAATAGTTTTGAAAAGGAGAATTCACACGATCTTATGTATCCCAATCAGCCATACTTTCAACCAGGTGCAGGTAGAGGTGCACCATATCCACAACAGCCACCGTACGGTACTGGGCAAGGATTTGTAGGGTACGATGACTCACTTTCATCTAGGAAAGACATATTAGATTTAGTTTTTCTGTAGTGGTTATCCACCGAATAATGCAACACCTCACGGAAATAACCAAAGCGGGTATCCCTACGGGCAGAGTGGTGGATATAATCCAGCAGGTTATCCAAATGCTAACCAGCAACCATATGGAGGTAATCCATATGGGCAGAACCCTGCATACCCAGGTAGCGGATATCCTCCACCTCAAGGTGCTGGTGGCTATGCACCAAATCCGAGTAACTTCATGTCGAACGATCAACGTGCGCAAAGATTGAATCAAGTTATACAACAGTATGAAATCAATCAACAATTTGCTGCACGTCTACAAGCGCTTGGTAATTGTGAAATCGTTCTACTATGTGATGATTCAGGCAGTATGAACACACCCATTCAAGGAACAAATCAAACACGCTGGGATGAATTAAAAACGGTATGTAGCTCAATGACGATATTCTTTTTCGTATGCATAGTTTTATTCGATCTTTTAGCTTGTCAATATTGTTGTTGACATAAGTGCTGTCATGGATTCGAACGGAATCGATATTTATTTTCTAAATCGAGATCCGATGCTGAATGTGGCTGATACGCGCTATGTTCGTCAAGTGTTCAATAGCCCTCCACAAGGTTTAACTCCACTCGTACCAGCATTACGGCGAATCCTTGCTGCTAAACGTAATCAAACCTACGAAAAGAAATTATTAATTCTTATAGCTACAGACGGGTGAGAGAGAAAAGCTAATCCTATTCACACATTCTGATTCTTTTGTAGAGCACCAACGAATGAATACGGCCAACTTGATGTTGGCACACTGGAAGCTGTTTTACGTCAAGAGCGCACGCCGCAAACTTACGTGACGTTTTTAGCGTGTACAGATGACCTCAATTCTGTGAATTATCTATCGAACTGGGATAAGATGTTGCCTAATGTGGACGTCATGGATGATTATCGTTCAGAACGCGCTGAAATTCAGCGAACACGTGGTTTTAATTTTCCATTTTCATTCGGAGATTACATCGTGAAATCATTATTAGGCGCTATTGATCCTTGGTAAATGTCTTGTTTTACTTCATCAACTTACTAATATCCTTCTTGTTTCTTAGGTTTGATTCATTGGATGATCGTGCATAAGTTCCATAAACTTTATTTAACTTTTACTAACTATGCTTTTCTTGGTTTCTAATAAATTCTTTTTCGTTGATAAACTGGATAAAAATTCAGATAATCGAGATTAAACGAAATAGAGTTCTTCGTTTTTATCTTTTATCAAATATAAGATTTGAAGGAAATGTTACTGTCGATATTTATTCACCTTTCGATAGTCAACCACCGAGCTCTAAATGTCATCTGTATGCTACTGCATAAGTTTCAATTATTATTTGATGTATCCTCTTTATTTGAAAACAATCGCATTATTTTCTTCACTATCACAATTCAAAAGATATGGTCCAGCTAAGTGCAATCTTTGCTAACAAGTAAGAGAGATTATAGACATAACAAAAAATGTAAGCAAGATAGAAAACAGTATAGTACAATTCATAAGGTCGGGTGAATATTGATTTTATATTTGACAGTTTCCACTTTTTCAATAACAGTTACATTGAAGCTAGACTGTGCATTGATGACTAACACCCTCTATATCTTCATGTGATTGACTACTTTCTATACTAGTTAATGCGGACATCTGCACACACACACACGCACACACAACATGTTTGTCGTTCTTGTGATTCTATAGTCAGCTGTTTATATAGGCCGATCGCTATGCTGAGCAGCAATTAATAATGATAAAGAAACTAATTAAGACCTGTTTACCGATTCTTATGATGTATATATCAAAAGACCAGCACGAACCATTACTTTTTCCATCTTCGTCTTCAAGTAGTATTAATTTAAATGAATACTCAAGTGTATATTCTCGACGTCCACATACACGGTGGTTAGTTGAATTTAGTTAAATTTTATTGGTTCTATCTATAACAATGAATAGTGTATCATTACGATCGTTTCTTACTCGAGCACACATTGTATTACTTCACAAAAAAGCAACTATTTTCCGAAGACGAAGGTTCATCATAGTTCCAAAGCATTTTTCCCTGAATTTCATTAAAAAAGATTCTATTGATTTTGTTTTCTACTGTCTAGGCGAAAAATGGTTATTCTCTCTCTTGCAATATGTACGGTTCTGATCATCTCTGGAGTGATTGCCAGTCTCGCGTATGGTCTGCAAGAGCGTAAGACGAAGATCTTTTAGTTCGATCGATTCGCATAGTAAATGAATGTTTAGCTTTCACCACTATTGACAGTACATCCTGCGGTACCAGTCATGAAACGTACAAAATCAATGGTACATCTGTATTAGCAAAATATTCTCGAGGAGCTGTTGCTGTTGATAACGGCGAATGTTCAAAAATTGGAAGTCAGATATTAGAGAAAAATGGTACCACTATGGATGCGGCACTGGCAGCAGCTATTTGTAACGGTGTTATGAACGCACATTCTATGGGCATCGGTGGTGGCTGTGTAATTGTGGTTTATTCAAAGTAAAAGCAGACCGAACTGTGTTTATTTTTCAATCATAACATCGCTTCTTTTTGATGATTTAGAAAAAGAAACAAAGCATACAGTCTCATTGCAGTAAGTAAACAAAAATTCATTAGGATGTGCACGATTATGGATATATGTAGAGAGAGCGTGCACCGTTAGCTGCTCATTCGACTATGTTTATCGGTAGACAGAATATGTCAATGCATGGTAGGAAATTCATTGATACTAACTAACTAGTTCATCATTCGTTTTGAATAGGTGGATTAGCTATTGCTGTTCCTGGTGAATTGCGTGCTTATAAGAAGGCTTATGATGAATTCGGTGGCGGTGTGCCATGGAGTGATTTATTCCAACCTACGATTCAATTATGTCGTAATGGCTTTGTCATTAGTCCATCACAAGCTGCCGCGATAAGACAAATCGCACCTTTCATTTATGAAGAGCCTTCTTTAAAGTTTGTATACGCCCGCTTGACTGAGGTGTTGAAAGCGACTGTTTTGTTTTTCTAGAGAATTGTTTGTCAAAAATAAAGCTACAAATGAATTATATGGTGCTGGTGACATTATAAAACGGCCAAAGTATGCCGATACATTGGAAATTATTGCTCAACAAGGTGTGGATACTTTTTACACTGGCACCCTTGCTGATAAAATCGTGAAAGAAATTCAAGATCGTCATGGTATTATCACCAAGAAAGATCTTGCTGACTTTCAAGTCGATTTTCGTGAAGCGTTAAGCATTGAAATGAATGCCACCTTGACTGCGTTTACTACACATGCACCATCTAGTGGACCTATCTTAGCCTTTATTTTGAACATTCTCCAAGGTAAGAAAAAGTTTCATTTGCATCCCGGATTGCATATATCGCTCTCTTATTTTAAGGCTATAATGTTCATGCTGATGATTTGAAAGACAAAAGAACTGCAGCATTGTTTTACCATCGACTCATAGAAGCATTCAAATTTGCTTATGCCAAACGAAGTGAACTCAGTGATCCATCAATGGTTAATGTTGATGAAGTGTGTAATCTATAAATCACTAGTTTCACAGTTAAAATTTATCTTCTAGTTACTTCAAAATTTAACGTCGAAAGAATATGCTAGTCGTATTCGAGCACGAATACAGTATGTATCGTATCGTAACAAGATGTGAATGAACTTTTCATTTCTAGTGACTATCGAACATATGGTTACGAGTATTACGGTGGAACATGGCTTGATACGGTGAAACCAGGCACTGCCCATATATCTGTTGTTGGACCTGATGGCGATGCTGTTTCATTGACATCTACCGTCAATCTTTAGTATGAAAAATAATATTCCATTCCATAAAATGGCATCGTTCATCTTTGTTTTCAGTTTTGGCTCGAAAGTGCTCGGACCAGAAACAGGAATATTTTACAATGATCAAATGGATGATTTTTCTACTCCTAATACAGTGAATTACTTTAATGTTCCTGCTAGTCCAGCGAATTTCATTGCCCCTGGCAAGCGACCGGTTTCATCGATGTCTCCCTTGATTCTAGTTGAAAAGCATAGCCAACGTATTCAACAAGTTCTCGGCGCTAGTGGTGGAACTAAAATTACTACCAGTATAGCACAGGTTGCCATGCTCAATTTGTGGTTCAATGAAAACATCAAAGATGCTATTGATTCTCCTCGACTTCATTCACAATTACTGCCACAGGAAGTGATGGCTGAAAGTGGTTTTGACCAAGTAAGACCTATTATTATCATGAAAAGTTAGCCTGTTGTTTCGTTCTGTAGGATATTTTAAAGCTTTTAAAACAACGTGGTCATAATATTACATGTACTGCCTATGGTGGTTCCGTTATTCAAGGAATTGAATGGCGTGACGAGGTGAATCAATATTGGGCCAACTGTGATATTCGTAAAGGCGGTGCACCACATGGCTTACCTTAAAACAAGCGAAATAGATCTCTTGAATTTACCTTCTGTTTTTTTTTTCTAGTTTTAAATGCGAAATATATAAATATATTTGAAAGAAAATACTCTCTTTTCCATATTTAATTATTTCTAAGCCTTTTTTGTAAATGTATCTCTAACGAAAAAAAGCAAAACAAATAAATAAAGAATACCTAATAAAAGCCTATTCACTGTTGTGTACTGAATAGAACAATATAATAACTTGATTGTCATCGGATATGTTCTTATTTTACAAAGATGTCAATTTGGGTAGGTAAAACAGTAAAGGCGCATGACAAGCGAAAAGACACGCTTTCTTTTTAGGAGGATGTAGCTGTAGCAACACCGCTAGAATATCCAAATAAACAATCTCCAACAAATGCTGAATTAGCTCTTAAACGGCACACAGCAAAACTTGGCTTGACAAATCACGCCAGAAGAATTAAGCCGGAGGGCAGCGTTCAAAAGTCATTGACAAATGTTTACTCATCAACGGAACACTATAACCAGCATAGTAGTCTGTCAACTCCTCGATCACAGGAATGGTTTTATGAAGAAAAGGACAGTCTAACTAAACGAAAGCGTTCATCGAAATCCGGTTGCTCAGCGTGCATAACGTGAGTACAAATACGTACAGTCGACAGTAAGCTCAAAAGCTGTGTCTCATGCAAAATTTTACGTCGGTTTTGCACTGAGATGGAAGGAGAGACAATTGTTGATGATTTCGTCCTCAATTGATCCCAATCACCCAATTTCTTTACTGAATATTCACGAAACCGTATAGTTTAATTAAATACGACTTTGTTTTCTTCTTGTAATAATTGAGTTTATGCATTTATTCGGATTGACACCATAATTTGTAGATCAACTCCATGTCGATACATCACAATTGGTGTTTTCTTGGGATTGTTATTAAGTTTAGCTGCGATAATTCCTCTTCTCATTCTCTGGAAAACAGCAGGTTGGCGATGAAAAAGCTGTAAACTATCTAGTTACAATCATTTTAATTGTAGGTTCTGGAACAAGTACAAGTGGATCCAACTCGGGCACTTCATCTTTGGTAAAATTGAATATTTTCCCTATCGATATATTTTCTTTATATTCTAGTCGAGCTCACTAATATCTCCCGGTCTCAAGACTTATACTACCATTGATCAATGTTCTACCTACTTTTGTGATGAACGCCTTTTTTTCGAGACAAATATGACTTCGACAGAGCTCGCATTGAAAATAACGGTTCAACGCACGGGCAATGCAACGTACACCAATGCATTTAACAATTACAGTCCAATATTGAGTTTCAACTGTACCGACAGCAGTTCCTATTTTGAATGTTTTTTCTTCCTTCAATCTGGTCAATTACCTGCTGGTAACTATACAGCAGCTGTTCAATTCGGTCTTTCGAACCTAAATCATACCTCCAGTATGGATACATATTCCATTTCAACAAAGAATATCTGTGGAACTGTCGCTACAGCCTCCGGACATTTTTAAGAACATTGATGACACTTAGTTTTATGAAAATTTGACAGGCACGTCTTGTTTTCTAATAATAAGTTAAAATTCATGGATAATATCAAAATCGCGTCTATTCAGAAAAACAAACATGTAAATTTACTAAAAAGTATCGTCATCAATGGAAAGACGAAAGACTATCCGCGTGCTAGACTTTGTCGAAAAGCAATAATAACGTAGAGGGCTGCGCAAAGAACAACGAGAAAATCATCGACTAAACCGAAGATGCCAAGTAAACTTTCGGGAAGAATATCCAGTGGTGAAATGACATAAGCGATAACCGTTACAATGATAAGAAGTGTTCGTACACGATAAGCCAACGCTAGCCCTTCCGATGAAAAAATTTGACGAATGATATGCGGAATTAAAACTGGAATATCATAAAAGTATTCAAGCCACTAAAAAGAAAACGAGGCAGTTAGCACTGATGTGAAAAGAATAACAACAGGTCAAAGTTAACTTACAGTTCGAGGAGCGCCGGAGAATCGTCGATTGAAATCTTTTACACTAGTAACGACTAGTTGACGATCACTGTTATCTGCAGTTGCTTGATCTTCAGCAGTGAAACGCTTGAGAAGAACCGTTACCTACAAAGACGAAATAGAAATGTGAAGTGAAACGATGGAATGCTTACAGCCTGACGACATACGGGACAGTTCAGTCCACTGGTCCAATTCGATTGAAATTTCCAATATGAAACAATGCATTTGCCTTGAAAAACAGGAAAACAGCGATATGAAACTCGAAAATTGATACCCAGAATGACAAACCACAAAACACATGTCCACAATTAGTTTCAACAGTTAAAACCGATGGTTCGGTGAGACAAATAGGACACATCTCATGTCGAGATCGTCCACTACGTGTCGATCGGCTTGTTGTTGTTGTATCATCATGATCTTGATTTCGTTGTCGTAGTAACTCAACATCCTGTTGATTATCTGGATGAATCACATTTGACCGCTGTCGTCTATTCATTTCGAAGGAACACATCACGGCAAGTCAATCCCGCAATCTTTACCTCGTATAGGAAATCCAAAGAGCAACAAAAGCAGCAACAGCGAAGAAGAAGACTAATGTATCATCACTGATACCTTGAACCAATGAGGAATGTCCTCCTGCATCGTTCTTAAATGGCCAATACCACGGCATCCTTCTAAAAATCAAAGCGTTTCATATTTATCAAGGAATCATTCATTCGATTTATTTGATTTTGCATGTGGAGGAAAAACATTTTCCTCGTCTCTTATCTAAAATATTCACACATAATGAAAAAGAAAACAAATCACGTGTTAGATATTCTTCTCTTCTTTTTTGTTGTAACCAACGGAAAAAAAAACTAAACTGCAATTGCTCTCGTCAGTGATTGACTTGATAAACGAGGCAGAGAAAAAACGAAACCGAAATTTACTTCTAAGAAAAGGGAAAAAGAAAATATAGCAAGCTGGTATTATATCAGTTAATCATTTTTTGGCTTTGGTCGGTAGAAAGCGATCTTTCTCGATTTCAGTGATGCCCATTTGACACGTTTCCAGTGATAGGATAAGACGACCAATGGAACGAATACGAGAACAGCTTTTATAGCTAACTTTTTACGATCGTCGTGGTCACGTTCAGCTGACCATTTCAAAAATTCAGTCACGTCTTTAGCCAATTGTGCCTCAGTTGCTTTTGTACCATCAGAATATTCGATTTGATCATCGTATAGTTGCTTAGCCATAGCTATCCAACCACCACTGAAATATGGATTATAATGAAGACCCGGTTCACCTTTGACACCAGCAGGTTGATCTTGATAACCGGTTAGTAAATTGAATACGTAATTACAACCATCTTCACGACCTACGTACATCAACGAATTCTTTAACTGTGAGAAGACACCGACGTTCGAGAAAACTTACCGAGAGTAATAAGTGATAGATCTGGTGGCAAAGCACCTCCATTACCAGCTTTAGCTGCCTGAAAAGATATGCAATATATTATTTCGGTTGTAAATTGAACAGTCGACTAACTTTATCATTTGGATATGGCGATGGCATATAATCCGTAAGTTTTCCGGGTCTTTGAAACATATTTCCTTGATCGTCAGGTCCATCAGTAATTTGATCTTGTGCAGCGATGGCTTTTGCTTCTGCTTCAGTATGTGTAACTCCGACCAAATGACGGTAAGCAAGAAATTTCATCGAGTGACAAGCAGCACAAACTTGCTTGTAGACTTCAAAACCACGACGAACGGATGCGTGATCAAGGGAATCGAATGGACCGTTAAATGACCATGGTAACGGAACTAAATGTGCTTTATTCCCAGATGCATGAACGGCTTGAGAATATGCCCAGGCATAACCAACTGCTCCAGCCGTTAATAGACCACCACTTATTTGATAAGCAAGACGCTTCCACCGGCTTGCTGTTTGACTGGATGCTGAAGATGATGAATTGCGAAGTATAGAAAAGAATATTTGCTGATGCTGTCGAGCAGTTCGATGAATTAGAGTTGAAGTCATTGATAGGTTTTTTCAATTAAGTGATGTCTGTCTATTGATTGCATGCAAAAGACAAGCTCTGACGATGAAAATGAGTACATCATGTTTACGAACATAAGCGAATCAAAACCGTGTCGCTAAGTATAAGAGAGTATTGCATAATAAAAATTTTATTTTGAATTATCTCATAGCTTTATTAACCAAAAACAAAATCTACTCCAGGTTTTGAAATAGATGTCGGCATAGTTGAACTATCTGATTGGTCGAGCGAAATCTCCAATGATATTTTTTATTGGGCGTCTTGTCTTTGACACATCACGATCATATCATTTTCCCTTTTTAGAACATTTTGGTCTGTTTTATTATACTTCAGAATACAAACAATGTAAGTACTTGATGATCGTTTTATTGTATTCAGAGGCATACTTTATCTCAAAATTTCTGTCACGGATCGACACATTCGATGATTGTATCGAGAATATCGTAAGGTTATAAATCACTACTTTTCATTATAGATTTCTCATCTATTGATATATAAAAATGCATTACCTCGAAGATTATCTTGAGTGTAAGTATAATGTTGATTTCTTTCGATATTTCACGCCTGACAATATTTGCTTGTACTAGTGCTGGATCCTCTACCAGAAATAATGCGTGAAAAATTAACTCTCATGCGTGAAAACGATTTAAAAATTCAAGCTGAGTTTGCCCAATTAGAAGAAGACGCATCACAGTTCTTAACTAGTTATCGTCAATATCAGCAGCAATCGTCACTGTCTCCAACCCGATCAAAAATTGATACACATCGTTCAACTCCTGCTACAGCAACAATCGAAAGCAGTGAACAGCCACTGACACCAGAACAGTTAGCTGCACAGCAACAAAAGCAAGCCGAGTACGATAAACTCGTCGAGACACACCAGCAATTGATTAAAGCAACAACATTAAAAGTTACTCTTGCCAATGATTCTCACGATATTGTTGAGCGTTATTATAAGAAACTAGAGAGTGATTTGAATAAGTTTAAAATGGAATTAGAAGCAGATTATTCAGGAATCACCGAAACATTGGAAAAACGTATTTACTTTTCTCACGGAACTTTATCATCGATGATAATAATCTTTCTTCTAGGATTTGCAAGTGAAGGTTTCAACGAGTGCGATAATGCACGTGGCGAAAACAGTACGCTACCAGAGGAAACTTTGTATATATTCTATTTCGATTTTGCTTAAGATAATCTTGATCCAACACTTTTGGATATGGAGTCGATCTTCGATCCTCTTGATGATATGACGACGTCTAGTTCATTAAATGACGATTATATCAATCAATCAACATTGAGTTATTTGATGTCATCACAATCTCGTCGTTTATCAGCCGGTAGGATTATCTTCATTATACCTCTATTCTCGAATTTATGTTCAATAAAATAGGTTTACTTCCATCAAATTCTTCATCGTTATTCAATCGTAAACAACAACCACAACGTCTTCTTTCCAATCCATCCGGATCGTCACGTGGCCGAAAGCGTTTGCAAGGCACCTCTTCAACTAACAATATTGGCAAACATCGAAAACGCAGTGCAACGCGTAATCCATTTCTCAACGATTCCTTTCAATCACATCCATTGCATCACTTCTTACCTCCAAGCGATAGTGACGAATCATCATCAGCGTCAAATCTACAGTCGAATAATCTCCCGACATCAGATTATTTTCAATTGACAAATCAAACTTCATCGCCTAATCTCTTTGATGACGAAACCAATGGCGGATTTGATTCAGGCAATGTTCTTGGCAATTTTCCTGGCCAAGCTATTGATGAACGCCGATATTGTTTTTGTAATGAAATGAGCTATGGCGATATGATTGCGTGTGATAATCCGACATGTCGTCGGGAATGGTTTCACTATCCTTGTGTTAATATTGTCACACCACCTAAAGGTAAATGGTTTTGTTCGGAATGTACACTGATGCAACAACAACAACAGCAGCAGCTACAACAACAGCAATCACAGGTGCCCACAACGAAACGTACATCAACGAGTTAGTTCATGAACTCTTACTTTTGTTTTATACGAATGTTTTCTCTTTTGTTCTTGTCCTGTATGATTTTCTCATTCGCATGAACACATGTATACATATGTCGACTCAGTGCATATAATAAACTTTTAAACTTCGATCGCTAAAATACTTCTCGTCTGACTGCTTCTCACTGTTCGTGTCCGATAAGCACGCACAATGTTCTACATATGATTCATGTAATGTCACCACTATCTTTCGATTAGCACAACTACATATATGTGACTAAGCTAGACATGACTATGACATAGAAAGGTGAAGGCGTATATAACGAGAAACATAACCGTACCTTCTTGTGCGTATCGATTTAATCGAGAAATAATAGGTGCGTATACATTTGTTTACCGCGATCGATATATTCAATACGCACATGCAGACGAATTTCGAGCAACTGATTGTTGAAGCTACTCAGTCGTCAGTATCGTCTGAGACTCTGGAACAATTAACTTTGCATTTTCAACAAAATCTTGGACAGTCATTGCCAGCGTTTCTAACGCAGATATACAAACCATTATTATTGTTAGAGCATAAAGTATGGCACATATTTAGTGAAAGTTCCAATAACTGGTGTCAACAGTCATCCTGTTTGGAATTTTTCCAAGCTTTGGCAGCATTCAATAAAAATCTTATTTTTCAATCCGAAAGCATAACGATTGAAGAAAAGATTTCTCTTCTCATTCCTGAATCAATCGACTTAATCAACACAATATTCGAACGGATCGACAAATGCACGGATGATAGCAATAATTTAATAACTTACGCCAATTACTGGTTTAAGAATCTTTCGTATCTGGTTCATGAATATCCTCAACTGCAACAAATACCTATGATCGTTCACATCAATGAATATTTTGCGGAACACTTCTTGCTTACTGAGAAATTTCGATTTTATCTCAGTCAACTTTGTGAACCCAAAGCATCATCGATCATATTTACATCCAAGCAATTATTCTATCTACAAACATGTCCATTGTCTCTGAATACCTACTTTTATACGGATCCAACGGTGTTTGCTTTTGGACCAGAACCAATTCTTAAACATGTAGCTAATGAATATCTACAAATAATACAAGTACAAAGTTTTCTAGTCGAATCATGGAGTCGAGAATTACTTGGTTGTATGACCCATCTGATTGGATTTATGCGTTCGTTTCTCTGGTGGGCTCGAGATCAAGGTACTGAACTAAATCATCTCCTTGTCACAGAAAATATCCTGTGTGATTATGTACGAGCATTGCTGCACATCATAGAATATGAACCATTTTACAAATCTCTAAAGACACAATGGTGCAATGATGAAACAATTTTATTCGATTCTATCTTACTCTTTTTGATGAATATTATACAAACACAAAATATAGATTGGTTCTTTCGTTCATTTCAACAATTACCGACTGTTTTGTTGAGACTAGCAGACGCATCCGCATATTATCGAATCTATCTATGTTCCTATGGCATATTGAGTGAAGTGCTGTCAGAAGAATATTTGAAAGAATTGAAGATCACAGACAACATCAAGGTTCTATTTTTTAATCTGCTCGAACAAGCATGGAATAATCCGGTAAAGAAATTCAAACAAATACATATTGGCTATTTCTTGAGAGGTAGGCGATTTGAATAGCTCATTTGTGAGTAAAATCAGTGTTCCATAACACGATACCACTGAATTTTAGGTTTTCTCAATTTATCGAAAAATGATTTTATTCAAGAAGGTACAGCGAAAACAAAAAGAATAACGTTATTTGTTGATATGTGTGATCAGTATCCGATCGTTTTCGACATTATCTGGGCTCTCTCATTCAACCATGATATTCAACAGCAACTTCGCGAAGATACACCATTCATTCACAAACTCACTCGTTTATCGAATCAAGCCACCGAAGAACAAATCAGAAAGGCAGTTGATGGCATACTCTGGAACTTACAGATCCACCAACAGTCTCATCCATCACCTGATATCTCATCTCAAAACGCTTTCGATATCATGATCAGCTACTCTCATAAAGACAAGCCTCTCTGCAAACAGATCTACGATGAACTCACTCGACGAAACTATCGAGTATGGATTGATTTCGATCAAATGCACGGAAACGTGATGGATGCCATGGCAGAAGCCATCGATCGATCACGATCTATCATCATTTGTATGAGCGAAGAGTATCGAAAGAGTAATTTCTGTCGAGCAGAAGCACACTATGCATTCCAGCAACAGCGTCACATAGTTCCTGTACTGATGCAGAAGCACTACAAGCCAGATGGGTGGCTATTGTTCCTGATGGGTCAACTGCTGTATGTTAATTTCACGAAGTACGAGTTTGATCAAGCCATGGGAATGCTTCTGAAAGAACTCGGTGCAAATGATGTTCATCAAGTCGATGTTCAACCTGTAGTATCAAAAGACGCTGCAGAAGTGTCATTGCCTTCTGTTCCACGCACTACAACTTCCATAACAAAACCGTTGTCACTCGACACAGAACGACACAGCATGCTCCAATGGGCACAAGCTGAAGTACAAGAATGGCTCACGAACCATCACCTCGTGCAATTATGTCGCCTGCTGAGTGACTGTGATGGTCGAAGTTTAGTTCATTTGTACAGGTATATGAAAGGTGGTGAGAGATCAGTCGTGGTGTCATTATTACAAGACGATTGTATTCGTCGACTGAATGAAAGCATATCACTAATTGAGATCTCACGTTTTCGATCGTTGATGCACCAACAGAAGTGTAATGAAAATTCAACCAACACTACAAAGACGGCTGAAAGGACTTTTTGATGACTAATAAAAATTGCCCGTATCGAGCATGTTGAAAATAATAAACGACCGAACAGTATTGCAGTTTTATTTTTTACCTTGTTTCGCCAATACGCTTATCGTTCGATAATACCTCTAAGTGCAAGTCTTTTCTTTTGCATGATACCAACATTAATAAGGCTTTTATATTGGTTTGCGATTCAGTTCAGGTAGTTTTTGACGAACTAAATACTGCAGTCACGTCAGATATTCACTAAAATAATAAGTGACAAGTAGAGTGTGCATATATAGACCCATGAAACGAAAATGATATTCATAGGTATTCATATCAATCAAAACAGCGTAATTATTTGCGATATATTATATCCGCACATGCTATGTTACCACTTCACAGACCAGCGAATACTATGAGAACTAGTTTCGATCAACTTGTTTCGTCATTGAATGCATGTGATCTGCGTATTGACACTGTTGAGCAGTTGAGAACGATTCTTAAGCAGGAAAAGACTGCTTCATTGCCTTCATTCATCAATCAGTCATATGATTCACTACTAATCTTGGAACAATGGGCATGGCAGTTGCTCAGCGAAGATTATCGACCATGGACTACTGAATACTCATATTTGAAATTCTTCTATGACTTAGCCTTGTTCAATCGAGACATGATATTTAATAATGGTGATATTGACATTGATCGTAAGATATCGTTGCTGTTCTGTGTGACTATCGACCAAATCGACTCCATATTCACACAGATCGATCAAATCAATGACGAAAACGACGTCCTCATCAGACTCCTTAATCTGAGTCTGGATAATTATGCATATTTTTTCTATGACCAACCACAGCATCAAGTACCAGCAGTAGTTGATCACATCGACAAATACATCGTTCGTAAATATATTATGAGCAAAGAGCACAAATTCTATTTAGCAAAACTTCACGAGCCAAAGTTGGCCAAGTCAGTATTCACAAGTAAACTATTGTTCTATCTGGTCGGGTGTACTGCATATACTCACACTTACATGATTAGAAAATTGCTTTCGTTTCCGTATACAGCTGAGGAAATGGTTGCTTTCCTTTGTGATGATTATCTGGAGATTATACGTATTCATAGCCATGCAATAGAGTCGTGGAGTAAAGAATTCCTTGCGTGTATAGCACAACTTATTGGTTTCATGTCCGGCGGTTTCTGGTGGAAGGGACGGCAGCAAACGCAAATAAAGAAGGTTCTTCCGACGGAACAGATTACATGCAGTCATGTTGAGGACCTTATTCGTATCATTGCTTATAAACCATTCTACAGTCAAACGAAATCGGCTCGATCGAATGATGAAACCGTTCTAATCGATTCAGTGATAATGATTCTATTAATTATAGTTCAAAGCCAGAACATAAATTGGTTCTTTCGTTCGAATCTGTTTGTTAGAGACACCATTATCCATGTGGCTGAACTAGCATTGAATGATGAAGTTTGTCTATGTGGATATTGCATTCTTGGTGAAACTCTCGCAGACGACCAATTGAAAGCCATTAAAATTGCTGACAATATCAGTGATTATTTCTTTCGCATAATAGAAGAAGCATGGAAAAGTCTAACTAAAATATTTCGGCAAATTCCACTTCAGCTTCTCTTAGAAGGTATGTTTAGCTTGTACCTTCCTTAACTTTTCTTCTTGTCATCAACTTGTAGGTTTCCAAATTTTGTCAAAAAATGACAGTATACAACAGAGAACTGCCAGTTCGAACAAACTTTCATTCTTTATTCATATGTGTGATCAGTATCCGATCGTTTTCGACATTATCTGGGCTCTCTCATTCAACCATGATATTCAACAGCAACTTCGCGAAAATACACCATTCATTCACAAACTCACTCGTTTATCGAATCAAGCCACCGACGAACAAATCAGAAAGGCAGTTGATGGCATACTCTGGAACTTACAGATCCATCAACAGTCTCATCCATCGACGGATATCTCATCTCAAAACACTTTCGACATCATGATCAGCTACTCTCACAAAGACAAGTCTCTCTGCAAACAGATCTACGACGAACTCACTCGACGAAACTATCGAGTATGGATCGATTTCGATCAAATGCACGGAAACGTGATGGATGCCATGGCAGAAGCCATCGACCGATCACGAACCATCGTCATTTGTATGAGCGAAGATTATCGAAAGAGTAACTTCTGTCGAGCAGAAGCACACTATGCATTCCAGCAACAGCGTCACATAGTTCCTGTACTGATGCAGAAGCAGTACAAGCCAGACGGGTGGCTATTGTTTCTGATAGGTCAGTTGTTGTATGTTGATTTCACAAAACATGAGTTTGCTCGAGCCATGGAAATGTTTTTGAAAGAATTGCAATTTACCGAAGTGTATGAGCCGAGTATTGCACCTGTACGTCCTAAAGCAAATGTACAATCTGAACCTGTTGGAATCACTGTAGCGCCTTCCGTTCGAAATATTTCCGAATGGACTCAATCTGAAGCCCTAGGCTGGCTGGCTGAACGTGAACTTGTGCAAATGGTTCGACTCCTTGCAGGATGTAACGGTCGAAGTTTAGTGTATCTTCATAATTATATGAAGGCAGGTGGAACACGACAAACTCTATCGTTGCTTCAACAAGATTCTTTGCGGCTTACAAATCAAAGTCTGAGCATCATCGAACTTTCTCGTTTTCAAGCAGCAATGGACGAACAAACAGAAATCAACCATTAGAGCTTCTTCTCATATGCATTATTTTACACTTGAATTGTCGACTATGAATCGATTCTTAAATAAATACTTTTATGTAGTTAGTGAATCATTCTTTTCATAAATTGACAAAGACTATGTATATAGGATTACTAACTTAGCATTCATCGTTACCAATGCGCAAGAAAAGGTGACTGTATGAGTACTTTTTTATAAGAACGAAAAGAAAAATCCATGCAAATAGTAATCGAAATATAATTTATTGAGGGATACGTGGTAGGTAACCTCTATCGAGAGAAAATATTGTAAAAAAAACAAGATGTCAGTGTATAAGTTGAGATTACATTAGTCATCGACGCATGTATTCTAATTTTGAGTTGCTTATCACTGAACTTTTCACAACAACCACATCATCGAAAGTCGTTTATCAGTTGAATCTGATTCTTCAGGAACAGATTGATGAGTCCCTATCAAAATTCGTCGCCGAATGTTTCAGTTGTATATTAACGTTGGAATCTTGGACATGGCGTCTTCTTAGTCAAAATTCTCATCAGTGGATCGACGAGTCATCGTATCGTGAATTACTTTACTCACTAGCCTCATTCAATAAAAAACTGGTCTATGACTACAATGGTATCGAAGTCGATCGGAAGGCTGCTTTGCTCTTTCCAGTTACTGTTGAGCAAATCAAGAATATTTTCCAGCAAATCGAACAAACAAAAGATGACAACGATCCTTTTATATTCATCGTCAGTCTTTGGTTCGATAACCATTCGTACTTCGTACACGATAATCCACATGCGACTAAATTGTCGATTACTGACTATATCAATCAATATATCGTAGAGCGTTACATAATGACCAGACAATTCAAATCGTACCTCGCCGAACTTCGACGTTCAGATCTATCAAGTACAATCTTTACCGCGAAGATGCTATTTCACGTCAAAACAAGTTTATTTTCCTTATTTTCCTATTTGGGTACGAAGGATCACCAGTATTTCTATACAGCTGACGAAATGCTCCGATACCTAAGTAATGATTATTTACAAATCGTCCATGTCCATCATGCAACAGTCGCGCAGTGGAATAGAGATCTATCGGCGTGTATCGGACATTTAACAGGTGTGATTGCAAAATGTTATTGGTCAGATGAGAAGAATGGAACGAATACGAAAATACTGTTTCCAACCGAAGAAGTAACATGCAATCATGTACGAGAACTGATTCAAATATTGAGTTACGAACCTTTTTATGAGGAAATACGACCTGTACGATGGAATGATGAAACGGTGTTGATCGACTCGATTTTGATGGTTTTGTTGAGCATTGTCAAAACGCAAAATATCAATTGGTTCTTTAGATCGAATATAAGCATTCGCGAAACACTTCTCAACGTTGCCGAAAACTCCGCGTATGATGAAATCTGTTTACGAGCATATGTCGTCATGGGCGAAGTGTTAACCGATGAGCAATTGAAAGAATTAAAGATTACCAATAGTATGGCTGGCTTCTTCTTCAAAATGCTTGAGGAAGCATGGCAACACCCATCTAAAGAATATAAGCAAATACCAATTCAATACCTCCTGAGAGGTAAATCAATGTCATATTCCTTCATTCCTTTTTTGTTGTTCATCCGTTTCATTTTAGATTTTCAAATTCTATCCAAGAACGATTCCATCAAGCAAAGAACAGCTGATTTGTCTAAGGTACAACTTCTCATTCAAGTGTCTGAACAATATCAAACGGTTTATGACATTTTCTGGACATTATCATTTAATACAGACATTCAACAACAACTACGTTCGAATCCATTTTTCACGTCTCAATTGCTGCATCTGACAAGAGAGTGTGAGGACAAGAAACTGCGTCAGATTGTTAACGGAATACTCTGGAACTTGCAAGTCCACCAACAGTCTCATCCATCACCTGATATCTCATCTCAAAACACTTTCGACATCATGATCAGCTACTCTCACAAAGACAAGTCTCTCTGCAAACAGATCTACGACGAACTCACTCGACGAAACTATCGAGTATGGATCGATTTCGATCAAATGCACGGAAATATCATGGACGCCATGGCAGAAGCTATCGATCGATCACGAACTGTCATCATTTGTATGAGTGAAGAGTATCGAAAGAGTAATTTCTGTCGAGCAGAAGCACACTATGCATTCCAGCAACAGCGTCACATAGTTCCTGTTCTGACGCAGAAGCACTACAAGCCAGATGGATGGCTGTTGTTTCTGCTAGGTCCGTTGTTGTATGTTGATTTCACAGAACACGAACTCAATGTGGCAATCGAAATGCTTCTGAAAGAACTCGGTGCAAATGATGTTCATCAAGTCGATGTTCAACCTGTAGTATCAAAAGACGCTGCAGAAGTGTCATTGCCTTCTGTTCCACGCACTACAACTTCCATAACAAAACCGTTGTCACTCGACACAGAACGACACAGCATGCTCCAATGGGCACAAGCTGAAGTACAAGAATGGCTCACGAACCATCACCTCGTGCAATTATGTCGCCTGCTGAGTGACTGTGATGGTCGAAGTTTAGTTCATTTGTACAGGTATATGAAAGGTGGTGAGAGATCAGTCGTGATGTCATTATTACAAGACGATTGTATTCGTCGACTGAATGAAAGCATATCACTAATTGAGATCTCACGTTTTCGATCGTTGATGCATCAAGAAAGATGGAATAAATAATTGCTGATCTCTCTGTTTCATTAATCTGACAATCACGCTAAAATAATTTGACAGCGTACATATTATATTTTGATTATTAAAAAACTATGAATGCATGATTCACATGCTACCCCAATAATAATTGTATTTCAATATCATACATAAAGAGTCAACGAGGGATAGGTAATTTATGTGCATACAGACAAAATAAAACAGCCATGCAAAATTATATAAAATAGCATAATTATTCGAAACACGCGACATGATACGATTTCACGATCAGGAGAAACGACAAGAAATGATAGAAAATAGTTTCGATCAACTTGTTATCGCACTGGATGCACCACGTATATCTACTGACGTCATTGAACGATTAATGTTTATTCTTGCTCAGAAAACAAACGAGTCGTTATTATCTTTTATCGATCAATCATATCAATCGGTCTTATTTCTGGAACGATGCATGTGGAAGTTACTTAGCGAAGAAAAGCAGCGTCAATGGTTGAAAAACTCTTCTGTTGTGAAATTATTTTATTCGATTACATCCCTGAATAAAACTCTTATATTCAACTTAGATTCTATCGATACTGATAGCAAAGCGGAACTTCTTTTTCCAGCTAGCAACGATCAAGTCGATTCCATATTCAAACAAATCAATGACACAACCAATGATAATGATGCATTCGTTGCTATTGCCGCACTTTGGTTCGATAATCTAGCATACTTCACTGTTGAAAATACATTTCTCAATGCCTTGCCAATAGTCAGACATCTTAGTCAATATATTGTGCAAAACTATATAATGAGCGAGCAGTATCAAGCGTACTTGGATCAACTCTCACAAGCGAACTTGATAGAATCGATATTTACGACGAAAATGTTATTTCACATCAGAACGTGCTCATTCTATGCATACTCTTGCGTATGTCTTGGAACTGATGCATTTCCATGTACTGCTACGGAAATTATTCGATTGATTGGACCCAAATATCAACAAATCGTTCATATTCATAGTAAAAATGTAGCACTGTGGAGTAAAGAATTACTATCATGTATAACACATTTGATTTCTTTCATGTCTGGACTTCTCTGGTGGGATGCAACGACAGGCGGACAGTCGAACGCAATATTTTCAACAGAGAAAATTGTGTGTGATCATGTGGAAGATCTTGTTTGCATAGTTAATCATGAACCACTACATAAATTGCTTAAATCTGACAGATCGAATGACGAAACAAGCCTGATAGATGGTGTTATAGACATATTGATGGCTATTGTAAAGGCACAAAATGTCAATTGGTTTTTCCGTGCAAATACACATATACAAAATACCCTTTTGGCATTAGCTGAAGTGTCACCGTTCGATCAAATCTGTCTCTGCGCTTATGGCATATTGGGAAAGACTCTTACGGAAGAACAAATGAAAGGTTTAAAAGTATGCCATACTATTAGCGGGTTTTTCTTCAATATGCTTGAACAGGCCTGGAATCATCCATCGAAACAATACAAACGAATCCCAGTTGATCACTTATTAGAAGGTACGAACATAGTTTCACAAAAATTTCCCTACTGTAATGTTGCTCGAGGTTGAATTTTTCGGACGTCTACTTTTAACAGGACTATCTGGTGCCATGTATAATATGTTTTTATTTTACAGGTTTCTTGAACATATGCAAACATGATTTTATCCAGCAAAGAACTGCTGATATGAATAAGATAGGGTTACTTACGGACATTACGAATGAATATCCGATTGCTTTCGACATCATCTGGGCACTTTCCTTCAACCATCAAATCCAACAGCAACTTCGCGAAAATACACCATTCATTCACAAACTCACTCGTTTATCGAATCAAGCCACCGACGAACAAATCAGAAAGGCAGTTGATGGCATACTCTGGAACTTACAGATCCATCAACAGTCTCATCCATCACCTAATATCTCATCTCAAAACACTTTCGACATCATGATCAGCTACTCTCATAAAGACAAGTCTCTCTGCAAACAGATCTACGACGAACTCACTCGACGAAACTATCGAGTATGGATCGATTTCGATCAAATGCACGGAAACGTGATGGATGCCATGGCAGAAGCCATCGATCGATCACGAACTATCATCATTTGTATGAGTGAAGAGTATCGAAAGAGTAACTTCTGTCGAGCAGAAGCACACTATGCATTCCAGCAACAGCGTCACATAGTTCCTGTTCTGATGCAGAAGCACTACAAGCCAGACGGGTGGCTATTGTTTCTGATAGGTCAGTTGTTGTATGTTGATTTCACAAAACATGAGTTTGCTCGAGCTACAGAAATGCTCATGAAAGAATTAAATGATGCGGGATGCGTTGAAGTCACTGTGGTACCCAATTGTTCGATATCCAGCGGATGCTCTTCATCTTTGCTGGTTTTGTCGACAGAACCAGCTGCTCCAGAAAATATTCTGGAATGGACATCCGTATATGTGCATAACTGGTTGATCGATCACAAACTTATGCAGATGTCTCGCCTGCTTGTCGACCACGATGGGCGGAGTTTACTCTATTTCAATGGCTATATCAAAAATGGCGCAACGAAACAAACGTTGAGATCTTTACAGGAAGAATGTGTTCGTCAAATAGGTGAATCTTTATCACTATTAGAACTAGCTCGTTTGCAATCGCTAATTGATCGAGAGAAACAGTTTGCCCGCTTGTCAAAATGTGCTAAACATAACTGACGTTTACTTTTTCTTATAATGTGCCGCGTAGATTCTGTCGAGATTGAAAGGGAGGTAACTATCAGTAATAAAGGGTATGATGCTTGTATCGCATGAATTTCAACAATTGACGTCGGTTGGAATGCTATCATATGTGGCAGCGTGTATTTTCGAAATAGTTTTATCTTATAATCTGCTTTCTAAATGTTAAGCGAGATCAAGATTCTATTTAGTAGTTAACTGGTAAGAAGGCATCGTCACCTACGATAAAAGACATTCCAGTTCTGCATCTTGACTAGGATGCATACATTGGTTCGCTTGAAACTGATAATCATTTTTAACCTCACTTCAATATCCTTTCTCAAATATTTTTGTACGAGATAAAAATCGAACTATTTCTTATTTGAATTCTGATTGCCGTTCGTACACATTCTTTTGACATCAAGTCAGTTCGAAATACGATCCCTGGTGATAAAATTCCGTCAAACTGCTTGATCTTAATAGAATACTGTCATTCTCGGTACAAAACTTTACCGAGATCAGATTCATTTCAATGAAAAGAAATCGAATATCATGCGCTCTTAATGTTGTTCTTCTACTTCGACAGTCATCAGCGTACATAACAGGTAACAGAATTTCAATATTGACATTAACTTTCTGCGTGCCACTTATATCATCCTAAAAAAGAGACTTTAGTCTAAAATATTCGTCATTAAGTGATTCATAAAAAAACAAAAGACGTCAATGATATTAGACGCAACAATAATTGTACCATCACATCACCGAATAAATATAAAGAGCCGAGAATTAACAACATATAGCATTAAATCTCACTCTCAAACTAAATAATGGAGGATGAACTCAAGCAATTCATTGATTCTCTATTGATCAGACCAGTAGAAGTCAATACTCTGAACAGCCTCACATATCTCTTTGATCGACTTGCCACCAAATCATTCTCCTCACTTACAACTCAATCATTTCAATCTTTATGTGTACTCAAAAACTGGACATGGGACTGCCTAGGTGACGACTCATCTCAATGGATCTATCCACCAGAATACTTGTCATTATTTCATGCATTATCATCATTTCATAGAAATTTAATTTTCTACCACGAAAGTATTGACAATGATATCAAAGCATCACTTCTCATACCTGAAACGAATGATCAAATAGATCGGGTGTTTCAACACATCAACCAGAGTCATGATGACAATGATCCATTTATTATCATCGTTGGTCAGTACTTTGACAATCTTTCGTTTTTTCTTCGCGAAAATCCGGAATACGATACATCACCCATCCTTCGTCATATTAATCAATGTTTAGCACAGAATTATCTCATGACTGATCAGTTCAAGATCTATTTAGATCAACTTCAACAGACGGAATTACCTAAAGCGATTTTTACAGGCAAACAATTATTCTATGTCAAAACGTGCCCATTCTCCCTAAGTTCATATCTGATTGCGCGGACACAAAACTTTGTCGTAACTTCGGAAGAGATAATAAACCATATTGGAAAAGATTACCTGCAAATAATGAATATTCATACTCAACAAATTGAAACTTGGGATAAAGAGTTTCTCAATGTGATCGGCTATCTCTCTAGTTTGGTTTTAGCATGTTCATGGTGGGGTGGAGGAAAGACATTCGCAATCAAAATACTGCTTCCTACCGAACAAGTTGCATGTGATCTTATTCAATCACTCATACGAATAATCAGTTACGAACCATATCAAGAATACAATCGGTCAGAGCAGCTAACAAATGAATTGATCCTAATTTACATTATCTCCAAGCTATTACTATTTATCATACAAACACAGAGTGTCAATTGGGTCTTTAGTTCTAATCCTTCATACTCTCAAACACTATGTAAAATCGCCGAAACATCTTCATATCCATTCACATCACTATGCATCTACTTCATGTTGGGCGAGATTTTACCTGAAGATAAACTCAAAGAAATGAAGTTTGCCACTCATGTAGAATGTTTTTTCTACAGCATTCTTGATCAAGCTTGGCATAATCCACTGAGAAAATACAAACAACTTCCACTTTCTTTTCTGTTAAGGAGTAAGTTCAAACTGGACTTACATGTCGATAAAACTATCCTCAATTTTAGGTTCGGTAAGCTTTTCAAAAAATGACGCTATGACACAAAAGATAGCTGATTTACAGTTGATATCATTTTTCATGGAAATGTCTGATGAATATCCGATCGTATATGATTTTATATGGGGCTTTTCGTTCAATCATCAAATCCAAAAGCAACTTCGCGAAAATACGCCATTCATTCACAAGCTCACTCGTTTATCGAATCAAGCCACCGACGAACAAATCAGAAAGGCAGTTGATGGCATACTCTGGAACTTACAGATCCACCAACAGTCTCATCCATCGACGGATATCTCATCTCAAAACACTTTCGACATCATGATCAGCTACTCTCACAAAGACAAGTCTCTCTGCAAACAAATCTACGACGAACTCACTCGACGAAACTATCGAGTATGGATCGATTTCGATCAAATGCACGGAAACGTGATGGATGCCATGGCACAAGCCATCGATCGATCACAAACTATCATCATTTGTATGAGTGAAGAGTATCGAAAGAGTAACTTCTGTCGAGCAGAAGCACACTATGCATTCCAGCAACAGCGTCACATAGTTCCTGTTCTGATGCAGAAGCACTATAAGCCAGACGGGTGGCTATTGTTTCTGATAGGTCAGTTGTTGTATGTTGATTTCACAAAATATGAGTTTGATCAAGCCATGGGAATGCTTCTCAAAGAACTAAAAGCAAACGATACTACAGGCGATGCTACTGTTCCTATCCAAGCTGAGAACCACTCAACTGTTTCATCTATAATTCTGTCATCAGCATCACAAAAAGCTACTAGTTTACCTGCACTTTCAAAAAGCATAGGAGACTGGACACGAGCGCAAGTACAAGAATGGCTAGTGGCTAAAAATCTTCCGCAAATGTCTCGTCTTCTCACTGACTGCAATGGTCGCAGTTTATTATACTTCCATGACTACATCAAGCATGGCAATGTCAATCAAGTTGTTCAACTTCTTCATGAAGATTCATTACGAAAGAGTGGTCAAACGTTATCATTAGTAGAATTATCATGTTTTCGAACGTTAATTGAATCACATATTGGTTCCAACACTTCAAAAGATAACAATAAAACTCGTTCTTTTATTTGCTGTCGAATGATGTAATTGTTCAGTTCACTTTTATTTGAATAAAATGTCGATTTTTTTCACTGTTATATCAAGGAAGTAGGGTATGTTTGCTCAAAAGAAAATGAAGGACTGGTTACTTCATACTATGAGAATATACAAGTTGTATCGATTTTGAATAACTATTTTTCATATGCCTGTTCATATTGTACGTCATATCGTTACGAACTCTCGTCCCCTATACAACCTCCACAAAAAAAGAAAGTTAACTCTACGTTCAAATAGATCTCTTTTTTAACCTTATGACATACCATGATTTTTTTTTCTTTCGTTCTTTTTTAACAGTAGTAGTACACTTTTTTTCTTTTCTACTTGTACGTGTCCTTTTTTTTCATTTCTGTCATTCTGTATGTGAAGTTGTAAAGAAGACATTATGTGAAATGATGCTAATGGTGTCTCTCTCCCTCTCTTTCTGCCTCTTTTTTTTCTATTTGACAAGCTTACGCAAACGGTTAAAGAAAGAAAAAAAGTAAAAGAACGAGAAGGTACAGTGCCTGTCAACATGTTTTTTACAAGGACAATGCTGATTTTATGATATCCAGATGAGCAACAATGATACTCTTTATTTTAATTAACTTCTCATTATGTTCGATTGCAATTTCCGCAGGTAAAGTTTTCGAATTGACTCAACGAAAAAATTCGTAAGAAATCATCGATTTTAGAAGGTAAAGAGACATCTTCTGAAAAGATAAAACTCGATCCTAAACGACCACAACAACGGCAATCACTTGGCACAAATCTTATCGATCCATACTATGCATTTAACCCTGATTACATGGGTGGAAATATGCCCAGTATCGATATCTTTCCAAATCCGACGAACGTGAATCGACCAGGGTCATGTACATGTTCCTGTGGTGATATATCCTTTGGGCCGCCTGTAGCCTGCGTAGGCCCACAAACATGTGTTGCTTATTGCTTACAAATGTATCCTGGACAATGCACGTTGGTGAATACATACGGATGTTGCGGTTCATCATGTCAGTATTTTCAAAGTCAATCGCTCGAGAATCGCTATTGTTCATGTAATTGTGGCGGCCAACAGTATTTCAATCCAGTAGATACATGTACATCATCTCAGGCATGTTTAACACGATGTTTATCGAGTTTTCCTCAATTTTGTATTCCTGCTATAACACAAGCATGTTGTGGACAAGATTGTAAATCTTATTCACAAACAGTTTCAAATGCTTGTGCGTGCCGTTGTCAAGGAAATACTTATTATCCATCGCCATCTTGTATGAATGCTGAAGGATGTGTTAGCACCTGCATGACGGTAAGACATATCTTGACCAATTTGATTGTATTCTATGGATATGCTGTTCTTCAGACGTATGGCCAATGTACGGCCGGTGAAACTCAAGGATGTTGTGGTGCGTCATGTTCCACATATGTTCCAACATGTTCATGCAGCTGTGGTCCTGAATTTTCGACAACAACATCTGTACCTTGTCAAGGCAGTCGATCATGTGTTGAAACCTGCTTAAATTCGTACAGTGCTTGTACACAAGATAATACTCAAGCATGCTGTGGAAATGATTGCATCAATGCATTTCCGTCATGCACATGTATGTGCGGTTCGAATCAGTTTACCACATTAGCTATGTCATGTGGTTCGGCTCAACAATGTGTTCAAGCATGTTTACGATCTGTTGCTCAGTGTAATGTAGCCAATACGCGTGGCTGCTGTGGAGGTGATTGCTCAGGTTTTATTCCAACATGTCGATGCCAATGCGGTGGAAGTATTTTCTATTCAGCATCAAACTGTGCTAATGCTGAACAGTGTACAAACACATGCATCAGTCAGTTCGGTTATGCCTGTTCGCCAACAAACACAATCGGCTGTTGCAATGGGACATACTGCTCAAAACGAAATCGTTTTCTTGGCGTTAGTCCAGCGAATACAATTCACATATCCTATACTTCTGTCTTATTCTTCATGAGCTCTATTTTACACTTTTATGTAATAACTGTATAGATACAGAAAACTTGCGTCTTTTATCTTATCGTTTTTCTTCTTCTTTTCTTTTGTAATAATAAAGTTCTTTTCATCATTCGATAAAACATGAATGATTTGATACAATTGCCTTTTGTTTCTTTATGAGCAAAATTTATTTACATAAGATCAAACGAAGCTGAACTCTTTCCATAAAATACTGACATCTACGCGACTTTCTCAAATTATTTGAGAGGAAAAAAACTTATTTTTCCGACCCTTATACAAGCTTTCCTTTTAACTCATTTATTATTATCAAATATACTTTTTTTGGCAGCAATTTTTCTAAGCTTGTTGTTGATTGATCCGTTGCATGTCGAGAAACGCATTAATTTGGTAGATCATGCCATACCATCAACAATAATAAAAGGTGAATGAAGTTCGCATACCAAGAGTTCAAGGAAGAATATCAAGAGTATTTAAATTACATTCGACGACGTCTTTGTCAACACACTTCGAATCGTTCGTCTCAGAGAAATGAAACATTGTTTCATATTGCCTTTTAGATTAAATCATGTATGATTAATACGGATTTGGTCCATGGTACGAAAAGTACGTATCTGCATATCGATTCAGCGATTCGCAATTCAATAAATCAGTAAGTAAAGCATGAATAAAAACAAATCGTTGACTGTCTGGATTTTCATTCGAATATTTCAACGTGTGTTCGTCGAGCAAAGATCGGAATTCAGTTTTGACCGAATACGCTCGTTTGTTTTTTAAATTATCATTTTCCTCGATGTGTTGACGCAAATGTCTAGTGAGATGATTTTGTCGAGTGAAGCAAATAGGACACAGAACGGTATTCGTTGCTGTCGAATGTCTTTCATTGACATGCTGAATGAAATCATTTAGTGGAAAACCATTTCCATTACAAAATGGACATGTTAATGAGACGGGAGTAGAGAAAGTTCGTTTCTGTCCGAAATAAATCTGTTCGTAATCATTGGCAGTCAGAATTAACTGCATAGGATGATGGATTGAGTGTATTTGAAACGAAAGATTCATTTGATTATCGTAACAATGAGAACATAAATCGAAATCATGACATATCAAGCATTTATATCGGCGATTAGGAAAATGAAGTGTTTGACATAAATCGCACGATATACCACGATGATGTGACATTCGTCATGAAATGAAGTACCGAATGAAAGGTTACTAAGGATATTAAGAAAAATATTTAATTAGAAACAATATGTGACCATTGAAATATTTTGTTCCATGCTATTTTAACTGAAACAAGGAAGAGGGTGGTCGAAGTTGTGTTGTTCGGTCTTCCTTCCTTTTCATTTCCGCAAGCTATGGGAATTTTTATTGATGAAAAAAAAAAGCTCGAAGAAAAGTAATAATATTTATTTTCTTTTTCTTGCAAACTTTTTTCTCTTCCTAAACGCCGACATTATTCCGTTCTTTTCATTATGTCAACATTTGATTTCTTTGAGAATTGTCAGTCCTACCTTTAGGTAACAGAACACGACTTGTAAATCTAGATCGACAATCTTCTTAATCATGGATAATTACTGAGTTGCTTCGACAACTGTTTTCCCCTCGAATTCTACCCAAAAATAGTTGTGATTTCGTTGACGCTTCAGAGATTTTACTTTTGCCTTGATGATGTAACCTTGACGAGTGATATCAAGCGTTTTTATGGTTTTTCGAAAAAATACAATTGTTACAGTTTATTGGGTACAATTTAAAAGCAACGATCGTCCGATACGTTTAAAGTAAACAAAGAACGCGTGATGTGATAGTATAACGTAAAAAGACGCAATCTTTTACATTTTAATAGAAATAACGTGACGAGAAGGGATATGAGATTTATTTTCACTAGATTGACTTCGCATTTTTTTAGAGAACGTCAATGAAAACAATGTACACAAAGCTCGCACATCGAACTGAGCCTGTATCGTGTTCTACTCATTCAGTTGGTTCAGTGAAGAATCACAATGCGAATAGAGATATATCAGTCAATGTTGTTGAACTTACTCCGACTTCAGACGTGAACACATTCCCATCGAGATTCTTTTATCCAACGTTCACGATAACCATTGTTATTCTTGACTTATTTATGCTTCTGTTTGTCTATATTGTTCAACAAGGAACGACAATAACATCTGAAACATGGATTAAAATGGGTGCGAAATATGTTCCATGTATGAGACCGATTTATTCGATTATGGAAGAAGAAACTTATCAAGCTCAATTGAAAAAACAATGTCAATCCTTTCTTTTTCCTTACCAGCTCTTTCGTTTCATCACCCCAATGTTCTTACATGGAGGCATCACCCATCTGATCAGTAATCTTGTCTACCAAGCCTTAGCTGAATTTCTCCTAGAAGGCAGATATTCGATTAAAAAATTAAGCTTCTGCTATCTTCTATTTGGTTTTAGTGGAAATATGATGAGTGCCATATGCAATCCAAAGACAAGTACGTGATTGTACAATGCTTTCTGAAATTAGTCAAAAAAAACTCTTCTATGTTTTAGTATCGTTTGGTGCATCCGGTGCCGTTTATGGTCTTGTCATTTTCTGTATAATTGATCATATCTTTCGAATCTTTACTATCGATGATAGTCATGAGAAGAAGCGACAATTTCTAATGACGCTTCTGGTTATTCCGTACTTTATCATGAGTATCTTTTTTGATGTTGATTGTTCGGATCGTACCGATCATGCAGCACACATTGGTGGTTCGATAGTTGGAGCTCTATTGGCGATAAGTTTGTGTAAAACACCCGAATTCATTGCGAATCAAAATCGGTATGGACGAAAGGGAATTCAGATGATGGCATTGAGTATCTTAATGACTTATTTTCTTATATCATTACTTATATTTTACATTCCCATGCCGCCCAATTTTAAATAAGTCGAAATCCAACGATTTGCATGCGTTTATATCTGGTTCAGATAGCTTTATCTTCTAACAGGATAAATATGTAATCATGTTCAAAGTGAAGTTTTATTTTCAAACAAAAAAGTTTAGTATTCTATGAATTCTTTGTTTTCAACGTTTGTAAATATATAAATAAATTTTTGAAGTATGAACATTACAACCGATTCTCTATTTCAACAGGACGTTCACAGCGAATGCAAAGAATAGGTTATTTCACATACGCAAAGAATGATTTATTCAGCGATTTTCTAAATCAATTGAAGAACATTACTTTTAAATTAAAAGGCTTATTTTGTCAATACGTAGTTGTTTCTTTTTTTAACTTTGATGAAGAACATACCACGTCTGGTATGACTAATAGTTATATATGTCCTTTTCAGCGAGCGTACTGAGAGTGCTCTTTTCTATACGTCTCATGATCGTTCGCTTTTTTTTCTCTTTTTCCTTCTCTTACTTTTGCATAAAATAAAATAAAAACAACGAGTTGTGCAGATGAATGTAGAGGTCGATGTTTTTTAGTAGAAAATAACTGCTCAGAACAAGTTTATTTCTTTGTGTATCACTGATCATATTAGCATAAGTTGGTCAAACGTTGAACAATCGACCGCTATCGTGAGTGAGTTGTTTTCTGTCAAGACGATATGTTACTTTTTACAAACTAGTCATTGGCAGCTGTTAATGATTTTCGTTGTCTCTTTGCTCTATAAGAATGGAAATATGTTTTTGTTTTGAGCAGGAAACAGCCCATTTTTTAAACTAGTGCAAATATTTTCATTGTTCTATGTTGTAAACAACGTTGCCCGTTGAACCGTGACAACATAAAAGTGCATAGAATGACTCAGCAAAGATGGCAGCCGTGTTTATTTACTTTCACTGAATTTGAATTGTTCGGTGTAATTATAGATACGAAGACATTTATTTTGTTGATTACAAGTGATATAATGGCGAAAGCCTTGTTCGTCGCTTATTTAGTGACTTTATCGATCAGTTCGATAGCTGGTTATTCAACAGATTGCGCTATCGGACCGGAATATTGGTGTCAATCGTTCAAAAATGCAGACGATTGTGTGGCAATACAACATTGTACGGATACAGTTTGGCGTTCGAATAATGAGCTAGCGCTAGCTGACTCGTCATCAGATTGTAAATGGTGCCGACGAATTCTTGCAACTGCTCACAGTAGAATCGGAAACTTAGTGGAAGATGAAGTTTGTCATAGAAATGACTCATTTTTCAATTGAAACCATTGCTTTGCTTTTTCTCGATTAAGGACTCAATCATGTCTTCATTAGCTAGTGGATGTCAATTATTTTCATCAACCGAGACAGCGAATAAAGTAAGTCGATGCATAGTCGTTTGGTTTTTTTATACGATACAATGAAACCATCTTGCAGTGTACGAACATGTTCAATCAGTATAAGTCATCTTTCAGTTCCTTAATCAAGCATAAGGTATAGAGAAAATAACAATTTAATTTGAAAATGAATTGACTAATTATTGAACTTTTCAGCGATACGCAACATTATGTCGCTTGATGAGTGTTTGTACAAATAAGTTGACCACTGAAAAATCGCCGGTAGTTCTCGGACAACATCAATGTACATGGGGTCCATCGTATTGGTGTTCGTCGTTAAGCAATTCACGCGAATGTAATTCTGTTAATCATTGTTCAAATCAGATCTGGTCACAGCAAGCAATTCAGAAGAAAGCAAATGACTATATCTGCCAATATTGTGAATACATCATTGGAAAATTGCGTACATTTATTCTCAATAAGACAACTGAGGTACATTCAAAACAAATCAAGACTTTATATGACTCGTATCTGAATTTAGATCAACGTGGAAAAATGGCTATCTGATGCTTGTTCAACTCTCCAGAACAAAGAGTGGATAAATAAAGTAAAGATATAACAAAGTAGTCGATTTACTAGAGTCAACTACCTTTTGATTTAGTGTGTGGGAACAATGAGCCAATATGCGAAGGAAATTGTTGTGTTAATCGAAAATAATGTTGTGAGTTATGACATATTACATGTTCATAGACGACGAGAATATATTTATACATGTAGGATCCGGGTATAATCTGTCATTTGGGTGAAATGTGCAAAGATGCTACGATTGTCGTACGCAATCAAATTGCCGAGCCTCAATCGGAAGAAAAAGACATTTCATCAGTTGACGAACAAAGTCACATGTTATGCAATATTCTTGTTCGCGCGACATACGAACTTCATGTCAATCAAAAGAAAGGTACAGAGGAAATAAAAGTATTTCTGAAAACTGATTGCCAACATCTCTTGACAATGGAACTTATTGAAAAGGTAAGTGATGCCATTCGAATACACATATATGTATTCGGATTTTGTATGGCTAGTGTCAAAATTTGGTTGATCAACATGGAAAGGATATCTACGATCAAGTTGCCAAGAACAAAGTAAGCACATACTTGAGAAAATCGCTTCAGATAGTTTCTCTTTTTTTAGGATTTATCAGATATCTGTCATTATTCTCCTTCTTCAGTCGACTCCACTGCCGTTCAAGTGAGCTTTTTCAGATTATAGCTTTCACATCTAGCATCGACAATCATTTCTAGTCTGTCTCTCAAACACGTTGTGATCTCTGTACATTTGTCTTAACAGCAGCAGGAAGCATGATGGATGCTAAGCGTTCCGATGTAACGACAAACCATTTGTTGTTTCATTAGAAATCGGTTTTTATCTTTTTTTAAGGACGAAGTTCTTGCGTATATCAACAAGCATTTCTGCTCACAGATGACCAATGAAGCTAAGGAACAATGCGAATTAACGGTTGAATCATACGAAGAAGAATTAATCGAAGGTATTCAACAGAGAAAAGTAAGATTTTCACAAAATGCTTGCGTGTGCATGTGCTGAATATTGACATTTAGCAACCAATTCTTCTTTGCACTTATTTCGAAACATGTCTTGATAAATTCGGTGAAGAAAAAAGTCCAGTTCAAAAGGTTTGCGAAGATTTTCCAAATCATCGTTATTGACTAAGTACGTCATGTGTTTTCAGGATGAAATGCGTTCGTTTCTCCGAGATAGTCTCTGCAATCATCTCGGACCTTTTGAAGAATCTGTAAGCATTAGTTATTCTGATACTAACCGGTTCATATTTCAATTCTGTTCCAGTGCCATGCATTAATGGAGCAAGATACGAATCGCTTGCTAAAAACACTCGTGAATGATGTGGTATGGTTTTTGATTCGAGAGCGAAAATGTTTAGTGTGCAATTTTCAGGATGGCGATGTTCTGTGTCAAATTTTTGGAATGTGTCCAACACAAATGTCATTTCTTGATAACCTGGCAGCCAAAGATGTGAGCCAACGAGTTGTCACATTCATGTTTTGACGCTATGTATTATAGGATACGGATAAATGCAAACGTTGTACTGATGATTTTACTCGAAGAAAACATATTGCCGAAAAGCTTCTGGTATACTCAATGAATTCTTCATCATATTTGAAAATAATGTGACTCTCTTTAGAACCATTCAACGGAATTTCTTCATCACTTTTGCAGCCAGTTACCGCAAAAAGATGAAGTACTTAACATAAATTATACTTCCTTTGCATTAATATGATGTTATCGGTTTTTAGTGTACGAAAGCAGTGGATGAATCTATCAATAAAGTCGTTGAATTCATTCGAGGATTAGTATGAACTTTCAGCTTGAGAAAACTGTTCGCAGACCTTATTCTTTTGCTCAGGATCCACGTGAAATATGTGTGGAATTAAAAGAATGCGACCAAGCATCGCTAAAAACAATCCAACAATTGCAAATATCAACATCGGACAATATACTAAGCGTAAGTGGTGACACAAGTATATTTGATGGAAATTAATGGAATATTCTGTATTTACCATTTCAGCAGCAAGTGATCAAATATATCAAAACTGATGTTTGTCGCAAACTTGGATCATTATCAGCCTTGGTAGTTATTCCATTGAAGCACCTAGAGAAATAATAAGATTGTAATAATGCTTTTCTAGTGTGACAGCCTTCTGGACTCGGAAGGCGCAAATTTGTTTGCTGCGATTTCGAAAAAGGTTTGTCCGCATAAAGTATGCTCCATATTCGATGTCTGTCCAAAAACTACTGCATTCGATAATGTAGGTTTTATGTGTATACTTGACAAGTTCTCTTAATATATAGTATTTTAGTGTAATGATAAATGTGAGTGTTGTGTATCAAAAATGGAAAATTACCAAGTTCGATTAGCATCGTTTTTGGTATGGTTTGTCTGAAGGAAAAACAATTCGACTGACGTTTCCTATTTAGAATACTATGGTTGCGACTACAAATGCTTTGTGTAAACGTATGACCCATTCTACTGACGTAAGATATTCAGAAGAGAATCGATTCTATGAACTTGGTTTCATTGGATTTCTAGTGTCTTCGAGTTGCAAGTTATTTTGAATCGGACGTCAAAGCGTTGACCACTCGTTATGTAAGTTGATTAAAAAACTGATGTCTTTCACAGTTTTACTGTTTAGGACGCCAAACAAATTTGTCAATCGTTAACTCATTGTGCTACAGACACTTCGAAAGAAGTAAACGCTTGAATCTTTGTATCATCTTTAACCACACTGTCTATTCTCTAGTGTGATACTAGTAGCGATAAATGTACATGTTGTCAAAATCAATTCAACAATCGCCAAGAGAACTTTCAAACCGTAGTTGATAAAATCATGGAAAATCATCGTAGTCTATGCACGGATGATAACTGTCGTACACTTGTTCGATCAAATCAACAAGAGATACTGTATCATATAGCAGCAATCAATACTTTAACATATTGTCAGCGTTCTGGCGTGTGTAGATCATCATCAGGACAACGATCAATCCCATTTATTACTGATCTATTGGCAAACATGGAATCAACTGTTCCAGCAATAAACAATCCTTGCACTAGTTTTGGAAGTTCAAAAACCATGTGTGAACATTTATTGGTGTCGAAACAAAGCGCTCGATATATGAAAGTTTATATAGCTTTGCTAACCGGTGATGCCAATCATATTGGTGAAGATTTTAAAAATCAGCAAACAAGTACATGCGACGCATGTAAAAATGCTGTTCAATCCTCGAAAGACTTTTGGACTAATGCATTAGTAAGATGATCGGATTGTTGAAAAACTCACAATCGATTTGTTTTCTTAGGGATCGTTGCGTGATACTCTGTTACAAGCATGTGATCGCTGCCCATCGAAAGATCAATGCCAAAAATATATCAATCAGCGATATGACATACTTAAATCTTATGTCGACAAGATTGATCCTGAACAATTTTGTCAATCGATTCGTCTTTGTTCAGCGGTAACAGCAACAAACGTGTGTTCAACATGTATCAATCGTTTACAACTGCGCAAAGATGCTGCTTCACAAGCAGTTGATCGATTAGCAGGATATTTCAATGATCAATGTCAACGCTTTGCGCAGAAACAATGTCAAATATATGTTAAAGAAGTTCATGACTCTATTCAGAAGTCAATCGAGGAGTTTGATCCAAAAGCAACATGTACTGTAATTGGTTTTTGTGAATCGATGGGTAATGAGCTTGAAATGAACTTCGTTGAGCGTGAGCTATCTTTACAAGCCGATATTGAACAAAATATTTGTTCGAAACTTGGTCCATTCGAAACATTGTGCAAGAGTGTTATTCAAGGTGATTCGAAACAAATTCAAGCATTGAAATTAGATTATGATATTAAAGAAGTAATGCGCATTGGTGATGATCTTCATGATCTACTCGAAACAGACGATTTTGGTAAGTTTCCGATTAGCAAAAAAGACTATCGTACCGGATACTTTGATTTAGATGAATCGAGTGACGATAAATGTCAATGCTGCATTCGTCGAATTATGCGCCGAAAACGTGCTGTTCGATTTATTGGCGATGCAGTGTTTTTCTCTTTGATTCGTTCATGCCACCGTTGTCCTGCTAAACATCTATGTCGACGATATTGGCTTGTTGCCAAGGCTCGATTCGACTGTCGTATCAGTCGAATTGATCCCAAACGTGTCTGCACACATTTTGGCCTCTGCAATACTACATCTGTTTATGGTCATAAAGGAGAAAATGCACCAGAGAAATGCGATGACACTGCCCCAGTAGAAACTCCACAAATCGATCTTTCCAACTCAACATGCATTCTTTGTGAATATGCAATGAATATTCTTTCGAATTATATCAATCGTCAATCAACTGAAGAAGAAATTGAACAAAGTTTACAAAAAATTTGTAGTCAAATGCCGTCCACACTGCAAAATCCATGCCTCGAATATATCGATAACTATGGACCATCAATAATTGCGACACTTATGCGTAGATTCGATCTTTCAACTCTTTGTCGTCGACTTAATCTATGTACAAGTCAAATGCAATTCGATCTTACAGATATTACCAAAGCTGACACAACAACCTGTGGTGTGTGTAATTATCTCTCAACATATCTTCATTCAGCTTTAAAACGTGACTCAAATGAACAAGCACTTCAACAAGCTTTAGGAAGTGTTTGTTCGTATGTATCCGATGAACTTAAGACAAGATGTCAAACAATTCTACAATTATATTCTCCATACATTCACCGATTAGAATTAAGTCCCAAAAATAGCTTCTGTAAACAATTAACAATCTGTGAAATGCCTATGCTGGATTTAGAGCCGGCCATTCGAGTGAACGAAGCTAATGAAATTAGCACATCAGCAAAAACACCTACAACTAAGGAACATCCTCATTTAAATCCTCAATGCTCATTGTGTCAATATATTATCTCATATTTGGATGCAATCATGAAGAATAATAAGTCCGAACAAGCTTTCGAAGATGCACTAAAAAAAGTTTGTAAAATTTTACCAAGTAAGTTTCTAGCAAAAAGCGAAAACTGCACGTCTATGATATACATTTCTATTCGAGGTAAAGAAGCTAGCCAGTGTGAAGAGTTTGTTAAAACTTATGGCCCAACTCTCGCACAGTTGATTGCGGAGATGGCTGATCCAAAAGTAGTTTGTCAGTATCTTAATATGTGTCCAGAATCGTCGGTGCGGGAGAGTCCAACGTTGCCCACTGAAATCGCACATGACTTAACACCATATACATGTACCATCTGTCAATTTATTGTTAGTCGCATAAAGCGTTTTATTGCAACTGATCAAGACACCAACCAAGCTATCACGGCAACGAAAGAATCCTGTGATCTATTCAATGCTGAGAACTTAAAAACACAATGTAAAGCTTTTGTTGACCAGCATGGTTCCTACTTCCTTCATATCGTATCGAATGATATTTTACCAAGATCAGCATGTCTATCTATGAAAGTTTGTCCGATAACTTATCCAATTACATCAACATCAGTGGCACCAATTTCTACTTCGACTACACAAAATAAATGTGCTTTCAGCCAGAAAATGTGGTGCCTCACGCGTGCAATTGCCAAATCATGCGATGTAAGAAACATATAGATAGATTATCATAAAATATCCAGTTTTGTTTTTAATAGGCTGAAGAATATTGTGAACGTGAAGTCTGGACAAAAGGACAATTATTTATTGAAAACTAATTTTATATTAACCTGCAACTTTTCTTCTAATTCTACTTTCGCAAGATGAAGCCATCATTTATCATTACTAATAACAAAACCAAAGCGATCATATTTTCTTTTCACTATTCGAACATGTTCTAAACATAAATGTTTCTTTTGCATTTCTTCTAATTACTAATACTTTTAGTTTTTCCTTGTAATGTAACTTCTCGCGTTTCTCTATTTTAATAAACCTCGGTATTTCAAACAACAAGATCATTGTCGCTTACGGCCATACCACGTTGAATACACCAGTTCTCGTCCGATCACTGAAGTTAAGCAACGTCGGGCTCGGTTAGTACTTGGATGGGTGACCGCCTGGGAATACCGAGTGTCGTAAGCTTTTTTGCACTTTTGTTTTTGACTTTTCATTTCGAAATAGTGATTAGACTTGTACTCTTTGGAAATTCCATCAGATTTGGTTTTTTTTTCGTTTGCTNCATACCACGTTGAATACACCAGTTCTCGTCCGATCACTGAAGTTAAGCAACGTCGGGCTCGGTTAGTACTTGGATGGGTGACCGCCTGGGAATACCGAGTGTCGTAAGCTTTTTGTTTTTTTTAACCAACAAATGAAACAATTATGAAAATAAGCTTATAAGTATTTAAATGCTTCGATAAAACATATTGAATCACTTATTTCAAATGATTCAGGTTTATTTTATTAGTTTCATCACTAAAAAGAAAGAAGAAGAGCAACAACAACATTATAACAATAGCAATAGCCATATATCTTCCTACGAGAACGAAGAAAAAAGCACCAAATCTATTAAATATATCAATTATTCGAATAGAAATGAGAAAATAATGTCAAGTGTATCAATTTGACAAGGAGATTATATGCATAGATATATACACGCATACACACACACACACGAACGACTTTCGAAGATAGCAAGTACTAATTCATCTAAAACACATGCATTTGTGAACATGTGTCAAAAAAAGAGAAGAAGTCACATGTTTCTGTCTTTGAGCAGAAACACTGTTCGTTTCTTTTTGAGATTACAATGGTCGAACATAAGTGGCAGGAAAGAGACCAACAGTTCCGTGAACTTCACCTTTCCACCAATTGGCATCACTTTGATCCAACATTCGAATACGGTCACCACGTTTCAATTCAATTTCACCTTCTTCTTGTGGTTGAAAATCGTAAGCAGCAATATAGATTTGTCCATCATTGGATGGACCAGAAGACATTGGAGGCGGCGGTGGTTGTTGAAAATTTTGCACGGTTCTTGGACCGTTTTTATTATTCTAAAGAAAAAGAAAAAAGATTACAGTTCCGTTCAGATACATTCCTTTTCATTTACATATGATGTTGTTTGATCGGAACCCATATCTTTAAGTAATAAATGTTGTCCACGGTTAACTGACGTCGATCGATGGTAATCAATTAATTCGTTGATTGAATCAAATTTAACAACCCATAGAAAATATTTACCCATACCATCACGTAGCACTTTGAAATGTTGAACCTGATCTTGACATCTAAAGACCAGACAAACATAATTGTTCGATGCTGGACAATGATATGAGAGGTTTTATACTTGACTGAGAGTGAAAAATCGCCCGGAGACGATTCACACATTCGAACAAGGAATGCACCATCTGGCTGTTGATATCGTTGAGAACCTGGATCCTTCTGAAGAAGGATCTTTTCTGCTTCGGCACGTGATATACTGCCGTAAAACCAGCTAGAAAGAGGAAAAATTAAAAAAATGTACTTCTTTCAATGAAACATTTCGAAATTAATATATTCAAATGATCTTAATCGATTAACTATTTCACAGACGTCATAATAATACGATCCTTCAGATATAAATGTCTGCTAGATAATCATAATGTATACTTACGGGTGAGGAACTACTTCAATGTATGTCTTTGGTACATAACCTTCTTGTCCTTTTAATTCTGCTTTATACCAATTCATATCTTCTTCCATATTGAGTACCTAAATAAATCACATATGACAAATAGAATTATGCTAATCAATTAACTTCATACTTTGAGAACAGCTCCTTTTTGAAAGCTAAGTTCATCATTGGCCGTTGCATTGAAATCATAGCGACCGTAGGCTTGCATATCTGTTTTCGACTTTTAAAACATATAAAAGTAAACTAAATATCTAGAAAAAAAAGGAAACCCTAAGTAGGCTATCCCTAGCGATACCAAAGCGCTGTGTTTTTTCTTATAAATGAGAGTATAAATTATTTTTGTTTCTCAAAATACTCCTTCGATTTCACCGGATCAGGTTTTATTGTATTTGGATTCGTCTTTTCGTTCCAATTTGCCGGACATACTTCACCGTGTTTTTCCACAAATTGAAATGCCTTGATTAAACGAAGAACTTCATCAACTGATCGACCAACTGGCAGATCATTGATAGTAATTTGTCGTAATTTCTGTTCTCGATCAATAATAAATAGGCCACGCAAGGCAACGCCTCCATTATCATCAATGAGAACACCATAACGACGAGAAATTTCCTTGGAGAAATCACTTAATAATGGATAGTTAAGTTCACCCAGACCACCTTGCTTTCTTGGTGTATTAATCCAAGCTACAACGATCATAAAATAATAATATTGATCACTTTCATCAATGAACCTACCTAGATGACTGTAAACAGAATCAGTGCTACAACCAATGACTACTGTGTCCAGTTGACGAAATTCTTCCAGTTTTTCGTTAAATGCTACGAGTTCAGTTGGACAAACGAACGTGAAATCCAGCGGATAGAAAAAAAGGATAACGTATTTTCCTTTGTAGTCAGATAATTGAATATCTTTGAAATGTCCATTAATAACTGCTTGACCTTTGAACTCAGGTGCAGGCTTGGCTATAACTGGAAATGGACTGCAATGATGTGCCCGACGTGAGACAGATTGTAATAGATTAGTTGTTGTTGTTGTTTTGATTGCTAACGAGGTAAAATGACGGAACAATTGACGATACATTCTCGTATCCTTTTTATCTATAGCAAGGAACAAACATTATTAATTGAACGAAAAGATGTAGTCTAGTCTTTTTTATGATAGAGAAAAAGAAAGATTAAATTTAAATTTGATGAAACGAATGGTGAACGGTTGGATGCGTTGATCGATCGATCGAACGATTGATCTTATGTAAAAGAAGAAGAAGAGGAAAGCCTAGTGAGCAATTAAATTTCAATAATAAATATATTCACATACGAGGGAACACCTTTTTTACAAGGTGCGACTATATATTTGTAGAATAGAAAAAAAATTATGATTCAATATGTTCTTTTTCTCTCCTTCTCAATGTACAAGACTAATTGTTACACTATGACAGAGGTAGGGACAAGGACTTCTATTGGTTATCATTTTTATTTGTTTCGAAACGCTATATAGATGTCGGTCGTTTATCGACAGTACAAAATGTCACTGTTCTTTTATTCGTGATTATTTAGAAATGATCGAGACAGAAAATAGATTACATTAGTTCACAGTAACTGAAAAGACTAAGTTTGTAATTATCAACATTTGGTAGCTGTCTGACTGGAGTTGATTGTGTTTGCTTGGATAAAAGTGTACGAAAACGAGCCATTTCTAACAAAGATATGTTCTCGTGAATACGTCGTTGAGAATCATCTTGTAGCAAATTTAGACTTTGTTCTGGATTACAGTGTACTAATAATTCATTCAAACTGTTAAGACTGGGCCCATCAAAGTCAAATAATAAACGAGCCATTTGTTTAAGGTTCAGTCCAACCAACCAACTTTGTACGTCGTTACTATTCCAATCCATAATATTATCAGGAAGACTTCTCAAACTTGTGGATGTAGATGAATCCACATAATTACGACCATTCGTTGTCACCTGCACCGGCACTGCTTGTGTTTGTTTTATCACAGGAGCTTTCAATTCTTTTATTAACAATTCAATGGCTCGTGAGAACTCATACTTCGTGAAATCAACATACAGCAATTGGCCAATGAGAAACAGTAACCATCCATCTGGCTCATAATGTTCTTGCAATAGTATTGGCACTATCTTCAGTTCTCGTTGGAATGCATAATGTGCTTCTGCTCGACAGTAGTTGCTTCGTCGATACTGTTCACTCATACATATGATGATCATGTTTGATCGCTCGATAGCTTGTGCCATGGCATCCATAATGTTTCCATGCATTTGATCGAAGTCGATCCAAACACGAAAGCCAGTTTTGACAAGTTCTTCGTAGATTTGTTTGCAAATGCCTTCGTCTTTATGTGAATAACTAATCATAATATCAAACATTGGTGTTTCGGATATTGAACGATCGAGACGTTTGGAGCTAAGATTCCAAAGAATGCCAGAAATGGTATTTCTCATTTTATCATTCTCCGTATTTTCTTTAAGTAAGCCTAATTTATCCATAAATGCACGATTGGAAAGAAGTCGTACTTTGATATCTTCATTGAATGAAAGTGCCCAAATAATGTTGTATGCAACCGGGTACTGATCACACATGTCAAGAAAAAGTTGGATATTATTCGAATCGGCCGTTTTCTGTTGAATCGCGTCGTTTTTCGACAAAGTTAAAAAGCCTATAGATCAATGAAAACGATAAAATAGAGCGAAATAAACAGGAGTAGTCTTACCGTTCAACAATTCTGGAATAGGTATTCGTTTACATCGTCGAGTCGGATCATTCCATGCGTATTTCAAAATCCGGAAGAAAAATTCGGATATATTCGCAGTAATTTGCAACTCTTTTAACTGTTCATCAGATAGAATTTCCGCCAGGATTCCATAAGCACACAACGATATCCGATCGTAATATGATTTTTGAGCAATGACTAACATAGTATTTGACAGCATCGTTTCTGTGCGGATGAAACAACTCAAATCTTTCAGTTGTTTCAGAGCACCTAACAGAAAAATCAATGTTGAATCAATGAGAATCGTCTCGTCATTTGACCATTGTGTTGAAATACTTTCATGGATACGTTTTTCACTGATCACAGCATTCAGACCTTGGATATAATCATAGAATAGCTGTTGAGATGACGTCATGTATTCGATGTAGATCTCATCATCATTTCCCCACCAACAGCATGCACATAGAAAATCGTTCAAATGTGCTATACATGTTAGTAATTCGCCACTCCACGAAGCTACTGATGAGCTATGAGTAAGAATAATCTGAATATAATCTTCGCCATATCGTCGCAGTAAATCGTCGCCGCGAAATGGAAGCTTCTCCAACTTTGAACATACGTACATACGAAATAAGAATGAGCATGTTTTGATATAAAATAACTGTTGAGCTGTAAATATCGATTGAGAAATTTGTTTTTGACCAAGTTCGGTTAAATATGTTTTGTATTGATCGCTTAAAATATAATGTTGTCCGATGTGTTGAAATAAGTGAACCATGATTGGTAAAGTAACAAATTGTGCGTATTCATGAACGAAGTAGGACAGATTATCGAAGTAACGACTGAGTAGACTAAGATAGGAATCATTCGGATTTTTTATTTGTTCAATTTCATTGAAAATTCGATCGATTAAATCTGTATTTTTTGGAAGAATCAATGAGGATTTAACATCTGCGTCAATATTCTTGCCATTGAAGATTAAGGTATGATTAATTGCTATCAATTTCTCTAATAATCCTACACAAGAAGTTTGATTGATCCACGAACGGGACTCTCCAGCAAATAACTCCCATGCCCATTGTTCAAGATTGAGTAATGACGAAATCGACTGAGAAACGAATGTTGGAGATAAGTCATCGGTTTGTTCTTGAAGATGAATGGTAATTTCATTTTGCACATCAAAGTCCAATGGAGCATTCAATAGTGTGGAGATTAGCTCGTCAAACTTGTGTGTCATCTATATGTGTCCTTTTATTGTAATTGCAACGTGTATACTGACTGATGACAAAGTGATTTTGTTTTGTGTGTCTTATAAGTCATCGCTTATTTATTTATTAGTATTTTTCTGCTTGACGTGTGACATCCTACCATGAGTTAACGACATCGTTTCGATAGATGGATGTCAAAATAATGTTCGCGAGGCGAAAGCTTTTATTCTTTTACATTAGGCGACAACAAGATAAGAGAGATTTCTTTCTTCGAGTAGTATTTCTGTTATCTCGCCGAAACCGTCGACAAAATGACCGTTCCGACGCATGTTTTTGTTTTTCGATCAATGATTGCAAATAGGATAGTTCGACAAGTGACAAACTTTCGTTCGTTATTCGGTAGGATTCTTCTTGGAGAAGATTAAGAACTTGTTTCGTTTCCCCATTCTTTAAATAGTCGCTGAAATGTATTAAGCCATGGCCATCACAATTGATTAAAACCTGAGACATTTGCATCAAATTATGTTCAAGTAGCCAGTCATGAACATTTGCTTTCGTCCAGTCTTGGATGTTTCTCGGAATGTTTGATGGTGACAGTGTTTTCATCGGAGTTTGCGCATTACATAATACAGCCACCGTACCGGTTCTTGATCGTAACGGTGTAACGCTACTCTCAGAAAACTCGTCAGCTCGTATTTCGTCTAACAACAGCTCAATTGCTCTTGCAAAGTCATGCTTAACGAAATCAACATATAACAGTTGTCCAATGAGAAACAGTAACCATCCATCCGGTTGATAGTGTTCTTGCAACAGTATTGGCACTATCTTCAGTTCTCGTTGGAATGCATAATGTGCTTCTGCTCGACAGTAGTTGCTTCGTCGATACTGTTCACTCATACAGATGATGATCATGTTTGATCGCTCGATAGCTTGTGCCATGGCATCCATGACATTTCCGTGCATTTGATCGAAGTCGATCCAAACACGAAGGCCAGCTTTGACAAGTTCTTCGTAGATTTGTTTGCAAATGCCTTCGTCTTTATGTGAATAACTAATCATAATATCGAATGTGGTTTTGTCAAGAGGTTCTGTTAACGGTCGGTCCTGATGCGTCGATTCGAGATTCCATAGAATTCCATGCGTCATTTTTCTCATTTTTTCATTGTCACATTCTTTGGCTAGATGGACCAACTTAGACATGAACATCGTATTCGAACGGAGTTGCTGTTGGATATCTTGATTGAACGAGAGTGCCCAGAGAATGTCGAAAACGATCGGATACTCATCGCTCATTTCAATAAAAATCGATATCTTGTGTAAATCGGCCGTTTTCTGTTGGATGGCGTCAATTTTCGATAGAGTTGAAAAACCTCGAAAAGAAATTCACTCAAAATCGACATCCTTCTTCGTGAATACACTTACTTCGCAGGAATTGACCGATTGGGATCTGTTTGTATCTCTTTGTCGGATGTCGCCAAGCTTGTTCGAGCATGTCATAGAAAAATTGACTTAAGTTAGCGGTAATCTGCAGATCTTTCAAACGTTCATTGCACAGGATTTCTCCTAAGATAACATACGCACGTAAACATATCTTGTCATGAACGGATAGTTCAGCAATGTACAATAAAGTATTAGGCAGCGAAACTTTCGAACGAAAAAACCAGATTAGGTTCTGTGCTTGTGCAATATTCTTTAATGAGAATAAACAGAAGTCCATCAGAATCGTTTCATTCGTCGTCCATTGCGCCTGAATTCGCTCATAGAATGGTTTATAACTGATAATGCGTATAAGTGCACTGATGTACGAACAAAGAATTGTTTCCGAAGAAAACAATGAATTGATCGGTGTAATTTTATCGCCGCCCCACGAACAACATGCTGAGACGAACCCGATCAGATGTGTTAAACATGTTAACAATTGCTCGCTCCACATATCAATAAGATGACTGTGAATGTCGACGACTTGGACGAAATCATTGCCGATATACTGCATAATTTCTCGTGGTGTTGAAGGAAACTCTTGAGATTTCGATGTTAAATAGGAATTCAATGAAAATGTACACGTACGCATGCAAAATAGTTGCTTATAGGTAAATATCGATTGTGGTAATTTCGTTTGCTGCAGTTGCACCAAATAGACTAAAAACTGTTCAGCCATAAGATAATCCCGTCGAAAATATTCGTTGACAAGTGACATAATCGGCGATGTTTCATACTGTGGATGCTCGTAGACGAAAAACGAAAGATTATCAAACCAGAGACTAACAATATGAATAAACGAGTCATTCTCTTCTTTATTTCGATTAATTTGCTCGAATATGTCATTGATTAACTCAAGATCCTTTGGCAGAAGAAGATTGGCCTTGATTCCATCATCAATGTCCTCATAAGCGTAGATTAAATTCTTATTGAAATGTGCAACAGCGTACAGTAGGGTTAAATAATTCGGTTGATTGATCCATTGGTATGAATCTTTACTAAGAACTTTCCACGCCCAGGATTCGAGTTTCAGTAACGATTGATAAGATTCGGATATGAATGATGAGAACAAATCGTTGTTTTGTCTCTCGAGGATCGTTGTGACTTCGCAAATTCCGAATGTAAACGATGAAGATAACGGTAGAACATCAATCAATTGCTCGAAATTATTTTTCATTGTTTTCAAAAATACGCCTTTCGTCTAATGCGATTCTTGAATGTGCACACATGGTTTTTATAATGGCGTTGTTTTGAAAAGCTATTCATCCTACATATTTCTGTTTCCTTCGCTATGTGAGTGTCGAAAGTAGACCCTATTCTTTTCTCTGTCGGGTCTATTCGTACTCGACAAAAGCGCTTTTTCCATCCTTGTTTATTAAATGTACAGAAAAAGAAAATAAAAATAAATCTTTAGAAGAACATGACAATCGATATTTAGACAACCGTTCGCGTTGTATCATGCGAGAAGCTGGATTGATGCGGGATTTTATCGAAGCGTAACCAGTATCGCCGGAGGTTGTACGAACAGCAACGGCGGCATAATGATTTCAGCAGAATGATCAATTCATGACGAAAACGATTTCCACATAGTGAATAAAGAAAAATATTGAGACAAAACGACATGAAATAGAAGTGTCTTAGAATATCTAATGTTCGGGTGAGAACACGCTTCGAAATAATCGAGTAGAATAGAACGGCGCAATAGGGCGAATTGAAAATCAAAAAAGTTGTCGAACAAATCACGAGCATCTTTGTCGTTCGTTGAGATATTGTCTGTCGATGATTCAATCCATTACTGGCTGGTGTCACATGTTCGTATGATAATGTCGGCGTTGACAATCGAGGATGACTGATACGTGATAAATATTCATTACCTGACCGTATCGATTCGAAACATGGTGATGAAATCTTTCGTATCGTGACTTTCCTTTCGTTTCTCAGCTGAATACAATCGCTATCCGTTGTGTGACCATTCGATTGATACAGCTGTTGTCTTTCCGAGCAACAATCCGTAGCTTGACGATGGTAGCTGGCGATTGTTAATGAGCCTCCTACAAGTATGAAACGTTTAAGGGAACTTCCGATGAATTTTCTATGCTCTTTGATCTTGCTGCGAAAAGCTTTTATCTTTGTGAATAACATGAAAAGGTAAAAGAGGAGTTCTATACTTCGCATCGTTTTCCTTTCAAAATAATGTACGTCATGTCTCAGTTAAAGCTTGTTATGAATGATTAATACTGAAATAGAATAGGAGACGATATTTGAGAAATGAATATTATTTATTTAGCATTGAGAAGAAGAAAAAATGTGCTAACCAGCATTTTTTTGTGAGGCTTTTCTACATAACGTACTAAACACGGTCGAAAAAGAAAAACGTTCTCATTCACACTTTTACTAACAAAAAGCCAGATGATGTAACGCATGTGCTGAAAATATTTCCTTCTCGGTCAAATATCGTATTCAGTCGAAGCATGGAAGTATAAGCTGAATTCCGTTATCATTTATCATGACTAAAACTGGCGCCGATATAGTCATTGAAATAAAGCTGATTTCCTACGATGTTAACTCTTTCCTGTACTCCAACACACATTTCTTCGTCGCAAAAATTCTACGTACCAAATCTATCTGCGAACTTTTTCCTTGATTGTAGTTTATAAACAATAGCGAAATTAAATAGAAGTATGAAGATAAACGGGAGAATAAATGTTAAACAGATATCAACAATTAACAATGGAAATAATACTGGATAACTTTCATCTTCTCGACATTGTCCATGAGAATTATTGGTAACGAAAAAACTAAACGAATAGAAGCTGCAACTGATAAATACTAATAGACATATATTGATTATTGATGAACGAGTGGAGATAATCGTATTAGCATGTAATGGAAAAAGTACAGCAATAAACCGTTGTAACGTAAATGATAGGGTGAATGCTGCCGAGAGAAATGAACAAACATGAGTGATATAAACAGTCGTTTGACATAGTAACAACGATCGATGAAGACCAATTGCTTGATGTGTGAGCGTATCAATAATTGATAAGAATATAATTAATAGATACAGAAAATCTACACCTGCTAGCGCTGATAATAACATTGATGAACGCCATTTGCGCATTGTTTGTTGATTTAATACGATAATTGTCCCGGCATTGCCAATGATGCCCACAACTGACACGATGAATGTGATATAAAGTGTTAAGCGTTCAACAAGTGGTAGATTTTCGTAATTGACAAAGATCGATTCTGCTGGATACAAACTGTGATTATCATAGGGATGAGTTGAATTGATGTTAAAAAGAAAGAAATATATACTATGATTAACATTTGCCATGGATTAAATGTTTATCACGATCATTGATATAGTCGAAGCGTTTTTCTTTTCTCTAGAATAAAAAAAAAACAAATAGAGATATCATTATTATTGTCCGCTGGAAGAGATAAGAGAAGAGAGAAGAAAAACGAGAGAATATTTTGATGCGTAGATATGCACTAACAGGAAGAAAATAACAACTGTACGGACAACAATATTCCAATTGACTGTCATTCTAACAAATGTCATCACTGTAACGGAAGCTACTCTATGATACTACGTTCTATTCGAGGAAAAATATATAAACATGTAGTTTTTCTTTCTTGTCAAACAATGATTTCTATTTTGTTGCTGCGAAGACTGATTACCATCATTTTTTTGATTTGGTTACGTTTAATGTAGCATGCAATGAAAAGAAACAAAACAAGTGCAGCACATTTTGTTTTGTTTCTTTCCGGATATTGCCTGTTTAGGTTACTTTTCTCTTTATTCGTGTGTGTAATGTTGAAGGTAGTTAGTAAATAGTTTTGTTCTAGTCGATCTGATGTCTTTTTTCTCTTCGTGCAAGAGAAAAAAGAGAAACTTGACGCGAAATGAAGCCGAGGACGACAGCTGAGGATGAAGAGAAAATAGTGAACTATATCCTGTTATTTTCGTCGCTTGCTAGAAGAGATTATCATTAAAAGGAATGGAAGCAGATTCATCTTTCATAATCAGAAATGCTTCTATTCTACGATATCTATTTCTCTTTGGATGCACGTAGACACAGTGAGAGAGAGAGAGAGAAGGGAAAATGAAGAATCGTATGCCATTGCATGTCAATTACAGGCGAATCAGGGTTAAATGATTTTAATTAAACGATCGATTTAAAATCGTTCTATCTGGGGAAATATTGTTAATCAAAATATGGATTTGCTCTCTTAAGTCGTTTATGGTAGACTGATCAATTAAGTTATTCGCTTACTTTTCTTTCCTATTCGCATATGGTTAAATACCATAGCTATTTATTAACCGATAATCAATAATAACAAAACATCTAATGCGATGAGAAAAAAACTCGAACAAAATCTTTGCGACAAACATACACTCCGGCAGCTTCGAACCGCGGTACTCGAATGGCCGCCAACGAACAAAGATCATGGATCTATTTCTCTGATTTGTCAGACGAGACAGTTGTCCATGACAATTCTCCTCCTCGTTTTGCGAAGAAGTAACTAATAAGGGTAAGATGTACATGTGCCAAGGCCGAAGATCGCCGTCGAGAGACAGATTAAGCACAACTTGCTTTGTACATACACTAATAAAGGAACGAATTGCCTACGATGTTTCGGCGATATCTCCTCTATTCGTGTTGTTTTTCTGTACTTGCTATGGGGACAAGCCTTCACCGGGTCGACCATCTATAAATCAAAAATACGTCATGTAATAAAGTGCGAGGAAAAAACCTGTTCTAGTCATATAAACAGATGATAAGAGCGAGTGATTTTGATTGATGACGTGTAAAATAGGGTTTTTTATGTTCGACAGAAAAAAAAGGACGAAAACACGAAGAACGTTATTCTCATCAGTTGACCAGAAACGAGAATGTCTTCAATCGACACGATGTTCAAGTAATTTATCAGAAAAAGTGATAATATCTCGACAGACTTTCTCAGGCATGGAGGCAAATCAGATTAATGTAAATGGAATTTACTATTGTATACATTATTTTATTGCCATGTATGTAATATCCTTCAATTGGATTATGGATCATCTGGTTAACAATGTTGATGAAGCAATAAGGCCACGACGAGAATGGTTTTTCTTCTGTAGCATATACTTTTCAGATTCTAGAGAAGGTCAATGAGAGAAGAGATCTATTAAATATTCTAATGAAGAAAACATGACTTTCATTGAATTCTTTTCCTTCTTCTTTTCAGTTCAGAGGAGTTAAGGATAGATGCAGCACATATTGACCTTTTAAAAAGAGTTGAGATAAGTCAGTCATAGTCGAATGAGAAGGATCTCCACATAACTTTATGAACTTGCCGGAGAAAATGCTCGCTTCTTCCTTTTTGAACTAGTTTTATATTCAAATATTCACCGAAGCAATTTGCTTTTCCTCTCGGTCTGCTGTGCCCCAAGTTAATTACTTTCATCGAAGTGAGAAAAGAAACAAGTGATACTTACATTATTAATGTTTATTAAATGATCCTTCTATTCCATACAGCGTGTTCAACATGGCGAGAACTCGATCGAGTTTTTATCTTTATTTTCTGGCAAAATAAGTCAATAAGAATATCGCATGCTTCTCTCTTACACAGCTAACCAAACGACGACAAAGACGAGATATACAAAAGAAATGTCATCATAAATCGATGACAGTCACAATGAAAAGAAGAAAAGCGTTATGTGCTGATGTACACAACCTATACACTTATATCTAATGTATTTGTAAAGAGAAGAATATTCGGCTTCGTTTTCTGCGCTGTCAGGAATTGCTATCTTAGCTAGACGAACCTTACGGCGTATTACTAAATACACGAACTTACAACAAAATCAGATATGATCATATGTGTAAATAACCTTAACGATCTAAATCATTGTCAATATTAAATCGTAAATTACAACGTTTGCTTTTTGACATTGTCTTGGCTTTTGCTTTCTAATTCAATATGTATGATTGACAATGCATGCTCGATGAAGATCGTCATTGAATTAACATTTGCTGTTACAATTTTCTCTGCATGATTAAATAATTTGGTTTCGTCAAAACCTTTCCCAATCAGCAGTCAGTCTGAAATTATACTTGAATACGGAAGACATTAGTGACGTCAGTGGCTGACGTACTAAATTACCTCATTTTCAGCTAAATATATCGCTCTGAACCGATCAAATGTGATGATTATGATTTGTCCTATCATTCAACGATAATCTGTCACGCGCGTAATGAGAAGAGGAAGCTGCAATGACTGACAGCAATATCAGTGAGGGATTCCTAGTAATCGTTTGATCCATAACTATCATCACTTATTCTCTAATGCTGAAATCATTCCAGATTGATATTTTCATTGGCACAAAACATAATAAACTAATAGGAGAAGAAACCCAACTGACAGATTTATCAGTTTCGCTTGACGTACAATTCAACATAGAAGTTACTGAGTGTAAAATGATTTGCATCGTCGAAGATTAGATATCTCCTACAAAAAGAAGCCCGGATAGAAATGATTCAAAGAATGATTAAACCTCGATGCATACTTTCACATCTGATTCTCATCCAGTTTTCAGCGATCTGTTTATTTGTTCTTCATTTCTTCTCATTACCGAAGAAGTAAACAATACTTTATCATTAAACTCACCAGCATCAATAGATAGTCGTCGACCAACAGTTCGATGACGATTTGTTCTCATTCTGTTCACGATAGAAATCGGTCATATTTGACATCTCAGGGTATTATATAGATTGATAGAAAGTCATAAAACTATTATTAATAGTTCTTGTACTCAATAGTCACCACAGCGCGATTTATTGAATAATTGAGAGATGTTTTCATATTTTCAAACGAACAAAGCAATATGCAGTGATATATCTAATGAACATCTGTCGACCTCTCACACCCGATCAATAAAAAGAACTTGACAGGAATATATAGTTTACGATTTCTACTTGTGACATTTTAAGATAAGAAATTTTTATTTTGTAGCCTAGACGTCGGGTTTAAGATGTTCGATTCGACTTATGCGCGATTTGCGGATGAGGAATAGCAATATGATGCCAAACGATTCGTTTCCGGCTTATGAATTGCGCTGCAATTCTAAAGAATATTCAGATTACATTGTTATTAATAACCTAATTGAAATAGTTGTATATTGTCGTGTTTTTCCTTGTCGATGAATGCATATTTCACGACGATGAGATCTACAATGATGTGTCAGGTAAATATGACAAACACATGGTAAAAATTCATGAATAATATATTCATTTTTCGATGGAATATTCACACAATTAGTAGAAATGACTTTGATTCATCCGAGAACATAAATTTTCTCGTGTCTACCACATCCGTGATAGTTATATCGATTCTTGAATTCCTCTTTTTTTCAAACATTAATCCCTTTCAAGGATAATTATAACAAATATGTTTCTATTTCGAAATGATTCTCATGTCATCGAGACAAAAATCAGTTAACACAAGCTGCGAGAAGTCAGACTGACTTTTGTTAGGCTCTCCGGCGTAGTAATTACAAGCGTATGTTATTTACTAAACCGATAGCGAGAAAAAAAAACCCTTGTCGAATCGCATTCGTTCAATAGAGAATATTCTTCATCGATGTACTATGGTCCTGTCTTATTGTGCTAATTGTAAATTCGATGAGTTTCTGTCAGACAAGTTTGAATTTCCTCTGGTTGTAATCATTCGTATTTCATCATGTTGAAATAATCAGATTGGAAATTATTTCTTTTTTTTTTCTATGTAGACAATTTCTTGTTACTATCTTGACCAACACCATTGAATATCATGAACGTGACAATGAAAACACAACAGAAACGAAGCGCAGGAGAAGAAGACATCAATCAACGATGAATGAGAATGTTCTATCAAGTTAATCAGAAGAGAAATCTTAATCATTGCCAGATAATCTTCGTTGTTGAGGATTTTCTCTTGATGGTATATCAGTATTTCTCACGATTGAATTTTTAATCAGCCATCGACGATTAAATCGATTAGTTAATGGTGTATCATGCCAGCACCAACATCGTCGACTGCATAAATTAATCCAAAGTAACAGAAGAAAAACGATTATCATAAAAACAATTCCTGCGATATAAATAGCATTGATAACACTACGTGTACGAACTGGTGACGATGGAGTTGTTGATGACGTGATTAAAGTAAATAACTTTGTACTGTTATCGAACATATGTCCTTGCCGATGTTGTTCGTTCATTGTGTTTGCGACTCTCTATAAGACTTTCGTGAGGCTTATATGGTGATGGCTTAATGGAAAATTTTCTCGGCTGTTTTTCAATAATTGTATCATATTTTTGATCTCGAATGGCGCGGCAAAGGAAAAGAGGGGAAGGAAGAGAGAGAGAGTTTATTAAATCAATACTGTTGATGTTTATGTGTCCGAATAGATATATACCATAGAAGATAGTCTTGATCGTTGATGACAACTAAGGGAAGACAGTAAAGAGTAATATCGACTAACACTTTTTTAGATGTTCTTGTTCTTTTCGTTGTTTAGACCGTGTATATAGGCGTTGTTCTATCCGAGTAGTTCCATTTGTTTCTTCGTTTTCTTCTTTTTTGTTGTTGTACGCGTAATAAAACTGAAGAAAAAGAAATATATATATATTTATATGGAGAGAACGACGACGAAGTACGAGAAGAAAGAAATGAGGAATAGATCTTTTATTGAACTGACAGCAGCTTCCGTTTTCTTTTCTCGCTCCTTCTCTCTCTCTCTCTTTCGCTGTTTTTATTCCATTGACGAGTCATGAACAAGAAAACGCGATCAGGAAAAAAATGAATAGAACAAATTACAATAGACAAGCAAAAATCTCAGTCAACTGACAAGATTGTAAATAAAATTTGTTTGTGATTAAACATCTCGAGCAGTTTAACGTTGAGTATACTTCGTTGTGTTGTTTTTCTCTTCTTTCCTTTGTTGCACACAATCTTGAACAAATCATTGCGTGACTATTGTCCAATTATTTTCCTTTCTTACTAATAATCATAAAAGAAAAGACAGAGATAAGCATGACAAGAACTCAAGTCTTATTTATGATTGGTTTAATCAGACTGTTTTCAATTCAATACTTATAAAAAAATTCGGTTTATTCGTATCGAGTTATGTAAAATCGTCGGATTTGATAGCGTGTGTTGGAACGCGCTGGTCAAAGTACGTTCTGACGTCAAAAGCATACGCACAATTTCGTCATAGAAAATATTATATTTACATTGGATGTTTAAATCAATCTAACATTTTTTTTTCTCGCGCTTGTATATCGCCTTGGCGAATCACTCAGGTGTAACCATGATATGATTCATAGACTGAAAAGTATGCATACAAACACATATTTTTCATGATATAGCACGTGTTTGTTTAGTTAGACGAACACTCTGTTCCGTACCTTTCCTTTTTGTCAACTGATTATTTACAATCAACCGAGTGCTGTATAGTTTTGCTCGAAAAAATATGTATCAAGATGCAGGCTATGGTCAAAACTGGCAGCCAAGAACGAATAATGCTAGGTAGAGTAACCGGATATGGCAACTATTGTTGAGCTTATTCTATTCTTGTTCGTTTCATTTCCTAGACGTATCGATCCGTATACGCGATCGATAAAAGTGTTAGGTGTGCTCTTTGCTGTCGGCTTCGTTCTAATTGTTATTATTGTACTTTCCTTAATTCCTCTCTATATATCTCAGAATTCCACATCTGCGAGCAGCAGTGTTCAAGTGCCAAGTAAATAATTTTTATGCTCGATGAAGTTTTTGCTTATTTGATCATGTAGAAGTGTCGATGAGTGATTACAATCTACGATTCCAGCCCCCTGCTGATAATTTCGACTCACAGACGGTTCTGTCCGACTTAAACAATCGACAAACGTTGCAAGCAGCACTGACATCGTTGATTCAAGTAGACTCAACGATAGCCGGTTCGATAGTGGAAATCAATACATCAGTTAAATCATCATCGAGAAGAAAACGTCGACGACAATCGTCAGCATTGTCAAGCATTTCATTCGAATTGAATGTTATCAGTAGTAAAAGCTGCACCTCAACAATGTGTCTAACTCAATTTCAAACCCGTGCTGTTAGTTGTTTAACAAATGTTCGTCAAGTGCTGTCCAGTATTCGTTATCAACAGCCGAATACGACAACAATCTATTGGCTGGATTATAAACTACCACAAACAGTTAAAGCGAGTAAGATTGTTTCGAATTGTATGAGAAGGTTGCAGATCGAAAGGCCACTTTTAGATTCGACATTTGTCACCGTTGACCCAAAGTTTATGTCATCGATGTTGAGTACATTGTTAGAATTAGACGAAAGTCAAAATCGAGCAACGAATACAACTTCGACAGCAACAACAACAACGACAACAACGACAACGACGACGACGACGACGACGACGATGGTCGCTTCCTAAACATTTCGTTTAATTTAATAGTCAGATAAGCGAAAACTTGTTGATAAAAATTTCAAAAAAATAAAATTTGAAATTTCGCTTGCAACACATGGTCTGATTCTAGAAAATTCTGGTCGATGAGAAAGTAACGAAGCTATTCCAGCTAAAAACAGAATTTCTTCAAAGACGGATAATCTTATTTCTAACAAAAGTACACTATTCCGCACGCCTATAGAACTCAAGCTTTAATCTTTAGAGCAGCAGCTTTGCATCTATATTAAGACGCTGGTATTAGTGTAAGTATCTTGCAAATACTTATCTTTCTTAAAAATCGCAGAGAAGTTTTGGAATACATGGCGAAGAATAGAATTATGGGCTTAGTCTAAATTACGAGTATTTGTTTTGCGATAGTGCGAAAAGCGCAGTAGGGAGACTTCGAGTGAAGTACTATTGAATTGACATATTTATCTGTACTCAGAATAGAGTTTTTGATGCTGGAATCATCGAGGTTCGACATGTGACATGGAGTGCATTCTGGTACATCTAGTGGAAAACGATGTAGTTTTCCAACAATCCTTTAGTTAATTTGATTAGAATACGGGTCGGTTCCGATTGAATGAGACTCTATCTTCTAAAATTCATGGTTAGCCATATTGACCGATGTAGCATCTTTTTGCGAAACAAAATAGAAAATTCAGTCAAGCATGAACAGACAGGTACGCACCCATACTTAGAGTATTCAGCAGTATAAATAAAAACATCTAATTGAATCAGTATTTTTCGTGAATTACAGTATTAGTCGGTAAAATACATTTCTTTCAATAGATATACAGAAAAACGTAAATTAGCAAATGAACAAAGTCGCGAAAATAACAGATTAAGTTCGTATTTGTCTTTATCCGTGAGAAAACTTTTGATTAGTTCAAAGCGTTTGGATTGACTCAAACTGAATAACACATTAGTAACAAGTTCTGCATTCTTCTCGATTGCATTGTATTGGTATAGCAAAGGTAATTCATGTAATAGATCCGCAGGTATATCTGCTTGAAACAGGCGCTCTAAGTCACTTATCATCGATAAATATTCCAGTTTCATGTCATCAGTGATGCGCCGCCATTGTTGAATAAATTCGGTAATATTTTTAGGCGCAGTAAATGTTATTTGTTGATGAACTGACGAGGACTTGGATTGTACGGAAGCATTGGGAGATGAGGATAGTGAAGAAGATTTCGTAGCTGGTTGATTCCAAGAAATCGGTCGGCGTTCTAAAGTTAACGTTTCATTTCGATCAAGTGGACGTAGATGTGCCGCTTCAACAATTTGCTTGAATTCATCGTAGGTTGCACATCGTTGATGAACGGCACGAAACTTAGCATCATTTCTCTGCCAATGTCGATCTTCTTTAGATCTTTCGTCTGAAAAATTCTTCGCTAATTTTCTCAGGTCGATCGGTTTCATCATGTGTTTGGACATTATCTCGAAGTGAAAATGAAAGTCATGTCTCTAAGTAACTAACCTCTTTTGTTTCATTGGTTGGAATTCTTGCATTAATCATTCTCTTGGAAGAAGTGTGCGTATAAAAGAACGTGTGTAACTTTCATCAACATCATCTATTTCAAAAGGAACACACAAGAGAACAACGAACGAGTGAGTGCCTCGCGTTATTCGGTTGTCAATGAGTAAGATTAGTAGCTCATCGTACATTATTGATGATGATCAAAATCGATTCGCTATGGATTTTTTGTTCGCTCAGTTGAATACTGGGAATGGGACAACATCCAAGCCCTACTCTGATCGAAATCTACCTGCATCTTTCTTTCGACAACCATCGGCACATATTCCAACCAAAGATCAACACGCTCAACATACAAAAAATCAACGTAGTCTACCAGGAAGTTCAGCGAAAGCTACAAAAGGCAACGATAGCCATGCACATTCGAGGACTATTAGTGACAGTGCTGTACTTAATGGGCAAGTTGCAATGAGTTCAAATTTATCCCAAAACCATTGGCATTCTACGGCACTTCCTTTGCCTGATGGATGGGAAGAAAAACTAACAGACAATGGACAAATCTTCTATATCGAGTAAGACGTAGCATACGTTTTAGAAAGACTAAGAGACTTATTTTGGTGTAAACTTTATTCTTATCGAAGATGAACTTTTACGATTACTAACAAACTCCATGATAAACTATTCTTTCTCGTCATTAGCATTTGTTTCATCGACTATCAAAAGAAGCTCAGCAACCTTTGTTTTCTTCTAGTCATTTCACTAGAAGTACAACATGGAATGATCCTCGGCCGAACCATTATGCAAAATTTCGATCGTACTGTGCTTCACTTCAATTGCCTGATGATTATGTTCAGAAAACCGATGGCCATGGACGAGTCTACTTTATGAATGTCAAAACTAAACAAACGTCCTTGGTTGATCCGAGACCAAGTAAAGTTCTCTTCATTTTGATGCGAAAGAAAAATACCTTCTCGTTTTCAGCCTACTATCATTCGTTGATGACTAAACGCTTTGATGTCCCATCAGTAACAGTTCCACAAACGGAAGAAAATCTTGCCGAGAAACTGACCACAATCGCGAAAGAAAGACAAGCCTTGCAACAACGAACACAAGAATTAGAAAGATTAGTAAGTGAACTCTTATTTCACGCTACGAATTTCTAATCTTCAAACCTTATCTAAATGCTTCAGCACAGATAATAACCGGTAGGAATGAATGTAGTCTTTCTCGTAATACTGTCGTTTCGGTTCGATTTTCTATCCATACGTATGAGTCATCGACGTCGCTCTATTTTTAGGAAGCTGAATTACAAGAGAAGATGCTTCGCTCGCATGGTATGAACAATCTAATTGCGACCAATCACACTACTGTTCAATCATTACCCGTCGGTTCACTTGCTCACAAACGATACGAAAGTACCGATAGTGGCCTAGGAAATGGTAAGTAGTTTCAGCAGATTTCGTGTTTAATGTGATATTTTTGTATGGTTTAGATTATAATGATTCGAATGAATTATTTGATACGGTTTCCAATTTTTCTGATAATCATCTTTTTCCGGATTCGACAGGTATATGTGATATCCATAGTGTACTAGAATTCAAGGTTAAATCTCATGATTTCTCTTCGTCTCAGACTTTAGAAGTTCACCTATGGACACACATTGTGCTGGTCAAACTCCTCATTCTACTTCTGTGGCAAACAGTTGCCAAATGAATGTTAGTAGTTTGTCAGATATTTGTCTATTTCTATTCTTATCTTATCTTATCTATAGACGAAAGCACATCAATCGATGCAGCAATGGTCTTCCAGTACTCGTTTTTAAACATAAGCAATCGTGTATTGAACAGTGATACTATTCGGTGTATATCCATTCCATTCATCTTGATTCTATCGTATAATTTTGATGATTTGTTCTTTTCTATTTTGACGAAACTGATGCTAAATAAGTGATTTTTTTTGATAAAAAGAATAAATTTCGAAAGTATTTGCTTTTGTTACGAGAAAACACATAGATAAGTTCCTTACAAAATAAATTGGATTATGTATATGATATGTTATGTTTATCTTCTGATAAAAATCGATTAGTCATATATAGAATTTTTCCTTTTACGATATCGGATTGCTGTTTTTCTATATGGAAAGTTGTCGGTAAAATTGGTTTGCTGTTTTGTACTTTTAGTTTTACTGATTTTCATCAACAGTTAATGTTTGATAAGTTATCTGATTTTTTGCAAAAGACGTCTAAAAATCATGGTCACGAACTCGAACGTCACTGATAACGTTTTTCAATCGCGTCATCTCTAGTTAAACTCAAGCTCAAAAACTCCACAAAATAAGACAATATGACTAGGATCAGTGACTTCAGTGCAGTTAGGAGCACGGTCGTCTTTTAAGATTTGTAATATGTTTAGAGCAACAACCATGTTTAATCGAAATTGACCGACAGTTTGAAGCATATGAATAGGAATCCTAACAACTTTTCTACAGTAGATATGACTTATAAGTTTTACTCTACTGCAATATATCAATGTTATTTTCACGAAATTCTTTGCTTATTGAAGTGCTGGCGATGATGACAAAGAATCGATAGAATCTCGTACGGTTTCGACTACTGTATTCATGAATGATCTTTTTTACCACCACAAGATTATGCTCTTGTTATTTACCTGTTGAATGAGATTGATCGACCTGTATTTGGACGAGTTAAAGCAATATGTAAAATTGTAAGTTTTCCTAGAACAATTTGAACTATTCCTGAATTACAATTAACCTTGCGACAAACATTTCAATTAAATGAGAGAATCTAAAGAACATTCTTTTCTCCGAATAATTATGAAAATGTATTCCTTCTCAAATAAAAATGATTATTAAGACCAACCAAAGTCAATCATATCTCTGTCTCAGTTCTGCTAAAATATTCAATCCTATGACTAATATACAAATAAATGCGATACAAGATTCTTTTTATTGAAATCTCACAATGTTTGTCAGTAATGAGACGCCTACCCAGACGTATATTTTCTGGTGATCCCATTGGCGTATTTCGAAGAATCAACAAGAAAAACGACTGACATCATTTCATCACAAGATTTTACGCTATTACAACTATTCCTTTTCTAACTATTACATGAATAAAGATTAAAAAAGCGAGAGGAAAAACACAGATAACAAGAAAAAAAAAGGAAACCACAGAAAAAGCGACGATTTTATCGCATTTTTCGCCAAGCCCACGTTTCATTGATGCTTATCTAAATAGATACAAATATATTTAACATTAATGGAAGGAAATTATTAGTATATGATAACCTTTTTGAGACTTTTTCGTTTCGACGTGGCCGGATAGGTCTTCTGCTCGCTATCAGAATCACTATTAAATGAACTGATTTCGATATCACCTGCAGAATTTCGTGCGGCTGTCACATAGGTCGTTGCAGCTGATCCAGTGATGAGATTTGATCCAATAATATTATTGGCATTATTATTTGCTCGATAGGCAATGGTGTAAACAGGTTGAGTCGGATTTTGTACTAACATTGATGGTTGTGCAACATTATATTTGATCATATTTTGTGGTTTCATCTGAATACATCAAGCGCGTAAGAATGATTATTGGAAAGCTGAAGACAAGTACTTACGATGGTTTGAGAATTGCCTTCGACGAATTGTTGATTGTTTTGAGGTAGTACATAGGACATCGGCTGCGAAGTGTTGCTTGATGTCATAGCTGATGTTTGTGTTGATGGATTGGCTTGAGGAGGTACTTGCGATTGAGGATGATAGTAGGGGACTGGTATTGGAACGAATTGAGTTGTTTTTGGCGTACTATCCACAGGAACTGTACTTTCTTGAGGACTGTATGATCGCGATCGATTTCGTGAATGATGTCGAGAACGTGAATGAGAACGATGGCGCGATCGACTGACATGAGGACACTCGTCAAATTCGGAATTCTATCAAATAAAGTTTGACTTTCGAGAAACATAATACATCGAAAACTCACTTCAGTCATTAAATGACGAGAATGATAAGGATCAAACTATAGAACAGATGATAGAAAATATCATTCGGATTGGTCTTGCCAATGACTTACATTTCCATTGGGATACACATTTGGGCTGCCAGGTCGAGAGTAGCCAAATAAACTTGGAGGCGCTGGTTGATATCCTGGATTTACAACACCAGGATAAGTGGGTGGTGGAGGATAGCCCATAGGATTCTGTTGTGGATGGTTTAAACCGTTAATTTGATAGCAAGTGTTGGGATAATCTTGATATTGAAATTGTTGTTTCATCCCTGATGTCGTATTGCTATTCAAATACAAAATCTGATGGTTTTTTTTCTCTCTAATTTATCATCGCTGATCACTTACCCGTCTGACGGCACTTTACATACACTTCCGTTGTATTTGTCACCACTATGACTGAAAATGCCAGTCACCTGCATACTACGATAGTCACACCAATAGAGTATGGATGCAATTATGAAACAGATCGACGTTATGAAAGATAAGACAAGATTTGGCACTAATAACCACATTCCCCATCGACGAGGATTATCATTATCAGGTAATTTTAAGCGTTCCACATAGACAACAGATTCATTGGCAAACACGGTAACACCAATGGCGGTGAATATGACTGAAAATAAATAGAACATATTTCAACGATAAAACTCATTTTCAAGCATCAACAAATGAATTAAGATTTCAATCACATAGATCAAGCGAATGATAGAAAATTAGCGCTGTATTGAACGAAAGCTCGTTACATCACCTAATTTTTTTCTACACGCAAATCAAATAAAACAACATGCACATTATTCATGCAATAAGTAAGCGTTAAGTTTCGTTCGATATCTTGACCAAAATCTCAGATTGTACAGTTCTATACTTACAACTTAAAAACGCGAATAATGCTGCAAATAATACCGAAGTGACAAAGATACGCCGACACATGAAACCAATACAAGCGGATAAAAGTGACAGACAACCCAGAGCTAAACCAAATGGGATAAGGACTTGAGCAACTCGAACAAAACCTATGAAATCAAAGAGACTAATGACCAAAACAATATAACAAGTCTAAGCTTTCTCACTAGGCGAATCTCGGTTCCATAGTGTACAAATAAAGTCATTTTCGCTGGCCGAGAATATACACTTATACCATAGACCAAATTTCTTGAAGACTTTCGTAGAATTATCAAAAGAGACGTCACCCTTCAGCCCATCGCGTTCATAGAATTGTAGCCAATCTGGTACGGAAAAGGAGACCCAACCGAAGACTAAACTAAATATCAATAAGCCGATACCAATTGATGTTAGTATACGTGTTGGTATAGTACGATGATACATTATATCCAGGTTTGATTGTTTTGTAAAAGTTTTGACAAGTATTTATTAATTTAGTAAATAACGACGGTACGGAATGTTAAGGCTTTCGCTTAAACATTACTTAACGTTTGCCTATCAATGAATTTGAGCTACTTATACGTTAAGAATAAATATGAATAATAACGTCGAGACGTATAAATGATTGATCAGCATACGAGTTCAGCTGTATTGTTGCTTCAGTAACTTCGAATAGAAGAAAATTATAGGACATCGACAGATAAGATATATCTAATGGTCACACACAGATGAGCAGAGATATCTCGTTCTCCTCTTCTTTTCGTCTTCTCAACCAAACAGACAATGAAAAGAACATAAGTTTTTATAAAATGTATATGTATATCTATATCTATATATACTTATACAAATATTTGCCTAAGCAAGATGCGCCTTCTCGATTATTGCACATACAAAAAAAACATTCGCTTCGCTGTTCTGTGTTCTTAATTGTCGCGTACGACGAGAGAAAACGGCGTATAGCTGATCATCAAGTAAGCCATTCGTATGTTCAACTGGCGAGTTCAATGAACCGTTGAACTTTCCCTTCGTCTATGTACCTGTATACCTCATAATATACAAAAGCATAGGTATAAATGAAATGGGGAGGGCCAAAATGAAACGATTGAATTGTTTGTTTGCGTGTGTGAAAAAGAGAAATACTTACTCAACAAGTCACAGTCATGGCAAATCGATGAGATATTTCACCATCTTCAATTTCATATGTGATTTTAAACAGTTGTTGTACAATCTGATGTCATCATCCGATCGTTTTCTTTACCTCCATACACAACGACATTGAATTTTGATGAGTTATATCAAAGACAAATTTCATTATTCGTTTCAAATTAAGATACTTATCATCACACAGAAACATATATAAGATCAGTTATGAGATATACGCACGTATACGTATATGTATATACGAAAATATAGTCGAAATAAGATGGTCAATTATGAAAACAAAGTGTGATCATGGCTATTCGTTGCTGAGTTGTCCTACTTATATAAGTGATAGATCGTTACTCAATTGAAGTATTGCTTTTTTCTCACTTTGTTGTATGCATTTGTAGATCTGATAAGCCTCGGATAATGGTACGATTGGGGTCACATGCACCTAGAAATGTTCAGTCATCAATCAAAAGATTTGTTGGGGAGGGTAATCCTAAATGACAATTAAGTTTAACTAAAGCGATATCTCCACTTGATCGGATTAGTTTCATTGATAAGAAAAACGTCTCTACAAATTGTCACTTGCGTCGCCTTAGACTCTGATGTATTTTCGTGTCGTGCAGATAAAGGAAAATAATCTTTCAAAATCATTCGTATTGTTTAGTCATGTGTTGATGATAGGATACAAAATATCTATTGTGACAACGAGCGTCGTTCATCGTGTGATCACTTGCTATATATTTAACAAGGCATTTAATTGATTTATTCGAATGTCTTGCAAATAGAACGAAATCATCTATCTTCTTACTTTTTGGTGACTGATTATATTTTATTAGAATCTTTCAATTATAAGAACAAAAATATATATATGTATTTATAAATAACTGATAAGAATAGAAAAGAAAAGAGACTTCTGTTGTTCAACGATATCTGACAGCATATTATCACATTAAACCGACACTTTCTGCTTTGTTTAACAATTTGAGAATCATCTCGTGTGCTTGATCGGGATCTTTGATCGACTTCAACTGTTCCAATTCATTCCAGATTAATTCCACCGATTCCTGAACGATGAAAGAGAGTATAGTGTTGAATCGTTATATCGAACAAAACTTCTTACACTCGAAGCAAATCCATGCCCATGATTTTCTTTGCCGGTGTCATCGTTATTGAATTCTTCTAACTCCTGTGCTCGTTTCTTGGCAAATTCAATCACATGATCAGGAAATTGTGCGAGTTTAGCAACATGAATACTAAAATGAATGCAATGATTTTGACGGCGTCCTCGTTTTTCAATCCGTAATGAATTAACCTACCCGAAGCTTTGATCGCACACGCCAGGCTTCAATTTATAAAGTAAGACAAGTTCATCATTGACGGGCAAGGCGTCAACATGAAAGTTCTGTATGATACTCGAATGGTCATGTTCAATGGAGGTCAATTCGTGAAAATGCGTAGCAAATAAACAAAAGCATTTGATAGTCGTGCAAATATAGTGTGCAACAGCCCAAGCAAGACCAAATCCATCATATGTCGACTAGAACGAAGCACAAACGATTTTTTGACATTATTCTCATTGCTAACGATACGTAATGTGTCTTAGTTACAAAAGACACACTTATCTATCGAGTAGTTAGAACACGATACTAGTCGCTTATCGGGTATAGAGCGAAAGTTCAGTCCATGATGACTTACCGTTCCTCGACCAAGTTCATCGATAATTAAAAGTGAATTGCTTGTGGCGATGTCTAATATTGTCGACATTTCTAACATTTCGGACATAAATGTGGAAACTCCTAATGCTAGATCATCATTTGCGCCAAGCCGAGCAAGAATACAATCAACAATAGTTGTATGACATGATGTACATGGCACGAAACAGCCTATTTGAGTCATCAATTGAATAACGCCCACCTAAAAGATTACCGTGAACGTCTTCTCATTAATCCTCTGTTTTTTATGCTTACTTGACGTATGTACGTTGATTTTCCACCCATATTCGGACCTACAAAACAACACCAACAATAACGACTCAATTTTTATTTGATGAATTCTTACCGGTTATGATTTGAAATCGATGTTTGGTTCGATCTAATTCAACTGTATTCGAAATGAAATTCATATTGTCTTGTTTTTCCACACATGGATGTCGCGAGTCAACTAGATGAATTTGTTGCTTCTCGTTACTTAACACCGGTCGAATGTAGTTCCCATTCACCGAAGCTATCGCAAATGAAACCAGACAATCTAGCTGAGCAAGAATCCTACAATAAAATTAACACACTTATTGTAACTAGCAAAACGTTCGCGACAGATTATCGTGATAATGCAAAACGGATTTAATTATACCAACAGATAAAATCGTCTTTTTTTTTATTGCAGTGATGTCATCACTGAAGGCAAATATCATCTACGTTTTTCGTTCACACCCAGAAATGATTAAAATGGTCAAAGGGAATTAGTAATGGTTCGTTTCTTTCTTGCTTTCTGGCGTTTCAAACATTAATCGACGAAACGTATCACTCGTTCGTTCATATTGATATACATATACATTCAAGATGATAAATTGCTGTATTGATAGAGTTATACCTCTTACTCGCCTTCTAAAAGCTCTCGAATACTCCTGTCCTCTTTTGAAACGAATACATAGGTCATACATTAGATTAAGATACATATATGTGAACTTACTCTGCTAATTGACTGAGCGAATCGCAATAACCCGAAGCGATATTGAGAACATCGTCAATAACTTCTTTGGATGTTTCGTTATAAGTCGCGTTTAAGCTGGAATATTTCGTATTTAATTCAGCTAAACGTATGGTTTGAAAGAAAATGCCTTCTTTCTTTGTCACTTTAATGGTGATGTTAGGTAGTTGTTTTTGTAATGTTGCACTTTCTTTTCGAACGATTCGATATAACCAACCACCTTGTTTAGGGTCGTAAACTAGACGGACTGGTTCTTTGACTGATTCATTCCCGCCTTTTCTTCCGCGACCTGGTGTAGATGAAACGTGAGGAGATAGTTTTTCACAAACTGATGATAAATCATCGTGCATTTTCGATTCCAGTGCAAGCTGTTTTTCTCGACATTCTAAAACCAAGGTCAGACTTTTAAATCGAAGGGAAAATGCAGGCTAGTGTACCTTGTAGATCTTTATCATAATCTGGTTTAATGACAAATTCATGATTACGAATGCGGTCTAAATCGATCGTTGTTTCGATCATTTCAATGTACTTGCTGAAAACGTTGATCATATCCTAGAATAATAATCACATTTTGAAGAGAAAGGAGGTTCGGCAGGATTGAAATACTCGGATAGGCTCAACAATGAGATGGTCTAAAACACCTTTGTGTGGTCCATTGAATTCACTGATGTACTCCAGTAATTTTGGCATTTTATTAACGGCAACATAGATTTTATAGCAGTCCTAGTTCGAAAGAAAATCTAGAATGGAAGTTACGGAAATTGCTCGGGTTTACCTCGAGATTTGCTTTTTTGCGGATAAATTTTCTTACGAGGCGTTCAAAATCAGGCACGCGACCGAGAAAATCTTGTGAAATGTATGTGCGAATGCCCGAATCGTTCACAAATGCATCGACAATATCCAACCGTTCATCTAAGCAGAAACTTTATTTTCTGGCGAGAAGGAACAACAAAAGGAAGCTCGTACTGATTTTTGCCATGTCGGTCAATGGTTGTTTGAGCCATTGCATCAGTAATCGTTGTCCTTGTGCTGTGCGGCAATGATTGAGTAAACCGAAAAGACTCGAAGATTTTGCATTGGCACCTGAACGGGTAAATTAGTTAACAGCTACTGATTCAGATCCGAAAGATCTCAACTCACTGAAATCTGGCCGTTGTCGTTGATCGGGAAAGATATTCAAAGCGATCATTGCTGCTGTATCAAGTCTCATATAGAGATCAGGTTGATGTGTTTTCAAATGAAATCGATTGCATTGATTTTTATCCGAAAGTAACTAAAAACGAGTTTTCGTTGTCAAATTCTCTTAGTTCTGTTTCAATTTACTTCGAGGAACTTAATGGCTGCTGACAATGCACATTTCGCATGTTCCATTTGCACTTCCGCTAGAAAAGGAGAAGCCTTTTCTGAAAAATTCTCCAAAAACCTATGATAAACATACACATAACGCCAACTTTCATTTCGAATTTGTCATTATCTTCGTCTTTGCCTTTGACTAACAGACGACAAAGATCTTGTTTAATATCCTTTGACGAGAAGTCAGCTAAAATAATCCACATGTATCTTCGTACTATCATCTATATTGTCATACCTTTGGGTCGTTCAGTCACAAGTACACCTGATTTCTCGATGACTTTCTTCAATTGTAAGTAATTGTCTTCTGTCGCAGTAAATGTTGGCAATAGACATTCCTTTGGACCGAGTTGAACCAGAATGGTCTTTTTAGAAGTAAAGAAAAGCTCAGATTATTATCTACTCAACACTTTTCTTACTTCTAAATTCGAATAATGATTGGATACAGTGACTTCGCACATTTTGATTGTTAATGTATGAACATCTATCAATGCGAGACCAATAATCTAGAGTACACGAAAACATATTTCGAGGATACACTTCATCGGTCGACTAATAGTTCACTTACAGTGACACCGTTCTCCTGTGCTAATTTACATGAGAGTACACCTGACGAATTTTGAGATGTCGAAGATGACGAAAAGAGAATGTCTTCAAATTGCGTGAGATTGCCAGGTGAGCCCTATATGATTTGGAAATAGTCGATTATACAGCAAAACAGTTGCTTATTTACATGATATGTCAGCGTCCATTCATTGGACGCTTTTTGTGCTTTCTTCCAAATTTCAACTCGATATTGTTTGATCAATAGGAGCTTTCGAAGGATGTCTTCGAATTGTTTATTAGAAATGTAAATGGTTTCAAGTGACTTTTTCGGATCTATGAAAAATCAAAATAAATCTTCGATTTTCTAATCATTCATTCACTTCCAGTGACGCGCCATTACCTAATGTTTTCCAATATTTCAATGAATTTGTTGAATGCAACAATTCTTTGGCAATAAAAAGTGCGTCATCTCCATGACATGTATAGTATTCATTATGTTCGAATAATCTTATCGTTACCGCAGTTTTCGGCGGCAACTTTTTAAATACTCCATAAAATTCATTATCAACTATGGACGTGATTCGTTCGTTCAAAACATTCGTAGATTCACTCGAAATCTCTTCGNACAAGAAAAAACATGGTCAGTCACCATCATCTTCTGCCCAGAAACTGAATGAAAATGAAAGAAATAAACCAATCCATAATTTCACTCGAAATACCGATTATTTGTTTGTAAAAATTTTTTCTATGAAACTTTGCCGAAAATTATTTCGCAAAAAAATTCATTCGTAAAAATGTAGAAATTAAACATATTAGCAAGCAAATTTCTCCAAATGCATAGATGATTCATAGACACCATTGTAGAGGTCAGGAAGGATGGCAATTGAAAATGGTATATTTGTTCTTTTCTTTCGTTTCTTTTTTGTCGGAAGAAGACATGTCAGGAGGTACGAAAGTCAGATGTCAAATATGAGTTGAATTTTAAATTTGGATTTATCTTCTAGTCGAACTTGATCTTATTTGTCCAGAAATTGATGTGGATGATTTTTCATCCGTGGCAAGTACGTACTTATCTAAAACTTCAACGAAAGGAGTGTCGAGATTTGATCTATGATGGAGTTTTACATAAGCAGTTGTTTATCATCTTCCGCTCAAGATCGAGTGTATCTTTTTCGTCTAGAAACAAATCACAATGAACATAGTGACATTGAAGATGATCAAGTAAAATTGATTGGAATGATTTGGGAAAGAGAACATTGTTTTTCATCTGCTTAGGTAATCGAACAGGTCGAAGATCTTCCGCCAACTACGAATCTTGAAACTCAAATATCTAGTGAAAGTCTCCCTCCACAAAACACGAATCAACATGGTAAACTACTGTTGCCTGACTAACCTTGAAAAGTCAATGACTTTGCTTTTCTAGAAGAATCAATCGATTCTCAATCAAATCCTACTCAAATCGACAAACCAGAAGAAACTGAAGACTTTCAATCGACAATAGCAGATGCAATACCACAACCTCCAATCGAAGAGCAGACTATTCCAATTAACAGTAATGAGAAAAGAAAACCTCTGCGTCTATCCCATCTTGTCATGTATATTTTAGATGAAAAAGATCTAGCTGCATTGAATACTATATTTCATGATACGGTTTACTTTTTGATCAAAAGCGGAAACGAAGAAAATGTTTCGTTGGCGAAAGCTAAGGTAAAGTTCGATTGAGATATCGATGAACTATGCATTTCTGTTCTCTAGGGTGTTTGGTCTACACCGCCAGCCAATGAAAATAAATTGAATCGAGCCTTTCGAGTAAAACCTATTGATTCGACGGGCAGACGAAACATTGTGTTGCCTTTTTGTCTTTGCTAGGGCCATCAAAATGTCATTTTGATCTTTTCAGTCGCTGAGAGTAAAGCATTTCAAGGTTTTGCTCGAATGTCAGGTGAAGCTCGACACGATAGTCAGCCAATCAATTGGGTCTTACCTCCTGGCATGAGTAATCGAGCATTTTCAGGTGTTATTCATATTGATTGGATTTCTCGGTTAGTATATAAACATTACATTGATACATGTTAAACATTCTTCTTTATCCAGACGAAGTTTACCATTCAATCAAACTCTTCATTTATTCAATTCATGGAATGACAATAAACCTGTTAAAATTGGTCGGGACGGACAGGTATTTTGTTTTTGATTAGCTTTATCTGTAGGTTATTCTTGTTGCTTAGGAAATCGAACCACGTTGTGCGGAAGCTTTATGTCGTTCATTTCCACCCGATCCAACGATTGACATTATCTCAATTTCGAAAAAATCGGAGAAACATCGTCTATCTTATTCACCATTATCAAGCAATCCATCCAAAGATTCGAGTCACCATCATTACTCGTCGTCTCATCGTGCAAACAATTCGTTTGATAGTCATAGGTCAGCGGTGACTCTTTATTTCATGATTACTCGTCTCACAAATTTGGCTATCATGTTTCATACTAATTGCATTCAGTACAGAACTTTTAAAACAGGTGTTGGTTAATAGAGAGTTGCTTTCTTTTTCTCGATGTATTATCGACGATCCAACTAATTATTACAATGAATATCAAGCTGAAGACAAACAAAAAAAGAACTGATAATGATATATATATATATCCATATACGTCAGAGACTATATTTATATGTTCATTTTATAAAACAAACCGATGTGTATTTTTTTAAGCGAAACTGAGACTGCGATTATTTTCTGTCAGATAAAAAAGCGCAGATATTGAGTCGGATGATATATATATATATATATATATATACACTTCTTTCGAAAGAAAATAAATAAAGAGAGAATATTTTTCGTGATCTTTGTCCGTCTTACTTTAGACATCATCGGTCAAGAAGTCGAGAACGAGACAGTACAGATTCACATCGAAAACGACGACATCGATCAAGTACGTTGGTTAACATTTCTAATTAATAAAGAAGATTTTTCAATTAACAATTTCGAAGTAAACACTGCCTTTCTTTTTTCTCCATTAGCATCCTCGCATTCTGATCATGGCAATCAACGTAGTTCAAGTCGCAAGCGTTCACATCATAGTAAAGAAAAATCTTCATCGACAAATCCTGTCGATTCAACAATGTCACATATTATGGCTAATGGCGTAAGAAAACACCAAAGGAAACTACTCCTGCTCTATCATTACCATTCCATTTTAGACATACGAAGAGTACATGAAATATATGTACGAAACTCAAACGCAATACGCTGGGTATCCACCACCTATGCTTCCTCCTGTAAGACTATTCGTTAGATAGGAAACTCATCATTATTTTGCTAAATATAGGCTTATCCAATGGGTTATGACACATCTAGTTATTATCCGATGGGATTTGATCCTCACAGCATGCATGGGGCTCCTTATGGTGATCCGACAAATATGTACTTGCCTACGCCGGTACTGTCGTCGTCTGTATCTCACAATCCATCGGAATATGAACAAGAAATCAATGCTTTCCTTCGACATACCACATCATCGTCTTCACATAAAGAAAATGATAGTCTGAGTAAATCACATCGAAGCCATTATCATCATAAGACGTCATCGTCGTCATCCTCTCGGCATCGTTCGAAATCTCGTGAACGACGTCGTTAAAATTTAATTAAAGATTATCTATCTATGTTGCTTTACTTTCCTTTTTTTCTCTGTTCTTTTTTGAATGTGTATTCTGTGATACAAAGAACAATTTATCTAATAAAGAAAAACGGAACGGAGCTCAATTCCGTTTTCACACAAATGATCTTTGCTCAAATTCAAATGTAAATCATGAATACGAATAACTGATCAATGATTACAATTCATTGCCCTTATGTTTAAAGTTAATCATCTAAAGCAAGGTTTTATTCAAATGAGTTCACGAACGAGAATAGACAAACTGACAGAGAAAATGCGGAGTAAATTGCTGAGTTTTACTTGGATTTATCGCCGATGATCGCGTTGTTATTGTTTGTGTACATTGTTATTATTTAACAAGAAGAAGAAACAGATCCGGTTATATTTAGGCAGGTATTAGATGCGAGAAGGATAAGAAGAGAAGAGGGGGGATAGACTTTATTTGTAATTTTGTCGTTGTCGTTCGGATGCATATGCACATATATTGTACGAGTCGTTCGAAATAAAACCTTTTCTTCTCTTCGTTTTTTTTTTCATATATACACACACATATATATATTTATATATATATACATATGTAATACGAAAAGATGGTGATGCGGATGTGCTCTTTTGTCATCCTCACATTTGACAGCTCATCTGAACACGTACAAGAATAATCGAAAGGTAACCTGTTATTCTTCTTCTCGATTTTCTCTCTCAATACTTCGAATTTCAAAAGCTAGCTATCAAAAGTTAAACAGTTAACTTTCAAGCTTTCTCTCGTTTTCTTCTCTTGATGTTGAATTCGGAGATCAAATTTCGTATATACTCTCGAGACAGACTCAATGTCAAATTGATCATTTATCAAAAACTAACAAAATCGTACGCATCGTAAAAAAGAAATGTTTTCCCGTGTTTCTGAACGTAGAACGCTGAAGCCATCCATTTCTCCACATTCAACGACTTCCAGTCAGGTAACAGAGCGAAAGACCATGCGTAAAATACGGATCTTTTTTTTTTCGTTCCCGAAGAACGTCTTATTTTAATGACGAAACACATGACATATCCTGCCTGTCGATATTCCTCTTTTCCTATTGTTCTCACTTTTCGCATACATTCATCACTTTGACTTTTTTTTCATATTGTGCCTGTTTGTACATGATAAGCATCGTCATATATCCCATACTACTCAATCGATCATCATTAATCTAACCTCGACGTTTCGTGTGTATACACGTACATATAAATACTTTTCTCGATCACATTTTTGACGGCCAACATCATTTCAATTTGATTTCATTCCTATTCAAAGCAAGAACGACATCATCGAAAAAATACGCTTCACTGTGTTTTTTTTTTCTTACTTGTCGGATTTTTTTCCTTCGCTTGCAATCATACTCTCCACGACGCGTATGTTTACTGAACTTACCATTGACAAAAAAAAACCGTGTGCTTTTAAAAACCAACTACAAGTGTTATAATTGATTTGTTAGTCAAAACAATGATCACTATAGCAGCTACTGGCGATAATGTGAAGGAAAATGAAAGTATTGAATTGACACATTATCTTTCTTATATGATCGTTTATTTCATATTTCAAGTTGCTTGTATAATTACCGTATGTATATGCGAAAAAAAAGAAAATAATCAGAAGAAAATGCGTGTAAGGTCATTCCTTGATCAATCAGTTGTTTTTGTACATATATGCTTTAAAAAAACAGTTCTGTACGTGTGATAACGTCTCTTCTGTTAGCAATACTTCATTTCTGTACGTATATATAGTATTTTTTTGTTATATATATATGTTATAACGTGAGAATAAGAGCGTAAACAAATTGTTAGATGTTTACGATTTCGTCCAGTCGTCATCGTCAACATCAACAACAACAACAGCAGCATGTTGACGAGAATAGCAAAAACGCGAAAACCTATCGACAAACAGTAGACACACGCACACATACATATTCAGAGGAAAAAGGAGGGAAAGAGAGAGAGAGAGAAAAAAAAAGCGCAAGACTATTCTTTAACATGAGACGACAGAAAGAATGTAACATGCACGTTTAGGATCCAGAACAGGTGATTACGATGATCTTGAAGGACGATGACAGTATTACCTCTGCAGCATCATCATCTATGTCAAAATAAACGAATATACATTTCTACATTTAATTTTTCCTCACTCTACATTCAACAATAAATATTCGTCTTAATAGTAGTTATTAAGTGCTATTATTTATTCAAGGAGAATAAACTATGCATTTTTATACACATTCATATCCAACAACTGGCTATTGGACTGGCGAAATTCCTTTCTTTTCTCAGGTATATATATATATTCAAATTCTATACCCTATTGAATTCATATGCGGCAAGTAGATAAGACATGTACATATGTACTTTTTTTTTCAACAGTTATATACATCTTTATACAACTAAATTGCTACAATTAATGTCGCTTTTTTTCTTCGTGTATGCATATACTTTTATCAATGTTCAACAACCACAGGCTGTACCGACAACAGTACCCAATATGAATGTAATGGGCCAAGTAGTTAATAAAACAAAGCGGCCTGTCGTCATGCAAACAATTACAAATGAAAAACCTCCACCGCCGATATTACCCGTTCGTATTCTTGAACTCGAAGCAACTATTGAAAATCGTCCAACAACGATCGACGAGAAAAGTCCTGCTGTTCTCAAATATCGTACACCACATTTCCGGTAGAAGATTTGCAAGCCTGCACATTTACCTGTTTGAACTTTCTTTCGTCTTTTGCAGAGCATCAGCTACCTTAAAATTTCCTCCGTTAGAGGAAGGTGAACATTGGAAAGTGGGTTGGATCCAATCGTGTACACGCATGGATTTCTTTAACTCCTATGGTGATAGTGGTTATTCAAGTTGGGAATTCCCTCAGTTAATGTCCGGTCAAAATCCAATGATATCGGATTCTGATGGACGTAATTATCCGTTCTATGGTTCGAAATCTGAAGTAATCGAACTTCAAGGACCATTTTCCGATTATCGTACGATCAAAGTACTTATGAATGACAATTTTTATCCTCATATCACATGGGATATACCAACAAGTAATGAACGTTTATCACGTTTAACGAATGTTAGACGTCACCAAACATTTTATACGTGGCTCGTCGCAATGAATGCAAAAAATGGCTCAATACTTGTATTGAAAACAATCACTTGGCAAATGAATCTTGAAATCAATGTTGACCCAACGAAACCGCAAGGTTCACGTGCTGTATTGATTTCGAATCCAATTCCTATTCAACCGGAAATTCTCAAACAAAATATTCGTATACCGACGTGTGTGCTTTACCCTCCAAATGTAAATTTTGTTGAAATAATATGCATAATACGTTCATATCCGCTTCTTTTCTCTCGTTCCTAGGCAAACAGTGCCCAAATCCTCGTTTGGCATCCAGGCCGTCGTCCTGGTGAAATAAGCCAACGACCTGAAATCGTCGTACCACCACGATGCGATTATGTTCTACATCAAAATCCTTACTATGATCACTACATCCGACATAAAACTCATACATCTGTTCAAAATAAACTCAATGGCGGTAGTTCATCGTCTTCATCAACATCAACATCATCATCATCATCGTCATCTTCTTCTGAGAATAAACCTCTCGTTGTCCAACCGCCAACACACGACGCCTATTGTCGTCTGATCCATCCTCAAACATCAGGCCATAAACCGGCTCCAATTCCAGGAAATCGTTGTTACAATGGTGTAAAACATATCCTCGAGGATCATGCAAGACTGGCTCAAGGTGTGATTGTTCGATAGAAAGTTCGTTTTTGTCTACTATCATTTGTTATCTCCTGGAAAGTACAGTGAAAAGTTGAAGATAATACGTCATATGAGCGATGACGCTTTCCTTCAACTGAAAATTTTCTATTCATGAAGAAAACCTGTGGTGTGAAATATTTTTTTTGCATTATTTCTTTTAAATATATGTTTTGTAGTTGTGAAAGACGAAAAAAAATCACTATTTACTATTAGATAAACAATCCATAATCAATCATCGCACCAAATGTTTAATAACAAGGTCTGTAGTAAAAAAAAATCGAATGTTTATTTTGAGAACAGTAATTAAAGAAAATGGAAAAATAAAATACATCGATATTTACGAGTCAATCAAAGATAAAAAAATCATTTAGTTTTTTTTCTAAACACTTTAATCAATCGAAGAATAATATTGATCGAATACAAGGTCGTTTGCTTTTTCTCTCCGCTGTCTCTCGTAGTCGATGTATACATGTATATTCAATTACATGCACTAGACAACGGGATTCTGTTTTGAAAATACAAAAGCGTTTGCATCGAATGTTTTTCTTTCTGTTCTAATCGAGTTGTTTGTTTATTGTCAGTTACGCTTTGTTAAGCAGATGGCGACCGATGATAGAAAGTGTAAAAAACATGTATCGACCATCTCATATCATACATATTTATTTCTTTTTCTAATATCAGGGAGACACGCACGGTGAGAAAAGGTAATTTGTGATGCGATATGAAGAGTCACCTGTACATCGTATTCGCCCGTCCTGCTATTGATCGGTAAATAGGACGCAAGAGTGGCAATAGAGCATTGGTGTTCTACCTCACTGCTAATTATTGAATTTGAATATGATTCATTACTTGCCATTGATGTTTCGATAGAAATCCGAGTAAAAATTTCGTTGCCTGAAAGCTTTGTTGAAGTGTATGTAAAGGAGAAAAGTATGCTGATGGTAAAAAGCCGATTGATGAAAGCGTATTTTGCTGGATTCTCTGATATCCATTGATCAATTGAAAGCTGACTGGGTACATCCGTGACTGAAATGTTAATGTCTGAGAAAACTGATCTCTGTTGGCATGTAGGAATAGATTCTGCGTTTGTGTAATTAATGAGTACGAGAAGAGTACTCCGATGTTATGATTTCATTAGAAAATTTCCAGATGATCGATCGATTAATGAATTATTCTATTGTATATCTCACATATGGAGTAACTACAGTAAATACAATAACCATTGGCTTTGCCTTACTGATTAGAATCCCACAGTTTTCTTGGAAAACTTGACATACTGACACGTCTATTGAGAATTTGCCTAGGTTTCGGTGATAGAATGTAGTTTTACGACAGGTCGTGAAAGCAAACTGATTGTATACGAGCACTTCAGCTTAGCAATCAAATATTTAGTTTACTGGACCATTTGCATCCAGGTAAATAAACGAAATTTGCACCTGATTAGTCTTCTTTCAGTTTAACAAAGCCCCATAAGACTCCTAGATGGCAGAATGACATCAATCAAAACTTTCACTACACCCGGTTTCCTTGTTCTTAAACAGGAAACTCGATACGTTTTGCATTCTGCGTTCTTTATCTCCCGGTACGTAAACTACCAATGTGCCATTCTCAGCATAGACTCGACAACTGTCTGTTTCAATCTATGAGAACTAACAAAATGTGATCATTTCGTCTACATTAAATTCTCGATGAATATTCTCATATAGATCACAAGGTCAAGATTGAATCACCACTCGTAAGGAACAGATGTCTTAGGTTAGGGTAGAAATTTTGAGCGGTGATACATGCCCTTCGAAATATACAGCGACCTCCACCGTCCAGCGAGATTGGCTGGGCGACAACTCCAGTGATGAAATGAAAATTTTATTCATCTTTTCTTTCTTTCCTTTGATAACTTTCTCTTTCAACAGTCAACTTATTTTATATTACTTTTTTACACGAAAACCTCCAAATCAATACTACTTATTTGTATCAACAGTCATATTTCCCATAAGAAAACTTTTCTGTCTCTCTCTCTCTCTTTCCATGATAATAACAGCTGCTGTGCTTCACTGTATCGATCAAGTATATGTATATTTAATCATAAAAAGTCTAAACAATTACATATGCTTTGTCATCAGTCTTCTTCATCTAAATTGATCTATATACAGAACAATTCATTTGCCTATTATGATCGACAATTGATAGCTGAATATAGAGTTACATCATTTTGTTGATGTGAGGAAGGAAAAGAGAAGAAGAAGAAGACAAACTTGTTCATCTTCATCACTTTTTATCCTCTCTAGACACAAAGTATACGTGCCTTTTCCTCCCCGTCTCTTTTCCTCTCTTCATATCTCTTTCTTTGTTCTACTAACAGTAAATAATAGACCGAGCATATTGCATACATTTTCTAATCACATTGTATGCAAACTATAGGACGCGAAAGAATAAATGAGATGAGAAGCATGTCGATGTACACTGACCGAAACGAATAACAATGTGTGCGACTATGACCATCATTAAGAATTCTTCAATTCTTTGCATGTTGAGTAAGCTTAGTTCTTTGAATGAGAGTTATTCTACACAATGTCAAATGTCAATAGGCAAGAGCAGACAGAAAGGAATTGATTTCTGAAATGATTTTCTTTCATAAAAGGCTTTTTTTTAGATTTAGTTGTGCCATACATTTCCTATCGCTTGGTACGAAGGAAAAACGCTATGACGATCGACATTGTTCGATGGGTAATAAAAATACTTCACCACATTTAATAAACTCCTCATCAATAAATGGATATGACAATCATCGACCTTTTCAACAGCATAATCTAACTAATAACGACGATACTGATAATAGTTGTGAAACTTCGTCTTATCAAAGTAGTAATGGCAAGAAACATGGGCCATCGCCACGTTTTCGTCGCCGTCGTGATACCCGACAGTCGCCATTAGATAAAAAAGGAAAGAAACTCCAGGTAATACCGATAAACAATATTAATCGATTAAACATAATCTGCGTCTTTATTTGCATAATCGAGAGACATCGGCATTTTTCACGATAAAATTGACATTTATATCCTAATCTAATTCACGATCATACAGACGATAATAGGTTTCTATTTCCAACGGATTCTTATCAAGAATGTGAACGATAGCAGACAGTTTCATTCTGATTATGTGAGAAGCACGCAGTTATTAGTATAGCTTTTTGAATGAGAAAGTACACATAAAGCATGGACTAATTGAATTCGCCGTTTGAAACGTATCGATGAAAAGCGAAACTCTTGGATTCCTTTCAGAAATCGTTCTGGAGACGTCGGTGTTTATGAGAATTGAATTACGATGATCGTAATGACAACGTTTTTCTCCAGAGTAAATCTTTTATTCTAGTCTGCCTCGTCGCATTTAAATGTCAGTCTCCAATCGTTTGGTGATCGAACAATAAGTCTATTTTCTCGAAGTTTTAATTTTCTCCAACAATCGAATTCATCCTCACCATTATGTGAAACTCAACAAAAACATGACAACTATCGTGAATATCCACCGGGCTCCCATTCCGGAGTATATCGGAATCAATCGCGACGAAAATACCAAACATCATCTCTACGAAATCCGTATCGACGATCGAGTACAAACTTTCCAGTCCGAGGCCATGAAGCCATGTTTCTACCGGAGTTTTCCATCAAGGGCAAAGTTACGGAAGCAGATTTCGAAGTAAATGAAAACAGTTTTCAGTATTCTTATATTAATCATTCACAATCTAGGTCATCGATATCATTGCGAGGGGCGCATTCGGTAATGTGATAAAAGTCTCTTGCAACCACAATAAACAAGTTTATGCTATGAAGATCATGAGTAAATCGCAGATCGTTAAAGATAATGCTGTTCAACAAGTAAAAGGTAAGATTAATTGACTTCTAGCGCTATTCGACAACTGATCAATCGATATGTTTAACCGCATTGAATGTTGTGATAACCTTGGAAATATCGGGAGGCGTTCGAATCGCGAGAAGTGATTTGTTATTCCTTTTCTAAACATCAAATGATTCTCATGAGAGTATGAACTAATCAAGGTAACACTTGTTTTCATCTTCGTATGAAAAAAAGAAAGTTTTCTCATTAGTAGCAGTCTCTTGCTCACTTAAATGAAAGACTATTGAAAATGCAGAAATCGAGTCTTTTTTAAGTAACTATTTGCCTCGAGGTTATCATCAAGTCGGCATTAGCTGCGAATTCCATTCTTAGACAATCAGAACTCGTCTAAAAATACTTTGTAGTTGCATTCACATCTAAATTCAGTCGACATTTATGTGACTCGACTAATAAATTGTCTCATTTAGATGAAGTGACAATTGCACAATCGTGCCTTTCGAATTCGTTTATTGTTCATACTCATCATTATTGGCAATCTCGTCGCTTTTTATACATCATAACTGATTATGTCGAAAATGGTGAGCTATTATCTTTATGGCTGCGCATTCGTCGTTTTCCCGAAATGATTGTTAAAATTTATATCGCTCAAGTTGCGATGGTACTTGACTATCTACATAATAAAGGTATTATATATCGAGATGTGAAAATGGAGAATATTTTACTCGATGAACATGGAAATATCAAGATGATCGATTTTGGCTTATCGAAATGGCTTCCTATGGGTCAACGAACAACGACTATTTGTGGAACATTGCAGTGTACGTTCTAATCAAAAGATCTTCTCCTTAAAGATATTTGCTTTTCTAGATATCGCTCCCGAAGTGCTAAGCGTTCGACCATATGATCATCGCGTTGATTGGTGGAGTTTAGGTATCCTAATGTACGCATGTTTATTTGGTGAATATCCGGTGTCAGCTACTAAAGATCATATATCCATGGCGAATAAAGTATTAAATCATAAATTTCATTTCCCATTGAATGGTTTGGATAGCAAAACTGATATTAAAGAACTGCTCGATCATCTGTTAGAAAAGAATCCCAATCAACGTTTATGTTCGTTGGATGAACTACGTCAAACATCATTCATGTCAACTATTAGCTTCGATCGGATTTATTCGAAGTCTTATTTTCCAATTGCAATCTTGATGAATACGAAGACCGAATGGCACAATGAATTGAAAGCACATTATGGTTATCAGGGCAAATCCCAAATAAATGACAATGGAAATGTTTACCATTCGTCTCCTTCGTCGTCCCGACAGACTTTCTATGAAAATCTGAATAATAATCTATCCACTAAATGAAAACTTCCTAGTTTTGATTGTATATTCATTTAAAGAGCTTTTGTACCGTTTTGGGTTCTCATTTTCTTATGTATGTACAATAAATCTCACAATTTTAAGAAGAACATTACTCAAAAGTCTATAGATTATACTTATCTAGACAAGTCACATTCCGAACAGATAGTCAATATCTACTTTGTAGCTAAAAGCCTGACCGGATATGTTTTTTCTTGTTCAACAGACTAGATATGACACATTATGGTTGTGTTGTATTGTTTTTCTCTATGACAATTATATAGGTAAATGTCAGAATGTCTACGAGTCATGATTTAGATATAAAATCAAGTGAAAAAATGGAATAATTCACAGGATTCCAGTGATAACTATGCTTTCTACTATAAAAGCTGCACGATAAGCTACATTGTTCTATCATTTCTAATGATAGTCATGTCTTCGATTATATTCCCTGGTATCCTCTTAGTGAACTATCTATTACTCAAATCCCATACATATGCACAAGGAATCAGTTATATCAATCTTCATTTTTATTATAAAGAACTGTTTTTCGATGTCAAAGAATTCAAAACTCGTGGATTATTAATTTCTAAACAACATCTCGAAAATGTCTATATTCTATCTGGTAATCTATGGGGGAAAAATACATTTAATATCTCCAAGGTGACATATAAAAGCTCCTTCAATCTCATGTGTGATACGTGTTTAGGCAAAAGTGGACGTAATAATTAGTTATCTTATCTTGATTTTGAGCTTTTATTCTATTCTTTAGGTATAAACATACTTCTGTCTGATATACTAGACAATTGTATACAAATAATTGGTCCGCAATACGATCTATTACAATATTTACAAAAATTCATGAATTCAACCAAGACGGCTATTTTCCAATGTACAATCGAATTCATATACGATGAAACGCCTGATAAAGATAGATTCCACTTAAGTAAAACTGGTTTATTTGGTATTATTTTTCTAACAACATGTATTATTTTGACACTGCTGGTTTGTGTTGGATGGTTGGTAATATCGTATTACCGTCGACTAGCATACCGTCGAATGAAGACTAAACTGCGAAAAGCACTAGCGCATTCCGTTCAGCAAGCACTTGAGACTTCTCCGGTGATTATCTTCGATTCGAAGAATAACGACAATCCAAACCTTGATACGGAAACTATATGTGCAATTTGTTTAGACACGTTCAGTGATAACGAAAAACTCCGTCGACTTCGTAAGATCCTCCTTTAATTTCTATCTGATCGATCTCCTTTTCGCCCTATTCTAGAATGCTCACACTATTATCACGTATCTTGCATTGACCCATGGTTAATACAACATCAAAGCTGTCCATTATGCAGTCAAAGCGTCCTAGACGGTTTAATTCCATCGGTATCCGAGCAAGTGACTACGCGAGAGAATACACAACAACGTTCACGCAGTTCATCTGATTTGGAACATCAATGAATATAGTTTTTATTTGAGAAGGAGAAAAGGAAGACTTGACTAATAAAAACTACGACTCAAACATGTAAAATGAGACGAATTCGTCTACGCTCTATCCTCAAATAAGCACGATTGACATGTCGAAGGTATAGACATCTCTTCCGGTTTCCTTCTTTCCGTTTGATTGACGATGTCTCATATTTAGTAACATCAAATGTTTGTCCGATCGTATTTCCTCCCATTTGCTTCATTTCAATGCTCTGCATGATTTACAACTGACAATGTTTTCTTTTTTTCCGATGACATCACAGTTAATTGTTATTACATGTCACATTCGATCCGAACAAAACAATTGTCTGATATTATTCAATCGATTATTAATGATTCATAATTACCTGTCTTGACAGACTCCTTTGATAAAAAGTATCACCTATGTCGCAATAGTCTCATCGATTTCAATCGGTTGAGAGAGTCTATTTTTACACCGTTCTAATGACCTTGTTCTCTGACTGACACATTCGATCTTTCGCCTTGAACATTGATTTCATATTCATCGGCAACAAATTGTAACACCTGTTTAACATTTATGTAAATGTTTTTTCTCTTCTGCAAACTCTGATCCTGTCTGAACAGATTTCTAATTGTCATGACTGGACGTGTCCCGCAGCTTCATTGTTATATAAAATCGAATCGATCTCTTTCGATTATATGACACCGGATGGTGAAAAACAATCTCCTATCGAAACAAATTAGTGAGTGAACAACGAACTTTTGACCTTCTCATGTTGGAATTCATTCGTTTTGTTTTTAATTGTTTCAAACACGCACAAGTAAACGGATCGATATGTATCACTAAAAACAGAACGAAAGAAAGATGGAGAGAGAAAAATGTTGTAAGAAATGAAAATCATTCGTTTTCTTCTCGTTAGACATGTTTAATCCAAGAGGATATCTTCACGTTTTCTATATTCCAGCTTATTGCATCACCTCCCACGGGTTTTTTCCTCTTTCCACAGTCTGCTGACAACGTGTTACAATTAACAAAAAATCTCAGCATGAGATTGTTCGTTACTTGAACAGACACGTCTCGCATGTGTGTATATACATAACAACATTCGTCGAAGAAATTCAACTAAGAACGAACGAACAATTTGAGGTTTGATTTAATAATCATTTGATAAATGACATCAGGTACGAAAGGAAAAAATGAAAAATGACGAGAGGGAAATATTTCGTATTCGAAATTTTGTCGACTGGTTATGAAATACAGGCTAATAAATTGCATGTCGGCTTAGCTTACAAAGAGAAGGTCATGCCTTTCTTCGTTTTTTTTTTTCTTCTGTTAATTGTAAAGAGTAAGACAGACAGAATTGAGCTCGAAGTATGTGATAACATTTTTGCCCCATAAGATAAGAAATTTGCTGAGCAGACAGTTGGAATTGTATTTGTTAGTTTGCGCATCTTTTTCGATTGAACAGCTTCATTTCCAATTGTCTAGTTGTGTGTTTTCAAGGTTGCACCTTTTCTAATGTGTTATTCTTCGTTTTGTCCGTCTAGTTGTTTAATTTGTTCGTCAAACAAAACAACTCCTCTGTGTATCTTATGCGAATCGAATTGACCTTTTCGTTATTCTTGCTCTAAAATGAGAGAGAGAGAGAATACGAATTGACGAGATTAGATGATGGCGATGTTGTTCAATTTTGTTCGACAAACTCAACACGAGAGACGTCTGATTACCTCCTTTCTTCTCTTTTCAATATCAATAATTATATATGTAAGCAGTTTTTTTTTGTTCGAGTTTATTTTTAGAAAAATATTCGCTGACAAGTGAGGCTTTTGAATATTTTCAAATCAATAGAAGGAGAGATCCAGCCTTGAGTTCGTGCATATGAAAACGTTTTCCTTCTTTTTTTCTTTAAGTGTCCGCTTGACTCTTTTCGTCATTGATTATTAATTTTATGAAAAAAAAAACAATTATTCATGAATAATCATGCCGTAAAACGCAAAGAGAGAGATTTATTCATAAGCTTCTTCGTTTTTCAGTTTAGAAGTGATTAGACAAATGTTCAAGGTAGGATAATATTTAACTATTTTCTTTCTTTAAATATCTTACAGGAATGTCGGCAGGTGTTAATCATGAGATGTTCTTTCTCGATTTCGAACCTTCGGGCCACCGATGCAGCATCTCTTCTCCTTCTTTGATAATAATGATTTTTCTCACATATAAATGATGTTAATCAGCTCAAACATTTTCTTTCGTTTCAGACAAAATACAAATGAAAACACAAGGTAATACAGATGCTCCTATTATCCGTTCAGGTGCGCGTATACGTGAAAGTGTACGATGTTTACCGAAAGGACATTTTCAACAAATTCGACAAATGTTCGACAAACAATCGTCATCGTGTATTGGTATGACAACTCTTTCGACCATTCACGAGCGACGTACAGAAAAAACGAAATCATCAATTTTACTGCAATCATCCGTTACTGATGATGAAAAATTGCAACATTCGATTTTACATCAGACTGATGATAGTATGGTGGAAGAAAATGATCTTTTTCATTGTCCAGTATTGCATTCCAAGCTTGTAAATAAAGGTAACCGAAAGAACCTATTTTGTTTTTCGAAAATAGATGCAATCATCTGTTTAAATGTCAGCGACATGTTTTATCTCACCTCGTAAATCATCAGAGGCCAGTGCGAACAGCCAAAAAAATAAGAATGGCAACGAGAAGAAAAACAAGATGAGAAAAGATATAGAAGGTCGACATTTCCTCGCGTTCTTTTTTTTTCTCACGAAATTCGAGTAGTTCGATTGATCATCATGATCATCATTCGAGAAAAGAATCCGAAGAACGTCGGAGAAGAGTAAACATTCGAATAGTGTAAGATAATAAAAACAAAAGAAGAAGAACGACAAAGGCCATGAATCGAATAGGTATCTAGTCGGTAAGCAACATCGATATTTCATTAGTCATTCATCCACCTACACATATTTCAATTCATCCTTCTCATATATACTTCTTTTTTCTCGAGTTTTTATTTAGTAACACATACATGTAAGCCAGTCATAAATGTCGATTTCATGTTTTAGACACACTTTTATATACAGCATTCGTACCACAACAGATCATCTTGACTACTGAACGTGAAAAATCAGATCAACGACGGCAATTAGCTATGGCTGCTGCTATTAACTATGCCGATAGTTACGAACTGTCGCCCACATCGAAGTCGTTCAATCGGATTGGTAGTACACGTCAATATGTAGCTAGCTTACAACGAGGTTCAACTGTCAGCGCAAAGCCAGTGCTGGTCAAAGCAAGTGCGATACATTCCCAACCCAATGCGTCAATTATATACGATACAAATAGCGAATTATTTCAATCAACAAAACGACTTCAATCTTCGGCGTCCCTTTCATCCACAGGTTACGATTCGAATTCGTCGCCATCAATAGTTTCCAAACGAAATTCGTTGGCAACTAATCATAGTATTGATTTTTCATCGTCTAGTGACGAACGACAACGATTACAGCCCTGGGTAAGATTAAATACTTTTACCTATTCAAATATAATCTTCTCTATTAATATTGCTGTATAGATATTATGCGAATCCGAGCTTGGCACACCTGCACTGATTGTAAATTCCTATTCGAGCGATGAGGTGTTCGATAGTCCTTCAATGATTAGCCGTGCACATATTAAATTAAACCATTCACCTACCTCAACTCTTGAACGTCGTCCGGTCTCGGTCATTCGTCATACATCGATTCGTAATTCATCAGTGCTCAATTCTCCATCGATCTCCTCAACATCTTCATCTTCATCAGCAAAATACATTGTTCAAACAACGTCGTTTCCTGAGCACACGTCCAACAATGAAGATCGATGTTCTTCATTGAATAGAAAACATACATTACGTTCAACTGGCTCAACCGGATTTCAAATTCAGCGAAGCCCATCCATATACAGCCCCGTTCTCGTGCAAAAGCAAATTAATGACCGAGAAGAGAGTCCGCTACCCGTTGTGGAAAATCCTCTATTTCAACAAGTACCACCCAATAAACCACCACGTACATTCGAACACGAAACTCGATATGGTCATTTGTCAACAACCATCGATCAAAAAGTGCCTTCGTCCGCATCGTCATCATCTACCACAAGTGATTCACCTACATTTGATCTCGGTAAATTTTAATCGCCTACATCCTCTTTTTTTTGTCGCTTATAAAGTTCTTGATGTATCCAAATATAAAACTTGATCATAATCATAGCCGTCTATCAATTGAATTACATTTTTTTCTATTTTTCAATTCTTAGGTGCTCGTTCTGTAAGTTGTATGGATTTGACTGCAGGTGTTTCAAGTGCTTTGTTATCGAGTGGCCTTCTTGCATTAGACAAACAGTGTCTCCATACGGATCAGTCAGCTGACATCGTGCCCGATGAAAATATCTACGAAGAATTAAAAACGCCTTTACCTACATTAACAAGAGATGATGGTGAACAATTTCAATTCCATACTAAACGTGCACAAACAATGAAAACTATTTCGTGTGAAACGCGTTTTCAAGCGCCAATTCCTAAACCAAAAACAAACCGACCTTTCGCCAATATCAAATCTGCGATGAAGAAAGGTGTCAGTGAACCTAACTTAGCCAAAAGCAAAACGGCATCGTCAACATTCTTTTCACCGCGTGGTTTAATCAATCGTTTCAAACGAATTCTTCCATTATCATTGTCCAAACAATCCTTGAATGATAGTCATGCAGTAACCATCGATAGTGATGATTCTGGAAGTACAACATCAGAAACCACTGATGATATCCGAACATCTCGTTTGGATCACGTCAGTCGGGTACGAAATGTGTACGATACTCTAGGTAAATATTAGGAAATCCCTTCTTTCTATGTAATACTTTGTTCTACATAGGTTCGGGAAGTCATTTGAGTAGTCTCTTTGCTGAATTGAATCATTTCACAGCTGCAAATGAATTGAAAACATTGTATGATTATGTAGTACATATTTTACCTGAACAAGAACTTGGCTATTTTGCCAATGGAACTGGCTGTCTCTCATCATCAAACTTAAGTACTGATTTTTCACTTCACACATCGACTCCTATTCGCTTCAAATACCCATTGGACGCAAATGATGAATCAACATTGAAATACTTCTGTTTTCCCGATCAACATGATTCGAACAACAATCACTACCATCAGAACACTAGTTCAATCCTATCGCCCAAGCGACCACGACCGGAATATTTCCGTTTTACCTTAACAGATATGCGCGGATGTCGAAAACATGGTTATTGTTCGCGCTTTATTCATAAAGGTATTCTGAATGCATTGTGTATTATCTCTCCATGTGATATGATGGATTTATACGAAAAAATCCTTTCCACGGCAACAGAATTATTTCTTTTATATAAAGAAGATGATGCGAAGAAGTTTCTCAAAGAAATCTATCCACATCGATTACCTAGTCGAGGTGATACAATACACATCCATACAACGACAGTTGGATTGTACGGCCTCAAATGTGAACATGATCGACGAAAACAACTGATTGATTCTGCTGGATTATTGAATTTATCTACCGGTATGTTAACAGAAATATAGCAAAGAAAAATATCATTGTTATTTTTCTTTCTCTTAGATACAATTATCAAAATCTTCTCGTCGATTCTCTACGAACAAAAGTTAATCTTCATCAGCGACGAACTCGGACCCTTGACACGCTTGATCAACACATTTATATGTCTTCTTTATCCATTTTCTTGGCCACATACATATGTTCCAATCTTACCAGCCTTGATGCTTGATGTTCTTCAAGCACCAACACCTTATATCATTGGTATTCTACGTTCCTGTGAGCATTATCTCTGTGAAAACGATGAATTTTTATCTCAAGACAACTCGGATGTCCTTATTGTTGATATTGATCATGATCATATCTATTCCATTAATGATTATCTTCCGAATGAATCCACTCGCAGTTCATTTGATAATCTTCAATCTCCATTTTCTCAATATCAAATCCTTCCGAAGATTTTCAAAGTCGAACTCAAACAAGAGATTTCATTCTTACGAAAGAATCGACAAATTCTTTCGTTGGACGAATGTCAACAACGTTTACGAAATATATTCATGTCAATCTTTGTACAATCTTGTTATAATTACAAAGATTATTTAAAACAATCACTCGATTCCGAACATTTCATTCGATCGAAGCCGCGTACGATTGAATTGTTCTTAGAATGGTTTACACGAACACAGATATTTGAATTATTCATTCGACAAAAACTGGATTCCAATAGTCAAAATCCATTTGCAATTACGTTCGATTTAGCCTGTGACAAATACCGCCGAACATTGAATAAGTCAACACCACAACGCATCACAGCTAAATCTGTTAAACGAAAATCAGCTGGTAGAGCAAACAAACACGATCAACGTTTATGAATGCTACATAACACATGTGTATTTCGAAACTACTTAGTCAGATAAATTCGTTCTTTTCTTTGTGTAAATTTGCTTCTTTTTTTTTAAAAAATAATTTCGATGATCTATAACAGTCACTGATTGAATTACTAAATAAAAGCATTATATACCGTACACTGATTCTTGTAACATGCTATCCGAGTTCCTTCATATCAGGTAAATACACTAGTTTTCGAGCCCTTACTAACATTGTTCGAATATTTCGTCTGTCTACAATTATGTATTACTATTGACGGCAGAATGAATCAATACAATTCATGCTCGATATAATCATTGCGTTTAACGATCTATTCTAATTGACTACATGTTCTCTTTTTATTGTCTTGTTTGATCACACTATACACGGTTAGCTGAAAAGTTCGTCAAGATTCGTCTCTAGTTGCCTTTTATATACTTAGTGGGCAATAGAACAAGCAAAAAAAATATTTTTTCCCTGTGCGGTAAAAAATGCGAGTATCTTCGCTGATTGTAACGAAGCATAAATAGACGGCGTACTCTATGCATTCAGCAAGGTTGTCCTTTTTTCTTCCTTTTTTCTTCCTTTTTTCTTCGGTTTTGTGGATAGAGCACGGCTATGCTAAACAAGGAGACGATGCTCTGCGTTACCAGGTAACTACGGATCTCGTTTTAGATGTTATATACCTAGAGTACACACATTCTATTCTTTAACACGATGAGTCGTTTTTTTGCTAAATACAGAGAAATACGACGGGTGTGTTTTTCTACTTCAACTATCAGAAAGCCATCCGTTTTATTGGTGAATCATGGTTATCCACCATTATTCAACGCAGGTTCGGAGGTATGCATACGATTTTCCTAGTCACGGAATTGGAAATTATAATTAAATTCAGGTTTACACGCAAACACTGGCTGTACGATTGAACCGATCGGGAAAAACATCTAGTGTATCTGTTATATCTCGTGAACAAGATCCGTTTCGAGCGGATTTTCTCGTCAGACAGAGTCAGGACGAACATGATCCAACTATACCCGTCTATTATATTAATCATGCACGAGAAGCAGCCTATCAACGTTTCGTCAATACAGATATTGACCATTGTTTCGAAGATATCTGTAAACAAATAAATTCCAAACCAGATATTGTTCATTTTGGCCATTTAAATCATTTATCATTAACATTACCACAACGTGCACGAGACATAGTAGGAGCAAAAATCCTATATACACTACATGATTACTGGCTTATGTGTCCACGTGGACAGTTCTTAATCAATGGCGTTGCTTCAACGTTCAATAACAGGCAACCTTATGAATTATGTAAAGAACAAAAGGATGAGAAGTGTGCTACGAATTGTTTCACATCACGTTTCTCAACAGGTAATCACTTTTGATTTGATACAATAGTATCCCGTGAGGCAATTGTAGGCACAACAAAAAATAAAGATCGTGAAACAGAATATTGGACATGGTGGATCAATGAGCGAATGCGCGCAGTGCGAGAAGCTTGTGATGCAATCGATATGTTCATCGCTCCTTCAAAACATTTACAGAAGCGATTTATTGAAGAATTCGGATTGCCATCTGAAAAAGTGAAATTTTTACCATATGGTTTTGACCACTCGATACTAACTCATCGCCGACGTATCCGCCAATCCGATGAACCCATTGTTCTTGGATATATCGGACGCCATTCACCATCGAAAGGTATTAATTTATTGCTGGAAGCAGCACAGCAAATTGTTCAGTCTCAACCAAAACTTGCTGGTCGATTCTCTCTTGCTATCTATGGTCGACCGGACCCAGCTACTACTGGCAATCTTCAAACTATGGCTAAAGCTGCAGGAATCGCTGTTGATTGGCGGCCTGAATATAAAAATTCTGAGATTGTCGATCGTGTTTTTAATCATGTCGATTGTATCGTTGTTCCATCTATATGGGAAGAAAATTCGCCTTTAGTTATTCATGAAGCACAGCAATGCCACGTACCTGTAATTACTGCAAATATAGGTGGAATGGTAACATTGTTTTGTGGGGTTTCATTTTAGAGATCATTTCTATTTTCTTCAGAGTGAATTAGTCAACGATGGAGTGAACGGATTGACCTTCTCACATCGCGATGCTTCATCACTGGCTACTGCTATCCTTCGAATTCTTCAACAACCAAATATTCTCGATAAGTTAGGTCAACATGGATACTTGTATTCTAAATATGGGCAGGTACCATCGATCGAAACACATGTTGATGAATTAATTAAGATCTATTCAACATTGACAAATAATCAGCCTAAACCGATCAAACAATTACCTGCTCCACGTCGAATAACATTTGATACAAATCCGGATGATTGCAATTTTAGTTGTATCATGTGTGAACAGCATTCAGAACATTCACCACATCAAAAAGCGCGTATAGCAGCCAAGATTCGTCGTCGTAGAATGGACTTCGATATCATCAAAGAAGTTGTTGCTGAGACAGCATCGCTTGGTTTACAAGAAATTGTAAGGAAAAAAACCCACTGTTACCGATCCTACGATGGAGCATAATCAATTTCGTGTCTGTATATTCAGATTCCATCAACAATGGGCGAGCCATTGATGTATCGTGATGTTAAAGGTCGTACATTCGAGGATATTATCAAGCTGTGCCGAGATTATAACATAAAACTGAATCTTACAACGAACGGATCGTTTCATTCTCCTCAAGGTCATTCTGGTATGTGTAAATGTTTTCATAAATCTTACTAGAACAGCCTATTTCACTTTTAACATCAGTTTCGGAATGGGCTCATCTACTCGTACCAGTTTTGAGTGACGTGAAATTTTCCTGGAATGGAGTTACGAAAAAAACTCAAGAACTAGTCATGAAGCATTCAAAATACGATAGACAAGTATTAACTGCTATGTTTGCAAGATAAATATGTCAATTCGATTACCTTTTCTAGTTGGACAATATCAAAAAATTTATTCAGATACGTGATCAATTAGCAGAACAAAGGGGAAATCGAGCAACAGTTACACTGCAATTAACTTTCATGGAAATCAACTTGCCTGAAATTCCCGAGGTAATTTATGAAAAAGAGACACTTTGAGGACATCGCAGAGGCTTGTTAAACGTTTTTCTTGAGATGAAGATACTGAAATAATGTCAAAATTCAATATAATTCTAATAGATTGTTAAACTTGGAATCTCACTGGGCGTTGATCGTATCAAAGGTCATCATTTATGGGCACATTTTCAACAGATCAAAGATCAGAATCTACGTCGATCAAGTGATGCTATTCGCAGATGGAATCAGTGTGTAGTTGAGTGTCAAAACATTGCTCGTCAACAACTACTGCCGATAGGAAAACAAGTTAGACTTTTCTATCCATCGAATGCAGAAAAAGTCTTTTTCTGGGATTCTTGATTTTAGATTAAACTTGAAAATTTCTTCGAATTGGACGAAAATAGCGGCTCAGCAACAATTCATCCTCAGAGTGTTTGCCCATTTTTAGGTAAAGAAGCGTGGATTAATCATAGTGGTCGATTCGATCCTTGCTGTGCTCCCGACCAAGAGCGATTATCTTTGGGCTCATTTGGTAATGTTCAAAAACCAAATGAAGACATCATGAAAATATGGAATGGGGATGCATACAAAGCGTTAATCAAGAATTATACTGACTATTCTCTTTGTCGAAATTGTAATATGAGAAAGCCACCTACTAATCCATAAATAAAATAAAATTCTTTTCTTTTCGTATTGATTTGTTGTCTTCGTATCAATTGTAGATGTTAATCAACCGATTTCAACAAATAACTTTATCGAAGACTTGTATTCGTCGGTACAAATGGACGTATTCGAAAGTATCGTCATGCGGTACACATCACATATGCTTAAACAAGCATCAACCATTATATCAAAATCGATTCCAGAGTGTATTGCCTTTTCATTCGCCTGGTTTAGCTCCAGTGATCGATCAAACCGGATCAGCATACCACATCAATGATCGAGGTGAAAGCGCTTATTCACAACGTTTCTCTCGGACATTTGGTTTCTATGAAAATCTTGCTGTTGTACAGGTTTGTTATATGAGAAACCTAAAAATCAAATCATTGTCAATACTTCATTAGAATACCGATAAATGGTATCACATCACACCGAAAGGATCAACTGCATATGACGCAGTCTGGCATTGGTGTGGTAATTTTCAATCAAACCGATGTCCGGTGCGAGATTCAAACCTCCAATATTATCATATTGATCCTAAGGGAAACATCACCTCAGGTCCACACTCATACGCCGGAGATTTTCGAGAAGTAATTGTTTTCTTTGAACTTACATTTAATTGTTTGTTAGATTTGTAGGGAAGTGCAGTTGTTCGCAGTTTAACTGATGGTCTTTTTCGTGCTATCGATGAAAATGGTGATCTACTGCATTCATTGTCGTCGTTATCATCTCACAAGACAAATTTTCTTGACCTTGATGTTTATCATAAGGGTTTAGCCCGAGCACGAGATGAAAATGGTTGGTTCTTTATTGATCGTAGTGGTAAAGACATTGGACAAGGACGTCGATATCGGCAAGTCGAGAATTTTTATAATGGACAAGCACTTGTACAGATGTTACACGATGGATCTAGATGTATTATTGATGAAAATCATGAAATATTGAATCGATTACAAAACTGTGATGATGAGAATTGTGCTGACATCGAACAGGCAAAATAGTTCCAGTTATAGTTTTTCCTTTTAATTACTATTCTTGGTGTTTTTAGATGTCAAAAAGCTATTGGCCATCATTTGCCCTTAAACTAGGTTTAGAGCAGAAGACAACCTTACTTGAAAAGGACGATGTATTGAATAATGATGATCAACAACAACTAAGAAAACAGATTAGACGAGTGTGGGATGAATTTGGGTTTATTAAAGAATCATCTGCTGATGGAGAATATACTGTGACAAAACGTGGCCGTCCTCTCTTTGATACGAATAGTGTTATCCATGATCGAACTATTTATTGGTTGCAAAATAAATTCATTTCCGGTTGGCTACCAAGTTTACGGGATCAGCATACAATATATGCGAATACTGATTACTTCTCTGATATTGCCGAAGATCCTAAACTTGTAAGTTTAACCCAAAGAGTACTCAATTCCTATGCTAAGCAAGATTGGCACGGAATTTCATCTGTACTTCCTGCTGAACTATTTCAGTCATCAACTATTGCTGATCTTGGTGGTGGTGTTGGCGCTTTATTATCTGAATTATCAAAGCATTGTTCTAATCAACGATTAGTCTGTATCGATCGTCCAGAAGTTATTACTTTGGCAGAACCTCATGAAAAAATTGTGTTTCAAAATGGAGATCTCTTTTCTGGTCCATTGCCTTCGGCTGATTTTTATCTCTTATCGCGTGTTCTGCACGACTGGCCGGATGACCAAGTAAAACAAATTTTGAATCGTATTCCATCGAAACATTTGTGTGTCATCGAACGTGAAGTTGATGCAAATCGCAATCATCATGCTCTTCTATCTTTACATATGTTTTTATTGCACAAAGCGAGGGAAAGGACTCGACAAGAATGGGATGATCTTTTTACATCAACAGGCTGGTCCGTTCAATCGCGTACGCCGTTCTCAGATCATTTAGTTACTGTTTTAAAGAAAGATACAATCAATACTCATATGCCAACGTTCTCATTTAAATCTGCTAATAAAACTATTCGTAAAGTTGTTCTACCTGCAGCTGGACTTGGCACGCGAATGCGTCCACAAAGTGCAATCATACCTAAAGTATTTCTGCCTATTACTCAATGCAATTCAACGAGATGGAGTTGCCGTCCGGCACTCGATCTTTTGCTTGAAGAGGTATTTGCCAAAGGAACTGATATCGAACAAGTTCTACTCGTTACCGCACCTGAACAATTACATCTATTTCAGTCTTATCTTTCATCTTATCCGCGCGATAAAGTTGATTATGTTTTACAACAATCCCCCAAAGGATTCGGTCATGCTGTTCTTCAAGCTGAATCATATATTAATGGTGAACCATTTGTTGTGATCTTAAGTGATCATCTTTACCAATCAAACAACACCGATCAGTCATGTTTAAGACAATTACTTACTGCGTATCGACAGAACGTTCTCGAACCATTCTGCGTTGGTCTCACAGGTGTTATGTCGTGTACCGCTGACAAGGTTTCCAACACTGGCCTATTGCAATCAGATTCTTCAGTAAAGAATAAACGCTTTTTTCGAGTCACAGATATGATAGAAAAACCTTCGATCGACATCGCAATGAATCGTTTTCAAACTCAATTAGCTTACAATTCCTTCCTGTGTCAAGCGGGAATGGATATTCTTCCACCGACAATCTTTCAGTATCTTCGGCAACATCAACAAAAGTTAGAACAAGAAACAAAATCAGCTGAACTTGGCTTACGCGAATCGATGAACACTCTTCGACAGAACGGGCAATTATATGGTTGTATATTAGATGGTCAACGGTATGATATCGGTGATCCAAAAGAATATTATCAGACATTTCGTGCATTTGCTATTGATAAAAAGGAACAACCGTGTCAGAAATCTCCTATTTCAAACGTATGGTCAATAGTACAACGGATTCACAAAGTACGAATGGTGTTTGCTACGTCAAACGCACCAATATATAGTGCAAGTGCTCCCGGTCGATTAGATCTCATGGGTGGCAAGTAGAAAGGAATAGAATTGTTTTTCAGAATCTCTTTATTTTACTTCAGGTTTTGCGGATTACTCAGGTTCACATGTTCTTCAATATCCTATTGCACAACGTACATATGTTTTCATTCAGCCTTCCAATACAGGTGCCATAGATCTGACTAGCATTCAAGCAGATAGTATCAATGTTGAATCAGGCGATCAGAATAAATTAACGATATGGAATCGTGAGATTCCAATGAAGTTACTTTTTGACCATCAAAATCAATCCTTACGTACACGATTAGAAACATGGTATGATCAAGGAGAAGGAACTCCCGTTTCACAGGATGAACCAATCAATTGGCCAAGTTATGTGATTGGTATTTTAGCTGAACTGATTAAGAAAAGCGACAAAACACGTATTCCAGTTGGTTTCAATATTGTTGTCGTCTCTGATGTACCATGCAATAAAGGTGTAGCCTCATCTGCAGCTCTCGAAGTTGCTGTGGCAAGTGCAGGTAAATCTCAAACAGCGGCCAATGTCGTACTGATTATAGTAAATGTTTCGGGTAATTTTAGCAAGTACATGCCTCAATCTCGACCATTGTATGTCGAAAACTGAACTAGCTTTACTTTGTCAATATGTAGAAAATCATATTGTCGGTAGTGCGTGTGGGTTTATGGATCAAATGGCTTGCGTTCATGCTCGTGCTGATCATCTATTATCACTTGAGTGTCAACATTTACCCAATCCACCATTCCACAATGTAACACTACCATCCAGTATTCAATTATTCGGTATAGATTCCGGTGTGAAACGATCAACAGCTGGCTCAGCGTATCGCCGAGTACGCACAGCTACTTTTATGGGTAAACAACTGTTAAATCTCCCAGATGATTATCATCATCTATGTCAAATGGCCCTTTCGAGATTTAATAATCAATACCGATTACAGTTACCAGAAAAACTGATTGGCAAAGAGTTCCAGTCGTCATTGCATCTTGATTCACTAAGTAAAATAGACTCAAATGAAATTTATCCAATACGCGCTGCTACGGCTCATCCAATTGAAGAAAATTTTCGAGTACAACTTTTTGAACAATTACTGGCCGATCATCATGAGCCATCTTCTCAAACTCTTGCTAATCTTGGCGAATTAATGTTTCAAGCCGATGCTAGTTACCGAGCATGCGATCTGGCTAGTGATGAAACAAATTTACTTGTAGATTTGGTACGACAACGATCATCAGCGAATATCTTATTTGGAGCTAAAATTACAGGGGGCGGCGGTGGTGGAACAGTTGTTGTACTCGCTCACAGATCATCCGAAGCACTCGAAGCTGTGCACGATGTCGCTAGACAATATGAGAATATGACTAAACGGCAAACTCGTATTTTTTCAGGATCATCCTCAGGTCTTGTCACATATCCTTCGATTGAAGTATAACGGTTGTAGTCATTTTCAATAAAAATATGTTCTAAAGTTTAAGATTTTTACTACGTTACTAGCAACAGCTCAGCATAGACGTTTACTTAAAGAATTGATTAATCATCGGTTGACTTTTTTCTCCATGAAAAATGCATAAGTTAAAAACAAGAAAAACTGATTATTCTGCCATTAAAATACTAAAGCACTATGTATTTGCATCGCTAAATGAAGACGTGGGAAAACGCATTTTCAACGGAAAACAAGCCTATGGCAACTACAGAAATAGAAGGTAATGAACAGAAGAATCTGTTTGCTGACTAATTAATATCGAGTAAATACAGAATTTCCTGTTAGTCTGGTTCAGCGATAATCCTGACAATACAAATGATCATTGCCAAAATATAACGGTACAATTTCAAGACATTACCAACGACATTGACATCGCCTCTAATAATGGTGAGTGCATTGAATTTATTTTAGGGAATGTTGGCAAAAGAATATTGTCGCATTGCGTCAGGATCGCTTGCTCAGTATCTGGCACCTTGCGTGCATGATGTATGTCAAATGCATGCTATTTTCGTCCTTTCTGAAAATGAAATAAGCAATGCACAGTTTATCCAGCTATGGGTCAAGATCAAGGCTGCCTTCGCAGATATAACAACACTCCGTGAAACTCTTAGAGAATTGGTAAAACAACATGAGAAAGAAGCCAGATCAGTTGTTCAAGAAAATCATACGAAACATGAACTTTGAAGAACACAGAAAAGGCTTTATCTACTATTGTCGCACTGTTTTTGTCGACAACAAAGAGCAGCTAAAAAGGTAGAACAGTTCAAGCAAGAACACTCTTCTGACTCGTCAATATAGTGATATACCTTGGATGATTTCTTGTATCCTATGCTGAATCAAGCCTTATGAATAATGAACCAAGATATTCTTGTACAAATGGGATTCTTTATTAAAGATCTTCATGAGCAAATATAGTGAGTTCATAAAGAACAGTACATTGATAAATCTTTCAGTCGAATATCTTCTGTATACCGTGGACAAGGTTTATCAAAAGCAGATTTCGACGAAATCATGAAATCCAAAGACGAGCTGCTGTGGTTCGATTGTTTTCTATTCGCAAGTAAAGATCATCGCCATTCGTCCTGATTTGATCGGAATTCTACGTATTTATTATAAAAATTGGCTTTGCTCAATCAACAACATCATTCGCTTCCGTCCGTCATTCAGAGTATAAGATCTTTCGCCTTAATAAAATTCAATCAGTCAACGAAGCCACTCAGCTCTATAAGAAGTGGATCAATCACTTAGAGACGACAAAGAATCAGGTCTCTCCGCATTTAGTGATTACATCCACCACGAAATAGGTTCGAACAAAAATGGATTTTTGAACCTAACGAATTTATTAACGATCGAATATCAACATAAAAAAAGCTGAAGAAATTGTCATGAAGTTGTTTTTACAACAGACTGGCGAGCGTCGAACACCATTCATTCGTATACTACCCGGCTTGCTCGCGATTGAGAAAGTTCAACTACAAGAAGAATTAACTTTACGGGAGACTGCATTTCTTCTCCGACAGGAAACATATCCGTTCAACCATCCTGACCTGGACACATCGTACAACAACATTGATATTGTGAGTGACGTCATGGATGATCGTTCACTAGCGCTCTTGTATTTACCAAGAGTGTTCACACTCAATCATTCTGATTCGGTGTTAGTATACAAAGACAGTGATTCTCTTTCTTTTTTGAAAACAGGCAATTATTTGCAAGTACCCCAAAGAACGCTCACAATTCGATATCAGCTACTTCCATCCAACCACTTTGGTTAGGCGTAGGTCGACAACGTAATAGATTTTCTACATACGATGGTAGGTGACTATTCACAAGCGCTCTCACCTTTTCAAAGAGCACTTTTAACTCGACATCAATCATTTCCACCCAAGTATTCTGATTTGGCTAAGCGTCAAAATATAGATATGTCAAATTTACTAACCGAACGCAAGTACATTCATGAACTCGAAAGCATTCCTGCTTCTATGTGTTTGCTGGTAACTCTAAGTATCTAAGAAACTAATTGCAATATGTATTTATATAACTTTATATTATCTATAAAGCTCAAAAAGTTCGTTTAGTTGAAAACATGTTATCAACGACGGGATAACATTGCGCTATAGCTAAGATTACTGAGAAGTAGCTATTCTTATGTTCTCTATGTAAAATGGCTATCATGATTTTGTACTTTTAGTCTTATAAGGAAAACATATCTTCTACGATGAAATAAGAGATATCATTATGAAGTCGAGTATTAGAATAAAGATAACTATGCAAAACAGCACACATAAGATAACATTATAAATTGAGAAAATGTATAATTGAGAAACCCTAAAGCAGAAAAGTTCAGTATCATGATTATTTAACACTGGTATAGTATACGCTATTCTGCAGATGTGAGATAGTCGAAGAGAAACGGAGAGAATAGGCGCAAAATGATTACAATGTCTTTTCTTCTTTTCAGTTTGTGAGATGAAAAATAAAAATAATCATCGCGTTGATGAGTTGATCATTTTCATTATACGCAATGGTTTCGCACGAATTATCATGTCTGTACTACTTGTCGTCTGTTACGCGCGAGCAATCTGTGAAAAACAACAGTTGTGGATACTATCTAATTTGTGTTATATCGGACTTGGATATCTGATTATTGATTGGTGGATTATTCTACTGAAAATTCACGTGCATCGACGAGTAGTCGAGTATTTTTGGATCAATTCAGGAGTTGCTATATTCATCATGTGTAAGTGACATGAGGAAAAGATCACGGTAACCTATACTGGAAACATTGTTAGTTACAATGCCGCCACTGTGGTTCTTGCGATATGCATACTTCATTCAATCAGTCAAAGATGATAAATTACAAGCAAGTCAGGCTGAGATGAACTTGGAATCGTATGTTAAAACATGTTGGCATTTGAAAGAAAAGAAACAATTGCATTTAATGGAATTTCAATATGCGCCGATCAATCAAACGTTTTCTACAATTCAAGCAATAAATAGTACATGTGATCAAGAGGAGAATATGGATTGGTGTGCTGATGGTCGGTGTTTGATGAAGCAAATGCCTGATGAGGTGTTAGAACAAGTTATCGTACTTAGTAGTATTTGCTTTCGTTGGTAAATAGGCTCATGTGTTCATCATTCGTATAGAAAAGAATTGCTGTTTCTGTGTGGCCAGGATGATTACTGGTAACTTGGGTCTTGATCAACTGATTACATATTTCATTTCGACGGCTTCCGATATTGTCGAGTAAATATCTCTGACGATCTATTTCCAGTCACATGATGACGTTTTATTCGATAGTTTCGCGTCAACAATGGTTGGACAAAGCGAACAGCTGATTCAAAATAAAAATAGGAATGTCATGAAAGCTATTATTGGTATATCTGTGTTCCGTACTACTCATATCAACCTGCTTTCTGTCATACTATAGCTGCTTATTTCATATCTTTGTCACAATTCAGTGTAAACTTATCTGGTAAACGAAAACATGACCATCGATATGACATTATTAAGTGGTCGAAAGCCACTATTCGTGAACGATTAGCTATCGTTATTGATTTTGTGTTCGGTACTGAACTATGGGGTATTTTAACACAAATGGCAACCGAGGATGGGCTTCTACTCTGTTTACGTATTGTTGTCGTCATCAGATTCGATGCAAGTACATTGGAAAATCTGTTTTTCGTCATGAAGAACATACTGACAATTGCAATCTTCACATATTACGCAGCTGCGATCTCGGATTGTTATATTCGACACCGCTATCGTTATCAACGATATTTTAAAAAACAACAAGCAATTCTATTTCGCGATAGTCTCAGCATAGAACCGATCACGAGATAAATTATTATGTAAACACTTCTTTCTTTTCTTTACTTTCCATATCGTGACGCGCTATTTTTTCTTTTTCTCTATTTTGTACTCGATGCATTCAACTCTCATCGTTTTACTTAAAGTATGTTAGTCATTTTCATCTTTCGTTCGCCTTCTATTGTACACTATGGTTCAAAGTTAGACAAACGATTCTTTTCCTTGTAGAAGTATGATTTTCTTTGTTTTCTAAGGTCCTGTAAAAATCGGCGTTCTCGAACGAAAAGAAAGCCAAACGAATGGAACTATCACCCATAAAGAAAGTAAACCATCGCTCTCGATATCCGAAAACCATGAACATAACGTCAAAGTTTCTCCACGTGAGAATTTCTGTTTATATTTATCGTTAACAATTGGTTCACTTGGTGCTATCTTTGGTGATATCGGTACAAGTCCGTTGTATGTTATGCATACAATTTTTGCGGAAAATCCTAGTCCAAAACGAGAACAATGTATTGGTGCCGTGTCATTAATTTTATGGAATTTAATTATTGTTGTAACAATAAAATATTCCGGATTTATCTTAATGGCAGATAATCGTGGTGAAGGTGGAGCGTTTGCTCTCTGTGGACTATTAACTGGAGAAAATAGTCGACTACGTGCTCGTGCTAAACATATTATTAGTATTATCTCGATTTTTGCTGCTTCTTTATTGATTGGTGATGAACATTCGTTGATGATCGTTGCAATTACTGTTTATTTTGATTTTAGGTGACGGGGCGCTAACTCCAGCTATCAGTGTGCTATCGGCAGTGGAAGGCTTAGCAACAACTTCCGTCGAATTGCGAAAATGGGTTTTACCAATCACAGTCTTGATCATTATCGGTCTATTCGTTGTACAAATGTTTGGTTCAGGAAAAATTGGTAGACAGAGCCTCTTATTAGATAGTTGTCTTCATTTTCATCATGATTAGGATTGATATTTGCGCCGATAATGTTTTCTTGGTTTGTTGTCCTGTGTTCTATCGGTATTTGGCGTATTACATTCGAGCCAACGATACTTCGAGCATTCAACCCATGGGAAGCGGTTAGTTATTTAATTCGAGAAAAACGAAAAGGATTTCTTCAGCTCGGTAACGTCAATGACACATAGAATTCAGACATCTTATGTTCTCTTCTTCAGGTGGTGTTTTTTTGTCACTAACCGGTGTTGAAGCATTATATGCCGATCTAGGTACAGAAATTTCGCTTCAGATTATAAAATATATCATCGGGTCTTCTTAGGACATTTTGGTCGATGGCCAATACGAACAAGTTGGTTATGTGTTGTTCTACCATCAGTAATGTCAAACTATCTCGGTCAAGGAGCATTGTTAATGCAACACCCAGAAGCAATTTCGAATCCATTTTATAATGCTGCTCCCAAATGGGCTCGCTGGCCATTGATCGTTCTTGCTACAATAGCAACTGGTAATCGGATCTGAACAGAAATTCATCTCTATGCCTGTTTGATTTATTCGTAGTTATTGCTTCTCAAGCAATTATCACAGGTGTCTTCTCACTGCTAAGCCAGGCGACAGCTCTTGGTTTCTCACCACCATTACGAGTCATCCATACGAGTAAGAAAGTTATTGGACAAATTTATGTTCCGGTAAGCAAATCGGTTCCTATGCTTATCATCTGATAAGTACAGATTCGTTTTTAAGGCTATCAATTGGGTGATTATGCTGATTACGATATCAATCACTCTATATTTTCGTACTAGTGAGCACTTAGCGCATGCCTGTAAGTGAATAATCCGACAAGACTTTCTCCGATTGTGTAAATTGTACTGTGAATCTTATTAGATGGTGTTACTGTGTGTTCTGATATGCTGATCACAACAATACTCTACATGTGTGTGATACGTTACGTCTGGAAACGTCATTGGATTCGTTCTGCTCTTTTCGGTCTATTTCTATTCATTGATGGTTTCTTTCTCTCCGCCAATGCTGTTAAATTCTTCGAAGGTGGATGGGTTGCTTTAGTGATCGCTATATTCTTTTTTATCATTGGTTTTTCATGGTACTATGGTCAAACGTTACTTCGTCAATATCTGCATAGTTATGCGCAAACAACTGCTCTCTTCCAGTTACCTACTCGTCTTGGCTTTCCAAATGTAACAAGCGCAGCGATTGTAGAAACAAGAAATGAAGAATTAGAACGATCAAAAAGTTTACCATTGGAACGCCAATCGACTGTAACTGATTCAGACAATGGACGTCGAACAATACCAATCATCAATATACTCCCACCATCGGCCACTCTAACGAACGACGAAAGGAATGAGAGTCGTTCGTCATCAACTAGTCCGACACAGGAAAACTTATTTCGAACAAGTTTAACTGGCCATGTGACGTTTACAGTCACACCTGGCCTTGGCATTTTTCTTACCACGTCATCAAGACATACACCGCACGTTTTTGAACGTGTTCTTGCACGTGTGCATGCCGTACGTAGACACGATAAAATCTTTCTTTGTATCCGATGCGGTTGTCTCTTGTAGCTCCCAGAAGTATCCATATTTTTAAAATTAGAATATGCTCGTATTCCGGTTGTCGACATTGGTGAACGGTTAAAAATGCAGAAGTATGGGTCGGATCAACGATATTTTTATCATATCACCGCACGTTATGGTTATTCGGAACATAAAGTTCATCTTCTCGATATGTAAGTTAATAGAACATCTTTGTTCTTCAATGAACATGTCGTTTTCGTTTGTAAAAACCTAGTTTGGAATTATCTGCGAAGGAATATAGCATTCCTGTGCCTGAAAGTCGGAATATCACATTTTTCATTCCTGCAATTAGTATTCGAGTCGTCCGAAAGGGGTGGCGAGTTCTTCCAAGTAAACTGATCTTATGCATTTATTCATTCTTAAAAAATAGTTTTCCATTTGGTCAAAGAAATATTCACTTATCCCCGGATCATACAGTTAGTGTTGGAATGGTTGTACCATTATAATCATTCTGCTGTATCTATTGTTACTTTTTTCTTCTTTTAGTTAATTTATTTTTAAAATTTTCTAGTCTTCTTTTTTTTTCCATGGAAATACAAGTATTTGGCCGTAGTTTTATTCCAAATCATTCAATGCTTTTTGAACAATCGATTTCTGACTGTCTAAATAATATTTCGTGAACATTTCCTCGTCGCTGCATAGATTCAAGTTCTCAAGGTATTCGTTCAAGAGATTTTTTAGATATGGCTTACAATGTTCATTCACATGATCGATTGTTGATAGTGTTTGCGCACTGAGGATCTTAACCAAACGTTGTGAGTCATCCGTTAGACGACCATCGATGTTGATAGTTAATCGTGGTGGTAGATGCAATTCCTTGATAAGACGTAGTTTATCTTCCAGTAGAAGGTCGTCAGGCGACAGACTAACAGGCAATGTAACACGATCATTGGGATTGACTGATTGGCAAAAACCATATAAATATAATAATTCTTCGTTTGATTTCGATCCGTAACAGATGGTGATCTCTTCACCTGGGTTTAGTGATCGTTCCGACCGGAGAATTAGATCATGAGTTGTATCGTCAATAAACCAACGAGCATTTGCATTGAAACTAATGAAAATCATTTATATATATGTGTATGTAAAGATAAATTGATTTACTTATGATTGGCAAAATCAATGAATGGTACTAATGAGATTGGCTCATTATCTGGCAGATCCAATATTCGAGACCAGACCAGATGATCAATGGCACAGAATAGTTCAAAACTAATGTGAATCTTATCAGATTGATTTAAATACCCATATTCTTGTTCGAGCTGTTGATATCGTGCTGTTAATGCTTGGCCTAGAGTGCTATGTTCCACACAATTGAACAAATTCATTTTAGTCTTTAGTAAATCATCTGCTTCTTTATCGATGTTCAACAATTTGATCCAAGGATACCAATCGGATTCTTCTTGTTTCGTGTACTCATGTGAGAGGAATAAAACCAACGCTTGTCGTTCCGTAGCGACATCAATGGTTGGTAAATTAACGTGTTGTTTATTGACTACTAACGACCACGGAATGATCGCAAGAGCAGCGTGAGATTCAATTGTACTAGTAGCGAAAAGTCCACGTTCTTCTCTCGTATCAATTTTTATATGTTTATGAACTTGACCACCTTTCTCTCGAATCCAATCAAAGAATTTTACATAATCACTGTCGACCGACATGTTTATTTCTTCATCATAGGAAAATATACTACAAAATAAATACGGGTGCGAATCATTCGTAATAAAAAATAATCAAGTCTTTATTGAGAATCTGTGAAAAACAATGTGGTCAGATCACAAAAAAAAACCAATCAATGGAATAGTTTGAAAGTGAGATTAAATGCAAGGACAATAGAACAGATCTTTCTCATTCCATAGAAACATGTTTGAATGTTTTCAATGGATCTTTCATATTCTTTATAGCTAAAGGAGATGAAAATCGGAAAATATAGTGTGGTCCACCAGCTTTATCGTTGGTACCGGACAGACGTGCACCACCGAAGGGCTGTTGATTAACAATCGAGCCAGTTGATTTATCGTTTAAATAAAGATTACCAGCAGCGTTGACTAAGCGCTGGCGAGTTTGTTCGAGAATTTGTTTGTCTTGACAGAAAATCGATCCAGTTAGAGCGTAGTTCGATGTATCATTCACTAAATCCACTGTTTCATCAAATTTATTATCATCATAAACGTAAACTGTGACTACAGGACCGAAGATTTCTTCTTTCATTAGTTTATCTTTTGGATCTGTGGTTTCAATTAATGTAGGTTGAACATAATATCCGACTGAATCATCGTATTCGCCACCGACTAGAATTTTCGTTGACGAAGATGATCGGGCATGATCGATGTAGGCCTTTATACGATTGAACGATGCACGATCGATCACTGCTGATGTAAATGTCTCGAATTTCAAAGGTGTATCAATACGTAACTGTTTAGACATGATTGTTTTCATTTGCGAAAAGAATTCTTTTGATAACGAACGCGGCATATAGATACGTGAACAAGCTGAACATTTTTGTCCACTGTATTCGAAAGCTGAACGTATTGTTCCATAGACAACTGTAGTTAAATCTGCGGTTGGGTGGACCAAATGAAAGTTTTTACCACCGCATTCACCGACTAAACGCGGAAATGTTCGATAATTATCCAAGTTATCTGCTATCCATTTCCATAAAGTCTATAGAAACGCGAACATGAACTATTGTGAAAAGTTTGTCGTTGCTATTTACCTTGAAAGTTTTAGTACTACCAGTAAATGTAATTGCTGCAAGATTGGGTGATTGAGTAATCTTTCTACCGAATTCTTCACCTTGGGAAGGTACAAATTGAATAATACCAGGGGGAAGACCTGCTTCTTCCAAGATTCGATAGACGACATAGTTGGATAATAAAGCTGTGTCGGATGGTTTCCATAGAACGGTATTACCCATTAGAGCTGGCGCTGAAGCAAGATTGCCACCGATCGCAGTGAAATTGAACGGCGAGATGGCTGCAACGAAACCTTCGAGTCCTCGATGGCTATAAATATTATCTGAATCTCGAGTACTGATCGGTTGATAAGCCAGAGCCGATGCAAGATGTTGTGCATTGAAACGCCAAAAATCGATTAATTCGCAAGCTGCATCAATTTCAGCTTGAAATACAGTTTTGCCCTGACCAAGCATGGTTGTTGCAAGTAAACGAGAACGCCATTTAAAATCAGCAGCGAGGTCAGCAGCCTAAGACAAGCTTCGTGTTTTCCAACAAAAAGAAATCAAGCAGGCTGTACCTTGAGAAAGATATTTGCACGTTGTTCAATTGGCATCAGATCCCATTTGTATTGATTCTTAACTGCACTGTTGATTGCCTTTTGAAGGAGCGCCCCATCTGCATAGCAATACTCTGCTAAGACATGCTTATGGTCGAATGGAAGGACTTGTTTTTGAACATGTTTCGTCCAGACTTCCTCCCCATCGACAATACATGGAATGCGTGTAACTTTTGATTTATATTCATCGAGAGCAGCTTGGACTTGTTGTATCTCCTTGCTACCTCGTCGATACTCGAGTACTGGCTCATTTTGAGTTGTATATCGAAGAGAAAATGTTGAGGCATATCGACGAACACCGAATCGATACATCTTGAAAAAGAAACGATATATTGAGAGACAATTTGTGTTTTTTTTGTTTGTTCAAAAGAGAAGAAAAAACGAACAACTATGTTAAATATCTGAATGGTCGAGAACTGAAACAAGTAAACAAAAACGAGTATTCTAGAACGTATTTAGTGTTATATACAAACAAATATGTCACTGTTAACAATACAATAGTGATCTTTGTTGTTCATATGAGTGATTTTTCTAAGAGAATACGATCATAACCTTCCGGTGGAGGAAAATAAAATGTCGAAAATTGAATATCGAGTATCGCACCTATAAAGAGAAATATGTAGATGGAACAAATCTGAGAATAGTAGGTTATGTACAAACCTTCGTCGACGTAGAAAATTGGAAAGACAGTTCCACGCGTAGCAACACGACAACAAGGTTCTTGTTCTGTTCCGTTCACAAAAACACGAAACGTTTCATGATCATATGCAAAGCCCTAGTGAAAAGAAATCAGAAATTTTCAGTAGTTGATGTCGCTGAACAAAATCTGTCAACGAAAATCTTTGTTTCTCGTTAGTTGATCTCGATAACGTACTTGTCATCGATTCATTAATGTCAAGAACTTTCTCCAGGGGTCAATTTATTGTCTTATTGATAATAAGAGTATACGTATATCATGTGTTGACACACTTTTATCTGCGCGGGTTCATGTGGATTACTCTCACAAGGATAAAATCTTTTCGTTATATTAGATTATATCCGTATGAGGATTTTTAATCAAAGAAAATTCTACTTACAACAACATCACCTTCTTCTATAGCAGTTCTGAATTGGCCAAGTACTTTATTATCATGTTTAACTTGACCATATTGATCCATGACCCATGTTTCACTATCAGTGCCTAATGGTACCTTTGATAAGTTTGCTCGTCGAGTACCCAAACCAATTCCCCAAGTGCCTATACGGTAAGCATTAGATTTTAACGATGGTGAATTAATAAAAGCCTCGTTCACTTACCTTGTGTTTGTAATTTCATTTCAAAATAAGCTTTATTCTGAACAACTGGTGCATTCTAAAAGAAACGAGTACCGACGTTCAGAAAAAGATCAAACTGATTCGTTCGATGCGATTTACCGCCACGGCTGCGCCAGTTCCGCATAATCGTCGTCCATTTTTTACTACGACGACGTCCTGGCCCATTCGAGATGTATCTAGTGTTACTTCTGGCCGATGCGCAACTATGACATCAGGATAATTCGAGCCTTGCAGAAACCGAAGACAACACGCACTTTTCAAACATGAAAGCATAATCTAAAACTAAAGTCATAATCGTCAGTTTTTCTGTTCAGAGCAATGACTAAATGTTAATAAATAAATAATAACAGATTAAAAAAAGTATGATAACATTAACAATCAAACGGATTAGAATGATAATAGAGATTGATTTAAAGCTTGAAAACGGCGATATATTCCAAATAATACGATCCAAAATAAAGATGGTCATTATACTCAGTGACTTGGGATGTGGAAGGAACAACCAGACCTTCTGCGTCTTGTAATGAACGAACGATATGTCTATTGTCTTTATCAACTTCAATAATAAGCCCATGTTGTGGTAATCTTCTTTGTATTTTTTTCAACGCTCCAGGTACAAGCTAGAAAAAAAGCAACGAACCCTTTTTCGTTAAAATGAAGAAATAAATCAATCATCATGCTTACCGAAAGTAACGTGCGTAATCTTGGCCAATTGCGTAAACGATCTAATATACTTGGCTGATCTTGATGGCGAATACCTGCAAAGGCAATCCAATAGTTTCCACTGCTGGTTAACCGAATGTTGTCTGGAAGACCAGGTAAGTTATCAATGAAAACTTCGCTTTTTCCTATCTTGGAACTATCACCGTTAATCCAATGCCGAATAACCCGAGCTAATGTCGTTTCACACACTAATACTGATTGCTTATCGACAGATAGTTGAACACCATTTGGAAAGGCAAGTTGATCATCAAGAATACGTACTTTACCCGTTTCAAGATCAAAACGAATCAATCTACATGATAAAGTCAGTTTTTATGCAAAAAAATGAAACCGAATCGATGAATAAATTCACCTTCCACGAGGACTTGCATGCATTAGAACAGACATAAACTCTTTTCGTGGATAAAGCCAGTCAGAATCAGTAAAGAAGAGATAGCGTCCCTCAAGTACATCAACATCATTCACAAATTTCAATGGACGTGAACCAAAGCGTTGATCATCTGCGCTGATCAATCGAGTTAGTTTCTCTAAAACAGATAATGACCATACTTTGAGATCAAAGTAGATAATTGAACATACTTGTTTTAACATTTAATTTAAATAGACCGTGGTAAGCTTGCACAACGATAAGTTCGTCATCAGACAGACGACGAATACCCAAAGGACGACCACATACATGTTCTAAATTGTCTTTTCCTAAATAATACAATTGATTATACCGGAGAATAATGATTCGCTGATAATACCATACCACAAGTGAGCAAATGATCGTCAATACTGAGAGATGAATAAACAACGCGAGTTTTTCTTGTTACCGGGTCAAGTTCAATGATAGAGCCATTCTTTAGACCAGTGTACAGCATACCTAAAATTGATTTTATGTAACAAATTAGAAAAATACAATTGATTGAAGTCTACCATTCAATGGTTCAATCGATTCTGGTCCTTCACCAACATAGATTCGTTCACTATGAGCAAGAAAGTCATTCACAAGTAATGGTGCACCATCCATCGTTGGCAACGAAGCTGGAAAGCTAATCGAAAACAATACTCAATAAATATTTTTATCTTTTACTCTTCACTTACTGTTTTGTCATGTGATCCTCATGAGGCAATGCGAATTGTATGTAAGCTAACAGAGCTAACATTGCAATCGCGATAACAGTCAGCGCTACTTGTCTAAACACGAAGAAAACAAGATCTATGCCAGAGTTCAAATTTCCTTCGAAAAATTCTTACGATAATGGTATTGACGGTTGTCGACGGGGCCGACGATCATCTGGATCAATCACAATACCTCGCTTACTATCATCTTCTGTAGATTGATAAATTGCTTCGTCAACTCGTTTACGCTGACGAACATTTTCGGTCATTTTCGATGAAGCCTTGTAAATAACAAACAAATCGATATAACGTCAAAAATATTATTGGCGTATATCTACGTATGTGTTCCTCTTCTCTTTTTGCGTTTTTTTCTCAGTAGGAGGATGTGTGCGTGTGTGTGTGTGTCCCGAAATAAACTATCGATGGTAAGAATTCCAGCGAATCTTTGATCGAGCGCTACAATCGCAGAATAGTACAATGTGCAACTGAGCTGCAAGTAGAACGAAGGTGGTTGCCTGGAAACTCGATTTATGAATGGACGTCTGCTCTATGTATGTGTTGAAATGAGAGTTTATACAGAAAAGAAACAGCTGATTCATTGAAATGCCCCGTATCGTACCGACGTCAGACACTTTCTTCGGAGTTTCATTTTGATGATTATTGAACTAAGAAAACGTTGTTTATTTTCAGTTTAAGAAGATTTTTCTTTGAATTAGCTGAACTGATATGTGCAGCTGATGACCATGAAAAGATCTCTGCGAGTAAGTTTCTATATCATAAAGAATGTATGAGATGTTTTTCTTTCTTGATTCTAGTCATCGTTAAATCGATATCATAATGACGAAGAAAAAAGTGAATATGCGAACTATAGTAATACAAAAATAAGTAAGCAAATGCATTTTCGACCTAGTTTTACTTTGACATTCACAATTCATTCACTATGCATAATTAAATTATCCGATCAATTGTTTTTTTTTCTTTTCGCCAAGAATTTTTCATCTGTGGGTAAACGACTCATATAAAATCAGCCTACACTCATTAATGACCAGGGAAGATCGACTAAGAGAAGCAAACTTGAGTAAATATTTCGAGTTTGATGTTAAAGCTATTCGACATGCACGTCATATAAATTGACAATTCAGACTTGTGATGATTAACAATGAATATTGTTTCTCTTTCGAAAGATGCTGATTTGTCAGGATTGTTTCTAACATAAAACGAAAAGTCTAGAGAATGTCTTTTTTTTTAAGTCACCTTATTTCAAGTACCTCAGTATGAACATTTACAAATCCTTATATGCAACGGAAATTCTTTAACAACATTAGCCGGTGTCGAACATATCAAGAGACTATGGAAACTTGACGTCGGGAATAATCAAGTATTGTATTGCAATTCATTGCACACGATCTCATTCAATGTTTGCTATTAGATTCAAAGTTTACAACACTTGTCGCGTTTTATCGCACTCGGTTCACTTATTCTGTCAGCTAATCATTTACAATGGATTGAATTACAGCACATTCGTCATATGTTCATACTTGACTTGAGACTCGATGGCAATCCTATACTAGATGCCGATGCCAACTGTAAGGATATTCGGAAAGTGAAATGCTTTGATGATATTTGTATGCGTAGATCGGCAACATGTTCTCGATTGTTTACCACGAATTTGGATGTGCGATGGTATTTTTATTTCGAGTAGGTTTTCATCGATAGAATCAAATTTGGACAATTCAGGAAATATTCTAGCATTGGAACGTGAACAAGTGGATGATTTCTTCACACAATCATTATTAGCAAGAAAACCAGTGGTAAGACGATTAGTTTCGGAGAGAAATATCATATTCATCTATTGCAATTTTTAGCGACGAAAGTTAGCACGCGATATTTTTATGCCAACAAATCTGAGAGATCGTTCAGTCAATGGATTATTTGGACAAAAGGTACGAGAAGAAATGCACCTCGGTAAATCTATTTTCTCTTTGTAGGCGACAGACTTGTTTGCGAAATTTCCTATGAACTGTTTTATTAACGTTGGTAAGTGTATAACTTTACTTATTTCATAAGCAATACTCTCATGTGTTCCTCTAGAAATTGATAAAAAGAGAATACGACATTTAGCAACGACAATGCAAGATATATTCGTTACGGAAATGAGAGCTGATGACTCAAAGTAAACGAATTTATCAAAAATTGAAAGGCTCATACGTTAACATGATAAAATCTTAGAAAACAAGAAGAATTGCTCTTGGATGATCGGCAACTATTTCATCAACTTGTGGATCTTCGAGAGAGTCATGTAGAAGAATTCAATATGTTTCTTATATTACTTGTCGTACGTTTTGAAAACTCACTGCTTTTGAAACATAAAATTCCTTTCGTCTTCATTAGACTCATATTCTATTTCAAATACCGGATGAGTTATTGAATAATGTTTTGGATGTGACACATACGAAAACAATTGGGTACGAATGTCCATCGGATATTTCTTTCTTTCTCTAGTTGATTATTCAGAGAATTGAATCTTGAGCGGATATTTTCGTTGGAAAAGTCGATACAATGCATGATCGCATCGCTTATTCACGGCGGTACACGAATGGATCGAGATGAAAATCACGTAAATCAAATCATTTTTCTCTCTCGAAAAGAAAAACTCGTATGTTCTTTAGCCGTCTGTTTATCATGATAAACTATTCAATAGTCTTTCAACAATCCTTACCAATCAAATCCGACAATTCTCTACATTGAGTTCTCATCAACCGTATCCCAACGCAAGCATGTAAGACAAACTATCTCTATTTACTTTGCCATCATCAATAATTCATGTTTAGATATTCGGAAGCAAAATCTATGTTGTGTCTCGAAGCAATGCAAGTATTAATCATGTGTCCATCATTTTACAAACTCGTCGAAAATTCAAGTATGACTTACAATGGATTCGTTTTGATAGAATTTACACTTTCCTTATCTAGGTGTTAATGCGATTTTACAACAAGCTCTGGACCGATCACCAGCCTATGGAAGTATGCAAGAAATCTTGGATAAGCTACAGGATGATGAAGTAAAGTTGTCTACATATGTGGGATATAACATCATTGTTGTTTCTCTTTGTATTCATTTTAGAAATCAGCAGAAGAACAAAGAGATGCATTGAGTGTTGTTCTTGGGAATATTCTAAAAATGGCTATCCGAACTTTATCCACAAAGAAAACAAAGAAAGTCGTTGAACCACCATTAGTAGTACGTGTTGAAAGAGAACAGAGTGGTCTTATCTGTATATTGATATATGTTAGGAAGCAAATAAAGTTGAAAATGAAAATACAAGTCGACGGCAACTCGAACAAAGCGTATCGTCGCCAAAACAACTACCGCGATCCAATATTCATCGTGTTCCTGGTAAAATTATTCTTTCGCGCATATAGAAATCATTCCCTTCCAACTTCCGTTGCAGCTATCGCCGATCGCATCCTAACCGCTCCACAAAGATTTGGTCGTATCATAACAATTCCTGAAACAGATGTGGCCTTAGTTCAATTCGATCATGTACTTGCTATAAATGGATCTATGATTGCTAATGGCTCATTCAATGATCATTCGAATTATGTGAATACGAACAATTTTGAATGGGATGCTGTACATGAATATTGGAAACCGAAATTAGCATCTGGGGATAAGTATGTTGAAATTTGTTTCGAGTATGTGAAATATATATATATATGAATAGGATTACACTGCACATGTTGCCATCGAAAGATGAAACACCTCGAAATATTTCACAGTTACGAACAACTTTACTAAAAGTAACAATTTTTCAGTGGAAATTTTTAGTCTAATAAAAATATTTTATTTATATTAGACAACAGAATCGCCTGAAAAAGGACGGACGATACCCAAACTATTCGAAATTAGTAAGTTTATCTTTCAAACTCTCTACAATTCTATATCAAGCTCTGTCTTCTTTCTAGATATCAATAAGCCAAAGTAAAACAGATTACTCGTGTTACAAGTCACACACCTCGCTCTTTTGTTCCGAATTTAGAGAAGCATTTGTTGAATCAGCGCGAGAAATAACACCGCCACCATCGATGGTCGAACACGAAGATCCACATAACTCCAAGAAGACATCTATCGTCGATCAAAAGTCAGTTGCACCTGAACAGTACGTATTTAGCTCGTGTTCTACTTCCTTCATTGTCGACGATCTCATTTCAGAGTTGTCATCGAACGACCTTTGTCTGTTCGCATCATTAAACAAAAGCAAGAACAACAAGTAAAAGATTCAACATTTGCCGAAGGCCTATCTTCATCTCCTGTTCTCATCGAATCTACTCTGATTTTCATGCCTGATCAATCTCAAACACAAATTACAGCATTTGATTCACAACATCAAATGAATGCCTCATCATTCTTAGATGATTTTGAACACACCCATGGTGTCTATCGCCGCGCAACATTACATCGTGTACCAGTACCAGTACACAATGCAACACAATGGTTTAGCGGGCCAAACATGCAAAATGAACGTTCAGGTCGAATGGAAAAGGTTGTTTCATCGCTTTTTCGACGATCGTTTCGCTCTATTTCAACTTACTCGTATGTCATACATTCAGCAAAGTCACATTCCATTAATATTCTCATCTTTCTCATAGAATGCCACGTGTACCAACGCTAACTTCACCATCATCAAGGGAGCATGCTCTATACAAAGGTATTGAATCTATTGCAAAACAGCGAAAACTAAAGCCGTCGAAAACTTTTTGAAAATTAGGTGTTCGTCCAGGAACATTTCAAGATTTCAGTATCGAAAGTCAACGTGTAACTCCTGCACCACTTTCTCTCAGTCGACAACTCCGATCTGCTAAAAGTCGATAGTAACTATTCACACTCAAATCTGATCTCTAATCGTTTTCATACTTTAGTACGCCATCAGCACGCTTATACGACTTCAGTAATTGACGTATCCTTACAACATTTGTTCATCGAATCTTGTTTACCTAAGTGTGATACTCAATGATGAATCTTCTTGGATGTGATAGATTGCTTTACGTTACTTTGATCTGTGATAAAGGCTTGTGTGTTCTTTCTTAACATGTAGATATAACCGAATCTTTCGTTTCGATCAGTATGGATTCAATCCATCCATATGCGCCTTATTTTAGCTATGCTTTTTATAATTGCTTTTACATTCGATATAAACCATCGATGCCTTTCTCTCTACTTGCTACACTGTCATATTTATTTATAATCTCGTTTTCAATATTCTTATCTTTTAATAAACATCCGAAGTAACAAAACAAATCTATTAGTCGAGGTGATGTGAAAAGTAGCGCTTGATTTTATTTCTAACGAACGAATACAAATGTAAAATGAGAAAAATATCTAATGACAACACCAGAAGTGAATACGACGTTTTTCGAAAACAATTCGCCGAGTATTGGGCTGAAAGACGAACAAATATTTGTATCGTTACTAGATAAGAATGTAAATGACATACTCCTTGAATAATAATATTCTGTTTCCGTTCGAGTTTGTCCTTTATTGGATAAGTTCGTATCTCAGCAATGAATGGCTGTGAAGAATTAAGTTTGGATGTTAGTTGTACAGGTACCGCTGATGTGTTCAATGGAATTTCTGTTTTGTGAGGTTTCGACGATGCTCTTATCGTCTGTTTATCCGATTGGATCATCTCTGATACCGATCGAGATTGACAAACATTATTCTTAACTGATAAAAGCGATTCTAATCGATGCAAACGAATCTTTCAAAAAGAAAACAAGAATATATCGTTAACTACAAAGAATTTTACTTAAACTTACATTAACATTCGCTGGCACAGAACCTGACCAGAATTTCCATCGTTCACGTATAATTTTTGCTAAAGAGAAAAACCTTTCTTCTTTTTTAAATACACAACTCCAGAAGAAAATTTCACACCTTGATGCAAAGCACAAAGTACAAATGGATCTGATACATCATCAATCAAATCTTCATCACTTTCGTTGTAACCTTCGTGTCGCATAACGTTTGGAATGTTAACGAAGAGAATCGGCAAAGCGCGCCTTTTTTTTTATTCTCGATAAACAACACGACTACAAATGATGTGCTCGAGAATAATGTTCTCGACAGAAACAACAAAAGAATCATTCAACAGAACACAGAATTATCATCTAATCTGCTCTCTTATCTCATACAGATTCAATAGACTTTTGTAGAATTTACATATAATCTATTGAGAATCATCTTTCTCGACAAATACTTCAATTAACCAATCGAATATGGCGGTCTCGTCGGTACAAAACAAACATTCACATCATCCGAAAGAGAAAATTCAGTTATGACTCCAAGCTTTGTTTTGATATTTCGAACATAAAACTGATTTGAATATTTCATAAAAATTTTTCTTTCCTCATCATTTACTTCGACTTGTTTTCGGCACGTTCCATGCAATGAAAGTGATGTCATTTAGAGATTTATCGATTTGAACAAATCATCATCCAAGTGTGAGATTTCCCATATCGGCTATATTCAAATCGGCTTGTAATTTCTGTTTCTTTCCGTTCGTATCAATTAACATTAAACTCTAAGAATAAAAGGCGATTGTTTCAAAATCTTCGACTACCACGGAATAAATCACAAATGTCACGTACATGTTTTCTTCTTACGTCGAAAGCAAACCATTTCATTAGCGATTCAGTTCGTAACCTACTTGAAAATATGCTAATATGATCACTCCTCCTATTCAATATTCACTAAGTCGAGGACGACTCGAAGAGGAAAATCATTCGATCTAATGGATAGACATTTATGGATGTTCTCTTTCATCTTCAATCATCGAGGTGTATATCGACACGTTGATGTTATACATGTGCCTTACCTTTTGCGTTTTTCCCCAAGTAATTCAATATACACCTTCTCACTTTGATGATGTGTTGCTCATTTTAGTCAATTGATTTTCAACAGATATGTTTTAAGCTGGGACGTACTTTCAAATGAGTTTTTTCTCAATGTCATCCAATGCACCAGCAGTAAAAATTTCAAAAGAATCATCAGGATGAACAAATGAAATAACAATTTGCCAATCATCATCGAGAGAAAACAAAATTAGGCGAGAGCAATCATTTGATTGTGTACGATACAGAGAAAATGTAATCCAATTAATAAGAGAGAGAGAGAGACAGGGAGAGAATGTGTATACGTGCTCACTCAACCGATTTCGTATATATATATATTGCTCTTCTCGATAGTCATCAATATCATTTAATCAAATTCATATGGAACGTAAGTATTCCTTGTAAACAATTGTGCATGTCTTAGATCGATAGAGAAGTACTAGAGATCTGTTCAATTGGTGAATTGATCTTTTACACTTAGAAGAAGTTTCTTGATTGCTATCATAATAGATTTTCAAAAAACTCTTGTCGTTGATCATCTCTATCACAATTGACCATCGCACTCTCATCTTGCCACCTCTTAATTCGATAAACATTTTAACAAAATTCTATCGATGGAATCTATCCATCCATCCATCTCCGAGTGTCAGATTTGTCACCAGCGATCATATTTTTCGATGTTTATATAGAAATAAAATACATTATTTCCTCTTCATTTCTAGCCCACACATCAATTGCCATGTTCATCAGTGAAATACCAGTTCGGTATCAAAAATCGATTCAATGGATTCGAGACCTCAGCCATCGAACTACCGTTCAAGATGTCATCTCGTCTGTGTTGCCATTATCGGAACCAAACCAATATTCGCTCTATATTTATATGGGCCGTCATCGACAATTATTGAAAAATTCCTCTCGAATCTACAAGATCGTTGCTTCATTTAATCAACAACAATGTGCACGACGTTTACTTTTCGAAATTCGACCAGTAAAGGTTCAACAGCCGAAGAAACGCGTTCGTTTTGCGGATGAAATCATCGTGCAGGATATCAAGAATCGATGTGTATCGACTGAGAAAAGCGAACATAATATGATCGAAACCGTATCCATTCCAATCGAAAAGCGTCTCGAAAAATTAAAGGAAAACTTCCAGAAAACCATTCAACAAAAACAGGAGAACTACGTTAAATTATGCACAATCACCAAAAGGTACGGGAAATCTTTGTTCTTATTATTTCTCAACCTAATACCTTCTTTTTCTTGTAGATCAACTTTACGTGTGATCAATGAGAATGTGCCGAAACATGTCTGTGTACAAACAGCGACCATCAAACAAATTGTACGTTCATCCAGCGAATCGGGTATCAGTTCCAGTTCATCTAGCGATGATCTAGTTGTACCAACTCAAAGATTAGAAACACTCGTATAAGAAAACTGTTCTTTCCTTTCATTTCATCCATTTTACTTTGTATGCATTTATTTGATTAATAATAAACTGTACATAACTCACATTGACTGTACGAACGATTGAATAGCTACTTGATCAAGTGATTGACTTCGAGAATTGGTTCGTCTTCTAATCAATTGGATTATGACAATGACATCCTTGTGTCATTTGTTGTTCACACTTGCACACGCATGATCATCGATCGAATGGATGAGAATAAATCTTTGACTAAATCAAATATATTCCTCGAATTGATCGTCTTAACTTTCTGCGACGAATTTCTCAACATGTCAACAGCGAAATCCAGGCATCTTCTCTTCTCACTAATAGACTATTCAACCTTCGACATGAAGGTGAAAACGATCAATACATTCCATCTGTAACCATGCGAGAAATCAATAACGACGAACAAATATTATGATTTCTATTCGTTGCAATTATGACGCAAGACAAACCCTTTCTTCTTTGTCTCGTTTCTATTCATTATCAACAATTGAAGATAGAACGTCTTCTAGACCGTTGGCACGTTAACACGATCGTTGATCATGGAGCTCAATGCAACGAAAAGTCCTATGCATCTACCAGCTTACGAAAATATCGTCAAGTAATGTTCGTTGCGATCATTTATCTATTTAAATCTTCTTCAATTGCTAGGCGATATGGAAAGTATACAAGAAAGGTCAACGGCGAACTTGTCAAAAGTATTTTCCAAAGATTTTCTTTCCTGTAGGACGTCGTTTATCTTCGTAAATTTAGTTGTTTATGATTGGTTCGAACCTGAAGATAGTAATCAATACAAATTATGTTTAACAAAAAAACAATATGATCTATTGAAAACATTTGTCTCTCCAATAGGTTCGTTCAGTTCTTGACTAGAGTATCGATTGTCTTTTTTTTTTGTTGCAATAGATTCAAATGGTGAACCATTAGCATTTGATCGATATTGTGATGTGCTAATCCCAGTTATTACTGCTGGGGAAGATGATCATCACGATGATTATTCAATCTGGTTAGCATTTCGTTCGTTTAAAAAAAGTCACAATCGTTATATCGAAACGAGTGAATTGGAAAACTTAATACATATCATTGGTCAATCGGTCGATCGTGAACAGATACGTGATCTGATTAATAAAATTGATTGGGATCATAATGGCCTATTGGACTACAACGAGTTTCGTCAATTCATTATTCGTGGTTATGCAAGAGAATTGTTAATGATGGACATTACGAGAGAAACGGTTTATTCCGTGGATAGAGTAGAAACACCAACAATGACGCATCGATTCTAACAACGAAAACTTTGATTTGATACCCGAACGATACAATCGAAATTTTCATAATTCTTTTCAGTTAATAAATTGATGGACTTGGTCACCTAGAGAAATCATCTCTGCTTCCATTCTTTTTCTTTCGTAGTCTAGGATCTCTAGATCCAATCGATTGCTTCCATGTTATCTTTAGTAGGACAGAAAGGATGAAAGTCAATCAGACGTATGATGTTTCTTTCAGTCATATTATCTCAGCGAAAATCAATAGTCTCTTCCAGTTATTGATATCCAATTATGCTTAAATTCCACGACAATCGTATACTTACGCTGTCAATCTATCCACAAGCATAGTCAATTCTGCTACTATGAGTAAAATAGTTCTTTTAATCGAATTTTTACATTTTAAAAAAGAGAATAGAAACAACTAAAGATTTGTACTACTAGTTTTCGAGTAATCGAATATCGATCCTCCTTGCCCATCGGATCGATTCATATTCCGATTTCCCGTTGCTGTCAACGAAACGGTCGCGCTAAGACCACCTGATATATTCTCAGGTGGTGCTGGCTTATCCGAACGTTGAAAATTTTTCCACAAATGAGTTAAAATATTCGATGTGACATCATCACCGACGTTTGAATGTATCAATCGGAAGATGAAGAATCCGTCTTGTTGCAAATAATCGTGAATAAAGGCGTTCAAACCGGTTCGTACAGTTGTGATACTTTGTTGGATTTGAATCCGTTGACTGAAAAATGAATAGCGTAGACGTGGAAGAAATAAAAACATCAGCCAAGAGACAAAATCGTAAATGGTTACAGCCAACACAAAATTCATCCAGATATATAAAACCGTAAATACTTGTTCGTTATACACATTGATAGTCAATACACCTAAAACAAATAAACAGCATAAGAGAAGAAGAAGAAGTTAATTAATAATAAACTGAACAAATAGATAAAATAAACATTCGAACTCCTCCTCGAGGCCACTATTCAACATCTGTACTACCAATGATAGATTATTTCAATTCTCTTCTTCTGCGTCCTTGATGACATTCTACTTACATTGAACTGTATATTTATGCCCTTCGTCACTATTGGGCTCGATTATTCGAAAATCACACATGCTAATCTTCGGAAAATATTTCGATAATGGATTACTGCGCAAGACATCAGCAGTAAATATCTTCTGGAAACCTTTCCACGTTTGGTTGACCGTCCATTTTTCTTCGAGTAAGATTCTTATCGCGTATAATTGAACAAACGCATTGAGTATAAATAGAAACTTGGTGACTAAGTAAAGTAGGAACAGATATGCACTAAACACGTTTGAACTGCCGAATACACAGCTAATGAGACCTTCGATATACGTATTTATTCGATTATGTTGCTGTTTGGGTCGTTTGCGTGGATCGCCCGAGTATTGGTGTAAAACAGAAATGAGATAAGCCATGATTGTCTTATGTTTATGAAAACGTTTGACACTTTTTAAATTCTGAGCAGCATCCATGATATTCCGGACATCGAGACCAGAATGACGACTAAACGAACGCCAAAACAATCGTGGTAGAACATAGAACAGAGCTTGTAATAGTAAAATAAATGGAACGAATTGGTAGTATCTCAAAACATATCGTTTTTCCCGTGCCCGTTGCATATTTGGTTCACTAATGTTAATATGGTACGTCTAATCACACCGTTCTCAACATTTCTTATCTGAATAGAAAAGTTTAGTCTTACATTGTGTATCCAACAATAGTTTGACACATAGATTTCATAGTTCCGAGTGAAGATGGCCGGTACCCAACTGAAAAGGATGACGACAGCATGAAGAAGATGCAACAATGAGAATGTTTACCATTGAATTTGATCATTGGAAAACTGCTTTCCTGCGATGACAATTGAGAAGAAGATTAATAAACCTACAGTGTACTTATAATTCAATCGATCAGCGAAATCATCGTCGCGTCGGACACCGAAATAACTGATAGTTGGCAAACGATGAAACGCATTGAGAAGATCCATCTAATTAAAGAAATACAGAAGAGAATTTTGGTATGTTCGGCGTGCTTTTCTTTGAATTAACTATGCATTAAATGATAACAAGAATAACAATTGCTATTTGTCTAACAATGTCGAGCGATAATAGAAACTAAACGGATTCTGTTCCGTCGATAGATTGAATCGACAAGGAAATAGATATAAATAAACGCATCTGTACAGTATCATCAGCAATACAACAAATTCTTTTCTTCTTTTTTTGTTATTATCATTAGTATAAGTAGACATTAGTAAAGCAACTTATCATCATTCTTCCTTCTGTCTATCTTCTTTTTCTCTCCCTCTCTCGTCCTCTGCCAAACGAAACCGAGCAGCAATGTCATCGAAGATTGACATACGGAAGAAAGGAAGAAGAAGAAGAAGACTCATAATTCATCTTCGTTTGGGAAGAAGAACGATTCAATCATTAATCACGAAAAAAAAGTTGATGAGACTATCTGACAAACATCGATCTTCTGAACGACATAGTTACAACGTTTTGATGATAAAATCTTCTCTGTGTGGAAACACAAGTATTCGGTTTACCTTGGAGAATTCTTCTCTGTTGAACTATTCGCAAGTAAGAACAAACGATTAATACCGAGAATAGTTGATTAGTCATTTGAGACAAACGTATGGCAAGATTACGATCTGCAATTTCTCTCTTTTGTTCATGTTTTATTGAAGACGTAAATGAAGATGATCTTTGTTACAATTACGACAGTTTTATTCGTTAGTAAAATGTTGATACAAACATCAATGAACTGATTACACTGTTGTCAGTTGCAATTATTAATCAGATCCAGATAGAAGAGAAAGAAAGAAGGAAAGCAAAAAGATGGATGAGTGGAAGCAATTGTTTGTATAAGTTGTGTTTATTCGTACATGTCCATTTCATCTTCATCGATGGATAATGATTTTCCAGAGCCTACAAGAAGAGAAAGATTCGAGAAAGTTGCTGTTGTTGTTGTTTTTGACATACGAGATTCACATAAACGACCAGTTCGGCCTTTTGGACAACGACATTTAGGTGTGGATTTCACATAAACGCATGTACCACCGGCTTGGCAATCGAGTGGACAATATTTTGCATTACTTGATCGTTGGACTAGGATATGATCGAGATGACAATGCTTTTTATCAGATGAAACTGAACTTACTCTTTTCACATAAGACTCCGGAAGAGCCTTTTTGACAAACGCATTGTGAACCGGATTTTGTTGTAACACATTTGGCTTTGTTCATACATGGATTTTTAGGTGAACATGATTTTGGTCGGTTGACTAAAATAAAATATAATAGAACGATAGAATTAGACAATGTATCGAAACTGTACCTTTTTCACATCTTGCTCCATAGTATTCATTTGGACATGAACATCGAGCTTGTCCATTTAATTCATCGATATAACATCGACCGCCATTTAAACATGTTTTGTTGCATGGTTTGGATATCAATGAACGAGCGCTACGACCTATGAGAGATTTCCATATGAAAATCGATGGGATATATGAAACTGTTTGCAACATACGAAATTGACAATAATAACCAGCATAGTAGTTAGAGCACCAACATTGGGCAGCGTTATTTTGAACCGAACAGCCACCCATATTTTGACTAATCAGAGATATTCATAAACTAATATTGAAAGGATTGAATTACAAAACAAAAGGAAACTGACCATGGATTTGGCAAGCATGGATTTGTAACTATAACCACTGGACATGGCGTAACAATACATACACAACTTGGACATGATGGAGGACGTGTTGTAATTGTATTTGTGGTAGTGGTAGTGGTAGTTGTTGTACTTGTAGTTGTGGTTGTTGTCGTTGTCGTTATCACTAAAAAGTGAATACATGATCATGGTATCTATCGTCCATTGTTTTCCAAGGATCTGTTAACATACTTTGTTGACAGTTAGTACCAGTAAATGGGTACGAGCATTGGCAAACATAACCGGTTGTTGTTTGTATGCAAGCGCCATTGTTAGAGCATGGATTTGGTATACAGTAATTTCGATATTCACATCGAGTACCGTAGTATCCATTCGGACATTGACAGAGATATGCTACGCAAAAAAAAAGAATCAATATTTTATTAAATAAAGAAAAACAAGTAGAAGCAACACACTGGCGCCTGTAGGAATGCAGCGTCCGCCGTTTTGACACGGTGATTGCAAACACGGATCATACGGAGTGGTTGTGGTTATACGTGTTTCACAACATCGACCAATAAATGATGTTGGACATTGACACAGAAACGACATGCCTGATGGTATGCATGTGCCTCCGTTTTGACATGGATTTGGCTGACACGGTGTCGCAGCTAGGAAAATATACGTACGTAATCTAGATCTACTCGGAGAGAGTAGTACTAACCTGGTGCTTCGCAACGATTACCAGTAAATGTTGCCGGACAATTGCAAATGAATCCTGCACCATTGGAAACACACTGTCCGCCGTTCAAGCAAGGATTTACTGCACATGGATTTCTCGGTTGAACTACAATTGAATAGATTCATTTTTATCAGAAAGATGAACATGTTTGACATATCATACTAGGTGTTGTTGCCGGTGCACACTGAATGGAGCCACAGAAGCATTGAACTGTATTCACAACAATACCACAAGCTCCAGTAGAGCAGAATGAACATTGATACTGTTTAGGTGTTACAAGTGGTCCAAGAGCACGAGCTTCAGACAATGTTCGGCCGATAGTCATGTTGTTCAATGCGTTTGGATCAGCTTCATACATTTCAATTCCATCGTCTTAAAAAAAGCAAACATAGATTTATCGAAGAAATGAATCGCTTTGCATGTGAAGAACGTTGTTACCAAAATCGATTTGTTTAGCTTGTCGTTGTGCACCACACGATTCGACATATTCTTTCCAAACGCATGTTTTCAACGAATTTTCCCATGCTGTACCAGATGGGCAAGTAAATTTGATGCGTAAATTATGAAAACATCGTATAAATTTTGTACAATCTCCAGAATCTGCTGAATAATCTTGACATGAACCTACATATAATAAACGTGGTCCATACAAAACTCACACTGTACTCCCGATGACTTACTTTGTCCACTGACTACGATAAGAACAGTACTTAGAAGGTATAGAACCACCGAATGCAATGCGAACATCATAGTTTTCGTAGAATTTTTGCCAATGAAACGAAATCTAAATAACATATCCTTTTCAAAGCTTTATTATATAGACCAACAATGTTTTCAAAAATTCGTGACGTGATAACAGCAAGCAAAAAAACATCCTTAGTCGATACGGGCATACACTGAGTTTTTCATCATCGAAAAGACCAAGTTTATTTAGTTTTGCGGTTGTTTTTCAAGTAAAACATGTAGGCGATATGATAATCTTCTTGTTAGTTATTTTCGTGTTTTTGCTAGAGATGACGGACGAATGTGACGGCTTTTTAGTGATCGTTTGTTGACATTTAGCAAAAGACGTCTCTGCCTACAACGGTAATCCTTTCTTTTACGAGAAAGCGAACGGAATATATTCGTGTTTCGTTTAATCATAGGACAGCTGTGTTGTTCAAGACCTTTGAATGGTATTATCTAATTGCTTGATATATTACTTCTTTTTCAAATCATTCGATAAGCTGAATAAGAAATAAAGTCAAATGATAGACGAATTTTTTTTCCTGCGACGTCATTAAAGTCTACCCAAAGTACTTTGATATTACAATCTACACCAAAGGAGCAAATGATCGTCATTTTCGAACCATTAGCACGAGGCAAACCTCGAACAACTGCATGAAAGTGTGATTTGTTTCGTTTCACTAGTTGACTAGCAATGATACAGGCATAAAATTGTAATGAATAAAAAAAGAAGTTCAACAAGCGTGAAGTAATCACCTATACTTGATTTAACTTGACATGTGATCAAGTTCTTGCGTTATTTTATTCATGATTTTTCTTTTCTTAACTGGAAACGACACATACAATTCTCGCGGTAAATATATCTAGACTTAATCATCTCGTCGGGCACATTTTCTATGTTTGACTTCGTTGGACCAGTGCAAATCGTAGTTAAAAATTCTTTTCATCAGCAGTAAGAAAGGAGAGAGCCGAGCGAGAAATGGACGACAATGCTGTGTTAATGATTTTGAAGGAAAAAAAGAACAGAAACAATAGTTAGCCGGTTCAAACGATTGAGATCGAAAGAAAGAAAGATTTATTATGGCATTTTGACAGAAGTTCATCAGACATCAAAACGTGTTGTTGTTGATGATGAGGATGATAATGGCTACAGTATGTATAATGTGTGTAACAGTCGACATACGGCCTGATTACATCAATGCGAAAGGAATGTTTATTAATAGAAATAACTTGATTTAACTGGCTAGTAGTGAGATCATCCATAAGTGTAAGTAAGAAGAAGACGAAGGGAGCAAAGCAGAATGGACGACTGCTGTTTAGTTTATATAGTAATGCATGCACTCTGAGATAAATGAGGAAGAAGAAAGAAAGAAAATCATTTCGGGCTCGTTCTTTCCCTACATCTCAATTACGTCATAACAAAAAAGGCGAGAAAAACGAGTATCATAATATATTGACTAACTCTTTAGATGCGAAGACAGACACTATGATATTAACAACTGGTCATACTTGTGATGGTGGCAATCGAACTCTACGTTGGTCACAATTTTGTGATGGGATCATTGACTGTCATGATCGGTTCGATGAAGAAGGGAGTTTTTGCAGTAAGATGGAATTGATTGTTTGATTTAAATGACGAATGAATGATCTTTAGAACGTTGTATCAACAACCTATACTCATGTTCGCCGAAAGATGACATCCGTTGTGATTTAGCTTGCAAAATGTTACACTATGTACCGTGTCAAACAATACAAGATCGTCGAGCATGTGCCGGATATGCACAATACTGTAAGTCAAATCTTTAAGAGATGCATTGTGAACTAAAATCTGGGTCGTGCATAGTAGCTGATGAAAATGTGTTTTTTCAATGGTTCGAACAATTCAAATACTACATTAGTAGGTCCTTTCTTTCTGTACATCTTTTGAGCTTCGAAAGATTGTTTTAGTAACTGCTGTGCTTGTCCTTCTTGTTAGCTTGAGCATAGTTATGCTATGCAAATATATTTGTCGATTACGTCAAGCGAAATCTTCGATCGAAACGAAACAATCTACAAATCTCTCTGACATATGTGATAATTCCGACGAATCTGATACGCTCTCAAGTCATATCTATGAGCAATGCTATGAACCACCGCCCTATGAAGTAGTACAAAAACATTCACTGATACGAACTTATTATGAACATTCAGTATAAAAATCATAGAAAATTCTTTTCATATTCAATATCGTTCGTTTCAAACGCACAGATTGATTTTATCAAATAAATAATGCACGCGAGCGAATCTTCTTCTCCTATTGAAATGCGCTACTGTCCGTTCGAGTCGAATGAACCAATAAAAAACTATCGGTCTATGTTGATGATATACGGATGTTATACCGAATTTTTTCGGTAATCATTTAAGTGACATAAAAAAATGTTAATTAACAATTCGATTCATCACAAATTCATTGCAGAAGCAAAGGATCGTTCTAATGGATCACTTGATTCTGATTGGTCAACTGACATCATTTGGTAATTTTTGGTTGTTTGCTTATTTCTTTTCATATACATTCATTACTTTTCATCAAAATCCTTTTCCAATGTGTGAAGTTTTATCAGCAATCTGTACATCTCCCATCGGTCGATTAACAATATCCTATTGTCTCCAAGGTCTTCATTCGATTTCGCAAATCTCGACAATCAACGATCGATCATTTCTACCACATGCTAAGTGAATATCCTAAAAAAATGACTGTTTTTCTTATCGTCGAACGATAATTTTGTACCTTTTTCAGTCAATCGATTGAATACGAACTACCATGTGATATAGACGATCCAATTCTCGACTCCTGCCGCGAATGGCTTGACGATTATTTTCATGCTGGTGTCCATCCTATAAAAACGCCAAAGCTTTGTCCAACTGTGATTATGAAAGGAAATTCATTTCAAGAAAATGTTTGGTATACACTTTTAAAACGTGTTCCCTTCGGTCATGTGATTACCTACGGTGAATTAGCGAAATTGGCTGGAAATACAGGAGCTGCGCGTGCTGTTGGTACAGCCATGCGTCGTAATCCTTTTCAGCTGATTGTTCCATGTCATCGAGTGATTTGCTCGAATGGCAAGAAAGGAAATTATGCAGGAGGTGAACGAAACAGTGTCAAAGTTTGGCTATTGAAACATGAACAAATCGAAAATTGTAAATAAACTGTTCAATGAGTAACCTCGTTTCTTTTATTCTAGATAAAGTCTCTATCTAATTACGAACAGAAACTTATATAAAAAATGGCCGCACGTGGTTCAGCACGAAATACCCGATTGAATAAGAAACCCAAGAAAACCAAATTACGTGGTATGTGCTATCCGTTGCTTATAGTCGAGCGGATTAGTTCGATGAGATGAATGTGCTTTTAGGTAATGTGTCACATGGTCACGGTCGTATTGGTAAACATCGTAAACATCCTGGTGGTCGTGGTAACGCTGGTGGTCTTCATCATCACCGTACTCTTTTCGATAAATACCACCCGGGTTACTTCGGTAAAGTTGGTCAACGTGAATTCCATAAATTGAAAAATCGCCGCTGGTGTCCATCTGTCAACCTCGATCGTTTATGGTCACTTTTGAGCCAACGAACACAAGCAAAATATTCCGAAGGAGAAGCTGCCGTCACACCTGTCATCAACGTTGTCCGATCAGGTTATTTCAAGGTGTTAGGCAAAGGTGTTCTGCCAAAACAACCACTCATTGTTAAGGCCAAATTCTTCTCAAGATCAGCTGAAGAAAAAATCAAAGCTGCTGGTGGTGCTTGTGTATTAGTAGCATGAGACATTCGTCACCATCACTTCTGTCTTTGCTTACCCAAAAAGAAAAAAATATGTTCACTATCATCATTGTTTTTTCTTTTCGTTTGTGATCGATACAATTGCTTGTTTGTTTTTTCTTTCTAAGCATATTAAAGACACGGAAACGAATGGAAATTAAATACATATGCATATAAGTATTTCCAAAAACCCATCGACTCATCTTTTTTCATACATATCGACCAATGACGAAGGGAGGACATAACTATTTGTTTTCTATATAGACTTCTTCGCTTTGCAGATATGTGTCAAATAAATGAAGAAGACGACGAAGCATTTCAAGCTTTGAAAGCTGCGGCTGCAAATAAGTAGGTGAAGATGATGAGAAAGAGCCTTTTCTAGGGAGATTTCACTGTTTGTAGAACAGCGATCAGCCGAAAATGTATGAGTTGTGATCAAGATGCGTGTGTGGTTGTTCGAATTGCTGATCCAATGTGTCGGTGAGTGGAGAATTGCAATTTCTGACTGGCTAATAGACGAAGTTTTCGCGTGTAGGAAATGTTTCGAAGAGTTTTTCATTCATAAATTTCGTTCGACATTATCGAAGTCGAATGTCTTTGGGCGCGGTGAACGCGTTTTGATTGCATATTCCGGTGGACCGTCTTCAACAGCTCTTCTTCATTTGATTGCTGATGGATTGAGTGTGAACGCACGGAGACGCTTACAATTCCAAGCACACGTTGCTTATATTGATGGTAAATTCGTAGATTGAAAATCTTATCTTCAAGTTACCCCCCATTGATTTCTAGAATCTTCGTTATATCCGGAATCAACTGATATTCGTGATAAAGTGACAGATTTGATCACAAATCGATTGCAACATCCTTTGCATATTGTTTCAATTGATGATGTATGAAACTTGTCATGTTTTTGATCTAGAGAGACAATTTTTCTCGAATAGAATTTGGATAAAGATCATGATTTTCAGCAAATTCTAACAGAACGCACAAAATCGCTAACAGCACGCGAGGAACTCGTTCGACGACGAAAGTAATATACTTTTTCATTGATGTCCAGTCTTATGAATAAATCTGTGTGTAGATTGAAACTGTTATTCGACATTGCCATTCGAGAGAACTGTACGAAATTAATCACCGGTGATAATTGTACTAAACTAGCCGCACAAATTCTCTCCGATATGGCTCAAGGCAAAGGTGCACACGTTGCATTGGAATGCGTTCGTATACATTCGATGATTTGACAACCAATATATGAATATTCATTTAGAATTTGACAGATACAAGAAATGATTCAGTGACGATTGTCCGACCATTCCGGTAAGACATCATGTCTATCTTCTTCTCGTTCGCCATGGAAATCTTTTAGTGAAATAATGTCCAAGGAAATAGCGATGTACAATCGATTGAACTCTATTGAATCTCTACAAAATGCTGATATATCAACAATGGTATGTACCATCATTTATTTATCTTCGAGCACCGTGATATTCATTTTCAAATAGACTGGTCCGCAATCATCCATCTTCCAATTAACAGAAACACTCGTTAATGACCTGCAGCGACAATTTCCTTCGACTGTCAGTACTATATTTCGGTAAGCAACACATCTGGTGGTGTCCTTGCGTTTTCATACCGATTATTTCTTGCTTTCTTTTTTCGAGAACATCTGATAAATTGGAGAAAAATCTTCAACCACACCGATGTGATCTATGCTGTTGTCCGCTCGATCTCAGCGAAGATCAATCATTGGTATCCGATGAAGAGAGAATCAAACTTATTCAGCAACTATTCAGCCCCACATCTCAAAAGTAAACTCATCTTCAGTTGTCAAGATCATTCCGTCAATGTGACACTCCTTTTTTCAGCATGGATTCAGTTCATGTTTGCTATGCATGTCGACGGTTGCTTCGAGACGTACAAGTAAGTCTACATGTGTCGGTTCGACTCATTTGCACGCCAATGATTCATTTAGCCGATTTCTCACTCGCGTCAGAAATAAGACGCACTACTGACGAACAAGTTGGCCATCAGGATTTTTTATTTTCCGTATCAATAATCGTGAAACAAGATATTTTGTTGTTAACGTTAAATAAAAAATAATTTACCGTTGGAACATGACTCGTCTCTACTTTTCCTCACCCAACTCCAACAATCCAAAAGAAGAGCACTTCTCTTCTAATTCTTTTTCTAGCAGCACGCTAGTATGTTAAATAAATCGTATGTTTAATGTATATCAGATAGTTATTTTTGTTAATAAGTACTTACATCGAGCGATGTACTTTGAGCGCAAGCGGCAATTCTTGAGAGAGCAAACATCTTCAATCAAATTATTCATGAATTTCACCATGATCAAGTCGACAGGATAATGCTTTCTAATTGTGGATTCTTTTTTTATTAGCATTCAGTTTTCTATGCACCTTGCTTTGCTTCCATTATAAAATTACGTTGAGCATCGAACTGAAAATATTTTTACGAGAAGAAAAACTAATTCCTAAAGCCAGCTACAACAAATATATTCAATGCTCTTGTACCACGAGAGCAACTTTCCTGTTTATAATGAATGCCACTGCATTGTTTCTGGGCTTGCTAATTCTATTAATTAACCCTCAAGCAGATTTATGAATCTGATCAAGGAAGTCCGTTGCCATCAAATATGATAGACATTTGCTGCATACCTTGAAAACTATATTCATCTGCTTACACCGATAAGCAGATTACTAGCCTACGCAGGACAGAAATATGATTAGTAGTATCCAGGAAGCACCTCGATAGATACATACAATTAGATTTTCAATTTTCAAAAGGAAAACATCATATAGATTGAAGTGATTTACATTTATTTCTCATAACTAATAACATATAAACATAAAATATTAATTTTCCTAAACATCAATCGTTGACGGTGTTTCCTTTCATTCATAATCAACAATCGTTGGCTAAATACATGCTTGTATATGTGAAACAGAGCGAGGAGAACGAATACATCATAAAATTAACCTATATTACAAATCGTTGAAACTGCTGCGGCAATAAATAGCGTAACACAATACGAACGACGGCGACAACAAAAAAGACGAAGAAGAAGAAGAAGAGTGAACATTGAATTCTAGCATGAAGCTTGATCTGTTATACGAGAAATAGAGCAAGCAAAACGAAATCAAGCTCATTTACTATTATATATGCCAGAAGAAACACAATGACCTAGATACGTTTCAATGTTGCTTGAAATCAAACACTTTCACATAGGAGATGAAATAACGCGTTCAACCATAATACTTATTTGATAGGGAAAATTGATGGCTTTTTTAAAAGAAGATTATCTTTCGATGCAGAGGAGATATTCTCATTCATATATCTTTCAACCAGACACTTAGTTGGAGATTGTTGAGTATAATCAGGTTTAAATCGCTTCTTCGATGACATATTTGGATATTCTGTGATAGCGATAATCAAATCTCCACATTCTAATTGTCGACAATTCAATCCGCAAAGAAGATGTGTATGTTTAGGTGACACCGATGACCAACAAGAGTATTGATAAACGAAAAACGGCATTTCTTGTAGGACATGGTATGATATCTATTTAAGAACAAGAGATTCTCTTCTCGAACATCAATCGGTTGCAGTAATTACCGTTTTTTGAAGTTCATTGATATAGAATTTCAATTCCACCTTACCCGTTGATTTATCTATCGAACCAATGTAATCCACACGCGCTAGCAGACTAGAACGCGAAAAGATATGACATGACATGACATAACATAACAAGCATTTAACGATGGTTATGACAAAAGTTATTCTTTTTCATCCCTCCTTCTTGTTCTATTCATACCTCGAGTATTGTTGACTTTGTTTGCTACTGATTAGAAAATCGTTGCTTGTCATATGCTGAATATTCTTCGCTTCTCCTGTTTCTAATTTGACTTGTGTATCGCAATGAAACTTGTCCAGAAGAATTTCATCATTCGTTGACTTTTGCGCGGCGTAAGGATTAGTTCGATGATATAGACCAGTATGTTCAGCTGGCCATGTCCGACAGGAATTCATAGTTTTCAACGGTAATGTGAAGTCATGACTTGAACCAATTGAATGCATGTCTGCAGACAAGAGATCACGCTGGGATCTAGACAAACAAGAAAATTACAGTCACATATACTGACGACTGCCTGTCGACGAGTTTTAATCATGATTATTGTTGAGTGTGCCTCGAGATTGTGTTCGTCATATCTGAGTTGGACGACAACGAAAAGGAACTCTTTCCCTATTGATGCACTTCGAGCGGAGAACTGCGAACGACAAAAAATAGAAGAAAGAAAGAAAGAAAGGGAGGGAACAAAACTGGGAGGCATATATATAATTTTTCTCGACTTCAGACTAGTGTACTTTTTTGTCACGCACGCAGTCAACACATGTTCTGTCAAACCTATAATCATGAAAACCTGGCCTGACTCAGTTAGAAATGATATAATTCTAATCTGTTAATAACTTTGTAAGCGCGCTAGATGAACTAAAGAACTTTCCTTCACTCTCTTTCGAAAAAGCCTAAAATATTATTGCATAAATTAAACTGAGGAGCTTTTTTGACAGTTGATTGTTACTTACAGTGATATTTTTAGTACTTTGTGAAAGAAGAAAAGGTCGTCAACCCTATATTTTTCTCTGTATGTGTGTGTGTGTGTTTCTTCGCTTCTCTCTTGTTCGCATTCCTTTTTTTGCTTATATCAATATAATTCTGTCCTTTTCCAGCAAAACATATACGACGCTAGGCACAATTTGCTCTGAGTATTTCTTTTTCTTACCCATTAATCCTCTTCGCGTTCCAACCCAGAAGGAAAAACAAAATATGATCAGCTGCTAAACAGATGAGAAAATAAAAATACCAGAACTTTGTTCATCGGGTTCTCTTTCCACCCATTCGTGTTGACATTGCACGTTATAGATTTTTATTGTTCATAGCGGAAAAAGTACAAAGAAGGGAGAAAAAAGAAAAGAACTAAGCGATTGCGTTTCTTGTTTTGATGTTGTTGTTTTTTTAATCTGGTAGAAGTTCAGCCGCATCATCATCGTCATCGAATACGATTGTATTTGCTTCTTTTTTGCTGATAGCGGTTTTTGGTCTCTCGCCGGCCATATGTTTAGGAAATTGATCGATATACGGACGGACAGAAACATGTTCTACAAAGAAAAATCAATATTTGAGTACGCAGACATAGTGCACAAGTAAAACAATACCTGGTGGAGAAAACACGCCCTCTGTATTATCGAGGTCGATGGGTGTTCGTTTCTGGCGTTCGTCAGTGACTGGCAGTCGAGCGTTCAGCGAGACTAGAAATAAAATGAGGAAAGATTATATTTCGAGAAGACTTTGTTTCGTATCGTACCGTCACGTTCGGTGGACGTTACTTTTCGTCCGTGAATTATGTTGCGACTTTTCTCTGCACTTGTTTTGCGCTAAGAGGGAAAAGCGGAAGTTTTACATTAGAACTGTCATTATTTTTGTTTTACTTGTTGTTGGACGTCTTTTCTCTTATTGACTTTCTTTAATTCATTTTCATAGAGTTCACGATCAGGTAAACTGAGATCGGTGGCGATTTTAATTAAAAATTGAATACCTAGAAGAAAAAATATATCAAATGTCACCGTTGCTTGAGGACGTCACCAAAAACAACGTAAAGCTATTTCAAACTACACTATTAATAAAAATATCGAGTCTTTTTCTATTAAAAACACAGAACCCTAGTCAGCGTTGATATTTGACATCATATACGGTTTATTCAAGTAGACAACAGTGTCACACACAGTGAAATTCGAGAGGTACTTCTAAGAGATATTTATATCCTACAGAATAGCTGAATAAACATCGTCAAAGTTAATCTCAAAGTTCTATTATGTCAGGCATTTGCTAATTATTCGTTTTTGCAGTTGACTGCCCAATTAACTTAAAAATTTCTCATGGAAAACAGCAGATAGACTCTTTTGACCTTGAATACGTTAAAATTGTACCCGGGATGTTGCAGGAATGTACTGAAATTCTTTCAATTAAAATATTCCTATCAAACACCGAATAAAGCTTATTATTCAACATACTCCGACAAAGATTAGTAGATTAAGATAGCAGGAATCAAGTTTGTCTCTACGTTAACAAAACACGAGTTGTCTTACAATCGGTATCATCAGGGAAATGTTGATGAATCCATTTGTATTTTTCTAATGCAGCTGTATAATCACCAACACGACGATAGCATGAAGCTACCATTAGATGCCATTTGATTTCACCAGGTCTATTCATTTCATATTGCACTCCGACGAGAAAAGAGAAAAGATATATTTACTTCACTAAGGCTGCCTGAGCACAGAATTCAACGGCTTTGCCAGGAAATTGCGCTTCAATATAGTACGATGCAAGCCATTGTAATGTTTCCATGTCACATGGGTTATGACGATATGCCTGAATGAAAATCAGACGACAGAGTTGATAGTTCGAATGGAAATCAGGGTTGAGCGAACTTACATCAAAATAATATTGCAAAGCATCTGCTTTATCTCCTTGATTGTCGAGCAATTCACCAATATGTCTGTGTAAATAACCATCGGTTCGATGAGTACTTAACGCTTGTAAATACCTGCAAAAAAAGTCGAATATCTCGATCTTTTGAAACGAATTTCTGCTGACCAGCTTTTCGCATGATCTATATCGTTTGTTTGTTGTAATACTTGGCCCATTAAACAAAACACTTGACTATTATCTGGTTGAATAGTCATGTATTTGTGTAAATAGTCTTTGACACGTTGATATTGATTGGATTTAATCAAAGTGAGAACTAAGAGAACCTTTTCATAAGCTATTATTCAACATGCTGAAACTCACTGAGATTGTGGAGAGCTTCGACTGAACCAGCATCGATGTTGAGTGCTTCTTCGTAGTAGTATCGAGCTTTGTCATAGTCATCCTGGGCGAAACAACAATTTCCTTTATTGATCAGAGCTAATTTCAAAGGAAAATATCGAGATTGTGGATAATAGAATTATTCAATGAGACATACAAGATGGGTTAAATTTGTCGGATCTCAGCGCTAAGTCGGCATATTTATGCGCATTATTCAAGTCTTTTTCCTAAATTTAATAAGGTCAAATAGATTAAATAATCATCGAAATCTTACCAGAAAATATAAGAATGATAAATTAGTCGAAGCTAAAAAAGGAGAATCAATTGACATCAATATCTTCATATATCAGAAGCTCTGACAAACCTGCCCCAGCTAATCTCGCTTCAGCTTTTTCAAATTCTTTCAATGTTGCAATAGCCTAAAAGATTTCTTTTGAATCATTCACTTCGTTGGATCACATTCGTATACCTTAGAAAAATTGTCGTCACGTAAATAAGCAATAGCCTTTTGAATCTCCAGGCCGCTAGCCAGTTCCAAATAAGACGAGGCTCGTACTTGTTCAATACACCATTCATATCCTCCAACGAAATCTCCGTCTGCACTACTGCCAATCAGTTTCGCAGCAGTGATAATGACATGCTCCGCAAAACGACGTCTTGAAGAATGAATAGATGGAAACTGTCTCATGTGAAAGGTGATTCTTACCGCTTTCGCTCGTACTGTCTCAAACGATCATCACGTATTGCTTCCGATACCAGACTAGTCTGCTTGTTTTCTTTACCTATCTGCAATTATCCAAGAGAAAATCAGTGGTCATATACGAATAATAGATCCGTCTTACTGAAATCATTGGCTCATCTTCTGACTTGACAAAAGGTATCTTCAATAATTCACTAAATGCAGCTCGTGCCTTGTCACGTTGTCCTAACGTATAGTAACACAGGAAAAGATTGAAACAACTACGATAATTTGGACGTTCTTGCGCGATCGATTCATAAGCTTGTGTTGCTTCTGCATATTGTCCCGTAATGATATGTGTTGCTGCGATATTTTCACGAATTTTAAATCTTGAAAATGACAACAATGAATAATCTTGTTTAGAGAAATTCATACTTTAAATCAGCATTCTGATCGGAGATCTGATCCAATGCCATTCGATACATTTTCAATGCTTTCACATATTGCTTGGAATGAAGGAAAATATTGCCAATATTTAGTCGTCTATAATGAACATTCTTCTTTGAGAATTTCAACATTTTCCATAACTCACATTCGATTATGTACAGGGATTAATTTATTTTTCAGTATAACATTGTATTGGTTTAATGCTTCAGTATTCATACCACATTTTGTATACATATTTGCACAATGCAGGATCACCTAGAATTTTGTAGAAATAGTTTATAAATATGTATGATAGTCTAATGATACATACGCATCCTGTTAGGTTCAAATCTGATTCGTTCATATTTTGTTCTTCACGGTAACGGCCAAGACTCTTGTCAGTTTGCATTGCTTCTTCAGCTTTTTCAAGTGCCTAAAACAACCCTTCACCAATGAAGACTTTATATATAGTCGTCTTTTCTTACAAGTTTACTATCATTTCGTTCGTATGCCAAACAACTTTCATCCACGAGATCGATGATATGTTTTTCCATTTTACGCGCTTTGTCTTCATTACTGCGGGAGAAAGAATGCGCATAATGGATATTCAAACTATTAGAGTAGTTTCTTATACCTTTCTTCTTTCTTTTCGAATTGATTTGGTCCGGCCGTTGCAACATGACTACCAAATGCTCCGACTCCTGCCATAAAACCAGCGCCCTGTATAGCAGTTGTTGGTCGCTTCTGCGCTGTAGTTGGACGACGTGCTGTTGAGCCAAGTGGCGCGTTTCCCAAGGCATTTTGTTGCTGTTGTAGAGCAGCTTTCGATGCAGTACCTAATCGACCAGTTGCATTGGTTGTCGATACAGGCACGTCAGAATTCTTCTGTCGGGTGAATACATTTTTCATTTTCGACAAAAACCCACCCTGGGATTCAACGATCAACATGGAATTATTAGAAAAAAAAGAATATTTACCTTTTGACTAGTCTAAAATACGAGAACAGATGATAATAACGATTAAAAAAAGTGAATTAAAACCTTACTGGCGGTGCACGTCGTCCGTGACTAGTTTTCAACACGGCTTGTTGTAAATCAGTATCATATTTTAACCCCTACGAATAGTCCGGTAAACAGATTGTCTCGTCATTAATTATGCTCACTTCTGCATCTAGTAAAGGGTTATAGTCATTGAAACCTGCATAAGAATCGGGTTTATTCGTCATCTAGAAAAATATATAAGTATCAATCTCAAAATCGGTGTAAGAAAAAAGGCAAATAGAAAAATAAATCATTCGGATTAAGATGTGTCCTTTCGACGAATGCCAATGGTTGGTTTACTCGGTTCGGGAGGATGATCACGACGATACTGGTCAACATCGGTAATCAACTAACAAATAGAATGAAATTCAGTTTGCAAATTCAAGGTAAGTAACACATGATTTACTTTCGGTAAACGAGGAACTTTTCTGTCTACAAGATAATCTTTGAATGCATCAACACCACGCATTGGAGCAAGATAAGCATTCTACGAAGAGAACAGTTTTTGTAAAGTATTTCGAAGGGAATGAAAGAATCGATTGGTTTACTGTTTCTTCTTCTCGTACACGCGTCGCATCCTCTCGTTCAGCTTTGAGTTTCTTTGGATCTTTAAGTGATTCGGTTACTAACGATCGTTGCCATAAATTCGTAGGCAAATACCAAGCACCATAACGATATTTACGAGGTTGTGCTGTGTCGAACGATTGAGACGTTAACTTTTTCGATGCCGACAACTTCGAACTTGCATACTACAAAGAATAGTCAAATTTATAGACAAAGGCGGTCTTCAATGACAAATGGGCAATTTTAGCCTTTCTAAATTTGAGATAGGAAAGCGTTTCGTGGAATTAATTAACGAATAGCTCTGAAATATTGGCTTCTAGAGAAAAAAATAATTACCGATTTTGCAAATGTTGGCGTTCTTTCATCCGGTTCAGCAAGCATTGTTTCCTTTGTACCTTCTCGCAAGTCTACCGGAAGCTGCATTAAGAAGAAAAACAGAGTCAAACTTTATGATCGAGCGAACAAAAATTTATGGAATTTACTCTTGTCATCTGTACTATTTTGATCGGTACATCCAACGATGGTTTGGTATCGTAAGCAGTCGAAAACAGGTTCCGAACAACGGCTGGATCAATATCGAAGTTTGTTTCGCCACCGAGACTGTATAACCAGCTGCAGAAGTGTTCGGCAACTTTTCGCAGATGCGATTCCTGTATGAAGCGAATAGGTGTCAAAATAAGGAAAGAATCGAGATTGATAAAAGTCTACCATAGCGGAAATGGCGATCTCTTCCCGTGTAGGACCTTTGTACGTCTGCATTCGCTTTTGATTTTCAATAAACCAACGATACGGATTCTTCAGTTTCTTTTCGTATTCGACTGAGTCCCATGCTTTTCCTGAGTCATCGTAAACAATTGTAGTTAAACCAGGTCGTCTTGTTTCCTTCTTCACTTCAACTTCCTCAGATGCTCCTGAATTCGTTTCTTCACCGGGCTTTTCTGATGCCGTTCGACCCTGATCGCTATTATCAAAGGCAGTTGCAGGAAGACTGGTTGAAGCCGAAAAAAAATCTTGACTGTCAACGGCGAAAAACTCTTGCTCTTCCTCAATCACTCGGGATAATTCACCTTCTAGCAAGCTTCTGACTTGTTCATACATCTAGACGAATCGAAAACATTTCAAATGCATACGTCTTAATTTTCTTACATTCGGAGATAGGATCTGTTGAAAATGTGGAAAGAATGCCATCGGACGATCAAGTAAATTTGCAATATAATAATCAATTAATTGGCGACGTTTCTCCACTGTTGGTAACATTCGACTGAAAAATAATTGCCGATCTTCGAGTCGATTACGAGGATTGCACACAGATGCTTTCACTCGACGTTTTTGAGAAAATATCACCGGACCTGGACCTTTCTCTGGCTATTGAAATGAAGAAGAAAATCAAGTCTATCTCAAGGGAAGCCATCATTTGTATTTACTTCTAACATGATGTCATCATGCGGTGGTGGTAAGCCATCACGAAAGTCATCTAGACCATCCTTGACAAATCTCCAATTTTTGGTATTCATATGACATGGATATTTCATTTTGAAACGTTCTCGATACCTAATACGCAATGAAAAGAAAGAAAGACGTAGCTCTGCGTGTCTCCATGGTAAACGATGAGCAAAAGGCAAAGAATAGAAAGCAGCGAATGAGGATTGTAATTTCTCACTTGGAATTCTTTATTGGCCTAAAGATTTTATGTTAGACTAAGTTTGAGAAAAACACAATTGATTCATCTAGGGAGCAATCATAAATACCATGGCTGAAATTTCGGTTCACGACGATGAGTTTCCACTGTAGGCAAGAGAATATATTTAAGATCGTTGCTCGCATTGCTTTTAGTTGACATATCGTGATGTGATATTAGCAGTATAACTATCAAAACTCATGACACTTTTCCATTTCAACAATTACTATGGTTACTTACGAGTTTACATGAACAAAACTACATTTGATCGAACTGAGCTTCTTTCTCTCAGCAAGCCATATTGTTCATAGACTCTAGTCCATTTTCTAAGGATCAATATCTTAGAAAACTAACACATAGATGGCAGCAGTTGTTCAACGACATTTCTGTAGTGTTTAAATCCGTGCTCGGAAAAGAAGATCATCAATTAGACATTCACTCAGTTTCAAAGGCATATATAGAAAAATCATTAAATGTCATTCTTCATTGTCATAAAAAAAGGATGCATTTGAGGCGCACCGCATCGAAGGAACTACTCATGGATTATTGTATCTTCCAGTCTATTGCATTAACTTTCATCTTTTATAGAATGTCAAAAAAATGTTTTAGCAAAAAGAAGAGAAAAAAAGGCACAATGTATGAATAATATACATAAAAAGAATAGCATATGAATAATGAACATAAAATACAAAGAAAAAGAAGGATAAGAAATGAGATAGATTGCGCACCGGGATTAAAACCATGCGCATAAATACAAAAAGAAAATTTGTGTACATTGAACAAAGAACAAGGCTGTTGAACATCCAATGAGATTCGCTGTATTTATTTATACATGCTTGAAAAAAACGAAGAAGAAGAGGTAACTGTCACGCACACCTGACCGGACATGAGAGAATACTGTTTAAAGCACTTCCTCTGTCTCGATAACACATCACATTGATGAATTAATCAGTAAAAATAAGATCTTTTTGTGAAGTATTACTACCATCTGAACTGCATTCATCATTATCTAAATCAAAACGGTATTCGAATGTTTCAGACGGAAGGAAAGTCCTTACTTAAATAATGACTTCCATCAGGCGAAGATTGTTCGTCGAAAGGGCCAATTTTTTGTTGTTTTAGCATCTGCTTGTACTCTGACCTAATTGAACACAAAACGACAGGTGAACTCGACCTTTTTCAAGATTGAAAGTCTCTTACCAACGTATTTTCTTTCCGTCAATAACGCACGTTCGTTTCGGCCGTGGTCGATAACGATAATCGGGATACTTTTCCATATGAATTTTGCTAAGCCGTGATTGTTCTTCGTAGTACGGTTGTTTTTCTTCATTACTCATCGCTTTCCAGCGGGTGCCTAAGATTTTGCTTATACTCGAATTGTGCATATCGGGACAAGCTTTGAGAATCTTTCGTCGTTCCTCTCGTGCCCAAACCATAAATGCATTCATTGGCCGTTTAATATGATCATTTGATGATAAACTCTCATGATTTCCATTAGACGATGATGATGATGATGTTGATAACGATAGATTATTCGATGCGATTGATTGATTTCGTTCTTTTCGATTTGTTGCGATTTGTCGAGCTAGATGAAGGAGAAAATAAAAAAGTCTTTTAGATTTCAATCTTCATGAACACATGTTCATTCGTATTGACACCGAATGTTTTCGTTAAATTGATAGTGTTCTTGTATTAATTAGCATGTAATTGACTTTGACTGTCCTAATGAATTCACTTCTTATTCGATAAACGCAAATTGATTTACATGTAACATAGTATGTCAAATATTATTCTGACATTATGAAAGAAAACAACATGTCTTTTGTTTGACGATACCCGAAGACAAAACAAATGAATATCGAATTTATCTACCTATCGATCATTTATTCATTGTTGAATAAGTAATGTCTTTTTTTTTCTTTCATTAACATACTGTTTCGAAAAATATCTCGTTTCGTTCGTTGTATGCATGTATGATTTGGTTGAATGGTTAGTTTTCTGTCTTTATTCGATAATCATCGGTCAATATTTGAACTTACCTAACGACAACTCTTTGTCAATAGACGATTCACGATGATGATGATGATGATGATGATTGTTATTGTTGTGATTTGCATTTATTGTTTCAACTGACGACGATGATTTGACGTTTAATGGATGATGCGCAAGATGACTTGACGAAGGAGGAAACGCGAACATATTTAGACCAGCTAGAAATGGAGACTGTAATGAAGGTCTTGAATTTCGATTATCGCTATTTTTGAGATTCTAAAGAAACAACGGTAATGGGAGCGTGAGTACCGGATATCAACATACGATTGAATCGTTGAGAACAGATGCAGCGGATAGTTTGAGATAGTTTTGTAGATGAGTCATATTTGCAACTAAAAACAAAACCTTGGAATGCGAAAGTTTGGCGGAGAGAGGAAAGTTTTACCAGAAAATGGTGGAAAAAATGGTTGTGAAGGGAAGAGCGCTGATGATAGCGGGAGATTCGGTGATGCTGCTGCTGAGTTCATTTCGTCGTGTGTGTTTTGTTTAACTTTTGGTTTGGTCAGATTCAATGGATGTGTATCGTCATGATTAATCGTTTTGATTTTCTCACGTAGATGTTTTAAACTACTAATTAGACAATCGATTGTAACGAGAAGATTTTCATCGTTGTTATCAAATTGTTTCTCATCGACTAACGAATCAATTAGATTGAGAATCATTGGAATTGTTACTGATGACGAGGATACAGATGAAGCCGCAGAAGTAGATGAAGAGGAATTATTCTGCGGGAGTTTCGACTGAGAAGGATTCTTTCGACGATTTCGTTGTGGAGCTGTTATTTTAACTTCTTCGGTGGGAGATTCAGTTGACAAATGAGGAGATGTTGAATACTTCTCGTCCGAGTCATCTATTCGAACAAAGAAAACTAAAATACATTCGAAATTCTTGCGACACTTACGTTCGTGAGCCGTTGGGGAATCATTATTGAAAATGTCCTCTGTTCTAATACACTTCCTGATCGCTGACTCTTCTTTTGTGCATGAAGTTGAAGATGAGTCGAGTTGATCAAAGCTACACTTTCGTTTAAGCGACATTATATATGATAATCTAAAAGAAAATCGCACTTCGAAGGTATACTTAGAGTCTCGACAAAGTTTCTCTCTTAATCGTGTCTATATTGTGTGCTACCAGTGGAAAGACAGAGAACAATGGAAAACGCGAAGAGAAAGTAATGAGCAAAAAAAAAATCTTCTTTTCAATGTTAATCGATGTGTTCAAGTGTCATCTTGATCTACATCGATGTGAAGCCAAATAAAGGCATACATATCGTTTATAGCAAATACAATTCTGACTATTACTCTTGTTGTTTCTTTCTTCTTATTCTTCTCAATTGAAATCATTAGATTTGTTCGGTTGTTCGGACGAATAATTTATAATATGTGAGAACCACTTTTACGAGTATAAAGAGAAAAAGAAGAGAAAAAAAATCTTATATATATATGTGTGTTCTCTCTTAATTCATCTAAAAAGAAATATATATATAAAAAAAAAAGAAAAAAAGAAGAAGAAGAATAAGAATAAGGAAAGAAATGGCATTGCACTTCATATTATAATACTAAGCAAGAATCACCAGGTGATGACAGGAGACATAACAAAGTGACGATACGTGTGTATGTGAATAAGACATGTGAGCTAACATTCAAGAACAACAATCATAGGTGAAAAACTGAAGTGATCATATATCTACCTAGAACATATATATATGTAAAATTGAATCATCATTATCATCATCCGAGTTTTATATGAACGTGTAGATATGTACGCCTTTCGAGTTGTCCTTGCATGTTTGTTAAACGATTTCAATCTTTTTCTCTCCTTCTGTATCTCGTTCTCTCTAATTACCTGTGTCCACCATCTATTTAATAGGAATAGGGAGAAAAAAGTCGATTTAGAACTATTATATTGATCTTCTTTCTACATAATATAAGGCCGATCATGTGAAACAAATCTAGTGAAGCGAATAACGAAGAAAAAGCGAGTAGAAGACACACACACACAGAAACTTTTCACACATCTAATGCACACTTTTATTAAATATACATATTACGTTATAAGGCAAGAACATATAATGTAAAAATAACATTCTGTACATTTTAATACTTCGTTTGCCATTCATATAGAGTAACGACAATGTGTATTGATTATTTACACGAGAAGTGAAACCTTATGTCAAATAATACTACTCGCCAAGGGACAAAAAGAAAAGAAACACTAGAAATAATAATAATAAAGTTGTTGCAATTAAGTGGAGATATGTGACGAAGAAGGGGGTGAGAGAGACAGAGGAAAAAAGGAAGCAAAACTAACAATCATACAGAATAAATTATATGGATAGGTAAGAATATGTTTATACATACAGACATACGCGTACGTACAAACACAAATCGTCTCCTGTCATCACCTGGTGATTCTTGCTTAGTATTATAATATGAAGTGCAATGCCATTTCTTTCCTTATTCTTATTCTTCTTCTTCTTTTTTTCTTTTTTTTTTNGAAATCAACTAGCTGACTAACCAAGAATTCTATTGTAGTCTCTAACGACAGGAGATTATGACGAGGTCGATAAAAAGATAACATCAGATCCGTCGATTAGGCAATATCGCTTTCAGTCCGGAAATTCTTCTTTCCATTATCGTTTTTGACAATGATGTTAATGACAAAAGGATAAGAAACACTCTCGAACCTGTTATCATTCATCCAGAGAAGACATACATAAATATCTATCTAGCAGAGAAATGTCTCATTAACAGAGCATGAAACATCTTGTCAACAACGGCAAATTTCAATAGGAAACAATAAGGACAACTATTATTTCCGTTAACTTGTCAATTCAATTTGAAAGATAAGAAAAATATCGGAATTAACAGGACAATAATCGTTTTTATTATCGAATTTCTCTAATAGCGAACATTACATTTCATCCTCAAAGATCCTTTACAAAACTTGGCTACGAAGACAATGATATAAATTCTCTAATATCCGTATCTATTTCTATACGTTAAATACATTATTGCTGTAAACATTAGACAAAAGAGCAATAATGTCAGTAAACGACTGTAAGTAAGATGACTAATGGTAGAAAAACAATAGCACCTAATTACCTATTATCATCGGCTCGAGAATTATGACGGCAATGGTGGTGGTGGTGGGAGCAGCGAAGACAACTGCTGTTGTTGTTATTATTGTCAACTGAATAGACGAAAGCGATTGTACAGACAGTGAGAGTGAAGAAGGCAGAAATGCGATGGTACAGTGCTTATAATAATCAGAGAGGTTATTTCTTTCAGAGCTTTTTATACTCTATCGAGAAAGAGAACATTGATGATGATTGTTGTCATTTGACCGAGAAAGAGAAGGCAAGAAAAGGAGGAAAGAAGCATTGAAAGCGAAAGAGACACATAGACAGTGAGAAAGAACATCATTTAACGATCGATGTGCCATCATTGTCTTACCTAGAAATCGGACAAAACTGTAATCTCATTTGTATACATATACTTGATAATTAACTCGATTTAGTCAACTTATCGATGTTAGTGTTCATGTTCATGTAGGATGGGACGATGAAGTTCGCCAGTTGACTCATTTCTACTTACATGTCGTCGTTTCGATATTAATAAGTCGAGTAATACCATCACAGCTGTTACTTTCACTTTCTTTTCGTGCTCTTCAAATTGACAGTTGTCACGTCTTCTAACGAACCACGACTAACGAGAAAGAGAATCGAGAGAACTTGATCCAAAATCACCACAATGTTTACTTAATATATATATATATATATATTCTATTGATAAACATTTTCTTGCATACACAATCAGCTATTGTCAGATAAAGAACTAAGCTCTCAACTGCGATTGCAGGCAAGAATGAAAAAGAGCAAGTGTTGCTCTCATTATCCGTCCTATCGATTACAGATCTTCTTAAAGGCATATTTTAGCCAGTCTTATCCTTCATGCCATCGTGAATTCTTCTTTCTTTTTCTCTTCTTGTTATCTCATTGTACAGGAAAAGAGGAGAAAGAGAGAGAGAGCGGTGTCAAGAGCCTTGAGGCTAAATGCACACTGCCATGCATGATGCTGTATACTGCTTAGAATATTCCTAGAGGCACTTCTGCTTATGCAATTTGATCTTTCGAAAGTCAGTTTTCATATTTGAGCTGGTGTATATAAACATCGCTGATCAAATGATAAATCCATATGTATTTCTGTAAAAGCATCTTTCAACGAACGAAGAAGATACCTGATGTTTGTTATTTGTTTGTCCCTGTCTTCTTTCTCCATTTTTTTCTATGGACAAATAAGCACATTAATGAAGAAAACGATTATATTACATATTAGTTTGTTCTCATAATTATTCTCATGTCACACACATATTTCTTCTTCAATAGACGAAGACATATTGTTTTAACGCAAGATAAATGTAGAAAATGAATTTTTCGAAGTTATCTCGATCTATGATATGAATCACAGATTTACTTGAACAGTTGTGCTGATGTGTGTGCGTGTGTATATATATATACAAAATCGGACTTTTCTTTTTCATCCGATAGTCTTATACTAATTTGTGCCACTCAAAATTTGCGCGTGCACAATGACAATCAATTCAACCTTTCGACTACAAACACAGAGCCGTCATTTGATATATCTGTGTGTGTGTTTGTGCTCATTAGCTATCTGTCAATGAGTGACATAATGGCAACGAGAAAGTCAGATAGGGAAAAAGAGTGTTGTTCTTATCGCGAGACACTTTAGATACGATAGTCGACGAATGGAACAAAGGCGATCGCATTTCCACTCTCAATTAGATTTGTATATATATGAGATCTAATCTGTATATCCCAAGTGAATGAGAAAAGAAAACCCGAAGAAAGATAAAACAATAATAATAACAGCATTGGTTAGGATTAAACGAGATTCGAGAGCTTTTCGATTGCTAGACTAGATATTCAGAAGTATTTACAAATTTATTTCATTTTTCATCTTGGAAAACGACAAGATATTAGCTGGATACTTTATGTGTCGGTAATAAAGCTACTGGGTCTCGACGCTGTGAACGGAATAGTTTGCCCGGAAGAAAACTATTTGCAAATGGCGTTGGTGAACGTCTTATCTGTGATGCAACATCGAACGAGGGTGCCAGAACTACGGGATTGACTGGCTTCACTTGCTCTGATTTTGATTTCGTTTCACGCGAGACCTGTTGTGTCGTACGAGGACGGGAATGAATAGACGCAGTTCGCGCTGAGCGAGACAGAAGTTTTCGGTGCGCTTGATCGCGTATGTTCGGTGATGGAGAAGATGAATGGCCGGTACAAGTGCCTGCGCAAAGAAAGCGTTTACATTCATTGCAACGTAAATCATGTTTCATTTCCGTGCTATCGGGCAGATCTTTTTCATTACAAGTAGTTTTCGATGACGTATTACTACTTAAACTTAACGTCGTAGTACGATCTGATGCAGCAGATTTTATCGAACGATTGTATGTGCCTTCAATAGGACGACGACGCTGTTCCCACTTAATTGTAACGGCTTGCAGCCTGAAAGAAAGAGCAAAGTAATCATCAAAGTTTGTGGTATGATGTATTTGTTTTCTTGTTCGTAATTAATATGTAACTATGTATATCGAAGTACTTTGCTTAATTAAAACTGATTTCCACAAGAAGCAATAAACAATAATAAAATAATATTACCTAGCAAGTTTCAGACATTTTTCGAAGACTTCTTTGGTATTTGTGTCCGGTTCGAATTGTGTTTTGACATCGCGATAGAAATCTTTCAGACTCCAGTCATTAGGATTGTTACTGGTTGCTAAATGTGCTTGCAAGAGAATAGCTTGGTCGTATTCTTTTGTAAATACACTTTTGTATCCATAATCATCTGTCGGTGTTGTTAATACTTGTGGATCGGTGTTTGTAGTCAAACGTTCTGTGTCTTGTTCAATCTCCTTGAACTTCTTTGCTGATTTCAACTGGCGAGTTTTGGCATGGCGTTGAGGAGTATTTGTCTAAAAGCAAATGTTTACAAAGTGCAATCAAAGAAATGATGATTTACATTCGGTTGACATTTCTTAGGTTCACCTTGCTCAGTTATCGTTGTTTCCACCGATACACTGGTTCTCGGAGTAACATTACATTGAGTTAAGTTGAATGTATCAATGACTTTCGACGATTGAACAATGTGCTGTTCACTATTGAAGATCAACGATTCCAATTGGAAACATGATGTTGTTCGTAATGGTACTGGCGAAGGAGAAACGACCGTAGATCGAATATTGGATGCAATTGTTCTCCGAATCGTTTCTTCCAGCAAAACTGACGTCGTCATAGGCTTGCAAGTATCGGCGAGAGATGAAAGGGACGATGTAATAGAAATCTCCAATCGAGTTGATAGTGGCCTACCATCTTGTCGCGCGAACGATTTGGAAAACTAGAGAGAGAGAGAGAGAAAAATAAATCAGATGTTTCCTTTCGTCAGAGCTCTTTTTTTTTAAATCACTCTGTAATCTCGCTACTAAGCAGTTTAAACAATCGCATTGTTTTTTTTCTTTCTAATTGCACTCGTTTGTGTTCGGTTGAGTATATAAAAAAAAGTAGTTGATGCGTTAAGTTGACTTGTTTTGTTTTAAAGACTGACACTTACTGTCGTCAGAGTATTTCCATGTTCGGACACAAGTTCTGTTGGTTGTTGATTCTCGTCCATTGACTTCTAAAATTGTCATTCGAATGAGTGAAAGACATTGGTTCTCCGAGCAAAAAAATGTTTTACTAGACTTCCGTATAATGTTGTTTTTTTTCCTCACAGCTGCAGTTATGATGGTAGTTGGAACTAAATCTGACTGACTAGTTTCAACGATATTAAGTTTGTCGGCGACTTTTGCACGAAGATGTTCGCATTATGTGTAGAAGATCTGTATTAGATGTTTCTTCTTGTTCCACGAAAAGTATGCAACTGGGAAAAGTGTGTTTTTTTTCTGTATTTTCACCCCACTTAGCAAGAGCAATAAGAAAAGAAGAAACAACTTTAATAATTGAACATGCAATTTCCTTTTTTTTTCTCGACTTTGTAGGTATACCGCATATTTCCTCGTACTTTCTCTGCAAGGCATCTGCATTTTGTTTCTTTTTATTCAAATTTTAACAAAAGAGTGATAGCGAATAGAAGAAAGAAAGTATCGATTTGATTAAAAATAGCTAACTTTAGATTTATTTCTATGTCAATGGTTGTTATGATACAAAATAGTTGTTTTTCAGGACGATGTTTTAAAAATAGGTCACTTTGTCTTCAGGTGATTCATTGGAATTCGTTGCCTGTTAAAGTATCATCGCGTTTTAATCTACGAGTCTTTGAATTTTTCCTGGTGCTATCATCGCGAGGCATAAACATGTTTTTTGAACGACTTCCATCGAGTAACGTTGGCGTGCGCTCTGCTTGGGTATCGTCATCTAGATTGAACGATTGTTTTGGTTGGATTTTATTGGAGTATATAACAGATTCGATCAATTGATGAGATAAGCTGTCAGCGTATAAAATAATGCCGTCCGAAAATATTTGAAATTCGTCATCTTCATCTTCATCGTCCTCTATGTCACTTATGATGCCGTCTGTAAACGACAGAAAATCTGCTGATGTAGACGCCGTATCGCTTTCTATATCTCTCGATTCGACCATTGAATCATATGCCGTATGGAATGTTAAGTCATCACTACTCGATGAAATATCACTAGCAGACATTGAAGTTAACATAGATGGATTACTGAATACGGAATCGATGTCGCTCAGTGCACGGGAATATATACGATTCGCGATGATTTGTCCGAATAATTTCGTTGTTTGTAGTTCGTACGAAGATGGTGCTGTTTTTGTCGTTTGAGGGATATTCAGACTTTGAAATATCTCCCTGAGTAAAGATTCACTGTAATTCGTATAAATTTGTATTAGCTTCTCGTCAGCAGTTTCGTCGAGTACATTTCTTTGGATGTCTTCAGTCACTGATGTTACGGATGACCGTCGAGTTGTCGATTCATGTAAAACTTGTGACACATTGTCTTCGCCATATGAATTCTCCCTGGATTTGAGATTGTGTTCTATAGCTGTTGTAGACGCTAACACTGTCTTAACTATAATAGAATTGTCATGGGATAAAACTGGAAAGTTCTTACCTGTGGCCACCGTCAATATGCGATCGACAAGATTGTCTAACCATAGCTGAACATTTTCATCCAGTTCAACACCTTCCAAGTCACTCTCTAAATTAGTTGTACGATCGCTGGAAAGATGATTATTAATTTGTGACAACATACTTTCACAGGGTACATCATCGATCAGCGCTATTTGACCTTCGTCCGACGTTTCTAAAAGTAGTTGATCGGTTGATCTTTCATCTCTTTCAGACAATTTGCTTGATTCCGATAGTACAATTTGACGGAGTAAATGATTTAACCAAGTTCTTAGATCTTCATCATCATCATCTATGTTAGGTTGTTTAGATAGTGAGAGTTCGTTTAACACGTGGCTAATCCAAGCTTTTAGTTCACTATCTGCAGTTTCTGAACCTGCAGCATCTACTTCGGAAGATACAGTAATTTGCCGCAGTAGACGGTTCAACCAACTTCTAAGATCGTCGTCTGTCGGTTCTGAAGTCTCTCTACCATCTATTTCAGGTTTTTTGAATAATGAGATTTCATTCAATACGTAATCTATCCAATTGCGAAGATCTTGATCTTCGCGTTCTACATCTTCAACCAATAATCTTTCTGAAGCTGTTTCGGGTGTGGGTTTCTCAGATAAAGAGATTTGACTGAGTAAACACTTCAACCAACTTGTTAGGTCGTCATCCGTTGGTTCTGAATCAGCTTCATCTTCATCGTCTATCTCAGGTTGCTTTGATAGTGAAATGTCGTTCAGAAGGTAATCAATCCAGTTGCGAAGATCTTGGTCTTCATGTTCAATATTTTCATCTAACAATCTGTCTGCGACCGGCGTATTCACTTTAGAAGTTGTTCCCGAGCTTGGTTCAAGAGATAAAGAAAGTTGACGGAGAAGATGATTCAACCAACTTCTAAGATCATCATCATTATATGTGTCGGATTGCTTGGATAGTGAGATATGACGAAGTTCGTAATCGATCCAATCCTTGAGCTCTTGGTCTGAAGGTTCTGAATCTTCAATGACCACTTTTTCGGATGTTGCTGTAGTCGGTTCGAGAGATGAAGACAGTTGATGCATTAGATGATGCAGCCAACTTCTCAGATCATCATCATTGGCATCCAAATCGTTTTCCAGTTGGATTTCTTTGGTATCACTCATTTGTTCAGTGGATAAAAGTGATAGATGATCTTTTTCATGTACATCAGCTTGCTTCGAATGGGAAATTGTGTTCAAAATATGATCGATCCACTCTTTAAGATCCTCATCACTTGGTTCTATGTCTTCAACTGATGATATCTCTGCAGTCGCTGAATGCACTTCATGAATTGCTTCAGATTTTGGTTCGTGAGAGACAGAGATTTGTTGCAATGGGTTATATAGTTCATTCTCTAGATCATCGTCAACATTGGGTTGCTTTGATAATGAAATCTGCTGGAGCACATGATCAATCCACCCTTTGAGGTCTTCATCCCTAGAATTTGCTTCTGCAATCGGCGATGGTTCTTCGATTGCTATCTGATTCTCACGGTTTATGTCATGTAGTGGTTCGTGAGATATCGAGGTTTGATGCAACAACTCGTGTATCCACTCTCTTAAATCATCATCCGTTTGTTGAGTTTCACCATGTTGGTCATTCAATGACGGCGACGAAAGTACTAGAGTATCGGTTGGATTGAGTGCATTGTCACAATTACCTTCCTCAACGTTTGCACTTAACTCATCAATAATATCGATGGCAGCGGACGGGATAATATCTTGCACCGTATTCTCGCAGTAGTGTTCGAATCGGTCCGATACAAACCCATCGGATTGATTTTTCACAATGTTCGATAGCATGGATGTTGCGTTTTCGGATAAATTTGGTGATTTAACATCGAGTACAGTTTCATGGGAGGGTGTTGTGACTGTACAGTCATTATCCATTTCACCTACTAAATCAATAACAAAGTTTGGTAAAGCGTGACGAGCTGCGGCCATAACCGTATCATCATTAGACGAATCGTCAATATGATGTAAAATATCACCTGTATCATCGTTGGCTTCCTTCGTCTTCCAATCTGATTCTAACTCCGACAAATACGTTTCTACATTACTCGGTTTACGAACGAAATTTCCTTCATCTGTGGTAAGTATTCGATCTAATAAGTGGTCGAGCCAAATTTTCATATCTTCTTCGAGAGTAGAAATCGGTGCCACGGAAGCATCATTTACGCTGTTCACAATGTTTTGTGACACAGATGTACTAACAGCTGGTTTGACCAGTTGAGTAGCATCTTTTCGATCTTCAACTGAATTGAGTACAACTTCTTCGTTGTGTACGTTTGCTAGACCTGATAAACAAATCTGGTGCAGCAAATCATGAATCCAATCTCTTAAATCATTATTTATAATCTCCAAATCGTCTTCCGCTCCAGTGTGTTCAATTCTTTCAACCGGTGAGTACTGATCTGACGAAGCAGAGTTTTCTTGATCGATAAATTCTGTCGATATAGACTCTACAGCTCTTGTTTGCAACTGAACGTCATCTTCTACCTCAAGCACTCTGAATTGTTGGGTTAGTACAAGTTCGCGAAGTATATCATGAATCCAATCTCTTAAATCATCATCCGTCGAATGCACATTTTCTGCTTCGTATGGGATGGTTGCTGTAGATGCAGTTGTTAGATAGGTAGATTTTGTAGCGTCATGATTTTGATTCTCATGTGGTAAAGAACTATCCTCTTTCTTTTGTAGTTGTAATAAGTTTATCTGTACTACTTCATGAAGTAGAACATAGATCCAATTTCTTAGATGACCATCATTTGGTTCTTCGAGTACGTTCATACACGACTCTTTTTCCTGCTCTTCGTTCTCTTTTACTTCTTTGCTGGTTTCAACTGAGCTCGACTGCTCCATGGTTAACGTCGGAGAGGGTAACTTTTCAATATCAACCTCTCGATCAACCGAAGAATGTGGTGTATCTACGTTCTCGTGTAGTTTTGATTGAATGGACTGCGAGATAAAACGTAATAATTCATTGACCCAATCCTCTAAACCATTGTCGGCCGTTTGCATATCTTCGTTTTCAGTAACTATCATTTTAACAGGTTCATCCACTTTCGTCACTTTTTCGTGCTCCATGCTGTCATCAGGCGCATCTTTTACTTTCAAGTTTACTGTAACGTCTCGTAAAACATCATCGATCCAAAGTTTTAATGCGTCATCCGTCGTTCCTTCATCATTAGAAATAGCTTCAGTTGGGTTGTACGATCCATCAGAAGATTTTCCATAGGATTTCTCTTCCAGATTATCTCCAACTTCCAAGTTTCTTTCGCCAATAGGCACTGATTCGTCCATAAGATTGGTTTCCATTAGTGGCATAGCCGATAACGCACTCTTCATTTCCAACGCATCTGTCGTGTTTAGCAGGTGATCTACTGGCAGTGCATTGTAGACTTGTTCCACAATGGCACTTAATGATTCAGTCGGCTTCGTTGCCTCCAACACACAATCATCTTCATTTACAGTAGTTTCTTGTATTTCATCAGAGGATGACGGAGCACTTATCTCCAGATTTGCGTTGGTTTCTTCACCAGTAATTGTGACGTCTGACAGTCTATCAATTACTGGTGAATTTACTGTCAATGGAAGTGTATTGGATTGTACTTGATATTCATTGTTGTTGTCATGTACCACTCTATCATCAGATGATCCATCGGTGGACGATGGAATGTTGGACTGAAACTGATTTGCTTTCTCATCGTTATTTGATGCTGTGTTGTCCAAAATCAAATCATCATTTGCTTTTTGTTGCTCAAAAGTCATGGTTTCTTTCGGGGATTTGTTCAGTAGTGGGATAGTATCTTGTTTTTTCATCTGATCCGGAGTATCTAAAATAGTAAATGATTGGTTATAGGATAGTGTAACTTCAGTTTCGATATTATCACCTTCTATAATCGGAGAATTAATCTGATGTTCACCATTACCAACATCTGCTATTGCGAAGTTCAACTTAGCATCATCATTCTCTTTTTCTTTCATAACAAATGCTATATCGTGCAGAGTATTACCGTCAAGTTCAATTTGAGCTTCTTTCTTTTCGTTCTGTTGAACCGTATCATTCACAGATAGTTCATCGGACGATGTTCCTTCTGTAGTTTGTTTTTCTTCGACACTTGTAACCAACTGCTTGTCAACGATTGTGATGTCCGAATCTTTGCTACTGTTTTCCTCTGATGGCTTATCACGTGACAGATTGACCATCTGGCTTAGGTCAACTTCATTGTTCGGACTCGGTAGAGCAACGGCATTCAATGATTTCGGAGTTGGTGATTCAGTAGTCAGATCCACGTCGTCATGTGGCGCTCCTTCATCAGCGACTTTAATTCCAGCTGGCTTCTCATTGACAGCCGTATCTATTGATTTTGCCACTAATAGTGCATCAAGATGTTCAGTATCATCTGTCTTCTGTTCTTGTACAGTTTCATAATCTACAGGATTTTCACGAGATGTCGCTGTTTCTAAGTTGGCTTGGTTCTCTTTGTTCACTTCTTCTTCAGCCCGTTCCTCTGGTTTCGCATTGCTGTCTAAAAATGTGTTCACTGGTGGCTCGACCTCATATGTGACATTGTCAACTTTCTTTTCTTGCACAGTATCTGTAATGTCCAGTGGGAGATTTGTGGAGTCTTTACCATTTTGTTCTTTGTTGGTGTCATGGTGCTCTTCTTTTTCCATCTTGTGAGATAATGGTGTATCCAATATTTTGTCGACGAACGAGTCAGTCGTCTCGTTCTTCACACCAACTTCTTTCTTCGCTTCTTGTGTAAAGATTGTGTCTACTGGTACATTATTGACTATATTATCTGAGTGGGCATCTGTAACATTCAGCTTATCTTCAGCTGATGGTTTAGCATTGAGTTCGACACGCTCATCCTTCTTCTCATCTTCATAAGGTATACTCTCTGTGGATGTGTCAGTTGATAGCGTTTCCTCTATTTCGACGACATCTTCTTTATTTATCGAATCTGGTTCTTTGTCGACGATGACTGTTGTCTGCAATGGCTTGTCAACAGATGTGACAGCGACCAGTGTCGTATCATTCGCCGTGTTCTCTTCATTGTTAGTTGAGATGGCCAACGATTCTTCTACCAACGGTATTGCCTTGGGTGCGGCAGTTCTTTCCAATTGTTTCTCGAGTAATTCTGTATTATTTGATGTGTCAATATCGTCTCCATTTTTCACTTCGTCTTTCACAACTATGATCGATAATGCACCAAGCGATGATGTAGCTCCGAGTTTTACTTCTTGTTCATCCTTTTCTGCATCACCAACCGTTTTTTCTACAGAATGCTCAAGAGCTATTGTGGTATCCAACGGATTTCCAAGTAAAGATGGAACGTCCGCCGTGGAATTGTCGTACTTTGTTTCTTCCTGAAGTATTTTAATGTCGGTGGGTATATGGCTTGGTGATCTTGCGTCTAACTTTACACCATCCTCTTCCTTTTTAATGTTGTCTATTATCGTTTCGTGCATGAGTATCGTCTCAATCACTGTTTCAGATGGCGTGGTAGTCTCCACTTTGATCACATCTGCTTTATCACTATTTATCTTTGTAGAGTCTAATTTCGAATCAGCTTGTGGCTCTTCTTCAGTGACAATCTTATCGTCATGCGATCTGTCTGCTGATAGCGCAGCTTCCAGTTCGGTCTTCTCTCCGGTTTCGTCATTCTGCTGAGTAGCGTTGTTCACAGGCGCTTTGATATCATCTTGGTTTTTTAAGGCTTCGTCAGCAGTTGTATTCAGTTGTATATCAGACAACGTTGCATCACATACTTCATTGCTATTCAATTTCTGATGTTCTGCGTTGGTAACATTGTCTTGTACTCGGTCAGTCGTTGCATCAGGAGACTGTACGCTGATGAACTCACCATCATGTTCTTTCTGTCGTTCATCAGAGGCTATTTTATCCAAAGATTGATCGAGTGATGTGGCAGTCTGTGATTTTGCGTCATTTTCTTTCTTCTCCTCCTCTTTAATCACCGTTTTATCCAATATTGTATCAGATAATACTAGAGCATCTCTTTTTTCAGTATCGTCAATCTTCAGCTCTTCGTCACTGATGTCTAACAAATCTTCAGTTGAAGGTGCACCGTTGACATTAGCATTATCGACTTTTTCTTCTGCACGCGTCGTTGCGGTACTTGCAAATGAACCAGTTGATGGTATTTTCCCTAAATTCCCATATTTATTTTGCGTCAGCTCGCCTGTCACAGTGGTATCCAGAGTTGCACCAACAGGCGATGTACTTTCTAATTTATCTTCCTCTTCCTTTTTTTCTTCCTGAATGATTGTCATATCGGTTGCTATATCAGGTAATACGTTATTATTCAATTTCGAATCATCCGTTGTGACTGATGACTCGAAATCAACTTTCAATTGACTTTCATTTTGATTGTCTTGATGAACCGTTCTGTCTGTAGATGTTTCCGGTGCTATGGTGTCCTCTTGTTTCTTCGTGTCTCGTCTGACATTTGTCTGTGGCTCGGTTATCTGTGCTATCTCAACGACTTCGATGTTCACAACTTCATCGATTGATGTAGCCGGTGTCATGTCGTCTACTTTCTTCTCATTGTCAGAAACTGCACCTTCCGATCGCTGGTCAAGTAGTGGATTAACATTCACGGTTAGATCACGTTCTTTTTCTTTGTGGTTTAAAAATATAGTTTCATCTAGCTTTTCAAACGATGAGGTACATTCGTCATTCGGGGCTGTCGTCTCTCCTGATTGGTGAACTAATGATGGAGTTCCTTGAGGGTGGACATCATCCTCTGGATAATCTTCTTCTTTTGTAGGTGTTTCTGACGATGAATCGACGTTTTGTTGCACACTCTTTTCATGAACGACTATCGTACTCAATGGCTTATCAAGTGATGATGTTGTTTCCACGTTCACTTCACTATCTGCTTTCGTTCCAGCTGAAATACCTGCATCATACGACTGGAAGGCTTTCGAGGGAGTCCCTAACTGCATGTTTTCTTCCGTTTCTGCTTCCTTACTCGTGACGATCTCTGCTGATTTGCCAGAAGATGGTATATTCTCTATGTGGACCTCATCTTCCGTGATGATCACTACTTCACTCTCATCGTTCTTTCCTTCGTCTTCATTTACAGCGCGATTGCGAATTTGAGCATCATTGTCTTGCTTTTGATAAAAAATGACGACGGAATCGGATGTTATCTGATCTGTAGTGTCCAGTGGGTTATCTGATGGTGTATTGGTTTCTAATATCGCACTATCAGCCATTTTTGTCTCTTCGTTTTTTATAATGTCCTCGGATTTAGTGGGTGACGTTACAGTCGTCTTTGCTACTGCTTCTTCTCGGCTATCCGTCGGATTCAGCGATTTTTCAGCTGATTCTGTAGTCTTCAAGTTGAGCTCATCTTTATTTGTAATCTCAGCTGATTGTTGTAAGTCCGGTTCGACATATTCTTCTTTGTTCCCGTCTTCTAATACGGAGGCGTCATGTGGTTGTTTCATTAATGTTTCACGTTCTAGTTGAGACTCATCCTTTTCGTTCTCCTTATCTCTGTTTGCGGTGTCTAGTGGTTCATCAAATGACTGTACTATCGAAATTTCAACTTCTTTTTCTCGTTCACTTAAAGATGTAGGGTGCAACCGTACACCAAGTGCTGGCTCAGTCTCCAAGTTTAGAGCATCTTCGGATGCAATCGTATCGACTGGTTTTGTGGTTGACGGTATCGTATTGATATTTACACTACTGTCGTCATGTCCATTCGAGGCGGCCTCACTCTCCAGATGTTCGATATGTGGTGGAGACATACCTGGCTTGTCCTGAACTTCTTTATCCGCATCTCTTCCGTCATTGGTATGCTGCGTTGCAAGAGTTGTTGACGTGCTCGAGAGTTGAACGTTCTCTTGTCTGTTGGCTTCTTCTTTCGATGTAGTATTCAGTGGTTCATCAACAGTTGGTGTACTTTCTACTTTTGAATGATCATTCGCTATCGCTGCATCTGGCTGTGTATAAAGTAATAATACATCTTCATTTAGCTTATTTTCGTCTTTGTTAATCTCCTCTTGTGTTGTAACGTACAATTTTGCTGGAATCGCGTGTGTTTCGATGAGTTTCTCTTCGGAGACGGTATCTGCTGGTACCTGAGTATCTGATGATATAAAACTCTGCGATTCCTGGCCACTTAAAGTTTGTACGAGTGAGCTTTCATTGATAGTCTTCTCCATCTCGGCCTGCTCCATGTTTTTTACTGATTTTAATGCTGACTCAGTTGGTGTAAGCTGAAATTGATTTGTCTGTAGAACCATCGTTGATTCGGGTAAGGTGGAACTCTCTATCTGACTATCAGTTTTCAGTTTTACCAGCTCACTTCCTACTGTTACGGCACTGGTTGTTCCAACCTCTTTGTCAACTGATAAGCTTCGATGCAGTTGTTGGTGGTTTGGGTAGACTACCGGTGAAGGCATTTCAACATTTTCACTAGTTAAAGATGCAACTGTGAACGTGGGCGAGGATGGAATATTGCTAACATCAATGAGATCAGTACCATTTTGAATTTCAGGCAATGTTGTTGTTGGAGTGCTGTCTCGTGTTTCAGATTTCTCGAGCTCAGTCGTCTTTGATGTTACCTCGATGCTTGACGATGCGTCACGTTGCTCAGCATCAGCAGTTGCAATAGTAGTGACGTTCTCTGGTGTAACCAATTTTTCATTATCAACTGGTGCTGGTGGTGTTACAAGACTTTCTGCTAAGACTGGCTTTTCAGTGTCGACTGCTACTGCTTTCGGACTGTTTTCTATGGTGACCGATTGCTCAACACTAGTTTCTGTTTTGGCAATGTTACTTTCTGGTATAACAGATTCCTGGACTTCAATCTTCAGGATGGGTGCTGGTGTGTTCATTACTTCTATTGCTGATGTACCTTTTCTTGTATCGGCTTTCTCAACTTCATCAGATGTTGTGACTGGCATTGAAGTATTTTCCGATGCTTTCAGTTTTTCTATATCAACTATCACTGCTCCGGAATTGCTGTCTGCTATGCTTGGGGATCTAACGAGTTCGTTTGCGTCGACTTTCTCAGCTTCAATCGTTATGTTGATCGGCATTACGATGTCTTCTGCTTTTGCATGCTTTTCATTATCAGTTGTTCTAGAAGATTCTTCCACATCGACAGCTGCTGTAGTTGACGGTTCAGTATGACTGTCAGTATCAACTGCTTGTGCTACCGGTGTATCGATTGTTGTAACAGTTTCCTCAATATCAGTTGTGGTTTTGATGGTGGTGGTTTCTGGTACAACAGATTCCTCATTATCAGCCGGTAGGAGATGCGTTACGATTTTTTCCGATGGAACAAGTCTGTCAGTTTCTACTACATCCACTATCGGAGTACTTTCTGTTGTAACAGGTTCCTCCACATTTATTGATGATGTGCTTTGTGTTGCAGAAGATTTCTCAGTGTGCACTGCGTCTGTCATTGCGTTACTTTCTGTTGGTATCGATTTTTCGATATCAGTGGGTATTGTAGTAGTAACGCTTTCTGGCATAGCAGCTGCCTTAGTGTCGATCAATGGTGGCGGTGGTGCTGTATTTTTGTTCGATAAGGTGGTTTCTGATGTTGTGGACTTGTCAATATTAATTGTTGCTGTGCTTTGCGACGCGGTAAGATTTCCAGTGTCCACGACTACCATTTTCGAGGCGTCTTCTGTGGCAAGTTCATTCACACCGAGGTCTATCGTAATTTCCGGTGCGTTAGATTTCTCAATATTAACTAATGATTCTGCTGGACTAGTTTCTGTTGTAGCAGGTTTCTCAACATCAGTAGTTGTTACTGCTATAGTGACGCCTTCCATTCCATCAGACTTCTTCACACTAGTCGGTGAACTTTCACTGCTTTCTAAAGCGGCAGACTCTTCGATGTCAGCCGGATCTCCCGTTGAAATGTCTTCTGATGTAATCACTTTCGCTGTATCAGTTGTTGTTGTACTTGATGGTGTAGTATGTTTTCCGTTGTCAATTAGTGATTCTGTTGTAACGGATCCCTCAACATCATAAGCTGTTTCTGAAGTGGCATCCTCTGATACATCTGATTTCTTAGTATCAGGTTCTCCTGGCAATGGTGTTGTAGTCTGTTCTGGTGTAGCAGGTCTTTCGCTGTCAACTGTTCCCTTTGTCGGTGTGCTTTCTGATAATAGAGTTTCTTCCACATCGAGTTTCGTTGCAGTTGGTGACGCGACAAGTGTCTCAGAGCCAACTGATGATCCTCCTGGGTTACTTTCTGTTACAACAGATCTGTCTGTATCAGTTGGTGATGTTTCATTGCTTCCCAATGCAATAGATTTTTCTTTGTCAGTTAGATCCACTGTTTGCATGTCTTCTGGTGTAATGACTTTCTCAGCATCTGTTTTTACAGTATTTAGTGATGTGGTAAGTTTTTTACTGTCAATTGATGGTTCTGTTGTTGAAGCAGTAATGTCTGGTGCAACTGATTCGTCAGCGTCAAGTACTGTGGATGAGAGTGTTGCCGGTTTCTCGTTGTCAATTTTAACGTCTGTCGACGTGCTTTCAAATAATCGAGTTCCTTCCGCGTCGAAGTTTGTTGTGATTGGTAATGCAATAGGTTTGCCAGGGTGAATTGATGATTCCTTTGGAGTAATTTCTATCGCAACGTGTTTTTCAGCATCATTAGTTGCTCCCATAGCGGTGCTTCCGATCATGACAGATTTATCTGCGCTAGCTGATGACGTTTCACTGCTTTCTAATGTAACAGGCTTTTCGGTATCAGTTAGACCTGCCGCTGGAATGCTTTCCAATGTAATGAACTTCTCAGTATCAGTTGTTGCTGTGTTTGATGGTGTGATAGGTTTCTCCGCAATGACAGCTGATGGTGAAGTACATTGATCAGTAATAATAGTTGGTGTTTCATTGCTTTCTGCTGCACCAGACTTACGAACATCAGTTGTTGGCGATGTATCGATTCTCTTCGGTATATCAGACTTGCCAATGACGGTTGTTGCTGGTGACAGTGTTACAGTGTTTACTATTGTTTTTGGCTGAGTGTTTGTTGTTGTGGCATTGTTCGCACTTGTCGATGGTTGTGTAGTACGGAGAGAATAGACAACATTTGAAGTTGGACGTACGAGAGAAGCATTGCTGATATTAGTAGAATCGACGCGCACTGGCTCGCTTTTAACAGGTGTGAATGGATGTTCCGTGTTTGCTTCAGACTGATGATTAGGAATAACATTTGCTCCTGCTGTTAAATTAGTAGTTTGATTGACAGCTACATCAACTTTAACAGTATTGCCTGTTTTGTTTTTATCACTCCTAATAGAAATAGCAGGCTGCATGATATCCGCCGCACTCGTGCTGAGCAATAGTGCTTGATTATCGATGTGTCGCTGCGTTTGCTCAGCTTGTGACTCAATGTTTGATGCAATCGATGTTATAGGTTCGTCGATCAGAGCTTTTGTCTGTTCAACGCTCTGAATAGTCTGTGTTGTGATTTTCTTCTGTTTAGATTTGGTTTGCAACGCTTCTAACAAAACAGATACTGGCGGAAGACGTAAGTAGTCCGTGGAAAAGGTAACATATAATCGACCAACGCCTAGCCGATAAGTTGCAAAATCAACAGGAATATTCACCGTTTGTTTTGGTTCTATCGACATACTATTTCAAATTGAGTACATCGGTTTCGTGAATAAAAAAAAAAGAATATTTATTTTTCTTACTTTGTATGAAAGGATTTTATTGCTGCAAGACCATCTACTGCTATACGTCCATTGATCACTGGTTTCGACGATGAATTCGTTATTTGTACATTAAGCCTAACAGCTCGTCCAACTTCTGTCACATTAGGATGCAAAAACTGAAAAGAAAACGAACATTAAAACATAATCAAGTACAACTACGACCGATCATACTAATTTCATTGAAACAGGTTCTTCATACAAAACATACTTGTCCACTCGATACTTTTGATTCGTTTCATTGACAGTTGCAAGAACAAACAATTTAAATAAACTGTCAAAGCATCGCTTCGATATCCCTTGCATATCACTCATCTTTATCCGTATGGGTTGCTCTACAAAACATAAAGCAAAGCTTATCTGAAGTACACTCAATCATACTTACCTTGTCGACGATTCAGCTGGTAAGTGTATGTCAAAATTCGATTCGACTTTTGTGAATTTGGGACGTGAGAGTGATCAATACAATTCACCTCTACTACAGTTAATTTAACCGTGAGTGTTCTCGTGGCATCTGATCGATTATTGGTGATAAGCAACAAATTGAGATCATTACCATTCTAAACAGTTTATTTATTATTTAAAAGCTGAAAAGAAAGCTTACTTGGATGCTATGAGGTGTTTTGATTTCGATATCAACATCTCCTGTCGTCGCAGTTTTAGTCGGTTCTATAGGAAATACTTTGAGATAATATCAGTTCTTTTTCTCCTGAATTGTATACTTTTAATTGATATGTAGTTGTCAGTAAGATCTTCGTACTCTCCTTCCTTTTCCAACGATTGAGTAATAATTTTAAAATTTATCGGATTGTCTTCAGTTTCTATGAAATACAATAAAAATTACATCATCTCTCTAAATATCGAAATAATATTTACTGATCAGTTCTCGATTTCCATTCGAATGAATCAGCCAATAGGTTCTATTTCCATTTAGTCGACTGTGAATTTCCCTCGTATCCCATCTCAAATCCAATGAATGACATTTCAATGCTGCCACTGAACATGGACCAACGCATCGAATCGCTAAATCAGAGAGAAAAGACATCAGTTTTCTAGCAAATTATCTCCATTGACAGCCATTTACGTTTGCCACATCGAATAAACGATGAATCAACTACTTGCCAACCACTAAAATTTCGTGGAAGATCATCTCGACGTAGCCAACATTCATTCCATAAATACCACGGTCTTGAAAACCACCGAATGAACAAGAACGTCACACAATATCAAAACTCCCTTACCGAGTCATTTTCGATAGAACAACTACCGTTGATTGTTGTTCTTGCGGTACGTTCGGACGCGTATCACTCGTTATTCTTTCTTGAACTTGACCAGTGGCATTGTAAATAGTAACAATCCGACAAGCGATACCCAACGACCGACATAGACTACAAAACACTGCTGCATGTTGCCAATTATTACCACTATCTCGCTGCATCGATTGAGTATTCGGTTGACGAGACAATCTCAAAATCGCTGGACTACTAGTGTAGTTATTATCTGGACAGGAAGCTGAACCCTCACCAAAAACAGACGGAAATATGCCATTAGTTGTTCCTATTTCCGAACAGATTTTTGATGCAAGCATACGAAGAACGACGGATGTATCGATCGAATATGGAACGGAAACTTGTATTTTACGAAGAAGTTCGAGAGCGGTCAATAATACAATACTTTCGAATTGTCCAAAGTACCATGGAATAGATCGAGGTATATCAGATAGACCAAGAAAAATTTGTCCATGTTCATTCATAACATATTCCCTAATTTGCTCGGACGAATTCAAACTACAAGGATCATTTTTTTGCCAAGGATTAAAGAGGAAATAAATGTCTATTTCGAATTGAAAAATAGTCAACGTTCGTTTATCGAGACAACCTTTTTCCATCATACAACAGGTTTCTAAGAATAACTATTAAAACACACCGTATGAATATCAAAAATTACAAGGAACTAGCGCTTCATTCTTACAGAATATTTGCCAATAAGAGCATGACAAGGAGAATGGATTTGAAAATGAATTCGTTTCTTGTCTTCATTTTCCGTATCTATTCTCCTTACTGACCAGTCATTCGATGAACCATTTAATGGTATTTTTATTGCTAAACTATTCAACCATGTATGACATTTGAAAATAAACGACAGGTGATGTTTGTCGATGTCGAATTCATGATCAAGTGTAAGAATAAAAGAAAATGCTTGACCTCGTCGAAGAATAAGTCCTTCGACATCATAGTAAATTGTCGCATGTTCTTCCATATTTTTCTTCTTACACAGATCGATATGAGTAGGTCTCAATCGAGATACTAAAAACAAAATTTATTCCCGTACAAACTCTGTATCTCTTACTAGTATCAGATGCACTATTTTGGTGTCGCATGATGATTGTTCTAAAAACGAAGATTTTCATTGACTGCTGCTGAGCCGCATGCGAAAATTACTCACGTTGGATTGTTGTTCATGGGAATTTTTGAAGATGAGGAAAAAATACTACTCGAAGAATCGATCACAGATCGTGTTTGATTTTTCTCAGGTTGCATCAGTACGTCTAAAGTAAATATGAGGGGGTTCTTTTCATATTACTAAAACAAGCATATTGCTGAAATGATTCTCTTTCTTGTGGTGTCATGCGTAACGACGAAATATTTTACTTAGCCCACAAGAGAAAAAATATGTGCAAAATAAGCCATATCAATATATCAATATGTAATGTTGACATCTGCTTTTCTCTTAATTGTCATTGTTCACCTTAGGAATAGTCATTTACATGTAAATATAGTTGTTCGAGATAAACTGCATGTTTGAATAAACTTTCCGGGCAATGTCGTATCAATCATCAAAGTATGAGCGGGACAGGAGAACGATATTGTCTAGGCTATGACGTCAGAAGATTCGATTTTGTTCGTATTCTCGAGAAAAACAAAGTATGTTGTCGTTAGATTTTCTATTCTATTTACGTTTTAACATGATGACATACACCACGATCACATTAATCGAACCAAACCGATATGCATATGTCGATTTACCTTGAATTACATCGTCACAGTTATAATACAATAAATGAAAGAAAAAACAACAACAACAATACGAGGATGATTGTGTCGATTTGCCTGTATACCGAAACGTCGAGAAATTAGAAATCTGTAGATGATTTATTGATCAATAGTGCAAGCATTGTAACAAGAAAACTAATACCTACAATTGACGTACAGATATTCATCAACAAGGTCCGCTGCGAGATCTTTAACGTTGATTCATAGTCCTTAGTTCGTTTATGTTCTCGCACACGCATAGAGAGAATGATACAAACAATGCCAAATACAAAGAAAAGAAAAAAGTTGCCGATCGACCAAAATAGATAATCAGATATGCTCGTAAGCTCACGTTTATTTTCGGCAATTTTCAAATTTATATGATCGATCTCAGATTGATAATAATCAGTATTACTCTGAGGTAACCACGTAAAACCGTTTCGTTTTTCTAAATACGGTTCGAGTTCGTCGATTTCACGTTTTTCCATTCGTCCGACGCCACTAAAAGACGAAACAAAATCATTAAATAAATTGAAATATTTCGATTTCTACTTCACAGGTCGATAACCAGTCAACAGACGTTCGTTACGCATTTTCAAGGTTAGAAGATGAAAAATGATGCGCGAAGAGTATTGTGTGTATGTCTATAGTTCTCATTCTTTTTTTTCCTTTCGTGTTCTTCGTATTTTATGTTGAGAGATTGTCATTATGATAGTACTATATTTGTTTGTCTTGAAAGAACACAAAAAAACCAAAAAATATGTCATGTTTTTTATTGATATATGTCATTGCCTTCACCAAATAATGATCTTCTCAATCGTTTCTGTTTTGAATACAATTCGAATTGAAAAACAACAACAGTCAATGTCGAATGTAGCCTTACCTGAGCGATTGAACTTGAATCGTTTATGATACAGAATGAATTTCTTCTCTTTCGATTGCATTTGTTCATGATTGAAGAGATTGGTCGACATTTGGCTCAAAGATAAAACGAAAGAGTCAATCTTTTTCTCCTTCTTCCTTTGCTAATAGAAATAGAAAAGATAAGACAGTTCGAGTGTTAAACATCGTCTTATTCAATCAATAGAATAAAAAGTTTCGTTCTTATCCGTTGTATTTTTTGCTTCTATAAAACCGTTAATGTTAACATTTTTTATGGCATAACAACGAACACACAAACAACATGCTTTCGAGAACAGTAAGAAAAATAAAACGAAAATTTGCATGCTGCAAATTAAACTTGGCCGTTTTGATTTACGCCCACCGGTGTTGACATCGAACTTGCACCATTTTCAAGAACGAGAGTTTCCTTGACATGTTCAGCTAAGTTAGCATCAGTTGTTGTTGCTGGTGGTCGTTGTCCTTTTTGTCCGCCGGATTTTTCTGAAATTTAGAAGGATAGAATTGAATGTGCTTTCGAGAGTTTTAAGACATCATCGTACTGGGCTTTTGTTTCACAGGTTCTGGTGGCGGATAGGCTCGTTTTATCATTTCTTGCATCGATTCGGATTCAAAATCTTTTCGAATGGGTTCAAGCAATTGATTGAGGTATATATTTACGGCATTCTTTAAATCACCTGGATGTACGTCCTGTCGTGAAGAGAAACAATAGGAGAGTTTGACGAGATATTCCTTTTCATCTACTATTTACCTCTGTAGCGAAACCATCTTCTAATTGTTGGTAAGCTGAGTATGCGAGTGGTCCACCATATTGTTCTGCGCGTTGAACAATGAAATCTTGAAAAGAAGAACGAAATGTATCTAATTTACAATCATTTATATTTGTATACCTTTGCCTTTAAGTAAGGGAAAGACAACGCTTTTACAGAAAGCAAGTATACCATTATTGGTGATATTCTTTGGCTCACAAAATGCTTTTTTCAGTTTCTTTTTAACTTGATCAGGTGTATCGAGTAAATCGATTTTACTATCTTCAACACTTGAACTCATCTTATCACCATTCAAACCGGGTACTAAAGATAAATAAGCTTGATTTGGACTGCTAATAGTTCGTGATTTTATTTACCCATTGGATTCATTAAATGAATACGCTTGGCATAACCAAGACTTGGTAGATTCTATGAATACATATATGAAAATATTGTGAGTCTGTTAAAAAATCGTAATGGAAATACAAACCTCTTCAGCGAAAGTGAAAATTTTTCGTTGATCGACTCCACCGAATTGTGCATCTACTTTTAAATATTCCTCATCAAGAGCCTACAGAAAAAAAAGGAAATGAAACGAATTTCGTGGCTGCGTTCTCGCACTTGTAGTCCTGGGTAGAGCAAACCACTGAGTAAGGGTGATTCCACTTGTTTAACAACCTCGGCGCCGGCTTTCTTGGCGTTATGCTCGGTAACAACTGATGATAATCGGTAAACATCAAGTGTATATTCTCGAGATAATTGGTAATCTGTTCCTCGGACAAATTTCAATTTGTCAAGCGGAACATCAATGGATTTCAACAATGATTTGATTATATGTTCATAGTAGACAGTACGATGAGCAAGCAATTCCCACGGAGCTTTCATATTATCTAGATAAGCATGGAGATCAGCGAAGAGAATTGTCACCTATGACAAACACGTGAGATGTTGTTTTTTGAAAGAGTAGCCGAAGAGATCATACCTCGCAGCCAGCATGTAAGAAATCAGCGATTTTTGTCATCGGTACGAAGTAACCGATGTGTGGTCGGCCAGTTGTTGCGGTTCCCCAGTAGACTTTCAGGTCACGTTCTTCCAAAATTTTCCGCAAACGATCATTACCAAGAACTTCTTGAAGATTTCGTACGATCAGATCATGCTTGTCGTCAATGGTTAATGCAGATGCTTGTGCCATTATTCGATTTAGTCGAGTGAAATCTGAAACAAGTCGAACACTTCTTTTTATCGAAGTCTCACGTAATGCCATTGCATCATGTGCAGAAGAAAGAAGGAAAGTCGGCATATATGACTCAATTTATCAAACAGAAAATATCCTATCCAATAGAAAATTTCTGAAGTAATATTAACAAATTTTTACACTCAACGTGATGTTTCAAATCTTCTCGTCCACATCGAGCCACTGCAATAGACAATGTGTGCCATATACTTTCTGACATTGCTTCGTTGCTAACGCCATTAGTTTGTTGTTTAAGTGCAATTAGAAGATGTTCGATAGCTTGTTCATATGCATGAAGATTCAAACAGCTTATTCCAAGATTATACCGTGCGCGCGTATAGCCTGGTGATGAAGTCAATGCATGATAATAGGCCTCAACCGCTTGTTCATTTCGACCGCTGTGTGCTATGGATGCACCTAGTTTATTCCACAATAGGGCATCCTAGAATCAAAAAGAAATTTCGATGAGTTTTTATTAGTGGAACAGAAGTATAAGTTTACGTTGGGTTTAGAAAGCACAGCTACTTGGAAGCATTCGGCTGCTTTCGTATAATCTTCATACAAATAGAATAAGATTCCCAGACATACTTGAAGATTGAAATCGATATCGCTCGATGTATTGGATAATGAAACAGCTTGAAAAAACAAGTCTTTCAAACTTTTGAACGTTAATCTCGAATTTCGCTCTTTGTTATCATGAGAAAGAAGATGGCAATATCTCTCGTGATTTTCCAACCATCGATAAAGACAGTCGAGTGCATCTTTTCTTAGCACTTCGTTTGTGTAACACGTTGCTAATGTTATATATGCTTGTAAATTTTTCGGATCAAGTTCAATGCATCTGTTGATTAAATAGTTAATCAGACAATGAGAAGAACTGGAAGAAAAATTTACTTTTTCAATGCACAAATAGCTCGACTATCCTGCTCGTTCGTATGTTGAGTTATACCGAGTTGCATCCATGCCTGAAATAAATTTAATCAGACTAGTTCTTTGTTACTATACCATCATTATCGATTATGTATCATTGAACTTTGATGTAAAAGTCATTATCTATTTGCTCTATCATCGAAGGTTATAAACACAATAACGAGAACAAAAAAAGCTCGCCGATTGCAAACGGTGAATGCGCAAGGGCAGGTAAGTCGAAGATTTCTACTGAACTTACATCTACATGATCAGGTTTCTTTTGAACGGCTGCTTCAAAGCATAGAATTGCATTAATAATGTCGTGAACTTCTAAGCGTTTAAGTCCTTCACCATACGCATCAATCAAATCCCAAAATGGATTCTGTTGATCAAACTTGTACTCGATATAATGACTCATATGACTATTCGACTCTTCACAAAACGATCGTGGGGGTTGTAGTTGACTAAATATAATGTCTTTGTCTATGATGTGGGTCTTAGTGCGTCTTCGTTACTTGTTCTCTCTAGGCAGGTTCTCCGCATTGGATTGTTTTATCTCATTCATCTCGATTGGCGGCAATACATCGTCCTGAAATAAAGTTTGATCGTTAAGCTAAGATCTCCCTTTGTATACGATTTACTTCGATCTTAGCTGCAAATTGGTTGTCTCCGAGAAAAGAAAGAATAACATTTGCAGCACTTGCTGCATCGTTGGCAAATTCTGTCTGAGGAGGAAACAGTTGTTGATCAAGAAAGACCGGATGAGAGTAAAGAATAGGAGGCGAAAATGATGGACTATATAAAGACACATCTCGTGATATTTTCATTTGAATTCAATAGAACCGTAATCGAATACATATGTTCATTGAAATCAGATGTTTACTTATACTTACAGATAACTTTGTTCGTGTTCGAATAGTTGCTGTTGAAATTGAGATGTTGTTGTTCGATTCGAATTGAAATATGGATCCAGAAATTCTTGAGCCCATTCACATCCTACGTAAAATACAAAAGTATTGAGAAAATAAATTTCAAGTTATCTTCTGTTACCCTGATTGTCACATGAAGATAAACTTGTCAAGAGATCTTGTAGTTGAAATGTACTCGGTGCAGCAGAACTCGAACTGTGGTATTCATTGACGAATTCATCAACTGCAGTATCACCATGAATATTCGAATTGACATTCTAGAAAACAAATTAGTTAAGTTTTCGAGAGTCATGGACGCCGTACTGCTGAGTTGATTGATGATGAACGATTGATTAAACCATCCTAGCGAATACGCATTTGTTTACAACTGAGCAAAGATCCAATGAATTACTTGTGTCACGAGTGTTTTGTCATGTTTATGAAATTCAGTTAGTTTGATCAATGGATTTGTCGTACCGCACTCTGGTTGAAGAAGAGTTCTCGACGTTGTCATATCTTTTCGTCTGTTTTTGTGCAAAGTCAGATAACGAAAACGTAAATATAGACGAAGTCATCTCAGTTGTATATTTGGCTCAAATCCAATATCATTGCATTGCATTGCAAAGCCCCACCTCCACTTTTTTTTCTCTTCTGTGATTGGTAAATCATGGATAGCCAATGATTAGATTCGAGTCAGATGGGCGACAAATAACAGAAAATAAACTCGTTTTTCGTCGAGAAAATTATGTTAAAAACAGTTCATTTCGTCAAAGATAACTAAAAACAGCATTTTAGCCGGTTGCGAAATATTTTTCTGTTCGTTGTCTAACAAGAAATAAACACATTCCGTGTGTTTGTTTGTTTCGATGTGCATACGACCGCGCTCAACCACGGTTTCCAAGTCGTGTGTGTGTATGTTCGATTCTTTTTTTTTTTGTATTCTGATACGTTACATCGTACCCGTATTTAAATATATAAATGCAAAACGAGGGTGAATACAATCGACCGCGAGAGAGAGAGAGAGAGTGACGAAGAAGAAATCGAATACATCGACTAAACCAAGGTCTCTTTCTCTTTGTGCATATACGTGTATTTCTTTCACTATTCTACCTCGCCTGATTTATTCTTTATCGTTATCATTTATATATTATGGACGAATAGTGAAATACACGAATTACCATGAACGAGTGCAATCTTATCTCGTCTACACTAGCGAATTAGTAGATCTTAGAAAATAGCAAGAGAGATAGAGAGGAAAATGTGGAGGTGATGGTATAACATGTGCAATCCAGGGGAACAGCTGAGAATATAAATAGTGAAGAATCTTCACTTTGTCTGCTTCCGTGTTTTAGTTTTATTTATTTTAATACATATCTATCAGACATGTGTGTCTTTAGTCCATGCCTTCTTTAGATTTAACAGCATATTTTTGACTGAAATCGATTGGCTTTGCAGAATGTTTTCTCTTACCGCATCGTCGCTATCGATAAACAAAACATCGAAATAAATAAATACGTTTGCGTGTTTTTTTTCTCTTCTAGATATTGAGTGAGTAAAGGTGTAAATTGGCCAACCTTCTCACCAAAACGGAAGTCGGAACATCATGTCCGCAATGACAGTGACAAATAGTGGCAGTAATACAACCAACCCAACCGGAGTTAATGATCCACTTGATAGTTTCAATTTGTTTCATAGTCGACCACCTATTTGGTCCACATCGAATCAACCAGGACTAGATCATCAGTGGAATGAATCATTATTTTCACCATCACATCGTCCATGGCCATCGGAGCCGTTTGGCAGTGATGTTGGCAGCGATGAATTACCATATCCAAGACAATTAAATCATCATCAAACTCATGATTTCAGTCCATTACCATCATCGCCAGCGAATCTTTTAAATGGCAACAATCATCAAATAAGTCAATCAGGACGTTTTCAATTTCTTAACGATGCATCATCATCGCCGTACTGTTCCCAACAATTACCTCTCATATCGTCATGTTTCAATGAATCATTATATGATCCATCACCATCATCAACACTATTTTCAAATGATATCGACCGACGTTCACTAAATAATCCTGTTACAAACACAAACTTGCTTGATTCGCGTCAAACATTAGATAATCAAAAACTAAGTTTAGATCAAATTGTTAATCGTTTCAATGATCTACAATTACAACCACCAACAGCATCAACGCCAACAACATCGTCCTATCAAAATTCATTTTTACCTCAAACAAACGATCAACAGCAAGCACTTTCATCATTCTACTATCAACCATCATCACCATTTACAAATCATCTGTATATGAATTCACCAAGCCAATATCAACAAAATGGTCCGACAACATCCAACCTATTTAACGACCGGTTCGAACGAAATGATGGCTATTTGCCATTTTCGAATAATTCACCATATTTATCCGCCATGCGCTTTTCACCGAATCAAGCCTATCGTACAACAAAAAGTGGTAAACAACAAATCGGACCGGAAAATTCTAACTTATTCATATGTCATCTACCCCAAGAAACAACAGACCAAACATTGATGAATTTATTCTCACAATTCGGGACAGTTTTATCAGCAAAAGTACGTGTGTCCATCGATATTCGATGAATACATCGAGTTGACTTTTCTTTTCAAAGGTATTTGTTGATAAAAAAACCAACCAATCGAAATGTTTTGGTTTTGTTTCATATGATAATCCTTCGTCAGCACAACAAGGTAATTAATTATTAATACGTTTATTCCTTTTGAATAATTGATGAGATAGAAGTGTTCGATATACGTTTTTTCCTCTTTGTTTCAGCTATATCAAGTATGGATGGATTTAGCGTCGGTCCCAAACGGCTGAAAGTCGAATTAAAAAAACCGCGTCGTAATTCATAATGTGACAAATAATTTTCTGAAAGAACAGTAAGATCATCGTGTTATTTCTCGTTTTGCCCAAAGATCTGTTCATGTGAGTATATGTTTTAACTGTCTATTTCTCGTTTCCTTGTTTTCTCTCTTTCATTCTTGTTTGTTTTGTTTCTCTCCGGAAAAAAAAACAAAACAAAACAAATCGAACCTATTTACTTTTCGTGTTGTGTGTTTATTTCTCCAAGAGATTTGTTCGATATATGTTTAGTAAAAAAAAAGCAGAAACGGAAGAATAAAGAAGATGGAATTCCCTGTGTGTCTATGCTTTCGAATTATCTGTCGACTTTTTCTTTCACTTTCTTTTGTGAGTTCATGCTGTGTTCTTTTCTTTTTATGCTGCCGTCTATTTCCCTATTTATTTATTAAGCGATTGTTCGTGTGTGCGTGTGTGTATCAGCTTTTATTATCTACCGTGTGTTTTGCGCATAGTTCATTCATTTTATTTTGTTTTTTCAGCTCTCGTTTATCAGACTCCCTAATTTATTCACAACCAAAAGGAAAAAACGGTTTTTTTTTGTGTGCGTGTGTGTACTTCTATCTCTACACGGTTGTTGTGTGTATTTCATTAAGTTTTTCGTTGGGTTCTGGATGGCTATATGTTTTTTTTCTTTATATATTTGTGTGTGTGTGTGTATGTTTGTTGTATGCTTATCATTGCCACCGAGAAAAAAAAACAAACAACAAAAAGATTTTCTTTTCCTTCTTCTTTTTTGCACAAGAGAAAAAAAATGGAAACGATACAAGAGATTTATGTTTAGTTCATGAGCTTGCTTGAATTAGATTAATATTCTTCGCCAGCTGCATCACCTGCAGATTCATTAACAGAATCTGTGGCAACTTCAGCATAATCTTTTTCTAATGCAGCTAAATCTTCTCGAGCTTCGCTGAATTCACCTTCTTCCATACCTTCACCGACGTACCAGTGAACAAAAGCACGTTTAGCATACATCAAATCAAATTTACTATCAAGTCGTGCCCAAGCTTCAGCAATTGCTGTCGTGTTTGAAAGCATACAAACAGCACGAGGAACTTTAGCTACATCTCCACCTAAATAGGAACCATGCGTGATTTGATTGATGAGAAACCTCATGCATCTTACCTGGAATTGAAATCGGCGGTTGAGAATTGATGCCAACTTTGAAACCGGTTGGACACCAATCAACAAATTGAATACTTCGTTTTGTTTTGATCACTGATATAGCATTGTTCACATCTTTGGGCACGACATCACCACGGTAGAGTAAGCAACATGCCATGTATTTGCCGTTGCGAGGATCACATTTAACCATTTGATTGACTGGCTCGAAACATGCATTCGTGATGTCTTGAATACTGAATGTTTCATGATTAGCTTTTTCCTCTGAAAGAAAAACGACGAAACACATTTGTCATATTTGAATGCAATATAGTGAGGTGACTCACGACTGCAGATTGGTGCATAGGTAACAAGTGGAAAGTGTATACGCGGGTACGGAACGAGATTGGTTTGAAATTCGTTTAAATCCACATTCAATGCACCGTCAAAACGAAGCGAAGCGGTGATTGACGAGACAATTTGTGCAATTAAGCGATTTAGATTGTGATACGATGGCCGTTCGACATTTAAATTGCGACGACAAATATCGTAAATAGCCTCTGAACAAACGAAAGGTATACATTAGAAAGAAAAAAGTTTGAGAGAATGACATCACCATTATCAACCATAAAAGCACAATCTGTATGTTCCAATGTGCAGTGAGTTGTTAGAATTGAATTATATGGTTCAACCACAGCAGTTGAAACCTAATTTGAGACATTGTTAATGTAACAAGAGAGACAAATATATAGCTTAATCAACCTGTGGTGCAGGATACACAGCGAATTCGAGTTTAGACTTTTTACCATAGTCTAAACTCAAACGTTCCATTAACAACGATGTAAAGCCAGATCCAGTACCGCCTAAAATCATTCTTGGATAGTATCTTCATACGAAGGAAACGTATACCTACCGCCAAAGCTATGAAAGACGAGGAAACCTTGTAAACCTGTACATTGATCAGCGATTTTTCGTAGTTTTTCTAATACGGTATCGATAATCTCTTTGCCAACAGTATAATGGCCACGAGCATAATTATTCGCTGCATCTTCTTTGCCAGAGATCAACTGTTCCGGATGAAATAATTTCGCATAAGTTCCTCGACGAATCTCATCTAATATTATCAAACAGGAATGAAAAACTAATTTCTCAATCAGATCTACACTTACCAATAACAGATGGCTCAAGGTCAACAAAAACCGCCCGTGGAACATATCGTCCGTTGCCTTAGTATTCATCGGATTCACTTTCTAACATCGAATGATAACAATCCTTACCTGTTTCATTAAAGAATGTGCTGAATGATGTTTCCTTGGAATCTATCAGTAAAATAATCTCGAATAATATGTACACAGAAAAACAAGCAAACCTGAAATGGATTCTAAAACATCGCGAAAGAAAAGAATCGATAGATTCATATCGGAAATATTTTACAACGCTCTTACTGATAATATGGCTGCTATCACGTTCTTTACTGAACGTTCCATCAGGCTCTATTCCGTGTTCAAGGCAGTACAATTCCCAGCAAGCATTTCCGATTTGTACACCTAAGAAATTCGATTAAATTCTCAACACAGAATCAATCAGTTCATTACCAGCTTGACCAACATGGATACTGATACATTCACGCTAGAAAAAATGCATTCAATCAGACAACGGACTGTTCGTTTTTTTCAAAAATATCATCCACCCACCATGCTTATTGCTCGGTTGCTCTCGAATGAATAAGATAGATAATACAAATACTCGTCATTACTGATGGTTGTCGATGCTTTATGTACATTTTTTCTTTCTAACCACCTACATATTTTTGCTTGGCTGAATTTCATTCGTTTTTTTTTTTGTTAGGCGAAGATTTTCATTCCTCTCTTCCTCTTATCTCGTCCATTTTCATACGTAGTAAGAAAAAAAACCGTCGGATAAAACGACATTTCGTATCTGTCTTGTATAAGATTTTTCTTTTAAACATCGCATATTCAACAGACCGAAAAAAGGACGTTGCTTGTTAAAAAAACACACGCACACACACGATAGATATACACGTAAAAAAGAAGAAGAGAACAACCGAATAAGGTGACAGAGAGTATAACAAACAACATTCAAAAAAGAAAGAAATAATGACAATAAAGTCAGTGTACACAAGAAAGAGAGTAAGAACATCAATGAACAAAAAGAATATGACCAGATCTAGAGAAGAAATTCATGTCATCAACCTCTCTTTCTATCTTCAGTAAGCATATGTATAAATTCAAAATTCTCGATCTTCCAAAAACTTGTATTCGAATATGAAATTGTCACGTTTACGTGTTTGCCATCGTTCGTAGTCGAAAAATATGTATGTACCCTAAAACAGCCAATCAGTATGATTCCGTTATCAACGGAGTTTACCTGTTCATAGTCATCAGTGATTGTTTTTGGTTCTTCGTGTCTTTGAAACCACATCATATGTTTGGTATGAAAACGCCACGATTGACGTTTCAAGGCTTTTGCTGCTAAATATTGTGCACGTGTTCCCTAGAAGAATGTTATCAAAGAAATGAAACATGTTTTCCTTGAAGTTTTTCAAATACCTCCATGTAATAAAAGACGAAGAAGAGTGTATCAGGCGCTAAGCGATAGTAGAATTCAGGTGTATCACTGCCCGCTGGTGGTGTTTGAGGATAGTATGGAATAGTTTGCGATTGACTGAGTGAACCTCGACCATAAATTCGATTGGCATTTGTTCTGAAAAAAGAAAACGAGAAACTTGCAATACTTAAGAAAAAACATATCATATGAACCATACCTTTGTCGCTCTGATTCGAGTAGAGATGGCAATTTTGCGTATGCTGAGTTCAGTCGATTGAGCATACGCATTTCTGCCTGTGTTAATGGCACACGACCTGCTGATATTGATTGCTGTTGAAGAATATTCAACGATGTCGACTGTAAACTATAACGATGCGAATGATGCTCAGGATTGATTGGTATACCACTTGCTAATTGACCAATAACACCGCCATTAGTGGCTGGAATCTCGGCAATGTTTGTATTGTTGTTCGATAAGAAAGACGATTGAACATTTGGAAAGGTATTATCTAATAATGAATGTCCATCTGAAGAGCCATTGCTCATAACCGTCGAGCGATCATTCTCACTGATCGGCCGTGATAAAATTGATGGCTGTTGGGAAACGATTGCTGGGTCGATAATATTTGCCGATGACGGAGATGTATCAAGAGGAATGTTTGAATTTGATAGACCTGAGCTTGTACTTGAGTATAACGACGATGGAATTACTGGTGCTGTTGATGATGGTGTATTCATTTGAGATGAAATGTTGTTGAGAATATGCTGAGGTAAGATTCCTTTGAAGAAAAAAGATTATTCTACATATAGAACTATATTCGACAGATACCTGATCGATCATTTGCTGTCGATAATAGTGAGGGTGGATGAGACGTATTAGATGAATTTGTAACCGTTGTTGTAACTGATGATATCGGCAAAGTTGATGATGTCGTTACTATCGAATCATTGAGAATCGAGATTGCTCCAGATCCATTGAGTAATTGCCTTGATTGCTGTTGTTGTTGTTGCTTTGCTGGTGGCGAGAGTACATGTTGTTGTTGTTGCTGTTTAGATGTATTTGTGTTGCTACTTGTAGTAGTAGTTGACGTGGATGGTACAGTATTCTGTGAAACAATGGCTGAATATTGCAGAACAGGTAATGCTGAAGTTGTAGATGTTGCTGTGGTTGTGGTTGCTGCTGGATATGCGAAATGTGGTGGTGCACTTGTCGACAATGCTGACGCAGGAGTTGAAACTGTAGGTAACGTAGATTTAGTTGTTGTTGATACGCTAGGTGACTGTTGCTGTAATTGCAAAGAAGTTTTCGGCGATGATACGTAGGTTGTTGTCGAATGGTTTGCACCCGAATTTGTTCTATCAGAAATCATAGCCGTTGAAAGAGAACATGAACAAAGATGTCAATTACCTATGTCGTTGAGATTGGTTATCTTCAGATTCAGATTTATTTCGTTTTCGATCCTCTGTTAATGATAATGCTGGACTAGCACTGGGCGAACTTGCTTGCGTTGATGATGGTGTCGTCAAACCCATCAATGATTCGTTATCACCGTGATTCGAATTAGTTGTTGCACTTGTTGCTGTCACACGATCCGATCTAAAGACAAACGATTCTACTAGTTCATCAGATAAACGACATTTCCTCTTACCCATGATTGGATGACGAACTAATATCGATATGATTGGAATTTAAACTACTACTGATGCCATTCGACAACGATGGTGGGTGAGATTGCGTGATCGGCACAGCAAGAACTGGCGCCATCAATGTGATTAAATCGTCCATGTCAATTTCTTCATACATTAACTCATTTTCTTTAAAATCTGATTCTTGATTTGATTCCACATAATATTCAATATCAGCTCGTAAGCTATGAATGGTTTTCGGATCTAATGCGTCATTGTTAATTGCACGAAGAATTTTTTCCAGAGATTCAATATGAAATTTATGACGTTCTAACGAATGTTTAGTTTCTTCTAAACGTTCTTGTTTCTAAATAGTTCAAACAGTCATTCACAAATGAGTAGTGAAGATCATTTTATTATTTACATCTTTATCCGACTTCTTCTTCTTGAGTGATGCTGACAACGCGTCGATATCGGCTTCGAATTTATCAATTTGAATATTCAATTCATGAATGGCTTCCTACACGTTCAATTTGATTCCATAGGACTCAAAAAAAAACTCATCGACTTCTTACCGCAATCCATTGATTACATTCCTCTTTCTCTTTTTCTTGTGGATCGAGTTTTTGTCCAGCTCCTAAACCTTCTTTACTATATGCTTTCGTTTTTGTTTCTCTTTCTACCACTTTGAATCTTTCCATTTGCTAGAATAATCAAACAAGTCACATGAATCGACCGAATGACAGAGTTTACGCACTAGTTCGATATTTTTCCTTGCTTCTTGCAGCTGTTTTTTGTCTTTGATTTCTGTCGATGATATCCATGCTTTTATTTGATCTCTCAAACGTTGTAATTTCTTAATTTCTTTCTTCAGTTCTTGCTCATATTTATCTTTTTGGTTGTGATTTGGCGCTGAGTGTACCTGATGAATGTCAAAACAGAAAATTGTATCATGATTGACAAAATGAGTCGTTACGATTACTTTTTGCCAGATATCCTCGAATGTTTCCACACCTTCCGTCACTTTTTTCAAACAACGGTCGATTTCACCTAAGAACAATGTCTGAGATGCATTGAAATCGAACAAAGAATAAGTTTTTACCCTGTAATTTTCTCCTATCACCCATCTAGAATCGTCTTGTTGAGTTCGTTGTCAATAGGAAACAATGAAACATAGACAGAATGAATCAAGTTTTTTTGTTAATAAGTCAAGAAGAAATGTCTTTGGATCGATTTTGAATATTTTTATCTTGAATAAACAAAAAAGGTTTTCAAATTTACTTTTAGATATTCATGAAATAAACAAATAAATTACGTGTAAAGATATGCGCACAATGATTGTGGTCGGTTGGTCGACCGACGGACGGATCGGTCTAGTGATTAAATGAGTCATATACAAACTACGACAGCACTTCACAAATTGGAAACTGAAAACATAGAGGTCGCCGAAGGCTATCAGAAAGAAGAACAGCGTTTTCCATGATCATTAGATTTTGTTTATTGAGAAGAAAAAAATGAAGATGAGAAAAGATTCGTTTACATATATTTTGCGATGAGGCTATCCATACTGCTGTGTCGTGGTTGTACAAATGAAGTCGCACGTCGAAGTGCTGGTGGTACCTTTACAGTAACATATTCTGGTAATGGAGTTATATCGAAAGTTGCTCGTTCGATATTTTTGAAAGCCGGCATAGATTCGCTGTGGTATGGATTGATTTGATTCTGGCTTGTTTCAATCGACGAAGTAATACGAGTTTGTTTGGCAACCGGTGCATCAGCATTGATCGATTTTTCAGTCTTTTTCGCTGTTGTTGTTATTGTTGGAGGATCACAATCTACACTGCTCCAAGCTAGACATGTAGCTACGTCTGTACTTCGATCAATGTGCCTGATTTGCGCGCGACGTATCGCAGTACCAGCATACCGTTGAAATGTTTCTTCGCGAATCTTTTTCGAATGCGTTGCATCGGGTTGGCCATGACTAAAACCAATTTGATAGATACTGAATTCTTTCGCAGTCGATGGTTTCACTGGTTGAATATCAGGTAATGATTTCGACAGTGTTGGATTCAATAACGATGGATCGAATGAGATGGGTGGTGGCAACGAATCATGGCTGTAGTCATCGGCGTAAGAGCTGACTTTAATTTCGTCGACGTACGTTTTGCGATCAGCATTTTTCGGAAGCCAACTGACCAGAAACGGATCGAATTCACCGGCTGCACGAGATTTTGTTCTACGTCTACCAATACCCTTTTCAATGATGAAGATGGATAGTAATGAAAAACATGAACAGAATAAATAGTATCCGTGCTCTTACTTTTTGAGCACCTCGAATGAGCGGATCAGCCTCGTATCTATGACGGTTATCGTGATCGGAAAACTGGTGCGTTGTTGCTGCTGACTAAAAGCAAATGCCAACTAATTCGCTCGAGAACGCGATCAAGAGAAATGTTTTACCGTTTGTCGTTCAATGAATATCTTCGGTGGATTAGGACGAGCAAGTTGTCGGAACGAATTACTTAAATCAATTCTCGGTTTCGCTCTGAAATGTCCATAATAACCAGTTGGAAACTATGAAACAAGAAAACAGACAAATCAAATGAACGTTTCTTCGTCAATCATTTACCCATGCACCTGCCGTTCGTTCAGGACTTAACGAAGGTGTGATTGGTACTTGTCTAATCTGGACTTGATTCATAGTCTCTCTATTGTACTTCTGCGTGAGCCGTTAGTTTTTTTTTGTTAAATAATACGTGTGAGTTCGTGATGTTTGTGTTGTTAACAACGACAAGCAAAACGAAAATACCATTGAAAAACAAAAACGAAATAGCGACGAAAAATACGAAAGAAAAGAAACTCTTGAAAAATGGCTCGAGAGTGTTACAGAAGCAATTATTTCATTTTGGTATTCAATTGAAACAAACAGTGAAACTAATTATTAAATCAAGCTTTGTTCTTCAAGGTTGGCAGCAATTATTCTGTCAATATTTTCGTTTGGAATGGCTTGTTTGTGACAAACAGGCACGGACGGTAGACGTTTTGCAACGTCAGGATAAAGTACTTGAACTGTATTAGTTTCGATTCGAACAGCTGGATGATTATTATTCGACGCACGACACTGATCATCGACATGAATGTTTATAGTCAAATTGCTGATCTTGTTAGCATTCATAGGAAAATAAATATACGAACAGAAAATGATTTTTTTGGCGCATATTGAAATATTCGTTGTTATTCGAGTGTTATCTCTTTCGAATAGGATGAGAGTACATTGTTGGGACTTAAATTGGTATCTGATGAATTCGAATGGTCAAGACTAGATTTCTGAATAGAGTTGGTTCCTCGCTGAGGAACCGTTGGTACTGATGGGCTACAGAGTCGCTTTTTAATCGATGATGTTGAAGAACGCACATGTGATCGGTGGAGATCATCGTCAAAGAAACAACGTTTAGTAGATGTCGACATGAAAGAGAAGAGGAAAAAAGCTTGAGAAAAAAATCAAGAAAGTTCAACAATGTACGAAAAGCGCTTCAAAGTTTCGTTTTAGTGTTGTCATGGGTTTCGTTTTGCAAACTCATAGCACATGAGAAGAATTGAGTCTAGTTATTTCGACATATTTGATGATGCGATAAAGTATCGAGACATGCTTGAAGGTCAAATTGACTGAATCTAGTTGAAGAACTAATCGAGTTGGTGCTGTTTCTTCTTTCCACCAATCAAACATTAGATACGATTGATGATGAAGAGAGGGAGAGACAGAAAAAAAAGAAAATCACAAGGGAGCCAATTTGTGTCGTCGTTTTGGCTAATGATTAAACTTTCGTATGTAGTAGGATTGTCAATGATTTGAGTGTCGTCAAGTGGTGATGAGGCAAAGCAAAAGATCCTATTAAAACAGTGTTTAAAAAGAAAGAAAAGAATGTCGGATGAATATACAAGATGGAACTGATTTCTTTTCTCTTGTCGAGTTTGAGTACTCTTGACCGGCGACAGTAAAGAACAAGAGAAGAGAAGAGAAAAAAAACGGATGATTATTTATCGTGGTGATTGTCGTGTATACACGGCAGGATTCCGAACGAAGCGACAAGTGGTTAACAGCTTCTTTCTTCCGATAAATAATCATTTTACGAAAAAAAAGAGAAATAAATTCAATTCAGCTTTCGGAATAAACTCCAAGCAATTGATTGAAATATATGTAAATCGAGCCCACACATCCTGTCAGCTTTGTTTTATGTCTTTTTCTCCAAACTAAACGGATATACATGTTCCCGCCGGGCGTCTTTCTCGTAGATTTGACGATTAGAGCAAAACATATGCATTTAACCGTTTCGGTTTCCTTCTTAGCTGAAATGAAATCCTCATCATTGATGTCATCCATCGCATGTTCATCAAATGTGCTTTCAATTACTAAACACGCAAAAAAATATTTATTTTTTCTCGTTAAATACACATACAGAAATAAAAGCAAAATGTAGAACAAAAATTTGCTAATTAGTCATGTTCCTTCCGGTATTTGTGGCACTTACATGTACATTCCGCATGTGTTTTTTTAAATCAAAATTTCGACAAAAACCTTTCGAACAGATCATACACGCATACGGTTTCGTTTTCGAATGGGTGTACATATGAAATTTCAAATTGTAGATTTGATGGAATGCCTAAAAGAAAATTTGCAGATGAATCGTGGTAACAACAAATTCGCTCGTACCTTCGAACATATGGTACACTTGTATTGTTTTATAGACGAATGAGTTAATTTATGGTTTTTCCAATTGCCTTTTTGGTGGAAACCTTTTCCGCAATATTCACATATCTAAATGAGAATATTCGAATAGAAGATCAAATGAATGCTTTCGCTTGACTTACCCATGGTTTAAAGTTTTGATGAATTCGCATATGTGTGTTCAATGTTGACGAACGATTGAAGGCTTTTCCACATATGCGACAGCCGTGTGGCTTTTCCGATGTATGAATAATCTTGTGACGGCAAAGGGTGGACGCCTGCCGGAAGCCTTTTCCGCATATCTAACAGAGTTGATTATCAATTAGAAAGAGAAGCCGTTGAAATTCAATAGTGAGCTTACTTTACAGACAAATGGCCGAATACCAGTATGAACCGGCATGTGTCGCACTAAATTGTACTGAGCAGTGAAGATCTATTCGAGAGAAATAGAATTTCGTGATCTATGATAAAATTTAGAGAGTGAAATTGTATACTTTTCCACATTGTGTACAAGGATAAGTTTTTAATTTATCATTTTCATCACTGTTTGGTAAGGATTTTAATTTCTTACCAAGACCGCCACTACTAGAACATTCCCCTTCCTCTGCTTCATCGTCATCATCTTCATTGTCGTCGTCGTCGTCATCTTCAATCTCAATCTCGTGCTGTGCTGATGAAGCTTCCATATCAATATCATCGTCAGATGTCTGATCATTTTCTATTGTTACCGTTGGTGGCGCTACCGTTGTTGTAACTGTCGATAGTGAAGATATTTGATTTCGATGAATTTGCTCCCAGACTTGGTTGATTTTGTTGAGTAGAATCATTGGAGAATTTAACGGAATACTTCCCGTTGGATATTTGTTCGATGTTTGAGAAAGAAATGTCCAATACGGATGTGGAATTTTCTGGTTCAAAGTAGGAATAACTGGTCGACGTGCTAATGGTCTCTGCGGTTCGACTGCGAACCGTTTTAGAGGTAGGCCTGTTTGTAGACATTGAGTATTGATTGATGATTTCTGTTCAATCTTGTCACATGCTGTTGTTGTTGTAGTATCGATTAAATTCTGGATCGAGAATTTGAGTTCATTACTTTTTGTTTTCGCCATGATGATGATGATGATATTCCAAGAAGACAAGTACCCGAAAGAATGGCGTCTGTTTGTACTACACCTGTATCTTACTTCTCTGCGTAGTAGAGAGCTCTCTTCTGTAGGAGGAGGAAAGAAAAAGAATATTCATTGATTTTTGATTGGCGAATTTTCTTTTCTGCGACTATTTTCAGCTATGTTTTTTTTTCATCTTTTTATCCAATCAGTGCCGATGATGTCTAAAAATATACATATGAGCGATTCACTTGGCCGAAAGAGAGAAGAAAAAAGAGAAACACAGGATGATGCAAAGGCGAAAAAGCAACTTTTATGCTTTCTGCTGGCTTCATGCCTACTTGAACACTAATCTTACTCCAAACGGTATGCACAACAACATATTGACAGGTACCCTGGTGCGTTCGAAATGAGTCTTGTTCGATTTGTACCAGTTCAAGATACAACGAGTCGCAGTTTCCTTCGAGAATTCGACTTTTTCTTGAGAAAATTTCGAATAGGAAATAAAGATTCTTGAAAAACACTCTCATATCAACAAACACTCCAGCTAATGGTTGATTGCATTTGTAATTTGTTTAATATACCAGATGAATTTGAGTAGCTTATTTCGACTATTCGATTGTGTGAATTACTCTCGGTTACATCAGACTGACAACAAGAGACGAAACTGGATGATTTCCTCATTTATTGAAGTTATCTTCACGAACTTCGCTGATTACCGTACTCGAGCTTGATTTTGGTATGAAATGTCCAATGACTACTAACGCAATCTATCAGTGTAATTATAATATACTGTTCTGTTTATGTATTTATACTGTTTCAATATATCCGATCGATGAGTTTATTCCTCGAGAAAAAAAAACAAGCGATAAAATATAGTTCTAATAAAAAAAGCAAATAAAAAAGAGTTCCTTAAGAATAAAGTTATCTTGAGTGTTGATAGAGGAGTAAACTATACAAAAAAAGGCAAAGTCCGTTTGGTCGATTTCTAAAGGTTATATTTTTTTCTGATTTCATCACGTTTTCGCTGTCGTTCATCCAATTCAGCTTGCGTCAAGCGATCTTTAAGCAAAATAACTTTCGTTGAATCAATAGTTGGTGTTACCTCTTCGATTGGTTCCGGTCGATCTCCTAATTTAAGTGTAAATTCGACCGTTTTAACATCTTCGACAGGTGCTAAAGGTTGATCTGATTTCGCCGATGGATTCAACGCTCGTTTCAAGCGTGAACTCAATTTCTTCTGACGTTTTCGTTCTTTCTCTTGTTGAATTTTCGTTAACTCGTGATTCTGTTGACGTTGTTGGATTGAAACTGTACATCGTTGTCCCGCTAACGCGCACGCCAAAAGAACACCCAAAATAACGACTAATACAATGATTAACAGAGTACCAAGCAGTGTATACCATTCCATTGCTTCGTATTTATGCGTGTATATGCGCTATTGAATATGTAGAATGATGAATGGGGTGACTGCTTCGTGTGTATGAGTAGTAGTTACAAGAAGCAGATGGGCGGATGAAAAAGAAAAGACGAACGAGCGAAAAAAAGACGAAGAACAGAACAACGAAAAGTGTCCTACAACGGTTTATGTTGACTGACTAATCGTTGAGAGTATAGGAGGCGCATATTTCGATGACTCAACGATGAGTAGTAAAATTTCATATTACTTTTCTCTGCCTTTTATAGTCAACACTAACTGATAGTTCTTTTCTTCTTTTGATCAATCCTTCAATGTTCCGTGTATTATCATTTTCTCTTGAATTTATATTTTAGTTTCTTTTTGAAGAAAAAAAACCACTCGATTGAATAAAAAAGAAAAGAGAAGAAGTGTCTATTTGAATATAACCAAAGACATCATCGCTGCAATGCATTGAACAATATTAGAAGTCATCAAAGCATCGACATTCTCTTCTAAATGTCGTTTGGGATCTTGTTTACCAACATTTCGAATCGCTAATTGCTCAGGTGTCATTTTTTCTTCTTCTTCCAACGATTTAATGTAATTTTTCGATAAATCAAGCATTTGCTTCACAACGCTGGTGTTTTGCTCACTATGTTGATTGAAGTCTTGAATGGTCAAACCATCCATCCAGGATTTCTTATGTAAGTTTAACAACATCTTCTGTTCCAATTCATTCTTACGATAATTTATACTAATGGAATAATAATGTCGGTTGAGACCATGAATTAGAGCTTGAATTGATGGTTTTGTCAAATGACCTAAATTCGAAGTTGTTTGTCGAGCTTCTTGGCCAAGAACGAACACATTCGGATTGATTAAACGAAACGCATCAATGACAACTTTGCCTTTGACACTTTGAACAGGATCAACTACAACAGCCTAAATAGACGACAAAACATTTGTGCAAATTCGACATGAAAAGATCCAAAACCAATCACATACCACAGTACGTTCAGTTAACGCTTCGAAACTTTGTTGTGTGTTTATATCTACACCTGATAACCAACATCCAAAACCAGGATGTGAGTGGTACCATCCAACGACCATCTCAGGTCGACCCGTTTGCTTTAACATATCCAACATTTTAGCTTGAAAGACAGGATCAACAGCTTCAACACTAACACCCGTGCCTGACTGCGGCATGGCAAAAACATCGATCACACGAACGGTATAATCATCAACGAATTCTCCTAACATCAGCCTAAATAAATTTCAAATGAGTAAAACCATTATCTAAGGGTATTGCTTACCCCATGACTTCCATTGGTACACCAGCACGGCCATGTTTTAACATTTTAAGTAATGACAATGATGAAATATAAACTTGTTCAGCAGTATCGACCATCGGTGTATCGCTAGCAGGGGCACCGCCTTGCATATCACGGGTTAATTGTCCCAAACCCATATTACGCATGAAACGCTCCATCTTGAAATTGAACTGTTAAGAATAAGAATAAGAAATCAAATGACTTTTCTAATAACGCAAGCGGCCATTACGATGAGCCTTGTTCCTTATTCGTTAGATTTTCTAACCAATAGAATAAAAGACAACTATCGATCGAAAACTTTCATTTATTTCATGATTCTAAACAAAAAATGTTTCAAAAGTGAAGAAAAAATTTGTATCGATCCATGATGAACTTATAACTCATGTTTTCGCTCTTGTTGGTCTCTCCATGCCGCTTTCAGTTCTTCAATAGTTCGATTGAGTTTCTCAATTAGAGTTAGAGACTTTTTATCGTTTAAGTCTAACTGTTTCATCTCTTTCTGCAACTGCAGAAACCGATTCAATTGATCCGTTTGATTTTGTTCTTTCAACCAATTCTGAAAGTCATTTAAATCCGCGGCACGATGACCTGTCTCATTGTTGTTATGATCGTGAACATGCTCATCTCCTCCATGCAATTGTGCATCGAGAAATTCGATTGATGGTTGAATTAAAGGGCGTTTTGCTGTTTCAATTGCAGATGCATTATCATCATCATGCGAATGTGGATGGGCATCGATGAGATCGAGCGACGGACCAACTTCGTGTGTTTCATTCTCATTGGAAATTGATTTTTTGTCATCGGTCTCTCTTGACTGGTTTTGAGAGTCTGTTTCGCTCTCGTATGGAACGAAACCTCCTGAAAGCAACACATGAATCTAAAAGAATCAACATGAGAGAATTACTGTCTCACCTGCTAACGGTATACGTGCAGGGTTGATAGCACTTATGAGAACGGTGGTGAAAATGACTGGAATGAAATAGTTATTTCGTTGCATTGTTCTTTTCGGTAGTGTGTTAGTATAATGTTTTGTTGATATGGAATGATTCTTTGTTTAATAACAAATGGTGGCATCAGCTGCGTACCACGATGGCCTTCGCTTGCCACGTCGACAGATTCATCGCAAATTTCGAATGGAACGGTGCGTTGTGAAATAATTCTCGATGTACAATATTTATGACTGACTGTATGTTTATTTGAAAATTAGCAAAAACAAACATTTACGAAAAATGGCAGCTTCGAGATTAAATTCAGAATCGATTGGATTTGATAATATCGATCGGCTTTCGGTTATCGTAGATCGACGGTGCTAAACAAAAAGAAAATCGTATAGATAGAAATGAATATTTTCGTTTCGTACCTTGTAGAATAATTCCGCATGTGCCCGCAATACAAGCTGTTGTAAAGATATAGAGAAAAAGACGATCGATGACCAAGGCCACATATTTCCATTCTTCTTTAATCTATTCCGAATTCAAACTGAAAAACGAGTCAATATTCGTGAGATCGCTTACTTTTTTCTCTTCATCTTCTTCTCTCATATGTGCTGCAATGCATCTTAATCCATCGAATGCCTTTTTTATTTCATGTGGATACAGTGACAGTTCGTTTTTCGATTGTATAGATTCTCGGCATTCGGCGTCTTCTTCAATTCGTCCGATCATATCACGATTAAAATGATTTTCATTGAACACGTATGTATTGATTTGATAAGAACTGTTCTTCAGCAACGGTATTGAAAGGTTCGAAATCGTGTCTTTCTTTATTGAATTGGAATTGGGATGACACGACGCTGGATGCAGTGTCTTTGGCCGACGCATCCATAACAGTTTTGGTAAAACTTGTAGGAAGACTCGTCGTACCCATGGTGGCATTCGATGAGTTAATGGCGAACGGAAATGGATGTTAAGTACAACAACAGTGACAACAATCGATAATGTTACTAATATCATCGTAAATAAAAGATATTTGCCAACTAATGGCACAACAAGCGATGTTGGAGGAATTAATTCAGCTAACAGCAAAAAGAAGACAGTTAAAGATAGTAATATGGATATACATAATGCCACCTTTTCGCCCGAATCAGACGGTAAATAGAAGGTGAGAACGGTTAAGAACGAAATTCCAACACACGGTATTATCAAATTCACCGTGTAGAACAAAGTCTTTCGACGAATGGTTATTGAAAATGTTATATCTGGATATGTTTGAGGGCAACAGGTATATTTACGTATGTTTCGTTGTGCTGGAACTTGCATAATGTCCCATTCCACAGAACGATAGAAGTCCGTTAGATCAATCGCATATGCTACACCTATGATTTGAAATAACATGAATTTCTCATGATGAAACAACAAAATGATGGAAATGAGTTACTATTGTCTCCATAAACAGGCATGGATCCATTTGTTTGATTGATATGCACAAGATCAACTTGTTCACCTGAATATGTCCATGAGCCAAATTTCATTTGACAATGTTGAATATCTGAATAGAGAAGAACGTGAGAAATGTATGTTGATCTTCGATAAGAAACAAACCAAAAGGAAAGAATTCAACGTTTATTGTACAACTTGATTTGTATATTGCTGGTGGCTAAGAAATTTCGGATTAACATTGTTATCAACACTATCTTCATCCTACCTCCCAAATAACACGACCATCATAGTAAACTGTTGCCTTTGTCATCAATGTTACTTCGTAGTTTCCATCCGCACTGCAATTAAGACGAAAGTACATAATCAGACTGTTTATATCGAACACAGTTCGCTCATGCACAACTATTAACTTATACAACAGGAATTAAACAATTCGTTCGTTGTACAAACTAACAAATAAAGGAAAATAATGAAACACGACACTAGACAGATGACGGTTTTGTGTTGAAACAAAGATCTAAATGAGTGCACGATTAACAACGTCGAGTTGTTTACTTATTGTATAAAACGATATCGGGTAACCAAATTTGTTGACTTGGAATATAGAGAACATCGACCCCTCCATACTCACGCGGATCCCATCGAAGTTTATCATCATACCATTCCTACTCATTGTTTCATTGCACCAGTTCTCCTCGAGATTTCTATTCCGTACCTGTTTTAACCAAACATTCGAAGTCATAATTTGATTTTTCTCATCCTTTAGAAAAAAAAAATAAACGGACGGTACTCATTAATCAAAACTAATAACATACCACATCAAGTAATTGCGTTAACCGCAGTCCCAGATAGACTGTTAATTTCTCACTATTATTCTTAACCGGACGAATCAATCGATTATACGAACGTACAGTAATCAACTCTTCATACAATCTTTTCGCTTCCGGATTGGCGTGTGTCACTAAAAGGTTCATCTTGATCAACTTAACTTTTTTTGACAAACTTACCAGGAAGAAAACAGAAGATCAATACAATAATGACATTCATTTTCATACATTGACCAACTAATCTTGAAATCTCATCTAAACACAAAATCATCGATAAATTTCTGTTCTATAATAACATTGCAAACAGAGATAGATAGATAGATAATATCAACTATAAAGCATAAGGAGAACAGACATGCATCTATTACTGGAAAAATATGTTTCTCTTTCGATGCGTGTAAATTAGATGATAATTATACGAGAAGAGATAAATTCCATTAACAGTCGTTACTTAAAAACAGTTAGAGTAACTCACACTGATTTCTGATCACATTCAATCTAATTGAATTGAAATTGTGAGAAGAAGAAGTTAATTGTAATAGAGTTTTGTCTTTTCTTTTTGATAATGATCATTTTGTCTGAGTATGAGATTTCGCCTTTTTTACGAGAGAGAGAGAGAATAGACTGACATACAGATGTATATATCTTGAGATATAATTATATTAGAAACGAGGCGAATGGTTTTGCTACTCGTTGTTAAATGAGAGTATGCATGCGTACACGATCGGAATAGATTAAATCAATGCGTTCGCCTTTTTCAATGACTTCTTGAGTTTATCGAACTCTACAGTACATTCAAGTTTTGACAACCACAAAAAGAAAAATCTGAAATCAGATCAACTGTCTTGCTACATTCAAACAAAAGATAGAAAAAAGAATATCTCGAAGACTCTCCTACTTTAACTAACTATGATTTGATTGATTAAGCTATATTTGTCTATGTGATTAATATTTATAAAAGATGTAACCTTAGGGATATAAGATACTCTTGGGATAACATTTTCAGGTTAGTTTGATTGTAACAAGATCTATGTTATCATCTTTGCCTTGGTGTCTACTGAAGAATAATAAGAAGAGAAGAAGAGAAAAGAAAGATGAAGAATAACATTGATGACATCAATTCCACTAAAGTTTCCTCGTTCTTTCTCTTTTCTCTTTTCTCGATGGTCTTTTGTTTTATCTAAACAAGTCTTTTTTCTATTCATTTCTTGTCATTCTATTGCCTTTCGAAGACAATCATCATTCAATTAGAATCTTCTAGTTCGACTGCATCTCATATCTAATCTTATGTTAACTTCATGTCATCATCGTATTTATTCATTATTCTATTACTGGTCAACAGAAATGGTAGATTAGATTATTAAAAACCAATTGTCATTAAATTTTCTGTTTGTCTAAGGTGTTCGCAGTTCGGATTATGAAGAGCAATTATTCAAAGAATTATTTCAAGATTACAATCCACTGATACGACCTGTTCAACGACTCGATGATACAGTTACTGTTTCATTTAGTATCGCCCTTCTACAGTTGATCAGCGTAGTCGAAAAGGAACAAGTGTTGAAGACGAATGTTTGGTTACAAGTCGTACGTAGAAAAGGAAAGAAATGACGGATATGAGGCGTGCTTTTCTTCTAGAAATGGCATGATTATCAAATGAAATGGAAACGAGAAAAATACGGAGGAATTCAATCGATACGTGTTCCTCCAAGTCAAGTTTGGACACCAGACGTAAGTCATCTTCATCAAAAAGATAATCGTGATCGAATTTATGAACATAGATTGTTCTATTCAATAATGCCGATGGAAGATATGAAGCATCATTCAAATCGAATGTCGTTGTTTATTATAACGGAGATATGAATTGGGTCCCGCCTGCAATTTATAAGTCCAGTTGTCATATTGATGTCAAATTTTTTCCGTTTGGTAAAACGAGTAATTGTTTGCCTTTTGCCTAATGTCGATGTTTAGATGAACAAGACTGCGAATTACGGTTCGGATCGTGGACATACGATCAACATCAACTGAATTTTACATATTACAATGAAATTGAACGGCATGTAACGATAAAAGACTATGTTGTTAGTGGTTCATGGGATTTAATGGACGGACCAATGACGATTCATCATCCATCGAATACAACACGAAACTCGATCGAAAAAAGTTACCGAAGTGATCGAGTAGAATTCGTTTGTAAACTTTCTATTCGACGTAAAACACTTTTTTATACTGTTAATTTGATAATACCCACGGTAACGTCGAAATTCATCGAAGTAAAAAACCCAAATGTTGATCTTATTGCATTTAGGTGCTCATCTCGTTTTTATCAATCTTTGTTTTTTATCTTCCAACAGATGCTGGTGAAAAAATGACCTTATCAATATCGATTCTTCTAGCATTAGTTGTGTTTCTCTTACTAATATCGAAAATTTTACCACCTACATCAACAGTTATACCGTTAATTGCCAAATATCTTCTATTTACGTTCATTATGAATATAATAACAATCTTCTGTACGGTCGTCATTATTAATTATAATTATCGAACACCACGCACGAGCAAAATGCCTCATTGGATGCGACGATTGTTTATTGATATATTACCACGAATACTTCGAATGGAAAGGCCAAATAAATATGAAAGAGAAAATGAAGAAGAAAGACCGGAAGAAACAAGAATGAATTGTATACGTGCGTCGCGTGTTATCTCTCTCGTAACCGCAATTAGCAATGGTGATCAATCATTAACAACGACAACTGACGAGGAAAGTTCAGTGGATTCATTTTTAACGAAAGAAATCTACGATGCAGTCGAAGATCTCAGTTTTATCGCTGATCAGATGAGATCAGCTTGTCATTATGAAGAAGTATTTCGAAAACAATAACTTCTCGCTTTGTCAGATATCTTGATTTCTTCTGTTTAGATACGTGATGATTGGAAATATATTGCATCTGTGATCGATCGACTACAATTGTATATATTTTTCGCAGTCACTTTCATCGGAACGTGTTTCATTCTCTTCAGTGCACCTTATGTTCTAACAGTAGTCGATCAAACTGCAATACTTAAAAAATGGGATCCAACATTCGGAAATACCAGTTAGAAAAAAAAACGAAATTCTTGTTTTCTTTTTTGGTGCTGAGATAATAATTCTGTAATAAATAAAATAATCTTACTTACCAGATTTGATCATCGTTGTTGTTGACGATGAGGATCTTTTTTTACATTAATGAACTCATCGATTGTAGTACTTCGTCGTCTTTCCTCTTTCTTAGACTAATTGCTTATCTAATTGAATTATTCTCGTTTCTCTCATAAAATTATCATTGCTCGCTCTCTTCAATCATGCAAATATTAATATCACTGATCGTTGTCGTCGATAAACACATACACACATGAAAAAGTTCTCGTGGATTCCCTGCGTGCATGTTCATCAAGTTATCTTTGTCGAACGAATGTCTTTTTTTCTTCTTCTTCTTCTTCGTCTCCTTCTGAAACGCTACCATTTATTTGATCAATATGTTTAGACATGTTAGAGACAATGATGATGATAATAAAGTTGCTGCGCATGCTAATTCGAACGAAAGGATGAACCATGAAATTCTTTAGATCGCATCACGTAAGATAATCATCGAAATGTTAGAAAAGAAAGAAAAAGATGAAGAAGGAGCGTGATTATTTCTCTTCGTAGCTTCCTTTTGGCTACCGAATGCCCTCGTAGTTCAATTATTGGTTAATCAATGTTTTCTCAAGTCTATTCAGTTCTTTTATTAAATTCCATATTCTTGGCAATTATAGGTAGATTAAAAGACTTCTCAGAATGACAGTCATTACCTATTCACACTTTTCAGGAATTAATGTTCAAGAAGAAAATCTAATGAACATGCTCTTTGGAAAAGATTCACAATATAACGCCTTGATAACTCCGATTGCGAACGCAAGTGAACCGTTGATGATCTATTTTGGCTTAACATTGGCTCAGATCATAAATGTTTATGAGAAAGAGCAAATCGTCAAAGTCAATGTATGGCTACAACTTCGCTGGTATGATTATCAAATGCGATGGAATCCCGATCGATTTGGTTTGTTGAGAATTCGATTGATAGAATGATGACTAAGAGTCGAGATTGTTCAGGTCATTTAGAAAGCATTCGTGTACCACCCGAGAAGGTTTGGACGCCGGATCTGGTACTGTTTAAGTAAATATCTCACGAGTGGTTTCCAATAATAAGATTATTTTTTGTTTATTCATTTAGTAATGCGGATGGTAAGAGATTAGATCGACTGATCATCGAAATGATTAGAGTTTCTAGGTAATTATGATGTGAGTTATCGAGCTAATGCAGTCATCTCATCGGAAGGTAAAATTCTCTGGATTCCAATTGCGATCTTTAAATTAACTTGTGTAAGTTTTGTGATTGAATGCGAAGAAAACATCTAGTTTGTATTCTATTAAATTAGACTATCAACGTGGAATATTTTCCTTTCGGTATATTGATTTGTCGACAACTCAATCGCTTTGATTATTGTCAGTATTTATTTAGACCAACAAACATGTGAGCTCCGATTTGGTTCGAGTGGACTCAGTGCCTCACAAGTTCGATTCGGTTGGTTTGATATGCAATTGATATCAAGAGACACTAGTTTCCTTTCTTTTAGGTTGGTATGCAACTGAGAATTCAATGGAATTATCCGATTATGTCACATCGGGCACTTGGACATTGCTCAGTGCTCCTGCTGAAATCCGCATTGTGAAATCGCCTGACCCACCCTATGATTCTCGTACTGAAATGGTATTTTTTATGGGTAAGTTCATCGCTTATCTTCTCTACTCATATCAATGTTTTTTCTCTCTCGTTTACGAAGTTATTCAACGTCGTCCTTTATTCTACACAATCAATCTGATAGTTCCAACAATGATGATATCTCTATTAACTGTCACGTTGTTCTGTTTACCGAGTGATGCAGCAGAGAAAATGGCACTCTGTACGTCGATTCTCGTCGCTCTAGTCTTTTTCATGTTGCTCATCTCTCGAATTCTTCCATCGACATCACTCAGTATCCCAATAATATCGAAATATCTGATGTTTACATTCATCATGAATCTTCTCACGGTATGTTTATCCGTTCTTTCTCTATACTTGAATCATCATCGTGTACTGATGCACACACCTGTTCCCTATTGGGCAAGAATCGTCTTCCTACATACCTTACCAACCTGTCTATTCTTACATAAGCCACATGATTTTCATTCCGTTGATAAACGACGAGAACCACTAATGAGTTCACCATTGATATTACGAAAAATCAAGACAAAAAGGAAAAAATTGCCAAAGGAAATGAATTATCTAATTGAACAGTTTCTCGAAAGATCCAATGACATTAAATATATTTCACAAAAGATCGCGGCGAGCACAGAAGAAATGCAAGTAAGAGAATTCATTGTCTTCGAAATTGATTTTCTGTTCTTTGTCAAAGATTTTCAATGACTGGAAATACATTTCACTCGTCATCGATCGTATTCAACTATTTATTTTTCTCATCGTTACATTCATCGGCACAGTTGGCCTCTTCGTTCAAATCCCGAAATTATTCGAATCACAACGCGACGCTATTTGATCGTGATGTCATATTTTCTTAAGAACATAATAAATATTTGGTTTCATTATTGAATTTTCATCAAAGACTAATAAAGCATATTTCTTAAGTTTCTTTTTCTTTTTCTTCGGGAGATTATCATGACAACGATATTTCAAGCATTGTAAATCGAACAGAGAAAGAACAAAAGTGTAACCCTATCAGTCATTCGTATCTCTTGGAGACAAAGAGAAACAAAAACTACAATCGATTTCTTTCCTTCCGTTACAGAAAACAATCGACAAATTACACATGTTCGTCATTGAAATTTTCTCTGTTTTCAACAAGTTCTTCACTTGATTTTATTACATCTTGTTTCGCGTATGTTGCTCTCTTTTCTGTTGTTTAGTTTTGCGACAATAACAAGTCAAAAATGGTCTCAATGGCAATTCTTGATCAATCACTAGGCGATCTACGTCGGGAAATAACGGATTTGAAACAGATTGACCGTGTGGAAGACTATGATACGAAAAGATTGAGTTCGATCATAAATCTCTCAAGAGAATCGTTGAAGGAAACGGAGAAATTCCAACAACAGATTCTCAATCAATTGCAACAATTCGAAATCTCATTAGCGGATATTAATGATATTCTGCGAGCGAATGTACAACGTAAAATACAACTTGAACAGCAACAGAAACAACAATCAGGTAGATATGCTTTTGTGAATTCACCTATATCCAATGAGGTTTCAAGGTGATGATCTGGAAATACGAGCGAAACTCATGGCCTTGAATGCTGAAACATTGGAATGTCGTGCAGCAGCAATTCAACTTCAACAAGAAGCAAGGAGAGTATTGAGTAGAGCGGCTGAAATTGATAAACTTGCCAATGATGAGCTGACACAACAAGCATTGGAGAGAAAAATGAAACAGCAGGAAATCGAACGAAACCGTGCTGCAGAACTAGAAAGACGAGTGAAATTAGAAGAAGAGCGAAAGCGACTTAAAGTTAGAAGATGAAAAATAAGAATCTTTGTTTTTTGAAGATCACTTGTCTTTTCTTTCAGGAATTACAACAGCAGCAAGAATCTATATTAGCCATGGTGAATAAACCGATAGTTGAAAATGAATATGCCAATTGGTCTATTCGTGAGTGAGTATTTCGTAGGATTTCAAATAGCGGTCTTTATTCTAACTATAACATTAAGATTTATGCACGCTGATGAAAGTCCACCTTGTATCATTCGAACTTCACCAGAGAACTGCTCAATACCGATCGATGTAACATACGTGCCTGTGTCCGAAACTGAATATCTTCTCGATAAACAAGAAGAATTGATTAGCACACCACTGAGAGTTAAGTTCAATTCGATAGTATATTCTTTCATTGATCCCCGTTTCTTGAAATTAATTCTCTTTGAAACTTAGACATCGAATCAACCGTTTATCCTCGTGGCTATCCCATACATTATCAAACGATCACCCCATCGTGAAAATGTCATTAAGATCCGTCAGTCCAATGGTTTATGGATATCGATTGATACAAATGAACCTCAATTTGATTCGCATAAGGTCAGAAAGGAAAAGCACGATGATTTTTAGAACGTAGGGTTTTCTTTCGTAGGAAAAGCACTTTGTGGAATGTAGACTGATTAAACCTGTGGCATGCGCAGTAGTCTCACGTTTGAAGCGCGACCGAGTTCTGATTAGAACTCATTCATCAGGTCGATATTCATCTACTGCTGATGCGCGTTTTACATTTGAATGGCCAAAACATGTCTCCGAAAATAATATTCATCTTCAAACTTGCATTCAACCTGTTGACATACCTGCATTTGCACAATTCTGTGAACAATACAAACATGAGTGTCGAGGTCTGTTAGCGGTGGGTCCAATTATCGAACTTACATCCGTTGATGCGTCATTGATCAAACCAATTCAATTCACACTGCCCATCTTAGTTCAGCCTAAAAAGAAAGCTGTTCAACCAAAAGTTGTCGAGCCGGCAACAACAGATTCAGGAACCATTTCTCATGAATTACAACAAGAGTTTATCATTCAGCAACAGCAATTGATTTTTAAGAGTATGCTTGGCGAAGGTAAGTCTCTTGTTTTCGTCTCAACAAAGACGTTCTTCTTCTGAAATAGACCTGAGCAACGAACGACTTGTTTTACTGTATTCGAATTCAAATTCAAACGAAAATCTTTGGACTATTGATACCGATCTTCGTGTTGTTGCTGGCAAAGTTCCTGACGTAGTTACTGTTGATATGCAGTCGCTTCATACACGAATGATTGTCGCTCGATATGATAAACAATTGATGTCAGCGAAGCAATTACAAACTGCAGTCTACCTATTCGAACAAACATTGAATCAGCGTACAGCTACGCTGATGCTTCGTCATCGTTCATCGAATCCGAATGAAATCTGTCTAGTGTGTTGTTCAAGTCAACGAAGAGGAATGGTCACTGATGAGATTCAACAAGAAAATTATTCAAATCGTGATGAACAAATCAAAGAAATTACCCTTCAAGAAGGTCAATTGTTAGAATTGCGTTTTCGTGGAAATGTTTTGCCCACTAACCATGTTCAGCAAACCATTCCATTTGCATTTAATACGAATTTTCCGTTCTATTTCGAAACAAATGTATCCGAAAGAGACAAGTATTCTCAGCATTTATCAACATATTTTTATGGACATATACAAATCTATTCGAAACAAAAAGCGTCGAGATCGTCAATGAAAGAGATCGAAAAGAAGAAGCAGCAGCTATCTGTCGATATGATTAAACAAGATTGGCCAGAAACAGATACTTGTCTAACAGAAATACTTTTGAGTTTACCAAAACCACCGGAGACAGTTCGAACACCAATTGAAAAGGCATTAACAACATTTTCTGGCGAAGGTACACAACCGTATTTTTTCCATGAAAAAATCATTGAATCTATCTACTATTTCAGGTATTTTAACATCCGCACTCTTTCGTGACATGTCGGCGAACTTAGCGGATGGCGAATGGCGTCGGTTAGCGAATTGCTTAGGCATGACTCGTATGCGTATTGAAGCCATTGAGCGCGATTATCGTTACGATGCACCATATTACATGTTATTAACATGGTTTAAACGTGTTTCACGTTCGTCGGATAAGGTATCCGCGTTAACCCACGCATTGGTGAACATAAAACGTTGGGATTTAGCACAAGAATTACAAACAATCAAAAATACGAAACGTTTAGATCAGAATGCTTTGTCTAAAGACGGTACTTAGGAAAAAAAAACACAAATCGATAAACAAAACCAGACGTATTTACTTTATGTTTAGAGCAATTGAAGATGTGCCGAGCTTTCTTCAATCGTATTTGTCAGCGCGAGGAATGTGTACGAATTTGGAAACAATTAGCAAGAGAACTAGCACTAACGAATGATGATATCATACAAATTGAACGATCGTATCCGTCGAAACACGAACGATGTTTACGATGCTTAGAACAGTGGGCTTCCAATCAAACAAGAATAGATATTTTGTTTTTAGCGAAAGTTATTCGAATGCTTGGCTTTAAGCCTCTTGCTCGTATGTATAAACTATTTTGATCTGAAAGTAATTTCATTTGGGAGCTTGATTCTTTTCAGGTGAAATCGAAAGTATGGCTTAGTTTGAAGATATTTGTTCATATTGGAAATAAAAAAATATTACTCAGACAAATGATTTTGTACTTTCTTTTGCAAATAAAACTTTTTTCTATAAATTATATTGATAGTCGTAAAAATCCGAGACTAACAACATGAAAGATTAAGCTAATGTTCATCAAAGAATACATACTTTCGATCCACAGATATTTGAACAACATTTTTGTCTACCAGGGCAATCATAATCAACATCACAATCGTGTTCGTTGCATACATACCATTGAGGATCACTGGTTTTAATAGTTGGACAACGGCCTCGCTTTGGAATATTATCTTTCGGTTTGGTACAATGATATCCACACGATTGTGTATAACTGTAGCAGCACTTTAGACCGTTAGCACACTGATCATGCACTGTTGAACATGTCGCTGTACAATTCTGTTGTTGATGAATGAATCCATGACGAGGACAAACTTTCTCCATGTTGACACATGAGACTATGATCAGTACTGCTACAGCTGCCGTGTAATTTCGTATCATACTTGCCATGAGCAGATCGAGTACAAAAAAAGAAACGGAATTGTGTTTTGAGAGAATACATAAATAATAAATCCTACACTTGACAATATGAAAATTTCTGCTTTTCATCGACTTATTTGATTAACAAATGACGAAATCTTTTACTATGTGACATTCAAATATGAGTATCGTGATTTATTTTCATATTAGGAAAAAGAAAAAGTAAACATGCAAAATTATAAAAAATAAATCCAACAAGCACAGAAATTTGTATCGAAACACGAACAACAATGTGCAGGAATTATAGTATTAGCACTACTACTGTTAACTATGCATTAGGATAGATCAACACTTGTTGATAAACTTTATTCGAATATTGTTTGGCTAAATGAAAATAAAATTTGTAATTAGAAATGAATATTGTACAAATTAAAAGGACATACAAACGAAACAAATGTTTGCGTTAAACTCACTCATCGTTCATGGTTACAGATCTTGACAACAAAAGTATTATACACACGTGTATGTGTTAGTCTCACATAAATGATTAAAATTTTTACCAGAAAAATAACGATTTGTCGGTTGTTTATCATCAGCAAGCATTGATTGCAGATTATATGCCTATACATGAATATAAATAGCGCTGTCATTAGGAAATTTTCGTCTGAATTGAATACTTTTTGTCGACTTCTGCTGTATCCCTTGAGATCATACGAGGATCTTAAATCATCATCAAGTGGATTCAGTGGTTTTGAAAAGAACTTCCGTTCGTCATCTCTTTCAGTCTTTTCTCTATTAACGTCATGCTCTGCTCGCTTTGAATTGGATGAATGCGGTTGAGAATATGATTTTAGAATGCCCTGAAATCAGAATCAATAGCAAACATATGAGAAAATTAGAACGTCTTTCTTTTTATAGACCTTGACATTGGATTGAGTATTTACTTCACGTTTTGCTGATTTTACCGCTGCATAACGTGTAGGTATAACATTATTATTACTATTATTTGTATTTATCGATATTCGTAAGTCATCACGATCCTTGAAGAACAAATTTATACATCGAAGGAAAAGTTCGATTGACTCTACTTACTAATTTATGAATCGAATCTCCGGCCGTCTTATAACGAGGTACAGACGTAGATCGGATTCCTATCAGGTAGAAGAACTATGAAAAAGTATTTTATTCAATGTCAGTTTCATTACTCGGCGAATGATCATTTGTGTTTTCGTCTGCAAAATCAAAGCTTTAATCTGAGAAAGACAACATTTTCGAATTACTTTGACGAGCTTGTTGCAATCGATATTCCTAGATAATATAAGTGTAATACAAAAGGAAATAGGTACACTTGCGCTTACTCTAGTTTTCGTCGGAGGAACATCATTTTTATTGTTTAAACGCCATGATTCATCTTTCGACGACGAAAGTTGACGTGATAACATTCCTAAGCAACAAAAATACATTTCAAATCCTAATGAACATCTTGAAAATCGATTACCATCATCAATTGATGGAATTATATTCGTATAAGATAAAATGTATTTTTCCGATGAACGTATATTTGCTACTAACTCCGTTAATTGCTATTAAATAATCTTTTTTAAATGAGAAAATCTTTGTTTGAAAGATACATCTTACCTTACTAACAAGTGTTATGTAATTATCCGTTGTCGTCGTCTGTTCTCGTAATACTGGCAAGATACTTTCAACCCGATTCTGCTCATTTAGCGAATAAATAAGACAATTCCATTGCAGCAATGATGTAAACTCGTGCAATAAAGACTAGAAAAGATATTTCATAGTAAATCATCGTTCGGAAAACAACAAACCTGATGCTGTAGTAAAGTTGACAATTCATCTTGTAATTGAACAGCTACATAGAAAATATTTGTATAAACATCAATCATTCGAATAAGAAGTACAACTTACCTAATTTATCTTCATACAACACTCGATCAATGTCAGTCTGGAATAGAGTATTACAAGACGAAATTATCTTCTCGATATGACTTACGCGAATTGATTGATCAGTTGCATCGAGTTCTGTTCCTTTGTTCAATATTTGTAATAAATTAATTAAAGTTAAACGTCGTTTGAGAAATGTTATCTATGCATATGGTTAATCATGTTTCAAGAAAAACATCTTTGTTCATGACAAAACCTGATTGGATTCAGTTGACAGTTGAATCAATTGTTTCTGCAGCTCTGCTAACTTTGCTTCCCAGATTGGTTTACACTTTTCTATTTGTTCGGTTATTTTTCGACAATGATTGGCAAATAGTGATTGACTAGAAATGTTCAAAATAGACATTGTCAACATCGATCATTACCGAACGCACTTTGTTTTGAAAAAACAATTTCCATTAGATAATTGATCAGTTAAACGTTCATAAAATGATTGAAGATGATAAACTAATTCAATATATCGTTTAGTCGCTCGTGTTGATTTGATTGTTGTTTCGTACTAACGAGAATTTTTATCAAAATCAATCTATCAGTTATAGGAAAAAAAGACATATTTCTTACACGATCATATTCTACATGTTGATTTTCATGTTTAGTTAACATTGTGGGTATTCGTCGATTTACGGTTGCTAAAGAAAGAATCTCTTTTGCTTCAATTCATTTTCTCATTTGCTATTTACTTGTTTGTAGACTGGATGAATGAAAAGAATTACTCTAAACAAGATAGCATTGTGATTTGAATAGAACAATAACAAAATTGAGACTTACTTCCGTTAGTTTAGTAGGGAATTTGCTTGATGAATCATCAATTCGTTGATCCCTGGAAGGAGAAGAGAATGTCTATCAGATAATACAATGTTTAGAAAAGAAAAAACAACTTTTGTAACATTCGACTTTGCCAGGTGTTGATGACTGTTTTCCTCTTTCTTTCTTTTGTCTTTCTATTCCTGTCTATGCACGTGATTCGATGTACTGGCGACTATTATACATATATGTTTAGTACATATGTATATAGGTTGTTCTCTGCCGTCGGATGACATTCACTTTCTCTTCGTGTCTTCGACACTTCTTCTTGTTTTTCTCTCTCGTGTGTTGTGATCATTCTCGATTCAATAAAGATATTGAATCTACATTCTTCTTGCATCACCGACACTAACAATTGGCGACGAGGTATTTCTCCTGTACTTCTCCGACTCACGGTCTTCTTGCTGCGATCTATTCCAATCGTTTTGCTTTTCTCACGGTCGCTTGGTTATCTTCCTTCGAACTGTTTCAATTTCAATCGTTGCTATGTCCACTGCTGACAAATCGAAGTCTACGAAGATATTGTCTTCAATTCCTGCTTTACATGCATTTGATCCTGAAACTACTACGTGGTCTTCATACCGTGATCGAATGACATTCTATTTCCAAGCTAACAATGTTACTCTTGATCCTGATCGTAAACCGTTGTTCTTATGGTCCATTGGGAATCATGTTTACACCTTGTTAGAATCTCTTGTTGCTCCTCGGCTTCTCACCGAACCTGACCTTACATATACATATTTAATCGAAATTTTAAATAAACATTATGATGATACAAAAAACATCATGACTTCTACATACAACTTCTTTAGTTGCTATCAGAAAAGTGGTCAAAGTTTCACGGAATGGAAAGCCGAACTTTATGAGAAGGCTCGACGTTGTGGATTCACCACATCTTGCTTAGCTACTAAACCAATCGATCGTGCCGTTCGAGATATGTACGTCATTGGAATCAAAAGTCAGAAAGTTCGTCAAGCGTTGTTAAAAGAAGAAGATCCGACGTTAGAAACAGCTGAAAAGCTTATTTTAGCAGCTGAGCGTTTGGAACAAGATGTTCGTCATTTTAGCCATCCATCAAAAGCCAACGATTGTTCTGTTGATAGAATTCAGAATCAGCCGTCCGATCGCACTCATCGCATACACCATTCCTTCCGTAAATCTCATGGTTCGAAACAATACAATCACCAAGGTCAACATGCTCGATCGAAATCACTTTCTACGGATACAGATCGTACGTTCAACCCATGTGAAACATGTGGTTCAAATAAACATATGCGTTCGTCCTGTAAATTCCGCGACTACATTTGCAACTATTGCACAAAAAAGGGACACCTAGAAAAAGTTTGCCGACGAAAACAAACTGAACAATTGTCGACCAAACATATTACGTCTGTTGCCAAACTGAACACATCCAATTCGAACACTTCTACAAGTCGATCGTTCGATTCTTCATCCATGCTTGGATTAGACGTTAATGGCAGTTTCATTACATTTGAGATCGATACAGGATCATCTCATACACTTATTAGTAAGTCCGATTGGCTTCGTATTCATTCACCTGCTCTTTCTTCTTCAACGCTACGCTTGAAATGCTACAGCGATACGTATCTTACGATTACAGGCGAATGTTCTGTCTCCGTTACATATGAAAATCAGGTTTATCGTCTGAATTTAATCGTTGTGCAAGACGCACATCCACCTCTTCTTGGCTTACAGTGGATTCGATCGTTACAGCTCGATTTAAATCGGCTTATTCATCAGACTGTACCGGACACACACACTCATATGGTTCATTCACCTGAACTCGATAATATTCTTCAGAAATATCGTCACGTGTTAAACCATAAATTAGGTCATTGTACGAAGATGAAGGCTCATATCGAATTGAGACCCAATGTTAGTCCCAAATTTTACAAACCACGGCCTCTTCCGTTCGCTTACCTCGATCGTATCAAAGAGGAAATTACACGGAAAGTTACCGCAGGTATCCTGGAACGTGTTGATAGTTCATTGTGGGCCGCACCAATCGTTCCTGTACAAAAACCTAATGGAGCCATTCGTATCTGTGGTGATTTTAAGGTTACTATCAATCCTCATACCATCGTTGATCAGCATCCCATTCCGTCGATTGATGAACTTCTTTCTCGATTACGACATGGTCAACACTTTACAAAATTGGATCTCTCTGACGCATACCTACAAGTAGAACTTGATGATTCCAGCAAAGACTTGGTTGTTATTAATACACCACTTGGTCTTTATAAGTACAATCGTATGCCCTTCGGTATCTCTGGAGCACCAGCTATCTTCCAACGATTGATCGACCAAATTATTCTGGATATTCCGCATTGTATTGCGTATCTCGACGATTTGTTAATTACCGGTCCTACCGAAGCTGCACATCTTCATACATTGGATCAAGTTTTAAAAAAACTTGCCGATTACGGGTTCACCTGCAATCCTGCTAAATGTGTCTTCTTTCAAGATTCGGTGTCATATTTAGGTTTCCGTATCGACAAACATGGCAAAACCCCTGATCCAACTCGCGTTGATGCCATTACACGTATGCCTCCACCGAAAAATGTGAAAGAATTGGAAGCATTTGTTGGTAAAATAAATTATTATCGACAATTCATCTCGAATTTCTCTGCAAAATGCAAAGTTTTCAATTTACTTCGAAAGAAAAATGCTCGTTGGAATTGGACCATGGAATGCCAAACCGCATTTACCAATCTATTAGATGAAATTTCTACAGCCACGACCTTAGTTCATTTCGATGATCAGTTACCGATTATTCTCGCCACTGATGCCTCGGATTACGGTATTGGCGCTGTTATTATGCATCGATATCCAAATGGTTTAGAAAAGCCGATCGCTTTTGCTTCGAAAACCCTCACCGATGTGGAAACGAAATATAGTCAAATTGAAAAAGAAGGGTTATCAATTATATTTGGTGTTAAGAAATTTCATCAGTATCTCGCAGGTCGTTCATTCGAATTAGTCACCGACCATCGACCTCTCTTATCGATTTTCAATCCTGCTAAAGGTATTCCAACTACTACGGCCAATCGCTTACAGCGTTGGGCGCTATTCTTGATGGGTTACACTTACGTTATTCATTTCAAACCAACTGCACACCATGCAAATGCAGATGCACTTTCCCGTTTACCACTTCAAGATGATCATTCATTCGTTGACACTGATTCTTTACATGTTAATTTTCTTCACCATGAACATAGTGAAGCCTGGCTTCTGACACCTTCAATCATAGCCAATGCTACTTCTAATGATCCCATTCTCAAACGTGTCAAACAATTCATACAATCATCCTGGCCTTCTTCCTTCTCCAAAAAACGAAATCCTGAACTAGTGCCGTATTTTACAAATCGTTTTTCGCTCTCGATGATGAATGATTGTATTATGAAACAGAATCAAGTTGTGATTCCGTCTCAATTACAGCAACAAGTTCTTCGTTTAATGCATAAAGATCATTTGGGTATTATTAAAATGAAACAAGTAGCTCGTGAATACTGCTGGTGGCCATCGATTAACCTCGATCTTAAACGACTTACTCAATCATGTGATTTATGTCGCAGATTTCAAGCTCTTCCAAAACCACAATTTCATCCATGGGATGAACCTCAAGAGAATTGGTCTCGCATTCATATCGATTTCGCTGGTCCTTTTTGGAATTCCAAATGGCTCATCATTGTCGATGCTAAATCCAAATATCCCTTTGTGATTGACATGCAGCATGATACTACCGCAAGTCACTTAATACAAGCACTTGAACAAGTGTTCGATTTTGTCGGCCCGCCAGCGACCTTGGTTTCTGATAACGGTCCACCCTTTACCAGTTTTCAGATGTCACAATTTTATGAAAAATATGGCATTTCTCATATCACCACCGCTCCTTATCATCCCGCCAGCAACGGTCTAGCCGAACGTTTTGTTCGAAGTTTCAAGGACGGTATGTCAAAACAACAACATTCGGGTTGTTCGAACAAATCTCTTGCTTTACGAAATGTCTTACGTTCTTATCGTTGGTCCCCACACACTTCCACCAATTCATCTCCAGCAAATTTATTCTTTCAACATTCGATTCGTACGGCCTTTGACGTGATGAAACCAGTTTCATCGGACAATTCGTCTTCGTGCGAACCAAAATTTTCTACTGGTCAATTGGTGTGGACATTCACGTATCAACACAATCGCCGTTCACAATGGAACACTGCAATTGTTGTTAAACCTCTTGGCTCGATGTTATATCATGTTCGCCTATCCAATGGTAACATATGCAAACGTCATCAGAACCAACTACGTCCATATTATTCTTCTGCCAATGTTCCTCCCACTTCTAGTTTAATCAGTGATTTAGCGTTGCCTGCATCGCAGACTACGTCATTGCCACCTGATCGTTCACCATCTTCTACATCACATTATCCCCAACGCATCCGGCATCCGCCTGATCGCTATTCACCCTCATAGTGATTTTCAGAGGGAAGGTGTTGATGACTGTTTTCCTCTTTCTTTCTTTTGTCTTTCTATTCCTGTCTATGCACGTGATTCGATGTACTGGCGACTATTATACATATATGTTTAGTACATATGTATATAGGTTGTTCTCTGCCGTCGGATGACATTCACTTTCTCTTCGTGTCTTCGACACTTCTTCTTGTTTTTCTCTCTCGTGTGTTGTGATCATTCTCGATTCAATAAAGATATTGAATCTACATTCTTCTTGCATCACCGACACTAACACCAGGCAAATAGTTCTTGTTCTGCTTGCTGTTTCACATTGTTGTTTCGGTTTATTGAAACTTGAGATGATGAATTATTCGATTCTCGATTGGGACCAAAAACTAGACGATCAATCGCAGCAAATTCATTGCCATCACGTTGCTTTGTTAATGCTGGCGAACGTAATTTCGATTCTCGATCAGATGATGCTAGTTTATCAGTTAGACATTCGTTATAATCTTTAATAGTTGTTCTCGAGATTGTTTGCTGATCAGCATTGCTGTTGTTGTTGTTTGTCGAGCGATTAACATCAAAGCCCCATGATCCTATGGTTGCTGACGATGACTGATGAGTAAAACTATTATTAACACTTAAAGATGAATGTGGTGACGATGTACGCGGATAGAACCACGGCTTTTCTTCGCCATCATTATCATCAGTCTCTTCCTCTTCGTCGTTCTCAATCAATCGATTTGCACTCGACATGTAAAATTTTCAGTTGTGAATATCTTTGAAAACTTCTAAATTTGTTTTAATGTTGCGTCGTCATCGCCGATAAAAAGAGTAAATTTTCATATTCAGAGAAGTAAAACAGACCGATTAGAGAAGAATGGCATTGACAGTAATGCAACTATCGATCGTATCGAATGGCAGAAAAAGAGAAAGAAAGGAGAAGAGAGAAGAGAGAATTTCAGTTCAATATTCGATTACACAAATTGACATAGACAAAGCAATAGTTGAAACAGTATGTTGTTCTTCATTCGTTTTTTTTTTTCGTTTTGTGCATACATTCGTTTTGTATGAGTAAGAATTTAACAAAAAAAGAAGAAGAAGAAGAAGAAAAAAATGAAACGAAATATAATTGACAGTCAATGTTCATTATCATCAATCGATTGCGTCTTTGTTTTCCTTCGATGAGAAAAATGTTCAATTCATCTGCAAATGCTCAGTTTGTTTTTCGATTACAAAAAACCTATCAACAGTCTAATTAAAAATGAAATTACGTCGAACGTATGAGCATTAGACACTCTTCTAAATCATCAATGTTGATAATTTGACTTCATCATCTTCAAGTAAATTTCAATATTGATCTATGATGTATTGACATTTGATTCTACTTACGAAGATTGTATCTAGTATTAGCTGTTCAATGTACTCGACCGAGTAATTGAACGGATTTATCAGAAAAACGTTCAATTCAATCATAACAAGTGCTTTGATCGTATTAACCCATTTCATTCTGCTCAAATACCTTCTTATTTCGGTTGAGTTCATTATAGGCAAAACGCGCATGCTTGTACTAGAGCCAAATGGCACTACTTCGTAGTAGTGCGCAAGTATAGTTGATGAACGAAAAGTTTTAATAGTGAGAGGATTGTTTGTCAATAGAAATGCTTGTTTTGATTTAATAACGTCTAATTGTATTGACAGTTCGAAATAATTGAATTCCAATGATGATAAAATGACACAGATTTGATACGAAGTTGTCTGATTAGTGACTAACCAATCCATTGACAAGGTTTATCTGAGAACAACTGTGTAGAGAAATCGTTTGTCAAAAAATAATTGTGATCTGGATTTATTAAATGAAACACAGTGAAAGATATAGACGTATAAACATCATTGATTTATGTAATTTTACAAAAAATAAACATGTCGCTGGATTGAATATCCAAATAAGAATAATGTTTTGTTTAATTTTTCGTCGATAATCTCGAAGAACCTTTACTTCTTGTCCTTCGTGTGGGAGGTGGAGGGGAAGGCGACGCGGATGATATGGATGCTGAACGTAAATGAGATTTTTCATTTGCTCGAGAACGAGTGGACATATTCGTTGTGTTTTTTCGTACTTTTTTGCTGCTGATTGTTGATGTAGCTAAGACACAAAATGAGGCAATGATAAATCAAAGTGAAAATTCCTTTGTCTTACTTGAATTGACATCTTCGTTTTCAATGAGAGAATTACTTAACTTTCGTTTTCGTTGTTTGGGAACTGTCGATGTTTTTGTGCGTTTATTCGGTGAATTTTGTTCCTTGTCATCATCATCTTCATTTTCATTTCCACCTTCACTCGTTCGTTTCTTTCGCGCTGTCTTTGGCGACGTCGTTGATACAGTTATACTCGATGCTGTCGTATTATTCGCCTCGGAATTGTTGATAATGGTGCGCTTGGGCGCCGATGTATCACTTGCCGTCGTCGTCGTTGTAGTTGGTTTTAGTTTGATTTTAAAATCTTTTGGAAGATAGGACAGATGATTGAATTTTGCTTTTTTGAAGTACATTTCCGGCAATGGAACATTCGAATTTGCCCGACAAATCATGAGTGATGATGCACGTTGAGATAGAATTACATAGGCTAAATCAACGAGAACATGAAGTTTCTTATTGTCATCTTTTTCGGTAGATAAAGTCGCATCTTCGGATGATTTTATCGAACGTAATAGACCTTTATAGAATAAACCGACTGTGGTGTCACAACGCAATAATAAAGCATCTAATAGAAATAAGATGTAATCTGTCATTGTATGTAACATTTCCATATCATCATAGAGAATAAATGCTGGTGATTTGGAGAGAAAAAAGAGGAAATAGGTAAGAGAATATTCAGGATACAAAGTGTAATCAATTGGTTTGTCGTTTGTTGTTGATGAATCTTGTTCGCCATGTTGATCTGAATGAGCTGTTTTATATGATAATTGAAGTTTAATGTGTTCGCGACGTGTATCGATAATTTGTAACATGGAACGACGAATGAGCTCCCGATGATCACGTTCAGATTCTTTAGCCGCAAATGCTAACAGTGCAAGCAATTCAGTCGGACACAGTGGGTCGCGTAGATGCTCAGTTAATTTACGGTAAGTTCGTTGACGAATGATAGACGATTGATCCTAATGGAAAGAGTTGTTGCATTGAAGATGTAAAATAAAGTAAAACTCACTCGAAGAAGAGTGATGATGGCGAGGAAATCTTCAGGTTTTATACGTGTGTAAAAATACGAATTACAGATTAGTTTTAAGAGGCATGATAGACCGCATAGACGAATGTAGGTGATTTCATTTTCACTAGAAAGACAAATCAAGTGTCTGATAATATTTCATTCCCATTGTTTACCTCATTTCATTGGTAAAATCTTGATTATTTTCAATACAGTTTCGTATTAATCTATAAACTATTTGGAATAGGCCATCTGAATTCTCACGTAAGCCTAAAATTGCTCGTGTGGTCGCTTTCACCAATTCACGCTATTCAACAACAAAACGTAAAATGAGCGATCCTTTTGCTTCAGAGGAAATCATAAACATACTTTCACACGAGTATCTGCTCCGATTTCTGCGTCAGCATGAGGTTCATCAGGCAATAATGTAAACTTTCCATGAAGAAACGAAGTGCTCATGTTAGTTTCATCATCTGTTTGTTGTTGATCGATGATGTGCTTTGCTAAATTACTCAGGATTCGTTTGCCTATATCTGCGAGTGCATGAGGACAAATTTGAACCATATGACCAAGCAATACAAGACGAGTTGTAAATTGTTCACTATCAAATTGATCATATTGTGTGTCCTATAGTACACAAGAGTTTGATCAAGAGTCAACAGCTACAGAAGTTGATCTTACATCGATCAGTTTCTGTAGAAGTTCATCTTTTGTGTCTGGATGAAGCGCGCATATGCAGTAGAGTGCACGTTTAGCTATGGGTGGATGAAGAGTTAAATACGATGCAAGTTCGGAATCGAGAAGTCTAGAACAAGAGATGTTGTTTTGAATAGGACTTTTCAATTATAACATACGTCATCATGCTTGCTTTCTTCAGTGAAATAATCAATGGTGCACATGCCTCGATCGTTCGAATAAGTATGGGCGCTAATAACAGAGAAGAAGAGTCAAAATAACAATAATGTAATGAATTGACAAACAAACCTAATTCGAGTACACGTTGTTTCAATAAGTTACAGAGAAGTTCAAGCGATTCCGGTGAATTGAAAATAAATGGATGTTGAATGAACACTTTCAGTAATTGATTGATATTTTCATAGTATGCTGCTGGCTGCTCGGGCTCTATGAATAAGTGAATATGATACAACATGGAGCAATTATAATCGAACTTTTCATGTACCATTCAAAACTTTCTCAAATATGCTCTTCAGCAATTTACTAACTGTCTCTTGATCGAATAAAAGTGTAGATATCTTTTCAAACATTGTTTTTATCAAACCACACATTTTTGTGTATTGTCCATGCGCATGATTTTCGACAGCTGGCATATCATTTGTTGCCTGATTCTCATTTGTATGACCAGGAAAGCGTTTTTGCTCTTTCGTTGCTTCTTCCAGCAATATCTGTCCAATACCATTCTAAGTAAATACATACATAAAGAGAAATCCTTCGAAAATCTATGCACATACTGCTAAACTATAAGCCTCTTTTGCTGTCACACCATCAGCTAGTGCTTGTTTGAACATAGACAATATACTGGAATCGTCATTGTTTGTTAAAGATTGTTTATGAGCTTTGATCGCATAGACAACAAATGACTTGAGAACTGATTCATTCTTTTCAGGATTTGGTAGACAACCTTTAATCAAATCAACAAAATTCCAGTGGAAATACTGAGAACGAGGGATGACTTACGTATGGCAATAACATGTATAAGACTAACAAGTTTTAATTCAATCAGTTGTTTGTCATCATTGGATATTTTTGGATCAGCCATTTGCAAGGAGAAATCAATGAGTTTGACCAATTGTCGACGAAATCTAGTTTTAAAACAAAACATTCTCGTCATCTTTCAAGTGACAAGCGATATATATATATATATACATACAAAAATTTGCTGTGCACGATCTCACGAATTGCTCTACAAATAAATAAAATGAGACATTTCAGTATTTCAGGCTTCAGCAACATACCGTTGAGCATTTTCATCTACATTTGAAAATAATGTCAAGAAAACTCGCACTTTATCATTCATGTCCACATCCCATGGTATCAAGTAGAACGTCAAAAGTCGTTCTGCCAATAACCTAAAACGCACTATGTTTACAGTATTAGCTGCGATTAACTCTTACCTATCCTGCGTGGCCTTTTGATAGTATAAATGGATAATACAGTTCGCTACCCATGCTAGTTGTTTTTGAGTATCACTAGACCAATTTGTATTTGCACATTCTTGCTTATAGACATGTCCCAAATAATCCAATCCTTCTTTACGAACTTCCCACTAGAAAATAGTCATATGATTTTTACGAAGACATTTGATTTTGAATAAAAAGAAAACTTACGATTTTATCTCGTGCACGTGAACATAGAATTTGCTTGACTTTATCACTGATATCCGTCAGATTTGAGCTAGTTATTGCACGAATTTGCACCATGAGTTGTGAACGAATGTTTGTATCACTCGATAAACTCAATCGTACCATAACGTCTTTTCAAATAATCTCCTCAAAAACAACACAATCGTAAGAAAAGTATTTTTACCTTCAAGATCGGATCGAAGTTCGGGATGATTGACAAAATAACTTTTCAAATGTTTAATGCAAGTTAATTGCACTTCAGATGTACCGTTCTTAAATCTTAACATAAGATTGTAGTTAACTGTTTCACAAAATATTCATCTTACTGATCAAGAAATGTGCTCCATAATGTTTTATATCTTTGAGCAAAATCATTATTTGGTGCACTTGTCACATAAGCGATGATCTTCGCTGCATCACGACGATGTTTTTCATTCGATACCTACACAAATGAATCCATTAGAAACACTTGAAAGATGACTTCGCTGTTTTTACTGTTAATCGGTGTTCAATGGTTGGAATAAGTTCGTCAATAACAGCTTCCGAAATATGACATAATTCATCAAATACATAATAGATTTTATTATGTAACTGTAACGATTCCGTATCTTCAGTGATGAGAACAGCTTTGAAATACTAAAGAGAGAGAGAGAGGGAAATTAAAGCAGGTGGAAGATGTATCATGTTGTACTTCAGCAATAGCCGGTTTTAAACATGTTTCAGCGCGACGAATAATTGATTCTACTAATTCATAACATTCCTCGCGTAGTTTCTACGAACATAGAAGAAGAAAAAAGTTGTTTAAAAAATCTAGTATAGTTATTACTTTCTCCGGATCGATTATTCTTGCGAATAATAATTCTAACAATGAAAATGGTACCAAGTCGTATTCAGCCAAGATAACCGTCACGATATCAATCATTAAATTTTTCAATTGATCCGTGTGATTTTTCCTATGTGATACGGAAATGTTTCGCTTTGAAATAAATAAACATCGCGTGACATACTGTACAGCATTGAAGAGATTATTGAGCACTAATGTACTTATTTGACAACTTCGATTATCTTCGAGATTAATTGCTGGAATGAATGATTGTACCATACTTAAATTCTAAAACGACAGCTTATCAATTCATAACTGACAGAATAAAGAGAAGTACTGTACTTCAAGTAGATAATAACGTCGACTGAACAATGGATCATCGACTTTCTTTAAGCCGCTTAATTGACGAGCAAGAAAAAGAAACATATTCTATGAAAACAGAAAAGTAACGAATAGTTCGTGGAATTATCTGTCGAAAACAGCTGAACTTTACCAGTAATTTCTCAGGTGGAGCATCAGGTAGATTAGGTGCCCAAATGCGAACAATATCTGCGAGACAAATCGCAGCATAGAGTTGCACATCTGGTCGTTCATGTGAATAGAAGAAATCGTCCAAGAGTGTTTTAAATAGATTCGTAAAATAATGACGTTTTTCATAGTTTTGTGGTAATAACTGCAAAAGTCGTTGATTTTTCTAAATCAATTCGATTCGATTGAGATGGTTTTGCGCAAACATTAAACTTACTGTTAGATTATCGAGTAATTTATTTGTAGGTAAACTTGGACTGACGTTCAAGATTTGTGATGGTGAAACAGTAGGGACTGTACCAGATGACACGGCCATTTTTTATGTTGAAATTGAAATGAAGTCGATAGTTCAACAAAGTTGTTACACTAAGGAAAGACGCCTTTGTTCGTTCGATGACATATTCACTATGATTGGACATAGTGGATAATCACTTCATATAGATAGCGCTAAAAGACACATTTTATCCGATCTAGCTAAGCATTGACAAAATACTGACTTCAGAATTCGACGTTTCCAGAATATAGACCAACTCTCGGGATGCTCTACTTTAATAGCGCTAGTATAAGCTGTTATGCATTGCTCGGAATATTGAATTAATTCTTTACTTCAACGTTGAGCCATTAGTTCAGATATGATAGCAAAATCCACTTGTTTTATACACGGCGATTCGGAAAAAAAACATCGATCAAATTTATGCTTTTCAATACAACAACGCGCATCATTACACAGGTATTCTTGACAGATTCACGCAAACGTTTACAGTACTTTCGTTTTTCTTGTAGACAGTTCACATGATTCATAATTTTACTAATAGTTTTCCAACGCGATGACAATATGAGTAGTATGCAGGCTTTCTGATTGCTGCACAGCAAGATGACAAGCGTAAACACGATCTCCAGTAAAGACTTGACCCATACAGATCATCAACAAATCGCATGTGATTGATGAATAAACCATACGGATGTGTGTGTGTTTCGAGATCTTTTCTATCAATTCATTGTCAAGAATTAAATTGAGGAATTTGGATATATCTACGTTCTCTATACTGCATCAATACACTGTATAATGAAGATCACCAATGAATTCTTTAGAAATTCGTGTTTTTGACTTTCAATGGATATGATCGATAAGTTTTCATGTTTTTTCTATTTCTCTTTCTTTTCTTTGTCTGCAAGTCAATTGATATAAAAAAACATATTTATTCAAATACAAAGACTAAAAATAAACGATTCTCGTTATTATAATTCTATGAAATTCTCTAGATATGTTCCATATTTCCCTAAGAAGAACATGATAATAACGCCTAAAATGACGCCACTATTTTGACAAAACAGAATTTTCAGCTTAAAAACAATTGTTATTTGTTGTTTCGATTGTAGGTGATCTTTTTCGATTTCATCGCCCATCGCAACAAGCTCAGGAATCTATGCATAACAAATCTTTACTTCACAAAGAAAGTTACGTCTTTAATTTACCATATCTGCAAGTCCAATATAAACAAACATTCCTCCAGCTAATGCATAAATCCATGAATGAAATTCTTCCAATTCTCCTACACAAACAAACGAACATAGATTACATGTAAACACGTAATTATAACTCAAACCTAATTTTGCTCCAATAAAAAATCCTAAATAACAGCTGCAAGCTGCTAAGAAATTGACAATTAACGCTTGTCCAATGTTGAGACCACTACTAAGTAAAACAGCGATATCACCAAGTTCATGCGGAAACTCTTCACATATGATTGGTAAACACATTCGTAAACCTTCGCCAATCGATACCATGAAAGCAGCACCTAGTGTTAAACCATCGATGAAATTGTGCAGCATATCGCCAAGAAATATCATCCATCCAGCAGCTTTCATTGTTTTCAAGTTCTGTACTAAGTGATTGACATGCTTATTTCGAGTGAACAACTGTAACATAAATGGTAAAAAGAGAAAATCGCAGACAAACGAATCGTCATAACATACGTTGGACTTTCGAGCAAGTGATCTTTGACTCGTGGAAGAGGCCGAATCAATCAAATGACTAGCCTGCACCTAAGATTTAAACAAGATGATTATTTTCATTGTCATAAACAATTGTGTCGACTTACACATAGTTGTTCGTCGCTGTGAGAATGTGTACAAATAATCTAAATGTTCAAACTATTGAATATTAACAGAAGACACTATCGTGAAGTACGGACTGTTTCAACATTGAAAAATATTCTTGATAATTGGTCACGCAAATAGAATAGATAAATGACAATCATTGTTAGAAGAGATTTGTTGAGATAGGAATGATATATGTCGAGATGTGGAATATTAAAAGCCTAAATATAACAGAAAAAAGATATTCTATCGTCAAAACATCTACTTAGAAGAGAACTAACCATGGGTATCAAATGGAATATACCAGATCCTGTCAATGTTCCTACAGCTAGAAGAAATGTTCGAATAGAATAATTCAACATCAAGAGATTTCTGTGTACCTAAACCAATAAAAGCGCTGAGAATCCATTTAAACGCTGGCTTATTTCGAAAGGGAAATATAACAGCGCCACCCAACGCTGAACAATTGATGAATGTGACGGCCAAAAAGCCAATTAAAATGTCTAAAAAGAATAGAAGCGAATAGCAAAAACATTCACTTGACTTCATTGATATACTTTTCCAATTTGTCCATCCCGGTGATTTGGTACAACCTTCATTAAATTTGACATTTGCTAACACAGGTAACAATCGTTGAAAATCAGCACGAGTTAAATTAGTATTGTTTTGAATATCAAAACCTTTGAGAAGATCATTCGTTGATTTGAAACACTAAAACATTTCAATTGTTAATAAAACAATTTCTTCGATTCCAACATCAACAGAACTGCACATTCCGCTACAATTAATTTCATGCTTGAACAATCACGCATAGAAATCTCGAACATTTCCTGGAATCATCAATCGGATATCCTGTAAGATTTCTGTCTATCCTTGATCCTGTTTTTCTCTCTTCAAATTACTTTATGTTCGATATTTTGATTATGAATATCATTTTCGTTGATTGTCGTATGTAGAAGTCTCGAATCATCGACATCGTTCGATCGAATCAATTGTTGATAGAATAAATTCAAATCATTCGTTGTTTTGAGATATTGGTGAAGGAGATTCGTTTCTAAGAGGCTTAATTCATTGTTGATGCTGGATACCAAATCAGATCCGAATAAGATCAGAAGAATAAATCGATGCATCTAGAAAATGAATATTTTGATGTGCAAAACCAAAACTAACAAACAAAATTTTAACTTCTAATACACAAATTCTTTCATATTTTGCCCTTTTTTTTTATATCACAAAAATAAAAAAATATTCAAACGAGATTTCATGTTCAGAATTTCGAGTGACGATGACAAAATATTCGCGACGAATCTCGATTGCAAACATATTCATAGATATGAATACGATGATAGTAACGCCATATCGATGCTAATACTAATGCAATAATAACTCCAATGATAAGAAAGAGATTTTGACATATGAGAATGAGAACTTTGATTAAACGACGTTGTTTCGTTGTTTGATTTGCTTTTTTCAGATTCATTTGTAAATGATGTCCGAATATATTCAATTCCGGAATCTTAAAAACACAAAACAATTGTTGATGCGATTGAAAATTTGTCTTTTTTCTTTTCCTTTACCAAAGTCACAAGTGCGGTGTAGAAAAGTGCTCCGTATACAATGGAATAGATATATTCTTTTTCAATAAAGAATAGATTTATATTAGGACGTCGATTAAGTTCAATTAGGAATCCACCCGTTAAATAACCGCAGAGAAGAAAAACAATTGAAATTAAAAGAAGAAAAACACCGCGTTGACGACTCATGATTGAAAGAGTTTCTAAAATAAACATTCGAATCGATAAACTTATTCAGATTTCATTTCAATCTTACGTGAATGTCGTCGGAAACCTTCAATAAATATCATAAAACTTATAACAGAACCAATGAAATAGTCATGTGCAAAGGCTGTGCATAGACCACATCCATAGATAAGATCATTGGAAAAATCATTGATCAAATGATAAAATATGAGATTACGCGTTCGATGAGGTAAAGTATTACTTCCATGATGATGATGGAGATCTTTTTCCTTATCGATAGAAATCTGATTGACTGATGAATCAACATCTTCATCATCACTATCATTATGTAACTAGAACATGGAGGCGAAAATATTAACAAAAATTAATTGATATTACACGAACCGGTATTCTCGCTGGTGGGTTTGAATGTTTATATGGTTGATCATCCTGAATATACTCATGTTGATTAGTAAAATAATTCAAATGACTTACATAGCCGTTGGTATGTAATGTTCCATGCATTTTTGCCATTTGAACGATTGATGTGTCTGATAGATTATGTAGTTCTTCTTCATCATGATGTGCTTCTTCTGGCTGTGTCTGGAGAAAAGCAGTACGTACAGATGTACAAGATATAATTCAGTAGAATTTACTTCGTCAATTTTAAATCGAAATCGCAAGAGCTTCTCAACAATGAAGAATAGATAAACACCAAAGAAAATAATCGTCGCACGCAGAAGATAAATGTAATCGAAATTTTCATTCGGAACTGCGTAGATCTAAATAGAACAAAGTCGAACGGATGATGATATGACAGTTTTCTTACATGAGGTATTAAATGATAAATAGCTGTTCCAAGCATAATTCCACAAGTGAATGAATTTAAACATAGACCCACCCAGAGTCGATATTTCAAAGATGATGACCGAATACGAATTATTGGATTTTCATGTGAATCATTTTTGGAATTATGAATAGAATTAATCAATAGACATCGATCACCGATGATGACAAAGATTAATAAATGAATCAATTTGATAAGGAAGATAATTATCAAACCTAATATCCATACTAGAAAACGAAAGCGTCTTGAAGGGTATTTGATTTGAAGAATATTCATCTTTTTACCGGAAAATAAGGAATAGGGTGAAGTTGGAAGTGATTTTCGTGAACATCCTGGATTTTCAATAGTGTACAATATGGCTGGAAGAAGTGATTGAAGATCAGAAATGGATAGATTTACATCTGATTTGTCGTAACCATGAGCAGCGAGTAGATCAGACGCTGTTTCATAACACTACAGAAGGCAAAATATTGAAAGCGAAAATCGATTTCACGATGATTTTTACCGAAGTTTTTATATATTCTTCATCGTACTGATGTGATCGAATTTTTGATAAGTTAATTGGCGAGGCAACTGTATCGATTAATCGATGTTGTCGTAGATCTTGTAAAATACTTCGATAGAAATTATTTAATGAAGTGTAATCACTGATGTTTCGTTGAATTGAATCAAGATAGATGGAATCAAGCGATACCGATGAAACATAAATAAGAGTAGAACTAATTAAATACAGTAATCGATACCAACAAATGATCATCTAGAAGATATTTATTAGCAAAAACAAGTTTGTCAAGGACACGACTTATCTTTCATACTGACTCAATCAATTCTTAAATAAATCTGTTTCAAATCAAATGTCTATCTTTTGCCATATGTACAAAACACGAAAATAACACGTACTTTTTCGTTGATGAGTAGTAATGTAAATCATTTTGTTTTATATTTAGTTGTCTTATCAAGGCAGAAAAGGCGATGATCAATCTGTAATGTGCGCATGTTTTTCCATTCGGTTATGATTGGTAAACACTTCTAGCCAATCCCTATTATTATGGCTTTGCGAAAAAGTGAGTGACTGCGAATGTATAACTTGTTCTTACACAATTGTAGAAGGAATCAAAGAGGTTAAACAGTGGTCTTATTCGTAGTTTTGATTCTAAACCAAATAGATGAGTAAATGATAAATATTCCTGTGAACAATTGAAGAACATCTGGATTGTTTCGAGACAAAAGTTCAATGAAAGAAATTCTCTTTCATAATTTTAGATTCAATCGGTTGTGTATGTCACATCGATCAATCTTCTGTATAGGAGAAAATAAATCTATATGAGTTTTAATTTAAAAGAAAAGATCAATCGATTCATTCTTTCTGATTCTAGACAAGGAAAACAAGTCGATGTTTCAGGCTAGTTTCCTTACTGATTCTCCGCCCGATAGTATCGAATGGTGTCCCGTTCGTCAAAATATATTCGCATGTGGCACCTATCTATACAATCCAGAAAATACTACTCGACAGGGTTCGATCTACCTCTTTCAATATAATTCATCGTCGAAAACGATCGAAGTTAATCAGCAACAATCTACCGAAGGCATACTCGATTTGAAATGGGTTCAATGTTCACCCGAACATACATTTCTCTCAACTGTGTCCGCACTCGGACAGTTATCGTTGTATCCTTCGAATGATTTAACCAAACCAATCATATGCGAAGATGTTACCAATGACCAGACAATTGCATTAGCACATTCATGGTTCCATCTAACGAATCATTACGTCATTATCAGTGATCAGCAAGGTTATCTATCAGTATGTGAATTGGATAATACCAATGGTTTACGTTTTAGTCAATCATGGTCGGCACATGAATATGAATGTTGGGCCTGTGCCTGGGATAAGCACGATCCTAATGTAGCTTATTCTGGTGCTGATGATACGTTGTTTAAAATCTGGGATATCAGAGATTGTAAACAAGCAACGCATGTCAATCGTAAACATACAATGGGCATCTGTTCTATTGTTGTTGATGAAACTAATCCATATGAATTGTTAACTGGTTCATTCGATGAATATCTACGACAATGGGATAAACGACAAATGACAAATCCCGTCAAAGATATAAAACTCGGTGGTGGTGTATGGAAAATCCGGCCGCATCCATTAAATCATGATCTTCTATTGTGTGCTTGTATGCAGAATGGTTTTGTTATTGTCGATTTGAAGCTTTTAAAGATTTTATGTCACTATACTCAACACGGTTCATTAGCATACGGTTGTGATTGGCAAGCCAATGATTCGATCAATCAATTGAGTGAATTAATGGATGATTGTATGGCTGTTGAAACATCGACCATCGATACCGGAAAGATTCTTTCCGAAAGTTTGATTGCATCTTGTAGTTTCTATGATAAAACCGTTCATGTCTGGAGTCAATAAAGATAAATAGTAAGATTGATTTTCATAAGAGATAACGTGCTATTCATTCAAACAAGGGAGACGCATTGACTGATTTTGTCCTTGTTTTTTCTTACCTTGATGCTATCAAACAAGTATGTTCCTATTATCATGCATTCTTTCTTAACCCATCGCCTGCAAAATCGTTCTACCGAATTCATCTTATATTTTCGGAACGAACAAGAAAAGAAAAAGAAAACATATCACTGAAGGAAAAGAACAAAAGCAACGAAATTATAGTACAGTGAAGGCAAAATAATAATCTTCTTCGGTAGTTTGAGCAACTAAATTTTCTTTCTAGAAATCTGCGAACTCCTTTTGGAAGCGTTCCGTCGCAGCGACAGTCAATGGTTGTTCATCGTACATTTCGTAATTTTCCTTATCAGTTCTTGGGACGAACGGCGCTGGAAGTTGTTTTTCATACATAGCAATGAAATCCATATCTTTAAACCAGCGATGTTCTTTGATATCTTTCACACCGGCTTTCAAATTACCGAATCGACGGGTTAAATCGACTTGTAGTAAATTTTTAAGTAAATCTTTGAGATCAACTGAGAAATGATTCGGAAAACGCACGCGACCAGAGACAATCTTCTCATAGATTTGAATTGGCTGATCAGCAAAGAACGGCGGATAGCCAGCACTCATTTCGTACTAAAGAAATAAATTTCATTTTTGATTCTAATCAATTTCATCGATCTATTTACCATTAGTACACCTAATGCCCAATAATCAACACCTTTGTTATAACCACGACTGAGGATGATTTCTGGTGCAAGATATTCTAAACAAAAACCTTCGAATAAAGATCAACATGAAACCAACAGAACAAACCAGGTGTTCCACATAGTGTCCATGTTCGATCTTTAACACGTTTTGCAAAACCAAAATCTGTCTAAAGAGATTCAACAAGATTTCTCGATATGTTCGATAGTCGCAGTTATACAAACCATTTTTAAATATCCGTCCGAAGCAAACAGTAGATTTTCAGGTTTGAGATCCCTATAGATCTGATTGGATTCGAAAAAGGAGAAAAAGTGAAATCATTGAAGCAAGATATTTCTACATACCACGCCTAAATGATGAAGATATTCGAATGCAAGCACGATTTGTGCTGCACAGAATCTTGTCATTTCTTCCGTATAGCGACCACTAGTACGTAGATGTGTAAACATTTCTCCACCCGGTGCGTATTCCAAACCCAGATATAAATATGAATTATCCTTGAATGTGTACAATAATTTCACAATAAACGGACAAGATAGAGCTTGAAGAATCTTTTTCTCGGCCAACGTATGATCCACTTGTTTCATTTTAAAAACAACTTGTCTATCAAGTACTTTTAAAGCAATGGTTTCCACGATTGATTCTTTACGATGTTTCACTAATACAACGCGACCTGAAATCGAAATTGTAAAACATTAGTGATCTCGTTATCTCAATTAATTGAACAAAATTTACCGAATGAACCAGTGCCAATGGTTCGAATCAACTCGAAATCTTCTAGAGTAGCATTTTGTCGAATAGGATTTTCGATTTTCTCAAGAAATTTCACTTTCTCTTGATCGAGATAAGCTTGAATATCAGTCTGACTGCGTTTAACACTATTGTTTGCACCCATCGAACTGTTAATTGATGAAGATTTGAAAAGTAGAAAACGACGTTTTATCGGTGATTTATTGAATGAAAAACAAGATTGACTGGAGACGACCTCAACTGGTGTTGCTGGTTGTGATGGATCAGGCGATCTATAAGAAAATCACATTGAAAATTAAAGGAAAAACTTATCAATAATTACCGGATATGAATCAATTTTCTTTTCCTCCCTATCTCTCAAGCTAACCGGCAAGAGAAATTGCCTAGCAAGGATCTGTACTCTAATAACGCACGGTAGTGTGTACGAAATAAATCTTCTAACAATAGAATCTAATTGAATTTGTAAGAGAAAAACAAAGAAGAACAAGTGGATGCTATTCACAGGTACGAAAAGTAAAGTTACGTTAGTTATTTTTACTTTCACCACGCGAAATAATCTAATATCAACATGGTCAATGAGACCTTGAACATGCGTGTATAACGAAAGATAAGAAAAATGTGATAAATATACATCACATTACTTTAATGTTCTCAAAGAGAAAAAAATCGAAGCAAAAAAACAAATTTTAGATGGATAAGAAAATCTAAAAGTAAATACCTGCAGTCTTCACTTCATTCGTAGTTCTGTGATGATAGGCCAACATGAATCGAGAGAGGAAGAGAGAGAGAAAGCGACTAAGACAAAGAAAAACAAAGCTTTCTTTATCTTTTTCTTTAAGAAAGAGGACTAATCTCTTATCTCGATAGTCTAACATGCAAATACACTTATATGAAATGAAAGGGAACTTTAGTTCGTTTGAAAATTCACAGTAGAACGCTTAATTTTGATTGAAATCCATTAGTGCGATCGTATTGTATAATTAGCTCAATGTAAACAAAAAAGGAAACGAATGGAAAGTATCAATTATCCAAGTAAGTCAGCATAGACGAGAAACTAAATTGAGTGAATACATTCGTGTGATTTGTTTGTCTTTGTCAACTTTCACAAATTGAACTTTGATTCAAATCTGTTTCACTTACATGTTTTCATCGACTTTGCAAGAATTTCTCTTGAAATACTTTTGAAATTTCTTCATCATTAATATCTGGAATCGAAGGAATTGTCTAAAAGAAGAAAACTCTGTAAAGAATTGTGTTAATATCCATATTGTTATCTCTTCTATCTGTACATTTTTGCTACTCGTGTCATTCTATGTTTATATTTCCATCGAGGTTTTTACGAGCTACTAATATTGTTTATTAATACCAGTCCATCATAATCATCAAGAATGTTTGCAAAAGAAGAAGAAGCTATCAATCAAATTCTGTCGTCTCCTAATCAATACAATATTTGTTCAAGATTCATTTCTTGTTACAAGATTGTCATTAGATGATCTTCTAACAAAATCTCATTCATATATATTTGTATCAATTTTCGAATGCGGTTAATTAGTTTATGAACGGTTCTTCGTTTTTTTTTTCAAGTAAAGGTTAGCACGAGGATGTCTGTCAATATATCCATTCCAATGTGTGAAAAAAATGCATGCCAGAACACAGTCAAGAAAAGAAATTACTACTTTGGGTTTTGTTAGTATATATTATCCTATATAGAAAAGTATTCTATCGTTTTGTTTTAGCGTTATAATTTTTATATTAAGAAAGGAAAATGGTTGAAAAAAAAAACAGGGGTAATTACTTTATTTGTTTGCTTTTTTTGAGAAATAATCATTCATAATTACAAATGTACTTTTCTTTGAATAAAATATGTAAATAAATGAATCTATTATCGAACTGTGATTGTCAGAAATAAGTAATATGTTCTGTTTTTACTTTAATAGTACTCCGATATAATTAGTTTTAAGTTTGAAAAAAGATTACTTACAAATGATATTGAAACGTGGATTTCGTGTCTTAGTTGTTCCCATGTGTCAGTAGAAAAAAAAGTAAAGTACATATGTTTGTTTCGATCAATATTTACCTGCATAATTTCTCTTTCACTTTCATGTAAAATTCATCAGTTTATGAATCTAACGTTGTTTTATCTGGTAGAAATCAATTCATATAAAATCGACATTGTGTAGAAAAGACGTCATCACGTTTCATGAAAGTTACCATGTTTTATTTATAGCTTTATTCTTTTCGATTTTCCTTTGGGATACATTATTGTGTGGGTTAATAAGTGATTTACGCGATAGGCAAATTTTCTAACAAAGTGATCCTTTCTTTAATCGCATGGAACAAAATATTTTCGAAGTTGCAATGGAGAAAATAATATTACAATGATTTTGAGGTTTATACATGTAGAATATTATATGTAACATTGGAGACAATAAGTGATGTGTTCGTTCTAATTATTTTATCTTTCTTATGAATATAATTATACTACCTACTTATTTTTCTGTTAGAGAACCAATGCAATGATTGCGATCGATGAAGTCGGCTGTTTTTTTTTCTTTTCAGCTGTATAAAATTGTTCTTGATATGTACTTTTCTAGTAGGTAGAAGTCTTTCTATGGATTCACTATCCATTTTCTGAAAGCGTGCTCAACGTGCATTTAATTTCTCTTCATGTCAGGATTTTCTCACTCGTGCGAGAACTTAAGGATCAGTTAACACGTTTTTGATCAATGACTATTTATGAAAACATATTCGCGCACTAAATATTTCAAGTGATAACTAGAGAAAGTACAACTACATCTTTCTTATCAACGCGCTTCACTCGTTGATGAACTCTTTACCCTCAAAATCATCGACAAGGGTTTCTCGTTCGCTGCGAACCATTTTTCAATCTTCATTATTTCTCAAGAATTTCTTTCTGTGCATATGTCATGTCAAATGATTCACTTGATATAAAGAATTTCATTGAAATATACAAGTCTACAATGATTGTGACAACTGCAACTGTTCGTTTTTAAATCTTTCAAAGTATTGTTATGCATCAGATTTCTCATTTGAAAATTGTACACGAAGCAGCACGATCGATTTGGAAATTTTATTTGACAAAATGACACGTCATCGCATAGTCACAACGAATTTCGATTTGCTTCTGTGTCGATGCATTCTAATGTAATCCATGCTTTGAGATCAGCTGATGGAAATAACGACAGAACAAGTAAAAGTAAAATATTTTAGTTAATAAAATCTGAGAAAACGAACCAGACACAACGTTATCAAAAGTGAACAAATACGGAATTTCTCTGCATTTCTTTCTGTCAGCAAGGATTGACATATGTCTTCACCTAGACAACTACGTGGTAGCTTACCAGTGCATTATAGAAGAATACATACTCTGTTGTTAGTACAACAGGAAAAGAGCGAAAATGATCGTTCAAGCAGAACACTAATTAGTATGATTTTGTTCAAAGCATAATGTAGTCCATATGTAAACATCGTACTGCAAGTGGTCGTCACTATTAGATCGACTCGATCCTTCATGATTCCTATTCAATCAGTAGTCTTCTATGTGTGTTTTACTTGCTATAGTTATGATAATTAGTAGAAATCGAGAGCTGGAAGTTGCTTGATTCATCTTTGCAATCAGCTGTTATGATATGATGTTTGGCAGCAATACACAATCAGATTGCCGAGTGTTTTAGCCGACGACAAACGAATTAAATAGTAAAACAACGGCTAAAACATATCAGCCTATACATTGACCTAGAAGATGTGCCTCATTTTAACTGTGTCCGGATGGTAATGTGGATGCGGAACGAAAACAAAAAAGGTTTACATACACTCGCCGAACTTAACTTAAGATAGATCAATATTCTATGTACATGAACATGCACACGTTTCTAACTGGTTCAGTTAGTGTTCTGTATTGAAGAGGATGAACATCCGCTTTTTGACAAACCAAACTGAGAACTATCAATGGTGCTTTTAAACTCTTTAATGTGTTAACCAATGATAGTCGGCGCGCGATTTTGAGCTCAGGAATATAAGAATTTTGTAATCGGTTAATTCTCTTTTTTATTTAGTTGTTATTCTAGATGTTTTCCAAAATATCGATTGCGGTAAATAATTATCAAAGTCCTCAACTATTTATAGTCAAAACAGTAAAATTCAATAACATTGTTTGAAAGGAAGAATGAAATGTGAAAAGAAATATACGTTTTATTTTGTTGATGTCATGCATAGTCCTTGGTCGAGCCTGATGTTCAAGGCAGCGAAAGAATAATTTGGTCAGTTAGTTCTTTTAATCGTAGATTTATGAAATTTAACGTACAACGAGCTTGTAGACGAAATCGAAATGATGTTTTATTTGTACACGTTTCTTCAATTGCATACCCAATAACGCAAAAGTTTCGCGGAGATGTTTTCAATCAAGAACGTCACATTGAACAGATACTCCATAGTGCGAATTATTAAATCGGGAGACACAGAATAATACTCTCTCAACCGCTATAAACTTCAAAATGAGACAGGTCGAATGATCAAATAGCATCCGCAGAGCTTGTCCATTTACTTCATGTGTGCTCAAATGCAGCATCGGTATACCATCGATGTACAAGAGCTGAACGTATAGAGTGAATTTAGATTTTTCATTCTATCATAACGAAGTTTAAATTCTTTGCTCCATTTAATAGAAATTTGAGTGACCGGAAATTCGTCACTTCAAGTGCGGACTAACAAAATTTACTTCTTACCATTGAACCGTGAATATTCGAGATCCTCTTCAATAGGATACTTGTATCGGTATTTTTGTCTGGAATAATTAACAAACTCTGTCATATCTGCATAATCATTATTGCATTTACTTTCATACATTTCGTATAAAAAGAAAAGACACGTAGACAAAAAAAAAGGAAAGAGAGAAAAACTATTTTGAAGATAATTAAACTTTACGCTCAAATTTTTTACTGAGCAGTATTAGTATTGTATACACTACAATAACGATGAAGAATGAACATAGATAACAAATTAAAGCACTGTACATTTGTCGACGAGCACGAGTTGTTGTTGTTGGATGAATCGCCGGATAGAATATGCCAAAATAAGCTATCGGTGGCTGATAAGAACTTTCAATCGCAAATGACGAAAGTGATTCAAGTGAAACAGCTAAATGGCCGTCGTTTTGACTTGATGTATCTGACTAGAAATTTAAAGATAATTAATAAATGAACAACGAAATCGTCGTAATTCTACTCACACATTCTTTTTCTTGCCACACTTTTCGACATATGGGACAATCAAATTTCTTCAATGCAAACCATTGTACAATACATTCATTGCAAAATTCATGTCGATGATCACAATTAATAGTTGGTATATCTACTGATTTTTTCTCCAAACAAATACAACAGATTTTCTGTCCATTTTGTTGCTGATTTAATGATGTTAAAGACGCATGCGTATTCATTCTTGAATATTAAAATAACTGTTGTGTACGAATAACTCGCCGTTTGCGCGTTAGGCTGACTGACCTTTTTCCACTTCTTCTTCTTCTCTCTCTCTCTCCTTACACTCAGCTGATGATGGTCAGTGGGGAAGAAAAGAAAAAGAAATGTCTCGACGTAGTCGACGCTTGTCCTTCATCAAAACAAAAGACAGAAAGGGAGAACGATGAAGTTCATATGTACAAATCTATATAGATATATGTATATAAAAAAAATGGTGATAGAAAGAATAGCAAATAAATGTAAAGAGAAAAGACTAATCATAAGCCATGAGGAGCAACTGGCTCCGAAGCTGGTAAAGTATACATATTCTCCCATACATGTGAAAGACATACAGAAGCATGAAAACGAAAGAAGATTTGCAGTGGCGTTGCAATTGCTGCAATGATGGACCATGGTATAACATGATAGAAAGCTAACTGAAATGGATTCGCTTCATGTTTTGTTGTTGTAGTAGTTTCTTCGAACCACAAACTCAAGTCCAACATGATCAATAGAGTAATTACTTCACGTGCAGGATATTCATTTTTACTAGTACGATGAAGACGCTTGCGCAATGCAACGAGTATAAAGAATGCATGAATTGTACCTTCAATAAACTCTAGAATAAATAGACAAAAGCTGAGTCTTTGATAGACTAATCACAGTTTATACCTAGAATAACAATGATGATTTTAACATATGCAATCCATGTGGCAGAGTTGGGATTGTTAAGCAATGCAAATGCACTAAAGATTGAATATAAATAAATACCAGTCAATGATACAATGATTAAAACATTATCAAAGCCTAAACAGATAAACACAGAGCCGATATTCATTTGAATTTATCAATCATTTACGTGTTGCTATTCGTCGGTATTGTAGTTTACGTATTTTGATCAGTGCCCATATAGTTGCAATCAATGAAATAATGATCAAACATAAATTGACGATTTCGATGATTGCAATACTGTAGAGAAGTTTCTTTGGTGTTTTGGATATCGAAGTAAATGGCCCGTGAGCTGATGGTGTTAGCGATGATCGATTTCGATAGGGTACAATAGCTGTTGTTGATTCAATAATAGGTAGTACAGGGTTGATGTCGTCACCGATTTTATTACGGAAAACGGCATAGAGTATGACGGATATGACCGTACCTGAGAAGATAATCATTCCAGCAAATAGACCTTTGATTGATGCATGACAGTTGACCATGAAGACGTTCTTCGTTGATGCTTTATCCGACATTTTGTACGAGAATGTTTTACCAATATTTTCCCAGATAAGGAAAAATAGCTAAATGTGAAAAAAGTTTTTTCCTGACTGAAAAAGTCTTTTCAATTGAGATTTACTGTCAAACACATGAGACTAAATTCAATCGTACATGGATAGAGCAATGGTTTCAATTTCATATACCCTTCGTTAATGTAAGCATTCATCAAAATAGTATCTTCTATTGCTTGTGTACAATGAAATTGATTGATAATGTTCTGACTGTATTTCAAGGAATAGTTGTTGTTCATTCCAGCAGGTTTACTTTGTCCAGTAGCCATTTCGTGAGCACTCATTTCCAATATCTGAGATTTGGTTTCGACGACGACCATACGAAACCTAAACAATGATTTGAAAAGTATCGTTCGAATGTTTCGGACATACCAAACACATAAGTTTGTAACTACGACATGCATGACAGCTAAACGTGCAAAATTTTCATGGGCTCGTATGATTAACTAAATTGAAATATCGATTTCATCTATCATAGTTTCGCGGACGAATGACATACATTTGAATGCTTGAAAATGAAGAAAAATTGAATAAAACTAAATAATAATCTGGAAAAGTCATCCATGACAGTCGTCCATCGTGCACAAGCTAAGATTTCCAGATTACTTAAGATTGATAAGCCTGAATGAATGACCGTTCCCAAGCAGAAGACTAAGTACAAAAAAAAACTATTTCATTGCTAAACACTTGATTTCTAATTTCTTACTTCCAGTACCAACACGAATATACAGACCACCAGCTGTTGAATGATCATCATAATTATATCCAATTATTCGTTGTACAATTGTATCTTTTCGATGTGATACATAATTTCTCAATGTATGCGTGCCAGTTGGATCTAAAACTTGTCGTCTCATGAGAACATTACGTGGTCTTGCCATTAGACTTGATAAACCATCTGATGATTGGCTATCGTCGTCTAACGTTGATTTGTTTGAATGGGATTCCTCATTGTCCGAATGATTTATCAGTTCCAAATTAAACTGCGGCATAGGGGCAAGTTTTCCATCGTGATGTTTGCAAAAGATATTCATTGGCATACGATTTGAATCTAGTTTATTGATACCTGCCAGATGAATATGTAGTTTGCGTTTATGACGAACAATGTCAATAATACAGAATACAATCCATGCAATGGATACCCAATACAGGTATGTAAAGTAAATCTGAAAACAGAACAAAAGCGAATATGAAAGAAAATTGATGTTTATAAGTTGCGTACTGCAGCCAAATGCTTAATATTTTCTCCTTGTTCTCGTGGAATCAATGCATGTGAGATTGAAAAAGCTACACCACCAATGAACACGACTGAAACAAACTAGATGAAGTTTTTCAAAGGACTTTTCTGGTTTTCGTCACCGACCTAATCCATAAAGAATACTAAAGATTTTGTAAAAATCAGCGTTTTCATCATTGTTTCTAGAACGGATCAGCACGGCGTACAGAAGTGGAAAAAAGTATATTTACTTACCGTCCTTGTACAAATGGATTAGGCCAGGTTCGCGGTTGCAGAAATGATCTAAGTCTAGGATTCTTCGATTTCTTCGATGTTTGAAAATCTGACTTTAAGGGAAGATCCTTTTCCGTCATAGTTGACTGTGCGATCTCTTTCAGTGAAGTTTTGTCTTCATCATCGATAAAGTTCTCCGATAGTGATGTATAATGTGTACTATGTTGTTCATATGATGGTTGATGTTTAGGCTCACTTGTAATTTCACTGTCCGTCGACGAAAGACAGTGATCAGAGAGATTGTTTATTTCCATCTCGTTCATTCTTTATTTGAATAATATGGTATATAAATGATTTTCACTCTAACATATTCTTAGTTTGTCTAGTAGTATTATTATCAAGTTATATATACAGGTACATACGTAACATACAACGTAATGAACACTTTGTTTTGCTCTAGACATACAGTTCATCGATTGACAAATGGTTTTAGTCTGTGCGCATAAAACCCATATAGATAGACACGCCTGGAGTAATTTTGATCAAAAGTTCAAAACTGACTATGTTGTTTTATATTGTTTTTCATCTTGAAATGTGATTGGAAGGTAGCTTTTTACTGCACGCTGCGCAAAGTGTGTCTCTTTCCTACCACTAACACGGAACACCTTTCGATCTCTCTTTATAGTAAGCTACGCTTAAGAACAGTCACTTTTATTTCGTATTTAGGAAGGAACACATCTTCTAAGTTAATATATAGGCTGATTAGTATCAGCCACGGTTTTGCTATGGTATTCATTCGTTGTCATAAGTGTTATATTTGGTAAACTCGTTGCATTTCGGCTTAGTAAACTTTAGGAAGCAGGTGGTATGCTTGGATTACCTTTTCCTGTGATTTTTTTTCTCAGCTTATGTGCTCTTTCTTCATACTATTCTGTCATCTTCTGGAAAGTGTGTTCCTTTCTGATAGAAAAAAGTTTGCTAAAAAGAACATCTGAGCTTGTTAATTGCGATTCGATCATGTATGGTGTCATACACACACCATCATGGCTTACTTTTATATATCATTTTAGAAAATTAAGATCAAATTCTCTTTTACATATATGTGATATATAGGTTGATTTTTTTTATTTATAAGCATGCACATTTCAGTACACACGTATAAGATGAAAAAAGAATGAAAGAGGCGCAATCAATCAAAATATATATATTTATTCTATAATCCCGACAGCGTAACTGGCTTTTCACTACCATAATTCATTGAATCTGTTCGGTACATTGCCGAAGTAGCATATGTTGACGTTGAGCCTGGTGCTGGTTGATGAAAAGGCGTGTCGATCGGACAATATTTGGTATCTTTAGCATTGACATGACTTGGAGCAACGAATTGTTCACCTGAACACTCGAGAACACATTATCAACATTGAAAGAGCAATATACGAATACGTACGAGTTTCGGTTGTAAGACCTGAATGAGGAATTATACGTGCAGGTTGATGAACTTGTCGGATTTTTGTTGGTGTCGAAAACCAAATCGCATCACGCATTGGCAATTGCTCCCGTTCAACACTATCAATTGGTAGTGGATTTGGTGAATTGCCAAAACCTCTTGATTTAGGATATTCTTCTGCATCCCAATAGGTCAACGGATCTTTTTTGCCAATGCCTTGCCATTCATCTCTATTAAAAGAAGTTTCACGTCGATTCTATGCTTTCGATTAGTACGAAAAACTGACTTTCTCCAGCGACGATGTTCTTTGTTATAGGTTGTTAAGTATGGATCCAGAAGAGTGAAAACGCCTTGTTCTGATGGATCCCATGTACGTGCAATCGAGGGTGGTTTTACTTGCCGATCATCCTCACGTATGGCCTAAATGCAGTCGATATTTTCAATTAAATTTTTTTTGTAGAAACTATGGCCATGTCGTTACTTTAGTCACAGGTGCATCGGGCCGTGTTAAATATGGCAACTGACCATCAATACGATCTAATTCGGATTTCATATTTGGTTTTGAATCGTATTCTTCCTTGTATTCACTCTTTTGATGAGCCATTGTTAACGGGTGACTCCAGCCATGCGCTTTAAGTTTTTCAACAAAGTCACTCATATAATTAACTAGAAAAGAAATATACATTGCAGAATTGGTTATTATCTAGACGGATACCTTTCCATAACGCAGGTGCTTTCTTGTGTATGTTTATTTGGTCGTTATAGATTTCTTGTTGAGGATATTTATTATCGTGATAGATCGCATTTGTTGTCTTGTAATGTTGTACAGGTGTAACTTCATCAGCCGATCGAAGTCGAGGTGGCAATGGGTCAGTAAATACTCGCTAGGTAATTCCAAGAGAAAAATAACGGTTATTTGGAAAATATATGTAAATGTACCCGAAAGTTTGATGAAGGAAAATAATATCCTGGTCGATATTGATGACCAACTCCGCTACTTGTTTGAAAGAGATCTTGTCGACGTTCAGCTGAATTTGAATCGAGCATGTTGCAGTTGATAAGAAAAAAGAATCTACAAACAACAAGTATATGTGATTTCAAACTATTTTTTCATTGTCAACTGCTGACAGAATTTTGTTACTAAGCAATTTCATTTATTCTTTTCAACGTTGTCGCTAGTTCTCACAAAATCCAACAAATATTTCATTGGCGTTTAACATCCAATAGAATAGAAACAGAAAATGTTTCAATTCTAACAACGTCATCGACTCTGTGCTTATTGTACCTTTCGCAATGATGTTTTCAAATGACGGATTTCTCACTGACAAAACTTCATCTTCAAATTCGGGCCAAACACACGTATTTACTTCGTTCCCAAACTCTGCTGTCGATCCCGATGACGAACATTTCGGAAATCAATCATCCGACACGGACAAACTTGTACTTCCATTGCCAGCAACAGCAACTGACGCGAAACCCGAACAATCATACGTCTGGCAAATAGAATACTATCAGAAATACTTTCAAATCGATACTCAACAAGTATTGGAACGTTTAGCGGCTTCCGTTACTCCACGCCCCAATAAATCCTATTTTGATTCGACCATTCGACAAAATCCTGATTTGTATGGACCGTTTTGGGTTTGCATAACATTTATCGTGACTGTGGGAATCAGTGGAAATATTGTTAATTATTTTCATCTACCCGATGTCGAATTTCAAATCGATTTTTCACGAATAACTCTTTCTGCAATTGTAAGTACAACAAAAAATAAGCACAATGTCCTCTTCAGTAAAACTCTCGTTTCTTTAGCTTGTTTGTCTATATTGGTGGTTGATGCCAACATTTATTTATTTCTTCTTTCGATGGCGTTTAAATCGTATTGAATATACATTCTTAGAATTACTCTGTCTTTATGGTTATAGCTTAGCTATATTTATTCCTGTATCTGTTTTGTGGATTATTCCGATTAATTGGTTACAGTGGACGTTGACATTCATTGCATCATTAGTCAGTGGTAGTGTTCTAGTTGTAACGTTTTGGCCAACAATTAATTCGGATCATAAACGTCTCAGTGCCATATCGATGTTGGTTGTTCTGTTAGCACATCTACTCATGGCAGTTTGTATTATGTTTGTGTTCTTCCATATTTCCGATAGTAATATCAACCCGAAATCAGTTACAACGCTCGCCACGACAACTCTATCATCAATGTCAACATTAACAGCAACAACAACAACAACAGCAACAATAACACCGAAAACGGCTTAAAGTTTTAACGAACATTCCTCGTATTTATATATTGGTATTTGAATATATGTGATAAATAAAATACGAATAAAATATTTATCATTATTTGAGCGTTTTATGTTAATTTGTTTTCATTTTAGATAAGAAAACCTAGAGAGAAGATCATGCCGCCAAAAAAGAAAGAAGAAGCTAAACCGAAGACCCTCATCGGTCGTGTTGGTACTAATCTAAAGATGGGTATTGTTGGTCTTCCTAATGCTGGGTTCGTTTTCATGTTTTTTTTATCAATACCGACTGTTTTCTTACCTATCGTATTTGTACAGAAAGTCTACATTCTTCAATATACTTACAAAATCAAGTGTACCAGCTGAAAACTTTCCCTTTTGCACAATCAATCCAAACGAAAGTAATGGCTAAGAAAAAAAAGAACATATCAGTTGATCATTGAAATATCTCCTAGGTCGAGTGCCCGTGCCCGATTCACGCTTTGACTTCTTATGTGAACATTACAAACCAGCAAGGTAAATCTTCTTTCAAAATATCTAACAAAATTCTCATTTGTTGTCTCAACTGTAGCAAACAACCGGCATACCTTAACGTAGGCATCACTGGCACAGTTTCGTTTGTTCATTTCTTTTCGTTTACTAAACGCTAGGTAGTTGATATTGCTGGACTTGTGAAAGGTGCCAGTGAGGGACAAGGTAATTTCTTCGAAAGTAATTTGATCGATTAGTTATTTTCATACGAAATGTAGGTCTCGGAAATGCTTTTCTTTCGCATATAAAAGCATGTGATGGTATCTTCCATATGGTTCGCCTTTTCGATGAACCTGATATTGCTCATGTCGAAGGAAATGTCGATCCTATTCGGGATATTGAAATCATCCACGATGAATTACGGTAAAGTCTTTGCTTCACTAAAAGAGAATATGTTGAATAGATTGTTTTCCTGATATATAGATTGAAAGATCTTGAGATGGGTAAGAAGAGTGGCGACGATTTAGAGAAAAAGGTTGTACGTGGAAACGATAAAACACTCAAAGCAGACTATGTATGATCTCTTTTGAAAACATTTAAGAAGAACATTGTTTGTCATGTCTTTTCTAGGAAACCATGAATAAAGTCTTGGGCATGCTAAACGAAGAGAAGGGCAATGTTCGTTTTCACGACTGGAATGAAAAAGAAATTGAAGTATTAAATAAACATCTGTTCAACACTTCGAAACCTATGGTTTATCTCTTAAATATGTCGGAAGAAGACTATATTAAGAAGAAAAATAAATGGTTAGGTAAAGTTAAACAATGGATTGATGAACATGATTCGGGTGCAACTGTGATACCGTTCAGTGCTAACTATGAGTATCGTCTTATCGATCTATCCGATGAAGAACGTGAAAAAGTTGTCAAGGAAACAGGTGCACCGAGGTAACAGACTTCGTTCTTGCGAAATTATGTCTTATTCGATGTGTGTATTTGTAGTTGTTTGGAAAAGATTATTCTTGCTGGTTATCGTGCATTGCAGTTATGTTACTTTTTCACTGCTGGTGAATATGAAGTGAAGGCATGGACGATACAAGTCGGAACAAAAGCACCACAAGCTGCCGGCCGTATTCATACTGATTTCGAGAAAGGTTTCGTCATGGCTGAAGTCATGAAATTTGACGATTTTAAACAATTTGGAAATGAAAATGCTGTTAAAGTGAGATGACCCTACCATCGAATCGTATTCGTTGATTTGTTCATGATGTTCTAGGCTGAAGGAAAATACCGTCAACAAGGAAAAAATTATGTTGTTGAAGACGGAGATATCATCTATTTTAAAACTAATACCGGTGGCGGATTGAATGCTGCGAAAAAATAGATGAAATTTTGTTTTTCTTGCTTTTCCTAAATAAACTTGAACCGTATGACAATTTCTTGTTCTTTTTTTCAGATATGTCGTGGAATTCCGAAGGTTTCTTTGATCCGAACTCATACAATCAACAATATGCAGGTCCAACGGCGTACGAGCTGCAACAACAACAACAACAACAACAGCAACAGCAACAGCAGCAACAATATCCTGCAGCTCCTCAATCACACGCTCCTTATGCCGGTGGTGGCTTCATGCCATCTCAATACAACATGAACAACCAAGTCAACCCTAATCAATTTTATCGACCAGAAGACTATTTACCCCAACCTGTTAACCCAACAGGTGAAAGTGAAGAGGAATTACCTTTACTTGAAGAATTAGGTATCAATTTCGATCATATATTCAAAAAGACAAAATCTGTTTTGAATCCGTTTGCAAAACCTGATGCATCAATTCTCGACGATGTTGATCTGGCTGGCCCATTGGTCTTTTGCCTTGCATTTGCATCCAGTCTTTTATTATTAGGCAAAATCCATTTTGGTTATGTTTATGGTATTGTCACGTTGGGTACAGTTGGAATGTACGGATTGTTAAACATGATGGCATCTCCCGATAAACCATGTTCTGGTTTATATGTAACTAGTGTACTTGGTTATTGTCTCTTGCCAATGGTTATTCTATCATTTTCCTCATTTTTATTTAAATTGAATGGTTTAGTCGGGTTAATAATTGCATCGGTATTTATTATATGGTGTTCTCTATCCGCTTCGAAATTATTTGCTACATCGTTGGCTATGATCGGGCAACAATTACTAGTCGCATATCCTTGTGCTCTATTTTATGGAGTTTTTGCTTTATTAACCATCTTTTAAACAGGAGAAAAATAAACAAATATGACTCTTGCGTCTAATATTGCACCATATTTTTTTTGAATTTCATGAAGACAAACGTACGTCTATCCATACAAGGAGTGTATCGTTTTCGTCCAGAATTTTTTCTTTGCCATAACTTCCTTTTTTGGTAATTTTCTACTCGTAAAAACTACGTTTACTTCAATCAAAAAGAAATTGCACAATTTTATTTCGATGACTCAGTCCTTTTCAAGGCTCAGAAAAAGGTAGACAACACGGATGCATTGCCTTATATGGTGTTGTGAGTAGCAACTTTTCAGTCACACTTGGTGCTATATAAAGATCGACCGACTGAGCTACATCAATCCATCTAATACATTCACATTTGATACATTCAACAACTACTATAACAGCATGTCGTACAATTCCAGTGATGAGCTCAGTGCCATTGTCATTGATAATGGTTCTGGTATGGTGAAAGCAGGTTTCTGTGGTGAAGATGCACCACGAGCTGTCTTTCCAGCTGCTGTAGGTCGACCACACTATACTGCTATCATGCCTGGTATGGGTAACAAAGATTCGTATATTGGTGATGAAGCACTAGCAAAAAAAGGCATCTTAACTATCCGTTATCCAATCGAACACGGCATTGTTACCAATTGGGATGATATGGAGAAAATCTGGCATCATACATTTTACAATGAACTTCGTGTTGCACCTGAAGAACATCCAGTTCTTCTTACTGAAGCACCACTCAATCCAAAAGCGAACCGTGAAAAGATGACTCAAATTCTTTTCGAGCAATTCAACACACCTGGTAAAATCTTACCTACGAGTCTCATGTATATGTTCACTATTCGGCGATGTTTTCCTTTTCAGCCATGTATGTGGCCATTCAAGCTGTTCTATCACTCTATGCTAGCGGTCGAACAACCGGTATTGTGTTCGATAGTGGCGATGGTGTATCGCATACAGTTCCCATCTATGAAGGTATGCTGCTAGTTTTTCTTATGTGAATGATAATGTGATTTTGTAGGGTATGCTTTGCCACATGCCATCAGTCGTCTCGATCTGGCGGGACGTGATCTAACTGACTGGATGGTTCGTTTGTTGACTGAACGCGGCTATGCATTCAACTCGACAGCCGAACGTGAAATTGTGCGAGATATCAAAGAGAAACTATCGTACGTTGCACTTGACTTTGAACAAGAACTCGGCACAGCGAGTCGATCCAGTTCAATTGAAAAGAACTATGAATTACCCGATGGCCAAATCATTACCATTGGCAACGAACGATTTCGATGTTCAGAAGCACTATTTCAGCCAGCTGCTCTTGGTCGAGAAGAAGCTGGTATTAGCGAAATGGTGTACAACACTATTATGAAATGTGATATCGATATTCGAAAAGAATTGTATCAAAATATTGTTCTTTCCGGAGGTAAAAGTCAAACGGATGTAGATGTTAACTAGACTTGATTTGTAAATCTTTTGTAGGAACAACAATGTTTCCCGGTATGGCTGATCGAATGCAAAAAGAACTGACAGCATTAGCACCATCAGCGATGAAAATTCGCGTCATTGCACCACCTGAACGAAAATATGCTGTGTGGATTGGTGGTTCTATTCTTAGTTCATTATCAACATTTCAAACTATGTGGATATCTAAGCAAGAGTATGACGAATCTGGCCCATCTATTGTACACAGAAAATGCTTCTAATCGAACTTCTTCTCCTTGTTATCAAATTGCTTGTTTCATTTTTGTATTCTTATTCTAAAATAAAGTCTATAAAATAGAATCATCTTATTTCAACACAATGCAGATTTTGATTGTTGTTCGATTTCAAATGTGACGTGTGTGGTATTGAAACTCTTTTCGATGACGGCTTTTCGTAAACTAAAATAACAGAACAGAAAGGAGACGTCTTTTAATAGCAACATCCACCATAAAGTCACCATAATTGGTTGCCGCCACCGCCATTCACTACAATCTTTACAACGAGCTGTAAAGCGGTTGCCTTTTATCTAAAGTACTGTGGAATCTGAGTGAGTAGCAAAAGTATGGAGAATAAACGACCAGTTGTTATTGACAACGGTTCTGGGATAATCAAGGCTGGTTTTGCGGGTGATAGCCATCCGTGCGCGATTTTTAGTACTACTGTTGATCGTCATTCATATTCTCCGATCAATACAAAACATGCCGGATCGTTTCGAAATGTAGCAGATAAAATATCAGATGCGAAAGAATGTGCACATATCTATTATCCAATAGAACATGGCATAGTGGCAAACTGGGATGCCATGGAAAAAATCTGGTACCAGATATTCTACAACGAACTTTGTATTGCACCCGAAGAACATCCAGTTCTACTTACTGAGGTGCCACTCAACCCAAAAGGGAATCGCGAAAAAATGGTACAAGTCTTATTTGAGAATTTCCAAATACCTGGTAAAAATATTTCTTTCGCTGATCGAATATTAAAGCATTCTACGAGTAATTGTTGTGTATTTAGCACTGTATGTGGCAATTCAAGCTGTGCTTTCATTCTATGCATCCGGTAGACGAGTTGGTATTGTGCTCGACAGTGGCGACGGCGTTTCAAGCACTGTACCTATTTTTGATGGTTAAACATCGCTTTGTGGTGATCCTATTTCTTAACTATCAGAATTATAGGTTGTCCCATCCATCATGCAATAAATCGTCTTGATCTTGCTGGACGTGATGTGACAAATTCCATGATGCAACTGTTCACACAACGAAACTACTCCTTCTCGACTACAAGTGAACGTGAAATAGTCCGAGACATCAAAGAAAAACACTCGTATGTTGCGCTAGACTTCGAAAACGAATTAGCGAGTGAGAAGAACTACGAACTGCCTGATGGTCAAGTGATCACTATTGGTAGTGAACGCTTTCGTTGTTCAGAACTACTTTTTCAACCAAGACTATTCGGGTATCAAGAATTAGGTGTAGCTGAAATACTCTATGATTCAATTAAAAAATGCAGTTCTGAACAGCAACAACAATTTCTTCGAAGAATAGTTCTTTCCGGCGGTAAGCTGGTGGACATTTTAGCCATCGAGATTGTGAATAAATATTGCTTTCGTATAGGTACAACAGCGTGTCTCGGGTTTTCCGATCGAGTGCTAAAAGAGCTCAGAGCTGTCATTCCATCTGTTCCTAGAATTCGTATCATCGGACAGTCAGAACGAATGCTTGCTACTTGGATCGGTGGTTCAATCATTAGTTCATTATCAATATTTCCAACAATGTGTATATCAAAGCGAGAATATGATGAATCTGGTCCATCCATTGTACATAGAAAATGTTTCTAGTTTTTACATGTCTGTGACTCGGATATTGCTCAACGTTTTTTCCGAAATACAATAATATAAAAAAGAAAATTTCGAATACCTTATATAGGCATGTGGTTGTTAGCATTGCATTTTATCTTGATTGGCCAAAATAATATCCATTCATTCATATGTCGAAGAGAAGAATCGATAGTTTAACCTGTTCCATAATATTTAGCATTTTAGGATTTACTAGACGAGAAAGAAAGGCACGTTGACAGTATAATGTCATTCCTTTGGAATGATGACATCAGTCGGATTGTTGTTGATATTGGTTCTGGAAACATTCATGCTGGATTTGCTGGCGATGATGCTCCTCGTGCAGTTATTCCTAATATAATTGGATGTTGTCGGCGTCAAAGTTCGTCTCCAACAGAAACAGGTCAGACGGATTCATTGATTGGATATAAATTATTGACCAAAAAAGAATATTATAACATTCGTTATCCAATTGAACATGGAATAGTGTCAAACTGGGATGACATGAAAATGGTATTGGATCACATATTCCATAGTGAGCTTAACATCCGACCAGAAGAACATCCAATTTTACTATCCGAGCCATCATTAAACCCAATAGGACATCGAGAAAGAATGACACAGCTAATGTTCGAACAGTTCAAACTTCCTGGTAAATACCTTTTCTTTATTGTATTCAACACTAACGACTTCTCCAAACGTAGGAATGTACATAGCCAAACAAGGTATTCTTTCATTTTACACATTGGGCCGATCATCGGGTATTGTTATTGAGAGCGGAGATGGTGTTACACAAACATTACCCATATGTGAAGGTATATACACAATTGGTGCATAGTTTTCTTTGGAAATATTAATTCATTTTCAGGATATGCAATGCATCGTGGAATAACACGTTTAGATCTTGGTGGACGTGATTTAACTAATTGGATGGCAAGATTATTGGCTCAACGTGGTTATGCTTTTGCCACGGCAGCTGAACGAGAAATAGTTCGAGATATGAAAGAAAAACATAGTTACATCGCTTTAGATTATGATGAGGAGATGACATTAACAAAACGATCAAGAAACTTTCATAAAAGTTATCAATTACCCGATGGTCAAGAAATAACTATTAGTAACGAACGTTTTCAATGTCCTGAAGCACTCTTTAATCCAAAACTGATGGGTGAAACAGAACCAGGTATAGCTGACCTAGTCTATAATGCAATAATGAATTGCGATATTGATATCAGACGTGATATGTTCTGTAATATTCTTATGTCCGGAGGTGGGTGCACTTTTTTCTTACTTGCGTAGCAACACCTAGTACGTTTTCATTCTTTGAAGGAAACACGATATTCCCCGGTATTGCTGATCGAATGAAAAAAGAATTAACAGCGAAAGCTCCACCAAGCGAGAAAGTTCGAGTAGTTGCCGCGCCTGAACGAAGGTATTCGGCATGGATCGGTGGTTCAATTTTGGCTTCGTTATCAACATTTCAAAAGATGTGGATTTCAAAAGAGGAGTATGACGATGTTGGTCCAACGATTGTACATAGGAAATGTACGTAACTGTAAGAACGAGTTTAAAAAATATTTTCTTATATAATAAACTTGATGTGACATAATCAAACGATGTTCTTCTCTTACTCTATTAAAACTGAAAGATAATTGATTCCTTATATTTCTTGATTTATACGAGCATGATAGTTCTTCATTATCGGTATAACAATGCCCATTCACTCATAAATTTTGTTGGCTCTCATCACCACATAATTGATTTCAGAGTAATTTGTTTTTTTCTCTCCGATAAAATGTCATTGCGCCAGAGCAATGAATTCGATGCGTTTGTTATTGATAATGGCTCTAGAATCGTCAAAGCTGGTTTCGCTGGCAATGATCAACCTCGTGCAGTCTGTCGGACAACATAGTCATCTTTCAACGTCATCTAAAATTGCCATTAATAAATTTTATATTGTTAACGAAGCATTAGCCAAAAGAGATATTTTAACTATTCGTCATCCGATCGAATACAGTATTGTTACCAATTGGGACGAAATGAAAAAAATCCGGCAGTAATATGTTCTACAATGAACTTCGTGTTACACCCGAAAAATATCTAGTTCTTCTTACTGAGACGCCGCTTAGTCCAAAAGGAAATCGCGAAAAGATGATATACAGATCTTATTTGAACAATTTAACGTACCCTGTACGAGAAAAAACTCTTTCACATATTTATTTAGAGTTTTCTTATTCGTTCGTTTTTGCTCCTCTAGAATTATACATGGTAAGAAATAGTTTGATACTGGGAATTGATGATGGTGTATCACACACAATTTCTATAAATGAATGCAATAAATCTTGCTGGACGTGATGTGACAAATTCCATGATGCAACTGTTCACACAACGGAACTACTCCTTCTCAACTACAAGTGAACGTGAAATAGTCCGAGACATCAAAGAAAAACACTCGTATGTTGCGCTAGACTTCGAAAACGAATTAGCGAGTGAGAAGAACTACGAACTGCCTGATGGTCAAGTGATCACTATTGGTAGTGAACGCTTTCGTTGTTCAGAACTACTTTTTCAACCAAGACTATTCGGATATCAAGAATTAGGTGTTGTCGAAATGATAGAGTACCATTATGAAAAGTGATATCGATACTCGATCAATTCTATACTCAAATATCTGCTTATCTGGCTGTGAGTTTCTGTCAAAGAAAAACTTATGATTAATGCATCTTTATAAATTTTTTGTCAGTATGAAGGCAGAACGGAAACTCCTGGATTTACTGAAAGGCTGCGGAAAGACCTCATCAAAATAATCCCAACGACTCAAACTGTAGGAATTGATGCATCATCTGAAGATCAACATGCTGCATAGATTGGTAGTTCGATTTTGGCATCAATAGCCACGGTGCGAAGAATGGGGATTTCTCGAGAACAATATGATCAATTCGGTCCGTTATATGTACGTAAACACTGCTTTTTATAATGAACGGGAAATGTATCGTAACACTAAAATAAACGTGTTACATTGCATAATCTTATCTTTTCTACAGATGTCAGGCGTAAACAAACGAGATAACATAGAGCGACAAACATATAGTAACTATTTTTCCAATTCGATCGCTTGATTTTTTCCTACGTCTTCACCTTCACTTCATTCATTCCTTGTTTTTCTTAACGTAAAATTCGATCAATTGATTGATAACTTAAGCTACATGGCTGGTCAACAATCAAATGATAAACGTGTAAGTGATTGATGATATTGATTTCTGCTAAGCCAAAAACCTGCCTCAAAAACAAAACCAAAATCGATACTATTTTGTAGCACGATGCATCTGCTGCTCGTCCTTCTCCATCGGGTGGTGCAAGTGGTGACAATCAAGCGCGAAAACGTTTATTTTCCAAAGAACGTAAGACGAACTTCTTTTTTGAAACTCGACAGCACTATTTCTCGTGTCCATTCAGTTCGCAATATGATGTACGGTTTTGGTGATGATCCGCAACCTTACGCTGAATCAGTCGAACTACTCGAAGATCTCGTTATCCAATATATTACAGATATGGTAAATTACTTTCGACGAAATCGTTTTTCCTCATAGTCAATTTTGAACTTTTCAATAGACATTAAAAGCATCAGAAATTGGTAGTAACAAACAAGGTCGTATGGTCGTGAATGACATCTTATATTTACTTCGGCATGATCCAAGAAAATATGCACGTGTGAAAGAACTTTTATCGATGAATGAAGAATTGAAACGTGCTCGCAAAGCTTTTGATGAACCATCAAAAGGTCTTGAATAAATTGTAAATAAACAATATTTTTTTCTCTTCAGATATAAAAAAAAAGAGAGATGAAAATTTATCTTTATCTGTTTGTTTGCCTACATCTATTTGTCCTTCGTGTTCATTCATTAATCGATGGGCTCTATTGTGGCCGAGAAAGCTGTTATGACTTGCTAAACGTCACGCGAGAATCGAGTAAACAAGAAATTGTCAAAGCTTATCGAGCATTGGCGAAGAAATACCATCCAGACATGGCAAAAACAGTTGAAGATAAGCAACTCTACACCGAACGATTTCGTGCATTTGCAAATGCATATGAAATCTTGAAAGACGAAGAAACTAGAGTGGATTATGATCGTATGTTGGATAATCCTAACGAGTTAGTCATTTACTTTTCCTTCTAAAGTAATAATTCACGTGATTACTTTCTCTTTGTTAGATATTATACACATTATTACCGATATTATCGTCATCGATATGCTCCGAAAGTGGATGTTCGTCTTGTTTTGTTCATTCTCATATCTGTTATTAGTGCAATTCAATATTATAGGTTCGTCGTTTTTGCACCGCATATTATTCGATTCTTAAAATGTGTTGTTTTTCATAGTCAATATAGTAATTACAATGCTGCAATTGATTATCTTGTGACCGTACCAAAGTATCGTATACAAGCTCAGGAAATTGCTCGCCAAGAAGGTTTATTAGGTAATGCTGATACATCGAAGAAAGCACGTGGACGGAAAGCAATTAATAAACAAGAAGAAGAAGCTATCATAAGACAAATAGTCGAACAGAAACTTGATATCAAAGGTGGTTACAAGAAACCAAGTATGTTTTACTTTGCTGTTTAATCTCTCAGCTGCAGTTCTATTTCAAGGTATTACACGTATTCTTTGGCTTCAAATGCTCTTGCTTCCGTATTATCTGTTTTTGAAATTAAAATGGCATATTCGTTGGTTTTTCAAATTTCATCTGAATAAGCATGAATTAGGTGATGATGAAAAGATCTATTTGATATGCTGTTATTTGAAAATCAATCGCGAACAATTCGATTCGTTACCTGAAAAAGAACAAGATCAGTTATGGACTCAGCAGACTTGGATCAAAGAAAATTTTCTTGAATGGAAACGGGAAAAAGATGAAGAACAAAAGAAGAAATTAAATGAATCGGGTCGTTATAAAGCTTATCGTCGTTATATGAAAAGTGGTGGACCAGGACAAATAACATTTGATGCGGATTAAATTGTTATTTATTCTTTCTTACAGTCAGATTTTTGCTTTTCCAATTAATTCTTTTAATACAAACGAAAAAAGAAATATATATTTATATCTATATATATATATATATAATTTACAATCGGCAAATAGATGATCAGATATCTAAAGACTACACCAACGAAAAGAAGAAAGAAACTGAGTATCGACCACTGTGTACAAGACATATAAGAAAATTAATTACTACTAAACGTCATCGACTATTTAATATCATTTTCTGTCGTTATTGAAGTATGGTTTCGTTTTAAAGAGGTAACAGCTCGATCTGGTCCGTACGCCACAGACATATTCGATTCGAGATTAAGCGACTTTTTCACTTGACATCGATTGAGAATATCATTTAAACGTGTATCTTCACCTGATATGACATGACTAGGAGGAAAAAAGTTCGTCATCAATCGATATTATCATTGTTCAAATAGAATATTTACTCGCGTTTTAAATGTTGTCTCATTAGCATACGAGATTTGCAACCAACGGAGCAAAAACAACAAACATAAGTATCAAAATCTTGATGGTAAACCATATGTGAAGTTAATTTATCTTTACGAAAGAAGAAACGACCACAAATATTGCATCCGTACCGGACTTGTCGATCATGTATCGACATCTTGTGACGAACCATTGTATGAACACTACTAAAAACCTTACTACCTGAAAGTGAAAGACACAGAGATTCAAATCATTTTAATGCATTTGTCACATACAAACTGGACACGCCGCTTTCGTATCATATCGAGCTGGAACAGTTTCGTCCTAGTGATTAAAAATACATCAAAGTCAACGAGCAACAATAAATGACTTTCTCCTTACCAATTCCTCTTGAAAAGGATCAAACAATGGCGAAACAGCGGGCGACGGAGGTGTATCAGAGTTCTCCAATGTCTAAAAAACGGTAGATTCTGTGTAAATATTCATGGTCTGAACTTTCAAATCGACTCGGTTATGTTCTCTTTTAGATTAAAAACATCGAAGAGCAGTTTCCCTAAGAATGACATTTGACTGCAAGCGAAAAACTAATCGAATACGATGAATGACCTTCTTCGTCAAGACAACATCTGGATAATGTTAGATATGAGCAGTTCCTTTCTGAGTGATTTGACCTGTTAAAGGTTACATCTATTTACACGAAAGAGTGTGAAAATCTTCGGTAGAACTTTCAAGTTATCTGACATGATGATATTCTCGGATTCAGATGAACTATCAGAAGAGTTGACTCTATGATGATTGTTAATTGAGATGAAAACTTCTCTATGACATACATTCACTGTGGCATCAGATATGCACATGCCATTGTTGGCGTGTTCTTGACCAAGAAGAAGACTATTGAACGTTTCGTGACATTGAGTACATTTGAAATGAGTTGGTCCTGTCGGTGAACATGCTCGAGAATCAGTAAAGGCGAGAAGCATAGGTCGTCTATGAATTGTGGCAACTGTCTTGCCCATATCTCCATCATGAAGCAGAGCAGGTGTGGGTGATAATGGTTCATTACTAACGGGTTTCAATGTTATCATTTGTTGCTGTTCCTGTCTATCATCATCATGATTATTATTAGTTGAATTGGTTAGAGTACTGTTAGCAGTACTTGAAAGCGAAGGTGTTGTCCATAAGTCGTTTGAGTAAATAAAATTTGAGATTGTTGTTTTATGCGGCGATAGAACAGCTTCGATATCTTCCAAACATCTCGAATCATCGCTCGATAATTCAATATCACTTTCACCACGATTTGAGTCCGCAGTTATCAATTCTTAACAGAAGAAAAACGACGAAAGAAATCGAAAATTTGCTCGGACATCTTCAACAATCTTACCTGGACTATTTTCGTAATTCTTCATATTCGCTGTTGACCATGGTACAACTAACGGTGATGAATTAAATGTAGTTGTTGATGCGGAGGTCGATCCTGTCGCTATGGTATGTGCCGTATCCAAGAGGGATGTACGCGACCGTTTCGAAACGGATTCTTGTAAATGCTGTAGATGTTTCAGATCAGTTTTGAGTGAAAGCATAGGCGTTGCAGGCGGAGAACTAGCATCAACATTTGTCGTTTCACGAATTGTTATTTCAGTAGAAAAAGATCGACCGCATGGACACACAAATCGTTGACCATTGTGTATCTTAGTTGGTGTTTGATTTGGAGCTGAAGATAAAGACAAAATCTCATTGTGTTATTTGCATACGAAATTCCTAAATCTTTAAACAATTCAAACTTACAAAAAGTCGAATCTCGATATTTCGAAAGGATACCATCGAGCCATCTCATCAATAGATCAATTTGATGTGTTTTCGTCTGTCCGATAGCTTTACTAACAATCAATTGAATTTCTTCAAATTCCATTATATTTAGGCTAGAACTAACAATAAAAGTACTTTAATTTACAATCGTAACCAAAATCATCGTGACATGTTTTTTTTCTTTTCTCATCTAATAAATAAAACAAACATCCAGCGCCGCGTATCGGCAAACTCATTCGAACATGTGGCGCTTCTTACTCGTCATTGGTTTCTATTGAGTATACAAAGAAAGAAATAACATCAGTTGTTGCTTTACGAGCAGAAATGGAAAGAAAAGAGAGGACAATATGTTGATGATGGTTCAATGCACCCACACATCAGCTGAAATTTTTTCTTCGTCGTTTTAGATTGTTTTTTTTTCTTTCAAAATATATCTTTATCGACTGGCCATTGATTTGAAATCATGTTTAATCGTCAATAGATCTCTCTTCATTGCTGCTTCTTCAGTGTGCTTTTCTGTTTGTTGCTCCTTCCCTAATTAAATAAACAAGATTATGGAATTACGTGTTGGCCATAAATATCGTCTCGGACGCAAGATTGGTTCAGGATCATTTGGTGATATTTATCTTGGAACAAATATTACAACGAATGAAGAAGTCGCGATTAAATTAGAATGTGTCCGCACAAAACATCCTCAATTACACATTGAGTCGAAAATCTATCGTTTGATGCAAGGCGGGGTGGGAATCCCCTTGATCAAATGGTGTGGCGCGGAAGGAGACTACAACGTTTTAGTTATGGACTTGCTCGGACCATCGTTGGAAGATCTATTCAATTTTTGCTCAAGAAAATTTTCGCTCAAAACGGTCCTTTTACTTGCTGACCAAATGGTATGTAATCGAATTGCATTTCGTTTTGTGAACATACGTTCTAAACACGAACGATATTATCAACGTTTGTGTTATGAAGATGAAGAAAAAGATACTTTTTTCGCACTCTAGTAGACAGGAGTTATATATAGCGTCAATGTGGGCGATGTATGTCTCTTCTTACCTTAAGTGTCAACGCGTTCTTCAGTGTCTTGACAGGATTCTCAAGTGAATAGGATTATTATTTTTTTATTTATTCTAGGTTAGTCGAATTGATTTCATTCATTCAAAAAATTTCATTCATCGAGATATTAAACCAGGTATATGATTATATTTAATCATTCAACGAAATCATTCTTGTTCGATTCGACATCTTTAGACAACTTTCTAATGGGCCTTGGTCGAAAAGGCAATCTCGTGTATATTATTGACTTTGGCCTTGCGAAGAAATATCGAGATGCACGTACACATCAACATATACCCTACCGAGAAAACAAAAACTTAACTGGCACGGCACGTTATGCTTCAATCAATACTCATCTCGGCATTGGTTCGTTGTTTTTCTTTCGAATTCGAAGATTAGAATAGAGAAAGAGAATAAATTACCTCGTAATTATGATATATTACCGTTGATATGGATGACAGAGTGATAGCAGATTATCTTTGTTTACGCGTTCTCTTCTGTACCTACAACTTTCCAAGTCTATCTTCTACATGCTATGAATAGAACCGACTCGAATATTTGTTCTTAATCTAATAATATCTTTTGTTGTTTGATTAGAACAAAGCCGACGAGATGACATGGAATCACTTGGCTATGTACTAATGTACTTCAATCGTGGAAGTCTTCCGGTAAGATGAAAAACAATTTTTCACGCATTGGAAAGTATCTTTTTTTTACAATTGATTATAGTGGCAAGGTTTGAAGGCAGCAACAAAACGTCAAAAATACGAACGAATTAGCGAAAAGAAAATGGCGACACCCATCGAAGAATTATGTAAAGGTTTTCCTGGTAAGATTTGCTTTAAATGTCAACTTCTCGGTTCACTTGTTTTCTCTTTTGCCAAAATAGAATTCACAACATATTTATCCTATTGTCGTTCATTACGATTTGATGATAAACCCGACTATTCGTATGTAGAAGTGTAAATACGAAATTCCGTACAAAAAATGTTTCATTTCTTCTAGATATTTACGACAATTATTTCGTAATCTATTTCATCGACAAGGTTTTACGTATGATTATGTTTTCGATTGGAATCTTCTCAAATTCGTACGTTAAATATACGTCTTCTCTCTTCTCGCTAAGCGCCACAGCCTACCTAAAGACGATCAGTTCAGCTCGAGATCAGATTAATTAGTCCTTAAGCGGTAGCTCTTCTCTTTATAGTACTTGTTTTGACAACGACCCATTAACAAAGCGTATCAGACACGACCTCAGAAGAATAATTTGCTGTTTATTTTCTCCTCTAAATTATGACAGAAGAAACCTTGTAGTTCAGAGGTAACACGAGTTTGCTTTTCGATAATGAGTATATGAAAAGCAACTGCATACTCAATGATCCTCAATTTTGCTTTTTTTTTAAAATTAGAATGGTCAACGCTTTGATCAGAACAGTGCTAATGATGAAGCAGGAAATAAATACGAAAGCAATGGTTATGGTGCTAGTGGTAATTCGCAACAGCCAGTCTATACTAGTACAAACAATCAAGGTGAGTAACATATCCAATCGAATTTGGTTTATTTGTTTTTGTTCTGATTGCGTATCTGTCTAAATATGTCCTAACTCGTAAGAATAGAAAGTAATGACGTGATCCTTGCTCCAATTGTTCAAAATCAATCGTTCAGCGTGAATGATGAAAACGGTCGAATAAACAACGAAAAAGATGATAAACGAAAAAAACTCCACAAATCATTATCACATCACAACTATAATAGTAAAAAGACGATTGTCAATTATGATCGCCTCAAAAAAACAGTCTCAACTGGCAATGTCTTTAGTCGTTTGATGCACAGTGAGCCGCATGTTCAGACGAAAAACATCTCGAACGGCTGATGCTTATCTTTTTTTGTTTTTAAAAAATAATCTATTCGCTGCTATTAACTCATCCAATGACAAGACGTTTCTTTGCATCGATATACAATCTATTTATTCTCTTTGCTTTAGAATTTACTGAGAATGAATTACCATCAAGCAAAACCAAAATGAAATAATTAGATGAGATAAAGACAGATAGAAAGAGAGAGAGAGGTAGTGATTATTGATGTATGAATTGAGTTTCTTCTTTATTCGATTGTCCATGCACACGTTAATATTCTTTACACGCCTAACGCCTTCTTTAATGCTTTTAAAATCATTCTTGCTTGAATGTACTTTTTCTTTGAATAGCTTGAAAGACGAACATTGAAAAGAATTTTGTTTTTGTCAATGTTTTCGTTTTAGGTGTGTATCGACGAACGCCGAAAGATTTGCATCAAGTTCAACCACCAAAATCAACGTCAAATAATTCGAAACAATACCTGCCCAGTGGAACCGATGCAGGTCGATCGTCGTCAGTGCGTGTTAATAAGAAGTAGTGTTGTAATCACACAGATTTTCTTTCTGTTTGTTTCTTTTTTTTCATCAGTGTACAGCGCCTGTTTCTATTTCCTTTTTGTCTGTTTAACTCATCTTCTTGAAAACCAATTCTACATAGGAAACCAAAAAGCCATTGAGCTTCTTCGTGTTGCGATAATATCTGAATTTTTTTTTGTCTCTTTATATCAAAGCATCGACCTGTGAACAGTGTGAGTGTGCGCGCGTGTGTGTGTGTATATGGTCGATCGCGTTTCGTTTTCTTTCTATCCAGTTTCAAATCGATTGTTTCGACAATCAGCATCAATTCTCTTCCATCAATCATATTTTCACATATGTTTTGCCTTTTTGTTTTTTGAAATTTTCAACAACCCATTTCTATACGTTTTTGTCTCTTGATTTTCTCTATGCTTAGTTACTGTTGTTGTTGTTGTTGTACTATTCATTCTGGTCGTTGTCCTGTTTTTTTCTTTCTCTTTCTCTATATGTGCAGCTTCAGTTACATAAAAACACCATATTATTCTTCGTTTACTTTTTCTTCTCTTCATTTTTGATTACAACATCAAATTCGTCATGTCAGAAATAAAAAAGAAAAACAAATTCTAGCGCGAAAATATTCACGTGGGAGATCCTTGATAATTGGGATTTGAATGTAACGATTAAGCTTTTAGTGCGTTGGTTTTCTCTAACCAAGTCGATGAATAATTTACCATTCAATTACGAGTAAATTACATTTCTGTTTGTTGACAGTGTGACTAAGGAAAAGAACTTCCCTGGTATTGGTTATATAAAAATGTAAAGTAAATTTTGTTATGCACAAGTATACATGTGTTCGAATACGAGTAGTTCTTTCGAGTGTATGAATGGTGGTCGGTGCAATTTGAATGGCAGTTGTGTATGTACAGATACTTGTTTTGTCGGTGATTTTTGTGAAATTAATTATAATGCTGCACGTTTACCGTTAGCAGGAGCGATTGTACAAGATTATCCATCAACTCGAGATGATTATATTGCAATATTTGTTTTATTATCTTTAGTTGGACTAATAAACAATATATTTTCATTGACAACGTTCGTACGCGAACGAATTCGAATAACTGTATGGGGAATTTATTTAATTGTCTTTTCTTTACTTAGCATTGCCTTAATGCTAACAATTCTTTCATATATTATGGTTATTGTTCGATATGATAATGATACATATCGATTGTTGGCATGTCATGGAATACCGTTTGTGTCATTGATCATGATCGATGGAAGTATTTTCTGCACAGCAGCGATTGCTGTTGAACGTGTTTTGATTGAATGTTGGAATTTTAGTATAAATGGCTCACGTTGGCGAGCATTGTGCATTTCAATTGGTATTATTATCTATGCTTGTGTGTCGAATTTAGACGATATTTTCATTCGAGAAATTACCTTTGATCCAGTTGGTAATCCTGTTTGTACGTATAATTTTGATGGACATCCATTTTGGCGCCCGTTCGATATTGTTTTCTCATATGCTCATGTGATTATTCCATGTGTGATACATTTGATCTGTTCGATATGTGTTTTAACAACGATTGCACGGCGGAAAATCTTTATTTGTAGTACGGAAGACAAATTGTATCAAGTCTGGTTTCGACAATTATTTATTCACAAAGATTTCCTCATTCCACCTGTTTGTTTGATACTTTGCGTACTCCCACATGGCATTTTAGGTCATTTACTTCAAACATGTATACCTTATTCGGATAAAGCAAAGCTTCGTCTTCATATTGCATTTGTTCTTTTACTTTACATTCCACAAACATTGACGTTTCTCTTATATATTTATCCAAATGATATCTACTGGAAAGAATTTCAACAGACATTTATCTATCGTTCGATGTGTTGGTATTGCATTCGCCGAAAACGAAAATTAAGAGAAGATAGTGAGCTACGATCGCTCGTACACACATCAACATCATCGAAGTCAACACTTAGTGTAGAACAGAACAGTTCTCTACGAAATTAGCTTGTAAATACGAAATATATTATCCAATTATAGAATTTAGCTTCATATTTGATAGATTTTTTAAATAAATTCCAAAGTGAATAGTCAACATACGAAACAGCATGTTGATTGTGTACATATACGACTTTAAATGTTTTCTTTTATTAGAAAAACAATTTTATTTGAAATCGCACTTTGGTTAGTTACATCAAACAAAATCGAAACATTAACTCGATGATGTTTTAACGACGATCAAACAAATGACGAAGAATAAACGAAAAAGTTTCAGCAAATTTGTCAGCGAAGAAAAAATCTTCAGAAATGACAGAAGGAAACAGCGATCGACATGCGATTTCATCGACATTTTTTTTTATCCCCCCAAAGAAAGGATACAATCACCGTGCACTCATATTGACATTGTAGATGACTAAAAAATGTAAAATGCCATGTAAAAAGGCAATGTTTGTCTTTCTCTTTGATTACGTGAAGTAGTTTCTAAAAGAAAAAAAGAATTACTATATATACATATAGACAATTTCTTTTTTCGTTCTTCATAGTGAACAATCGATTTGACCGTAATCATTATAAGTTGTTTTTAATTAATATGGGGTCTTGTTGTGGAAAGAGTAAAGCGGTAGCTCCTCAAACAAAATCAAATCCTTATGCAAATATAACCCCACCAACGGCAAGACCTGAATCACCAAAAGTCACAGCAGCAGCAGCACCACCACCCGACTATTCGGCCGTGCAACGATCTACGAAAGTTAGTCTTAGTCCGTCGAACCCATTACAAGCGATTCATGGTTATCAAGACGAACCACTTGGCACATTGGAAGAAGCTATACAGCCTGTGGATGGTCAACTCGATTATGCATCGCATTATGTACAAGAAGCAAAGACTAAATGTCGTTTCCCATCAGAACACGGTCTTACTCGCGATGAATCCGCTGCTATTTATATCTACACTATGAGATGGGATAAACGATATGTTAGCGATCAATTACATAAAGCGTGGGTTTCCGGAGATCGTAATCAAATACGACCATGGTTCAGATATTTGAGATTACTTAAAAGTGCGCTCGATAAATTACCGACTACCACAACTGGTATTTGGCAAGGAACAAATTATGATGAAAGATTAAATGAAAAGCTCAGTTCCAATTCAACACCATTGTTTACTTGCTTGGGTTCTTGTGCACCAACTGATGATGGTCTTCGAGATTATCTGAAGAAATATGGTGGACAAAAAACGATGCTTCTCAGTTATGAGTCAGTTGGTGGCAAAGCTGTTACCGGTTATACAACAAGTAAAACGCCCGAGATCATTATGTGGCCAGGAGCGAAAGTCGGTGTATCGAAATATGCGGTAGTTGATGGAAATGGTTCAATAATTGCTCATCTCTCGAAAAAGATTGGTAAGTACGATTTGAAGATCATGTTCAAAGAGGAACTCTTTGATATTTAGAACCACCAAAACAAATCAAAATTAAAAGACCACCAGCTGAAAAACATTTCGACTGCCCAAATCCTAATTGCGGAAATCATTGCCGTGGTAATCATAAACCTCAACATTGTTATGGTTTTTCATATATTGTTCATAAATGTCACCATCATTGCGGACCTGTGAACGCATGTGCCCGTTGTTCCAACGATTGTTGTGACCTACGGCAATGTCATAAATGTGAAAACCGTTTTTGCGATAAATGTTGCCTTAAATAAAGAATTATGATTGAGAAATAGAAGATAATCTTCTAAGAAAATGTACAAGTCACGTGTTACACAGCAAGTATTTTTACAATCAAATGTTAAGAACATTCCTATACGTATCAATATCTTCCGACAAGAAGTAGTTCACAATATCTCTTTTCGTCCTTCTTTCTTGAAAAGCATCAACCGTAAATTCGAATAATTAGACACCCTCTAGAAACCAACAATCGAATAATCTTGTTTTCCAAGATATATCAATTAACCTGCCTGAAAAATCCTTCAAACTATCTAAGTTTTTCAATTATCCACATAAATGTCTAACCGTTGGCTAATCTCACATTCGTCGATCATTGACGCCTAGCCAACTCTATGAGCGTCCTCAGTATATATAATCCATTTCTATTTTCATTTATAATCCTTCTATGATACATTCAACTATAATTAAATAATCCTACAACACAATTGTGGAAAACAAAATCGTATCTAATTCATCAATTTATACTTGTAACTGAATACAACTATACATTCGAATGCTTAAAAGAAGTTCTCCTATTAACGACTATAATAAGGTAGAACAAACTATTATACCTCAAACGAACTTGTATCTTGAAAACAAACGCCATAGTTTAACACGTTATCACACGAAAAATGTGTGATTGTGAACAGATAAAATGCGTTATTTTTAACTTCTCGTCTGACAGAGATGCGAACGGACGTACTGACAGATAAACAGCAACTCGTTTTTTTTTCGTAATATCTTCTCCACACACGGTCCCCTTTTTGCAGGGGGAAAAGCAAAGATTTTCTAAATAGATAGAAGATAACCAAATGTTGTTTAAAATGAAGATAAAGTTCTTTTTCTTTGTTTTATTTTATTTTTTTATTAGAAAAAAAAATGGGAATTCAACAAAAATTTGCCATTAATGTATGCATTTTAATATATTTGACAATATTTTCAAGTGAATCAACACCATTAGATGATTATGTTCATGCTGAAGATCCTCATTTTGGTTGGACATTAATTAATACTTATGATGAAATTGACTATAAATTATACATTCTTAATTTTACTTCGCAAAAATGGCTCGATGGTAAGATAAATTCGAATTGGTTTGGTTGTTTTTTTTTAATTACAAAGCAAATCTTTTTGTTTTTCAAAGAAAATTATTCATCTCGATCAATTTGGTGGCATTATTTATGTATAACAGTACCAAAGAAATTAACTCGACCTGACACAGCATTTTTGTTCATTGATGGAGGAAGCAATAATGATTCGTATGTTGAAATGAACTATTTGTCTTTTGATTATTTCATTTTTCCTTTTGAAGTATTCCTCAACCTCAAGATCTTTTTGTTGCAGCAACTGCAATGATTGCTGTAGGAATTGGAAGTGTTACAGCTGATCTTCAAGATGTTCCAAATGGACCTATTCGTTTTACGGTTAGTCTTTTTTCATCAATCGAAATAATACAACTTATGATTTTTTGAAATCAAAGGATGATCCAGCAAATCGATCACGTATTGAAGATGCAACACTTGCTTGGACATGGAGAAGTTTCATTAAAGACTCATCAAATATTTATGCACCGTTAAATTTGCCCATGACCAAAGTATTTTTCAACGAAAGCTTTTCATTTGTTAAAAGATCTTTTTAGGCAGCATATCGTGCAATGGATGCTGTTCAACAATTTACTGAACAATATAATATAACAACACCAAAGAAATTTGCTGTTGCGGGTGCTTCGAAACGTGGATGGGCAAGTTAGTTATTCACCGATCTATTTCCATTGATTAGAAGAATATTTTTGAAAACTTTGCAGCGTGGTTAACAGCTGCTGTTGACACAGAACGAGTTGTTGCTGCTATTCCAATTGTAATGGATATCTTAAATTTCCAAGCGGTAAAATTTCATCTAATTTATTCAAGGAACTTCTAACATTCATCGGTTTTGTAGAATTTACACCATATGTATCGCGTAAATGAAAGAAAATTTGAAAAGAAGAAAGTTGAAAAAAATCATTTTAGTCGTTAATTGGTTGGACATTTATATTTGAAGAATATTATGCAGCTAATATAACACTAAATGTTGATAATGTTAATATGACGAAATTATCAGCGATTATTGATCCATTAAGTAAGATTTTTGTTGAGAAAATTTATCGAAAATCTCATTTGAAATACTAAAGATTATATCGATCGATTTTCGAAAACAAAAATTCTACAGATTCAATCAACTGGCGACGAATTTTTTCTTCCTGATAATGAAGTAAAAACATTTACTTTTGTTTTGTTTTTTCTTCAAATCAATCGTTTCATTTAGGCTGCTTTTTGGAAAGATCTTCAAATTGCAACAGGTGGATCATTTCTTCGGTAAAGACTCGTTTCTTTTTTTTGAGAAAAACAACTTGTCTTTTGAATTGAAACAAAAATCAGACGAATGCTTAATGCCGATCATTCTTGTGTTGGTCATATTATAAGTTTATTCTTTTCAATGCGAAGTTTTTATATCAGTGTTTATGATAATCGACCATTACCAAAACTTCAATGGATGAAATCATCGAATAATACACATGGTTATATTCGTGCAACTGTTGACTTTAGTGTTGGACCAAAACCAATCAGTGCACTTGGTTATCGTGCTCAAACTCTTGATAATAAACGACGTGATTTTCGTTTTTTTATTGGAAATCCTAATGATCCAACGAAACCAATGGCAAATCCAGTTTTTTGGTCAACAACAAATCTTGTTATTGAAGTGAATATCTTAAATGATAACATTTCTTTCTCGATTTAATGAATATTTCAGGAAGAAACAACTACAACTATCGTTTACTCATTAACAATTGAAAATCCAAAGAGTGGCTGGGAAGGTTTTCTTATTCAAGTGAATTTTCCTGGTCTTGATGGAACTGTTCTAGAATTAACAACAGAAACACAAATTATTCCTGATACTTATCCAACTGGTGATTGTCATGGTGAACAATGTTTAGGTACACTTGTTTAATTTTCATCATAAACACACAGTTTTTCAATAATAAAATCAAAAATGATTCGAGTTCTCATATAATCAATTGAATGCAGATTGAACGAAATCTCCTTTTCCGCTTCTTTACTTTGATCTTAAAGAAACTCTTATTCTAAACGACTTAGAAGTCAAGAATATGTTGATTGTTCCAAATATGCATCGCATCTGAATCCTCATCTCCTCAAAAGTGCCAGAATAAAAGTTTGACTAATTAAAACTAAGAAATTGACTATTCGTTATAAATTTCGTCATACTTTTCAACATTTCAATGAAGTGCTTAATTGAAAACAATCGATTTAGAATGTTGTTTTTACTTGAAGCATCATCTATCATTAAAAGTATTCGTATTACCATAAAATGCATTTGTTAGATAATAAGATAATAGAAAATGTATGTAGAATTCTCAACAATTACATCATTCGTATATGATACTTCGGCTTTCATTTTATTCGTTAATTTATATTTTGAAACTATTTCATTGAAAATACTTTTACTTACGAATAGATAGTCATCTAGTATCGCTAATAATAATTGCTGTCATGCATCTGCTTCATTTCGTGCGCGAGGCAACTACTGTCTGTTTAATTTGTTCATCGCTAGCTACTGTGCGGATAGCGATGAATTTCAGTTTATTAGTGAATTGGAATTCTGTTTTAAGTGAGAAATATTTCGCAAAGTTCTAATGAAACGAGTTTCTCCATCTTTCTCTAGTAGTGACTGAATGAAAACATGCGATGTATTTCTTTATCATCTGATCCTCATTTATGATGTTTTTAGAAGAAGTAGAGCTTTATTATTTAAGGCCACTGATAATCGTTACAGGGACAAGAAAAAAAGTTGGACTTTGGAACCAAATATTGTCTTTCCATTCGTCAGTTTTTTTCCTGTTCACATTTGTTTTTCTTTTCTTATCGCTTTTTTTCATTCATCTATATACGTCGTCCGACATTTAATCATATTGACAAAAATGACTCCACGTGGTACAGTGTCGCCAGCGGAATTTACTAAGCATGTTGTTTATCAAACATGTCTTGGTTTTTCATGTGCTCTTCGAGGTTTTATTCTTTCGTGGAATAATACTTGTAAGTCATGACAGGTTATTGAAAAAGAAAAGTTCACTAACAAATCTTGTTTCTTTATAGACGTATGGAAAACACAACAACGATCGTTTCTATCGCTTCTCACATGTACATTGTTGATTTATATCTCGCTCGTGATTATTTTCCTACCATTTCGTTTAATTGTTTGGCTTATTTCATTTGCATACACCTTTGCACCATCGGTCATCGAATGGTTTGAACATGTTTCATCAGCACGTACACTTCTGTACAAACTACTTACTTTTATACCACTATTGGCGGTATTTACCATGAACAATTTACTTGGTATGATGACAATTCCTTCCAACTATGTCAGATCGAAGTAGCTGTTTTCATTTTAGGATATGATAAACTGTTCTTTTCGGTGTTGGCATCGGTAAATCCTTCATTAGCTGAACGTCTCAATTCACGTGCACGACAATCATTTGCAAGTTCATTCTACTACTTTCTTCGCCGTACAATTCAAATCTTTGCTTTCATAACACTCATTCATTTCCTTCGTTCGACACCGTATCTCGGTCGAATCGTACCAGCTCTTTGGGTTTTTAAATACGCTCGATATACAATCGTCAATACGAAACATGTCTACTTGCGAACAACGTTTTTCATTTTACTTTTTCTACTAACAATCTTCAAATCTTTACATCCCTATGCGTTATCATTACTACACTTACAAATGGCGAGTACGGCACTTGCACGAGAATTATTCGATACATATCTATCACGCATTCATACACATACAGTAGCGAATCATCGTCCGATATCGATCAAATCGCCTACACCACCGGCACGTTTTCACTTCTTAGGTTTTCTTGTCCCGGCACTTTTGCATCCAATTTTTAATTGGCAAGCAACAGCTGATGTTGATCGACCACCGAATCAGTTAATTTTACCACATAGAAAAATTACACATTTTCTACGTGAAAACTATTTTCTTCTACTCGCCTTTGCTTTTCCGTACATCTTCGTTTTCTCCGTACCTTTAGTCGGATTTTTCTGTGTAGGATTCGCACATGGTGCAGCTGCGTATACTCTCGCTGTGATCACAAAATAAGCATTTCTTCCTCGCTTCTAGATAATCAAACACTCATGGATAAACAAGAATTCTTTCAATCATATATGGATCATTGGGGTATAACTGATGTTTTGTTGGACTGTTACGTTGATTTATTAACTATGGATATGATGAAGAGAATCAATGATGACAAGACACGAATGGAGTTTTTCAAAGAACTACTCTCTTCTCATCATATCAAATGCCAAGAGCAACAAAACTTCGAAGATGAAATTCGTCAGTTGGAAGAAGAAGTGAATCGTCTGAAGCAAAATTAATATTTGTTCATGTTCCTATTTGTATATATGCATATATGTATCTTTGTGTTTGGGATGAAATAAACAGATACGTGAACTAATCGTAAGAAAAGAAAGAATGGAAAAATTTCGTCACTGACTGAAACGTTTATCATATATGTAATAGACTGCAGAAAGAAAACAAAAGAAGAAATGAAATGAACAGGCATGTCCTTTCATTTTATTCATTTCTCGGAGACCACTAAAGTTAGTCAGTACATAACCAACGACGTAGTAAACAATTACACGAATGTATGGACGAAAACGAAATAGTGAGTTTGAATACAAATATTCAGTATCGATCTTATTAATATTTGTAGGTATTACATCGTATTCACAATACAGTGAAGATGAACACGACGAGTAAAAGAATTCTTGTTTTCATTGTCTTTATCAATTCGTTTTGTTAGATTGTCGAGCACCGGTTCGACATTGGTGATGTTGGTTATTCATAATCTTGATCACATGATGCAACCACATGAATGGGAAACATTGTTGACAAGGGAAATTCATGGAGCTCGCGTTCGTTATTTCAATTTGCTGTGAATTCGATGTCAAAAGTGAACTTATGTTTTGTATAGATTTTAGGTGTTGTTGTTGTTCGGGAACAAACACTAACGCGTCCGTGGGGTGAAGGTGAATTAACTGCATATATATTCACTCGACATGATGCTTCACTTATTCGACAATACTTACACAATCGACGTCTTGGTTTTCGACGTTTACATGTCGATGCTATTGTGAGCGAAGGTAGCATCGAAGTTTTCCTTGTGTAAATATATCTGATCAGCTTTTCGTTACGAATTTAATTGAATAATTTCCTTTTTTAGACATAAAATTCTTCAATTACTCAAAATTAATCCACAAATGTCTGATGTCGTTGTTGAACAACGTGTCAGTCACTTTTTTCGACGGTTAGATTTGTCTTCATCGAATAACACTTTGTAGTTTTCTTGTTTTGTACTATAGAATTCCAGCGACAGTTCGTCCCCGAGATTATGATCGTACAGCTGTAATGCGTTTAATTCATGAATCGATGGGTATTCCTGTTTCACCTCCCGCAACAAGTGAAGAAAGTGAAGTGGAAAGCGAATCGTCCCCATCGCGACCATCGTCGTTGAATCATTCGTTATCTCAACCAGAACAAACAAATTATAATCCGCAATTAATTCGTATTGATGAACGTACCATGCAACTTCATTTTACGCCGTTCTATTTCGGTAAAAACAGATTTGTTTCCATTTCTTGATCGGTTTCATTCTGCTGTTGTCGTCTCTTTAGAGCTTTTAGATACAATGTCAAATATGAAAACCAATAATGAATATGATCAATCAGTAGATGCTGCTTTCTTCTAAATATTGTCTTTCTAGCCAATGATGATTGGATTTCTTTTTTTATCTCATGACATACAAAATCTATTCGTTGTTATTTTGTCTTTTCGCAATTTTTTTTTCCTTTAAATAATCTCTCACGATACCATACTACATTGTTTTCATTCTTTATTACTTACAAAACTCGGATGATCGATGACCATTCCGATGTTAAAGGTTTCCCAGGATAAATCCATTGATCAATAGTCTCTGAATATCGCATATAAGATTCCAATAGACGTTGATAGAGCAACTAAGCACTAACGGACAATTACTCAGATTATTGTTGACATCGCCATATTCGATGGACGAGTTTGTAACATATAGAATACCGAACAGATAATGTTTTACTCATAGTGGTCTTGATTGGTTGATTGTGTACCATTGCTATATTTAACTTGAGAAATCATCGTTTTAATCAATTGTGTGTGCAAAAATCACTAACCAAAGATGATCTCATCACCGCCTGTTGTCGCAACCGGCAATGTTTGTTTTGTCTTAGTTTTACTTTTCAGCGAGAAAGAAAATTCGAGCTTTTCTCCAACAAGTACGCGTACGTGTTTAATAATACAAATGTAACTGTATGGTTTCTCATTACAAAGAACAGAAAGGGATATTGTAACTAATTTCATTTATTACTAGAAAATGACATTCGAATCACATCGAGAATACTTCTTAGATATTTATAGTTCTAGAAGTCTTATATAAAGGAATTTTTCAAGTGAAATAAACACAACATAGAAGTAAGTATTACGAGTGTTACAACTTCTTTTTGGAACATTGTGTCTTGTAGATTCTGAGAATATATTTTCTACTATGGGATCTCGATGTTGTGTTGGGAGAAAAACGGCGCTTTCTACACGTTTACCTCAATCACCATCGTCGTATAGACGCACCAACCCAGAAAGACAACTATATCGACTCGAGAGAGAGCATGCGACCATAGAACAAACATCATTTCCAAGATTACAGAGATCCATGGAGGAAAACTTCAAACAAAACTTTATACCGCTTTCGCATAGCATTGATTAATTAGCGGAGGACGTTAGAATAGTGACACCGACATCGTGTCCTCCGCAACAGCAATTTGATTGAATACTTTCCAAAAGAGAAGTATCAGAGGAACCGGTTGCTAATATATCACTAGACAGAAACGCCATTACCTTAGTTACAAAAAATCCATTGGAGCTTATGAAAGGTTACGATCAAGTAGAAACTACGTCATTAGAAGAAGCTCTTGAGCCATTCAGTAATGGTAATAGCAAATTAAAACCTATATCAAAGACGCTAAAAAGGAATGCTACTGTCCAGTTGGTTCGCTACTTACTCGTGATGAGTCAGCTGCCATTTATCTGTTTACAATGCAGCTAGGATCACAAGGACTCGATAAACAACTAAAAGCAGCGTTCGATTCCCCAGATCGCTCTGTGCTCCGACCATGGTTTAGATATCTAAACTTAGTGAGATCTGCATGTGATAAATTACCTGAGAACGTTGAAAACATTTGCCAAGTTACGCTGATAACGAAAAAAGCTCGCTTCAAATCAACCGTTACCACTAAATACAGCGTTGGGCACAGGAATGCTTTCAAGAACTGAAATAGACAATTATAGACAGCAACATCCTGATAAACCTTTGTTCGCTACTGTTCTTGAAGGTGTAAAGGGGAAAAAACTCGGTAATTATTCTGCAGTTGAACATAAATCAGCGATGATCGTTTCCGGCTCTGAAATGAATTCAATGGGCTCTTTTTCAACTGATGGTACGGGTTTGATAGTGCTGCATCTCAAAATATTGAGTAAATACTCCCACCGTTCTATATGCAACGTTTCGAAGGTCACCCAAATCTTTCTTTAGATCATGTCCCAGACCTTAAGATACCAACACCAGACCATGCAAGACACTTTGTATGCCAGAACAAGCGTCTTGCTCATCGTCGTAGTGTTTTCCACGAAATTGGGCATTGCCATGGTTTCGTAAGAGTTTCCCATATTTCCAAACATCACTGCAAATCAATACCCAAGCCTGTTGGTACACATTCATCATTCAGATGACGCTTTGATCACCAGAATATTCAACATTATTTGATTTTAAGGCAAACATATAAATGAACAGCTTTTCACTGTTTGATTTGTGAGGAATGTTCGCTGTATTCAGCTATCGTATGTGTCACAATTACACATTTGATATCTATTTGTTATTCAGAAGAGAACGATGTTCAAGAATAAGTTGCTCCTCAATGCCTATATAAATGTAACCACTGTGAATTCTGTGGTGCCTATTTATTTGTCATAAGATCATGAGAATACGAGTTTCCTCCACATCCTATTTGCAACGAACACGTAGTAACTGAAGGAGATGTTTACTGTTATCCTTGTAGTTTTAAAATTCCAACAATTGAAACACTTACTTGCTGGAGATATACATTCAAAGTGTGATGCATACCAATAAAATCGTGAATAAAATATCAGCCATGCTTTTTCTTTATGAAACACATTGAAATGTCTGTTCTCTCTTTTTTTTCGATACGACTAATCAGGTTATGCATCGACATGCATGCATTTTCATGTTATTCGTATTCTTTTTTATTGGTGAAGTCTTATTACAGACAATGCCTATAGCAAGAAAAAGCGAAAAAATTAAATATGTATAGTCATACGTTGAATTCCTTCTGTTCGACATATTTCAAATGAAATCAGATCTGCAGTATTATACATTTCATTGAAAATTTCGTTAATAATTCTCTCATTTTCAACATACAAAGGAGAATTTCTCATCTAGTCCTACGATAGCAGTAGGAGATTCATGACGATTGCGCCGTCACTCCTTGCACCTAGTGGAAAATCAATTAATCAATATTATGAACAAATTCAAAACGATTGAGACGAACATTTTTAATATTTAAAAATTGCACAAAGATCATTGAACTTCCTTTGAAAGCTATTGCAACAAATTATTTCTTTCGCTTTGCTTTGAACTACATGACATGTAGTACATGTCATATTCTACGCAAACTAATTTTATGCTTTAACAATAATAGATCCTTTCGATACAAAGATTCACGCATGAAAAAACTATCTCTACATGCTTTATTTTGAGTTTTCTTTTGCCATCTAATAGATTTCATTGAAGAAAAATCAAAATGCATCAAAACACACTGTGTAAAAAGCTCTTGCATTTGGGTTTTCTTTATAATCGTCTTTGTAATTTATGAGACGGTCAAAACTTTTAGCAACTACATAGCTTTTGATCGTACGAATATTAGTAGCTCAGAATTCAGTCTTTTCAGAACAAAAAGAAAACGTAATTACAATTAAAATGAAACTATATACAATTTTTTACATTTCGTCTTGTGATTTACTTTGATTTTAAATCAAATCTATTCGGAAATGAGATCAAATCTTGACTGAAATTAAACATACAGTGAAAGTTCTTATCGAAACTCTATTATTATGAGATGTCATTTGAATAATGATGAAATGGCATTAAAAAAAACTATATAATGTTCGTTTATGCGTTGCGTCCTGCTTTGAACTGTATCACACTTTGAAAACTAGAACTACAGATTAATTTACGAATAATACAACGAAAACAATCTATCGATATCGATAGAGATCATTGTTAGGTCATAAATAAATGAAATGTATAGAAGTCTTTCGTTCTGTCTGACTTGATATACTAACCAATTGTTTTTATTTAGGGAAGATCACATCACATCCACAAGTTAAGTTTTCGAAATAATAAAGATATTGCCAGTATATACTTTGTTTATTTAGTTAACCCATGTAGAACGTTCCGGAGCCCGGATCCGTCGGGATTCAACAGAAAAGCACCGGAAATCGCTGGAACATGGAAGCAGTATTCCGACAGGTAATTTTCGGACGTTCTTTCCCATGGGTTCCTGTCGGAAAGGGTTGGAAACTGACCGAAAATCATGGGGGAAAATTTCCGGTTGGAATACTGCTTCCATGTTCCAGCGGTTTCCGGTGCTTTCCTGTGGGAACCGGTCCGTACTCTTTGACTTGAGAAATTAAAATTTTCAAATAGTTGAGATTATAATGGAAAATCTTATCATGATTCTAAACTGTTATCGGTATTCCACTGGTGTCTTATTCAAAAATGTTTTTTAGTAAGACATTCCGACGGCAAGGTAACAATTCATATAAAAAAGCCCACAAAAGCTTTTCTTTTAGACTAACGAACTAATTAATTGGAATTCGTCAGATCAAGGCTTGGGCACAATAATGGTCGAATATGAAAACGCATGTGTAAGAATGCATTGCACATTCGAAGGAAGAAATAATGGCTTATGGATAGACGTCGTAAGATTTTCAATTTATATGAATCCATGAATTAAGTTTAATTAATTTTATTTGTAGATCAGTCAAAATCATTCAGGTGATGTTTTATTTGAGAAAGAAACATATTTTGATGAGAACAAGTATGTCAGTAATTGTACATAAAATAGCAAATATTAATGAACTTGTTTTTAGTAATTTGACATTGGAAAAGATTGGCTCGTTGGTTCGTCGTATGAATCAATTTATACAAGAGTATTATGATACAGAAATAGACTTGCAAAAGAAGCAGCAATAAAACGAATTACGAAAAGAAAAAGACAAGAACATTTTCAAACAAGATAGTATATTCAGATACAAATTTCGTTCATACTATGCTTGGAACAACGATAAGAATTTATTTATTTAGAGAATGTTTTTGTATGAAACTTTTCTCTAGTTAATAAATAGTTTTATTATATTTTACTCAAAGATTTTCTCAAAAATTGAAATTTTAAGATATACATAAGAGATTTCTTGCATTTCTAAATAAAATCATTTGTCAACGTAGACTATGTACAAATTGAGACTAAACAAAAGAGTTCAAGAAGATAGGATGAAAGGGTGTCCAAATTACGTAGAAGTAGGAGTGTACAGCTCACATTCTCGCTTGTATGAACGTGAGCTGGACAAAAACATCGATTAAAACACTTATGCTCATATGAGCGCTCATGAACGAGAGCAAAAGCCGGTGACGCTCGTCACGGGTGTGAGCGGTACACTCCTACGATAGAAGTCCAAAATTCGAATTATTTTGCACTAAATTTTATTCTCAAGCAGCTTTTCTCAACCTCAATACAATCATTCTATTGGGTAGTTCAATTTCAAATAACTTTCTTCTGTCTCTTTGACTTAATATTCATTGTTTCCATGGACGGCATCAATCACCGAAATATGATGATTGAATATAAATAGGCATGTGCATGATTGTTCGTTTATGAATTAAAACAGAAAGAAATAAACATGGACGATTCATTTGCTGAATTGAATAAGTTATCTGATGAAATTCTTTTGATTATTTTCAAAAACTTAGATAATTGTCATGTACTTTATTCTCTTCTTGGTGTTAATCAACGACTTACAAAACTTGTACATAATTTTTCATTTACTAATCATTTAACATTATTCAAACAACTATCTTTTGATAACATTTCTCGATTACCTGATTCAATGTTAGATCGATTTTGTTCGGAAATTTTACATAAAATCAATGATAAAATTAATTGGTTGGATATTGAAATATCCTCGGCACAACGTATTTTTCTTGTTGAAAATTATCCGAATTTGATTGGTCTTGGCTTGTACAATATTGAAACAGAAAATGATGTGCAATTTTTAAAAGGTATGACACAATTCAACTATAATAGAATAGATCATCATTAAAAAGATCTCTTTTAGAGGATACATTTATAGANAATTTTACATAAAATCAACGATAAAATTAATTGGTTGGATATTGAAATATCCTCGGCACAACGTATTTTTCTTGTTGAAAATTATCCGAATTTGATTGGTCTTGGCTTGTACAATATTGAAACAGAAAATGATGTGCAATTTTTAAAAGGTATGACACAATTCAACTATAATAGAATAGATCATCATTAAAAAGATCTCTTTTAGAGGATACATTTATAGAGAGGTTTCAAAATCGAATCTCATCATTTGTTTTCAAATGTATTGATAAACAAGAAACGTCCGAAACTGTCAATACACAATTGTTTGCATATATTGTTAATACTTTCAGTAATTTACGATATTTAAAATTTGATTCATTACTTTTTTATGATCAACGAATGTCGTGGGTCTATTCGCCACCATTTATGTCTTCTTCCACTTTAGTGAAATTACATGTTAAAGTCGATTTCTTCGATGATTGTCTTTATTTACTTGATGGGCGTTTTGATCAACTTCGTATTTTTTATGTTGATGTTCAATATACAGTTCAACGTCCAAATGTACATATAAACCAAGTGTGTTTTCATGCAATATTTCTAACATATATTTCATGCTTTCTTATCTAGAAACAAGCACACAATTTACAATGTTTTTCATTGTATTGTTTCTCGGAAATTAAGCGTTATGATACAAAAGTTCTGCCATTGTTACAAGAAATGATCAATTTAGAAGAACTTTATTTGTATTTATTAATCAAAAGAGGTAATGGATTTGTTGATGGTAATGATCTCAAGATGAGTATTATTAATTATATGCCAAAATTAAATAAAATTCATTTGAATATTTGTTCGATGATATCTTTAACCAATGAAATTTATTTACCATCAAATAAAGATATTCAACATTCATTCGAACATTTGTTTAATCTTCAGATAAACTCATGTATTAATTATTTTCCCGAAGAAGGAATAGGTCAATGTCATATCTATTCATATCCATTCACAATAAAGACTTATCCAAATATCGCAAACAACTTTCCTGGCGGTTTATTTCGATGTGTTATGGAAATGTCATTGTTTGACGAACATCCTTTTGAATATGAATTTTTCCATCAAATTGCTCAATCATTTCCGTTTTTGAAACGACTAACTATTCGAAATGAAAAGGCACAATGTAAAAAAGCCAAAAAACATGAAAAATTATTAAGTATTCACTATCCTTATCTCGAATATCTACATTTGAGAAAAGTTCATGATGATTATATTGAACAATTTCTGATCGATACTAAAACATATCTACCATTTCATGTTATGTTTTTCAGTAATTATCAATCTTTAAAACGAATAACGCACAAATTTACACGGAGAGCAACACAAACCAATTGTGCCAAATTGACATATCGATGTATCGAGAGAATTCCTCGTTTTCCAAAACATTTCAAAAGTTATTTTTTCGAGACAAGCACACTAAAGTTATGATTTCATATTCATTTGTTATGTAAATAAATGATTGTTCATCAGATGATATTGATTAGACTTTTGTATCGTATAAATTATAAATATACTNTAACGCACAAATTTACACGGAGAGCAACACAAACCAATTGTGCCAAATTGACATATCGATGTATCGAGAGAATTCCTCGTTTTCCAAAACATTTCAAAAGTTATTTTTTCGAGACAAGCACGCTAAAGTTATGATTTCATATTCATTTATTATGTAAATAAACGATTGTTCATCAGATGATATTGATTAGACTTTTGTATCGTATAAATTAGAAATATACTGAAGACAAACAAATTCTCTTCGTGTCTTCCTACAGACAATGCCTATAGCAAGAAAAAGCGAAACATTAAATATGTATAGTCATACGTTGAATTCCTTCTGTTCGATACATGTGTTTGAAATGAAATCGGATCTGTAGTAATATCCACTTCATTGAAAATTTTTATCAATGACCGAACAAAACTGCGAATGCACTTGAATAATTTCGAATATTTTACGTTCGAAAATTCTCTCTTGATCAACATTAATCATAAAGTGACGTTAAATTGTTCGATTGTTTACACATTGCTTCTCTTTTTCATTCGTTTGTCGATCATAGGAAAGAGAAACTTTCAAAAGAATGTCGTTGCTAAGCACATATTGGAAGTAAAAGTAGAAGGAGTTGACAAAACAATTCATGTGCCATATATATCCACAAGACTTATTCACAAAGAAAAGTACAAACAATAACACATTACATATTTTGTCGCAACATGAACACAAAAGCTTACATCGATCAAACGGATCTGTTTCCATATGAGCCCATACATCAGAAATACATGTTCACCTATATTTTACTCTCATTTATGTTCTTTACGTACTGCAATCAAAAAATTCATCGTAAAAAAAGCAATTGGTTACAACAGAATACGTTACTTAGTTTCATTCATGCTTCTATCTGTTCGATTTTGTTAATAATCGGCGTTTTACGAGCAACAGAAATGCTCGAAGATCCATTATCACATGCCAATCACTTCAATTATACGTTACTCGCGTTCAGCATTGGATATTTCCTTTATGACTTCGTTGATTGTGTCCAAAATTCCACGACATCCGTTGTTCCGATTTTGATTCATCATATTATCGTTATTGTATTCTTCTCTCATGTTCTTTATTATACACGGAATATTGGTTATGCTATCTATGGTCTTTCATTAGAAATTAATAGTGTATTCTTACATGCACGTCGGTTAATACGATGGTATTCACCGTTTTCTAAAACGATTCATTTTCAAAATTTCTTAAAGATATTTATTGATATTGGAAATTATGTGACTTTTGTATTATTTCGCTTTGGAATTGTTATTGCTGGTCTACGTGCGTTACATCGGGAAGGGTTTCGTTTGAATCCGATTGCCAGGTATTTTACTGTGCTGATTACCATGGCGATGGGTGTGTTTAATTTCATTCTATTTTACCGTTTGGTAAAGAACCAACTGTTCGGAAAACAATCAAAACGACAAAAACCTTCGGAAGATGACGTTTTAGTTATTGATAATCGAGTTTTGTTGCCTAGTTAATCCGAAAATGACAATAAATTTCATTTGATATTCGACGAAGTACATCATCTAAGTGAATTTCAAATTGAAAGTCTACCTTCCATCATTTTCTTGAGCGATCGATCACGCGGACAGTCGAGTAAACTAGATAATTTATAAAAACGAAAACATTTCACCGCGTACAGGTATGTCTTAATCATTCCATTTCTTCCATTAAGATGATTTTCTAAGTATATTATTCTGTTTACATAACAAACATTAGTCGATAAATCAAGGTGTATCTCTTATCTCCATGTCCTACAGGCATAAGTGACGACTCGCTGGTTAACTTAATAGCGTCAACGAACATGACAAAAACAATCCGATGAAAGTAAAAATATGATGACAAAAAGTAGAAAGAAGCAAGGTGAATATTCTATTGATACTTTCAGTAAGTATCATAAGTATGATTTCGATACAAATCTCAAGGCTACCGAATGATGAATATGTATGTTTGATACCTTGTAACTAGCAAAACACGTTCAATATTAAACATGTGTTGAATGATTTTTTTTCCTGTTCATCGAACAATTTGATTTCAATTAATAATTTCTTGCGAGCGAATATAGAAAAAAAAATCGGAGTCCTTCATTCGTTGACCAAACTGATGAACGAAGTCATACTTCAAACAAAATTTGATATGCCGTTAAGAAGAAAAATGACTACTATTATCATGTCATCTTTCAATGAACGAAGCGCATGTTTATCATACGATTAAGTGTTAATCGAACTTAGATAATTTCGATTGTAGAGACGATGAAATGACTCTTTTTTTCTGTATCATTGCTTTAAATATATATATATATAATCATTTATAATGGTGCAATCAAATCAAATTACGATCATCAGCCAGGATATATTTGACCATGAAAGTGAGAGGAAAAAAATCGATGTTGTCACAATGAAGCATAAGAATAGACGATGATCAAGGTTCTTTCTCTAGAACCAGTATTTACATTATTAATAATAATATTCGCAAGAGATAATGATGATTAGAAAGGATTAGACGATAAATATGTAATGTTTTGTTGGTTGAATGGTCTTGTTTCGAGTCATTGTTCTTTGTTTGTGTTCACTCATTACAGAGATATCGATCTTGTCATTTAAACTAGAGACGTTGCTAGCACGAATAGAGAACGAGAAGAAAGGTGAGACACATGAGGCCTATTTTACGACAAAATGTGTATATCTAACGCTTATTTGAAGGTAAACCGTGAATAAGGGCAAGTTGTAATTATCGTTTACTGATATCTCGTTTCTTTTCTTTGACGATCATTTTTAACGTTTGTTTTAGTTGAAGTGAAACCGGGCCCAGGAAGTTACCATCTCTTTTCAAGCGAATAATGCAGGTTGATCAAACAATTCGACTGTAAACATCCGCATCATTCTATTGACATCATCGCCGACGACCAAGTGATTCGAAAAAGACAGATTGATCAATTCAATATAGAGATCGATAATTGATCATCTCGAATGAAGACAATGCAAGTATCATCTTGATCGACAACTTCGAGTTGTCTACAACTATCTTGAATCATGGTGATGTTAAAAACTTCAGTCGCTGCTCCTCTCGAAACAATTTACGAGGAGTCGGGCAGTTTTGTTACATCTACCGGTAATTCACAAAACCAAGTGTTGACTAATGAGACTATTAATGGTCTGATTAGTGCTCGTTCAATTCCTCCAGTTAACTTTCATCGACAACGAGCATGTGACAATGTGGTTAAACCTCCCATTGAAGTACGTTTTCGTGATGGATCAAAACGTTTTATACAGCCGTCAGCTGCATGTGCCATGATGATGAGTAGAAGGGAATTTATCGATTCTTCTGATGCTGATCTCTCACTGAACGCCATGCCAAACTTTAAATATCAACATCTGTTCAATATCAATCCAACAAACCAACAGTGTATACGACGACAACCTCCGATTGTGATCACTATTATAACTGCTAACGACATGAAACAAGCTGGTTTTACACCAACTGATAGTTCTTCACCGGAGATGACGACGCCAGTGGCAATGTCTACTCCAACTTACTCCAAGCCTATATCAAATGCTTCACCTGCCCTGTCTACACCAGTATTATCGAAATCCATTTCAAATATCTCGCAAGCCACCTCATCGACTTCGCAACCGGTCTCCAGTTTTTCGCAGCGATTGCCGACTCAACAATCGATATTATCCGAATCCCAGTCGAGTTCAATTGCGAGCACGGCCAAAACAAGAAAGGGAATTCATAAAGGTTCGCTTGTTCATTATCAATTGATAAAAATTATTAATTGACACAATTTCATTCATTTAGTTTCCTTCGCTCCATTGCCACCTATGACACCTGTTCAATCATTAATGCAATCAGCTATCAATCATCCTGCAACGCATATGACTCCACCAGTTAATTTACCTTTACGCTCACCCCAACAGTCGATTGGTTCTAACAACTCACGAAACTCCACGCCATCCCAATCATCTTTCTATTCCTCGAATTCGAATTCACGAGCATCGAATTCTTCGCAACAAATCACATTGACTAATGACATGAATAAACGAAATACACCATTGCAGACGGCTATTCCTGAATCGCAGTTCAATACAGCGGTGGCTATTGGTGGCAGTTCTCATAGTGCGTTTCGTCCTTTTCTTCGCCAGATGCGTCTCAATCAAAAATCAAGCCCGATCGCCAAACGAATTCCTATAAATTTTCACGCAAGAATGTTTCGACCGACACAACAGCAACAACAAGCGATGCTATCCTATGTTCAAAACTATCAACAACGACGACGACAGTCTCAGCCGACAAGCGCTACTAAAATGCCAGTACATTCATTCACAACGCAGAATGAGGTAATTCTAATAGAAAACCATCACATTCCAGCGAATATTTTCTTTCTCTTTACAGAGTTCACTTGACAATCAACAGCAACTGGTATCAACAAGTAGTTCTCTCAGCAACTCTGTTACCGCACAGAATCTCTTAAACGCATCTGCTAGTCCAAATCCAGTTCTAAGCTTAGCATTGAATCCCAATGTAAAATGGCACAATATCACATCTAACGACGTTAAAGACATTCCGAAACTTGCTAGAAGATATGCTAGTATTCCTCTACGTATCGATCTTCCTGTTGTTTCTCCGCATTTCAATCAAAAAGCGCTTGCTCATCATGACACGGCTCTTGAACGACGTCTTCTCAGCGCTGGCTTATCTCCAGAAACAGTGGCACTCTACGAAAGAATTCTTGATGTTGCTCAAAATCGTCCCATATCTGTCATCTCATCACCTCAAGCAATTGATCAATATCCATACAATTCCTTACTGTAAGGAGTATATAAATATATAAATAGATGATATATTTTTTGTGATCGAACTTATACATTTTTTAATAAGAGAAGAAAACAAGATTTCATAATTTTTCTGGTTTATTTTCACAAGAATATCGGACATTTTTTTCTCTTTTTCTATGTTTTTTTGTTTTTTTTTATTTGACAAACGATAAAAGAAGTTAAATGAGAAACATTGCAATTCTCACATTCGTGTTCATTATCAAAGAGCATTTGTCAATCATGGTATTGACTACGTGTGACCTCTCTCGATCTATCTTTTTCTTTTGACAATCCATCTTTTGCTGTTCTTCCTTCCGTTCCAAAATTTGATTCTATCCCCTTTCTTCTTCACTCCTGGAAACATTCCATCAATCATTAATCTCTAATACACTATGGCACAAGAAAGTAAAGAAAAAACAATTATCGATTATGCTACTGACAGTAGGAATTCTCTTTTCATGAATAGAAGTTCTTACCTCATTATTTATTTAAACAGATAGCTTCGATGATGTCGAACGTCTTCTTCGTGAACAGGTGCCCGTGGACACACATGATGAGGTTGATACATTGATCCAATTGCTATCTTATCTTTAGTTTGTTCTTCTCCTCTAGCATGGGATGACATCTTTGCAACATGCAGCCTATAAAGGACATGCAAGAATCTGTTCGCTTTTACTAGCACATGGTGCCGATGTTAATGATCACGAACACGATCAAGGATATACGGCTTTGATGTTCGGAGCACTGTCTGGTAAAACCTTACTGATCGAAAATTTGAACATTTCTCTTTTTTTTTCTCGTAGGCAATACTGAAGTTGTCCGTATTCTTCTTGAAGCCGGCGCTAAGACTCATCAAACTAATCGTATCGGTCGAACAGCTGCTCAATTAGCAGCATTTACAGGACAGAAGCAATGCGTCGATACAATAAATAATTATGTTACACTTGACGATCTTAAGTATTACACTGTACCTCAAGGTCATTTTCGCCATTCTTTTTTTACTCGAGAGAAACAGGAAGTTAGATAATTTCATTGTAGGCCAAGAAACCGAAGCTAAACTACCGGAATCATGCATTGCTGGTTTTCAACGATTACTCATTACAATAAATTTCAATCCTGTGCATGTACGTATTCTACTCGAATACAGAAATATCGGGCATATATGATGTTTTTACTCGATTTAGTTACTGAAGATAATTCGAAACCATTCGGAGTTCTACAAACCGATAACAAACCTTAAAAAACTATCGGATACGCTTGCATTGATGATTGAGAAATCATTGAATCCGTATCATACCAATGAACCAAATGATATTCTAGCGATAAAATCACACTATATTAAAACATTTATTGACAATATTTTCGAGAAAAATACCGATGACGTCGAAAAAACGTGCACCGATTGGAGTAAAAAGTACGTAGACAAAATATTTACCAACGCTTATGTTTACCATTATACTCTCATATAGATTCGTTCAAGAAAATGAAACAAATGGTTTTAAGTTATACGAGGAAAAGTTCATTCGAGAAAACATTCGAAATTTTCCATATAAACAATGTCCACTTCTACAGCAACTTGTTCGACTTATTGCTCCTGTACAGCTAGTAAGATCTTGTTTATTATTTTCTACCATCTGTCATAAACTGATGGCTTTTATCAATCTCCCTAGGGTCAAACTCCGTCCGCTTTAACTGTTCTGACAACAACGCTCAACGGCCGTGCTTTTGAAGATGAAATTCCGAATCGATGTGACGCTTGTTCGCAACCGAACGCCACTCGTCGTTGTACGGTTTGCAAATCGGTTCGTAGCCCCATCTTTTGTACTAAACAAGCGCATCTACATTTTTCTTGTTTAGGTCTACTATTGTGACGAATTTTGTCAACGTTTACGTTGGCCGACGCACAAACACATCTGCTCTTCAACAAAAGAAGAGAACAAATAGATCTAAAAAGAAACGAAGTGCTCAGTGTGTATTATTCTATCTAGTCGTGTAGATTGTCGAATACTAGTGTCTTTTTATTGATGTTTTACATTCCGTAGACGAAAAAAAAAACCATATGAAAATAAAGTACTCATCTTTGTTTTTACTAAAGCGTGTTTTACAGAGTTTTAGGTACTGTTTTTTTTTCAAACCGAATGAAGCGTTGGTACAGAAATCAATGAATCGAATAATCATTATTGACTGATAAAAAATTTCGTTGATTATTCAGAGCAGAATGAGGCCAATAATTTACCTTTGCAGGTAGTAAACGAGTCTAGCACAAAAACAACCTTGGTTGCCTCATAGCCTTAAATGAATCAGGCGAAAAGCGATTTTTTCCTCCTTCCCTTCTTCTTCTTCTTGCTTTCTCCAAGCGTCTTCGTCCTCCTTGTTTTTCTACCGTAGAACTTATTAACATAAAATACGAGACCCTTGTATGTTTACAGATATAATCGAATAGCGTCAACAACTCGATGGACTGCTCTTTTTCTCTCGCTTGTATCGGTATTATTGTATACGACAGGAAGACAAAGCAAACATCCTCTAACCTTCATAGATAGGTTCTATTTTTCTCTATTCTATTCACGTCTGACGCTTGGTTTTGAGTACGTGGAATCCCAAATTATTTTATTCATTCTAGATCGTAATTAAGATGGAGAATTTAGCATCGAATTTGAATGAGAAGTTGACAGGAACTTCATTCGATGCAAATTCTGAAAAGACGGCGGCGGCGATCAATCCAGGTGTTTTGCATCAATTTCGAAAAATTCAAATACCTTTAGCTAAAATCGGACTTGGTTCAACCGAAGGAGATCTGGTTCAAATGGCGAAAAAATATCTCGAGATAGTTGGACTAGTCCTGTTCGTTTGGATCTTCGGTAGGAAAACGCTTGCTTTCCAAGCAACCGAATGTCTTGACAATGTTTTTTTTGTATTTAGGTTATTTTCATTTCAGTGTCTCTTGGATTTTGTTAGCTGTTTTCATCTACTTGTTTCGTCAACGTCAGCGAACACAATTCAAGGAAAGACATAGAATGTTAAGTGAAATCAATAAAAACGAAGAGCAATACATCAAAGCTCGTTTGGATGAACTACCTTCTTGGGTAATACGTGTGACCATGGTTATATTTATTGCAAAAAAACTTTTTTATCCAAGGTTTTCTTCCCGGATGTTGAACGAGCAGAGTGGGTTAATAAAATTATCAAACAGGCATGGCCGTATGCAAATAAATATATGGATAAAGCTATATTTCATGATATAATGATTCCGATGATACGCAGCACTTCACCAGCGTTGTCGGACTTTTCATTTGAAAAGCTCGATCTTGGCGAAATTGTAAGTAGAAGAAGCAAATCTGATTAAACATTATGATCAAATCGATTTAGCCACCAAGAATCGGTGGTGTGAAAGTGTATACGGATAATGTTCGAGATCAAATCATGATGGACATCGAAGTTTTGTACGTATAAAAGGAGATTGTTTTGATGTTGATAAAGTTCATTTATTTAGTTACGCTGGTGATGCTCGTATCAAATCAAAAGTGAAAGGAATCGTGTGTGGTATCAAAGATATTCAATTTGTTGGCGAATTAAGAGTTATTCTCAGTCCGTTGATTAACACTATCCCGTTGTTCGGTGCAGTTACCTACTTTTTCCTGCGAAAACCAGTAAAACGAAGTGAAAATTGACTTTGATATGTAAAACATCCGACTTTTTTTAGAGTATTGATTTTAAATTGACCGATGCTGGAACACTAATGGATATTCCTGGATTGAAGTAAAAAGAAACACACTACCAAATCGAATTAATAGCTAGTTGATTTTAGTGACTTAATGCTCGTACAAATCAATGATATCGTTGCTTCAATGATGGTTTTGCCGAATCGGCAAGTATTTCCTCTCGTTACCGATATACCAATCGGACACTTACGCTGGTCGAATCCTCAAGTGATTGTCAATTTACGGCAAAATTCTCGTTTTCAATTTCTTAGATTTTAGGGTGTTGTTCGAGTTATCGTTATTGAAGCACATGATTTAGTTAAAGCGGATATAACTCTTCTTGGTAAAGGAAAGAGTGATCCATTTGTTAAAGTGAAAAGTAAATAAACCTTAGATTTACATTTGATATTATGCAATTCTCTTGATATTTCAGCTCAAGGAAATGTGGAATATAAAACCAAAACGATGAATAATACTACTGACCCACGTTGGAATGAAGTATATGGAATGGTTTGATTGAATAGCATTCGAAATGTTGTATATTTTAGGTGTTTGAATTTGCTGTCGAACAAAGTGAACGAGATGTCGTGGACTTTGAAATCTATGACGAAGATCCTGGTAAAGATGATTTTCTTGGAAGGTAAGAGAAATCGGATTGTCAGTTGATTTCCAAAGAAGAATATTTCTGTTAGAGCACAATTTCCAATCAAATCGTTGCTTGAACAAAAATCAGTGGAAACTGTATGTAGAATTTACAACATTCATTCACATCATTTCACATTGATCTCTTTTGATAAGGAGTTAACATTGAAAGACGTAAAGAAGGGTTCACTTAAGGTTTTCCTCCAATACTTTCATCTATCAACACAAAGATCTGCTCTTGATATCGTAAAGTTTAATACTCTGCTCTTGCTTGTGTATTAACAAAAGTATTTTTCAGATTGAACGAACGAATCGACAGATGATCAAACAAGAGAAATTATCCAAAGCTCTTTTGGTTGTCTTTATTGATCGATGTACAAATCTACCTGTATGATTTTGTGGTTGACTTATCTTTCGTTTAATATTTATACCTTTTAGCCTTCGAAAAAAACTCGTCGAGAACCGAATCCATTCTGTCGAGTTCAAGTCGATAATACTGAACGTAAAACTCATACATTGGAGTCTCAAACAAATCCATCGTTCGAGCATATCTCTCAAATCTTATGTTCGAATCCTCTTCAACAACAATTAACAATTGAAGTGCGCGATGCACGTTCGAATAACGATGTTATCGGATACTTAGAATTACCGATTAAAAATATTCTCGATACTGACTCAATGACGATCGATACACAAGAATTTCCTCTGAAAAGTTCAACAGAACCTTTGGATAGAGCCTCAATCGTTCTTCGTCTATCACTTCATGTAAATTTAACGAGTTTATGTCCTTATATTCTTTTGTCTGTCGTTAGATTTTATCTCCAGTGAATTCAAACGCGTCCGAATCGTCAACAGCTAGTACCCCATTAGTTGAAAATTCAAGTCGACAAAATACCGTGACAGAATTGCCAAACAAATCAATATTGCAAAATGATTTAATACCAAAATCTTTAAGCAAAGTAAATCTATGAAGATGGTCTTGTCAGCATGACAAAAAAGTAGAATATATCGAATTTCATTTTGATTCCATGCTATCAATTATCATGGCATGAGACAACGATCATTTGATATGTCGAGTTTATAGAGACATTTGACCTTTATTTTGTTAGTGATTTCTGATTGCATGCTGTTTATAATTCTGATGATGACTGAGAACATTTCGGCAGATTATAATCGAGCGTGAAATGTCAAACGAGAATCTTTGTTTTTTCTATTTTTAGTTCACAAACGAACAAGCGACAACACCGGAAAATAAAACACTGTTAGTTGCCGATGATCCTGATCTCGAGTAAGCTCTTGCTACAATCTACTATTGTTCAATACAGTTTCGTTTACAGATCATCCCAGTTCGGTCAAATTAAAGTGGGTATTCGTTATGCTGCTAATCGCAAAGCTTTATCTGTAACGATATATGCTTGCAAGTAAGTGAATACAGACGTTTCGATTATCTATTAACACGTTCTGTTTTCTAGAGATTTGATCAATGTTCATGAGCAAAATCTTCCGGACGCATACGTTCGTGTTTATTTGATGCCGGATTTCAAAAAAGATAAGAAGAAAACCAAGTCCGTTCATGACACAGTCGATCCAGTTTTCGACGATCTGTAAACGCGAACACGAACCTGTTCCATCTATTTCGCATTTTCTTCATAGATTTGAATGGTCAGCATCGTTAGGTGACATTCATCAACAACATCTTCTGATTAGTGTAAAGAACAATTCACCGCTATTTGCTAACGAACAAACATATATGGGCGATGTATGTATCGATCACATTCCGTTTTTAGTGAAATCTCTTTCTTTTTTTCTAAGCTTCAAATTGATCTATCGAATCTTGACCCAGAAAAGAACAGTATCGCTTGGTATGCATTACAAGAACCGAATACCAGTGCCGGCGGTTTGATCAAAATCAAATACGATACTCCAAATAATGTGCAAACGCATTTATAGAATAGTGACAAAATTTAGTTTTTACAAAACACTCTCCTTTTCTTTTTCGTTTCTTATCAAAGCATTTTTTGACTAACAATGTTTAATTTCAATTTTAATTACGCATGATGTTATACTATTCACTTTCAAACAATAGAATTCTTTCTTTTAATATCAATTTAATAAATATCAGAAATTGTCTGGACAGATGTCGCTTATATCCGATATATCCGAGCGAAATTAACAGTATTTTCTCTCGTAAAATGAATATTTCTTCTACAAAATATTGTTTGCAAACATCTGAAACTAATGAAAAAAGATAGATTTCAGTTGATGGAAAATGTTTTCTGTTTCTCCTAGAAACCAACATGAAAGAACATGAAAAATGAAAACTAGCTATTTGATTTAGTTGTCACTAAGACAAAACTTTCTGAACTTAGTATTCCACAAAATGGCTCGATTATACGATGCAATCGAACCGGAAGTCGTTTCAATGGGCATGCTTCAACATGCTGTGGAATCACTACGACCTGAAACAGATAGTCAAGCTGTACCGAGAGAAGATAAACTCGATTATAGTGCTGTTGATTCACTCCGTTTGGATTTTCGAAGTAAAATAGTTAACTTCCATTGTTCACTTTTGCTTATTTATTAATTAGATGTTCTTCGAATGGAAAATCTCTGGCTGTTTACTAATTTAACGAAACTTCAAATGGATAATAACATTATTGAACGTATCGAAGGACTTGAAACATTGACTAAATTGACCTGGTTAGGTGAGATTTCTCTTTGTATGCACAAGAATATTGTTCGATAGAGAAAATTTGTGTTTAGATCTTTCGTTTAACAATATTACACAGATTGAAGGTTTGGATGCATTAACTGAACTAACAGATCTCTCGTTGTACAATAATCGAATAACCGTGATTGAGAACATGGATTCATTGAAAAAATTGAACGTCTTTTCTATTGGAAATAATCAAGTCGACGATGAAAACAGCGTTAGTGAGAACGACTTTCAAAAGAAGTTCATTTATCACTATAGATTGCAAAGATTCTTCATTCGTTGTGCTTTTGTTTAGATTCGTTATCTTCGTCAGTTTGATAATCTTCGAACGTTCTGCCTGCGTGGTAATCCATTTGCATCAAAACCAGATTATTACGTGTTTACAATTTCACATTTACCACAAGTTCATTTCCTTGATTATAAACTTATTGAGGATGCAGCGGTATGTCATAGATTTATTTCAAATCATATCGATTGTCTCCGAACATTGTAGAGAGAAGAAGCAACGAAGAAATACGAAATTCAAATTCAACAATTGATCACCCAAGAAGATCAAGACCGAGAAAAAGAACGTAAAGCTGAAGATCAAAGAAAACAACAACAATTGTACAAGGTAAACTGTTCGAGCAGTTCACTGTTTTCATCATTGAAAGATTGAATTTCATTCAGGATGCTTTTGTGGAAAATATGGATCAAAAACAATTATTCGCTGCGATGTTTAAAGATGACACCGAAGGACAAAGATTACTTCTTGTTCCTGGTGCTGATGAATTAGTGGCACAAATTGAAGAGAAATTCGTGGCGGTTGTTCATCAAATGTTCGAATTTGGTCTTAAAGTGAAAGAATTTTAATAGAGAAACATATCTGACCGATGTTTACGTTCTTTAGGAAAAAGAAACGCGAGATCGGGAAATCGAAGATTTTTGGGTGTGTGTCAACGAAGCGAAAGACGAAAATACTCGACGAGCTGCAGCGATTGTCGATGAGTTCAAGGAATATCGAACACAACTATTTGTAAGTGAAGTCATTCAATTTACTAATCGATTTTCTTTGATTAAAAATAGGCGAAGGAAGATTTTGAACAGCAAGGTGTATCATCTGCAGTTGCTGCTGAATATGACAAAGCGTTAAACACTCTTCATAACAAACTAATGGCTTTAGAAATTGCCTTAGTCGATCAATTGGAAGTAAGATCACTTGTTTCACGTAGTTTCAAAGCAAATGTTGTCTTACTGTTATGTAGGACACTATTCAAACATTCGAGCGAAACTTAGGTGAAATGGTTTCGAATTTTACGGAATCAATGCGTGGAAATTTTGGTTTATTACGAGAATTTCAAGCTTATTTCAATGAATCTATTGGAAATCTATGTGTTGCTGCTTTTGAACGATACACGAAAGGTGAACTCGACGATGATTTTTCCGATGAAACACGTGATGTTTGTACACGAATACTTTCTTCGCTAGAAAATTATTCAGTTTCATTTGTGCTTTTCTAGCTTTTTGCTGATAAGGATACGATACTGAATGCATGTCAAACGTCAGATGAAATTCATCGCACTAAGATCGATCAACGTGAAGACGAAATGTTCTCGCGCATCGCTAATTGGTTAACCACAATGATGGACAACATCCATGAAGAAGAGGAATATAAACGAAATCGCAAACGTATTATTGAAATTAGTCGATTAATTGATTACCTCCGAGCGGATATCGACGACATGTAATAGCACGAGATGAAGGAAACTAAATCAATTCTTTTTTTCTTTCTGTGAATTTAATAAAAAAAAAAAGAAGAGAAATGTTTCTATTGACAAAGCTAATTATTTACAATAGATTTCTTTCTTTTCCCTGTGAAAGCAAAGAAAAAGATTGTTTTTCAAGTCAGTTGAACTAAATCAATGAATTTGAACACACGCTTTTTCACCGAGCATAACTATCAACATAGACTGCCAGCGAGAGGCTATCGTTCGCCGTTGAGTTTTCGTTCTGGACCAATTTTGCACATTTCACGATCAACATTCGATCGAACCAACCGATGCGAATCATTTTTACCACCAGTCATCACTGGTCGAGGACATTACGATGGCGAAAAACCGTTCCACCGAAATGATTTCGCAAACAATGTCCTATTCGTTGCCAAACAGAAACTAGCTGGTATACTCCGTAATCAAACAACGAGGAATTACGATCGCAACGAACCAGAACAGAAAGCTCGTCGATTAACTGAGAAAACTAAACAACAGCAACAACAACAAGTACTTTCTGCAAAGACGATCAATTGTATTTGAAGTTTGTCTACTTTTTTTTAGGAGAATTCGTTTAATAAAAAATCAAATTCTTGTGGGCGTCTGACTGTGACCAATTTGGTCTTGAAACCTACACTACCATCATCGTATCGTCGTTCACGAGCAATGCGGCTGCAGCCTAAAACTTCTCGGCCATCCTTAGAGTGGGTTAATCCAGTTTTAGAACAGTATCACGAACATTTATTCAACTATCCAAGCGGTGACGATTCGCAAGCAAACACAAACATTTCTGAATTGATCGATGATCATCCGGTACAATCATCAGTCTCATATGTCAAATCCATGCTCTTGTCAGCAGACTGACGTTTTAATTGAGTTATTTTGTATTTTTTCATGTGATATTTCGCTTGTGTCAAATAATCATGAGTGTACTTATTTGGTTACGACGGTGAAATGTATTATTGGAATTAAAATTTTAAAAAGTTTACAGCCTGTTTTTTTCCGAGTTGGAGAATAGCAGAAAAGATGTTAACGACACGAAGGAAACGAGTAAAAGCATTTTAACTCATACGCTTTCATGCAAAGTCAATAGTAACTCGGGACATGAGCACAGTTTTAAAAAAATTGAATATAGAATGCGTAGATATAAATAGATTCATACACTTGATTATCTTCTCATTACACTGTAAAACATGAACTTCAAATATAGTTGGAGGGAAAATATAATCATATTATATCAATATTTACTGTTACTTCAGCAGAAGTGTGCTTTATTAGTATTAGTAATAAATCAAATCCAATAGTCTGATATTTCAAACCTGACTTTGTCCAATTCGGTGAAAAAGTATAGCGACCTGCATTCCTGCTTCAGTCCCACCAGCGGTTATAATTTATATTCTATAAGTTTTGACTGAATCTGTTTAGTGGCGACATCTATCCTAAATTGTGAATGATAACAAAAAAAATTTCTAGATTTATTTTTCGTTCTTGATTAAACCATTTTCACTGCTAATATTTATTTTCTTCATATTATTCTTTTCATATATTATTAAATTATTTAAAGAATGATATGAATGCATGTATAGAGAACAGATAATCCGTAATGGCCGAGGCCATTGTATCGTGTATGATTACCACCTTCATAATCATCATCATCCTAATCATATGTTCGACAGCTTCCCATTTTTGCTCCATATCGCGGTTATCTTCATGATTTTTCCTTCGTTTTTCTATTCTAGTACCATTCGTCGAATGTGAGCCCTCGAACGCACAAACTACTCTGTGTTTTTATATTGCGAGCATTTTCTTTGACAAACACACACACATATATATTTATCTTAACATTCAATCGCGATTATTTATTCAACATGTTTCTTCCACCTATCGGTCAACCAACATCGTCTTCGTCATTACAAGGCAGTGGAAGTGGAAATAACAATCAGCAGAACAATATGATTAATACAAGTGCCAGTTCCTCAGGTTCTTCATCAGCGAATCCGATTGGTCTTCCACCGTCAACACCTCCTGGAAGTGGTATTATGACAATGCTTCATCCGCCACTTGATTTATCACCACCTCCACGACCAGATTTTGGTCACGAAGGTCGATCGATCAAACTACGTGCCAATCATTTCTCGATTCGTATTCCTCCAATACTTATTCAACATTATGATCTTAACATTCAACCAGATAAGTGTCCCAAACGTGTCAATCGAGAAATCATTGATACAATGGTTAACAAATTTCAAAATATATTCAATAGTCAACATCCAGCATTTGATGGAAAAAGAAATCTTTATACCAAAGATCCTCTACCATTTGGCCGCGATCGTATCGAGCTGGAAGTAACTTTACCTGGTCCTGGCGAAGGACGCGATCGTTGCTTCAAAGTACAAATCAAATGGGTTGCACAAGTTAGTTTGGTTAGTTTACAAGAAGCTTTACAAGGACATGGACCACCTGTATCGAATGAAGCTGTATCAGCACTTGATGTGATTATGAGACACTTACCGAGTATGAAGTAAGTATTGATGAGAAATGTTCTTTGATTTCAAATGTTAGTAATTGTTTTCTATTGTACTATTCAGAACAGACAGGTTAGAAACTCAGAGCTTCTATATTGACTTTTTGATTGGTTTTAATCGATACAATATTCTTTCTTACGAATGTGCCTTGTTTAGATATACTCCTGTTGGTCGTTCATTCTTTTCTCCACCTGATATTCAATATAATCCGTTGGGTGGTGGTCGTGAAGTTTGGTTTGGTTTTCATCAATCTGTGCGACCATCTTATTGGCGAATGTCGTTGAATATCGATGGTAAATTCACCGAACTTTCATCCCTTTTTACGCTTTCATGTTTCTCCTCTTTCAGTTAGTGCTACCGCATTCTACAAATCCCAACCAGTTATCGATTTCATGTGTGAAGTATTGGATATACGGGATATTCAAGATCAAAGACGACCATTGAATGATGCACAACGAGTGAAATTTACAAAAGAAATCAAAGGTACGAATGAATCTCAATCAGTGGCTACTGTTAATGTTAGATCAGTTAGGAAAAGCTATTCCGTGTAATACCCTTCGCCACACGTTATGCTACATACAACGATAAAAAATTTCAAACTATCTCTTTCTTTTCTTATATTTAGGTCTTAAAATTGAAATCACACATTGTGGTAATATGAAACGAAAATATCGTGTTTGTAACGTAACACGAAAACCTGCCCAATATCAAACGTATGCTTAACACTAAACAGATCAATATCTTCTTAAAACTCAAATCTTCCCTCTAGATTTCCGCTTCAACTCGAAAGCGGTCAAACAGTGGAATGCACTGTGGCAAAATATTTCTATGAGAAACATCATATAAAGTTACAATATCCTCATTTGCCATGCTTACAAGTTGGTCAAGAACAAAAACATACTTATCTACCACTCGAAGTAAGACGATCGAAGAAGTAGAAATTCTCCAATATTCTCTTATCTCTAGGTTTGTAACATTGTTCCTGGACAACGTTGTATCAAAAAGTTAACCGACATGCAAACATCAACAATGATTAAGGTATGTTCGCTTTAGTGAATGCACATTTCATTTTGGAAAAGTATGTATTCTTACGAAAAAAAACTACGTTTGTCTTTGTTTGTAGTGCAGTGAGGTAGAGTTAATTAAGCATGATTTTTCTTCTTTGGAATGTATTCTTCTCTAAAAATATCTCTATACATAATTGAGATCGTTCCTATCTATGTTGTTATAGAATCAACAAGAACTACTTCAGGTAAACATCTCTGTACATTGTTTCGAAACCATCGTCGTCTCTTCCTAATTTTGCTCGATTTGCGCGCGCGAATCCATAAAGCCGTTCGAGTACATATGCAACTATAACCACTGCTCTCGATTTTGGAATGAATGAATAAATAAAACATAGAAATCGATCTGTTTTCTATGACAATAACATAGATAGGAACGAATGTTTTATGATAAAGAAACCAAACAAAACCAAACAATCCTTCGGATAATTATAACCAGCAAATAGCACGTCTCTCATTTCTGTTCATTTTATCGATTTCATACAATTGGATTCAAATGGAAATTTTCTTTGTTTTTAGGCTACGGCAAGATCAGCACCTGACCGTGAAAAGGAAATCAACAATTTAGTAAGTGTTGTTTGCTCTCCAATGTCGCCACAATGATTTCGATCATGTACCTAGTCTATCCTAGTTCTAAACGCGTACTATTTTCTTGTCATTCATAATTCAATTAAACAAATAATACTCAGGAGCGGAAAAAAACAGGAAGCTTGTCTCGAGAAAAGACGTCGATCTTGATGATATTATTTCGAAGTGAAAAGCGAAATTAGAATCAATAAAACTGTATCATTTAGGTCCGAAAGGCGGAATTCAATAATGACGTTTACGTCACACATTTCGGCATTAATATTTTGACAAACATGACCGAGGTCATGGGGCGTGTTTTAACAGCTCCCAAAATTCAATACGGCGGTCGAGTAAGTACTCCGAAAGTCAATTTCATTTCTCATGAATTTCATGTCGAATTTAGACGAAAATAATTGTTACACCCAATCAAGGTGTATGGGATATGCGTGGTAAACAATTTCATACAGGCATTGAAATTCGTACATGGGCAATTGCATGTTTTGCACCGCAACGAAATTGTAATGAAGCAGCATTAAGAACATTTACTCAACAATTACAACGAATATCCAATGATGCTGGAATGCCCATTGTCGGTCAGCCATGTTTCTGCAAATATGCAACAGGTATTGAACAAGTCGAGCCGATGTTTAAATTTCTGAAAACAACGTACAACGGTTTACAATTGATCGTCGTGGTTTTACCTGGTAAAACTCCCGTTTATGCCGAAGTCAAACGGGTTGGCGATACATTGATTGGATTAGCTACCCAATGTGTACAAGCTAAGAATGTCAACAAGACCACACCACAAACATTGTCGAATCTATGTTTGAAGATCAATGTTAAATTAGGTGGTGTCAACAATATTCTCGTACCAAGTGTACGTCCCATCAGTGTTTTCCGTGAACCAGTTATATTTATTGGTGCAGACGTGACACATCCGCCAGCAGGCGATCGTTCTAAACCATCAATTGCAGCTGTATGTTATCTCGCTTTTTTGTTTAATACATATCGAAACATATCTTCTTTATTTTCAAGGTTGTTGCTTCGATGGATGCTCATCCATCCCGATATGCAGCTACGGTTCGTATACAAATGCATCGTCATGAAGTCATTGCCGAACTATCAACTATGGTCAGAGAATTACTTATACAGTTTTACAAATCCACACGGTTCAAACCAGCGCGTATCATCTTATATCGTGACGGTGTCAGTGAAGGACAATTTGCACATGTACTTGCACATGAACTCATGGCTGTGCGAGAAGCTTGTGCACGTCTTGAAGCATCGTATCAACCGGGCATTACATTCATTGTTGTTCAAAAGCGACATCATACACGTCTGTTCTGTGCTGATAAAAAGGAACAGGTGAGTTTCGCATTCTGAACGATGTGAAAAGCATGAAAATATTTTCCGTCAGCTATGACCTTGAACGTGTCATTGATAATTCATCTCGCCAATGGGTAACATTGTTTTTTCAAAGTAGATACTTATCTCTAGACATCTTCTTTCATCGATGTCCAGAGTAAAACAGATTTGTGCTTTCCCTCTCATCTCATCGATTTGATATAACAATCTTTTCTTAAAAAAGAAAGTTCTTGAAATCCTAGTCAAAATGAATTATTATCTCGATAGATATTTCTCGTGAGAATTTTTCACTTAGAATAGAGTAAAACGTACCTGCATTTTACGTGAGTGTGAAATGGCTTTTATAATTAATTAATAAAGTAGTACAAAAACGGAATTTTCTGCGACGTCATTCATGACATAAATTTCCATCGAAGTGCTTTCTTCAATGTCATGCGTTACTTGTACAAGCGTTCTTAAAATAACATCTCTCGCTTCATGTATATCGTCAGAGAACATTTCGAGCACAATTGTTAGCATTCCCAGAACTCGTATAAAGTCCCAGTTCAAAATGCCTTGCTTTGTTATGACTAATATTCAAGTTCTTCGGTCATTAACGAACTTCAAAATGCTAAAAATAAACGAAGTATATTTTTAACCCAAAAGTACAGAAACAAAAAATCATAATGCATCATTGTGGGAGTTGTCCCTTTGATAAATTACGATATGTCGTAATAGGTTGTCTTTCGTCGGATGAGTCATATCGATGCACTATCTACACTTGAATCAAAATGTGAGAATTCAATTTTGAATTGCTATTAATACATTTTAATAGGCCAAGTACGTTCTTTCGATGAATTTTTCTCGCTGCTTATCATAAAATAAGAAAACAAATGTTCTTTGAAAGTTCAACACAAGAACATTTATGTTGTTTTTCTTCTCTAGTGTGGCAAAAGTGGAAATATTCCTCCAGGTACGACAGTGGATGTTGCAATAACACATCCAACGGAATACGACTTTTACCTCTGCTCGCATGCTGGTATCCAAGGTACATCTCGCCCATCCCATTATCATGTTCTTTGGGATGATAACAGTTTTTCTGCTGATGAACTACAAGCATTAACTTATCAACTTTGTCATACATATGTCAGATGTACACGTTCAGTATCAATACCAGCTCCGGCTTACTATGCTCACTTAGTTGCATTTCGTGCACGGTACCATTTAATTGAAAGAGAACCTGAAAGGTAAGCAACCATCGATTCAACGGAAGCTTGAGCGTGATCTATATATGTTTATTTTGCTTTTTTCAGTAATGAAGGTTCACATCAATCATCAAATGGTGATTCGAATGGTCAACAACAAGTTCAATTGAGTCGTGCAGTTACCGTACATCCAGATTCGGCTCAAGTCATGTATTTTGCTTAGTGTTAGAATAATCTTTCTCTCCCCTTCCGCTTATCCTTCTGATATAATGCTCACATTTCCTCCATCTATTTACATGTCATCATTCTCTCTTTTCTGTTTCTTTAGAACAATTTTCTTTTTCTCTCGCTCTGTGTTTTATCTCAATAGATCAATTTAATGTATCTGTTTCCTCACTGGGTTCGTTTGTTTCTTTTTCGTCTTTGTATATAGACTTCTTATGTAGCTTCCTCTTCGATGCGCACAAATTCGAGTGCAATAGAGGTGCTATTTTACTCTCCGTCACCCTTTCCCCTAGTTGTAGTTTGATTTACAACAGTGCAATTCTTATTCACAACATGTGCGCACACATACACACAGAAGGAAAAGAGTTTGCTTCGAACTATTTGCCGTATAACAGTGTATATACGTATCTAACTCTCTCGTTATTGCGTCTTTTTTGTTTGCAGTGTTTCAGCCATCTAGAACATGCTTCTGTTTCTCATCGTGCTTATTTCTCTTCAACAGTGTATCGGTGTCAGTGTGTGCATTTTTCGAACGAATTTCAATAACGAATGATCGGGATAAAACGGAATTAGGACAAATATTTCGAACGCCGACGTCTGCTTTCTGTTTATATGTGTATGTGCACGTCATTACTCTTTCTCTTTTTTTCCACTCTTTCTCTCATGTTGATTCTTTTTACTTATATTCTGCCGTCAATACATCAAACCGATTTCCGAATGACATCAAACTGTCTACGTTTTTTCTCGCTCTCTCGTTCTTCTTTTGCCTATTCAATACTCTAAAGAGCAGAAAAAAAATGTAATCACGCAAATGATGAAATAAAAACATATGTGTGTGTGTATGTTTAGAAAAAAAAGGACATTATTCTTTGCGTTACTCGTTTGTTTTTTTTTTGTGTGTCTCAAATGAATTTACGTGAATGTGCCTCTTTCGTTTCGTTTTTTTTTCTTTTCTTCTTTTTTTCGTCATTTCCTTTGTTCTGATAACAAAGCGTATAAATGATATTCGTAATTTTGACTTATTTAAACATAGTGTGTACGAAAAAAAAACCAAATTACTGCTTTAAATTAATTTTCAATCCATTCATACGAACACAAACTTGTTGAGAGAGAATTCTACGAAGGAAGTGTCGTGCTATATTATTAGTGCCTCTTATTTCTGGTTGAATGTCTTACATTGCAAGTACTTTGTTCGGAGAAGAAAAGGAAAGACGTAATATTGACTTAATCAAAACAAGCATTTCCATAGGTGACGAGCACCCGCGTGTCTGACTTCGTATACTTTCAGTGCACAAAGTTTCTTTTCATGACATTTCTTGTTATTCTTGTTTGCGATTGAAATGTCTAGCTAATACATTTTCCCTCTTAAAAAATTTATTAACACATGCTGAGAATATGGTTCGATTTTTCTTTCTACGAGCTAAAAATACTCTATTTCCAGACCGAAGCAAAACAATACAACAAAGTAGGAGGCGTAGAGCAACTACTGAATAATATCGGTTGTAGAGTATACATAATCGACAAAGCAATGCTGTTTGATATTCAGGAGATTTTGAAAGTCTTCGAGTTCTTTGAAGATATGACTCGAATCAACGAACGGTCATACCGGTGATTAATGCTATTTCAAAAGAAGCCCGAAATTGTATGAAATTTAAAGAAAAAAACATTAAAATAACGCAGATAAATAATAATTAGAGCAGATGGTGGTGAAGGATCTATGTATCATTCCACAGTGTACGGAGTTCGTTCTTTCCTTTTCTAAAGAAAAGGAAAACGACAGACGAACCCGATAGATTGCTCGAGATTTCTTTTCTTCTATAAAAGTAAGTCAAGTGATAAGCCAATGAAATATTTCTCGTTCGATATAGATAGCCGATTGGTTTCATGCGCGTCGATGTCTAGTCTGAAACGATTATATAACAGATTTTCAAACATGATTTTCCCCGAAAAAAACGAGGCCCGAATAATGATTATCGGACAAAATAGAAAGCTCTTGATTTTCGATGACGTATGAAAAAGAAACAACGCCATATCACTGTGATGAAACTTATTTGCTCTCTTTCTTTTGAAGTTTTTCGTACTTTTTTTCGTCAAATAACCTTAAAGTGAATCATCTATCACGTGTTGGCTGCATGTGGGTTTATTGGTACCCATGAACCTCGCAAAGAATATAGTACAAAACCTCTTTTCGTCTACTATCGTCTTCCTTTTTTCTCCTCCCTTTATCGTTCTTGTCGCGCTTTTTTTATTACTTCTCTCTTCTACGGACATTACACTAAACTGCGTCTTTCTGTCGTTCGTTTGTCTCTCAGTTGTTTTTTCTCTCTTTCTCTTAACTCGGTTTTTTTTCAATAGTATACCTGTTTCACTAACTCCATTTTTATTGTATACATTCATCTGGATGTTTGTATATATACGCATATACCAAACGTCCATGATTTCATAATTCGCCAGTAGATTCAGATATGCATGTAGACATTCCACATCGTTAGAACCTTCAATAACACTGTTTGATTACATAAGCATTTCTATAATATATTGCTATTGATCAGAAGACGAGCTTAGGTCTGTCCTAGTTATTTCCTGAGATTTTGATGAGAAAAAGTTGTTGCTTTAATTACGCAGATCGCTGGTACGAGCTGCGCAGAAAAAATAGGGCATGCAAGTACTCGTCTACCGAAATGCCCTTGTCGTTTTTTCTTGCACAACCACATTTTCCTCTCCTTCAGCGTTCTTTCTTCTTTCCTTTCCTTCTACCGGCTCGAACGACGTCGACTATATGTGACTTCCAACAAAACGAGAGACTCATTCGACCTACATTCAGATGTACTATTCTTATCATATCAGACTTCTTTTGTCATATATATTCTAGATTATATTTTGATTTGTATACATCGTATATTCAGTTGAACAAAATGCCTGAGAGCGAGTTACGGATGGCTGTGCAGAATAATGAAAACGATGATGGTAACCAAGTATCTGATTTGAAAGGAACCGAATCGAATACGTCGCCAAGTTTAGCAAAAGCAAAACGAACGCGACTGACATTTCCATTTGGAGCTTGGTAAGTTCAATAGCGTGAAAATCGAAGGATATATTCGTTACACTGCAATTTTTCCTTTAGTCGTGTCTGCTCAGATTCTGCTACGGGTATTCACTATGGTATCGCCACTTGCGAAGGATGTAAAGTAAGTTGATGATTGTTATGCCAAACGAAACCTTTTTTAAGTAGAATAGATTTATGATAATGTCATTAAAAACTAGACATCTTTGTGTCCTTTCGGGCCGATTCTCTCATAGCGAACATCGTGACCTGCTCTTTATTCTATTTTTGTCTTTTAGGGGTTTTTCAAGCGTAGTATATTACGGAAGGAGAAATATCGATGCTATTTTGATAACACATGTCTCATCAATGTAACAAATCGAAACCGATGTAAAGCTTGTCGCTTTCGACGATGTATCGACGAAGGCATGTCGGTTGACGGTGAGTTACACCAGTTAATATTTCTCGTGATCTAGTGAATTCGTGTTTCAGGAGTCAAAATGGGTCGTATACCAAAGTTAGTAAAAGAACGCGCTTTGATCGAATTGAAAGAACAACAGACAAAAGAAGCCGCTTTGACTGGAGCTAATGAAGACCATGCGAGAGAGTCTTCGTGTTCATCTCTGTCTGATCGTAGTATAGAAAACTATGACCCCAATGCAATGGATACAGGTAAAAGACACTCATGATGTTTTTTCTCTTCGAAACTAATTGACTGATTTAGATTATTTAGAATCTGAACCGTCGCCTCTTCAGAGACGTGCTGGTTTAGGACAGTTATATACAAATGATAATTGCGAGAAAAATCTAGCCAACTCGTCCTTCAATCTCCCTAATCAATCATTAAATTCAAAGGCCCAATCAGACTTATCTCAGCGCAGTGAAACCGTAGCATTACCATCAAACGATTCCGAACTAAGAAAGAATCCATTTATCTACCGAACAAAGTACCCAACGTTTCTCCCCGATGATTTCACAGTCGACGAAACAGAAGGTTTAACCATGCAATCGTCAGGTCTTTTATCCGACGAGGCTTTCAAACATGTTATCACCATCAGAAACAAACTACGTGCCGACCAATTGAGTTTTCTCATTCAATTGAATGAAGGAGAAACAGTATTTATTCGGTAATTTATAGAGAAAATCTCAGAAGACAACATGTTCTTATCATCCCTTTTTTTCTTACAGATATATTCGTTGGTCTGCATATAATATTTTTCTTCGCCGTTCCAAACGAGTCAAACAACTGGTTTCTCGAATGCATCAAATGATTGACCGTAACGTTCAAGAATATCCAGGAGGTAACAACACCATGGGCGACTTCCTTCGAAGCATTGGACGTACGTGAAAATTACGAAGTTTCAGTTAAAATAATCTGCGATATGTTTCTAGTTTCGTGTCAGGTTTTTACCCGTGCTGCGGTTCTCTATGTGCAAGAAGTAAGTGACATTGAACATAGTTTTCGCTCACTTCTTTCTTATTTCTTCTGTAGTTACCTGGTATGAAGAATATCGATATGAAAACTATGGAAAAGCTTATACTTCATCGAGCATTTGGGTGGCATATGGTGTGTAATTTACTTCATAAACTAGTTTTTATATACTCAAAAGCGAATATTTTACATTTTAGCTGAAATATCATGAATTGTACAATAGCAACGGAGAGTGTTATGCTTTGGGACCTGATGGCTTTCAATATAGTCGGCATTGGATGAATCAGCTCAATAGTGTATTGCTCACAAATGCAATGTTCAATTTTTGTCTTCATATACAGGAACTTCGTTTGAGTGATAGCGAATTTTCGCTCGTGTTGCCGTTATATTTCTGTTCCTCAGGTAGGACATCAAATTTTATTGGTCAATGTAGACTCTCATTTCGAATCTGTTAGATCCTAAAACCGAAAATACTGAAGTCGTGCAGATGCTCCGCTCGTGTTATCTCTATGCATTCTACGCTGAATTATGTCAGACTCGTGGTGAATCAGAAGGAAAACAATTATGTTTGAAAACTTTGCAGGTTTGTTGATTTATTTGACTTTCATTCACATGATTTAATGAGTCGTTTTAGGTACTAGAAGATCTTGTTCCACTTTCTGAACTTTATGATAAAGAAATTGCTGACCGATCGTTGGAAGGTAAACATTTTTTATTCCCGAACGTTGAAGAACAAACTGTCCTGATGTTGTTTTAGGTTAAAATTATGCAAAATTCGTCGATAGTCAAACCTTTCCGTTTGTTTTATCATAAACACTTTTGTATTCATGATGATCTCAATGTGAAAACTAAAGACGAACACTACAAATTTTTTTGTTGTGGTCTTCATTTTTCTTTCATAGTATTTTCATTTGATTCTTTTGATTTTTCTTTTTTTTCTTTGTCAATGTTTTCGGAAGAGACGGTGATATATACATTCATATGCCTTTCGTCGTTCATGCTGATTCCGACTCAATAAGAAAACAAAAGAAGCAAATTTGATGGTTGTTCTTATTAAAAACTCATATATTTGTAAAGCACATGAATATTGATAAGACATTTCTGTACGAAGAAGAATAGATGAGAGGAAAAGCAATGGACTTGTTTGCAAAGATCAACGTGTTCTCGTTCAAGTTCAAGTTGCATTCTTCAGAATACTGAAGAGATTTCACTTTGATAAATTAAATTATTCAGTAATTTTGATTCACTTACGCATGACTATCATTTAGTGCTTGAATCTGTCATGATCTTTCTCTTGCCCAGAACCAACAACAGCTATTCTTAGACATTCACTTAATCACCAGATCGATTTTAAATATTCATCTTTTTCCTGCTCGGGGTACATCATATGAATATGTGGTTTTTATGACAAACATAAAACTCTCGAAAATGATCTTACATCAAGTTCGATGTACATGTCAGGAGAAAGGTAAAATCAATATTTATTTGCTTAAATTGTTTTCTACTATATGGCATTTATTGACAGTTTGGCATTGGAAAATGTCAACGACGGTTTTCTATATGAAATATTTCTCATTAATATAAATACCTTTCAGTTGACAACATGCAGTTCCCGAGTAAAACTGTCAGTATTACTTGATTATATTCGCGAATGTCGTATGTGATGATGTATTACACAAAAAAACATCAGTCATTGATCCCGTTCAATTCGAGTGAACAAAGTTTCTTTAGTATCAATTTATGTATAAGAACATTGATATTCGAGTTCGAGAAAAAACGAATCTTTATATTTGTCTATCCTAACAGAAAGAGTTTTTCGACTACTAGGTTTAAGCAAAACATATATTCTCTTTTTAATTAGCTAGCAGGAGATATGTGCCATATAGAACTATCCTAGGATTGGATTTCAACAAATATGTTATCAGATATCCTGTTACTTATCTAGATATCATCATGAATAAACTAGTTTCATACGCATGACATTGACTTTAGTTTAGTCTATAGAAGAAAATCGCCGATGGTAATGAAATCTGAATAGTTAATAGTCGCGGTTTCGAATAAGATGGAATTCATTCAACAACACACCATGTGGCTTTTTTTTCTTCTTTTATTTTCATTATCAGCATCATAAATATATAAATAAATATCACGACGATGTACAACAACTAAGAAGTGATTTTCGATATTTCTTTTTTTTCTTTTGACTTCGTTTCATTTTGATTTTTGTATTGATTTCTCGTACGATTTCGGCGAAGATGTCATTGACATTTATGGCTAGTTTGGCCGACGTTTCAATATACGGACAGTTCCAGGTTTGGGCTAAAGCTAAAGCATCGTTAGGAGTCACTTGCCGCTGTAGCGATGCATCGCATTTGTTCCCAACGAGACAAATCGGTACACTTTCCGTACCTTTGACACGGATAATTTGTTCGCGTACGAGTCGAACATCGAGAAATGATTGCCAAGATGTTAAACTAAATACAACCAGAAAGCCACGACCATTTTTTATGTAGAGATCGCGCATAGATGCGAATTGTTCAGTACCTAAAGAGACAAGTGCAAATTTCACTTCGGATTTCCTCTCTCTTTCTCTTCTCATCTTCGGCAAAAACTTACCAGCGGTATCAAGTATTTCCAAATAAGCCGGTTCAGTATCGACTTGTATTTCTTTTCGATAGAAATCCTGTAAAACATCAAAATTGAACTTTCTCTTCTTTTCAATTGATATTTGACCTACCTCAATCGTCGGATCATATTTTTCAACAAATTTCGAATGGCAAAACTGTACTGTTAAGGCTGATTTTCCGACACCACCCGGCCCGAGTACGACAACTTTATATTCCTTCATATTAACAGCTTAACCACTAGGGTTACTGCTGTTCTTGCTGTTAATGATAGGATGAGGACGAGCAGCTCATTAAGTGTTTCTAGGCACACTTGCTTATGTAGTCGAAATAAATGTTGTAGTAAGTCAAAGAAACAGAAGAAAAAGAAAAAGAAGAAAAGAAATCTAGAAAAAAAAGAAAAGAACAAGTGGCAACATGTCACACATATATCCACAACGAAAGTGTGAAGCAAAAAGAAAAGGTCATCCATATTCCTCTTTATTCTCTTCTCTTCTTTCTCTTTCTCCTGTTCAAGATTACAAATTTTGTTCCAGCTGATTCATTGTATGAAGCACTTCGAAGTTTCATCGATTAGATGAAGAAAAGACGAATTACATAATCTTTACTTCGACTATCATAATCAAAAAGAACCTGACGTATAAGTGATTAGAATAAAAGAAATGACATTTCAACAAATCGAACGCAATAACATGCAACTACAATATCCTATTGAAATCTATATGTATACACACAGCAACATGTATGCATACACCGTCATACATACCATTGTGTCGAAGTAATGAAAGAAATAGGTTCGTCTTTTTTTTTTCATATATATGTCAATACCGAATACTGCCGTTGATCTGATCAATGGCATGAAGGCAAACAGCACATATATATCGATGGGTTGTGCAATCTGAATGCCATCTAATCTTTCTGTAAGCAGGCAGAGCAAGTTATGTGTGCATGCATTGTATTGTTGTTGAGACATCATTCATCAAATTGAATATCGTTCGGTTAGCAAGTGACAATCAACAGAACTATCTAGTTTATAGAGGATATTTGATCTTCATCGTAGGCATTTGTCGTCAGTTCTTTCTTTCTCTTCTTTTATCGTGCGTATAACTGCACTTGTACATTCCCTTAAGCATTGATATTTGAATATACTTCTCACAAGCACGAAGCTAATCGCTTTATCTCTCTCCTAACAATAATGTAATTCGTCGCATTCTTCTACACATATAGAAATAAAGATATATGGATATAGATATCTCAAATAGTTAACGATAATATTAGAGGATAATACCTAACTCTTCGAAATGTATATGTTCATTATTTTTGTTTTATTGTGTATGCAAATATATACGTATGAATGATTGGTTGTCTTGACGAAGAAAGCCTTGAAGCTTGATGATTGATCATATCATCTGATTGATTATCCATCTCTTAGTGGAGCAAGAAAATCTAGTCTATTCATTCGGATCTTAAGCGAACGAATCGATCATAGTTGAGACGTTGCCACAACGAAGAGAAAAGGAAAAAAACAAAGATCTTTCTCAGAACTTTCTTTTGATTTCATCGAACTCAACTACTTAATATCGATGGTTTCTCTCCGTTGCAAAGCACAACCAGAATTTCAAGATGGTGACATGTTGCAAGAATAGACACAATGACGAGAAAAGTGCGAAATAATTATCTAAAGCAATTATTTATCTTCTGTTCGAATGTGCTGTCTGTTCTGATGAGGAAGGAAGTGCACTGATTTGATTATTTATTGCAATGTGAATGTCTTCGCAAAAGCAAAGTTAAGTCCTGAAAAAAAAACACACCCTGATTTTTTTTTCTAGTCAGTCATACGAATGAAAAAAGAAAAGTTTCTTTCCTAATGTGCGTGTTTTACGAAACAATTTTCATTTAAATTTAGTCTCAGCAGTATGCAAATATAGTGCAGCATGATTGTTGCTATTGTAGACTCCCTCTAGAGTCTCTTCAACTAACAGTAGTCAAGAGAGGCATAATAGTAACCTCGTCATCATCATTAGCGTCAAACGACAATCTCTTACTCTTTACTAGCTAGAAAAATCGTCCTGTCGTCATCATCATCATCATCATCGTCAGTTTTTATTTCTATTTCTTGCTTGATATTATTCTTTCCTTTCTTTTATTCTTTTCTCTTCTGTCTTCTCTTGTTCTGTGAAATGAGACGACTGACAAGCATGAGAAACAACAAAATGAGAAATCTTCTGAGTGGGTATTCTCCACATCTTCGATGTAGCACGCGAGTCGAGCGAGCATTGATGAGTCTGTTGAATGTGCAAAGCGAGAAACGAGTAAGAGAGTAGGATGCACTAAATCTCGTCGATGATAAGAATACAGCAAGGACGAATGTTGAGAAAAGCAAACATTTCCTTATTCTTGTTCTTTCACAATTAGAATGATGCATGTGTTAGAAAAAAAAAGCGAGGAGAAGAATAAGAAGTGGCAATAGCAATAGTTGTTCTAGTGGTAGTAGTAGTCGAAGACGAAGAAGAAGAAGAAGGAGAAGAATAGACCGATTAGGATTATTCTAACGAGATGAACTGCCATGAGAACTATTGATTTAATCTAGTAAAGTATTACGTCTACTTCTGTGTTTTCGTTTGACAGGCATTAGCGCATCTCTTTTGATTTTCCATTTTTCCTCGTTTTAGATTTTGTGTGATCGTCAACAAAATCCTTGATGATACCCACTTGGAATGACAGGAAAAAGAAAGAACGATCAAATGCATTTTCCCTTAGCGTTATAGATAACTAAAACATTGTCAAGCCACAGTTTTTCTTCTTTCATATTCTCTTTTCAGATGACAATGATTGTCATACACGACCCAATTGATCGAAATTGCTGAAGTAAAATGAGATGATTCAAGGTAAGTCGCTGATTAGATTATGGATTAAGTAAATCTCCGAGGAGAATATCGTAGATTAAATCAACAGTATAAGTAAAAAACAAAGTGGATAAAGTGTCTTATCCTTGACAGAAAATGATGAAATCTTCGGTGTTCAATAGTAAAAAGCTGCTTATGTGTAAGAAGTGATGCAGAAAAATGCTTATATTCATTGTTATTTATCTGTGGGAATTACTCATTATTATGACAACTGCTGTTGCTGGTCAGCAACAATTACGTACTCAAACATTTGACATCACGATTGGTAAGTGGAGAAAGTTATTTGTTTGATTGATTGATTGTCTATCTATTTCTCGTTTGTTCTTCAGGTGGTGTTTTCACAGATCGAGACGAAGGCACGGAGAGTCAGAGTATGGAAAGTATATTTAAATATGCAATTTTTCACTACAATCGATTGGCGAAAGATGCACATAATCTCGCATTCAAAATACGAATTAAAGAAGAAACATTGAGTTTAATTGCAGCGGAATCAGCTGTTCAAACTGTTCATGATGGTAAATACAAAATCTCTCAAAAAAGTTCTTAAACATCAGTTGTTTTCTTTCGTTCTAGTATGCTCTCTGGTGCATCAACGTCGTGTACAAGGCATCTTTGGCCCACCATATCCTGAAATAGCTACACTTGTCCATTCAATATGTTATCACGTTGATATCCCATTTATAAATGTTTGTTCGTCTTGTTACGACGCGGAAAGTTTCGATGAGGAAACATCTGAAGACATTGAACATATCCCGCGACGTGATCGTATGTCAATTAATTTGTATCCGTCCAATCAGGATCTGAATGTCGCTTTCCATAATCTAACCCACAAACTCAAATGGAGAAAATTTCTGATCATCTATGATATGGATTCAGGTTCGACGCTCTTCTTCTGATAAATATCAGTCGGTCATTCTCATTTGACTGTAATTAGGTTTGACACGTCTTCAGAAAGTGCTCAATGATCCAGGTGTCAATCAAACTGATATCCTCGTTCGTCAATTTACACACTATAAAGACCGAAGTGTCCTTGTCGATGCAATTGGCCGTGGTATTCACAATATTATCTTAGATTTAAACGATTTCAACACGCGCACGGTTCTCAAAATGGCTCTACAGATGGGCATGATCAATTCAAATTACCACTATTTATTGACAACATTGGTATTTGGAAAAAAGCGAATTGTTTTGATTGATTTATCGTTTTTCCTTTCTTATTTTTTTTTTCAGAATATTGATACATTCGATTTAGAAGATTTTAAATATAATTATGTTAATTTAACTGCTTTTCGATTATTCAATCGTCGTGATGCTCGCGTGCAAATGGCCATGGAATCGTTTTTTGCTTTTAAAACGATGCCCAATACAGATGCAAATCGACGCCTGTTCACAGTAAATGTTCTCTTTCATTACATTCAAGTATTTACTCAATATATCTTATTTAGACTTCAGTCGCGTTATGGGCTGATGCAATTCTTGCATTTGCATACGCGTATGATAAATTAATTGCTTCTCAATTAACACTCGGAGTAGATTTAATTCGACCGAATATTTCCTGTTCAGATGGTCGCGGATGGCCATTAGGCATTGAACTGCATTCAAAATTTAACCAAGTAAGGAACCGTCGTTCGATTTCGATCGAAGAAGACGCGATGTTTGTCTTTTGAAAGATTGCCTTTGATGGAATCACCGGCCGGATTCAATTTACAACCAATGGCGAACGAACGGGATTTGAACTTGACGTTGTTCATCTCGCTGAAGTTGGCCTTTCAAAAGTAATCAATTTGCGTTTTTTTCCTCTCTTGCATCAAATTAGCATATCTCATGAGAAGATCAACAATGATCTATCTTGTTGCTTTTCGTTACTGAAGAAAAAATCAAGATATATTAGCAATTTACATATAAAAAACAGCAAATGTCATCGATTGCTTTGCTTTCCAATGTTTTTAACATGCAATCAATTTCAGTCGAAAGACAAAACATCACATACAATCTTTTTTTATCGACATCATGTCACGCAATGATCCATTTCCAATGAGTTTTTCATGTTATACCTTGGGAAAAACATCTGCCGTTAGAAAGATTTCCATCACAAACGATGTTTGATGATGAATATTAGAATAGTTCGTCGAGACATAATCATCACTGTATACAGGCTAACACAATAGTTCACCTGAAGCGTTGCAGAGATTGTTTATGTATTTGTAACTGTGCTTTTTTTCCTCCAGATTGGCTCATGGTCACGTGCTAAAGGTGCGAATGTTACAATGACTTCGAATGCACGTAGTGGATTATTCAATTCAACGTTGATTGTTACAACGATTCTTGTATGTTGCGAAGTGTTGCTTTGATCGGATTGAAAGAAACGGAGGAGTATTTGTTTTCTATAGGAAGCTCCTTATGTTATCTATAAGAATAATTCAAATCTCACCGATCTGACGAATATTATGTATTCCAATCATGATTTTGAAGGATTTTGCATCGATCTCTTGGAAGAATTATCGCATGCATTGAAATTTCATTACAAAATCAAACCGATTACAACTTCACGGTACGACGATATGGTTGAAGAAGTGAAACATAAGGTATGAAGCTTTAGTTTTTCGTTTTCTCATCTGATTTTAATTTTCATAGAGAGCAGATTTAGCTGTTGCACCCTTGACCAGTAAGTTGAAGAGGAATATTGACTTATTATTCAATTTGTCTCCTTCTCTGTCTCTAGTCAATTATGCACGAGAAAAACAAATTGATTTTACCAAGCCCTTTCTTAGTTTGGGTATTGCGATTCTATTTAAACTACCCAAACCGGAAAAACCAGGTCTATTCAGTTTCTTAAGTCCACTTTCACTTGAAATCTGGGTAAGTCTTGATCATCTCTCATATGTACTTTTTCAAAGAAAAGACAACTTCTCTATATTAGATTTACACATTTGCTGCTGTCTTCACTGTTAGTTTTATTCTTCTCTTAATTGCCCGATGTTCACCAGATGAATGGCGAAATCCTTATCCCTGCGATACTGAATATGATGTTTTAGAAAATCGTTTTACTGTCAGTAACACACTTTGGTTTGCTATTGGAACCTTGATGCAGCAAGGTATGAACAACTTAGACATCATTATATTATCAAAGACTACCTGATTCATGTTTGATGTGCCATAAAGACTACAAAGAGAATTCTTTCGAAAGAACTATTGTTATCAATTCTCTTTCATCCTCTCTGATCAACACTTTTACTGCACGTTGTCTCCTCTATATACTGTTCATCAGAAAAGATTTCTGGTTGAATGAAGGGAAAGTATTTCGTGTGATAGTTGATATGTTTTGGATAAATACCAAACCGACTTCCGTTCGTTTTCCCTGATAATAACACGTGTCATTAATCATTTCCGTGCATACATCAGAAATCGTTTTGCTTGTTTCGGAATTAATTAGAATTTTCTTTTAAGGTTCCGACGTTAGTCCCTCTGCTATATCGACCCGTCTTGTTTCTGGTATCTGGTGGTTTTTTACCTTAATTCTCATCTCTTCGTATACTGCTAACTTAGGTAAGAGAGAAATAATTTGGAAGATTGAAAATGGAATTGTTCGTGCTTGTACAGCTGCTTTTTTAACTGTGGAAAAACTCGTTAATCCAATCGAGAGTGCTGAAGATCTATCGAAACAAAATAAAATAAAATATGGTGTCGTCGAAAACGGTTCAACAGAACAATTTTTTCGAGTAAACTCCTTCTTTACTTCGTCTATTCTCCATTGTCTGTGGATTTCTCAAGGAATCAAGCATTCCTACGTATCAAGCGATGTGGAAGCAAATGAAAAGTAATCCGGATGTATTCGTAAGGAAAAACAAATTCGGTGTCGATCGTGTCAAAGCCGAATCCTACGCATTTCTAATGGAATCGACCACAATCGAATATATTGTACAACGTGAATGTAATCTTACGCAAATTGGCGGTCTATTGGATAATAAAGGGTATGGAATTGGATTACCCGAAGGTAAGATTTCGATGTGGATAGAAAAGCTTTGATAGACACTTGTCTGATTGTTTAGGAAGTCCGTATCGTGAACGGTTCTCCGAAATAATTCTTGATTTGCAAGAAAAAGGCGTGGTAAGTTAATGAATGAAAACAAACGTTTCGTTGAAATGAAGATGTCTCGTTTTAAAAAACAAAGATACAAAAGTCGTATAATAAGTGGTGGAAAGGGAAAGGAACATGCTCATCAGAAAAGAAAGATTCAAAAGCAAATCCGTTGGATTTAACCAATGTCGGTGGAATATTTGTGGTGCTGCTTGGTAAAGCGAATCTTTTTTCTCAATATATTTTCCATGAACGTTTGTCGAGCTAGGTGGTGTTTTCGTTTCTTTACTTGTGGCTATTCTCGAATTTCTATGGCATGCAAGAAAAAACCATGCAAATCGGCGAGTAAGTGATTTCAATCGTTGTCAGTTCGTTCTTGACTTTTTTCCTATGGTTTTGAATGATATTTAAACATTTTTAGACAGTATTTGAAAGCTTTTATGTCTTCTCTTTCATTTCTTTACAGGAGTCTGTCTGGTGGGAATTGATGAAAGAACTTCGCTTTTCGATTCAATGTGGTGCTTCCAATCGCAAGGCACTAGTAGCTCGTCGATGTTCTCAATGTACAATTGATAATGAAGAAATGGAATTAAGCGAAGTTCCTGCACAGAAACAACTAATTCATCGAACGCATAGTAATCGTTCGTCGTCATCAACATCAGGTCACTTTCCAGGTGTTCAGCCGGTTCCTAAGCGTCGTACAACTGTGGAACGAACATCTGATAACGATAAATTCAATACTTTACTCATGCTTGCGGCTGAACGAACCAGTTATCTTGATACACGTCGAAAGAAGTATTTTAACGATCCGCATACAGATCATAAAACTCGTCATCCATCTCCTTCACCACAACGAACTGATATTCCACTTGTATTAATCGAACAACAACCATTGAATCATACCCAAGCTTCCCGTTCTCATCAAGTTCGATTTTCGACCAACACAGGTAAACATTCTTGCCAAGGTTTCATTTGTTTGTTTTTTTGACTTTCTCTACTTTCGAAGATTTATCGTGTCGATCCAGTCTACAGATTCCTAATTATGAAGACGATGATGGTGATTCAAACGCAGCCGATGTTTCATCAGGTTCAACATCATCAGCGAATCTTCGTCCTAAACCACGTGTTTCTCGATTGTGATTTCTATCAATATGTCTTTGCGTGTGTTTGTGTGTTTCATTTTGTTATTTGTTCTTTTGTACAGATGAAAAAAAAAACTAATATGAATAAAAATAGTTAGTATTCTCAGAACGACGAAATTGATCGACTGTTGACGGATTCTTTCTAACCAACCATTGTGAAGATCAATAGTTTGAATTCTAATTAACTTCGTCTATTATTTACTTAAGAAAATGTTAATAATTCAAATCGTTCTTTTCTCCTCCGTTCCCTCCCTTATCAAAATGAAAAGAAACGTAAGGTGAAATTGACTTTTACAATCATTTTATGCTTGCAATCTATTCGATTAAAGTGCACACACTTACGCGAATATAACGACACAATAAACAGCCATCGATAATCTCGTTTGAGAGAAGAAAAAGTCGCACGTATGAAAGAACCATCGACAAAAACATCTATTCAATTTCGATGGTCAGTCTCCGCAAGTCAATCGGAAGACAATTCATGTTTTTCTCTTCCTCCAATAGTCAAAGGTATGTCAATCGAATCGATATTCGGTCTTTTCATTATTGAAATATTCAGTTTCTATTTCGCCATCATCGATCAAAACCTCATCAACACCTTTACCACTGTTAAATAATCCATCAAAGAAAACTGAATCATTTATATCTGCAAATACGAACCGACAAATGTGCCCATTGACACTAACTTATTCACAATTGTATCGTTCACAGCATCCAGCACCGAAAAAGAAGATCTCTGAAACACAAGTTTCGATCTATTCGATATTGAACAGAAAATCAAGCCAGACTCTTCACGCTGCAAGTTTGTCTGAATCGACCGATGTACAACAATCATCCCTTGAACAGTATAAACGTCTACGCACTCCTCAACTACGACGTTTACACGTTTCTGAGAAGAATATCAAGGAAGCCAAGAAACTCTATTTCAATCCTGCTTGTAGAGTCTTCGTACCCTTATCTTCGATTGTGGAGGCGTCTTGAAAAAAAAACACATCTTTTATTACACATTCTCTTTTCCAAATTTCACTGTTTAGAACGAACAATCAAACGTCTAAATGATATTTTCGAGATATAAAATGATTGTCATTATCGATAGGAGAAAACTACACACGATTGTGGATGATTGAGAACATGGATTTGTTAGGTGAGCCGCATAGATAGAACTTGCTTTTGTTTGACGCAAAGAACATTCGTTACTATTATTTTGAATCAAAACTGGATTGGTCATTTGAAAACTCTATGAGAGAAAAAAGCATAGTGAACGAATGAGAAGTAAATATTTGTCTCATACAAGGCAGTAAGATGCATTGGAAAATGATGATTGAACGATCAGATACGTCAGAAGAGAATCATCCGATTGCCAAGATGCAAGACATGTATCAATTTGAATAATGGATTTTTCTTCACGATCTAGATGTTCGAAAGATAAAAAACACATTAGATAAGAGATCCTTTCAACCGATTAGAGCACATCTATTTCTTGCCGTATTAGCTCTACGCGAACTCATTAATTACTCATTTCCGTTTGTCTCCAATCATTTCCTTATTTGGCAATGGGCCTATGAACTCGGTCTCATCTCCGACAGTGACACACCTCGTGATTCCTTGGAAATGGTTAATTTGTCCTTATCGTCACAACCAATCGACATGTGAAGCGATCTTCTTCGATAATGATCATCCATTGAGGCGTGATACACCAAGTGACCTATGGACTTTGGGCATGGATTTGACATTGGCACTGATTGAGTGAAAAATGTGTGAAAAAAGTTGAAATTTTTCTCATGGAAAGCATCACAATCTCTGTCGTGTGACAAAGGAAATGTATGTAGTTCGAGTACATTGCCGGTTCGACGGGTTATTCGAAGACATTCTTGTTTCGTATGACTAGAAAACATAAAGCGAAGTTCATTGTTTCTTCGAAAGGAATCAGGTACCAATTGGTAAATGACCGTATAGAATAGATGGCGAATGATTTTTCAGAATGGATCATTCGTTGACAATGAAAACGGTGATCGGTGCCGAGAAATTCTATATTATTGGTTTTTATTATCATTCGGATTGTTCGATCGATTGAAAACCATTGATGGGATTGAAATTGCTTCGGAAAGGAACATTCATCATTGATTGAATGATCTGAGTTGATATAAACATGAGAAAAATGATAATTAATGATTATTATGATTACTTTTGTTTGAGAATGTTATCACAGTTGATATATGCCTGGAATATAGATCATGACATGAATCATCTGTAGCCATGTGAAGAGAGAGTGATGGAGACGATTTTTGTTTAGTCAAAAAACTCTTAAAGAGAACAAATTCAAAGGTAAAAACGAGAAAACATTGATTTGATTTACGAAACACGCATATTGATTGTGATGTGGCTTGTCGGAAAGAATTCGAGTAACGAAATACGTATGAAAGTCTTCAATCCATGTCCCGACACACATAAACTGAAAATCTAAATCGAACAGCAGCTGATTAAATATATGTGAAAGTGAGTTCTACTAACCAAGAATTGATTGGTAGACTGAACAAGGAGATAGATGAAGCTGGAGTTTGTAGGGGTTAGCACATTCATTCAAATAGGACGATGAGATCGATTGATGACAGACTGAGCCATCTTTGATTAGACTTAACAGTTGGAATGGCGGTTGAATAGGACATAGCTGTGGAGTAGAATTTTCTAGATAAAAGTAATCAAGAACAAATCTTCTGCTTTATTTTCGAGTGTACTTACTTCGATGTAGTGTATACAGCGCAGCATCAGGAGCGATTAGATTTGGACATAAAGTAATGTTTACTAAATCATCTGGATCATTACATTCACCTAGATGACGAGTAGATCGACGCTTTTTTGCAATTATCAAACCCTACTTTCGCGATACTGAAGTAAATTCATATGTCGTTGGATGAAAACTAAACATCGCGTACATCGATTGAGTCTAATCCAAACGAAATAAGAATGAAAGCACATGCGACTGCAAAATTATTCTCAGTAACCTACCGGTCAAGAAAGAGATAATACTGATGCGAAGATAAAACATCTACACATAATCCTTTCGTTTCGATTCGATCATCGGCTATCTCTAATAGAGAATTCATGCCACGTTGGTACCACAAGCCGAACCATCCTGTTGGCATTTTACATACCGAACAAACTTGTAGTAGAAAAACAAACGATTTCAGCTACAACTGAGATAGTATGAATGTACTTATAAATATTTAAAGTTTAATTAATATAGTATTCGACACTCTACATTAGATGTCTTATTATATTTTATTCATATACACAATCGAGCGTATTGAATAAAAAATCAAACTACTATTGTTTCTTTCTTTCTTTCTTAGGTCATCAGAATAGAGAATGTCCAGTCAACTCGGTATAGAACGCGTTTGGTTAACAAAAGAGTGAGCTAATATTGAAGTATTCTCTACAGAGGTTTTATTCATGGCCGATTCGTACTTGAAAACTAGCGGCTGATGTATTGATCAATAAAAACACAATTCATGGCCACAAGGATGTTAAAAAAATTTGATTTCCTTCCTCTGACATTGAATTATTGATGAAAATGAAATCATCCGTTGAATAATGATCGACGCAGTCCATTTGCGTTACTCATGATTAGCTAATCGCTCTCACACGATTAGAAATGAATGATTGAAATCGAAAGCTTAAAAGAAATTTTCGAACAGATGCATGTTATTAATCTCGTTCGAACTCTGACAAATGAAGACATCCATGCAATAGACAGCTGCCGAGCATATAAATCTTCCTATTCAATCAATCTTGAGACTCATTTATCTAACTGATTCCGAAGACTAAAAACAAATAGAAAATGTTCATCTGTTTTACCTGAATTAATTTGTAAGATGAGTAGAATCTGTAGAAAGTTTCTCATCGATGTACCATCATGTAGAATGTGAATTAGGCAACAAGACAACTTCTACTTTCCTTACTGAACATTGATGAACAAACTAATGATGACGACAAAGCGACACAATCTGGTTTTTTTTTCCATGTATGAAGAAAAAGAACGAGCAAAAGTGAGTGTGATGATCGCTCTCGTAAGGATGAAAGTGATGGAAAAGAATGAATATGAGAACAAAGTGGTACACAATAAATCACTCATATATGTTCAATCCAACAGCCATTGTCTGGCCAGCAACTAAACGACCACATTGTATAATATCGTTTTTCTTTCTTAATATCCTCTTTGTCACGTTCGACATTTACTCTTCGTAATAGATTTGTTTAAAATGTCACACACAACACCTTAATTCTACGATCATGGACCAGAGAATAGTTGTCATCGAATAAAAGTAATTTGTTTTTTTTTTGTATATTCAACACCGTGCAAAAAAGAATGTCAAACTTCCTTTAAAACCAGAAAATAATAATAATCAATTGAGAAACTCTTGAATATAGTACTACTAGAATTTATTGCCATTTCTAGGACGTCCACGTCCTGCACCTGCTCCTCCTGTTGATGGTTTGCCGTTGGATTTATTTGTTCCTTGCGCATTAGATGATGTTCTATCAGTAACACTAGAAAAGAAGGCAAAGTTTTCTAGAATTATTTCATTACAGGTTTATCTTGTTGCGTTAAAATGCGGCAGTATGACATGCTGTTTACGATGGAAAACTCCCTTTTGAAAATAGTTTTCGGAAGCACAAATCGTTAATAGGCGGTTTTAGAATTAGATGATATGCGTTGTTGATGAAGTTCGAAAAAAAGTGGACGTAAAAAGCATATATGCTGCCGATTTTGATACGTACCCCGGTTTTTTCTTCGCATTATTTTCCTTGTTATTTGAGTTTTCGTCAGTGTGCGATTGTTCATCGGCATCTGCTGTCGCTCGTTCCGGTGACTTATTAGAATTAGGTTTCGAAACCTTTTCTGATTTGTTTGGTGATGAAGCATCGATTATTCTACGTTCCTCAGGCTTTCCTGGTGGTGGAGTACTTCGATCTTGTCCTGGATTCCCATTTCTTCTATCGACAGTGGTTTGATCGTGTTTTCTAACTGAAGATTCATTACTATTGTTCGATTGATCATGGGAACTTGTGTCTTCATCAAAGTTGTCTAGTGAAGTAAAACCCAGATGTTTAGCTTTTTTCACCCAGGCGTCATAAATTCCATCATCCAATAAAACGAATGTAATTTTACTCATTAAACCAGCCTTCTGGTCAACTGTTCGTAGTGCAATTTCAGCACCTTCATCCAATGGCTAATAAACATGAATACTGATTTAATTTCACTCGAAAATATTCAGTCACTTACATAGCCAAATATGCCACAGCTGATGGCAGTGTAAGCAATCGTTTCAAGATCATATAAGTTCGCTAGAGCAAGCGATGTTTCATAGCAAGACTCTAAGTGTTGTCTATTTTGGTCAGGTGAAAAATCACTATATCGAGGGCCAGCGGTATTGATGATATAATGAGTCGTTTTCGACATTTTATAACTGAGCAGTATGCGAGAACGACCAGTTGGTAAACGAACGTCAGGATAGATCTCTTTGTGAGCTCGACATGCTCGAAGAAGTTCATCTCCTGCAGCATCGTGGATAACCCCATCTACGCCACCACCACCTAACATACATTCATTTGCCGCTAGAAATGCAAAGCGAAGAGTTGAGAATTTGTTTTATCACGAAACTCAAACAAACCATTGACTATGGCATCAACTCTTGTTTTCAAAATATCACCTTGATGTATCACTAAGTGTGTCTTATTATTGCTAAGAACATAAGTGCGCTTAGGACGAGATCGATTTTGATTTGATGGTCGAAACTCTGGAGTATCACTAAATATAAATCAAAGCTTTATGATAATCTGTTAATTAACGTTCAAAGGTATAGTACGGATTTAGTTTTGGAGATAGCCGTTTTGAATCTTTCCGACGTTCATCAGTCGTTTCCTTTTCGAAATCGTCGTCGTACCTAAAAAAACCAGTATCGTATTCTCTGTATTATGAACTGAGGTAAAAGGTAAGTTCCAGTAAAACGTATGCAATCTGATCGAACTATTCGAAGCAAAGTTTCTCATCATGTTAGAAAAAGACAATTACTCCTGGTCTTTTGGATCGGATGTGGCTTGCTGTTCTCTTCGTTTTTCGTCACGTTTTGAACCTGTCTCAGATGGTTTAGTGTCATGTGTTGACCTATAATAAAAATTATAATAAGTGACAATTCGGACGAATATATAGCATGAAATATTATGTATAGAGGAAGGACTCATACATGTCTAAAAGTTTGAGTTTATTGTTTTTATCGTGTGCAAGATCCATGAAGACGTTGACGAATCGTTGATATATGTCTGTTGTGAAGACAACTATGCGAATTTCATTAACTTTCTTCGATGATGATTGTTCATGTTTTGCCAAAGCTTTGTAAAGAGTTTGAGCTGCATCATCTGTATTAAAACTACTAGCGCCACAGCCAATTGTAGGAAAAGCAATAGATCGACATTTGTGTTCAGAGGCAAGTTGAAGGCATTTGAGATAAGTCTCTTGAAGTATTTTGAGACCTGGGCTCGGGTTACCTTGTCTGAAATACGGTGTTGGAGTCAAAATAATGTATGGCTTACGAGTATCGATTATTTGTGGTGCGCTTTTTTGCGTAATTTTTGAACTGATAGTTTTTATATCACGTTTCATACTTTGATCAGCACTAGCATGAAATTTTTCATAAAGAGGATAACTTTGATTAGGTTCTTGTTGACCTGCTTCAGGCGTTGGAATAACTTTCGCATCTACATTGTCTTCTGCAAGAAGATCACCTCTCTTTAAAACAATTTTACATGAACCTTGTTGAAAGAAAACTTCAAGATGAGTATCACCATCAGATCCAGCCATGCCTTTTATCTGAAAATTAGATTCAGTAAGATTATTTGATATCTCGCACTTGTACGAATCAGATGGATAAAATAGAAGTCAGTGAATAAATTCGGAACAACATCTTTGTTGACTGTGAAATCTACACCGTAACTCAGGGAAGAAAGAAAAATCCTCAACCCCGCGAACTTCTGAAAATGTAATTGTGTTTTCAACGTACAAAGATTTACACTTTTCAGAGAAAAAAACTAGTAACAGCAATGCGTTTCACTTTTCTTCCTAGGCAGAACGTGCACTCCAACATTTGCAACAAAAGGAGACATCATAGTTGGAAAAAAAAGGAACGAATTAAAAACTACTTGATGAAAAAAACCCAGTAGGAGGTGGATGTTTAGGGACATCTATGAAAAACAGCTTCACTCAATGGTTTTCATTGACAATATTTTCTATACAAACGAATCTTTGCGTGTGATAGCATCAGAAATTTGTCGCAAATCAAGGCAAACATATGGTTTTATTGTTTTCTATACGATGTTTATTTTGTACAGTTGTATTTCTTTGAGAAAACTAACGGCTACAACATTAAAAGAATAAATCATTTTTTAAAGGATGTTTCCATCTGTTGTTGTTGTCGTTTACCAAAGCGACTTTTAGTATTGGTCATTCCTGCTGTCGACAACCATACATTGCGATTTTCTTCGTTTTTGAATATTCGAAATAACACTTGTTTGGACTCTTTACGAAAGGCTCCCGATGCCAACAGATGAATGTAAAAGATAGAAGCTGCATTCACGTAGATCAAGAAATTTAATGAATTGTAACGCATGAAACTTTCGATGGCGGTTCGGAGAGTATCCTTTGGGACAGTTGCTGTGATTGCAGCATAGATGGAATAAATCGGAAATGATACTGTTGAGCAAAAGTAGATAATCACTTCGCCAATCAAGATCAACGTTAACTTGACATCGCGTTTTTGTATGCGAATATTTTTGGGAACGGTTTGGCCATTCATTCTTGGATCAGGTTGAACGCGAAATTGAATGTGTTTCAAACTTCGAATTGCTAAAGTCGAGAACACTACCATTATGATCAATGGAATTGTCGTAACGATAGCAGCATATAAACCGTAGATATATGAATAATTTCCACTTCCACCACAACGTCGGTTAGGCATTTGAATATCTACATACACGATCATATGTGAAGGAATTACAAACCAAACAATCGAAGCTATTAATACCATTTTGATGGCCATTGAGCGTTGACTAAATGCACGAATTCGAACATTGGATGAACATAAGGCAAAGCGATCGATACAAGCCAAGGCTACTGCTGAACGGGAGATCATGAACAAGACATGAATCAAGTATGAACGAAGTTTGCAATAGGCAGCTGAATATGATGCAAAATCATATGCCGTATAAGCTATTACAATATTCGAAGGTATTCCAAAGGTCATAACAAGAATGTTGAAGATCGACGTTGAGATAAAATAAATCGCACAAGAACTGATCCGAAGATGTTTTTGGGAAAAAACTAAAATATTTACAAAATTTCCAAAAACGCCCAAGATTAAAATGATTGGTAGAGCATAGCATGTTAACGCTGATTGTACAGAATTGAGATCATCACCGAGTGCCATTGAGTGAAATGAGATGTTTTCAGATTAATATATTCAAGCGTTACATGTCTGTTGACGACACGATAATTAAACCTGGAAGACATCATACACAGGTTAGCTGGAAAGTATTGTCATATATTGGTGCCAAGTGCTCTCTTGATGTTGACATGCGACACGATTCTGTTTTACGATGATTAAATATGAGAAGGGGCCCTTGCAGTCGGAAAGAATTCGTTTGCTCCTTGTTTTCTAATGTTTCATATACCGAGATCTTGAATTTTATCAATAATCCTAGGAATATCGTTAAGTTAAATGCGCAAATATATTGTTGATACGTTTTCGAGCTTGCAAAGTATGTTTTGAGCTTTATATCAAACAGAAATACCGTGGGCGCAAAAGAAAGTACGTCAGCAAAGAATATCAGGATATTAGTTTTCAAGAAAGCTATAAATATAAAATGATATACTAACTCTTTTTAGAAAAACGTAATTGCAAAAAGCTCTCCTATTTGGGTACATTCATTTGCAACATATCGATTAAATTTTCGCATTATGAAATTTCGAAGGCAAACAGTAAATCCTTTTTGTCATTCATAACATAGGATCATAGTTCTGCATTTCAACTTGTCTTCTGTCACGTGTCGATAGTTACCGGTATACTTTATCGCAAAGCATGATTGATTCGCATTCAATTCATGTCGTCATCCAGCGAACCTATCACGAAATCAATTTACGATAATAATGAATCTCTTCGAGCAATCTCTACTTCTAAACATCAATACCACCCTCCTACTCATTCCCATAAGTTTTTTGTTCTCAATGCACATTTGTAATTCACAGTGCATAGATATGCTATGTTTCATCTTATTTCAAAACACATAGTAAAGCATCCACAGATCAAATCACAGAAATACATGGCTACGAATGATGATTCTGGTACTTCTAATGAGAATACTATGGTACTCTCAATTCGATTGATTCGCTCATTTGAACATCGGAATATTCGTCATGTTACTCTTCGTTCCATCGATTCATCAGGACAGATGACAGGCAGTGAACTCAAACAACGAATTCTAACAAGTTCGTAATCTTGCTTTGCAGGTCACCTTTATATTCTCTCTGGTCAAATAAATCGTTTTTTTTTCCTCGTTTTAGTATTACCGAATGAGAAACTACCGCCACCATTCAAAACATTTTCATTTGGTATAATTTTTTGTATAAAACTCCTCTTGATCAAAGCTATTCTTCACCTAGATACATTGAAAATCGAACATTATCCGCATCAAGCAAAGGTATGTTCCTCAACTTAATCCTGATCTGATAATATAATCTTCTTCTTAGAGTAATGATGTTACTATTCGTCGAGATGGTGATGATCGATTGATAATCGAAGATGATAAACACTTGTGTGACTATAACGTTGTCGATGGCACAGAAATTGCCTTTTTCAAACGTAGTGACTACGAAATTTACAAAGAAAAGCCCGATTTAGTGATGGATTAATCAGTGCTCAATACTTTCATTTGTTTCTGATAATAAAATTCTTGTTTTTGTGTAACGAAAAGCATCTCTCATTCATTTATTCGTTCAAAAGCAGATGCGTCTGTTTACTATTGACATTTAGAGTTTCAAAGAATTGGCTTATCGTCACAATGATCAAGAAGATGACAGATCTCACATGTTCATGTCAATCAATGAGCTGAATAGTCGGCAACACCTAACTAAATCAACCGTAACGTTAGACAACATACGCAACAGTTCCCGACAAATCATTTGATAACTTCGATTGACTTTCCCGTATCTAACTATTGCTACCGATAACTGATAACAATGAGAGTTCACTTTCTTTTTAGTAAAGTTTTACATTACGATCAATTGATTGATTAAAATCATTGGGAAAACTGATTTTCAAACTGCCAAATGTTGTGTTGTTCCTTTTTCTTCTTTGATCATTGTTAACCGACAGATGAGCTTAGGTGTATTAATTAGTCCACATCGTTTGATGTTCTTCTTCCGATTGTCATTCTTCGATTAATTCTGATTGGCGAGGAAAATGAATAGATATTTTCTCTTTTTTTCCCCTCCAATATATTCATCGAATTTAACTTTAATATATCATTCCATATCAACATTCAATATTCAACAGGCTAAGTATTTCCGTATTCTTCTTCTAACCTCTACCATTCATTTGTAGGACTTATGGATCCATACTATTCATCGCCATCTTCGTACTATTACCAATCGTCGTGTCCGCTTCATGATTCTTACGTTGACCCGTATTGTTCATATCCAGTACAATCAACTCCAGCGCATCCATCAGCATCGTTTTACTATCCAACTTATGCTGAACAATCATCGCCGCAAGTCGTCCTCTATAACAATTCAACGACGAATATCTACGCCCAACCAACAACTGCTCCAGCGCAACTGAATTTGAACACGACTTTTGAATCAGGTAAGAACACTCATCGAATGAATATCTGATGCATGTGAACGTCATTTTGCTTTAGTGCCACCGGTTGGCCGCCGTCGTCGACAACGTACAATTTTTTCGAAAGATCAAGTTGATATACTCGATCAAGTGTTCGAAAAGAATCCATATCCTGATATTCAACTTCGTGAACAACTTTCCGAACGACTTGACGTACCCGAAGCTCGAATTCAAGTATGTTGATTCGTGTGAATGTCGTAGAAAAAAAGAAATGTAATCACTGTGTATTTAGGTTTGGTTCAAGAATCGACGAAGCCGTGTGAAAACTGCTGCCAAATCAAAACAATAGTTGTTGATAATTTTTTGTATACAAATTCGCTGTTTTTTATTTTAATTATTAAATTGTAATAGAAAAAGAATTTTCAATTTTTTGGTTTGACGTGAAGAAATAAGATACTAGGAAAGGCGTGAATAGTGTCTATAGGACTGGTTGGTTTAGGTAAAGCATTCAATGATATTGAGTTGATATCATTGTCTTGGTAGAATCTTTCAGTGACACGACACGTTGTCTACGATTTTCTTTAGCGCCTGCAGATTTGGTGGGACGCGTTCGGAAAAATTGTTGTAGTAGCAAGTTATGTTTGAGTTCGATTTCTAGACAGATGATAGTGGGAGTAGGAATAGTTTAGGAAGGGAAGGTGACGGATACCTGTTAGATCCTCTTTTAGATCAGCATCAGTTAGTGAACAGTAGCGACAAAGTTCACAGTCTGGTGAGGGGCATTGGATTGTATTCACTTCGGCAAGAATGTGATCCATATGTACGTTGTATTCCACTTGTTCTTGGGCACAGATACGCCCTCTCCAGACAATACGACCTATGAGGAAGAGACAAAAAGAAGAGAAGGTGATTACTATCTGAAACTGAACAGAGATTTACCGGCAAAATCCAAAACAAAATACATTGGTACGCCTTCAAGAGATAGGGCTTCATGCAAAGGTTTATCATTTTCTTTTTCGATGTCTATTAGAAATATGGTAGAGATTCGATGGTGAGAACGAATAGAATTGACTTGCTTTCGAAGTCCTTTGGTTCAAATTCTGTGTAACATTGAATATCTTTGTAGTTTTGAAGGGAAATTTTCAACTCGTCGTAGTCCGGTTTCATACAATGAATTGATGTGTAAATATACTGAAAAAGAATGCGAATTTCAATGAAAGTAGCTAGATGGAGAAAATCAGGGATTTACCTTTCCACGGTTGTGTGATGCGTAGTCGGCAAAGTATGTTAATTGATGTCGTGCTGGTACACACGTGTTGAGATAGAAGAAGAGTATCGTCAATCGACGCTCTTTGCGAAATGATGGGACCTGAACTGTTTTATTCGCACGCAAATCATATAAGTCAATAGTTTCCATTGCTTGTGTGACTTTCAATAAACCTTGGTGAATTGGACGTCTAAGTTGTTGTTCACAAGGTAAGGTATCCAAATAGGCACAACTTTGAAGACAAGAGATGGAAGATATATACGAGCTGCGCTCCCTCAGAACAGCAGTTCGAATTTACATACCCTGCGGAAGATTTATGTTGATCAAAGTGTGTACAAAAGAATGTAAGATAGCCGGAAGCTTCTACTGAAATCGGTTTGGATTGTGTTCCGTACAGTGCTGGTGTTACTGAAACGGCCAATTTGTAAGGTTCATCTCGTCGTGCAAGCTAAATCAAAGGAAAAGGTAAGTCACTAATGTTGCTTCAATCTTACCTCTAACGGGTATTGTTTGACTGTTCCCGGTATGGATTTGTCCAGTTCTACACCATCGATGATTAATCGGTAAGTCTGAAGGACATGTTCAGTTGAGTTTGATTGAATCTTTAGATTGATTCGAACTTTTTCTAAAGACCGAAAAGATCGGTGAAGTTTTTTTTTCTTTGGATAAAGTCAATACCTGTATATCTATTTAGTAGTGAAAGTATCTGTTGCAATTGATGTTCGCATCGATCGATTAAAGTTTTTGATTTTGTACTAGAGAATGATAAATCTGCATTCGAATTCGATCAATCTCAATGCTTACTTATCCCGTGCGCTGATTAAATGATGAGCCAAATCAGTGAGTTCTTTTTTCTCCATAGAATCAGAATATTCATATGTCAATATAGGTAATCTAGAATCACTTCCACATTCCACTCGTGTCGGTTTGGAGTAAACCGATTTATTCGAGTTAGCAAGTTTGATTTCGAGAATATACGTATAAACACCTTTGTCGACATCTTTTATCCAAACTTCACGACATTCAGGAGAATTCGGGCCGACTTTAGTCAATAATTCACCTTTCGAATCGTACAAATGTAACTATTCATTCAAAACAAATCGCTTTCTTCACGCAAATGTACAAAAGCAAAACAAACCGTATAGGATTCAATATTTCCATTATTGATAGACGTTGAATCTCCCCAACTAATCATCAATTCTTTGCAAGCATGACAAATCGCTTGAGTTTTTGGAATCGTCACTCCTGGCCATGTGACATGTATCGGTACCGACGAAGCAATCTTACCATCTTTACGAAGCATCTGCAAGAGAGAAAGAGAAACACACAATCTTTTCATTCAATTCAATTGAATATGCAACTGACTTCGATTTGAAAAACATATTTTTCTCCAACATTACCATCGCTGACAACATAACGAGTTTCTTCCGATGGTAAAATGACTTTCGTTTCCCCGTTGATCACTAATTTATACATTTTGATATCAGTCAGATGAACCTCATCCGATTTCTTCCATTCTAACCAAACATAGTCCGGTGTTGCTTCTCTATTCAAATACAAATTCGTCGATTTTGCCGAGCAACTCTTCAGCACACTTACGTCACACGTAATCTAGGACCTTCGTTTTCTCCTCTCGTCTGAATCTGCGCACATTGACTTGCTGCAATAATTCGATCTGAACTATCCACAGCACAAACATGAACTTCATACAGATGGCCAGGTTGAGTTTTTCTCAAATAACTGTTTTGTTTCTTTCGTGATACTCGAATCGTGTGACTCTAATCGAAAAAGCAAATTTCAAGAAACATCATTCTAGTAGAAACCAATTTGTTTACTTGATTGTTATTTAAACTTCTGTAATGTATGATACAATGTCGAACATTCGCCGGCCGAGCTAACTGATTCCAATCAACGAAAATATTTCCTTGAGATGAAAGTTCGACATCGATTGGTGCCGGTAGATTTGAACTAGTTGTTTCGTAGGACGATACATCCGACTGGAATTCTGACATGTCAATGGTTTTTTAAACTTTACGAGTTGATTGAGAAACGCAGCAATTCTTATTTTCTTTTTTCTTCTTGTTCTTTCATTCTTTTGACAATGCGCGCACACACACACACACATTAAGAAAAGTAGACGTTGTTGGTAGATGAAAGAGAACTGTCTGTTGGTTTATTCTCTTTTTCTCGAAATGAAAAAAAAATATATAACAAACTACGTTAGCAACAAAACAAACTCGAAATCATAACTATCAACTCATGCAGTCAGTCATTATCTTATTACTTTTCATAAAAGCCATGAGTTTATCTGCCGAACAGGTCTTTCATAAACAAAACAAAAGCCATACGTGTTCAGACCTGATTATACCCCACATAAATATTTATTCCCAACGGTTCGATAAAGGGGAATCAACATGGCTCATTAATCTTTTATGTGCAGCTGTTGTTATGTAAAAGAAAAAGTTTTTCTTCCAAAAGGGAAACGACACCGATGAATCATATGCTAACATTGCCCGATATATTAATCCGTGGCGTTCTTCTGGTTTATTATTTGATATTTTCGAAAGCATCTCTGAGTCAACTCACAAAAATATATATATATATTTTGTTGTTTTTGATTAAATACAAAACATAATAACAGCAAATAGAACTATAACCTTGAGCTTTTAACGATGTCGAAAACATTGTCTGAAAGAACGCAAGAGATCAATAATGACTATATACTGATTTTGTCGTCATATACAGAAATTTAATGGTAAAAGATTCTCATAGCATTTTCAGATGAGAAAAGTATTTTCTTCTCTTTCTGACGATATTTTTCCAAAAAAATAACTCAGAAAGTTTTTCCTAGTCGACAGTTTTTCTCTTTTCTTTCTCTTCTTCTTCAAATATAATTTACATAAAAGAATATCTTTGACGACGATTGAAAGTAGGTAACACATCCAAGTATGTGTAATCAAATGATATCGAACGAATAGATATATTAAAGGTAAGAAAGGATTAATCAGCAATCGTAGTACAAGCGAGTACTTGAAAGCAAACAAATTGTTCATTTCTATGTCTTCCTAACCTTGGTTACTGCATTTCAAGAGTAGTGATTAGAAATAGAAGCCGGAATATTCAATTGTTGTCAAAATAGATCTTCTAAGTACCAAATACTGATATGAATTTCAAGCGTGAAACTGATTTGTTCGCTCGTTTTCGTCTTTCTTCGCATAATTCAAGGTTAATATGTCTGTTGACACATTTTTGATAATTATCACAAACTGTTACGACAAGCGCACTGTTTATGTGCGTTATCGATTAAAAAGAAAAACTATTCATTTCTATATCGATCGTATTGAGAAAGTTTGTGTTTTAGTTTAACACATTTTGATCGCACTTTAAACGAGCAGAACGCTTTGACAACGTCATTGATTACATACGTAAGCATTTATTAAAGTGCGTTGGAAAACAACAGCTACACTTTTAAATATTTTCTAGTTAAACATGGCGGAAAGTTATTTAACAACAGATATTATTGTAATTATTGTTTTAACCATCCTCGTCGGTTTGTATTCCATCATTGAAACACAAAAGTCTCATTTTCAGTGTTGAATTTTTCTTCCATGTAGTTCTCATTGGTATTTGCGCGTTCCTTGTTCATTTCTACTGGACGAAAATCGGCATTGCAGAAATTTGGAATACCGCCAAATGGAGTTCTATGCGCAGTTCCATCTACCAGAAGGTGCGCAACTTCAGCCGACCATCAACAGCAAAATCACTCGATCAAGAATCGTTAGCTCGAGTTTCTATACATTCCAATGATGCCGCTCATCTTTCTCTCCAAAACAAAAAGTCAAGCCCAATGATAACGGCTTATCACACGCCAACGTATGTTACACATATAAACTCGAATCAGTCGACTAAACTAGCGTCGGTGATGCCGTACAGTGAACCAGCACGCCCGAAGTACCATGGGAGAAAGCATGGCCGTGCGATAGATAATGCGGGAGTTTATAATAGTTATTCGTCGAATAATAATCGATCTAATGATTTAGCTAGTACGATACAAAAACAACGGTTTTAATACCGGTGCATATTCGACTGTGAAGCAATTTATTGGTGATAAATTTTTGTCTATTCATATTCAGTTTTTCTGCATGTGAACCTGTCTTTCGATGAGATGTATTGTTGCTTTTACATGTACAATAATTCAAATGATTTATTAATAAATTATCTACTATAAACTATTGAAATTATTTCATTGTAAGTACCCATTAGTGAGTCCTTTGCAGAAATTGATGTATCAACGTTTGAATTGTATCATTTTACATCTTCTGATAAATATTTTTATTTATGATGAAAATCGAGTACGAGAATGATACAGATATAGAGACTAAGTATTCGGTTCCAGAGGTAAACCATTCGTATCGAATCCTAGAAGATAAAATGTATTCATGAATGAAATGACTGATCATCATTTGAGAAATACCTAATCCATTTTCGTTGATTTTTTCACTTTCTTCATGAATGAAACGATATTCTTCGAGTAGTTGATCGTCATTCATTTGATTTATGAAATCAATTGCTTCCTGTGTTGGTCCGTCATTAGTTTCCATTGAGAGTAACTCATCTAAAAGATTACGGATTATTTTATGCTTATCAGAAGCTCTTCTTTCTTACAAAAAGGTGTTGCTAATCCCAGTCTTGCGGTTTTAATCCAAACATCAATATCCGTCAGTGTCGTATTCACGTAGACATGCCCCTAAGTAGAAAAAACACATTCATATTCCTACGATTTCGTTTGTATGGATGAAACTCACCGTCGAGAAATTAATATAAATCATTGCAGGGTAGGCAATATCACCATATTGATTAATAGTAAGGATCCATGGTGAGTTGCTAAAAGATATTTATTGCTAGAGCAGAAATAATGGAATACATTCGCTCACGTATCGATCCAAACGAAGGGAATCTCATCAACCGAAACTTCTGACTTGAAATAGTTATTCAATCGAGAGAGTTGAGAGCGACTGGCGGCAATAAATGTTCTTGATGTTACTTGAAGGAAATCAACGGGATTGAACGGAATCTTGGAAAGAGAAAAAATTGTAGAAATCGTTTTCGTCGAAAGAATTTCTGAACAAACCAGTTGAATTCGTAGAGCATTGTCTATTAATACTCGCAGATGATTTAGATCTTCGTTCAACGGATAAGTCGTTGTTTTCGGCTCAAACGACGACTCAACATCTCCATATGTCTGTTTGATGATCAACGATGAACTAAAAATCTCAATTTTGAACTTCGTCTCACATAAATCATGCAATCTGAATCATTCAAGAATCCCTTAACCTATTCGTCTACCTTTCAGTCGTGTATTCATAAACAAAAAAGATCTGTTCGTTATCGCGAAACATATCGACTAGATTTCTATAAGTATCGTACACTGGAACAAACATTTCGATAATAACAAGAAGAGAAAAACTTAATCATTTGTACTTACAAAACTTCTTCTCATGTTGTATCATAGCCAGAACAATGACACGCTGAGAAGTCAATAGATTAATTGTGGTCAATTCATCTACGATTTCATACGGTTGATTCACAGCAAATCTAAACGATATTTATATCGATATGCAAAGCCTAGAAGGAAACTTTCAATCACCGGAATAACTTTAACTTCATTTCTTGTTCATTGGTACTTCCTCGATACGTTTTACTTTCTGTTAAATTTTCCGCTAAAATTAATGTTGGCCACTGAATAATATTCTCCTTGTCGCATAGATCTGTCCAATCGAAGCAATCGATCTCTATCATAGGTAAATACGTATGCAAATGCCATGCTAGACGATGAAATGTTCGTCGTGCTAACTTCGATGTTGAATCCCATCTGATTGTGAAAAGAATGGCAGCTTTTGGAAAAGTTCGTCGGATACGATAGTAATCATCTTCAGTTTCTAGGAATCGAACTTTAGGATTTAGTTCTATTTCATTCAAACTATCAGCTAAGTATCGAACTTCATCATCAATCATGCCATACATATCTATAAGAAAGCGAAGATGTAAGCACTATTGAATAAGTGAAAATCTACTGCTGATGTTATGCTCCTCTTCATCGTGAAGTAACATGTCGATCAGTTCATCAGATGGTTGATCACCGAGACGTTGTAATGAATTCTACAAAAAAGAAAGATGAACTCTAAAGGAGCTGTCAACCCATTTCTGCTTTACTTTCTTCACAGACCAATACAGATAGAATGGGTAAGGTGCCGTTAACAACGTATGATCTTGAATATCGACCAATTTAAACTTGAATCTAAGAGTATACTTGCACTTTTAATATAAAAGTGTATTCTTCTTACATGTCGACCGGAATGATTTTGATACGTTTATTGGATATTGGAGTAAATCTCGGATTACGATGAATATAGAATAATGTCGGCAATGATCTTGAAAACGCGTTCACATGTGACAAATCAGAATAGGATTGAATCGATTCGGATTCTGTTTCAATCATTTGTTCTAATTGTTTTCGAATATCATTTTCCAGTTCACATTTTAACGAAATCACTTCATTATTTGACGAACAAATCTGATACATACAGCCTTTGTCTTCATTACTTCTATAGAAATTAGAAAAAAAAGACATTTCTTCTGAAAAACTAAGGTTAGCTTACACCACAACGGAATAAACAAAAGTAAACCATGGCCCATAGTTTAATATCATCCGACTGACTTTCAGATGTTCTAAATATGCATGTTTTACAGTTCAAATTTGCATACATCACTTGAAGATACCCCTTGGTGTAAGCGACTGAGCATTGATAACAACAACGGCCTCTTCTCTCTTCGATTTGTCGATAAAACTTTTCAATTCATCCGAATTATTAATAGATTCGATACGATACAAAATCCTCGATCTGATAAAACCCAATCAAACATCTTGAGTATAAACTCGTCAATAACAATCTTACATCATATCGAAAACCACAGCTATTGATTCATCCTGTATCTGTGCTGCTTGAACATGTATTCGTTGTTGAACAGTCAAATTCGCATCAAACCTATCGAAATTTAACTGAACGCCACAAACGTTTTTCATAATTCCTCACTGATAGAGTTTGAAAAGTACACTGTAGATGCACGCACCAACTTCATCGATGTTCTCCACGGACAATTCCTCGCACAGATGCTAAAATAGGAGAAATCAAGCCCATTGAGCGCTGGTATGATGAGTGTTAAGCTTACATAACTAACAAATACATGGTTTGACTCAATGAAACTTTCAAATACTTTCAATTCGTTTCGTGTGGCATTCAAAAATTCAGCTAAGAAAATGTGTTGAAGATAGAACGTTCTGAAAACTTTCTTGACTTACAAACAGGAAAATAGCATTGCATTAGAATACATTTCTCGTTCTGACACGATTTAAACTTTTCCATTGGAGTTTCAGCAGTGACCGAATTGAAAAAGAATAAAAGAATCCAAAACATCATTTTATTCATCTGAAAAATGATATTCTAAAGTTTCTATTCAACTGAATACAAAAAAAAACATTTATTCAGTTGATTTGATTGGTATCGATGTTGGACTCGGCCGGTTCAATTGATTTTCACGATCATTAGCAATAAAAGATTCATCAAGATATCGCAGGCCATTACATCGTCGACCAGTGAGCGGATCTTTGATTCGTCCGAGTTCATATACAGTCTCACTAATTTCATAACGTTCTAATGGATAACGACATTCAAGTACTGGTCGTCGTTTTAGTAGAACGATATCTCCAACCTTAGTTTGTTCACGCTTATCGAATGCTTTATAATCGATTCCTATCAAAAGAAAAGTTAGTCACATGTGTTACGATTCCCATCGGATTTACGTTGGTTGAAAAACATATCGAATTTATCGTCGAGTTTCATTTGTAAAACACGAACAATGGCGGTTGTTGTGTTGCTTTTTGTGAGCACCCGACCGACTAGTAGACTTGGTAGATTGGCGATCTGTGCTGCCATGAATGATTCGTTTTTTCTATCTGGAAAACAAAACAAAGCACATTTTTATTACATTCGAAGATTAGGATCAATATTTTGTCGAAGTTTCCGTCGACAATGTCGATCTGGATCATGATTTGATAGTGGATGCCATAAACTCGGCTGTGATTCATCAGTTTTCAATGCTACTGCTTTTTCGTTCTCAATTGTTAAACTGCGTTCCTCCTCTTCTTCGTCACCGAAATTATTATACATATCGAATTCACTCATCCAGTAACGTCTTTCTTGTCTTTCCGTGCGAATCATTTCTCTTGACCAATTCTTTCGTAGATTATTCAGCGTTAAATATTGCTCAAATTCATTATCGAATACTTCTGATTGAAGCGAATCAATAAATGCTTGATAATCCTCTGGACGAAGAAGATTATTCGTGGTCCGTTTTAGAAAGGTTGATAAACTTGTGCTGAATATATCGACTAGACTAATGTTCAAATCGCGCTGTTGAAAATATTGTTCTTGCCGTCGGACACGTTTGAATAATCCCGCGCGACAAACAAATAAATATCGCTGACGAATATGATCAATCGGATGAGCTAAAGCGCCTGATTCTACGATGTCGCGTGTTGAGGCAAATAGCATAATCTTCAAATAATTGATTTTATAATCTAAATCCGGCCAATTTTCACTGAAAAGCTTCTTGTGCGTACGGACTAATTTAGAAATTTCTCGTTTGGTGAAATAACACATGAGAACATCGAAACGTTCGCGAAAGTAACTCATATCGTATTGAACGATATTCGGATCGTTAGATAACAGAATCGATCGAGTCGTTGTGTCGAATTTCAGTTGAAGGAGATTTTCGAAACATTGTTTAAAATTTTCAACATTCACAATCGTTTTATCCGCAGATGGAAGATTGATTAGCAAACGAAGAGCATCGACAGGTTGTAAACCATATGAACCAAGAATAGAAACCAAATCGTAGAGTTCTTGGGAAGACCATGCTTGAAACGTAGTCAAGAGATGCTGTTGAACATTCGCCGTTAGCGGAATTTTGATAGAATCAGAGAGATATTGAATCAAACGCAAGGTAAACGTTGAATCAGGAACTGTTGCTAGATTGGACGAGTCCGAAGGGCAAAGTTCAGATGACATCTCCAGCCAATTATGACGAAGAGCAGGTGCTTGTGAAGTAATATGTTTCTTCTTCGATGATGCATAACGAACTAAATTAAACAAGGCAACACGCACTTCTATCATTCTAAATTAATTCGCATGGAGCGCAGACCTGCTGGCGAGCTCAGAATCGAAGAGTATCTCAGACGGAAAAATGACAGCATATCTATAACGAAAAAAGGAAGAAAACAAGATCAATTGTTTTCGAATCAGCCTGTCCGTAACGAGCACAAATATATAAGTTTTTGAGAATGTTTATTTAAAAATAAGCTGACAAATTCAATCAACGTTACATCGAATATACTGTTCTTCAGAAGACAAAATTTGCCATGTATAACCAATAATTTCATAAATTTCTTCTTATACCAACATCATATTCGTTTTACACCCGATAAAATGGCAAATGAGTTTAAATGAATATATGTATGTAAGAATAAATGTGCACATGTGTTGACAAATGAGCATAAGATTGTAAGAAATCGAAGGAAAGTATAGTTAGTTATTCTTCTGAAGAAGAAAAACCACGAACAGAACATAAAGCTACACATTGAGCAAAGAAAAAAACACTGCCGATTGAATCGAACAAGATTCAGTTTTCTATACACATATGCGTATGGACGTAAGAAACTCGCTGATAGGAAAAATAGAAGAAAAAAGAGGTTTCGAAATCTATTATTGGTGATGTTGCTGTTGTACTTTCAATTGTAGTTCTAGCGAAATTCTTTTATCAATTAAATCTGTTAGTCGATCTTCCCAATGTTTTAGTTGTGCTTTGAGGATTGAGTTACGAGTTTTAACTTGACTTAACGCTGAATCGAATTGTTCATTACTGGTTGACGACGTCGAGATAATCGAAGATAATTCTTGTAAATGATCAGGTTGAAGTAGATCACGAATTTGTCCAAGTAAAACATTTGGATCTGATTGTTGGTGAACAGGCGGTGAAGTCATCGATGGACGCGTCCGATTATAAAGGTGAGGCGTTGTATTAGTCGATGTATTGTTATTTAGGTTTCGTTGAGGCGTGTCATTGACACTGGTGCGAGGTGGAAGTGGTGGTGGTTTTGTTGTCTGAACCGGTACCGATGGCTGAGGTGGCGGCGGAGGGGGGAGAGGAGGTGATAAACGAACGGCGACAGGTGCAACGATTCGATGATTATCCGCAATCGGTTGGGCGTGTGTGAATTGTTTAGGCGAATCGGTCTTTTGCTGAAATGTTGCCCAATTATCGGTTGCTGTACTGTCGGATAGATCGATTAATGGTGTAAACGGTTGTAATTGTGAAGGAAGTTCATCGGGTAGTTGAAAACCATTGAGACGCAAGACAACAAGATGCATAGCTGTGCAGAATTCTGCTAATGACAACGCTCCATCGTGATTCACGTCAGACAAATTCCAAATTTGAGATAATTCACTTGTCGGTAAATTCGAACGTTCGAAAAATTCTTTTGCTATATGGCCTAAATGCGAACATAGATCATCAAGAACAACAAGAAAGCAAACTAGCTTACCATTAATAACTTTAGTGGTATCTGATTGAAGATTTTGAAATTGTTTAGTGTAATATTCGCGTTGTACTATATTTATGGTCCATGGATCTTCAATATAACCTTGTTCACTTTCGTCATCATCATCGTCACCGTCTGATATTGACGATGATGATTCATTATCACTCGAACTCTGATGATGTTTAGCATGATTACTATCAGTCGGTTTGGTTAAGTACATAATCCAATCTTTTTTTAATGCCGATGGCTGGTATGTTTGGTTAATTGAATCATGTAGACGTGCACTAGTCGAGGCAACTAAGCCTTTGTCTTCATCGTCGGATTCATTATAGGATAAATGTTGGATACTATCAGATTGAGAACTTAGAATTGATATTGTATCGATATCTAAACGCGGATGTATATCACTGATTGAGATTGGTGGATGACGCACTGTGACACCATCGCTGGTCGTCATGTTGAATAGATCGGATTGTTTTTCTTTGCTCACCGGTGCAAAAAAGAAATCTAAACTAAACCTAAAACAACAAGACAAATTAGTAAGAAAAATAACACTTTTCGAGATAGAAATAAAATTCCACTATCGAACTCGGGCTGATTCACTAGCTTGTTAATCTTTTTCTCAAATGGTTACCCATTCAACGATACATATTGTCTGTCTAGTCTGTGGCTTTTCTACATCTAACACATCAACTGGTTATAGATGACACTAGTTGTCGACTGGACGACATGTACGTCATTCCGCTCTCCTAGACTTACTGATGAATTTCGAACGAACGATCCAGTGTACTTTGTCTATCTTGGTTTCAAAAATGTCCTTGTTCATCAATGTTTTGTCGTGATAGATAATGACTGTCTTTTCATATTGTTTATATTTTCATTTGACACGCGTCATAGATTTTGATAAAAAAGCTTTTCTCTTGATTATTAGCGCGTCGCTACTCTCTCATATTCTCTCTTTATATGATCATCAATCTTTCACGTGAGGGGAAAAACGCACATCCGTCTCTGCACAAATCCTAAACAAAACTATGCATTTCTTAGCGCGAGAAAAGAAGAAATCCTCTTTTATTTCGAAAGACACATATTTACAACAGTTAACATTCCGTCTGAGACCACCGTGGATCTAATGTTGTTCCAGTAATTCTGTAACAATAATCATACATTGCTGAGGCGAATTCTTGAACGAATATACTTTTGTATATTGCAATAAATACCAACTCTTTACATTCTAATCGATTCCAGAAAGCTTCAACAGGCACGTTCATTGTTGCGCATTGTGCAACAGGAAATAGTCCTGTATCTTGACGACGGACCCGAAATCCAAAATTAAGCGATCGGGATTCTAGGTAGCATTTTGCGATGTAGGCACCATCATTGCAAACACGTATTACGGCATTTGTAGGTGCGATATTAACTAGAAAGAAACTTTTTATTATAATCCGTCAGCAAAAAATGTATTGTGCAATTACTTGCAATCAGAAGTAGAATAATGATGAAATATTTCGACATGTTGCTCTCTCGAAAATGAATTTGAAGTAATGTGAAAAGGTGTTGAATCTTTTTGATAAGAATTGATTAGTTGGTAACGGAGGTATTTGGTTACAAGCAAAGAAATGCATGAATTTCCTTACAACCATCTTCTCGATTTCAACTTTTCAACAAATAATGATGTTGAATAACATCGAATCACGTTACGTCGATTAAACAAGACGTGTGTTACAAGAAAAGAATGCGATATCGACTCCGTGGAGCATCATCTGAAAAGTAGTGCAAAGTACCTCTCTGGTCTCGATCCGATTGAAATAGCTATCGAATATCTGCTTGCGAATAATGTACATTGTGTCATATCCGTGTTGTGAAATTACATTTGTATTCAATGAGGCATTCTGCTTATGCAGTAGGTTTGCATGACGCTACATCATCATGTGTTTGTCATTGCATCATCGAAGTATATAGAATAAAAACGTTAACAAGATTGCGTGTTATCATCAGAAAAAAGAACATTTATAATGTCCATCGACGAACCTATACCACCGTCTGTCTCCTCAGAAGATTTAGAAACATGTGTCAAAGTTTTGGAAAAAATTGCATCCCATAAAGCTTACTCTCGGCTCGAGTCCACAATACATGATCGTCTGCAACCAATACTGCATAGTTTATTTCATATACAGAAACGACTAAAAAGGAAACGACTAGTTGATCATCGTGCCCAACTACGACAAACAGATATAAAGGCAAAAAATAATTGTTTACTTCGTGCTGGTCGTGCAGAAAAACTTCAACAACTTCAATTGCAGCATGTTCTAGTGCCTGACGGAACCGTTCCAACTTCAGCAATAACATCTCCAAATGATTCTCAACGACTCCTTAAATCCATACCGTGTTATATATGTAAACTTAAATTTCGTACATTACACTTCTTCTATGATTCTCTTTGTCCATCATGTGCTGCGCTGAATTTCTCCAAGCGTAACCAAACAACTGATCTTTCCAAACGAATAGCTTTAGTTACTGGTGGTCGATTAAAAATTGGTTATCGAATCGTGTTAAAATTACTTCGAGCCAATTGTTTCATTATTGCCACCAGCCGATTTCCAATAGATTTCTTGAATCGACTGAACAAAGAGCGTGATTTCGATGAATGGAAATCACGTATACATATTTATGCGGTTGATTTCCGTTCTGCACGATTAATTGAAGAATTTACTCAGACGATTATTGAGAAATATGATAGATTAGACTTTTTAATCAATAATGCATGTCAAACTATTCAACGCCCCCAAGAATTCTATCAACATTTAGTTAACCATGAACGACTGGCTAGCTATGCACTTCTACCACCCGATCAACAAGCGATCGTTGACGGGAATCTTCAATTTTACAAACAATTATTTCCATTCTCTACTCAATTTCTTGAGCATGCACCTACATCGTTACCAATATCATCGACATTGAATGACTCAATGTCTTCCTCACTTATCAACACTACATCATTTGATGTCAATAACCAACTAATTGATTTTCGTCCAACGAATTCATGGATGTTACGTCTTGCTGATTTATCTTCAATAGAAGTTGCCGAAGTGCTGTCTATCAATACTTTAGCACCATTTATTCTAAACAGTAAATTGAAAGTTCTCATGGCAGACAAACATCCTGAATCGGAATGCGCGAAGTTCATTATCAACGTTTCAGCTATGGAGGGTTCATTCTCACGCAAAAATAAAACCAGTCGACATCCTCATACCAACGCGGCGAAAGCAGCATTGAATATGATGACACGAACATCGGCAAGTGACTATAAGAAATTCAACATTTATATGGTTTCCGTTGATACAGGTTGGATCAATGATGAAAAACCGCTCGACATAGCTTATAAAACTATGATCGAACGTGATTTTCAAACGCCGCTGGATGAAGAGGATGCAGCTGCTCGTGTTCTCGATCCGATCATTGATACGTATCGACAAGTTGCCGAAGGAAAAACTGATATTAACATTGCATACGGCTGCTTCTTGAAAGATTATCAAAAATGCGATTGGTAAAAATGTTGATCTATTCTTTTATTTTTGCATACATATAAAATAAACTGATGATATTTTTTTTTCTTACTTTAAAAACTTCGAATAACTCATACTACTTGATATGAAAAACAAAAGACTGAACAGTTTTTGGCAAAAAAGCAATGAAATGCTGTACATTGACAAAATCTACTGTTCACTCCATGCCATAATCACTTTGTTGAATCCAACGAACACTCCTTTATTTTGCTTACTAAACAGCAAAATGATTCGTACAGAAAGATATTCAATTTAATTTTACCAGTGAAAGATTCGTTGATCTTGGTAAACGCCATCATGTTTGCTCTCTACATAGAAAATCAACGCTAAAATTTCTCTTGATAAATTCCTCATAAAACTTTACCTTCAGTGTCTAATTCTAATCCGAGATATTGATCATTTTTACCAGGTAACGAGCCGATATACTTCACTGCTCCTTTACTTACTTTACCACCTTGTCGAGAGAATTTCACCACATCACCGATGTGAATGTCACTGATTGATAGTGGCGCATACGGACGTTTTGGACTGTCAATAAAAACTTGTTCATACAAAACTCAACTCGATCACATGTTCAGTCTCACCTAGTAATGATAGTATTTACTCGAGGTGGTGCACGATCTGAAACCAAGCAAATAGTGTTCAAGGACAGTTTCGTAGAATGAAGAAATTCATGTACTAGTCACGTTCGTATTGAGTGAACTGCGAGAAAAGGATTGTGGTTCTCTTTTCGATACGAGGTTTCGATGTGTGGCAAAACATGATTGAAAAACTTGTGCTGACGTTTCCGGATCGTCTCGGGTTGGATGTTCATCATTGTACATAATCGTGTCTAATGCAAACATTGAAGTTTTATAAGTAATACAAACATTTTACCTCGATGATAGAAAGCTAAAAGAAAACGAAGAGAGTATGAGAGTTTGATTGGAGAGAAGAAATGTACCGTCGTTCGTTGAATGATGTTGTTCATTCCAATCAGCTACACGTTTGGACTTTGATGAGCGAAAATGCAATGGATGATCGAAAGATTTCGATAAAGGAATTGAGGTTATATTTGAATTAATAATATCATCACGTTTATTCAATGCGTTGTATCTTGTTGTACGGTGATGATTGTTTCCCTCAATCTTTGCCGAATGATAGATCGATGTTACAGGTCGAGGATTGTAACGATCAACACTGACAGTAGTCAAATAATTTGTGGATTCACTTCCTTCGGACATGTTGGGACTTTCGTCTGTCAACGCTGAAAGTGAATGGGTAAGTTAGAAAGCTGACGAACAGGGGTATTTACATTTGCAAGACTTCGGATCGACATTGGGAACTTTGTTTGGTGGATTTTGTTGTTGATCGTGAATTGTTGAACGTGGGATACTAATGGATGATGTTTGTCCTTGCTGTAAACGTAAATTTTCTTGGAATAATTCGTTGTTTCGGTCTTTCAACACTCTAAAACAACGGTCTGACGATCGTGATAAAGGAATAAAAATCGTTCGTCATACTTCAGATTGTTTCTCAATGAGTGAAATTCTTGATAGAACAGTTCATCATTTCGTTTCTTTGCTTCAGTTACCTACCGAACGAGAACAAAAGAGAGATGATCAATCTTCACCGAGAAGACTTACTTTTTGCTGTAATTCTTCATTTTCTCGTTTTAACTGTAAAATAACTCGTTCCGATTGATGAGAATTTTGTTTTAGAACGTTATTTTCATTCGCTAACATCATCATATGCTTCTCTACTGATTCTTCAATGAGAAAAAGAAGTAAGTATAGAAAGATGTACATTGAAGTTCGCTGAACAATGACGAACTTAGTTTTTTCTCGAAAACTTCCTTCTGTTGAAGATTGATTTCGTCGAATCGATTCTTTAGAAGTTCCTTTTCGCGTCGAAGTACTTCACTTTCATTGTTATTCTAGCGAAGTAAACGAAAACTGCATATTGATACATTATCTGCTTTGAACATACGTTTAAATAAACAGATGCACTACCATTAGCTTTAAGTAACTTATTTTCAAGTTGTAATTCTTGAATTTCATTATGTAAATGTGTTATATCAAGTTCTTTTTCTTTGAGTTCACGTTGTAATGATGTAACATCGGCATCAAGTGCAGGTAACTACCCAAAAACCGAAAGGAAATTACAGCAAATCGTACAAGGTGAGAGAAAACTTGTAATTGATGACGAATCGATTGCCGTGTGAGCAATCAATGTTTTACTTCAATAGGTCTTCGACCGAGAAATACGAATCGAGCCTTTAAATTAAGTTCGATTAGTCCTTAGCTGATGATTCTCCTTCGCATCGATTTAAAAGTGGAAAAAAACAAGTGAGTCTCGAAAAAAAGAATACATTGGCCTCCAGACGATTGGTTTGAGGGGAACATCGAAAATTGCTTACCTCATTCAATTTCTTTTCGTCATTAAATTTCAATGCAGGTACTACAATGACATTTGTCGCAGTCGGTTCTTTAGTCAGAATTCGTACTGGTGGTTCAGATGATTCTGAACCTGAAAATTCTTCGTTGTTGTTGGTTAATAATTTCCCATTGTATAAATGTTGGATAATGCGATCGATTTCTTTTCGTCGTTCATCGTTACTCATTAGAATCGATGAGGGTTGAATGCGCGATGTTGATGCGGCAATTTGCGGTCGCTCAGCTTTGACTGGTATAAATGAATGTTCACTTGGATCGAATTTCGGTCGATTGAAAACTGTCGGAAGACTTTCATGCGTTCGATTTTGTGTAGTTTTAGCGCTGTCGAGAATGTATGATGATTTGTTCGACTGTGGGATCGTTTGTTGTTCAATAATATCATCGATCAGATCATCTTGTAGTGATCTCCGTTCAAATTGATTTGACATTGAATCTCAATCTGAAAGATGAAATATTTTTCTTACTCGGTCTCGAATCAATCCATATAAATTATTTCAACATACTCTATCGCGAATTTTGTGTAGATTTATGATTTCTTCTCGCCGCCGATTCAACTATCAGAGAGAGAGAGAGAGAGAAATGTCACTATAGGCGAAAAGCTGTGTTGGTTTTGAAAAAAATCTGTAAATAAAAGAACAAGTGTAAATGAAACTGTAGAAATCGAAAGAATCCGATACATATATATCGAGCAGATTTGTAGTTAGTATAAACCTGTCAAGTCATTTTGATGACGAAGTGAACAAGAAGTGTTCATAATTTTTCTTTCCTTTAACTTTTTTTTTCAACAACAATCTGTCAATGGTACACACTTCATCACTTTTTCGGTTTCTGCGGTGACTTATGCATACGCGAATAGATGACGTTAGTTATTTTTATCATTCAGATGTTTTTCTGTCATTTGAAATATTCTTTATTGATTAGCCGCTTTATCCAATTAAGGCCTTTGAATGAAAGGCAATTTAGTATTCATCCCCATTAACTATAAATAAATAAGGCCAGGAATAAAATTCTCTCGGAAGGGAAATTCACAATCGCAAATCGTCTTTAAATAAATGCCATTGATGTTGTTTTCCTGACTTTATTGTAGAAATACCATGTGTTGCTATTCCTATTATCGCTTTATTTCACTAGCAAACACGCATACACACGGGCGGCCGTTTCTTATTGGTTCTATAGAAATGACAAAGCAGGAAGAAAGATTTCTATTTCTACTATATGACCTATGCATAACAGCAAGTACAAAGGCAATCTTGATGCTTTGCAAACAAAACATATTTATCATACTAATGTAAGTTACTCTAACACGTTTTAAACCGATCGAAGTACTAAACCAGATGTGACTTGTGACTGGTCTGTATTAACAAGGACACTACAGAGATAATATCTGTGAATCATTAGATTTGGCGGTATCTGAAGAGAATGCACTGTTCGCTTTGTGCTGATGAAATATCAACTGATAAAAAATAATCAGATAATGATGTAATAACTATTTTATACGTTTTGTAAATAATGCAGAACAAACAAAAAAAAATGCGTAATAAACAATAGCAACAAAAACAAATGAATAAAGATGACGAAGACAAAAAAATCTATAGTCTAGATAAAGTTCTTTTTAAAAATTACACGAAACAAGAAGAGAAAAACGAAGTAAACACAATGTGCTCCTACATGTATGTACATTATAGATAATACCGAGATAGGAAAAGAAGAAAACAAGGTGACTAGACACACCGAGAGAATGTATACCGAGGACACCTATACTCTAGTAAAAGAAGTATATGATTATTATTTAACAAGTTTACAGCCGAGTTGTTGAGCAGCCAGGGCAACACAGACACCATCTCGACATGATTCACATCCATGATGTTGTCCTTTTGGATTGCCGAAACGACGATAATGATTTGATTTGATTGGAGTGACTAAGTCTGGATAGATTTTCTCTTGAACGATAACGAAGACATTTTTAATTACACGACAGACTTCTTCGGGATACCATAATGGTGAACAAATATGTCCGCATCGATCACAATTTTGTGTGAATAATTTGAAATATAAAATATGAGATTTACAATCATAAAAGAATGATATTTGTCCACGCATCGACGTCCAGCAGTGGTTACATGAATTACATTCAAAACGTACTTTAGCTATTTCAACATCACATAGTGTATCAGGTGGTAATTTGCATGATCCATCTGTACCCAATGGCATCAATACCCATAAATGTGAATTAAAATAGCGTCCAAATGTAAGTTGAAATTCAGCGTGAAATACTAAGCACATATCAGAGCAGAATTCTTTTTTACAATCATCGGATATTGTGGCTGCTAATTCATAATCTTGTTCAGCAACGGTTTGAACTGGTGATGCACGTGCAGATAATGTTGTTGTTTCTGAATAACCAGACTCATCGTCGGTAATGCTGGATCGATGTTTAAATGAAACATCGTCTTTTAATGGCAAATCGTCGACTTGAATACCATCATCAGCAGCGATCTTCGATGCAAGATGTTCGATTTTACCATATTCACTGGATAAGACTTCAACTTCGCGTACCATGTTTGTAAAGATTTGAGAATATGTCAGTAGAAAAATATACTCGTACTTAATGGCCTTTCGTATTGTATGCGCGTGTAGCAATTGCTTTCTTGAATACTTTTCTTCATCCTTATATATATATGTGGAGTGAGGCCTCGTTCGTTTTTTTCTCTCTCTTTCTAGACGATTTTTTTCTTTCTATTATAATGATGATGATGATGAGTCATACATAGTGCTCGTGTCTGCTTTAACGTGACGCCAGTTCTCTGCGTGCACAATTCTAGGACGAACGCAAAGACTATCATTGTCGTTGTCTTTTTCTTTCCTGTATTTGAAAGAAATGATTGAATAGAGCTAAAGGTCGTTTTTTCGTCCGCTAGGAACAAGTTTTGTATTTATTAGAACAATTCTCTTCTCTTTTTTTCACTTGATAACCTCGCCTGGATGTTCTTTCGTATGTAATAGCTCTTTTAAAACTTATGTGCACTATCACAGTCATTGTGAAAGGAAAGAAATTCGAGAGAACACATGTTTTTGTTTATTACACTTTGGATTCCTATTACGTAAATCGGTGATAAACAGTGCAAAGAATCAATGCATGTTCTTTTTTTCCTTTCGGACTGTCATGCACTACATTGTTCCTTATCACACCATCGCCACAAGAAAAGAAACAGTGGTGATCGTCATAAAAAATGATGTTTTGAAACAAAGTGCACTGGAAAGCACTGATCGTTACTAAAAATGGACTGTATAATTATTCATACTTTTCGCAGTTAAAAGCAAACGAAACAAAAATGCTTACGACAATTAGTTGAATACGATGACGATCGTATCATTGTAAACTAATCGAGCAGTAAGTGTCATGAGAACCAAAAAGAAAAGACACACGTCAGCGATTACTCAAGGATATGTAAACAGTTGAAGTACAAATTTAGAAATAGGGCGTCGAATTCGATCGAAATGCATTCGGAAGATGTTTACACAGTAATTATTTCGAATATGAATCGACATTGAAGGTCTATTATGATAAATTCTTTTCTGAAAGATTAGAATACGAAAGTCTCCTTAGAGTATCAAGAATCATGAAGAAGAAAAGAGAAGATAATCAAACTTCTCTCTATTCTTTCGGGAAGCCAGATATAAATCAAATTTGAATAATAGATGAGACTATATATCTCTTTTATTGGGAAAGAATCAATGAGTACATCATCAATATTCTCGATGCATTCGATAGAGATCGGAATACAAAATAAAAATGAATCAATATTAGACTAGTATTAATTGCTCTGTCGGAATATTTACAAATTTCCGTTGATTATAGAAGCTGCTGCCATTAAGTTTCCGATTCCTTCAAATCCCACCAATCAGTCGCCTTCTGACTCATCGTCATGTGTTTTTTTTTTTCATTAGACACAAAAAAGTACATTATATGTACAAAATCCTTTGATATTTTTCATAACAGCCTAGATATTAATCAAGTACGTATTGCATTTGCGAATGTTGATCTAACTGACGTTCATTCATACCGAATGTAAAGTAGAATAGTAATGAAGGATCGGTGAGTGTCGGTGTTTTCCAATCGTCTCGAAATATTTGTGGAAAAAGCCGACTTCTCTGTGAATGTCTAAATGAACTTTGTATACTTGTTTCGTCATTGTTCGCTTTACTTCTTTGCTATTCTACTACTTTGTTCAATGTTCAGATAATTTTGAGAATATCTGAAGTCAGCTGTCAATCATTTCCATAGAAACTATCTTTATTTAGTCTTTATTCACTGACAATGGCAGATCTTACTGAACTGGTCGCAGCAACTGTTCGGATATTTTCTGAAGCTTTGATGATCGTAAGTATCGAGAGAATCGTTTTCATCAAGATCGATTTTCATTTTCTAGTTTGGAGGTGTTGTGCCATATATTCCTCAATATTTAATGATCAGACGATCACAAAATGCCGAAGGTTTTTCGAATTATGTTTGTCTAACGCTATTAATCGCGAACATTCTTCGTATCGAATTCTGGTTCGGTAAACATTTCGAAACTCCTCTATTGGTGCAGTCCATTGTCATGATTCTTTGCATGCTCGTCATGCTTGAACTGTGTATTCGAGTTCATTCGAAGTCGCTTCGTCATCATTTGCCAGTCAACCAACAGCTATCGAAAGATTCGTCATTGGACTATGCGGAGAAGAGATTTACGGATTTGAATATGAATCATTTCTGGAAATGGACAACGTAAGAGATTTTGAAAGATCTGGAGAAGAATCTTTTGTTGTGGTTTAGATTTACAAGTTATTTGCAGTTTTTGTCGTTATTTACATTACTTTTGAGTAAATTCGTTGGGAAGGAAAGTATTCTTATGTAATCGACTGTTTCTTAGGCTCGACAACATGGTTATTTCTTAACAATCCATTCTATATAGAAACAATTGGTTTCTTAGCAGTCTTCTTCGAAGCTTTACTAGGTACACCACAGTTCTTGAGAAACTTTCGATTGAAATCAACGGAAGGAATGAGTGTTAAAATGGTAAACTCGAGATAATGCGATCTTTTCCATCTTCGTCTGTCTTTTCTTTAGGTTCTTATGTGGACATCGGGTGATATTTTTAAAACTGTCTACTTCATTCTTCGCAGTGCTCCAAAACAATTTTGGCTTTGTGGGTTGTTACAAATTAGTATTGATATTGCTATTCTTTGTCAAGTTATTCTCTACTCAGATAAATATCGATTACGTAAACCGCAATTTTAATGCAGTCTCAATGTTAACCATGAACGGAGAGGATTTTATTTGAAAAAGATATGTATTTTACGTTTGAAAATTAAAATTAGACCGGAAAATTGACATGTCTTTGTCTTTGATTTTAAGTAATGAAATGAACTTTTCAAGAGAGAAGTTCGTGCATCGAACGATATACGAACTTATCTTGTTCTTATCTTTTCTTCTACTTTGTTTCATTTGAAAGAACTGTTTGAATAACGTTATTGAAGATGAAGAAAACTGTCATCGTTTCATCCCCTGGAAAATTAATTATCGGGGGTGAACATGCTGTTGTCTATGGTCGACGAGCTCTAGTCACAAGTATTGGTATGCGATTATATATGCAATTAACTGTGGATGAAAACACTGACAAGCAAACGGAGAAACATCTACTGAATTTCATACTTCACGATACAAATCAGCGTTATTCGATTGATTTGTCTGAGTCATCCGATACTCAACCGATTGAAATTGAAGCAGTAATTTACGTCTACAATCAATTCAAGTCATCCCTATCCGAAACAGGTGTATTCAACATCGAAGTACGATCCGAAATTCCAATTGGTGCTGGTCTTGGTTCTAGTGCTGCGTTCAGTGTTTGTCTCGTTGGTTGTTTTCATCTTCTTTGTTATGGTAAACTCTGTCTCGAAGACATCAATGAATTAGCATACAAGGTCGAGTGTCTTTTTCACGGTACGCCGTCTGGTGTGGACAATACGATTAGTACATTTGGTCAATCCCTTTTATACAGTCGAGTATCGAAGAAACACTTGAATTTTCGCCTATCGAATCTAGCTATCATCGATACTGGTATTCCGAAATCAACGAAACGAATGGTTGGTTTAGTTCGATCGTTTGTGGAAAATACTCCTGAAGAAGGAGAAAAGATTTTAAATGATATTGAAACATGTGTGGATGCGATGGTTGAACATCCGGATGAAATCAATGAATTGTTTCAACGAAATCAACAATTATTAAAACATTTGGGCGTATCGATAGTAGAAATCGATCAGATTGTTGAAATTTTATTGAAAAATAGCATTTCGACGAAGATCACTGGTGCTGGCGGCGGAGGTTGTTTGATTGCGTTGACATCAACATTTACGAAGGAACAAATTTTGGAATTCTTGAAAGATAATCCAGTTAAATCCATTCAATTTGTTGAATGTGGTGTAGAAGGTCTACGAGAAGAACAAAAATTCCTCTAATAAATCCGTTTTAAAAGCTTTTGGAACTTACATATTAACTATCTATAAATCTCTAGTTCATTTAGATATGATAAACACTACGTATCTATCACCTGGAGTTCGAGATTTGTTGCTAAGCGTATCACCTTTTGAGTCCGGTAATACTCCATATGAACCATCCATTGAAGAAATTCGACAGTGTATAGTGATTGATGGTACGAATTGAATAGAACGATTTTGTTGATAATGATTTTCTGTATCGTTAGAATCCGGAATCAATTATCGAGAATCCGTTCGTCGATTGGATAAGAGAATATTGCCGCAAATTGAAACATTGTTCAAGCAGATGAATGAAGAGACATTTCGATCTTCTTATGATAATGATCGGCATTGTCGATGGTTGACTAATCGAAAAGTATAGTTACAGAAGTTCTGTATGGATATAACTTGTCCGTTCGTTTTGGAGGATTTGTTTCGAATCTTTCATTTCATGAAAAACGATCAACTTCATTTGGCTACTCTACTTTTAACTTGTTTCACAGAACGAAATCTCGGTAATGTAAGTCATGTCAATAGCTTTTCAGCTCGTATTTTCTATAGCCTTCCTATAGTTGCTCCTAACTAAGATAAACACGGTGCCGAATCTCCTCCGGCAGATTGTTGAATCGTCAACTCTCACCTCCATTCTTGGTTCTGATCTGGTGAGTCTGACGCAACTCACTCTTCTACTTATACTATCTTCATGAAACTGTAGACTTTGATCTTACAATTGATAATTGGTAGTCCAAAATCAATTAATCTACGAAATATCTATTGGCATGGATTTGTTCAATACAATGAAGTTTCACCTAAGTACATCAATAACTGACACAACTCATTGTCAATGTACTTTCATAGATTTTCTTATCTTTTGTTATATTTGCTAATACAAATTGGACCGATTATTGATGGAAAAGTTGTGCCCGACAGACCGTTTATCTCACTGGAACGTTTTGCAAATCATACTTTTCTTCCTGCAGGTAAACGACAATCGAGTTTATACTAACATCATCGTGCTTTCATTTAGATGCCCGTTGTCCGAATGCTGAGACAGCAATTCATCTAATTGAAAATCATCCACTTATTGACAGCGGATTTAAACCGTTACTGGAATCGAGTATTGACTACATCTACAGTCAAAACGAGTACGTGAGTGAACGTGTATTTTGTATGTACGTTGTCGTCCCATGTGGTCTAGGTATGGTTTGAGTATGATGCTTCTCTTGCCAATTTTCGAACACGTATTACGAAAATTGTTTGTTCAAGTTAATAACTGTCCGGAGCGATTATTAACAGCTGAGGTTAGTTCATTTTGTCTCTATGGATAGTCATAATTCATGAAGGTGTTCGTGTTTTTAGAGTACAACATTGTTCACGACTTTGGATGAAGTATGATTCATATTTGACCAGTGCAAATTTGTTAATCGAGTAGATTTCAGATCTTGACTTGTTGCTTATCAGATAGTGAAGCAAATTGTCTTTGCAGTGAACTAGGCCATGGTTATATGGTATCAAAAATGAACTTTATAAATAAAATGCCGTCTAATGTCAAAGAGTAACTTGTAGGGTCTACTAGCTGATCTGATCGCATATCCCGAAGGTGTTTGTCTTCGGTCAAAGTTAAGTCATTGTGAATTTAACTATGAACAACTGCCACGATCGATTGCAGATGCTCAATTCAGTTTATTTTTGGCACTGCTCTATCGATATAATAAACATGTATGTCGTAATTAAATCCGAAACTCTTCGTATGCTTCTTGTCTCTTTTGTTTTGTCTTTCAAAGCCAGATGATTATGGTCAACGTCTTCTGGATTATGTTAATAATTACAAAGTCTTCTATCATCCGATTGCTATTGCCAAAAATCAAGTGCTATATTTGTTGTTTATTATATTGTTACTAATGATATCGTATTTTAGATACATGACTTCGTTGTTGAATTTCAACGAATACCAGAGTGTGCTGCAGCAATCGAAGGAGAAGATGTAACCAAGATTTCCAATTTTCCGGTAAAGTTAATTGATTTTTGGCGACTATTCATCCCGTTAGGTAAAGAAGGAGATAATCCATCGCTTGAACATCTTTTGAATATATTTAGATCAACTCTCTTTATTTGACGATATGTCCATACAAACAATCGAAGTATTTATCAATGAAAATAATTTAAATCTGATCAATCGATATTGTCCTCACAAGGTAGAAATCTATTGAAAGAGATTGTCACTGCAATTTTAGTAATATAGACAACGACAAATGGGAATAGTGAACAATCTCTGATCACAGTCATTCGACAATTATCTGCTCACATACATCAAGTGTTAACGAATGTCGATACATTTCTAAAAACACGTGGACAAGCTTATCATTCCAAACAGTTACGAGCCAATCAACGTGCTAATTTCGAGCGTTTTATCAATATGTAACTATGAGTCTGTTTTTCATCTATTTCGGATCGGAATTCTATTTCATAGCTACGACGATCTTCATCAATCAGTTTTATTCATCAGTTATTTGAGTTCCACTATTCTCTATTCATTAGACTATATTCGATGTAATGACTCGAGATATTCCTCGTTTTTGATGAAGTATGTAATACTTTAAAATAAGTAATAGTTTATTTCCGTCTGAATGTGTTGTAGAATTTTACGAATATGGTTGACATTTATTGAAAATGCAGTAACATTATCGAGCATAATACGAAACCGATGGGATGAACTCGCTGCATTATATTCAACGACGATCGATAAATCCAACAAACTCATAGCTAAACTGTGATTTTCTTTCCCTTCATTTTCCATGTAATACATGTTTTTCTTTGACTATTATCTCAACGATGTGGACAATGAAAAACGGTGCTTCTTTCACTTTAAATTCATCTACGAAATGCGCAAAAGAATAAAACACACGTTTTCAACTATTTTGAAGCACGTAGAGACGAATTTTTTGAGAGACTTTCATTCATTTCTTTTGATAACGACCAACAGCGCATCACTACGTAGGTGCAGAAAGAAAAAAACAAGTCTCAAGCAAGATTACTTCCTAGCTTGCCTACCGCACAAACACAGCAAACTTAATGACTGACCAGTTGGGCATTCCGCAACCAGTGTCCAACGCACCGGTAAACATAGCAGAAAGGATGAAAGCACGTATGATACAGAATATACTGCTCATCTGGCTTCGCACTGATACTGATGAAGATAATGAAGCGTGGCTCAATGCGATCGATCAACTACGAAATGTCATCCATACGATTGAAATTTTTACTGATGTTGACAAATGTATCGATTTTCTCACAGATAATTCCAAAGAAACTGCAGCTATGATCGTCTCTAGTTCATTATGTTATCGATTAGTGCCACTGATACATGATATTCCTCATCTTCGTACACTTCTTATTTCTTCCAAAAATAAAACAGTCGAGAAAGAAGAAGTCAAAAATTGGTATAAAATTAATAGGATTTCCATTGATCGTCATGCTATATTCGAGGCGCTTAAACCAACTGCAAAACACTGTGAACGCGACGCCATATCTATAACTTTTATGCAAACTGATACTCAACAGACCGAAAAGAACTTAGACAAACTTGATTGCTCGTTTATGTACACAGAGATACTGAAAGACATAATATTACAAATTGATTTCGAGCCTGAACACTTTGATCAATTCATCAATTATTGTCACCAACAATTTTCAGATAGTGTTTCGCATCAAAACAAGATTAAGCAACTCAAAGAAAGCTACCGTAATCGTGATCCAATATGGTGGTACACTCGCGATTCCTTTTTACATTCTATGCTTAATCGAGCACTTCGAACAATGGATGCCATCTTAATCGTTAATATGGGCTTTTATATTCGTGATCTTCACGAATCTATCGAACAACTACACCGACAAAGGTCTAAACTACCGAATTCTAATGCTACCTTCACCGTGTATCGTGGACAAAGTCTAACTACAACTGAGTTTGATCAGTTATCCAAGACATGCGGAGGACTCATCGCTTTCAACAATTTGTTGTCCACCTCGATTGACAGTTCTGTTTCAGAAATGTATCTCGGACAAGGCCAGGAAGATCCTAACCTTGTAGATGTCCTATTTGTTATGACGATTCATCCCTCCCAATCAAGGACACCTTTTGCCTTTATTAGTGATGTCAGCCAATTTCACGATGAAAACGAAGTACTCTTCTCAATGCACAGTGTTTTTCGTATAACTAATATTCAACAGCTCAGTGGTCGCGGCAAATTACATCAAATAGAACTAACTCTAACCAGCGACGATGATCCGCAACTTCGCGAACTATCGCTAAAAGTCGCTCAAGAACTCAATGTCTCATCAGGGTGGGACGCACTAGCCAGACTTTTTCACGCAATGGGCTACTACGAAAGAGCACTACAATTGTATGAACTTCTGATGCTACGCTTTACTAGTGAATTACTGAAAACAAATAATAATGAGACGACCTTTAATGCGATGTCTAACATATTAAACCACAACGAACCCATGTCCTTTGATGCAACGCCAATGAGTTTATATCCAACAAATGATTCACACTTCCAGCGCAAACTAGCTACCTATCACAGCAACATCGGCACGCTGTACCAGTGCATGGGTAAATATTCGAAAGCTCTTTCTTACTACGAGAAGTATCTTGCAATTGAACAGAAATCACTTCAATCCAATCATCCTGATTTGGCAACGTCTCACAACAATATCGGTGGGGTGTACAAAAGCATGGGTGAATATCCGAAAGCTCTCTCTTACTGCGAGAAGAGTCTTAGAATCCAACAACAATCACTTCCACCCAATCATCCTTCTCTAGCAACGTCTCACAATAATATCGGTCAGGTGTACCACGACATGGGTGAATATTCGAAAGCTCTTTCTTACTGCGAGAAGTGTCTTGCAATCCAACAACAATCACTTCCACCCAATCATCCTGATCTAGCAACGTCTCACAATAATATCGGTCAGGTGTACCACAGCATGGGTGAATATTCGAAAGCTGTTTCTTACTACGAGAAGTGTCTTGCAATCCAACAGCAATCACTTCCACCCAATCATCCTGATCTAGCAACGTCTCACGACAACATCGGTCAGGTGTCCCACGGCATGGGTGAACATTCGAAAGCTCTTTCTTACTACGAGAAGTGTCTTGCAATCCAACAGCAATCACTCCCACCCAATCATCCTTACCTAGCAACGTCTCACAATAATATCGGTCAGGTGTACCACGACATGGGTGAATATTCGAAAGCTGTTTCTTACTACGAGAAGTGTCTTGCAATCCAACAGCAATCACTTTCACCCAATCATCCTGATTTGGCCAGGTCTCACAACAACATCGGCCAGGTGTACCAGTGCATGGGCGAATATTCGAAAGCTCTTTCTTACTACGAGAAGTGTCTTGCAATCCAACAACAATTACTTCAACCCAATCATCCTGATTTGGGAACGTCTCATAACAATATCGGTGGGGTGTACCACGGCATGGGTGAACATTCGAAAGCTCTTTCTTACTGCGAGAAGGGTCTTGCAATCCAACAACAATCACTTCCACCCAATCATCCTGATTTGGGAACGTCTCATAACAATATCGGTGGGGTGTACCACGGCATGGGTGAACATTCGAAAGCTCTTTCTTACTACGAGAAGTGTCTTGCAATCCGACAACAATCACTTCCACCCAATCATCCTGATCTAGCAACGTCTCACAACAATATCGGCATGGTGTACGAAAGCATGGGTGAATATTCGAAAGCTCTTTCATACTACGAGAAGTGTGTTGCAATCCAACAGCAATCACTTCCACCCAATCATCCTGATTTGGCAACGTCTCACAACAATATCGGTGGGGTGTACCACGGCATGGGTGAACATTCGAAAGCTCTTTCTTACTACGAGAAGTGTCTTGGAATCCGACAGCAATCACTTCCACCCAATCATCCTTCCCTAGCAACGTCTCACAACAACATCGGCATGGTGTACGACAGCATGGATGAATATTCGAAAGCTGTTGATCATTTAGAAAAGTGTCTGGGAATTTTGCAACAATCTCTACCCTCAAATCATCCTCTTTGGTGTATATGTCACCGGAATATTGGAACGGTATACGAGAGCATGGGTAAAGAATCAGAAGCTATTTTCCATTACGAGAAATGTTTTGCGTTTGAATAACAATAATATAAAGTTCATTCTCTCAATGGCATGACTGGTCGGAATAATATCGGCATCATCTGCTACGCCGGCAGCTACCAGGCTATGGAAGTTGGTATATAGACGGTCATGTGCTTAGGTTAGAATATGTATTATCGCCAAATAAACCTGATGTAGAATGATCGAAGAGGAACTTTGATTTAACAAGAACAGCACTATAATTGAGATGTGTGTCAGGAAATGTTGGAGATTCAATGAATGGAGAAGTTCTACGAGGTCAAGAGTAGCAGCTTGAGGTTAGACTAGAAGGAAAATGAGCTTCTAGTGTGTAGCGACGGCTGAATACAAATCTCATCCAGGCATACGCTCTCAATCCTGTTATCGCTATGCTAATCGGTGAATTAGCCGTTATTGAAGTGAATATGGCGAGTTGTTATAATTAAAAATGAGTCTATCGAGATGCTGATGTGGAGTTATAAGGTGGGTCGTGCTTTCTGATTCAGTTGTAATACGACCGGGGTCGCTGATCATGAAGAGAAATGTAGCATGTCAAAATATTGTGGTGATATTTGCGTATGATGATGCAGTATCCATCAGATTCATTGTACCTCTCCATCCGACAAACTCCTTTTGACATATATGATTATTGTGGCTATAAGAAAGGTAAAAAACCTTGATTAAAAATAAAACATCAGCTGTTATATTTTCGATATTCAAAAAGGAATGTCACTTGCTGTCGGCATTTTGCCTATCTCATCAAATCACTTACTCATTGCTAGAGATTCAAAGCGGGTGAGACTTCATCTTCCCTGGAATAGATAATTAATTCGACCATTTGGAAAATATTTATCACAATATGGTAATCTCAAACGTGAAACGCAATAGAACATTTCTTATCGGACAAGAAATGGAAACAATGTGAGTGATGAGGCATTTCATTCGTTTGATGATTATGTTCTATTTTTAGTGATAGTAATCTTGCGTGTTCAACACATAAATTATGTCGAAATGAAAAGCATCAATAGTTTCGCAAAAGAATGGATCATAATAAATCTGTAGAAGAAAAGATACAACTGAGATATCAATTAGCCAATATGTCATCTTATTCATTTGTCAGATTGCACTTTCAGTTGAGGAAAAAGATGCGCAAGCAGGGCATAATTTTTTCGTAATCAAATGAATCAGAAAACATATCCCCCTGATCAAAAATAACAAGTGCAACGTCATTCGATCATCATGGGCGCGCTTGTTGAAACATAAAACTGCGTCACTCGAAGTATGAATGTTTCGAACATGAAATTCACTGAAGTGTAACGACAAGATAAAAATTATAGGTAGTATATTATATACCAGTTGTTATTTATTCGCTTCGACAACAACACGAAAATGGATCATACGAACGTTGCCTACAAGCCTGACTCGGATACAGTTTCGCTGGGTGATTTACCATCCAATAAACAATATACTTTGTCCCCAGGTTTGTTACCTGGGTACATACGACGAATCAGTGACCATTCAACTGCAGGTCGTCATTTCAATTCAGGAAATATTTCGTCAGAAGATAAAAATAAGGATGAACAACAAGTTCCAGGCTCGGAGCGGAAAGAACAGGAGCTATTCGATGAAGATCCGTATTATTCAATGAAAAACTTACGTTCTCGTCGCCGAGGTAAACGTGACGAAGACTCTGGTTTATCAAATCGCGTGAAACGGTTTTACGAAAAACAAGATGACTGGATCGATGGTTACCAACGCGTACATGATCATGGTAACGGCAATCGAGACGACCAGAAAACTCATGCAAGTGAACAAAAACGTGCTCGATTTTTAACTAAAGTTTCACTCGGTGTGAACATCGTACGTAAAGATTTCTTTTTGGTTTCTAAAATTAACTTCAACAACAAATCTATATAGTGTTTATTCATATTGAAAGTTGCCAGCGCTGTTATGTCGAAATCGCTTTCAATTGTTTCTTCTGTCATTGATTCAGCAGTCGATCTTGCTACTTCTGTTATTCTATTTTGGGCTTGGCGAGCAATCAAAAAACGTGATGGTTATCGTTATCCTCAAGGTATTCGAATCGTACGCACAGCTTCATTAAGATTTGTTTTTGATTTATACCTAGGTCGAACACGACTTGAGCCGGTTGCCATTGTCATTCTATCTGTTATCATGTGCGCAGTTTCCGTTCTGGTTATTTATGAATCAATTAACACGATTGTGAATGACGCGCAGTATTTTTCGGAAAAAAATACGACACGGACTCTGGATGATATCGATATGAGTGCATTTCCAGTCGCAACAAGCTGCATCGTCATCGTTAGTAAAGCAATTCTGTTCTTTGTATGCCATCGGGTGGACTCACCGACAACGTCAGCATTAGCCGAAGATCATCGTAACGATGTCGCATCGAACATCGTTGCGTTGATCTGTGGTCTTATTGGTAAGAAAGCAAATTTAGATCATTCGTTTGAATGTTGCTCTCTTGCGATTTTAGGTTCATTTGCATACAAGCAGAAGATCAATCAAAAAGCAATTGTGATGGATCCCGTTGGTGCTATTGTCATATCGATCTATATCATCATCATGTGGATTCGACAAGCCAACAGTTTGTTTCAAAATCTTTCTAATTTCTATTGATATTGGTATTCTTCTATTCAAAGGTCAAATCAAGCGTTTGAGCGGTCACACAGCAGATCCGAAGTTTCTCTCACAGATAACGGTAAACAACTGTTGCTTGTCCTCACTAAAACCAACTCTAATCACATTCTGTTATCTCTAGTGGTTAACTTTTCATCATTCTCCATTGATAAAGAAGATCGATACTGTTCGCGCGTTCTACTTTGGCACTTCATATTTAGTAGAAGTTGATATTGTTCTACCGGAGAATATGTTGCTGAAAGAAGCACATGACATTGGCGAAGAATTACAACAGAAGATCGAAGCACTGTCTGAAGTGGAACGAGTAATATTTTAATTATCGCATTTTCTTGTCTGACTTTTCTTTCGATTCTAGGCGTTTGTTCATCTCGATTATGAATTCAGTCACAATCCAAAGAACGAACATAAAATCGTATAGAAAGCGCGTTTTGTTGAAGTTGTTTTTTTTTAACTTATTGTATAATGTCATTTGATATTAACGAAATCAAACGAATTACTAAAGAAGTTTTACACGAGACGATCGGTGAGAAAGTTTTCCTAACAGAACAAGTCCGACAATGGAACATCGATATTCTAACTGAGATTTTGCATCGATTGCAACAAGTTCAAGAGAAATTTTCCGATCAGCAAATGAAATTCATTGTCACAGTTCTAATCGGAGAGAAAAGTAAAGAGAATAATTTCGGTTTACACACAGCTCTGTCGTGCATTTGGAATGGAACGACTGATGGATGTGTAACCGTGAAGTGGGAAAACCAAAATATCTTTTCAGTCATCAGCGTTTTCGGTTTGACCGTATAAACGAAAAATTTGCATTTTATGACAAAAACACAAAATTTTATATCTCTTGTAATCATATTACTTTTACATTTATGACCTCGAATATAAAAAAGTCGAAGTTTATTCGTGTTGTTTCGAAACTGTAAAGTATTCGTAAGGTAAGTCATTGGAAATATTAATCATTCTACAAGCAATCTTTTCATTTTACGTTAGTAATGACATATTTCTCTCATTAATTGCGAACACGGGCTACTTCTCGTATCATTTGTCGATGTGTACTTGTTCTTTTCTCGTTCTTCATCATCGTTACAGATACCAGTAGACAAAAAAAAGAATTCTCTCTTTTCTATACGTTGAAATTAATAGGTGAAATCTTACAAGCCTCTTCTCACCGACACCGCTGTTCGTCTTTCTATTATTTACAGTATATCATCGTCTGTTACTACACTTTTCTTCGTTTTCTTCTCTCTTACATACGTATGAAATTGACTTTCGTTTTATCTCTCTCTTTCACTTCTCTTCGCTTCATGTTTGTTCACTGTATTTTTGTTATTGAAGGAACAGTACTCCTAGCGATCATTTCGATGCGTGAGACCTAATCCTAAATATATGTTAAACGACTAAAATCAATACATTCTGCCATATACTTTCAAATCTTGTAAGTCTACTATTAGTTATGTAATATTTATATAGACGATTGTATCGGGCACTTAATTATACTCAAATAGAACTATCAGCATGAGCATCGACGACCCTTGAAATGAATAGAAAGTGCCTCATAATCTTTTGTGTTGATTATTTATTCATTTTATATACATATATGTACATATAGACAAACGTTTGATATTCATACGTTCATGGTGTCAAGATGACGCACTCCTTTGTCTGTTGAAAAGAGAATAGTTAACGATCGATCGTTTCAAATATTCTTTTCGTCATATTTATCTTTGTAGCATCTCCTCGTCTTGGTAAGACCTAGTGGTAGGTGATAAGAATGTAACTTGTCGATAAATGTCCACACCTGTAAGGTCTTTTTCTTAATAAAGCAACAAAACATGCTTGAAATTCTTTCCTCATCCTAAGGTATCGAAATATCATTAACTATTCAGACAGTAGAACTCATTTCCGTCTTGTTGACTTAACACTGTCCGCACACGTGCTTTACACTGTCAAATCACTACTTCTATTCTTTTCTTTTCGTGCAACTGACCAATGGTACTTCGATTATTATTGATTCATGTTATGTCATGTTTGCTCATGATCGACGCCCATTATTGTTCATCATCGAACGGAACAAATATTCTTTTTGAGCTCATCAAGCTGACATCGACGAAGAAAGACGTATAAAATTTCGAACAGATACCATCAATGAATCACACATTCGTCTTTTCTTCTTTCCGTTTCTCTTCTCTGTAGTATCACAGCAGTACTACTATTGACATACGTCGCATTGCTTCGTCCTCCTACAGCGTTTTTCTTTCTTTTTTTCTTTTGTTCGTTTTAGATAAACACACACATACACACTCATATACTCTTACAGACATTCGGTGGACGAGCACAACCAGGCGATATCTCTATGTGTAAAATATTTCTAAACAACATCGATTAAGCCGTGAAACAAATACATTAACATATTATTAAACAATGGCACCAAGACCAGTAAGTGACTAATCGGAGATAATCGTGCCACTCTCGAATGACTGTAGATATTCATAATCGTCAATGAGATAAAAAAGGAAAGCGCAGCTTAGAATTAGATTTTAATTGTTCTTATTCTTTTAAACGAATGATGTAATGGTATACTTTGAATCTAGGTCAATGTTCGCGTGGTTACAATGGATTCGGAACTTGAATTTGCCATACAACCGAATACCACTGGCAAACAACTATTCGATCAAGTAGAGTTGTTTGAATTGTGAAGACAAGAGAAACAGAATTCGATTTTAGGTTGTTAAAACGATTAACCTTCGTGAAATTTGGTTTTTCGGTTTGTTATTTACAGATTCGAAAGATTTTCCTTGTTGGTTGAAATTGAACAAAAAAGTTCTTAGTCAAGATCTTAAGAAAACACATGATCAACCATTGTCATTTAAATTTCGTGCACGTTTCTATCCTGAAGAAGTCTCCGAAGAACTTATACAAGATACTACTCAAGTAGAAACACTACTCATTCATATCTTTCCATATAAACTCACAATTCTCATGTATATCTTTAGAAACTCTTCTTTCTTCAAGTTAAAGATTCAGTTCTTAGCGATGAAATCTATTGTCCACCTGAAACATGCATTCTCCTCGCATCCTATGCCATGCAAGCTAAACATGGAGATTATAATGAAAGTGTTCATCGTCCAGGAACATTACAGAACGAACGGCTTTTACCAAGACGAGTTATGGATCAATATCAATTGTCAATTGATGAATGGGTGAAACGTGTAGTGAACTGGTGGAAAGAGCACAGAGGTTTAGTAAAGTAAGCTGTTCTCGTTTGAGACTATGTGCTAACAGAAAGTACGCATTTGTTGTGATTTTAGGGAAGATGCTATGCTTGAATATCTAAAAGTTGCTCAGGATCTTGAAATGTATGGTGTTAATTATTTTGATATTAAGAATAAAAAAGGCACTGAACTTTACCTTGGTGTCGATGCGCTTGGTCTTAATATTTACGATAAAAAAGACAAGTAAATCGTATGTTATGTCGAATCTGATCTTGTTCAGATATTTCGTTTAGATTAACACCGAAAATAGGATTTCCATGGAGCGAAATACAGAATATATCGTTCAATGATAAGAAATTCGTTATAAAACCGATGGAGAAGAAGTCTCCTCCTTTTATTTTCTATGCACCAAGATTGCGCATCAATCGACGAATTCTCTCGCTATGTATGGGTAATCATGAATTATACATGCGCCGTCGAAAGCCCGATCCGATTGATATTCAAGAAATGAAAGAAAAAGCAAACGAAGAAAGAGCAATACGACAACGAGAACGGTACGACGTTGTTCGATTTGAATTTGATCGAATTGTAATTTTTTGTTTAGCGAACGAGTTCAACGTGAAGCTGAACTTCGTCGGCAAGCTGAAAACGATCGTGAAGAAATGGGAAAACGAGTGCAGGATCTGGAGAGAACGACAGATGCTGCCAGACGAGGTTTGTAACATGCCGAGTATAACGTAGAAGATCGATTGCATTTAGAAAAACCGCCCCGATTGTTTTTAAAAACATCTGATGAGGAAGAACGTAAGAGAATATGCTAAGATGATTCAAATCAACCTCCTTTAATTGTTCTTTCGATCCTCCTTTGTCTATGGCTGTTGGCATTTATTCTGATTGTTTGTTTGTTTTTAGCAATCGAAGAGCAAAATCATATGGCAAGAGAATTAGAAGAAAAACGTCGAGAGGCCGAAAATGCCGAACTTCGTTTGAAACAAGAACGCGAAGAAGCAGAACGAGAACATCAAAGAATGATGGATCGAATCAACTATGAACAAGAAGAGAGAGAAAAAATCGTAGGTTGACATTTGATTTTCTTTCGAAACGGACAGAGACCCATTCTGAAAGAAAGAATGATGTTTTCATGTATGGAATACTCGTTTCAACCGTACCTTTTCAGCAACTATGGCGTTTGAACAACCCTGTTTGTTCATGGGTATGCGCACGCCTCCTCTCACTTTCACCCATCATAGCCGAGCTTTGTGCATGTCGTCGAGCAGTGGAAAACTTTGATAGAGAACGATAGATAATGCACTGCTTTGTTGCAAATTTGCAAAAGAAAACGAATTGTATGTATTCTTTCGAAGGTTCAAGATATCGAAAAAGTTCGTATCTTAGCCGAGGAAAACGCCCAAGAGGCTCAACAAAAAGAGACTGAAGCAAGTCAACTCGAACAAGAGCTACGCGAAGCAAACAAAAGAGTAAGATTTTCTAGCATTTGCTCTCTTCTCATCCTTCTTCCTTAACAGACTTTCACTCACCCTTACCCTAAATCATCCACTATAAACGCCTTTCAGGTTCTCGATGCGAAAGAAAACAGCAATGACAATGGTCATTTTGATCGCGAATACACCAGCCATCTTATAGAAGCCCCCGAAAGCGACGATGAAGAAAACAGTACAACAAGTCCTTACGGCCATGGTTTGTTTTTAAGCCTGAGTCTTTCCTGAATTCTTACCATTACTTGTTTTTTTTTTGTCAAGGAGTGGAGTTGTATACGGATGCGAGCGCACCACGTCACGAAGAAAATCGTGTCAGTGTAGCGAATCGTAATCAAGATATCAAACGCAGACTTCAAGTAAGTGAAATATATTTGACTTCTCGCTTTTTCACATCATGATTCGCACCCGCTTTCTGCTTAACACGCTTCTTCTTCAGGCTATCAAATTTGAATTGGGTTCTCTGCAAAATTCACACAAAATCACCGATCACGATCGTGTACATGAACAAAATGTTGCATCGGGTCGAGACAAATACAAAACATTAAAATTGATTCGACAGGGAAATACGAAAAAGCGTATCGACGAGTTCGAGTCAATGTGATTGACTCTATTTGTTTATAAACTAATCTCACTGTTCTACATTTAATCACTCAACTTCTTCTTCTATCATTTTATATTTTCCGCTAGTGAAGTTAAAAAAAAACATCTTTTATTCACTCTAACTAATAAACACTGATGAAAATTCTTCTTTGATCACGCTCTCGCTGTTCGATAATGGCTGAACTATCGATTTAGTTGATGAAAACCGATGTCTTTCTTGTCAATCTAGGAAGAACGAAATGATCTCGGTCGACGACAACAAAGAGAAGATACTCACGAAGATAAAATCTACCGAGAAAACATCGCCGACAAAGGTATCGACAAATACAAGACATTGAAGAAGATTCGCGAAGGAACTGGTGAGATATTTGTCCTATTCATCGCTCGTGACCCTCTTTTCGTTTTAGTTAAACGCCGTATTGATGAATTCGAAGCGATGTGAAAGATATCTTCGAGTATTTCTGTAAAAAAAAGTATTTCCATTCTTTTATCACAATTTCTTCTTTTTTTTATAACTATTTAATCATCTTCTTTTTTGCTTTGATAAAAATGAATTTCCCAATGAGAATAATGAAATAAAATACGGGTCATATTTTTATTTATTCGTTCGATTTTGCTCTCGCCTCAAACTATTCACTATTGATGATCGATTCAATGAAAATCAAAAGATTATCGAGTGGAATTTCTCTTTCTCTCAGCATGTGTCTCTATTCGTTTACTTTTTAATTACATACAACAAAAAACGTATAAAGATTTCAATCATTTGATGCTTCCAGTATCGTATCATTGTGTCCGATATCCCAGTAGTGTTCAACGCCATGACGACGAAAGTGTTCGCGAGCGAAATTATCTGTTGGACACGCTTTGAATTTGATTTCACCAAACGACCGTTCTTTGACCGTACCCTAAAAACATTCAATTTATCTTAAGAGACTTCCACCGTCTTTTCCTTACCTCCCAAAGAAGTACACATTTATTACGTTCTTTCTCTGATTCATTCGCATCTACAGAAAGAAGTTATCGTCTTTTTTTGCAGTACAAATCAGTGAACTTTTACATACCATCATCCATGCGATTTTTACTCGAAGTATTCCACTTAATTCGATGGAGTAATAAACGACGAAAACTCTTCTGTTGTTTAGGTCCTAAATAGAAAGAGAAAACAAAACTCAGTTATTCATGGGCATTTAACAAGCGGTAGGATCGTTTCCAACCTCCTTCTACTGCAATTATGTTAACATCCTTCCAAGTAACGACACAACCAGTCATGTGTAGTTGTTTACAATTAGTTTCAATCTTGAATCGATGAGATGGATCATCTAAGTATCGAACGCGATAGACAGCCGCGTGAACGCCGGTCGTGGTGTCTTCTCTAGCTCGTTTGGTTTTCTTTTCACGACGTTGTTCGGCGGATAGTTTTCGTGCTGCATTGGTTTCTTCGTGTGTTCTAAAATATTTCATTATATGTTGCCAGTTTTTCTGCGATGAAAGAGAACAACTTACCTAATACGCTGCGCCATTTGGTCACGAACGTATTGTTCAACTTTTGTTGGATCTTGGACGTTTTCCGAACATAGAACGCGCATCATATTGGAGATTTTCACTGAAAATAAACAGATGATTTACGATTGTTTTCATATCAATGTTAATCAGACCCTTTGGTTCTGGTGCTGGAATCAAACCAAGACGAATTTTTTCTTGCTGCTCTTTCAAAGCTTCGGCACGATGCTGTCGTCTCAGTTTGCGTTGTTCACGTTTTGTTAAATGAATCGGCAATAAAACTGGCTTGTTCGGCTCGGCTAGAAAGAAAATCAAGTGAAAACGGCTGAATCTCATTTCTACGGCATCTTACATGGTGGTTTAAGCTGCGTTGGATGTTCAATAAGTTGTGTAATACCGGTTAGCATGGGTGCAATTTTGGCATCTGGAGTAATTGCTGAGTAACTAAATTAATAAAGACATGTTTCTCAAATCAATATCATTATTTTGTAAGATCGTACTTATCCCGTTGAAGAATGACGGCATCCCACCATTCAATGTCAGGAACCTCCGATTCGGACTAAAAGGAACAATTCTCATGAACGAACTATTGGATATGGGGAGGGTACATACGAAAAATTTTTTCGGTTGGATAATTCCAACTTTGTTTCCAACAGTGATACCGGCGTTTTTAGCGGTTTGTGCAATTTGATCTTGAAGTTTTTTCAATTTTTCTTTTGCACGTTGCTTGTTCGCTAAATCTTCGTATTTGCCTTTGTCAACGAATTTAAATTCACGACGACTACGTACAGCGGGTCGAACTCTATTCACACGAGAAACAAAATCAAAATATCATTCACAAATTTATCATCTTAACATACAAGAGCCGACCATCATGATATTTGGCTGATGCGTCAATACCGGGATATTCCGTAACAACCTCTTTGACTGCTTTTTGTTTTGGTTGTTCTTGTTTAACATCCTTCTTTTGAACACGAAGGTTGGCCTTCAGTGTAGGTATACGATTTGGCAATTGAAGAACTTCACCAGTGAGAGAATCGATCGTTCGACCTTCACGATCGATTGTGACATGAACTGGTTTTTCATCAATAGGAGGTATTGGAAGAAGATGGCCTGAAAAGCAAACACAAGAAAGCACTACTTTCTATGTTGATTATTGATGTTACCCGTCTGCTTCGCAATTCTAGCTTGAAGCTCTGCTAATCGTTGCTGTGCTGCAGAGATAGGTGGTGCCTAAATTTGTAAAACATTGATATCGAACTCTATGATGCAAATTAGAACAATCTACTCACTGTAAAATTGAGTTCTTGCTGCCGATCTCTGATTTGTTGCTGAGCAGCTCTCATCATGTCACTAATCTAAAAGGAAAATCTTGATTTGGAATTCACATTTCGCACTTCTATACTCACTGCAGCAGCTCCCATGGGTTCTTGTTTCGGCGTAATTAACTTGTTGGACATTGTCGTAGGATATGATTTGCCACACTAATAACTTGGGCAAGAAAGGAAACGAATTGCAATTCTATTCAAGTTTATCCGTCCCTGTCAATAAATGGACAAAAATAATCAACCAATCGTTTGCTTATTGACTATGACCAGCGACATCTTTTTATGCGCAGATGGTGTTCGAAACAAATTCGTGCGAAACTTTTCTTTTCAAAACCGACGTTCATATCGCTTCATTCTTTTTTCTTGATACCTTTCGTAGTAAATCCGAAATGTAATGAATACACCATCTTTACATTCGCAGACAGTAAAACGAAAAGGAACTTCATTGTGCCAAGATCTACCTACGTCTTACTTGAAACATTTGTTTTTTTTTACCTTCAACAATGATAAAGAACAACACCTATGCACAGAGAATTGTCTGCGATCATTTTACAGTCTGCTATATTGCAATCAAAATAAAACAATTCCACTCATGAGTCGAACAAATCGTATACAACCAGCGCGTACTGACATTCCCCCTGTGAAATATGCAGTAATGACGATTACTACTCAAATGGAAATCCTCAAACATGTGGAAGTAACACCCTCTGTAATTAGAACTGTTTTTCGATTAAAATAGTAATATCCAGTCCTCGTTTTGGATTTATAGACAGAAGAAATCGCTCCACAACCAACAAACCTTCCATCTAAAACAACTGAGTATAGATTTTGATTTGTCGATTAGAATTCAATTGAAAATAAATTTCTCTTTTAGACAAGCACGAAAGTTTCTAAGTATAATCACTTGTTTATTTATCACCGCAGCAATTATTACCCTGGTTATCTTTCTTATCGGTGTCATAATCACTTTTGCAAGTTAGTAACTTAATGACTTGAAAAGTTCATTGAACTATTCATAATTATTTTGTTTTGTAGAAGCCAGAAGTCATAGAGATTATGAGATTGAAAGTAACTAAACAACTTTTACACAAAAACAGATTAAAGTCTCGCCTTTTGTTTATGTCAGGATATGATTTAGGGGATCTACAGTATGGTCTAAACACTATCGACCGAATGAACCTTCCTTCGCATACTCATTTATCGGATATTAACAAAATACTCGTTCAAAAATATGTTCGTATCATGATTTAATAATTCCTCTGTCTAGAAGAAGAGTTCGTTGTAGTTTTCGGATCGATTATTAAACGAATCTGGTTATCGTGGTTTAGTTATCGATGGAGTTTCTCTGCAAAATCTGTCATTGAGAAGTCAACGCAAACAACGGTAATATCTAATCGACATTGATAAATACTTCTACTAATTCTTCTTCAGGAATAGTCCATGTTCACTGATTTTCACCCTTCAAAACTTACAGATCTATTTCGACCAATGTTCAGCCTGTGCACACGATCGACAACGTGCATTGCACTATTCGTTTTTCAACTTAACTTCTTTTCACCAACCGCTTCATTTAATAATCGACAATTTCAATACCCACCCTCAGATTTGCTTAACTCCGCACACTCCACCATCAAGTATTCCATTGAATCGATCGAAAATTCCACATGTATCACCGAACAATACAAATCATAAATCAACTACACAAAAGTCACTGACGATGACCACAACACTTTCCACTCGGCAATCTCGAAAACAAACGAAACCATCAAGGTCTACTATTCCAGCAAAGTCTCGAACAACACGTGGCCATGAATTATCTTCAACGAAGGTATTTCCAAACACTACAATCGAATCGAATATCTTTCAATTTTTTCCATACAAACCATCGAACTCTTACTTTTCTCAACACAACACTGCGTACAAAAGATCAATCTGAACTTTGACAGACCGATTCGTTTGTCATCAATAATTGCTAATTTTAGATTCTAGACTAGAGAGATAATATAATATTTAACACAATTTCCTCCTATGAATATTTATCTCAAGTCTGAAGTAGATAATTAAAAAACTGCTCGTATGATATTTGTTGCAAACTATTCGAGCAGAAAATCGACCTAAGAGATCGAGAAAAATATTTTCAAGATTAATGAAAGACAATTTCTGCAATTAAAACACGAAAATGTAATCAAAAATCCGATTGCTTCATAAACTGGAAAATAACCTTGTTTTTTAACTTTCGTTTGTTCCTTTTTAATTACAGCAATATTTGCGCATTAACACCTGTTTACATAGAACTAATAATGAAAAACATGCTCGGCATAACTTTCCTAATCAAAAACTGACTATTTAGATTTTCATCATTATGCATGACTAGTTCGAAATATGATTTTCGCAATTGCTGCTCGTTGCCATCGGGAGAAGCATTGACGACGAAGTCTATTGATCGAAATCAATTAATAAACTTCGGCGAATCTTGATCAATTGAATGTTGGCGATATAAATAAGCACGCAGTTAGACATTTAATTATGCTCGAGGGCTTTGACAATGGCAAATGATATGAAACAATAGAAAGTAAAGCCCAAGAAGAACGTTGTGTTTAATTTCACAGGAAATGAAATGTTCAATTATTGACACGTGTATTCACAAGTGCTAAGGACACTGTCCGTTTTCTCAATCGTCGACAACAGAAAAGAAGGTTCGGAATACGACGAGAACATTCATATGAGTACATTCCGTCAGATCTAGAAATTGTAATTATGCAAAGAAATCTTCAACTCTAATTTCAGTCCTCAATTACAAGTTATATTTTTTTTATTTTAAACATCGGAAACTTTTTTCCTAATCTTGAATTGCTTGTTGATCAGAGAGAAAGAAAGAAAACTTAAGTGTTAAATTGAGTATAATAGATGAATAGAAAAAGAAAAACATGAGTGAACTTTTTTTTCTAATTAGTAAATAAGAGAGAAAAAGTAATTTATTATGGAGCGGACAACTCCGAATGAGATTTGTTGCTTTCTTGACTTGCATTTTCGATCTAGTTCATCAGCAATCAACAGCAGTAAAACGTCGTTTACTAATTCATATATTATTCAATATCGTCATCATTTTAGACAAATTAGAATGTCGTCAACCAGACAGCGAAACGAATATATTTAGGAAGCTCGAAGCGGTAGAAGAAGAAGAAGAAAAAGAAAAGAAACTTTCAAGTAAGGTTTCTTCTCTCTTTCTCTCTTCGTCCTACCTTTCCTTTATGTCCAATATACACGCGTGAAATGATTATATTGGTTTGCTGATTACAACATACAGTCCGTCCCACTTTTCATCTGCACCAATGGAATAGCTCGGCGCACTCAATTTTTCTCTCTCCCCTCGGCGCAAGAGAAAGAGAGACGAGAGAAAGAGAAAATGCGAATATAATTATCATCGCTCCAACTTCTATTGACGTACATACAACGTTTTTCTTTCTCGGTGTGCACTCACGATCAAATCATCCACTACATTTAATAATTGAATCAAAAAAAAAAACGGAGAAAAAGCAACACCGAAGATTTAGTCGACAATGCGAGCTTTTACCATTGCGAGTATACTGGGAAATAACAATACTTCTTCACCATTAACAACCAGTTCGTTAAAACGAAAAATCTCCGATGATAACGATGATTACGAACAGCAATTACACAAACGACAAATCATCGATGGTAAGTAAAAGAAATCCAGCGTGAACGATCTTCATCTTCTTCTCATTCTAATTGATCACTTCAACTTTTACTTCGATATTTTCTCTCTACATATACTCATACATACACACCTCCACTCAACACATGTATAAGTAGTATGAGACTTAATCGATACAATTGAATTGGGAATCTATACTTATTGTTCGAACGGAGAGAAAAGAGAATATGCCATGTTAATTCCTTTGTCAATTACTTCATTAGTGACAATAGACAACAACTACTAATAGTGAACAACGGTTTTCTTTTTCATTTAGCTCCTGAAATCCTGTCGCCTGCATCTGTCGGGCATCTACCGTCATCAATTAATAATTCGGACAATAAATTATCGAGTAATGACGAAGAACGTGATTCATCAGGTGAACAGCACAGTTCTGATGAACGACCACGAAAGGTTCGACGTAGTCGAACCACATTTTCAACATATCAATTACACCAATTAGAACGTTCATTCGAAAAGACACAATATCCTGATGTATTCACGCGAGAAGAACTGGCTGTGAGATTGGATTTAAGTGAAGCTCGCGTACAAGTTTGGTAAGTAGACGGATGTTTTCTTTCTTGAACGCGATAAATCGATGGGACCCTATAGAATATTAAAGTAGCGAAATAGGAAACGAGCTGTTTTCTATTGTCGTAATAAATAAATAATTAAACAGAAGAGATTAGATCAAATGATTAATTTTAGGTTTCAAAATCGACGAGCAAAATGGCGTAAACGTGAAAAAGCTCTTGGTCGAGAAAGTCCGAATTTCATCGCTCCACATGACATTGAAACATTCCGTCAACAAATGTCATCGTACCTTTCGAACGCCTTAACAGCAAGTGTTGGAACAGTCAATCCTACTAATGATCGTCCCTCACAAGTCGCCGTACCACCACCACCACCACCGCCTCATTATCTGCCTTTCCTAATGGGACATATTGATGAAAAACTGTTAACACGTTTACCCCTGAATCAACATCCACATTTTAATTTACTCTATCAAAATCATCCAACAACACCTACATTACCGATGAATCCATCGTCTGTGTCTCCTTCATCAAATTCATCGTCATCGGAATCATATTTAACCAATCCAGTTGATCGATTCGATCATCACAGACGTGTAAAACTAGAACTGCAAGATGGCATTGCCTAACAAATCAGAGATTCTCTTCGCTCTCATTTGATTTCCTCTCATTTCTACAGTGCTTGTACAGTTTGTTTTGTTTGTAAATGTATGCGTCTTATTTTTTAAATATGACCAAATGAATTTAACTAGTATGTATTAATAGAACAACAAAATCATTCTTTTAGAAAGAAGACCTATAATTTAGTAACATAAATCGGATTGTTTTCCGATTGGTTGAATCTTTTGAACATTAAGGGATGTATAGACATGAAAAAGAGAAAGAGAGAACATTTCTCCCTGGTGGCAAATGAATTCATTGGTTCGTTTTGTGATTATTTCTTTAATTGATTCGACTATTTCGTGACTTGATCCTGTACTTAGATCTCTAATGATAAGATGGAAAATTAGACGGAAATGTAAGAAAGAAAACTAAAGTAGTAATTTAACGAGTGAAAGAAAAGACGGAAATGCATCATCAAAAAAAAAAAAGAAAGACGAATGTCTCAATGTTCTTCCGCGACACAGCTGAACTTTCTTTTCCTTTTCCACAAGCAAAACATCGTTTGCATGTTTGACAACGTGCATGAAAAAAGAATGAATTTCGATCTAATCAAATAATCTTGACTAATCTGTTTCTATGAAAAGGCTTCATCGTTTTTCCGCTTCATTTAGGTCTTATTGATTGAAGAAAAGAGAATATGTAACTATATGTCTGCATATACCAAGGATTTTTTTCTTCTCCTCATCAATCCCACCTGTCGTGTTACTGAATGAATAGAGCTACTTCAGTTAATTGTGGACGATTCGTGTATATATATATATATATCGTATGTTCTCATTCTCATATATAAGTGGTTCGATAGAGTGAAGAGTGTAACACGTTTAATTGTTCTATAGTTACATAGTCTTATTTCCATGTTCGGATACACTTACATCGCTAATACTCATAATTAGATTCGAGGTTGTTAGAAACTATGTCTTGAGTTTCTCTCTTTTCTCTTTAACTACTCTCTTCGTCTATGTAAATAATATAAAAAAAGAAGAAAAGAAAAGAAGCATATTAATGATGATGATGATGAGGCGGGTAACATGCGAAGACTTTTAAAAGCAATAATTACAGTATATATATACATGTACGTATGTGTATGCCTTCGATGGGTTTAATAACATGCTTGTTTGTGAATAATTCACAAGAAACAACAGTTATAGGAACATTTGTTAAGCTAACTACGTCGATAATATTGTCAAATGGAGAAGTAATTTGCAGCTTGATTACATTTGATAATGACGACAGTCATAGTAGCAAGTGTCTGTTGCCGATGAATTGTTCATATCCGCTTTGCTCTTTATTCTTTAATTATCTCCATCTGCGGCCTTTTCGTTATTACTATTGTCATCGTATTGATGACAATAAAACATCAGATATAAACAGTGCAGAAAAGTCATCAGCGTTCATCGTCTATAGATTCAATTACTGATTTCAATTGCAATATCCGGTTATGTGTGTCTATCTTAGACTATGTGCATTTTGCACTCTCTTCATCTGTAATTTGCCTTGGTTTCCTGAGTAACAAAGGTTTCGCTTAGCAGTGTGAATATCCTCATTTGTGTTTTACATCTATATCCAATTAAGAATCATTGTTCACCTGACAAACAAGTAAGTTCAATGGAAAAGCTGTTCAATTTGATATAAACTTTTATTACAATAGAAAATAACGTACAAACGCTAGTAGAACATTGAGAGCAAGTAAGCCCGTGCCGATAATCAGAGCGAATGTTAATCTAGCATGGCGTTTTCGATGTAAATTCGGCGAATAGTATTCAATGAAAGCAGATAGAATGTATTGGCCGTCTAATCCATAACAGGGAACTGCGTTGAAGAACGCTAACGCAAATGAAAAGGCACCGACGTACCTAGATGGAAATTTAATTAGATGAATAACCTAATAGACTAAATGTAAAACTGATTCTAATAACGTACTGGAAAAATAATGGAATATCGGTAATAAGAATTGTTGGAATAAAGTTATATTTAGCTCGATAAGATTGGAGAGTAACTAGAAAGAAAATTTAATCAAAGAACTTAAATAATTAATTGAAGAAAAAAAAATGGACGATGAGAACATAGAAAGTTTTAATTTGATTCTTTGACTAGATTAATTTTCATTTTGTATTCGAAAAAGAAATGAGAATGGAATTTTTAGGAATTCCTTCGACAGAAGCCGATCAAAGCGAGAGTTTGTTCCTTACTTGTTCGATAGATCTCATTGATTGACCCAACGAAAAGGATGGAAGGACCTTGACTATGTGAAATACGTATCAAACGCGTGATGTTATCAGCTGTGAATGGATAAACACAGGATGAGTCACTTCCATAGCGTTGACAGTCACTGTTGAGAAAACATACGGGATGCTGAGTCACTGTGCGAGCTTCCATACACGCACCAATCTTCAAGAAATAGAACAAAATGTTCAATGGAAATTAAACACGGAAGATGGTTACTTCAGACGAGTGTTGTTTGAGATGGTAGAGAAAACAGTAGTTTTTTTGAGAGAGATTTTGACAACAGTCATGATTAATCGTTTGATTGTATTCTAAACAAAACGAGTGTCTTACGTATGATTTGATGGTCCTTGGGAGATAAAATACGATGGGTTGGTTTTGTACCTGTATGACTGGAGAGTTGTTGAATTTCAGCTTGTGTTAAACAGTAACCACTACTATCTTGTGGACGTCGATCACGAATCAAACGTAAGCATTGATACCAGTCGTTCGCTGTGTTTACTACACAACCATCAATGGATTGAATTGTTGAATAAACAGGAAGTGAATGAGCTAAGGGTGATTCCTGTGATGAGAAGACGAATGGATGAGTTATTTGGAAAATATGGCATTTACTTTCACTACACGGGATACCATTGCTGTTTCAATATAGAAATTTCGAACAAAAAACGGATTCAGCAAAAGAAATCCAAGAGCAAAAAGGACGAGAACCATGTTGTGGTAAACACCAGCACAATAGATTCTTGAAAATCTTTCTTCGCAATTAGAATTCGACTCTATTTCAACTTACCTCAATTGTCGGTAGGCCGAAATCATTTCTACTTGTTCGTGATTCAAATCAACGTAAGCACCTGGATATAGCAGAAACAAAAAATAGCCACACCCATTCAAATGAACTTGTTCACTAATGAACGAAACCAATTCGTTTCTCAAGAAATAAAAAATCGCTGCGAATAGCTTACGCTGTTGCTGCAACCGCGTGTCCAAATTCATGAAAGACAGTGCAAACCAATAGAGCAAGAAAGAAATGTACTATTTGATCTAGCGGAACATTAACACCGGGGATCTAAATGATCCAAGCGATTTCTTCCGTTAAAATTAAGACTTTTCTACGAACTATTGGTTGAATTAGTAGTTTATCCCGTTCGTTCTGTTTCGTCATGGTTAGATTTTCAGAACGCACTGTATCACTTCGTTGTGAAAGTTCGTATGCGTATCTTGTCGGTAGAAAGACTAAGGTTGCGCACGCACAAACCGCTATGGTTGCTGTGACGATTATCCCGAGGGTGAACCAAATTTTCCAAAGATGAGCATTTCTCGAACCGATGCGATAAAATAATCGGTTGAACGCAGTGGTGTAGAACATGATGTTGCATAATGATATATGGCAACCGAATAAACGTAGAAAACGAAGATACGGCCGTCTGGTCACTCGAAAACGCTATAATAATGAGAACTTGAAACAATCACAGGAGCAGAAAATTCAAACGAACTAGGAGAAGATGATTGCACAAAGAGACAATGAACCAGAAAAGGAAAAGTTGCAGAGCAAAACGCAGGAACATGTTGGTAGATGGACTCAACTGTGTCCTTTTTGAATGATTATGAACCTAGAAGAGAAAATATGCTATATTCCGATCATGAATGAAATCATTTATACATTTCACTTACAGACAAGATACTCTCTTGCTCGTACTTACTTAAAAACTAGTTACCCATCGAATGTCAACTACAAAGCACGTCGCTTCAACCGCAAACTCATGTAGTTACTCACCAATGACGTGCTTCCAACACGACATTCTCATCGCTGACAAATTCTCCTATTTGTGACTCAACCTATTGAATCATTTTACTTACAGATTCGCTCGACATGTTTGCAAGAGAATGTTTTCGTCGTCGCTACGCTTTCCTTCACTGGATCGTGCGCACATTCTTCATCGAGATTCGTTAGTCATACTTTCTGAAGAAATCATTAAATAAGATTGATAAGATACATTCATGTATTGATGAAAATGACATTCGAATACAAAATAAACAATAGGCAAACGTTGTTTTGATGTTTAAAAATATTGCAAAAAAAATAAAACAAGACCAACACACATGCACACGGAAAGGATGGAAGAAAGACTGTCAGTTTTGTTCTGATGTGGATGGATAATGCTGGTGGTGATGATGATGATGATGACGGTGATTATGTTTATAATCTGTTGAAATATTGCTTGGTTTTGACTGCTCAGAGTTTCTTAACATAGAAGTAGATTGAGGAGAAGGTGAACGACGAGTGAAGAATAGTTGATCATTATTGTTTGAAGGTGTTGAAGAAGCAACTATGCCTTTAACAAGAGGAATCGGCGGAGTAGACCTGTAAACAGATATATACAGTGGAGCAATGCGAACAACTGCCGGTGAGTATTCTTCAACAGGGGATGTAGACAGATTTGATGATGTATTAGGATCATTGAATGATTGAGATAGATGTTCTTCATTGCCAGGAACAAATAGATGGCTGTTCGACGTTGATTGAGATGGGGAGAGTGTTTTGTCACTCGAAATGGATAAATGAGGCGTCGTGGGAGTAGTAAAACCACTAGACGGAGTCAATATTCTCGGTTGATCATTGATTAAAGGTCGCAGATGCTAAACAACACGAAAGAAAAAGAAAAATAATATTCTGTTTATTAGTCTTCGATGACTGACCACGTCCGATTGTGATGGATCATTCTTAATGACTTGACTATTGATAAACATTCGCTGGTAGGGAAGTTCTGTCGATGAATCTGAATCGGAAAGTCTTGGTGCAGCAGAAACATAGGAATTTTCAAAATCATCTCCGTATGACGAACGAAAATTTCTCGGTGAGCTATTCGCACGATAGTGATTTCGATTCGAAGATGTATTTATTTGGCCAACGAAACGATTTGATGGTGAGTTCATTGAACTATTATGTGTACCGGATAGAATTGAAGCCGATGACGACGAACGGGCATGACGCGCGGCCGATGATAAATCTGCTCGTTTATCATTCTATACAACGAACGTTGATTTCTTTTTGAAAACTTCACAAGAAACATTACTTTTTCTCGGCATGATTCGGTATCCGAAACACTGCTATGTTGAGATGTGGATTTTTGCCATGATGCAATGGAATCCTTGTCAGAATCATTCTCACTATCACCAGTCGAACCAATATGTCCAGCACGTTGCTGTTTACTAGTTGATAGAGCCGAAGTGCCAAGTATTGGTGTCGATGCTGGTGAACCTTCACGTGAATCTACGAAGCCTTTGTGAAATCCGCCAATTTTTGAATCGTCCATATTGAAGTTAATCGCTGCCAAGCCCATTTTATTCATCCATTTGGCCATTTCATCGCGCGTGGAACAATAGAAGTACTCACGATATTTACTTTTCTCGTCCGCAATACGAAAAGCACTAAAATACGAACAGGTTACATCTGTTAGCTGTAAGGAAGTAATGCATTTACTATTTTCTTCGTTCTGGTGCTGGCGAAACGTTTTTTCCTTCCAATTTGATTTCGATTTCTTGATTTTTATCCTAGACAAACAGAATCCAAGTCTTAGAATGCATTTTCCCGTTGTGTCCATCTTACATCTTTTGATTTGAATACATATAAAGTACCGCCTTTTAAAACGCACCAATAAACACGCCATGTAACCAGTGAAAGTGTTCCTTTCGGTGAATATCGATGTAGAAAACCTTCGCAATCACCTTTGCCCAAATCCTTGCAGGAGACTTTTCTGTACGATGCTAAATTATTGATTAGAGGAGTTAGAAAAATGTATTTCAACGAAAACAGATAGCTAATGTCGTGACCCAATATATAGTATGTGTGCATAGACTCGAGATAGTCCGAATAGAAGCAGAGAAAAAGAATCAATATGAACTACTCTCGGATATCTATTCTAAACATTTCTATTTTTAGTAGATTATAATGAAATTCTGGTCTAGTTTCATCAATGTTGATTTTTTCAATGTCACGATGTACTATTTTAATTAACAGCTAAATCAGTCTATCTTTAGCATGTTTAAGTGCAAAAATAATAATCGAGTTCCCAATAGATAGATGCATATTACCTTCTGGTATTCATTTACCAGTCAATAAATGCTAGAAACATGTTTCTCATATGAAATCCTCGGAAAATTTCGATTACTTACGTTTTCGTTTCGGACGACGTCGCTCCGTAGTTATAGAACTCTGAAAGAAAAGAAATTAGTTCCTCTCAGTCATCAGTCAGTAAATGTACAATACCTTTCGACTGTCACTATGGTTAACTGGTGGTTTATTGGCAACGATACCGTTAGTATTGTTGTTATTTCCAATGATCGAACCAATTTCCATTTTCAATTCATTTCGGAACCTAGAAAAGGTCAACATCGAATTGAAACCCTTGTTCTGATAGAAGGTAATAAAACATACGTTATATTCTTTCCACTATCGCTGCTGGCTCGTTTTTCCGTCGACTGAAAAAAGAACGAATATTCCATTCGATAGTCATGTACCCATAAAAATAGTTTACTTTGAAAATATTGGAAATATGTGAGAGGGTGGAAGGTGTATGCAAGCTACTTTGACTGTCACGTTTGTCTACACTTGTTGACAACGATGATGGCGAAGATGACGCAATCATTTGATCGTCTTGTAGTGAGGAGTTGGAATTGTTGGGTGAACTCTGTTTATAGGTAGAATTGATACGTTTCACAGTGACTAGTTGAGGTTGATCTTTTGTTGCATGCTCGTCAAGATCAGCAATGACAGACTTGGCATCTTGACGGGGACGGAATAACGTTGAAAAATAGGATTCAATACACTAAAAACAATTCAGAGACATGAGAAAATCTTTTCAAGACTCGAACGAACCATTTTTCTCGGACTTTTAGGCGTTACATTTGGCGATGAAGAAACTCCACCAGCAGATGGTGGTCGATCATTACCTAGAAGAGAGATGGTTCCTGGTAGAGTATTTAATGAGTGAACTTCGCTTCCTACTCTTTCGTTTCGAATTGATTTTAATTGGAGATGTCGGTGATAACATTGCAGTTGTCGATACGGATGAAGTTGACGACGATGGTTCAATATGATCAGAGATTTGACTAACATCATTTGGATTATTACTATCATCAATGGATTCGGTGAGGTCAGGTAACGATGAATGTTGATCGCGTTTGATTTGGGAAGAACGTTTACTTTGATAAAGAGTTTCATCATCACTTTCAACATTAATCTCCCTACAAGAACATCAACGAATAAGTTCTTGTTCAAGAAAATCAACGAACAAAACAAAACTTAGACAACATGAATGAGACAACATCTATGACTTCATCTACCTGATCTTCTTCTTGAACTCTATGTGTTAGTGATGGAAGTGTTAGAGAAGGGGAAGAAATTGTACGAAAGTCATACCCTTCTTGTTCTAATAATCTCGTTCGATTATCTTCAGTTTGTTTGATACGTTCTAAGACGCCACGGTTGCGTGTACGTCGAGGATTTGGAGTTAAATCAGCTAAACGTTTTGTATAGATTTCATCATCATTATGGCGAGGCATTTTCTTCACTAATAAACATATCTCATTCGGGCGTGATGATGAACGAAGTAGATCATTGAAATGCGCTGAGTCCCAACCGATCTTGACAAAAAAAGAGAAGAAAAGCTCGAAATACGATTCAAAATTACAGCACATACCACAACTTGATTATTGATTTCTATAATTTCATCTCCGATGTTAATTGCATTAAAACCAGAGCCCATATAGCTCATTGCCTGAAGTCAAATTCGATCTATATTTCATTTCCAATATCAATATTTCCTACTTCTGTCTCAATACTTGATATCACATGTGTAAAGTCTGGCATCGTTGTATATTCGATATTCTATAGAAAAGAGAATAGTGATAAGTTTTGATTTTTATCGAAGGTAGAAATTCTCATTGTACCACATCATCTTTAATTGGACGTCGTAAATTCACTCGTGTTAAATAGCAATCCGATGAAAATAATGAATCTTTATTTTGACGAACTAATGAAATTGCAGTTGTTCGTAATTCACTTATCTAAACATACGTCAAATGGTTTTCAATTTCATGCCAATCGGATAGTTACCTCAAGGATCAATTTTGATTTTGGCATATTGATCTGATCGACCAAACGTAAATTACGTATTAAAACACGTATTTGAACAAGTGCTTTGATAATTTTCCGTCTTAATTCGATATATTCAGCATTCTCGATAAACGGTAACCTAAATCATTTAAATACCAGTCAAAACCTTTGTTTTTCCCTTCAAATCTCATTCTCACCTTCCCAGCCAATGACAAGTCTCCACAATTGCATTTGATAGATTGCATACAGATGTGTAAAAATGTGGCGAATTGATCACATTACTATTATCATTTGACGTATCATCATGTTTCTTCAACTGATTATAGCATGTTGTTGCCGTACAATGTATTCGCATAAATAAAAGTGCCAACGTTTCGCTATGTAGACGATTAACCTAAAGAACAAAAAAGCGATCCAGCAAACATCTTCCCTTGCAATCAAATTTTACAAGAGTAAGTAGAAGATCGATAGATTGCATAAGAATAAGTTGTTGATCGAGTTTTGTAATCCCCATTCGAATGAGATCGTCACGAAGAAGAGTTCCTAATGAAGCACCATTGATACGCTCTCGAAGAAATGTCTCACTTATTTCCGGTTGAATCCCTGTTAGACCTAAAAGAGACCGAATGGTTCGTCGTTTTGCTCAATAACATATTTACCAGAAACCCATCGCGCTACTTCATTTGGCTCCCACCGAGCCACCATCGTCGCACGTTCACGAGTTAATTTAATCGAGCCACTATTATAATGCAATGACTGCATTCCGTTCTCAAATGCGTTTACAAAAAAAATATGCAAGATTTGATAACAATCTTTACTTTACATATTACTTAATCAAATAAATAAACAAATTCTTTTGACTGATAGAAGAAATATCTAATAGGAAAACAACCTGTCATAGAGTTTCACTGTGATTGGTATAGGAGAAAAGAAACATAAATATCCGATAGAGGGCACTAGTCATAATACATGTACGGTCGATGTATAAGAAAGTATTGTAAACTATTTTTATTCTGGTCAGCCAAACAACAACAAAAAATATGGAGAGTTCTTTGAATTCATGATTAGAATGTGAATAAAGCTCGAATAGATTCATCTTTGAGCCAAGCATCGACAAATTCCGAGACATTTATAACGCCGGATTTGTCTTCATCTAATTTTTCCACGATTGCACTAGCAGCTGGTTTCGGACCTTCGCTTAGAACGTCTTGTACATAAACACTTGATAATGACCGATGATAATCTTGCAAACATTTTAATATCCGAGCGAGTTCCTTTTGCGTCACATGATGATCGCCGTTTTTATCGATAATACGAAAGATGAAATCCGCTTTTTCAATTGGTGATTCGGATTGAAAAAATTTTATACTCATTAAATATTCTAAGAAGTCAATATATCCATCATTGTTCGTATCGATCGCCGAGAAGACGCAATCGGTTAAATATTTCGAATGTTTCTTCTTCGTCGGGGGTAAATATTCTCCCAACAAGATTTCCATTTGCGATTTCTTCAACCGACCATCATCAGTCACGGAGAAAAACTTCGTGTATTCATCGTGAATCTCTTGATCAGTAAAATTTGTAATTGTTCGACAATGAGCAAGAAGTTCGTCTGTTAATGTTTTGTAGAGTACACCTTGTTTGCGAAACAGATTTCCCATCGAGGTTATTCAGTGAGAGAGAGACGTCGACGTACCGCACACGTGATGACGCTTATTTTGCCTTCTGTGCGTATAGAGAACGTCAACGTATCGACATTTTCTTCTCTTTCTTTCTGCCTCCAAAATAGAGAAATGGCTTTAAATCACAGAAACACGAAATAAAAGAAGAATTCAACATGAATAGGCGACGTTTTGTTACACAGATAACAAATCAAATTGTTTCAAATGTATGCATGCGCGTAGATAGGACAAGATTGTAATATTAAAAAGCTCTACATTTTTGTCTTATCATCAGAATGTGCGCTTCCACGTTGCATATCAGTGAAAGTAGAGTTGACGAAGCAAACATTTCTTTAGTTTTTTATTTGAAGGTTATACTACATTGCTAGGAGAGGGTGTGGTGACCAAGAAATCATAAGCTATGCAATAAGACTCGATGAAAATAAGAGGATCCTTTTGTCTTTTCTGCATGCTGACAGTGAACAATGCAATAATGTTACTTTTCCGTTCTAGAAGGCACAGGAAAAGCTATGAATTTTCGAAATCGTTCATTTTTAATAGCACATGTTCAACGAACATTAGATTTTTATGATCAATCCGTTGATCCTAAAGGTGGTTTCTATCAATTCTATAAAGATGATGGCACCGTTTACGATCCTCATACTCGTCATTTAGTATCCTCAACACGTTTCGTTTATAACTATGCTATGGCTTATATACATTTCCGTAAAGATGATTACCTCGAACGTACACGGCACGGTGTGGATTATCTTCGTAAATTCCACCGTAATCCTCAAACTGGTGGCTATGCTTGGGTCATTTACGATGGAAAAGTTAGTGATGATACAAATCATTGCTATGGGCTAGCGTTCGTCATCTTAGCTTATGCATGTGCCTTACGTGCTGGTATTGAAGAAGCTCGAGAATGGATTCGTGAGACGTATGATGTGATGGAAGAACATTTTTGGTTGAAAGAATATGGAGTCTATGGAAGTGAAGCATTCGGTGATTGGAAATTGACAGACTATCGTGGTCAGAATGATAATATGCATGCTTGTGAAGCCATGTTAGCTGCATATGAAGCAACAAACGAGAAGTTCTACCTGGAACGAGCAAAAACTTTAGCTGAAAACATAACAGCTAGTTCCAAAGAATTACAGTATCAAGTCTTCGAGCATTTTAACCTCGATTGGAGTCCAAATTATGAGTATAACAAAGGTGTTCGAACAAATATATTTCGTCCATGGGGTATTCAAACTGGTCATCAAGCGGAATGGGCGAAACTTTTAATAATTCTTGATCGACATGATCCTCAACCCTGGCATGTCGAACGTGCGACTCGATTGTTCGATCGTGCAATGAAATACGGCTGGGATGAAGTCAATGGTGGTTTAGTATACGGCTACGATGTCGAAGGCAATCTATACGATGCTGATAAATACTTCTGGGTACAAGCAGAAAGTTTTGCTGCAGCTGCTCTACTTGCAGATAAGTTAAAAGATGATAAATACTGGCAATGGTATGATAAAATCTGGGAATACAGTTGGAAATACTTTGTTGATCATAAGTATGGTGCTTGGTATAGAATTCTAACACCAACAAACGAAAAATACTCCGACGAGAAGTCACCAGCAGGAAAAACAGATTATCATACGATGGGTGCTTGTTATGAAGTACTGAATGTTATTGGTGAACAATAAGCACGAATTGTATGCTTTTTTCTTCTTTCATAATTACTAGTTTTTAGTAGAATAAAAAGAGCATAATCGCTTGTTTCTTTATTTAAACTGTAAGAAATGCCTCGAAATGAACTAGATTAGAAAGTTTTTTTTTTCTACATGATCGAACTTTATTATTTGTATAGAATAACCGAGGGTTATTCGATGCTTTTGCACTGGAGGAAAACAAAAATGAAGATATAATAAATAGCAAAGAAAATGTCAAGAAAAAAATCTCTCGGTGCACCTGGTAATAACATTCAACATCATAACGTTCGATGATGTCGTCGACAAATAGCTCCTCTCCATCCAACATTGAAATCAAATATACGAAAATTTTCATCAATAATGAATGGCACAAAGCAGAAAGTGGAAAAACATTTTCAGTGATTAATCCAAGTACAGGTGAAGAGATTTGTCAAGTAGAAGAAGCCAATCGAGTAAGGATTGCAGTTTCATTGTTCGGTGGATTCATCGATGACGATTGGATGTGTTGATAGGTCGATGTTGATAAAGCAGTTGAAGCTGCGCGAAAAGCATTTGAGATCGATTCACCGTGGCGCAAATTGGAACCGTCTGCACGTGGAAGTTTGATGCGTCAATTTGCATCCTTTCTCCGACGAGATATTGATTATTTATCCGTAAGAGTGCCATTTCGATAAGTTTTACCATGAAAAGAACAGTGTTTTTCTTTAGAAATTAGAAACATTGAATAACGGTAAACCAGTTGAAGAGAGCATCGCTGATATCAATGTATCAGCTGATTGTATCGATTACTGTACGAATTTTTCTTGAGAAGAAAATGAATTCTAATCGGAATGATCTATAGATGCTGGATGGGTGGATAAAATAGTAGGCGAAACAATTCCGTTTAGTCACGACTCGTTTGTTTATACACGACATGAACCCGTCGGTATATGTGGACAAATTATTCCATGGTAACTATCTTGTGTAGTATCCGAATTAAATAACAATCGAAATTTTCTAGGAATTATCCAGTCTGTTGTTTTGTTTTCTCATAGTGTTGAAACATCTCGAGCTGTTTAGATTATGATGTTGGCTTGGAAATTAGGTCCTGCATTGGCATGTGGTATGTAAAGACAGTCGTTGCTTTTGTTTAATTAAGGCGTTTGGCTATTCTCCTGTAGGTAATGTGGTTATTCTGAAACCAGCCGAACAAACACCGCTGACTGCGCTTTATTGTGCTGCTTTGATCAAAGAAGTAATTGTCGATTACTCATGTCATCAAGATGAGTCTATTGATGGTGAATTTAGGCTGGATTTCCACCAGGAGTTGTGAATATTTTACCAGGTGATGGACCGGAGTGTGGCAACGCGATCGCCATTCATGAGCATATTGATAAGATCGCATTCACTGGATCAGTCGAGGTCAGTTCCCTAGAAGATAATTAGGAATGAAAAAAATATAGGATCGGATATTAAAAGATTGGTAAAAAAATTCAAATTGCTGCAGCTCAATCAAACCTCAAGCGTGTATCTCTTGAACTTGGTAAGTCGAACGACCTTGAAAAAACTTTGCTTTCAATCTCTAAATGTATAGGTGGTAAATCTCCATTGATCATCTGTGAAGATGTCGATCGTAAGTAAACAACAAACTTGAATGAAAGTGCTATATTGGCGAAATGAAAAATAGTTGATTTTGCTGTTAATATCGCTCATCGAGCAATCTTCAATAATGCTGCACAGAATTGTACAGCGGGTACACGTACATTCGTTCATGCGAAGATCTATGATGAATTTATCGCACGAAGTGTGGCACTAACTAAAAAACGTGTAATTGGCGATCCATTTGATTCCAATACAAAACAAGGTCCACAGGTAGCATGACTTGTTTTTTACTTACGTCAAAGACGTTTTCTTGTCATGTTTGTGAAGATCAATGAAAGTCAATTCAACAAGATTTTGGATTACATCGAATCTGGAAAGAAGGATGGAGCTAAATTAGAATGCGGCGGAACACGCGTTGGCACTAAAGGTTACTTTATACAACCAACAATTTTCAGTGATGTGGAAGATCAAATGCAAATTGCTCGCGAAGAAGTCAATATTCCTTAAATCCATAAACAGATCTCGATTGTTATATTCTGTGTAGATTTTTGGTCCAGTAATGTCGATCTTGAAATTCGATGATTACGATGAAGTACTCACACGTGCAAATGATACATCGTTTGGATTAGGTGCTGGCGTGATTACTAAAGATCGTAATTGATATGAATACACATTTTTATCCATCACATCTTTCTTGCTGTTTAGTAACACGTGCTTTGTCATTTGCACAACGACTACAATCAGGTTCAGTCTGGATTAATGACTACGATGTTATTTGCAATCAAGCACCATTCGGTGGTTTTAAACAATCGGGCCACGGACGAGAACTAGGCCGATATGGGCTAGAACAATACTACGAAGTGAAAACGGTAGTGATCAAACTGGTTTGAAAGCGAACTGTAGTACTAGTTTGCAGTTTATAATGGGATCGCTTAGTTGTATTGAAATAATGAGAAAATAAGTATGAATGATTTAGTTGTTTTCCTTACAAGCTTCTCTTCAGATTTGTTTTTTCATTGAAAAAAAAATCGTATCAAATAAACATCAACACTGCAAAATAGAAAAGAAAGAGAAAATAATAATAATATTCATAATCATAACAAACCGAAACAGAGAAAGCATACATATGTATAGAAAACGGACGGATTTAGTGTATAAATTCTGCTTCTTTTTTGTTTTCTTGGAAGAAAAGCCGACAAAAATACAGCGAATGCGTACACAGCCAAAGAATAATTCGGAAAACAAAATATAGAAAAAGAAAATCTACACGTAGCGAAAAGTTGTAAGAAGAAAATGCAAATAATGTTCTAATCTAGCTGAATTTCACACACACATACACACATATATATATAGTATATGTATATATCTCGCGAGGGTGCCGAAAAAAATACAGGTGAAATTTCAGAAGGTCTCAATCGTGTTGCATATAAGTCTGCGTATGTGTATTCAAAGAATAAGAACAATAATATAATAATAAAAAAAAACACTTTGTTATTATTAGAAGAGTGTAAAAATCCAGAGAAGAAAACAAAAATAATAACATGATTTGCTTTTTAGCAAAAAGAGAGAAAACAACCGAACAAAAAGCTTTGTCACAGAATTCACTGCTGCTGTTGCTGTTGGGAGGTAGAAGAGTAGTCTCCATCAGTGGAATGGTCTTGTTGCATGAGTGCTAAGCGCTCCTGAATTGCTTCGGATTGATGTTGTTGTCGTCGATCAAATAAATGATGTTTACCTTGAGTGTCAATAAACATCTGTCCATCGGTGCAATCAGCTCGAAGAATCATCGCACTATTGTCACTAAATGTCACACGATAGGTACCTTTCAACAATGAATTGATCGATTTTATTGCTAAGGTAGTTGTCGGCATTGATCCTGGATTATTAGTGGTTATAATAGTTCCACCACTTGTATTGGAATTCAACGATGTTGAGGATGTGTAATGATGATTGATGTTTGTTACAGGCAGTGTTGCTTGCCGTGTCGAGATGCTCTCGGACATGTAGGATGGCGAAGTGATCTGTTGAGGATGAACGGAAAGTTGACGAGATGGTGCTGAAGCTTGTGGAGTGTAGGAAACTTGATGATGATTGTGATGATGATGATAACCAGCTGTACGTAATGTTGACGATGAAGTTGAGTGATGAACATTACTATTGGCAATACTTGCAGATGACGACATTGGACTTGCAGTCGTAGAAAGCGAGTTTTTGGCTCCTCGAACATCAGTGTCAGATGCAAATATACGTCGATTAGATGTCATTGATAATGGCGTACCAGCGGATGTCGATGGTGCAATACACAACTCATTCACGGTGGATGAGGAACCACCAAACTGTTGAGAAAGAGAACGACCAATTGAGCAAGCAGAACCTATGGTTCGAAAGAAGATACGTACTAAATACAAAGATGTTGAGGGCTAGGATGATCTTACCTGGTCTATTGTTATCAGGCTGTTGAGCATGTTTTTTTCCAAACTGAACGGGAAATGTTTGAATGGACGGAAATTGTCGTTGGTTTTCTTCCAAAATTTGATCTTTTGATAAACAAAAGGAGTAAAACTAATGCAAAGAAAGCATAGAAAGTATTTCTCTTTGAAAAGTATAGGTGCTATTTCACATACTGTAATTGCATTATCAAGCATTTGTCGAATTTCTGGACTGAAATGTTCGACTGCTGAAATGTTTGGAGTGGCAACACGATCGAAATCCAACGACGATTCAGATTTATCAATGTTATTAATAATTTTGATTTTTAACGGATCATCGTATTTGAAATTTTCTCGGTAAATAGAGATTTTAACTCCACAGAGAAATACAGCTTCAAAGTCCACGCCAGTTTCCATAAGAGAACATTTCGCTTCGGGTGTGTATAGAATAACCTTAGGCATTCGTGAGCGAACCAATGTAACAAATCTGCAAGAGAGATTAAAAGTAAGAATAAGAAATCTAATGTAGGAATAAATTACTTGTGTGCATAGAGATATTTTTTCCAGTATTCCGATGGTAACTGACTGAATTCATATTCCTGATAAGCATTTTTATCGCGTGGTATTGGCGGAGGATGATCACCGATCGGCGAACCATGACGACTGTTCGGTGTGTAAGTAATAATACGTAGACCATCGCCTGATACACGAAATACGTCGACAATACGTCGTTTGGTGCCTTTGGTTCTCATTGTTTCGAGTACAACTTCGCCATTTTCCATAATACTCATCTAAATTATACTTTGAGAAAGAACTTGAATTCATTACGTGAAGTACTTACAATAAATGATTTTGTTGCTTGACGAAGTATTTTTAATCGTTGAGTATTCAATGGTTGAAGTTTCTCACGAATCTGTTCTGCATTTGAATCAAGATTCGATGGGGCTTGTTGTGGATGATGCTGTTGTTGCTGTTGTAAGAGACGCTGAATTGTATTCGATGATGATAACGATGGCAACCCGTTACGCACTAAAGACATAGTCATTAGAAAATAAAATGAACGGAAAGGGATGGAAACAAGTACTCACTGTTATTGGTATGAGATGCTTTGAAACTTGGTTCAGATTTTCCACTAAAATCACGTGAGGATTTGGGATCAGATCGGGCGAGACCACTATCACGAGATAAGACAGATGATGTTGCACTATCAGGACGTGGATCATTGACATTATGTGATCCACTACTAAGCCAATCATTCAGATTTGAATGAATATTAAAAGATGGACTAAAACCAATGAAGGATGAGACGAAATGTTTCCTCACAAAACCAAACAATTACCTTTGTCGTGCATGAATAGGTTGCTGTTGAGCTGGTGTAGATGTTAAGACAGGATAGGCAAAAGCTTCATGTGGAGTCTTTGAGCGTGTGCTACTATTCGTATAGATTGGTGCAGCATGATGAGACGGCGCTGGAGAAGAGACAGGATCGGATCTAAACAGAAATCAATTGCAAAAACGCGCACGCTAGATCTTCAATCAACTGACGAATATTGATGAGCAGCATAAGTTCCATTGGTCGCCAATGTACTGTTCAATACAGATCGCTGTCGTCCCATCGATACTCCTAGTCCACTGTCGACAGATGCATTCGGACCCAGCTATGATAGAAGATATTTCATTATCGAAAAGTTCCAAACGATTTCAACTTACAGACGATATCTTCTGATAACTATTTGATTCGTTATACGAATGAGATGAACGTGAATGTTCTTTGGTGAAAAATGGATGATCTCGAATTTCTAAAAATCAAATCTTCAAACTTGAGTTCTTCAAAGCATGACTCAACTAACCTTTGAGTGTCGGACGTTCTTCAGGCTTTTTTCGTAGTATACTATTGACAAGATCTTGAGCTTCTTCACTGAATGTCGTTGGTAGTTCATATTTTTCTTGTGTTACTTTACATAAGGTCTCTTGAACAGCTTGAAAAAAGAAAAAGCAAAAGTATTCAAATGATTTTAGACGAATAAGTACATACTGTCGGTATAGAACGGTGGTCGCCCTGTTAATAACGTCGCCATAAGGATTCCAAACGACCAGACATCCGTTTCAAAACTATGAGGATGTCGACTAGCTATTTCACTGAAAGAAAATGAAGAAATAAAAGAACTCTCAGCGAAAAGATTTGTTTATTCACTTACGGTGATATGTAATTCGGCGTTCCACACATGGTTTCATTCGTTTGTTCACGTGTCAATGGTAATTTTTTCGCCAAACCAAAGTCAGCAATTTTCTATCGAAACCTTTCTTTCATTTCCATCAATTTTCTTTTTTATAACTTACAACGTCGAATGTATCAGTCAAAAGTATATTGGATAATTTGATATCTCGATGTAGAATTCCATGACTATGTAAATAGAACATACCATCCACGACTTGTTTACAAATATTTCGCGCTAAAGAAGTCAGTTGAAGAATAGTTGTGTTCAAACAATTCATTCGTACTTTCATGTTCGCTCAAGGTTTTCTTCTCTTGAAGATAATGTTCAAGATCACCATTAGAACATAATTCGAGAATTAAATACACATATTTATCATCACAAAAACAATTGAGCAATTCGACGATGTTCGGATGTTTCACTTGATGATGGATACTGATTTCCGCATTCAATCGATCGAGCATGGTTGTTGAACGTGAGTTTGGTAAAGGGTGACGATGAGCTGGATACGATGGAATATGATGACTATTATCTTGTTCGAGTTTTTTCCTATCGATCTGGAAGAGAAAGCATTTCGCTCGATCGATTTTCCTCTCTCGACACAGCAAAGTCGGATCTTACCATCTTGCAGGCAACAAGAAGATCATCTGCTTTCCGTCGTGCAGCATGTACAGTGGCGAAGCCACCTCTCCCAAGTATGTGAGATACTTCATAGTGCTAAAAGAACCACATTCATTTGATTAAGCATTCTATTCAATCGTGTTCATTCGTGAAGGAAAATGATTTCCTTTCGAGTCTTTTTCTCTCTTCAATTTCTATGTTCTGCGAAAAGTGATTCGGGCCATCAAGCAGAAGAGATTAGATGATGAATGAATTGACGTTTTCTTGGCGTGTGAATCACAGTCGATAAGTTTAGTTTATGAAGATAATAGAACGTGAAAACTTATATGAACAAGAAACTTAATAAGGCTTTCTGATCAATTCTAATTGTCGACTACCGAGGTCAACTTGTCACATGAATCAAAAAAGTTTCCTGATCGAACTTGATCATTTCGATCTGAACACAAAACATGCTGTACAACTATAGCCTTGAAATCTCATCCGACGTTCAACAGGTACATGAATCCTTCGTCTACAAATACGATTTAAAGTATGTCACTCCATAACCTTGAACATAGTTTTTGTTAAAATAACGAAATTTTCAAGTAACTCTTTGTATCTGCAAATCGGGCCTTTCTCTTTCTTGTTTTTCTCCAATTGCTTATGCAATTAATGTCTCGTATTAACAAGATTTATTACTTGTGATGACGGTCCATTTTAATTGAATTTCCTCTCCTCCTCCCCCTCCTCCTCTTCTTCTTCTATTTGTTACTTAATATAAGAAATTTGCATTGTATACCGTGTAACTTTTGAATAATTGATACTCGACAAACCACACGGCATGCATGCACAGTGTGTAAGAAGAGATGAGAATTCTTTCACTGCTTCAAAGTTTAAGAACAGAGGAGAAAAAGAGAAATCTCACGTCCTGATAATAATTATTGCTTTATATACATGTAAGCGCACATACACACACACATATGCATTGACCATTGAAATCTGATCGTTAAATGAAGAACAAGTCATAAAAAAAAGAGCTGCGTTGTACGATTGGTCTTTTCTTTTTCTTTTGTTCTGTATGATCGATGTAGTCACGCCAACAATTTAGTTAGCTTATTCGTGCGTGCTCAATCTTGAACGAAACCTTCTTTCTCATTTTCCAAAGAAGAATTTTTACGTCATCTCATCAACTAGTTACATCTGTATGTATGCGCGAACAGTAAGAAGACCTGAATGTGTAGATCGAAATCGAAAAAGGAGAAATTTCGTTTCTCCGCTTAGTGATGGCCACTTGAATGGAGTGTGGATGAAAAGAAGGAGAAAGTAAAACCGCCATCGCCAATACCATTACCACATCATTACGTATATAAACACAAATATCTCGAATTTCGTTTACACATATGCTCGCCTCTTCAACCCGAAAGTTCACACTTCTTTTGTTTCTTTGGAGAGTAAAGCGATTATCGTACAGGGTACATATATTCAGGGCACAAGATTGAGTGATAAAAACTACGATTTGAAAAAAGTAAAAGAACGTCAACTTACACTGATCTTTTCGTCATGGGAAAACATGGGCACAATGCCAGGACGCATCTTCTTGCTTGTCTATCAAAAAGAACCTACACACATCCAATCGACTAGATGTCTGTGTGTATGATGAAAAGAATTCACATGAATCTAGAAGAGAACAATATGACTAGATACCTGTAAATAGTCTTCGCATCTGAAAATGTCTGAAGTAAAAATCAGTCGAAACACAATGCCAGTAAAATCCAATGAGAGAAGAAAAAAACGAGCAGAGTAACGGATAAAAAGAATGAAGAAAACGAGAGAGAGAGGGAGAGAGGGAGAAAGAAGGAGATGAAGTTCTTCTCATGCAATCAATGTGTACGAGCCAGTAGTAGAGAATTGTAAGACAAAGAAATACAAAAAAAACACCGATAAGGAGAAGAAGAAGAATTTATGAATACGAACTTCACTATGGTAACAGACTCGATTGTTCATGAAAACAAATGAAAATCTTCCATACCATCTCATTCAAATTAATCAAGCAAAATCTTCCCAGATACAATTAGATCTTTATTTGAAAATTCTAAATCGAATTCGACAGTTTTTTTTTCATTCGATAGAGGGCGGTAACCGCTAGTTTAGCCACAAATCCCAACCTTGACCGATTTTCTTATACTCGCAGAAAAAGAACGTTTCCTCAATCTCTTTTATTACTTAAAAAAATACTCACAACTATGTATAAAGATAATCTTTTGACATTCTTGCCTGACTTTCTTCAATTACGATGCATTACTTTCTAAATTTCATTTTCACGGAAATCTTTCTCTCAATCTAAATAATCAATATGTGAAAATAGTGGGAAAATCTTGCGCGTCACGGCATATCCCATCAAAATAAGACCAATTAGTTAGAAGTAGTAGAAAATAGTTTGAAGAGAACTAGAAGAAAAGTACTTTCATTTTAAATGCAAAAAATAAGTTGACGTATGTCCTTCGAGATTGCATATCATCAGAAATGTTTATGATCATGAAGAATTCTATACGATGTCCATAAAATCAAGTTATTTTTGATAACGAAATATACGTTGAAAGAGAAAGTATTCTTACTAGAATATTTCATCATCTAGTCTTGCTTGTGACTTAGAGAAAAAGCTTTTTAGTACAAGGACAGACACTTATTTCAAGTTGTTTGCTATGCGCGAAATGAAACAAATTTCTTTAGTTAATTTCGCTCTACTTTCGCATTACAACAAAACGATTCTTTTTGTTTTCTAATCCAGACACTAAGCATTTATTCTCCGCTCGCGTCCCTTCTCTTTTCATCATCAAATACTAATGTTTCAAATTGCTCATCCTAAGATGACATCATACAATCAAATAAACTTGCTCAGATGTATTTATATTATACACACATATATATATCTATTTATGATTGATGAGTATGATTATATTTTTGTCATACTGTATGAATATCAGGTCATGTAATCATAATAAACACGATACAACTTTTTTTTTTGTTTCAAAGATATACAAAAATAGAGAAAGAAAAACAACGGGTCGAATATTACGTCAGACTCGAGAGATAAACATTGTTATGAGGATGAGCGAAGAATAATGAAGAGAAGATCCACTGTTATATCGCTGTTCATGTTTTCTTGATTTTTGTACCTCGTCATTGTCATTTACATTAACATTCCAGATAATGGCTGGTCGACGATGGTAGAACGGTATTCGATCTTTCCAATAGCGTGTTGTTGTTATTCGTCGTGTTGTTGTGATTAGAACAGGTTCTTCCACAGTTGACGTTCCATCGATTTCCTCATCTGTATACAAATCATGATCACCATAATCATAGTAAGTATTTTTCGTATCTTCGCTGGACTTCTCAGCTTCGTCATCTATTAAAATTGCTAAGGTTGTTGTTTGTCTCGTGGTGGTGGTGGTGGTCGTAGTAGTAGTGGTGGAAACAGTAGTAGTCGTAGTCGTTGTAGTCGATGATTTTGTTGTTTGATCTGTAGAATCTTCATATGCATAATCCGAATAGTCGAATTCATTATCATTCGGATAATCATCGAGATCATTCGCTGATAGCGAATCATTAAATTTCTGTGAGATGAAATTCAGTTTTTCATTGTTGACTACAGTTGAAATTGTCGTGGGATTGATATGAAGTGCTGGAAAGTAAAACAAAATTCTTGTAAATTTTAATAACGAAAAATAAACTTCTTCTGAACGTGAAGACTCATTCAATTGAACACATCTCTCTTTTTGCATTTTCATAATACGAATCCATCTAACCTATCTTTATGGTTTCAATGTCTATTGAAGTTGAAGAAGGCATAGAAGTTCACATTAAAAGCATTTAATAAGACACATACAATTGATCAATTCAGATTAAAGCACTCAAACTAAGTTGCAATTATGTATGGTGAACTGGTCACCATAACTCGCGGAAAAGAATGTCTGTGTATGTGAACGTACCTGACGTAGTTCGACGGGGATTTCCAATTAGAAGCGATTTCTCTCTCATCTCTTTCAATATTCGCTGAAGTTTCAGATTCAATGGTTGATCATATTGGACCCGAACAGACGATCTAGAATTAGTTATAATGAACCATCTTTTCAATAAAAGATTTTCTCATTACCTTCCATCCGATGAAATCGAACTTCCTGTCCAACACGCACTTCCATCCGATGCAGAAATACCTGTTGATTTACAGATTTGTTCTGGAAATTTCATCCAAAACGATCGATAGATACGCAATGATCGACTCATATGAATCAATTGTCGATCTAACAACGATAGTGACAAGGTTTTACTATATTCATCATCAGATTTTTGATCGATAGAAAGTGTTTGTCGTCGCACACGTATATGTCCACATTGTTCGATGATCTAGTTAGATACACATATAATTACCATCAACCTTTGTCCTATCCGTCAATATACATACGTCCTTGTTTTGTACTCCGCCTGAATTGAAAAATGTCATCACAGCATCTGATATTGATAGGCCAATAGATGATAAAACTTTCTCGATATTATTAAAATAATCAACATTCTCAATCGCATCTAGAACGAAATCAAAACATAAACATCCTATGTTTCGAATGTTCAATACAAAGTTTACCAATAAAATTTTGCCAAACATTGTCGATGAAGGTCAAATTTACAAGACAACTTTCAATGATATTCATACAATTCGTTAAACATGGTAATTCATTTCGATTATGACAAAGATTACAATAGGATAGTTGCATATACGAATCAATGCAATGATAATCCGTTGTGACACTCTAGAAGAAAAAACAAGTCAATGTGTGAAAATAACACTTTGAACAGCGATTTATTGTTTTCTGTTCTTTAAGCAAATGTTGATATTTATTCTTTTGAGAAATTCGTTCTATTAAAAGTGTGAATATTCAGATAATAGGTGAACTGTGTTCTATACGGACAATTGGTTACATCATAAAAACCGTTCATACTGATTACATGCTTGACTAGTACTTCAATAAGCATATATATTCTCACGCAGCTTTCTCATTCAAACACGTACCGTTGATAGAACTTGAACAAGTTCATGACTTAACTTGAACAGATCACTTAATTGAAATAATTTGCCGAGATTGTTCTCTAATTGTTTTTCTAAGAGATTTGGATGATTAGCAAACGGTTGATTCCTCCATAGACACGAGAAATATGTTGGTGAGATTTGTTTGTTATCGTTCAATGTTAATGAAATGTGAAGAATGTTTCGAAATAAATCGTCGACATACGTGTGAAGGTCTTGAGAATATGTTCGAGATGTTAAAGTTAAAAGTTGATTAAAAAACCTATCAATCGAATGTTGATAAGATCGATAGAGCGCATTATAACCACGTCGTAGAACTAGATGAGTTTCATTGCGAGAAAAATTGATCAATGCAATGAATGTATCTAAGATGAAGAAATAGAAGTGTTTTCTTTTCGTTTTCGAAATTCAGAAGATAACAAACTATTCAAGTCTTTGGTTAAACGAAGTAATGGTTCGTAGAGATTAATTGTGGACAATTCGAATAGACGATAAAGTTCAAGTGCAGTTGCATTTTGTAGACGATCTTCGTAGATTTGTGGACAGCAATGATTGGAATTGAGATTTTGACATAAACGAATAGCAGGTTGGTTGGTAATTTGAAGATTAAGGGAATTATGATGATTATATTTAGTCAACTTATTATTCAAATAAAAACATTGGGTTTCTTGACTTATAATTGAGTTTATTAACAAACAAAGAAGCAATAAATAATAAAACATAGTTATATCAATTCATATGTGTGTTCGTTTCGACAATTGTTTGCCGTTAGGAGCAACAATTTGTCTTTCTCTCTCTTCTTCTCGTTCGTATTTGTTATTGCGAGAAAATGATATTCATCGCCGACCGAGCGTATACGACCGGACGAACGGACTAGTGGCTTCTCTTTCTCTCTCTTTTTCTCTGTATATTATGTATTACGCTGCGTGCACTGCTGCCAACTGTTTTTTCTTTCTTTTGAAGAGAAGAGAAAATGCAACACTTCTCTCTTCTCGCTCTCTCCCCCCCTCTTTCGTTTGCCTTTTCTTCTTTTTGTTTCGATATACTGAGACAATCGTTTTACACTCAGACAGGTTAAGTTTGTCAATGAATACGAAATAAAGAAATAGCTTGTGACGGTGTATAATGACGAACGGTGAACAAGCTGTGAAATACTCTTATAGAACATATCAAGAGTTAATAATTATAAGACCTTTTCACCTGCTAATATTTTAATCTAGTAAATAGGGATCAGATCCAATGAGATGTGAAAACGATAATCGTATTTCATCGGTACAGTTTTCGATGTGAAAGCGCTCGCAATCATCGATAAGTTATCTATTGCTTGAGGTGTAGATTTTTTTCATCTTTTTATCATGTATTGACACGTCAGCGATTTCATTTTTTATGTACGAGAGATATTGAACTCATAACTTGTCAATAGTATAGATTAGATCGCACGCGCTCATACGTATACTTTGATATTCAATTGCTTTGAAATTGCTAATATTCTATACTAAAAATGTAATGATAGAAAGTCGAATAGACAGACTCGACTATTATGTCATTGAACGAGTAAATGATCAGAAGTAATCTAATGTTTGTATACATCTCGTTAACTTGCAGTCATGTACAAGAATCATTCGTCTAACGCGACAAATAGATGTTGCCATATCAGCACATTTGGAAGGTCTTGTAACAAATCTATTCTTCTGGTCGGCATTGAGTAACAACGTCATCGCATCGTTGCAAACGATAAAATCAGATGTAGCTGGTTAATTGAACTAGAACTGATAGATATTCATCAAGGATTTGTTTCCTCTAATGACTGCGTTCGGTATATCAAAGAAAGCGTTTTCCCATTATTGTGTTCAATGGGGAATGTCTATTACATTATACACCTGTTGCAAATGCAACGCGCAGATAAAAAGGCAACAACAACAACTGACTCATTGATGGCCATGAGAGAGCTAATTATTCCTATATTGTTTTGTTATCATGAATAAAAGGTATTATTTAGTCATTTAATAAATATTTTTGAATCGTTGAAATGCAGCACGCTCCAGTGCTTCGCGATGATTCGGATGTGCAATGTTTATCAATGCTTTCGCACGCTGTTGACAGTTCTTACCAAACAAGTTCGCCACACCATACTCTGTCACCACATAGTGAACATGTGCACGAGTTGTTGTCACACTTGCACCTTCCTTCAACTATTCGAAAACAAATGTACACTCAGTTCTTTCTCTCTCTCGCTATACTTACTGTGTTGACGATGCGTGAGATCCCCTTGGTCGTTTGTGATGGTAGAACAAGAATAGGTTTGCCTTGAGGACTGAGAGCAGCACCACGCATGAAGTCTATCTGTCCGCCAACACCCGAATAGTGTGCTGTGCCAAGCGATTCGGCACAAACCTGACCGGTGAGATCGATCTCGAGTGCAGAGTTGATAGAACACATCTTTGGATTGTTTCTGATTTGTGCTGGATCGTTGGTGATTCCCACATCTATCAGAAGAACGTTCGGATTGTCATCAACGAAATCATAAAGTTTTCTTGTTCCCATGATAAAGGTAGCTGTTGTTCTTCCAGGATGGAATTTCTTGTATCGATTGGTGACTACACCTTTTTGAATAAGAGAGACGATACCATCAGATATCATTTCAGAAGCAATGCTTAGATCTTTGTGATCTTCGAGACTCTTGAGCACGCAGTCAGGAACAGTACCAACTCCCATTTGCACTATGATCAAGAAACGAAGCTTTCAGGTTATTGTAACTAATGCGCGTCACTTACGTGTACTTCCATCCTCAATGAGCTCAGCGACTCGTTGTCCAATCTGCCTTTCGACATCAGTAATATCCCGTGAATAATCTACTTCGAAGAGTGGTTCATCATATTCAACATACGCATCGATGTCATTGATGTGAACGAATGTATCGCCGTGTACTCGTGGCATGTTTTTATTAATCTGTGCAATGATGTGTTTTGCGTTTCGTACTGCGGCTCCTGTAGCTTCAATTGAGATGCCGAGCGAACAGTAGCCATGTCGATCAGGAGGTGAAACTTGAATGAGAGCAGCATCGAGTGGGAGAATGTTTTCGTCGAAGAGACGAGGCATTTCACTAAGAAATGTTGGTATATATGAGGCAGCTCCACTGGCAATGGCAGGTCGAACATATGCCGACGCAAAGAGAGAATTGAGAAAGAAGCTGTCTTTCATTTTTACATCAGTAAAAGTGTTATCAAGTGGAAGAATGCCCATCACCTCCACACGTTTCAGTTCACTAGCACGCTTAGCGAGTAAGCGATTGAGATGCTGTGGCGTTGCAGCACATCCTGAAATTCAAACAAAACGGTATACAACCTATAACGACACTAAGATACTGACATCTACTTTCATAATACATTCGTACATTGGTACAAGATAGAATGATAAGGAATAGATTGGAATGTATGCAAAATTTAGTGTCATGTTCGAAAGGAATATATCAGATTCAACATGATCTACAGAATATTAATGTTCCTATTTTACTGATGGTCGTCAATAGAAACATGAGTTTGCACGAGAATAAACATGAGATAGGAAAACCTATGCGGATTTATTTGATTTAACTCACCATGAACAAAGATTCGTGAGCCAGATTTGATTAGTGATAGACCCTGATCAATAAGCATTCGAGCCATGCTGGTATCACTCTACCTCACATAAAATATCAAATGCTTGTTGTTTTTTTACCGGTTCTGTCTGTATATATACATTTTTTATCACATATTTTTCGCTCTTTCGTTCTATGGCGTTCTATATCAACAATAGAAACATCAAGAGAAATCAGTCATGCTTTTCTCCAATCACGTATTCTACACATAGAAATATTTTAAAATCGTTCGACCTGGTTCTGTTCTATACTAAATAGTGAAATGATTCTGGATTGATAATTTAGTAAAACGACGTTGTTTTGAAACATTACTGAGAAGTGGTTGGTTTGACCTTCGCCGCCTGCCATGTACCGAGGCATAGGTATTTTCATCGGTGCTTACAATATATTCAATTAGAAATTAAAGCGAAAGGTGCCGTACTATGTAACACAATTCATTCCTGACATTAACTGGTTTTTCAGCAAACGACGGATTTATGGGAACAGATGAAACTGAATCAGGTCACCTCATCCTAGGTTCATGTACCGACGTTTAGAATCTTCTACTTATCTTTGCGGCAGTTTGGTGTTTCTATTTTTAACCAAAATAGCCTATGACGTAGTTAAGTATGATAAAAATAAGCCAACAGGCAATTCAAAAAACAAAAACTTCAAAAAGTATGTCATATAGCAAATAATTATGAGTATTTACAAGTTTGGTCAGCATCCATTTAGTCATTTAATAAATATTTTTGAATCGTTGAAATGCAGCACGCTCCAGTGCTTCGCGATGATTCGGATGTGCAATGTTTATCAATGCTTTCGCACGCTGTTGACAGTTCTTACCAAACAAGTTCGCCACACCATACTCTGTCACCACATAGTGAACATGTGCACGAGTTGTTGTCACACTTGCACCTCCCTTCAACTATCCGAAAACAAATGTACACTCAGTTCTTTCTCTCTCTCGCTATACTTACTGTGTTGACGATGCGTGAGATCCCCTTGGTCGTTTGTGATGGTAGAACCAGAATAGGTTTGCCTTGAGGACTGAGTGCAGCACCACGCATGAAGTCTATCTGCCCGCCAACACCCGAATAGTGTGCTGTGCCAAGCGATTCGGCACAAACCTGACCGGTGAGATCGATCTCGAGTGCAGAGTTGATAGAACACATCTTTGGATTGTTTCTAATTTGTGCTGGATCGTTGGTGATTCCCACATCTATCAGAAGAACGTTCGGATTGTCATCAGCGAAATTGTACAATTGCTTCGTTCCTAAGAGGAAAGTAGCCGTTGTTCTTCCAGGATGGAATTTCTTGTATCGATTGGTGACTACACCTTTTTGAATAAGAGAGACGATACCATCAGATATCATTTCAGAAGCAATGCTTAGATCTTTGTGATCTTCGAGACTCTTGAGTACACAATCAGGAACAGTACCAATTCCCATTTGCACTGAAACTATGAGAATAAATATTGAACTAGAAATGCCACTGATTACTTACGGGTACTTCCATCCTCAATGAGCTCAGCGACTCGTTGTCCAATCTGCCTTTCAACATCAGTAATCTCCGATGAGCTGTCTAATTCTACGAGTGGTTCATCATATTCAACATATGCATCGATGTCATTGATGTGAACGAATGTATCGCCGTGCACTCGCGGCACGCACCGATTGATTTGAGCGAATATCTTCTTTGCATTTCTTAGTGCTGCTCGTGTGATTTCAACCGAGATGCCGAGCGAACAGTATCCATGTCGATCGGGAGGTGAAACTTGAATGAGAGCAGCATCGAGTGGGAGAATGTTTTCGTCGAAGAGACGAGGCATTTCACTAAGAAATATCGGTATGTATGAGGCAGTGCCATTGGCAATAGCAGGTCGATGAAAAGGGGAAGCAAAGAGAGAATTGAAAAAGAAACTATCTTTCAATTTTGGATCCATAAAGGTATTATCGATCGATAACGCTGAAATAAGTTCTACGCGCTTGAGTTCACTAGCGCGATTAGTGAGAAGACGACTGAGATATTTTGGCGAGCTACCACAACCTATGAAGGACAAGATTGAAGATAGATAATGGAGAGTATTGTGATTCAATCAAAGTAGTACAAGATCGGCTTGCTTACCATGCACGAAAACACGTGAAGCTGATTTTATAGATGATAGTGCATGATTAATAAGTGTCTTTGGCATCACTTCTTTTTGTCTAGTTGCAATGACCGCAACTTGCTGATGTGTATGGAATTAAATGTGTAAGACTCGATGCCGATATAGTTTAAAAAAGTACTTTTTTACTTTGCACCTGTCTATTTTCTCTTGTGTCTTTATCTTTCGTAGATACCGTTTACATCTGGCCTAGATATGCAATTAAAACTATCATATTTCGATCCTTCATTGCAGAAGATTTAAACTTGATAATAATACAGCATTGTGTCTTAGTTTGAATGGATATATAACGTTTCCCTAAGTGTCATGTAAACGTTTCAATCCTATTGACACTTCTGCAATGATGAAATTCATATCACGCTATAAAATTTCCACATGATATCTGTCAGACTAGTCGCACTAGATTATTTTCGTCTGAGTCTTTAATCTGACTCTAATACACTTTTCTTTTAACTTGAAGCTAATAGGCAGACAGTGACGTTCATCGTATGTAATGAAAATTAATCCGACACATCGATATGACGTAAAACAGATCTATGATAATTGCTTAATCACAATATTTATTTGCATTTTTTGGTATCAAAAGAAGAGAATCGACAGTGACGGTTATATACATCTTGAAAAACTCTTATTTTCAGTTTCCCTTCTATTATACGATCAGGGTAAGACCTCGTATTGCATTGGCAGCGATATTGAACGTTGATCACTGGAAGTGTTCGTCGAAAGGTATGCAGTTGATTGATCCAATGATGGGTAATAAGCTGCTGTCATGTCGTTAAACATATCTATGAAAGATCGAAGAGTCAATCATCATGTTAATGAACATCCACTTTAACTCACTTGGTGAAATCGTGTGTAAGATGTGATCCGGATCGATTACAGGATAGGAACTATTAACCATCAAATCGCGATATTCTGTTCCCATCATTGCTGCTGTAAAAAGTCATGTGAAAAAACTCCGTGTGTCATTAACAGTGTTCCTACCAGCTCGATTCGATTGGTCAACCATTGGTTGTACAATTCGTCGTCGAGCGTTGATAAACCTTTTCAACAAACAAAACTAAGTGAATCTTCAAAATAGAAATGTAAAATGATTGATGAATTCAAACAACAAAACCTTTCACCATCAATTTCGATGTTGATGAGTTGATGACAACTTAATTGCAGGTTTACTTTTCTGTTTCTCATTATGACACATTCTCCGAACAAATGTATATGAACGAAATCGAGGAAGAGGAAGGTAGAACAGCTGTAGCTTATCACGCGATCAACATACCAGTTATTAACTTGAATGATGTTAAGATTCGTCTCTTGTGCGAGAAACTGTTTTTCTTCTTCCGATGGATATGGATGCTGAAATGAAGAGAAATTGATGATAAATAGTTTCGTGTAACGGTCAATCTTACATTTAAATGTTGAAATAACCAAGTCCGCATCAGTGAAGTAGCTGATTTTGGAAATATGCCTCGTTTCTTTTGACGAAATGGTACTCGTACTGGTTGATTGTAGGTATCTCGCTCGAAATTTTCACTACTTTCAGACAGTGAACGAAATGGTTTGATATCTTCTTTGATTCTTAAATGCTCTGCTTCTTCTTCTTCTTCTTCGTCATCGTCGTCTTCTTCTTCCTCGTCTGATTTATAATCCTCCGAAGGAAAATCTCTATGAACAAAAGTACAGCAAATAGAGCATTCGATTGAAATTGTTTCTTACAAACGCATTTTATCTTTTAACAAGTCAATGTATCTTTGACAGAAATTGTCACACAACTCATGCACTTTGTCTATTTCCAGTAGATGAAATCGTAAAACCTGAATGACTTGTATAATCTAAAAGTGATGTGTAAGACTCATCATCAAAAGTTGCTCGACTTACGAAATCGTCGATTTCATCATTTGATACATAATGTCGGAAATGTTCTTTGTTTAGCTAACAGTAAGAAGATTAATCAAATCGTATTGAATTCTGATCAATATCTCATACCTGTTTGATAAATTCAATGATATCTTTATTGAATGAATCGAGTGCATAAGGAGCAACAGTTGCTAATTCACATTTATGAAAAACGATTGTTAATAGTGGAAAAAGTGGATGACTGAAAATGGAAAAATTTCTTTTCAAAGATCATCGTTTTTGACTGTATCTTACTTTAAAATGAGTTCTTTCGTTGAATTCATGTTATGTACATTAAATTGAAAAGTCAAATACTCATCGATCGTGATCGTATTGTCAATCAAGAGGTAGGAGAAGAACAGAGAAAAGTTGTTCGTGATTGGTGGAAAGCTTTCCTTCTCTCTCTCTTTCCTGCTGTGTAGCATCTCTCTTTTCAAATTGTTGAGATACATGTTGTTGACAAGAATCAATTAATCGAATGATCATGAAGTTGAAACAAGTGGAATCGAACATTTATTGACAGTTAATTACTTTTCACTTTCGTTACCATAGAATTTCATTTTCAAAAGATGAAAACCAGTCCGAGTATTCATTCACATTCATTTATCAATGCACAACGGCAGAATCGTCGTCGTCGTTATTCGATGAGTTCACCGCAAATATTCGAATCGCGAGCAGACACTACTCTTCATCATTCTGATGCTCTTTCAAAGAAAGTCTCACGTGGAAAGTTTTCGAAAATCTATTCGATATCATCGAATTCTAATCTATTGTTTCCATCGAATGAGACTAATTCAGAAAAGTATGATATTTTGTCAAAGCTGAACACTGGAGCATATGGTTCGAGTTATTTAATTCGAGATTCGAACGATGGACAAATATATCTGCTCAAACGGATTGATGATTCCTTACCCGATCGATTTCGACAACGTCTATTGGAAGAAAGACGATTATTAGGTTGTCTAAAATCGACTTATATTCTTGCTCTAATTTCGGCTTATACGGATACGCAACATCATTGTTTTTCGATGAAATTCGAATATATTCATGGAATAACATTATTACAACTGTTAAGACGCTTTCGTTGGTTTGAAGAGTCAGTTGTAGCCTTCTACAGTGCACAAATTGTACTCGCATTTGAGTATTTCCACGAACTAAATCTTATTTATGTAAGCATTCGAACGTGGCGAAGACGAACTTCATATAACTATTTCTTTGAATTCAGCGAAATCTCAAATTAGAAACTATTCTTCTGACAGATCATGGTTATATCAAGCTAAGTGATTTTGCATTCGCAAGATTGTTACCATCCAATACAAGTTCAACTCGTTCCATCGTCGGTGTACCTGATCTAATGCCACCGGAAATGCTTTTAGGTCAACCGTACTCGTTCTCTGTTGACTGGTGGCAATTAGGCATTGTTATGTTTGAAATGTTAACATCATATTCACCATTTTACGCTTCGTCGATGATACAAACACACGAAAATGTTCTTTGCAATCGTCGCGCTAAATTTCCATTACGACTCAGTAGTTCAGTCAAATCTACTTGTCGGTTGTTGCTCCAACCTAATGTAAAGAAACGACTGGGTTGTTCGATCATAGGTATGGACGCAAAGGAAGTGAAGCAAAATCTCTGGTTTCAGAATCATATCAATTGGACGTCGATCATCGAACAATCGTACCCATCNATGATACAAACACACGAAAATGTTCTTTGCAATCGTCGCGCTAAATTTCCATTACGACTCAGTAGTTCAGTCAAATCTACTTGTCGGTTGTTGCTCCAACCTAATGTAAAGAAACGACTGGGTTGTTCGATCATAGGTATGGACGCAAAGGAAGTGAAGCAAAATCTCTGGTTTCAGAATCATATCAATTGGACGTCGATCATCGAACAATCGTACCCATCACCATATAAAATTTCCGATTTGTTGACGAACTCCAAACAAACAACGTCGTCTATGTTGAACTCAATCGAATCGAAATGGCTAGACGAATACGATCAAGCGGTTCGATCATTAACGAAAATCAGTTTCGAAGATGACTAGTTCAGCCGACTGTTATTACTAAGAAAAAAAAAAGCAAAGATCGATTTTATCCATAATTGTCAACACGATCATCAATAACACAATTAGTACATTGCAAAGGGACAACATCTCCTTTCATCAGATGCAAAACAATTGATTGATTAGTTAATAAATACATAAAGACATTTATTTATACTTTGGAATCGAGGGTATCTCGTCGAATGTTTCAATGACCATTCTTTTCAATCATCATACACTTTCTCTAGGTGCATTAGGGAAGCACCTGGAACGAACACGTGATTGATTGCTATAGATGCAAAAGGAACGGATGATTCATTGAATTGGTTCGTCGAGTGATGTAATGACGGCGTCGGAGTTCTTTCTTTCTTTCTTTTTAATTTTCTCTCAACACAAACGTTTAGTGACTAATGCATTTGATAACTGTTCTTCTTGCCAAACAGTGCGACTATTTTCAGCCAACTACGAAAAAGAAATTCTTCGATCGCTATTACTGTTGACTATTTCTATCAGCGTACTTTATAGACTCGGCCACCCCTACGACGATATTTTATCTGTTCTTCGATGCACATAGAGAAAATTTTTTGTTTTCTTTTACTCTTTCGTCTAGTGTTGACTCGTCGGCAATGCATAGGCTGTTCTTACTAGCTCAGCTATACTTTTCTACTTTCTAAAATAAAGAAAAGAGAAAAATCTAGAAAAACGAGAGCGACTGACAGCGGATATAAAGTCGAACAGGGGGTTTGCATTTCATTTCTCTTTTACAATCATACTTCGATGTGTGTATACCTCTTTCTTATCTATCTATCACCACGTACTGTACTTCTAGATTTATACTTATTCTTTCGACTTTTTAATTCAAATATTTCAACATGGGAAACAATTCATCCAGCAAAGTTGATCCGTAAGTAGAAACGACTCGATTTTGTTGACAATAATTAAGGCTGCATTTGTAGAACAATCCTTACACCAAAAGCCATTCAAATGCTCAAAGCAAACACAAACTTCACCGAAGAACAAATCCGTGAATGGCATGCTGGTTTCTTACGTGATTGGTAAGTCTCAATCAGTCGAGATTTTCCTTCTACGTCTTCTGTTATTCTCTAGCCCAAATGGTAAATTATCCAAAGACCGATTTGTCGCCGTCTACGAACAATTCTATCCAGGAGGCAAAGCTAAAGATTTCTGTAAATACGCTTTCGCTACATTCGATCGTGATAACAATGGAACAAGTACATCGAATCCCCGATTTATTCAACAGTATCATCGAATTTCTTGTCCTTTTCAGTTGATTTCACCGAATTCATGCTCGCTATTGCTTTGACACAATCAGGTGATCTTGATGAACGTCTTGCATTAGCCTTCGACATGTACGACTACAACAACACTGGAACAAGTAAATAGAAAATTTGACTTAAGAACGAATTTGACAATGAATATTGTTTTTCAGTTGACACCAACGAAATGGCCAAAGTTATTGCCGCTATGTACGATCTTATCGGTGAAACTGATCGCAAAGGTAGAAGAAAATTAATTATTGCGTTGTTTTTTTTTTCTATAACGAAATGCAAATATTTAGGTGATCGCGATCCAAAACACCGCGCCGAAGAAATTATCCGCATCTGTGATGTAACTGGAAACAAAAAATTAACNNNGAATATTGTTTTTCAGTTGACACCAACGAAATGGCCAAAGTTATTGCCGCTATGTACGATCTTATCGGTGAAACTGATCGCAAAGGTAGAAGAAAATTAATTATTGCGTTGTTTTTTTTTTCTATAACGAAATGCAAATATTTAGGTGATCGCGATCCAAAACACCGCGCCGAAGAAATTATCCGCATCTGTGATGTAACTGGAAACAAAAAATTAACCAAAGAAGAAGTAAATAGTCTTACCAAAATATTTCAAATGAAATCTTAAATTTCTTCGTTATAGTTCGTCGCCGGTTGCAAAAACGATCCAGTCATTCGTCGTTTACTCGTTCCAAACGCTTAAATCTAGTCAAACTCAATTTGAACATTATGCGCTAGATTCCATTGTGTTGTGATCCTCATCGTAGACACTCTGTTTTATCTGTAGATGCGCGTTATTTCATTTTAATTTTTTTCTTTTTCTTATGTATGTGTTCATTTAAACAACCAAGCATGTGGAATTTTTCATTCTTCATCTGCTAAATAAATGTGCGAAAAGCACAAAAAAACGTTTTATTCATTAACCTCCGCGTACAAAGAATAAAGAGAAAGAGGAAAAAAACACAAGCCTTTGTGTACTCCTCAGATGTTATTACAATGAAGCTCTAAATAGAGTGCAGAAAGAATCGTGATCCATTTGAGGGCGAAAGAGAAAAACAAAACGCAACTGTGTGACGTTTGAAAGATTTCTGAGTCTTTATTTTTGTTAAACAAAACAATTCAAATATGATTTCGAGTATTTTTGCCCTTTTCCAGGATAATACTCGATCAAAACACACCTATATGCATGATCGTGTATCGGATAACCTCATTTGATCTATTACCTACAGTAAAAGGGAAAAAAGTAAAAATACATTTGACTGCAAGCTTTCTTTGATATTACTGTTTGTCAATTAATCATACGAATAGCGCCCTTGCCCGTAGACAGTATGGATGATCAACAAGTGCAAATATGATGAACGATTCAGAAATAGAATCTGATTATTAGTTGTGCTGACTCAGGAATACATGGAAATGCGAGATAAACCGAAGTTCAACGATATCCACCTACTAAGTCAAATCATATTATGATTTAGATGCTGTACGCACAACGTTCTATTTTTACTCTGCAGTTTGTCAATCGTCATAAAAAGAAATCAGCATTTTTGCTGGCAACATGTTCATATAATTGGTCTCGACAGATTTGTAGGAGTAATGATTGATAGTTCTTTGTCAATGCATCGCATGAATATGTTTTTTCATTAACTAAAAACATGACGAGAAATTTTCAATGATTCCGATTTTGTGCAGCGACTAATCAAGACATATCGCTTGTTAACTCGAAAAAGAATCATGTTAATACTTTCATGATCAGAATTCATATCACATAACAGATGTTCATCCTTGCTTACCTTGTTCTAATTTTCTATAGTAGATATGTTCTTTTCTATCTGTAACATCAATATTGAAATATCTCGATATCTAAACCAGCTCCTAGTTTAAGTAAGCGTAGAAAATGTAGTTATATTATATTCGATTCTCAGTTTTTACACAATTTCGGGTCGTAAACTTATAAAGAAATGATTTACAATGTCCTTTACGAACAAACTGATATCTACGGTTGCCAAGCAAAATTATAAACTGACTTGCCCCCGAATATCTGTCAAGATCCGCAATAGGTACGCACGTGAAAGTGAACGATGAATTTCAGGAAGATTTTGACAAGCAGGATATTGATTAGGAACAAAAAAGAGAACATTTCTTATGCTAATTGCTACCGACAAAGCAATCTTATAAGTAAAAACAGAAATAATTAAAACATAAAAAGAACTTCTCTTACGTCAGAGTAAAGTAAAAATCTATGGAATTGTCACAATAAAAGTTCGATAATATGTTATTTTTCTTGGCAACGTCTCTGATGAACATTTATTCTTGATATATATATACAAGACAATTAGCAAGTTAGCAATAAACAGATGTTTGCGACAGTTGAAAACAATCAGTAGATCTGCTACGATGAATTCAACCGAAGCTCATTTGTTTATAGCTACATATAACCAATTACGAAAGGCGACGGTCCATAAAATCATCTGAAGTTTCGTATTTCAAACAAGTTATACAGAATGTTAACTAAAAATAATTCAGATCCGGACACAATAGCATAGTTCAAATATTAGATGACATTCTTCTGAAGACTAGCTGATTTCTCGAGACTTATTGGATATCGTCTTAACACGAACATTGCTTTTTTGTCAGAAATACTCAATCGAATAAGTTTTGTTTTTATGAATAAGTGTAGGACCGGATAGTTTAGTTGACAATGACATTTACGAGCAAGATATTCAGCATCACATTATGATCAATAGTGTTGTAGGACATCACGTCCCAGTGAATTTGTCAGTAAAAAAACTCCAGATGGGATAATTATTTGTATATGTGTGTGCGTAGAACGGAAATAGGAATCTTGTAACAAGTTACTGGAAAAAGATTCAATCCTAACATATAGATTTCCTTTATTTTCAAAAGTACCCTCCTCCGTGGTAATTTCTTCTCGATTTCATCATATAAAACCAGCGTCGAATAGCGCGATTGTTCTTCATATCGTCAGTTAACATCTTCAGGTAAGTTCTTCTTAGATGAAACAAAGTAAATTACAAGTTAGATGAAATCTTTCAAGGACATAGATTGAACGTTGGCTCACTTGACGGGTTTTGTTTTTTTCCTTTTAGATTAGTTCTATCTGTTCAATCACAATATCATCCATCTTTACAGCAATGAAACAAACTATAATCTTTACTTTTTGTTTACTAATATTCCTTGTTCAATTTCATCAACAAAAGGCTGCTCCGACATTCATCTCACCATACAGAGGAGATTTCCAAGATGATTTGTCAGTATTGCCCCAACAGCTCAACACACACGGTAGTAAATTATTGAAATCTCACTCAGATCGCTTTTATAAACATTTGATGAACACACTGTTGCTGCACGAACGACAACGACGATTTGGAAACACCAAATACGGTCGAAGTGTATCCAAGGACTAACTAGAAACTCATTCATTGCTTTTTTTTAACGTATGTCATGTTATTATTCGAGTAACATCTATAATGACATGATAATAAAAGAAAAAAAAACGAACAAGAAAACAGTCAATCTTCAATGTTTCCAGCAAGTTTTTGTTCTGTCATCGCTTATGTATGTTTGTGTGTCGTACAAGTCGTTTGTAATGAAATTTCTGTTGATATGTATAGCGGTGCAGGTGTCTTGTGATGAAATACTGGATGGATGCAGAATTTTATGAAATTTTTCTTCAAGAAAAATAAAATTGACAAACTGGCATACGTGTCTGATGTACCGGTAACATAATCAAAACTGATTTGGCACTTTAATTGTAATTTAACGGAAGTATTTATGAACGACATCCCAAGGAAAAACGACTAGAGTGTTTGAATAGGATATTCAAAGGAGGCGTGTAGATTTCACTCGGACAAATTTGGCCTGGTTTCTATTTATACTTCTATTTAGAAAAAATTACATGTCAGTTTTTGATTCGTAACGTGTTCAAAAACAGAAGTAGCACTGTTTCAGTGTTTCCAAGAATATTCTCGAAATATACATGAAAATGAAAGAAATCATGGATAGTATGAGATGAGGTTGGGTATGATCATATATTTCTGTTGTGGGAAGCCTAATGAAGGTCGACCAATGACTAAAATGGCATAAATTGTACGGAATCGGTTGAAAAAAATGTTCTACCTGAGCTTTCAATATAGCATCAGTAAGTTGTTGTCGACCTTGACAATCAATTTTGTTGTATCCAAGATGTAAAACACCCAACGTCTATATAGAATAGTAACTCGAAGAAAAGAGCACGTGAAAGATATGTTAATTACTTGATTATAGTTCAGCATATTCGCGAAAGCTTCTGCTCCTTGATTGTCAATTTGATTCCATCCGAGATGAAGTTCAATCAACGTCTGACAAAAAAAGAAACGAAAGAAGACTTAAGGTTATATCGAATATATTCCTTTTCAATTTGCACCTTGTTTCGAATTAAAGCATCTGCAAAGTACTGTGCTCCAATCGAATCGATCCGATTCAATCGAAGATTCAATATAGTCAAAGCCTAAACGATACATTGTAGATATTCTATCGATCACAAAAGTCAAATCTTACGTCGTTATGGTACAATGCATTTGCTAAGTACTTCACTCCGTTAGAATCGATTTTGTTCTCTGATAGAATCAGCGTCGTCAAACTCTATACAAACAATATTAGGTAACCATTAAAATATTGAAATCTCACCTGATTTTGCTCGAGCATATCTGCCAAAGATTGCGCACCTTCATTATCGATGTTATTATTGGAAAGAACAAGTCGTATCAGTGTCTAATTCATTCGATAAGCAGAAATATTCGCAAAAGAACATGTCTTACTGTATTATTTCGGAGAGCATCTGAAACATATTCTACACCCTGATTTCCAATGTTATTGATTTCGAGATATAACTCTGTCAGTATCTAAAAACAAAAGTTCATTCGGATAACAACGAACTATGTCAGGAGAGATATTTGTCCGTACATGATTGGCACGTAATGCATTTGCAATGTAGAACACACCGTCACAACCAATACTATTCCATCCGAGATCAAGTTTTTTGAGTGTCTGAAATTTATAACAAACTTCAGTTTAAATTGATTAAAATGATGTCGAATACTTTATTTTTGTTTAAAAGATCCGCAATATATTGAGCACCTTCACTTCGAATCAAATTATTCGATAAAATCAAGCTTATTAATACCTGTAAAACATCAAACCGAAGTCAATTACGTTCTAGTATACGATCTTCTCACCGTGTTCTTCTGCAATGCATTGCTTAGACAAGATGTTTTCCGGTCATCGATTTTCTTACAACGAAGATGCAGTTCTTTTAACGTCTAAACAAATACTCAAACTCGTCTCGGATCTAATTAATAGAACACTTGTTTTACACGATTGTTTTCCAGTCCACGGATCAGATCATGAAGACTTCGTTCATCAAATTTGTCATGCGTAAAATCCAACTTTGTACATGTCTAAAGAAGAAAAACAAGTTGTATTGTATTCAATTGAAATCAACCGTCGTTCTCACTTTAAATCTATGGTAATCGTCAATGATGCCGTTGAGTCTTGTACATATATTACGAAATGAGATTAAAATTGTTGGTATATCTAGATTGTCCAGAATACGATAAATGACTTCGACTGGCAAAGTCGCGAGCGACAGATTTTGCCTATTAAATGTCGATGGTCGCGCTATGGAAATGTTAAAGTTTTTCATTACCATGCTTTACATTATATTTTTCGGATTTTGTCGCCAATATTTACTCAAACTTTTTGCTAAAATGTGAATGACTGTATTTGTTTATTTATGTTAAACATCTACCTTTAGATTACAGTCAATGATTGCAACTGGGTTTGTTCTTTTACCACGTACAGTGGCGAAACGCTCTATTCCGTCGAGTTTACAAACAGAAGGGTAAGAAATGTGTTTTTCTTTTCTTTTCCTTTCCTTCTTTCCTACATGGGCATGATTTTCAATGCAAACAGACTGAATAAAACTGTTACAGGTCAAAATTCTTCTATATTTGATGATATGACATGAATCTTCCTCCGTCTAACTAGGTTACTTTTTATTGTTTCATGTTATACAGCATACTGCACAGATTAAATAATCGAATAACGACAATCTATGAGCCTACGCATTGATTTGTATCATAAAACTTGTCAACCGTCGAAGACCTTGACTATTGAAAAAATAACAATCAAAACATTGAGATTGTATGATACATAGTTCTCTTTACTGGATATCAATCAATGACACGAAAATATTTGGCTTTTATTATCAACAAAATGTTACTTTCACGCGCACTATACAAATCACAGAATTTCTTGGTCTATTTATTCAATTGTAAAACTTTTTGTATCGCTGTCTCAAGTCGAGCGATGTCACTAGGATTAGAGTTTGCTCCAAGTGTCTTAAGATTGCCTTCAATGGTTTTAACCACTTTCAAAAATTGTTTCGAATACGCTTCCATCATCAATTCACCAGCTTCATCAAGAAACACTCGTAGGAGAAGTATCGTAAGGTTCGGTCGTGGTGGAAGATTTAAAACATCCGAAAGCCATCGCCACCCGAATGATAAATCTTTATCGAAAGGAGGAATCTTCTTGGCAGCTAATTTCCAAAATAATCGAATCAATCCGCTCATTCGACTTAGAAATTCAGTTTCAGTTTCTAAACGTGCTGACCCGTTTTCCATTTTTTCTGTATAACCCATTGCTCTAAAAAAAACCAACAAAATCAGATACAAATCGACTCGTTGTCAATCAGAGTATACTTCAAGTATTCTGCATCATTCGTCGTCGATAGTGGTTTTGGATACAATGGCACCGTATACGGACATTTCTTGTGTAAACCATCGAGAAATATAGTTCGAAATTCTTTATGTTGCGGATGACGACTTATGTGATCGATTAAAGGTAGCAGAATTCGAGCTTTCACATCGTTCAAATCACCGCCGAGTAATTGACTAAGAATCAATTCGGTAAGACGTTTGTAACATAAGAAACGCTCTAGAAGTAATCGATTAGGAGAGAATTTTTCGGAAATTCCGTTCTTACCTGCATCATTTTTTATAGAAATATTTTGGCTGCTTACAGAATAATTCTGACCGTTTAGATACTTGAATAAGTCTTCTTCTAATTTATTAAATGTATCTTCACGAAGTTTATTTAGAATATCTCTAGCCGGCTGAGCTAACTGCCTCTCACGTTCTTTTGGTATAGACTCATATTGAGCTTCATATTGTTTAACTTCGACTAAGATTGCTTCGTATGCGTCAAGTGTTGATGGTTTAATACAATCGGAAGCAGTGACGGGCGAGAGATACGCTTTTTTCATAGGTGATGCTTGTTTTGTAGAGATGACAGTCGATACTTGTGAAGGAACTATTGGAATAGTCAATGGTAGTTGAGGTGATGTAGACACTACTGTAGGTAATGGCTATAATTGACAAGAACAAAATTTCACGATTACTTCCACGAAATGATCTTACCACATTCGATGAAGTTATTGGTGCTGGTTGTGAAACATCAACTGATGGTTGATCGTCATCATCATTGCACACCTCTTCCTCTTCCTCCTCCTCCTCCTCCTCTTCTTCGTCTTGACGAAATTGATTAATATACTCTTCCAAATCAACCCTTGTTTTTCTTCGGATATCGTTTGTATCGCTGAGACTCTGTTGCTCGAGAATATAAAAAAATCGAACTAAATTATTTGAAAAAGATGTTTTTCTTGGAACGAACATGGATTTGCTTACGCAATTCATTAGCTGGCCCGATGCTGGTCTTTGAAGATTCACTACAAAATCAAAATTTCAGTTTCGTCAATTAAGAATTAGCTTTCGTACAAATTTCGACGAATATTTTCAGCTGCTTCTTTGACTTTTGCTTCGTTTTCTTCATATCTGCGAATGATTTGTTCATTTCGTCTCTATTGTTACAAAATGCTCATATCGTTTGATCAGAACTCATTCTCTTACATATAATTCCCGTTTATTTTCCTGGATTTCATCCATCTTTATCTAAAATAAAATGTAAAATGCACCAAAAATGATCGTATTTTAAAAAAAATTCAAATGTAATCAAAAAAAGAATATTAAAAATCTTAAAGTTCATCGGCACGTTTTGTTCCATCAGCTGTCGCGTTCGGTTTTTGTTCAGCCAAACGAAATATTGCATGATTATCAAGAATTTCTACACTTGGTCGTCCAGTTATAAATGAATTGTAACACATAGCACGAGCAAGAACCTCAATCGGTGTTGTAATCCATTCCGGAGCGATACGCTGCACGGTATGTTTTATAATCGATCGTGCAATACCTTCAAATAAACGATGCTCAGTTCGATCGACCATCAGCATACTAAAATAGACTCTTTATGCAAAGATTTATGTTAAATACAAGATTACTTACGCTGGTCGATAGATTGACAAACGTAGAAACCCCATTTTCGATAGAGCTGCTTCGGACTGACCCTGAAAATACTTGTTCAATGAATATTTGACTCTCTCGTATGACAAAATCAACGCACTTTCACTTGAGGATAGAGCAAATACGAATTCTCGTTAGCACCTTGACTAGATACAAGATGAAAATGTTCACATCCTTCCTGCTTAGCAAGACGAGCCGCACCGACGACATAATCATAATCAACCCGACGAAATCCTTCCTACATACACAAAACTACCTTCAAAGTCAACCAATCAATCCTACTCACAGCTCCAGCTTTACCACGTGTTGTTCCAAGGCAGCAAAAGTGAACATCAGCTCCGCGAAATGCTTCAGCGTACTCATCGATCTTATCAAAATCAATTTCACGTTGTTCCTATAGTATCACGAATAGTCTTCGTAATTGCATTGTCATTGCATCAGATTTTACCGTTTTCTGCTTGTATCCATCTTCGGTAAAATCTACCTTTCGGCGGCCGACAAGGATGATCTTTTTGAACTCAGTGTTTTGAACTAGTTCTTTCACCAGAGCTTTGCCTGATTCACCGGTGTATCCTGTCACCAACGCAGTTTTTCCAGTCGACATCTTAAAATTGAATAATAAAAGGGAAAAGAAACATAACAGTTATTTCAAAATCTACTCGATCACATTCATCTATTCTTATTTACATTCATTTGTTTACCAAAACATGCGTCATAATTGATTAAGAGAACAATAAGATATAATAACCACATGAGAACTAAGAAAAACGTCCTTTTCAAAAGCTAACTCGAAGTAATTGTACTTAAGCGAACTATTAATATTCGTTTAAATGTATTATCCAATGGTAAAACAATATGTCGCTAAATGTTCGATGATATCATCTTGTGGTTTGCGTTACTATCGATGTCTTTCGATTGTGCTCAGTAGCGACAATAGACGAAATATAAAATCATAAGTCCCACATGTTTTTCCTTTCTTTCAGAACAAAAAAAAGAACAGAACAGTTTCGGATTGAAACAATCGCCTTCGATATTTGATCGGCTCTTCATCAGTATGAATTTTTCTCTAATCTGTCGATAATATTTCAAGCATGTTTATTTTACAATTAGATTTTCAACTATCTGAAACGTTCGAAATACAAATAAGTATGTATATTATCCTCTTGGATCCGACTTAACATATTCACGAGAGATATGTTCGGAATTTTGAAATGTATAAAAGTTTTTCGAGTAAGATGATTGTTATATAGGTCAATTGGATAATTTTTGTGTCACAAAGTGCTTCTAAATAGAAAACAGGCGAGAGTGATGTATGATAATCAGTCGTGTGTAAACGCTCGCTGTTTTTGATTATTCCCAACATCATTATTCATGTTGTTTTGCGGTTTTTCTCTTCTACCGATCATATGCACGATCAGTTTCGAAACAAATCATGATATGTCGAAATATCTTGATTAGTTTTCGAGATATTATGTGTTTCAATCAGTTAGAAGTATATTGACATGATTCTGATGAAATTTAATTCTTGAACTGATTCATCATTCGTTGTGATTAATATATATATCGATGTAATAGCAATATTTTTTTGCTTGCACAGTGTCTAATGACCCGTGTCATCTCGTGGACAAATTATTATTTATATTCCAAAGCGATGCATAGGTGTTCTTTGCTCTTCACTTCTCTTGATTTAGTCGAGCGTTTGTTTTCATATTATCTGACTAGCGAAAGGAAACTACCTTAGACAAACGGGTAAGTTGTATTAACTGGCAAGTATCGCTATTGTTCTTGTTATTGTGCTTTTCATTTCTCATTCGACTTGTAATTTTGAGAAATAAATATATTTCGAATAACAAAGGAAAGGCGTTGTTGCATCCTTTACCTTCGATTCTCTTGATTGATTTTAATGACGTCCTTGCGTCTTCTCTTGCACCGTCATCATCTTCGCTGTTCTGTTTTAGATGATACATACACGCGTTGTCGTCACCCAATAAACGACGAGAAACACGTAGTCAAGTGAGAATACGAGAAAGAATCATTATCATTAACATATACACATACATAGCAAACGATCGATTCAGGTAAAGATACGCGAAGCGTGCGATAGAATGAGCAGAATACGAAAAAAACGCGCCGGAGAAAAAATACGCGAAGAGGAAAAAAATCTACATATACACTCTTGGTTTAATCGTTGTATTATCCTACAATTCACATGTGAAGTACAATAGTATCATTTGTATAGGTATTTGCTCGTCGATTAATTATTCTTCCTTGGATGTTCGATAACATATCATCAATTGCTCGTGTTTTATCGTTTTGGTGATATTTCCTTCATCATGGTTAGTTGGTAAGTACTCGGAAAGATTAATTTATATTTGTATCTCGAATAATCATGTTGTTTTTTTTTCTTTCTCTCTTGTCTTATCGTAGTGAACCATTTCAATCCTATAAAGTACCATTGAAAACGAATGGACAATCGATTATTGAGCATAATCTTGTCACAATCTATTTGAATCTGGAATGGTCGGAGAATAATAATGAAAATCCCAATTTGATTATTCATATTATCGATAAAAGTAAATATCAAATGAATAAGTTAAACAGATCTTTCCATATCTTACATAATTATTTAGAAACATCACCAAAACCATGTAAAAATGAATCATCAATGTCATATTTTCAACAAAATCAATCATCATTACTTGTCAATTCTATTCATCATCATCACCACCACCATCAACAGCAACAACAACAGCAGCAGCAGCAGCAGCAGCAGCAGCAACAACAGCAACAACAACAACAACAACAACAACAACAACAAAGTTTTGGCTCTTCGTACCAGCAACCACCACAACAACAACAGCAATACTATCACCAATCATCTGTGCCAAATAATGAACCACCGACAACAACAACGACGTTAGGAACAGCCGGTGATCATAATGATGTTTCATCGACTACTACAACCGTTGTTTTCAGTGCTCTACCCGCTCAACCACTTCGTCCACCATCGTCCGTATCTCATACACCGATCCATCAAATAAAAAACGAAGTAAAAACCCAACTATCACCTATCTATCGACGTCAGCAAACGCCAACATCCCCATCGGCATGCTCATCAACGAATCAATCCTATTTATCATCCCAACATGTCATCCAAACCCCATCATCCGATATGGAGACGCAATCAAATCTACAAATGGCGCCGTTATCAAAAAGTATCAGGTACATATTAGTAATTTCGCCCTGGGAATAGTACATTGATAGTGTCTCGCAGGAGTAAAAAAAAACAACCCTTTAGATCAGCTTGAATTAGATTGCGATAGCCCAACGTGATTTATTATCGTTTGTTAGCATATTTCCTACAAGGACTATACTTTGTTTTGATCATGGTGATATCTTTATTTTAAATTAATCTACTAATAACAACTTTATTTTTGTCATCGATGAAAAATCAGCAGAGAAAAAGGTAGATCTTATCGTCATGTCTCATATATTAATTAAGTGAAAAATATTCTCTTTTGATGATAAACATCTTCTAATTAACTTTTTATTATATTTTCACTCGGAGAAAATATTCGTTTACCTGTACAAAAATTGCATAACATCATTGCCATTAAACGAAATTCATCCGTTTAAACTCATTCGTTGTTTAGTTCAACATCGTTAACGAATCTTCCAGCTAAGCCGACATTGATTCATCCAAATGATTTGCAACAAACTTCGTCGATCCCTGCTTATCCATTGTCAAGCTCGTCAGCGTCCTCGACAGTCAAGGCTTTCGTATGTACTTGTTCAAAATCACATCTTGTCCATGAACAATCTTGTCCAACATTGACATTAATCAAACAGCAATCGAATGCCGCCGCACTGGCATCTCAAACTATTATATGCCGGCCACCGATCAATCGAACGATCGCTCAACGTGCTGCCGTGGCCTCACAAATTCGTACAAATCGTTCGATTTCAATGACACCTATTAAAGAACAAGGTCAAACACTATCAACAACATTGCTACCATTCGCAATTCCAAATATGAAAACATCTGATTCGCCGCCAAATATTACAACAATTGTATCTCAACAACAACAACAACAATCAAGGTAGAGAGAAAGAAAATGTAATCATGTTTGACTGAATTGATTGTTTAGTTTTCCAACAATTAAAAAATCAATCAATCGGCAACGAAGTATTGGTGTAGTAAATAATCGACAACGGAAAAGACGTATTATTAAGCAATTAAGTGTTCCAAATGCGATCAATCACGATCAAACATCGTTTTATAATCAAATTAATTTAAGTATGGCTGAATTTAACTGTAAATATACAGAAAAAGAAAACATGAGATTGTCATTCTTTAGATGAAATGAAACAACAACAGCAACAGCAACAACCATCATCAGCATTTTTAATAAAAGAAGAACGTTTGCCATCACCTAATCCAACAACGAAGTCGCCGTCAATAAAATTAGTATCACCTTATTCGATTCAAACGACGATAAGTAATTCTGATATTGATCAAACGATAGAAGAAGTTATTAACGGTAAAGGAGATATATCGATTAACGAATCGTCACATCTACAAACAAAAGTACATCCTCCTCCTCCTCCTCCACCGCCGCCACCGCCTTCTCAACTACAGCAGACGCCGCAGCCGTCCTCCCAACTCGTCTGGGTACAAAATGGAACAGTAACAACGAAAACATGGTTATCACCTTTGTATCAAAAGCAACAAGCGCAACAATCGGATTATGATTCGATTGGATCGACGTTAACTCATCAGGATGTGGTGAACATCGCGCAACAGGTTGTCTTTCCTACGAATAATGAACAAAATCAAATGAACACAGTATTGCAACCAACGTTAACGAATAATAGTAAAAAAAGAAATCGATCAAAATCGACTACGAATGTGACTCTAAAGCGTAATCGCAATCGTAAACCGCTTCTTAATCGTCCTCAATCAGCTGCGATTATATCTCAGCAGGAAATCGGCAAATCAACAACCTCATCGCCTATCACTCCGACACTGAATCTAATCAATAAACCAGTTACATGGTCTAATATCCCAGCAACCTCAGGTTTTGTTACAACGACAACGACTCTTCCTCTGCCTCCCCCTCCGACTGCTACTAACAATCCTTCATTGTTAACTTCGCATCAGCATTTATCATGTTCTTTTGAGAAGAATGATTCATGGGAAACCCATTGTGTCGAGAATGTTGATTCAATGCTTGATGAGTTTCAACTTGTTTCAATTGACGAACAACGAATGAATTCTAATCAGCATTTTGATTTCGATCTAAGTACAGATGGATTCTCGTCGAAAACCAATGATCAATTTGGTGCTTCAACTCCTCCACCACTTCTCCGAACAACTGATAATCCAAGGTACACACATTCGTCAACTGATAAACTACTGAATCCATCGATAAATAGTTCTCGTTTATCTACCGGTGACGTTGATGTTTATGAACATTTTCTTAATCCGTACTCGTCTTCAATGTGGCAAGAAAATCAAGTGACATCTTCCGTGTCGACTCCACCTGATTTTCAATTAAACACATTTTCCCTTCATCAACATCAACAACAACAACAACAACAAGCACAATTGCATCATCATCAAGGTCAACAACAAGCGCAACAACAACAACAACAATATTATTCTTCTCCTCAAATCAATGATGAACATTTCAATTCCTACAATTTACCATCGCAAGTAAGATTGTTATTCGATGTGCAATCTTAAATGTCGACTTTTCTATTAGGCAACGAATAAAAAATGATACAATTTCGTTTTCTTTCATCCCTTCACGTTTCGTTTTCTAAAGTTTCAATTAAAATTGTATTTTTACTTCATGCTAATAAATTCATTTGTATTCATTCTTCGTTTCGCAACTGCAAAATTACATCACGAAATACACATGATAGACGCGACATCTCTTCACATCGAACTGATCGATGAGCTAAGTTTCATTGGAAGATAAGAAACGAAATAATGACCCAGTTTTGGTTTTGATTCGATTTCTTCTATCTTTCTATCATAATCAAATGAATACAAACAATTTTCCACTTCAGACATCACAACAATCAAAATCGACCGATGAACAACATTCACACAAGCCAACTTGTACACGCTGTGGTACCAATCGACTGATTGATATCACACATCACGAATTTCCTAAACAAAAAGGTTTACTTTACGAATGTATGTCATGCGGAAACAATTCTCTTCACTCCAATGTCTCAGATGATGAACGACAACGTCGTTTAGCGAAAGTTGCAGCTGATCATCTAAATATCACTGAATGTCAATTTTGCTCCCAACGCTTTCATTCCTATCAAGATTACTTGAAACATTTACAAAGCGATCACGCATCACAATGAATCTTGTTCTTTTTCTTTTTCTGTTCAGATCAGTTCTTTTTATACAGTTATTTATTCGTCTACTTCTTTTTAACTGTTGATATCAATCGTACCTCTAGACGTCTTGTAGTAAAATATATATCTTGTCCTTGAAATTTCGAAAAGACCATCGATATTGATGATCAGTACCGAATAACTCGAAGATAAAATACCTTGATCGGTGTACCTATCTAAACTATCGATCAATGGATGTTTTTCTTTCTATTCTATAAAAAGCAAAAACAACGACGCAATTGTATATCGTTGATAAATATGGATAAACAAAAACAATACAGAAAAACAGAAATCCGTGTCCTTCATTTTTCTTGTTTGCTAGTCTCGAAGTTTGTTGATATCAGATTGTGAGTCAGAGGCACAGTTAATTAGGTCAATGCTGTCAGTGACAGATAAGGCGCTTATTATTAGAGCGGAAGTATGTGGCGACTGAGAGATCATCGTCATGTCCATGAAGACGAATCATCAACTAATGAACACAATTTCATCGACATCAATTTTAGTTGATCAATCCATTGAAAACGCGAACCAATCTCGGATAGAAAAACTTGTTCAATTGCTTCTTTCATTTAATGTTGATCGAAAGCGAATTGATGAAAGCAACCATCAGCATGCGAAACTTGTCCTACGAATCTTTGCTATCTATATGATTTTTGTTAGTAATGTGTTAATCGTTGCGGTACTAATGCAATCAGCGGAAAGTTTTCTTATTACAAATACTTTTGAATGTCATCTAATCCAAAAACGATTCGCAGTGAAGACGTTATTGACCGAACGAAACGTTCAACATAATGTATACATGATTAATTTTAATCAGATTGCGACAATTCAAGATGTGAGTCATCTGTAATGTCGGTGGTGGAATTTGAGAGTTTTCCATGTAGATTTGGCAATTTATGAATGAAACACTTGCCGAAGTTTTCTTACGTGTACAACAGCAACCTTCACGACCGAATTCGACTTTGATCCACTGGGTATTAGATCACTTCTTGTTGATCGGAGTCGTTCGGATGAGACAAGTTCGTGTCAAACCTGAAAAATGTCACATACCGAAATTATATTCGGATGAAATCGCCGATTGCTATCCAGCCTATTCATCCGACAAGAAAGACACCGATCCGTGTAAGCGAACGATAACCGATCGCACTTGAAATTCTATTTAAAAAAATCTCTTCATAGTTGGTCCAATCACGCTTAGCGATAGTACAGATATCAATCTAAAGCAACCATGGCGTTTTATGTCCAAAGACAAGACAGGAATGGGCTCGCATACAGGTCAACACGGTAAATATGATGGAAGTGGATACATAGCCGATCTTGCTCAGTATGATCGAACATATCGACGTTTCACGAGAGATATCAATGAGTTGGAAAGATTTCATTGGCTTGACAAAGCTACTCGAGCTTTATTTATTGATATAATTACATACAATCCAAGTGTGAATCTCTTTTCGTACATTAAACTTGTTTTTGAAATGCCGTTGACTGGTGGTATTTTTCCTTCCCACAAAGTCGAGAATTTTCAATTGTTTCGGGTAATTGAGCGGTGAAGAATTATCTTGTTTCGAGGAATCGTCTTTCTAGTACGTTGGTTCAAAGAAATACGTTCTGATCATCTGCGAGGCTACTATCGTTCTATTTACCATTATCTTTCTTCTCGTCGAAATTCTAACAATGATCAAGTTAAAATTCAAGATTTTTCTCAGTTTCTGGAATTGGATTGATATGATTCTTCTAGTAAGTGTTGACTCAAATCAAACCTTCCCTGAAACGTCTACTTTTTGCCTAGATCATTTCGATTCTCTTGATTATTGTCAACATCTATCGTCTGATTCTCATCAACTCGACTTTGACCAATCAATTGTCAATTTATCTCGTAACATTCGACACAGCAATCGTTAAATTACTTCGTCTTCACAATCTATTCGATACTTTGAGTATCCTACTCGCATCGATCAGTATCATTCGAATATTGAAATATTGTGATTTTGCTGTGATGTTGATACGAATCAAAGCAACGATTCAACGATGTCTCGGCGATCTGATCGGATTTCTTGTGATGTTTGTAGCAATAATGATTGCCTATGCCCAAGTAGGACACGACTGATGAAAATACGATGAACGAGAATTGTCCGTTGTTTAGTTTGGGAATTTAGTTCTTGGTCAACAGGCACCTGCATTTTCTACTGTGGGAAAAGCATTTGTTGCTCTATTTCGCACGGTATTGGGTGATTTTAATTTTGAGGATATTCGTGATGCTGCACCAATCGTTGGTCCATTATTTTTCTTCTTTTGTATGTATTCTCTACATGAATTCAACTTTGAAAGCATTCCAACACGCTTTTAGATATATTCTCCATGGTATTCATGCTATTCAACATGGTTCTGGTAGATCGAACTTCTCCTGTTTTCTTCTCCATATGATAAACTACATTTAGGCTATCATTGTCGATTCATATGAAGAACTAGGCAGCGAACGTCGTGATATCATCAATCAAATGCTAGTTGATGTCACACCCTTCATGAAACATTCGATTCAAAGATTTTTCGAGCGACTTGGTGTTTGGACGAAAGTTCGAGTTCTCGTTCATTCGATAATTCGTGCAGAGGATATTTCCAATACGAAAACTATCGGAGATCTTTTACAAGAATTCAAGTATTCGGCCACTTCGTCTACGCTCTATGAAGAACTTCATCAAGCCTTCGTGCATGATATGACAAAGACAATATCAAAGAAAGATTTCGATGCTTTTTTGAAATACGCTCATCGAGATAAAGATCGTCAACGTGACACCTTACAAAGTTTATTCACGGGAAAGAAGTCATTGATTAATTTCAATGAAGAACAAGACTGGAATACACATGCAAGTAATCTCTGTACAATACAGCAGTGGGCACAATTACGATATCGGATTGCACGTTTGGAAGAATTGTTCAATTCTATGGATGGAAAATGGAAATATTCGATGAGAACATCGAAGAATTTGCTTCGAACGAGAAATCTTTCACGCGAAATTTCCGAGGAGAAGCAAAACACGTGATTGTTGTTATTTTATATACATAGTAGTGAGTATTTGTAATAAAGCGGAATGACAGATAGATAGAAGGCAATGCAGATCACTCTTATTGCGTGATGTTATTTGAATTCTCTTGTGTAACAATAAGACTTCCGATAAGACAAATGTTTTTACCGTGCAAAATGCAGTCGTAATCAAAGTTGAATGAAAATGTGAGACTGTGTTCGAAAGTAACGGTGAGAATATGCATGTATTCCCAACTTCCATTGAAAACGCACGAAATGAACCTTTCATTCACGCTCAGTTTAATTAGGAATGAATACGATAGGTATGTTCTTATTACAGGACATGCCAGCGCTTATAAAGAATTAAAACAACAATCGAAAAATATACGTAGACACGTCTTAAAGGTCATAGAGATTGTGCAGTGCTGATGAAAAGGGTCAGTGTGTAGGTAAAATACACCATCTAAAGCCGAAATTTGAACCGAAAACAAAGATACTTAACAGCAGACGAACTTTTGTTGAATTTACACTTGATGATAGTTTTCAATCTGAGCAATGTTCAACAAAGTTTACGCAAAATCAGAATAGATTCCAATTATGCTTGATAATTATCTTTCACACGTTTACAATTGTAGAACATGAATTACCGTCTACTGTTTCATTGTAGAAACAGTCTTTCTTCTTTCTTGACCTGAAGAATCGGCCAAGTGAACTTTTATCGTACACATACACATGACGGAAGTTCACTTTTCTCCTCTCTCTCCTTCTCTCACGTTTTAATTCCGGTAGCTGATACTATATCCACCTTTTGGCGTCATCTACTGCCTACGAAACAATGAATGGATAGAACAAAGACGAAAGGAGCAATGTGTGGTCAGTTAGTAAGTAATGGTCGATTTTTTCTCGTTTACTACACACGTTTATAGGTTAATGTCGTTTGTCTTACGCCGATGTGTTAGCATATTTTATATAAATAACATGGAACAAAGTAAAATCTTTTATAATTTGAATGAGAGAATGAAAATCTGGTTCATATGAAGTGCATACCGCTCATTCTTTTTATTCATTCATTCTTTAGATGACAAGAAAAGGTCTATTTAATTTCACTTATATTCTCGTTTGTCGATCGATGTGATCATCAACTAGTTCTCAGGAGATTTTTCTTTGGGTCTTTACTTAATAGACAAGCAACAAGAGAAGGCAACAGAGAGAGAGAGAGGAAAAAAAAGAAAAAAATTAGTCAGCAGCCTTGCCTTCTAAATCATGTTAATGTATTCTATATAGATTGAATCAACTAAGGGAACAAGAGCGTAGCAGAGCGTCGTCTGTCATTCGTTTGTAGTCGTCTTATGTATGTGTTCTGTGCACACAAACTTGGCGATCATTCTCCGAAAACTGAATGATATTGACCATGTGCTAACTTAATTTCGGTTTGCTTAATTCCGTCTAAGAAAAAGAGAAGAGTTCATCTTGAACTCTTTCATCGTCCTCACATTCGCTCATTTTTTTTCCTTCCCCTCGTCATCAACACTAGATGAGTTTCCATTTGCTTTCTCCTTGTATGCGCACGAGTTTATAGCTACAGCGTTTTTTTTCTCTCTCTTCTCCTCATTTTTCTTCAGTCTAGTAGATCAAACATTTGTCTCGGTGGCGGAGGCAGCAGTAATGGAGTGAAGTAAAGAATGACGAGAAGAGAAGAAAAAAAAATGAGTCGGCCAAGAGAAGGAGAGAGAGAAGGAGAAACACAGACCAATTTTGTTTTCATACTTTTACTATTGTGTTGTGTCGCTGAATCATCCTTGATTAAGACGAAAGAAAAGGAAAAGAAAGGACAAACGGAGACGAAGAAGAAAAAAAAAACAAGAAAACACATAGATTTTTCTTTTCGCTCATTCAGAACGGCCATTGTTGTCGAGTCTTTCATAATAAATTTTTTTTTTGACAATCTGGTAAGATACTTTTTTTGTTGTTGTTAATGCGAATAATATCAATGTAAAAGACAGAGGAAAAACGATCGACACGAAACGGATGTTTTTTTTTTGATAGCTAAGTTAGTGAGGTGGAAGGTGTCAGAGTGACTATCGAATGACCAATTGCGATCGGCTTGTCTATGTTAGATGTTCAAACGAACAAATGAGAATTCTAATACGCATATCGATGGCAAGGTCATTGGAGATTTTTAATTAGAAATTTTGTTGTATTTCGATAACCCATATATCAATGTGTTTTTCTCTTCTTTCTCGCTTGTTTTTAACTCTATTAAGATTTCGAATCTCCTGGAGTGATGTATGCGTACGAATGAAAGTAAGTGGATGTTTGGAACAGATGCCGAAGATTAACGTATTGAAACGTGTGTCTAATAAGGTTCAAGAGGTCAAGAGAGGTGTGAAAGTGAATGAAGTGTCATAAAGAAAATAACAGTAGTGTGGACATGACATACGATTCATCTTGTATACAGTTAGTCATCTCATAGTATTATCAATTACCAGGTCAGTGTTTGACATTTGAGCATCTGTTTTTAGTTATACATGTCTCATTAATTGCACTACTCTGATACGCATAGCTTCGAGCATCGCTATGTTATTCACTCAGCTTCGTGCAATTGAGCTGAAAAATAATGAAGTGTATTTTTAGATTATTATATATACGTAGAAGAGTCGAACGATTATTCATGTCGGATCATAATCTAGTTGATGATCCACTTGTTTCGTTTGATCAACCATCACCAACGAAATCCAAAACGAATGAATCTTATGAGAATCGCTTGTTAGATGATATTGATCCATTCGGCAATCATAATGGAACAAACGGAAATAGTACCAATGATTCCAATCAATTTTCCATAACAAATGATCTTTTCCCAACAGATCCCGATCAGGATGAGAAAGGTATAGATTTGCCGAAAAGAAAAATCAAATTCATCAAAGCAATCATTTATATTTAGCGAATCATCACGAATATTCCACGCAGAAAAATGAAGAATCAAAAGATTCACCTTGGAATTCTCAGACGTATATGAATGGTAGTGCAGCAAATCAAAATACACTTTTACTTGAATTCGATCCTGAAGCACCTAATCCAGCAGCCGAAAATTCTACTAATCAAAACTCGCTATTTTCTAATGACCAACCAACGAATGCGGCAACTCAGCAAAATAACCAAACCGAAAGTCTTCTTGATTTCGAAGGTTCATCTGATAATACCAATGAGTTCCAGCAACAATCACATTTAACTAGCTTCTCCAATCCAGCACCTAATCTTGAGTCAGCAGATACCGATCAGAACGTGCCTTTAACCCCTCAATCCGCTGAACAAGAACAAGAACTATTGCATCAAGCATTTGATGAAGTCAATCATGCTGCTCAAGAATTGGTGGCCAAAGTTGACTTAGTTACAACACCAACTCCACCCCCAACATCCGACTCGCAACCACCACCATCATTTGATACAGAACAAAAAGCTGATGTTCCAATTGTACCAAAATCAGCTGCTGCTACTGCTACCGCTACTGCAACTACTCCAAAAGCAGACTCAGCATCATCAATAAAGAAGCCTGCTGCCAGTGCTACACGACCGACGAGTGCTACCAAACCGAAGCCATCATCAACAGCTGTTGCGGCATCTAAAAGCACAGAACATAAACCAGCTGCTGCAACTTCAACTACTAAAAGTACAGAGCATAAACCAACGGCTTCGACAACAAAAACTACTGAATCAAAACCAGCAGCAACTGCGTCAGCGACAGGTCGTAAAACAATCCACTCTGCACCAGCAACTGGCTCTGCGTCGACAGCTACCAGTAAACCAAAAGCAACACCTACTTCACCTTCTGCGGGACCTTCGACAACTCCAAAACCAGCGGTAATTTTAACAATATATTAAAACATCTCTGAAATAATAAATTGTATTCTCTTCAGCGTGATGTTCCATCTAAATCTTCTTCAACTGCAGCAACAGCAGCAGCAGCAGCAGCAACAACAGGAGTAACAGGAACCGCATCTTCAACAGCAACTAAGCCCAAGCCTACTGCTAGTTCTACGACGGCAACAAGTACATCTCGATCAACAATTAAACCAGTAACAAAACCAACTCGCCCATCGACAGCTCCCAAAACTTCCGCTTCAACAGCATCAGCATCTACTGATCAAGAAACAACCATACTTTCCACAGCACCAGAGGCTAGTTCTTCGTCTGCATCTACGACAGCGAAACCTAATATACGAGCACCATTGCACTCTACTAAACAACCAACAAAAACAACTACAACCACAAGTACTGCTGGTGCCACAGGTACATCGCGCACAGCTGCATCGACGACTAAATCAACAGCTGTCAAAGAACGACCGACGTCACATAGCCGTGCAACAAGTAAGATTCGATTGCGATCTTTTGTTGAACGTTCCACTGTTTATTTCTGTTTTCAGCAAGACCAGCAACAGCCACTAGTGCATCGGCTACAACAGCTCCTAAACGGGCGAATAGTGCTAGTCGTCCAGCAACAGCTGATACTGCGTCACGTCCAGCACGATCAGTTGCGGCCGACGGTGCTTCAGGAACAACGGTATATAAATTCATTTTCATTTTCATCTTTGTTTCGCTGGCATTTCACGGCTTTCTTATCATAGGCTGCACGACCACAATGGAATTCCACTACTTCTAAAGTAGGCTCTCTTCAAAATGCAAGTCACAAAGCTGGTGGCGGTACTGTGAAGGTAAGAAATCTAAACTCTATTCGAGTTTCACAGGTATTGCTGAAACTTATTAAATGGTACGTATGTCTATTTTTAGATTCCAAATCAAAAACTTCATTGGAATGCTAAATCAAAAGTTGGCTCGCTCGACAATGCTAGTCACAAAGCAGGCGGTGGCACGGTCAAAGTATGTCTAGTGATTAGCCTTGATCGAAATCAAATTTTTTGATTGTTCTCTTCTTGTCTTAGATTGAAAGTAAAAAGCTCGATTTCAAAGAGAAAGCCAAAGCCAAAACCGACAGTGGTCATCACGAAACGATGACATCTGGTAATAGTGATGGAGCAAGTGCTAGTACAACAGTTAACGATGAACAACAGAAAGAAACTCAACCATCAGACGAACAACAAACTCATGATGACGGTGACAAATAAACATAGTGATCAAACTGACATAATCAAAACACTTGATTGCATTTCTTTCCTTCTATCTTCTCTTTTTATCAAAATATTTAATCTTTCTAGTGGTTATCATCATTGTCCGTGAAAATAATAATCATTCTCTTCAATGTCACTCGATCTCTACACTTCTGTTCGTGGTCACATTATTCTATATCTTGTCTCGTTTCATATACGTATATACATATATCGACGGAATCATTTTGATGTTCTTTTTTTAGAGCTAGATTTTCTTTCTCTCTCTCTCTCTCTATCTTTCTGTATCAATGATCTATACGTTTCTTCTTTAAACATGTGTTTGCTGGTTGTTATCAAGCAAAAAAAGAAAATATATTTACTAATTTTTCTCTTCTATTTGTATGAAGCTGATTCAATGAATTTATATACATATTAATCAGAACAAAAAAGCATTACTGAATATTCATGATGAATGAAAACTGTTATTTGATCAAGCTGAACTGAGGGAATATTAATTAGTCGAATTATAATCACAGCTCAATGAAGATATTCAATAAAAAATTTACAGTCGAACGTTTATGTTTATATATCGACGATCTCGTCATCACTCTTGGTGACAGCAGACAAAGATTAAGGAATGGTATTAAGTTCTTTTCAATAGAGAATATTGCAATCGAATGAAACAGGATACGTTGATCTGTAAAATCAAAATTGAAATGCCTTTTTCTTTCACTAGACACTCAATGTTCTGTCTCACTTTATTTTAAATTATCAAGCGAAGAATCAGTGTATTCAACAGAAACGGATTAATTGCTATCGATTACCAAACACTCATTTCGATAGGAATCAATTATGAATTGAAGTTCATTCCACATGAACGACCGAATACTCCAGGAAGAGACGATATTGATGTCGCCGGTAATCATTTGATATTGAAATGAAATGTCTGCCATCTGTGCAATATCATCATTGGTAATATCTGATTAGTTATTTTGTTTCTTCTTCAATTGTGAAAAGCAAAAAAAAAACCTCGAAGAAAACGTACCTTTGTACGCGGAAAACGATGCGTAGTCCAAGTAAGTGACCTTTTCGTTGAACAAAACAGCAAATAAATACCGTTGACGCTTAGTTAAAGAGTAGATTCACTTGGTTGTTGATATGTTTGTCAGTATTAATCACTTTTATGCATAATTAAGAAGAGAATGAAGACGACGAAAGGGATCAGCATTACCGTTTTCTCTCCCTATTGTTGACTAAAGACAACAAAAGCAACTGGCCGGATTTATATTGAACTTAGTCTTTCTTTCTTCTTCATATATGTCTTTTGTTTCTATCTCTCTTAAACATGTATTCATACCAAACATATCGTCATCTTAAGATCAACTGTAAACTGTCCTTCAATCAACAAGCATCCATTGAATGAGAGGAGACAAGACGTTGATCAGTTGTTAGATGAAAGCTGAAACCGAGTCGACTAACGAAAACGTCGGGCCTTGAATCGATTATTGTTTTAATTAGATAGACAACATAGACAGAATTGATCTAGTAGATGTGTGCCGAGACATAAGAGGCAACAAACAGAAAATATGTACTAAGCGAAAAGAAGTCTCATCTTATGTCTATATGCAAGATATATCGGGCGTTTAAATTATAGAAAAGTCATGCGAAAGTAAGATGAGCGAAAGATTTTGTGATTTAGAAACGAATGATCATTGATTTCTTTTTCGTTTATTAATTAGAAGAATATTTAGTTGGTTTATTGCAATTCTTTCTCTTCAGCAAGTGCGTGGACACGGACGACTGGAAGATCCACCAGCTCGAAATGCTGCATGGCGTTACGGTAGATAGTTCTAATAGAAGTTATCACCTTTCGAAATGAGTGTTTCCAAATTCTAGGTTTCAATGTTCCGGTTAATTACGATGATGTGGGATTGAATTGTGGCGGATTAAGTATTCAAAAAGCAAATGGTAACCTTCTCGACTGATATATGTCTTTCAATGTATGATTGACTTTTCTAGATGGTAGATGTGGCATCTGTGGTGATTCATATTCAGGTCCACGAGATCATGAAATAGGTGGGAAATATGCGACGAATACTATCGTTCGAAACTATATATCAGGTTCTCAAGTCGATGTGAAAATTTTAGTAAGCTAAATGATTGAGAAGTGCGTACAATATATCAGCCTTTGTTTTGTGTTAGCTAACGGCAAATCATGTCGGATTTATGGAACTTCGTTTATGTCCATTGGACGATCCCAATAGGGAAGTGACCCAAGAATGTCTCGATGAGAATTTGCTCTTTATTGAAAACTTCGGCACGCACTATCCAGTTAACGAAGGCACGGATACGATTCTATTAAAGTAAGTTCAACATTTGTAACTCTTAGTTTCACCGGACTTCATTTTACAGAGTTCATCTACCTGCTGGTCTGTCATGTTCTCACTGTGTATTACAATGGCGCTATCATGCCGGAAATAATTGGGGTACAGACGGTACGACAGGACGATCATGTCTTGGTTGTGGTTATCAAGAAGAGTTTTATAAGTAATCATATTCATTAGCTACTTAACATGCACATACGATTTTCGTCGTCTTAGTTGTGCTGATATTAGTATTGCTCCTGTAGATGGTGATTTCTTAGCAGGCTTATCGACGAGTTCATCAACAGAGCAATCAATCTTCGTTGCTCCATTTGTGGATCCGATATTAATCCCACCTGAAGTCGAACAAGCATCGATTCTTTCAAATGAATTCTTTATTACCACCACCACCACCGTCACAACAACAACAACAACAACAGCAGCAGTAGTTGAACCATCAATGAACTTTCTCTTCCCGTACCAACCATCCGAAGATTTAATCACTCAAACAACTAAAAGCAACAAAACTCTCCGTTGTTTTCCGACTCATGAAGTTCTCAAACCGTTAGTCGGAATCGAACATTGGTGTCTCCAGCTATGTGTTGTCCATTGTCCACCAACATTATGTGCATGCGTTGAACTTTAGATTCTTCCTTTGTATTAAGACTAACAACAGACTCTGAAAACACTTCACTCGTTTTGAATCTATTGTGTATCATTTTATTCGATGTAATTCTCTTGACCTACGAAATAATTCTCTTATCTTTTTATTTCAGAAGAAAAAGAATTAGATAGTTAAGTGATCGATTGGTTATGATCATAAGAAGGGTACATGTTTTAATCTGGTTAACAAAATGAATGTAAGCATGAATTTATTATTCTGGATGTCGTTGATTGTTTCTTTTTTCAATTTAATACCACACGGGCAACTCATGAAAATGATAAGAAGGTCAATTCTATCACCCCCACCTCTCCTACAGTACTATCGCACAGGAAAATAACTAAATATATATATATATACAAACATATGCAGAGAAGAATTGGAAAAATATCATCCGTTCACATCTATGACAAAAGAACGAAAAGAAAGGAATACATAGAAAGATTGACTACGTATAGAACAAAAGTATCCGTTGTACATTTAACGGCTTGCGTTTCATTTCTTTAGACAATTATGTCTACGAGCATCATTCCAGATATTTACCGTCATACGGCACGTAAAAGCACTGTCTCGCGAAATGTGAAATCTCAAGCTAAGAATGTCGCAAGTCTACCTGTCACGAACACTTGTAAAGAAGAGCCATCGATATTCGATACGATTCAATGCGATATCAAATTAGAAAGCGACAGTCCACCGATGGAACAATCGTTTGTGATTATACCTGATAATGAAACTGAACAAATGATTGTGGAACAAACCAATGACGAAATTATTCGGGAAATTATCGAGCAGATTCAAAATCAAATACAAAACGACATGCTCATTCAGATGATGGATGTGAATTCAAATTGTACGACGAGTAGTATTTCCATGGATATTCATCACACAATCGATGCCATGATGGATCAATTGGAAGAGAATATGTATGATCGTAGTATAAATACAACGAATAACGAATGTGAGTAGCAAAATTGTCATCTCGGCGAGAAAAACATTGCAATTGTTTAGCAATAGCAACTGTAAATGAAGTACATACCAGAGATGTAACGAGTAGCATCAATGAAGACGCATCGATGGAAAGTGAACACCAATCTTCAATTCTTTCACAATCACATACGAATGACGATGATGATATTGTTGAAATCGAAAATGGTAAACCCTGTTTCGTCTTATACTTTTAATAATTTGTGAATGAATTGTTTCAGTGTCAAGATCGGATCCTCATCCAACACTTTGTACTTGCCAATGCCATCATAATGCACCGAACTCGACGGCTGACTACCTTCTCTTCGAACAAGCTTTACGACAGACGCGCCAGGAACAACAACAAGAACGATCGTTAAATAACAATCGTCTCATTCAAACATTGAAACGTCAACATCAAGAATTAATGACATTTTATCAACGACAATTGTATATTAATAAAATCGATCGCGAACAACAAACGATTCAAATTAATCACAATGATACACAAATTCAAACGGATATTTCCACAATTCAGCCGACGATATCGAAATCAAATACTCTCGTATGTGTGTGCGATTTTCTTCTCACACTATTTTCTTACTTTTTCATGACAATCTTTTCAGCAAGCAAATGGAAAGCATTCGACACCAAATACGAAAGCTCCTGCAGCTGTGCCTGTACGTCCTTTCAATAGTTTTCTTACCCCAATCCGAACGAAAGGTCCATCGTTACAACAGTTGATACCTTGTCTAACGACGACAACCACATCAACAACAACAACAATAACAAACAAAATATCGATGATTAAAAAACCAGCAACAGTTCCAATAATTTCACAAGATGTAGTTGATCTCACCGAAGAAGATGATGATGATAACAGCAGAAATCGCCCATCAACATCTTCAAGACCAGTTCGTATTGTCTTTCGACTAATATTTCGCACCTAATTTTTCTCCCTCTTCTTTGTAGCAACAAAATCCAGTCACGATCTCTACACCAGCAACTACGACAACAACAACAACATCATCGACTCGTAGGTTTTCCTAGACTTACACATTTTTTGAACTCATCTACAATCCATTCTAGAATCAACAGCTCGTTCGAATCCTTCGACTCCTGTTGGACAAGTACTAATTTTGTTGCTACCGAAATTATTTTATATTCTTCATTTTAGATGTTTCCTCTACGTCCGTTACCCGAACAGACATCAGTCGATTCGAAAATTGCTCGACCTCAACTAAGTATTACACAAGATAATACAATCGTTCGTCTGACTTGGAATTTACCTTCGACGCCTATGGAATTGATTCAAAACTATGAAATCTACGCATACAAATACAGTACCACTGCCAGCACAACGGATTGGAAAAAAGTACCAAGTTCCCTCCGATTTCCAACCATTCATTGACTTTCGTTTCTAGATTGGAACAGTAAAATCTATGCGATTACCGATGGCTGTGACTCTGAAAGAATTCCAACCCAACAGTCATTATGCGTTTGCTGTTCGAGGAGTGTCAACTACCAATCAAATGGGTCCTTTTTGTGAACCAAAAACAATCTTTACAGGAACAACAACGCCACCTAATTCAAGTCAAATACTTAACGGTTCATCCTAATGTGATTACACTCAATTTTGAGTATTTCATCCTATGAGTGATGTCTCTTTCTTCTTTTTCTCGTGCGCTTTCAGTGCACAAATTATTCTCTTCAGTCGATATTAAACTTTTTCCCTCTCTCTCTCTCTCTCTCTCTCTCTCTCTCTTTTTGACAGATATCTTATGTCTTTCATGGAGCAATTCTTTGAATTAGTTGAGAAAATTTTCTTTCATTTGTTTATACTAAACAAAAATATGCTTACAGAATGAATAAATCAATCTAATAGACTACAAACCAAATTGAATGTTTCCACAAGATTGCTTTCGAAAACAAACTTGTTTATATTTTCCATGTCATTCTTAACTTTCAGTCAGTGTTAGCACCGCAACAGTTGACGGCGATACGACAAGGCCACCGGCGACCACAGAAAACGAAATCATACAATACAATGGAAAAAACAACACTTTCACAAACACAATAAATCAACAAAATTTGTCCTCGGTTGATTCAATTTCTTTTCCAAGCAAACATTTCGATCATATATCGCATCAGAGAGAAAAGGAGAACGTCTGTGCATACAGTGGCAAGCTGTTCTAGTGTTTCTGTTAGCACAAGAATTCGATAATCATCTCCTTTCGAATCTCAAATCTACCTCGAACAAATCAATCTGGAAATTCGTGTTGTCGGCCTGATTCGATTCAATAGAACAACGAAAGAGGTCACCAGTTATATCTTACTTCGTTTTTTTCTTTTACTTATTCATTGGTTTGTTTGTCATTCACTATCTAACCTTCTATTTCTCCTCTTGTATAAATTGCATCGCATTGCATAGTAATTTTTCTCTGTACAACATGGTTATAGAGAACGAATCACCGGCGGTTCGACTACGTCGAAAACTGACTGCACTATCCGATGAGTATTCCAAAGACAAACAAATTCATCCGCGAAGTAAATCTGTCAATAGTCGAGCACCTGTCCCATCAGATCCTAACGCTAGTCTTCGTTATC